TAGCAGAAGGAGAACTGGATCACGCTACTAGTCATTGACACGAATTCAGAAGCAGAGGCGAACGCAGATGACATTACCTAATGGTCCCTGGCATCAGATCTAGTCCGCAGCGCGGCGAGGTCCGATGAGTATTTGCCCGTTGCGAACCGGACCTCCGGAACATGGCTGAATGGCGGCTGGAGCTCTTCTCCTTAGCATGCATACCAAGCCACTGAGTAACGAGTTGCGGCTGTTGCTGTTCGGGGAAAATTCAGGCCCGTTAGTGAATGTCTGTTGGACCAGTTTGCTATTGGCAAAAAAAAGCTTCAATCTTGCAGCTTGACAATTTCTTCGTGTCATCGACTGACTTGGTCACTTTGAAGGGCGAAGGTTTTGTAGCAGATTCATTCAAATGAACCAGTGCTTGCAACAGTTTGTTCTTTTAGGTGGACAGGTATCATTTGCACTGCCCCGACTGCCGGCAGTGCATCGATCGGCTGGCACTGCCAGCGAAGTGGTCATGTATGTTGGACTGGAGAGGTCCTCCAGCCAATCAGAGTACCTGTCAGGTTATCTGCAACACCTGTGAGAACTCGCCGTCGGGTCTATACCAATACTCAGCCTTGCCATTCGGCCTTGACGCCAGGATAGTGGAGAACTGGCGTCTCAGACCTCTTACCACCTCCATTCCCCTGTCTCGTCGGCGAAAGCAACGACGGTCTCCTCGGCCGTACGGAGTGCACCCATTGTATATATGAACCTAGCAGGAACGCAGATACGATGCGTTCAGACAGACATCAATGCAATACCTGCAGACTGCGTTCTAAATCCGCACATATCCTCGTAAGTCAAAGTTGTTACCAACACCCTTGCCAATACGCAGACCCAGCACACTGCTCGCCTCGCTTGCCTATATCTTTTCGCATTCTTTAGTCGGACGGGGTCTATTAGGCGGTTGTCACACAAGGAGGCGTCTCAGCATAAATTGATAGAAGTGGGAGGATCGGCGGAAGGAGGCCTCAGAAGCCCCCACGGGGAGACATCCCACGAAATGCCGAATGGTACCAGGGACAGGATTGATACTATAGATGCTGGAACATTCTGAATGCCAATTGCCGGGATACTTGCTATCACAGCGCTCGCCCGCCTTACTCGGTACGCTTCATAAGAGACCCTAGCGCGGTGGCGCCCAGGATGAAGTTCTGCGTCAAGACAGTCCCGCTCTTATCATCATGCCAACGACGTTATTCTTCCTCTATCAGCCCGTAGAGCAGCTAAGCTTTAATGAGAACTTCAAACGCCTTACTTGTAATAGCATGACTATCCATCGCTTATCAACAATATCACCGCCGGTCAAGTACGATCTGCAGAGATCTGTTTCAGCAAGCATTATGCAGAGGGAAGTTGAACGGCGGCCCGGCTCACGTTGCGTCACTGGCCATTCAGACGACTGTGCCTCGAAGCCCTTCCGGTTTCGCAATGTGGTGTAGCGGGATCACATCGATCTACTGCTTGTTCAACTTCTCCATCTCTTCGCCTGGAGCCGTGGCAGGTGAATGTAGCCCGGAGAGAGAGCATCGACTCTAATTCCATGCTCATCCCACTCCTTTGCGAGTGGACGGATCATGGGGCCCACGGCAGCCTTTTCCACGTTGTAAGCGCTTCGCTCTGAGGACGCTTGACGATGGACCAGACATCGAGGAAACCATGATGATGTTGCCCTTAATCTTCTGTTCGATCATGCACTTGCCTGCCGCTCTTGCAAACAAGATGGGCCGTTCGCGTTTACGTCGAGCATGTTCTTCCACTCTTCGAAGTCGCAAGCGCTAGAGGCCAAACCTGCATTAGTTACAAGTACATCTACCTTTCTGAAGTCGTCCACAATTTGATCCCACTTCCTGATAAGCATTTCTGCAGATGATGTATCACATCCCCATTCACGAATCTCGGACTAGCTGAGACCAACATCCTTCACTTCTTTCTTGATACCGTTTACCGCAGAATCTGCAGCGTTCTTGGATAAGTCGACAACAGCGCCCCTAGATCCAGATACGACGAATGCAGCGAGGATTTGAAAGACCAGGCCTTGCGAGACACTTGATATCACAATGTAATCCTTGTCCGCGGCCCGAGATAACATCAGCCGCTTACATTGTCACTGTTCATTGTCAGAAAGGTTTTATGGAGCGATGCACTAGAACTTGCCAACGCAGGTCTTGCCCTCCATCGAGACATTGGGAGCGTCCTACGTACATCGTGAGTATATCATATTTAAATATTTGGCTGCAGCAAAGTGATTGCGTAGTAGTACTGTGCATCCCACGTATGGGGGAGGCATGTTGTAGTGTCTTCAACTCACATGAAAAGCAGGACCAGTGTGAGATGGAGAGCACAAGAGGTTGACAGTTCGGTAGCATTCAATGTACACGGCACTGGAAGAACGACCGACATAGGAAATAACAAGGTCAAACAGGAATCGGGACACAAGAACCTCCGACCAGCCTCCATCATCTGCCGTTGTTTTCAACTCACTTACCCATTAAGCGGCGGCAATGTTTTCCCAACACCGCCATCACCAACCCGTCATAATGATGCTGACTTCGGCACGATGAAAGATACCGAAATTTCACCATAAAGTAATAGCATACCCGTATTTGAAATGTCCAATAAGGGGTAAGCACGATCTTCTTCGCGCATCGTAATTCTGCGGGCAGACCACGACATTTCCTGTGCTATACAGAAATAAGTGCTCCTTAAATAAGGCACTCCGGGGAACTGATGTATTATCGGATCTCGGATTGCAATGTATGCAGTTGGGCCATTCGACCCGTTCCTACACAAATATCACAAAGCTCCAGATGAAGGCCATGCAGACTAGTACAGAGATTGTAGCCCAATCAGGACAGCCACCTGCAGACCCCAGTGCGAATCTTCAGTGACAGTCAGTGGGTGTTCCAGGCGTAGGCCAAGCCACGACGACAAAAGGGGCAAATGGTCTTCTGGAAGTCCAAGGTTTCACGGACCGCTTACAGTATAAGCCATTCCTGAGCACAACTACGCTGACGGATTTATGGCGCGTGATGTTGCAGGCTTTTCTTTTTTTTACATGCAGAGAAACCGGATCAGTAGTTGGGCCATTCTAAGCACAGCTTTTCTGATCGTCGATCGTGACCTGTATTTGATACGCCTTGGAAATTTACCAGCGTAAAGTGAGGCTAATGACCAATCGCACGTCGTCGAAACTTTTCCCAGGGAACCGAACTGCCTCTAGAGCTGGGATGAAGATAGACAAGGAGATGAAGACGAACAGAAGTTAAAAGAATGTGCTTTTTTGGACCGATATTTGGCATACTAACGGATGTGTACGTTGTACTATGTCACCCTAGCCGTCGGCTACATCGCCTCCGGGGGTTGGATATCATTGCTCCTTTCCTAAGTGATTCAACGTCGCAAACACATTTGTCCATCCTAGCGCTGGGGGATTTCGGGTAAAGGTTTGTTTGGTGGAGGGCCAGGAAGTGGTGGAGGACGAGGGTGATTCCGTCCTGACATCTTTGAAATTCAAAAACCTGACACCGGTTCGTGAGGGTCGACGTGCATGTTGGATGATAAATAGGGTTGACTTACCGCTTGTTCTCGAGAGCTGCAAGGTGTAACAAAAATATCAACTTAGAAACACCAAGACGACTGAGATGCAATGAGGTAAACTTAAAGTGTTTAAGAAGAAATGTGGGTGACAATGTTCCTATTGTTTCGAGCCAATTCGCGAAGAACCAAATCACATTCAAGCGATATATCTATATCATTCTGCGGCCGCGTCCAGGAGATTCAAAGATTATGGAGAAGGTTTTCGGATCACTTTGTGCCATTGTGCATCTAGATGGAACATCCTCGACAACTCGGATGCCAGCATCCTTTCACCACTTATAGTATCGTGTCTCATTTAGACTTTAGTCTCTGCCAGTGAGATCTCAGGCACCTCGTGTTATAGAGTAACGCACAGTCATCGTGGGGATGTCGCTAACGATAAATGGAGGCAAGCTACATGGCGCGGAAAGAACAGCACGTGCGTCTTTTGTACACCTACTGAGTTCGCGTAGTGCTAGAAAAACCCTTTGCGAGCTGGTGATTGGCGACGACAAGGTGCAATGACATGCACAGCCCAACGCCGTAATTGGTGCTTATCCAATTGAGGGGTGACTGAAACCATCGTTCGGAAGGTCTTTCTTCCGCACTGCATCTTCTCTGGTGGAAGCCAACAACCCTGGCAACTCATTCCTCGTCGATGTAGATATTTCTTTAGCCTACGAAGGAAGTTCTAGCCCATGTTCTCCTGTAGCTGCTTGAAGCGCTGTACAACCACAAAATGCGGAGCCATGTACATCTTCCAAGTGGCAGCTAAACATTCGCTGCACTTGCACATGTCATCAAAAAGAGCCGGGGTACCAGGATGGTAAGACGACATTAAGTGGATTATAACGCCACTTGACTGTATCCCTGAGAACGAGTACTACTCAACAAGGTGTTACCCCGTAGAGCCTCGGGTGGTGCAGTGCGCAACCCGAATAAAGTCGTTTGACATTTTGTCAAATGGGCAGGGGTAGAAGCCAAGAGTCCGACATTAGACCTGTAGAGTTATTTCCCCAGTCTTAACAGGGGTCGATGGTAGTTACGAACTTTATCTGAAGCCAGCTGAGGCTCAATCAGGCGTCTTTCTCCACTAATCACATAACGGGCATGCCCTGGGTGAGTATGCTCCATTTTAAATTTGTGATTCTGGTCTCAGGGTTCCTCAAGACCGCTGACACAGCGAGATCAGAATGCTTCTGAAAGTTGCGACCGCTTTGAGCTACTTTGCGGCTTGAATCACACACTGTCCAGGATCACGCCATCTCTCCTGGGAGAGGCAGTGAAGTGGTCGAAATTAATGAAAGCCTTTACTCTTCCTTTTCATGCTAACCTAGCTGTAGCATCCCCACTGTCTGTATGAAGCTGGAAAGGAAACATTTCCAAAAATCGGACTAGTTGAAGAGTTGTGCCCGAACGTTGGCCGAGTGTGCATGACTGGAGATCTTGGATGACGATGATGGTCAAAAATATCGCTTGCATAGGTAGAGTTATTGTCGTCACAGCCTACAGTTGGTAGGGAATTTTCGAAAGGTATTTGCCCTTCAGTTTCCATGATTCCTCCATCGAGTCCGCCGAACCCTGGCGTAAGGCCGCCATAGGATGAGGGCCCTTGAGCAAAAGGTTCATCAACTAGAGTCGGCTCAGCTCTTTGAGCTGCGTGCTGAAACTCCGAAAGTGCCGGAAAGGGAACGTCACTTGTTGACATATAAATGTCACCTGTCGCCTCAACTGTTGAGTGTTCGTAGGATAATTGCTTTTTCAGTTCCTCATAGAGCTCAAAACCATTCTCGTCGTGGTTAATACTTAGAGGATGAGGCGCCTTCGGGTGTTTATTGTTCGGTCTGTTGTAGACGTATTTTTTTGCCTCCTCTACTATTCCAGGACCAGGAGCAATACAACTCTCTTTGTCCAAAACGCCCAGTTGCTCCAGAATGTGATGGACAGAAGGGACTCTGCTCTGGCCTTCGACTGACGATCCTTTCGAAGTGTCGGAGCTAAGCTGCGTGCGCTTGTAAAGCTCCTGGAGGCCCAGGACGAGCCATTCTTGCTGTTGTAAAAGCATCTCTACGAAGCTATCACTCGTTCAGTATCGATTCTTTATATGGTGGACAGGACTGACCCTTTCGGATACATGACGTTTCGAAACTTTTTGGATGCCGCAAAGGAACAAACCGCATCTTCAGCCTCACATCGGCTGCACGGTTTCCGGCCGTCGCACTGAGGTTAAATCAGTCGTCGCACACCTTGTAGATGGTCGATATCTAACCTTGGTCTTCTTCAACCTGCATCTGTCGCATGCTTTTGACACACGAGGCCCGTTCATCTGCTGTTGTCGAAGACATACCGCTGAGTCAAGGAACTTTAGCCTGCTATTCATCACGACTGTAGAGATTAGAAGGCGAAATTACTATCAAAAGAGTCGACTTTCGCTAGTTCTAAGCAACACTGGGTTCGGGAACTGCGATGGGCAGCTCCATTTACCGGCGGACCCAGTCTGGCCTGAACAGTCCAGGCACCCCCGTATAGGCACCCCCCGTATAAGCTCTGAGTCAGGCCACAAATAAGAGAATGAGCGGTTTCCATGACAGCTGGAGACGTATCTAGGCCTAGCTTCACGGCAGGATGGACTCTATTGTGTCTGCAACCTTCAGAACGCTTCTCACCCAAACATCGCTGTAAGTTCACTTTGATCAGATCAGACAACTTCAGTGGCGTTGTAGGCGACCTATGCCTGGAGTGTGCCCAACGAGAACCGTACGTTGGTAAGTACCTAAGGGTGCAGACCCTCGTAAATGCACGAAGTTCAAGGATATCACGTTCAGATTGAAGTTTATTTCAGAAAAGTTCATCTGATCATCGACTGCACATCGTCTGGCACTTGGCCACCAAGAACACCAATAGCTCGTGCATGCAAATTGCCAACGAATATACGAAGTAGAATGGGGTTTCTGTTGGAAGGCAAAGGCATGACTTCGTCCATGGCTTCCAAGGTGGGCTGTTAAGGAACAGTTACTGGCTTCCTATTGGCACAGGTGCACCACAAACTGGTGAAGAGAGAACAGCATTCCTTAACCCTTCATACCCCGCAACACAGTCTCGCGCTCATTACTCATCTCGGCAACCCCGGAACGCAACCAGAAGAAATGCTCAATCTGCTCGCAAGTCACATGTTGCTCCGAGAATGATTGAACAATCGAATAATCCTAATTTCGCGCACGGCGTGGTGTGACCACAGAAAGCTCGAAGAAAAGAGGAGATGGCCTTTGTCAGCATCGGGTACCGAATTATACATCAAATACGGATTATGCTTGGCAAAGTTTGATTTGGCGAAGAGCTTTGATCCCTGTTAGTCGTTGAAGGACATCACCCAAACCAAGAGAGCTGCAGTCAGTGATCAATCAATCAATCACGTCAATCATCGTAGCCGGCAAGCGAGTGGCGCGCAGACAAGCGATCGATGCGGCCCAGAATGAGTGGGGAAATACTATCTTCTTGGGAATTTCAAAACCTCGAGAGGGGTACGGCATTTTGGCGGTGTTCTGGTCTCAAATTCGCGGGGCATGCACAAAGGAAAGAACACCCTCCAGCGAGGATCTTGCGGTGGCGTACCGCTAACGCTTGAAACGCTACGATCGGAACTCTTCGCGAGTGCAATATGCGGAAAAGTGGATCACTTTCCCGGCACAGCTTTCTGTCAGTTACAAGGAAGAGCGTGGGAACGATTCTGTCTTCCAGTGCCTCGTATTGCACGTGATGCAGCTGTAAATCGTATTTCATTCTTGGGGCGCAAATTCGTTCCGGCCGAGCTCCGGTCGTGCCCTCACGATGGACGCAGATACATCATCTTCTGGAGGGGAACATATACCTCGGACTTTTGATTTTATCAGATCGCTAGTTGTGTGGTGATCAAATACTGCTCTCCCTGCACCAGATCGGGCCCGATTGTATCAGACCCGGATGGACGTTTAGGACTTGCCCGAATATATCTGATACAGCCATCTGCAGCGCGCGCAGTATATCAATCACCAACAGGTGGCAATTTGTAACGCTGAGAGAGACCCTGCATGTCGTCAAACCGAAGAGTGGTACAGCCGACCAAATGCCCTCTGTCTACACCCGGCTGCGATTACCCGCTCCCCCGCAACAAATTTGGGACATCCTGACTGACTTTGAGCATTACTCGGAATGGAACCCCATTATCCAAAATATCTCGGGTGATCAATGCTGTGAGTTTTGCTATACACAAGAGGAACAGATGCTAAGTTAAAAAAAAAAGTGAACGGCCGTATGCATATGCAGATAAAGAACCCTCGAAATTCCAGAGGTGGTTGAAAACGTCTCGCTTAGTCTTGGTTAGTGACTGATCTTCTGTTTCAGTAACAAAGCTCAATCCTGTCATTAAGAAGTGGTCACCGATAGACCACTTACATTGGCGGGGGCGTATTTTCGATATCCCCGGGCTGTTTACGGGGCATCACCACTTCGTCCTACAGCCGAGTGCGGACGGCATGAGTACTGACTTTGAACATTTTGAGATTTTGTCTGGGATCCTTGCTTATGTCTTGAAATATTTCAGAAGAAGGGTCTACTGGGACATGGAAGACGCCTTCGCAGCTATGAACGAAGCATTGAAGGAACGTGCAGGGCATCCAAGGAAGTAGGATATTTCGGACTTCGATGGTTGATTGTGAGAAAGGCCACAGCATTTTCGTGTGTCAGTTCAACGAAGTGTCATAAAGAAGCGAGAGAGACACCGAGCTTTCAGTGGCGGAAAACGGTGAACGTTACAAGGTTCAGCTTCGGGACGAATTCCATAGTAGGTTTTCCAATGATTGTGGAGTGATTAGCTTGATCATTTCCTACTGGTCTGTGCGAGTGCTTAGAAGGCTGCACATTTCAGTGTTTCCTGGCCACCGGTCTTTTTGGAAGCTTCGCATCGAGTCTCTGATAAGTCATTCAGATTCAAACACAATTATCCCTACCATACACAGTTCACGCATTTTGAAGAGTTGTTACATTAAGGCATGGAATCAAGTTGCTGGTCTCGCTTTGCTTAGCAGCTAATGCCTCCTAGGGGTGTCATTGGACAGGGATGTAACTAGCTTCTGGCTTTACCTGAGTCTCCGTCAAAGCTGAAGATATTTTAGGAAAAGGAATCCATTCTTAGTAATCAACAAACGTAAGCCGTGGGACCCAATACACCCACAACGTAAGATACAACTCATAGTTCGACTCTCGGTCGGTAAACTCTACTGCTATAAGCAGAACAGTCTAGCTCAAATTCCCCTGCCTTGAACCTGATCTTCGTGTTTACGTCTCGCTTCAATCGGAGCTCGCGGAAGCCTAAGACCACACAAGTCTAGATCCGCCTCGTGCCGGATATGTCCCTAAGACCGGAAGCCACTTAGTTGCACGCTCGACCAAAAAGTGTTAGCGTAGTGTTCTCGCACCTTCCTAGTTCGTGATAACGAAGGATAACGGTAACCTGGCGACATTACTTACGACCAACTTTTGCTCGGATTCTGTTGATCTGAGTCTTGCGGGCCCGCGACCGGAACTGCCCATCTGGATAGATATTCATCTGGGCTCTTTACAAGTATGCGGTTACGTCAGGACTCTTGGGCTACCAGCTACTACATGTTATTGGTAGGCTCCATAAATGTTATCTAGACAGTTGGAGATCGTATAAATCTCGCTGGTCTTATAATTCGGTCCGCTAGTGCTAGCTAACGTTACCAAAACTCCATTAAGTGATGATAAAGTGTGGGCTTCATTATAGCACGTCCTCTTTACATTCCCTGCTTTAGCCTTCTTGGCATTATATCAGATGGGCAGGTATAGACTATAGAGTCCTACTCCAGCTTTACTGTAACACACTGTTGTCCGTAGTCTGTGGTTACCGACGTCATCTAAAGCGAGCCGAGGTACATTTCTCCACTTCCTGCCCACCGGGGCATAACCCTGGTGAGTAGGCATCATTTACGTTTTGTATTTCTGCTAAGAGTCAAAAAAGCTACAGTATAGATTGATCGAGGGGAGGAGGTCATACCTCGAAATCAATACATTCTCAAAAAGGAGACAACGTGGTCTAAGGTTTCTCACAATCATTGGCACAGCGAGATCAGAATCCTAGCAGACCTGGGATGCGGTCGCGATAAGATTCAGACTTAGTGCTGTCCATTCTTCGTCTTCCTCCCTCCTCCTTCCTCCCTTTCTTCCTCCTCCCCCAAGCAGCAAGTTCACGGATGGATACATGATCTCCATGCCTCTTCTCAGTCCCTACCAACTTTCACCCCACTTCAATCTCATGCCAGCGCACTATTCGGCTCAAGCAGCCACAGAAGCCAGACGGCCATCCGGAGAAGATTCATCGTCCTGTCCAAGCACTCACATGGGAGACCGGGAGAGAGCTGTATTCGCAGGATATGCACTGTCAGCGTCCAAGGCAGCATCGAGTGCTATAGAATCTGAGCATTGACTTTGGGCCGAAGCACTAAAGCCAGGCTTTCAAAATGATTCCCTCTGTATTCGAACAAGGCTATATTGACATATAGCAACTAAGTAGACTGTAGATCGGGATACTGGAAGACTTGTTATCGATACGTTGCAGGAATAACAATCCATGTGCTCTACACCAGTCAACTCCCTGAATTCCAATGCCATATTTCCAATATCGGGCAATATCAAACCTTATTACCCTCAAATTCCCACTCTCTTTCTTCTCCCTCTTCCTGTTCTTCCCTTTCCTCGACAAGCATTGGCTGATGGTGCACTAGATCCTTTTCCTCAATAACAACTTTCACTTTCATTCCCCATCCCTCCTTACCTCCAATCCAGTTCTTTTTCTTGCCTATTTTTTCAATCTCCCGTGAGAGGTGTCCCATGGTGTCTTTTAATAAGTAAGGATCTCCCGGAATCCTTGCAACAGAGAATTTCAGTTCCACGCCGTCCTTACCACCATTCTTCCCTAAATCTGCCGCCCACTGGGCAGAAATTTCTACTCGCGGATTGCTTTCGTCAACAAGCCCAGCTGGATAAACTCTGGCTATAACCATTGCCACCTTTCCTATGTAGCGAGTCCACCAGACCTGCTCAGGAGTGAGGAGCCCACGAAGGGATGCTTTATAATGAGATTCGCGCGGAGGCAACTCGCCTTCGAAACGCTCTTCAAAAAGTAACGCCAGAAGTGCGCGGTCAGTGTGAGACACCCCATGTGCTGAAGCCAAGATACCTGTGCTAGTGCTGTATAAGGCTGCACTTGAGGAAGATTCCTTCGACAAGTCAGAGTGTTCAAATAATACGTTGGCCAGAGAGCGGATAACTTCTGTAGAAATAGACAATGGAAATGATCTTGGCTCATTACCTCCTGAAGGTGGAATGGCCGATAGAAGTAGATCTCCAATAGCCAGAGATGATGGTTTCGCAAACCGGGCAGTAGCGACTTCAAGTGGATGTTGCCTCCGGACAGAGTACGGTAGCTCTTGGAACAGCACCCCTTCACGTACTCCACCTTGACAAAATCGTGCCTTCTTGATACCGAACGGGATCGCCTCCGCCAGAACGTTAACCAAGAACGCAACTGCTGGAACCTGTGTCCGTCTCCGGTCCGAGATGCGAAAGATTCGACGGGCGGTACGGGCAACTTCTTCCAAGCTTTCGACATCTTCAAAGTGAGCTTTATCCGCCGCAAAGCCGTTGATAATGGATATAGGATAATGTTGTCCATGGACCTGACTTTGGTAGAGTAGCAGATACCCCCAACCGCGAAAGCCCCCGCCACAGAGGTAGAGCTGAAATCCGCCGTAGAGTCTGGCAACATCCATCAAATCTTGCGGTATGTCGAGTTTGCGATACGCGTCGAGTAGGTTTCTCTTCATCTCATCCCTGAGCTCCGCAATAGCTTTGTCAGCCTCTTCCTTTGATTTTCCGGCCTTTGCATTTTCCAATAGTCGAGTAAGGGCAGCAGCTCCGTACGGAAAGCTAAAAGCTCCTCTTGGACTCATTTGGACCTGTCCCTCACGAGATATCATCCAGGTGATCTGTGTGCTCCCTCCGCCGAGATCCATCACTAGGCCTCCAACGTACGTAAAGCTGCTAGCGATTCCGAATGCGCCAATTTTCCCTTCTTCCTCTTTTGGAAGCAATTCGACAGTGAAGCCGGTCTCTTTCTTAATAAAGGCAATGAATTCTGATGAATTAAGAGCCTCACGAGTGGCTTCCGTAGCAATAATACGGGTCTGATTCTGCATTACACCAAGGTCTTCGCACACCACCTTGAAACGTAATAGCGAAGCAATAACCGCCCGTATAACAGAGGGAGGAATAGGGATTCTTGCACCCTTTGCATCAAATTGTGCATCATACAAGGAAATATTGATTCTGTGGACGTGGACAGTTGGCAATGTTCGTGCTGTTGGCGGAGACAGATCGGAGATAGAAAATCGAATTCCGTTGCTGTGACCAGTCAATCTCATATATATACAGGACTAAGGAAGCGTCAAGGGCAATAGGTCGAAAAGCCAACGATGTAGGTATTTGCTTGTGCCTCACCTTCCCATATCAACTATGCCGCGGAGATGCTGCCGGCGATGCTCCATCGTCGTTGTAGTTTTGCCTTTCTTTGACTCCTTATTCGTGGACTATTGTCTTTCTTCAGAATATTGGAACAAAAGTAAGAGCAAAAGAGTAAGGAGACAATGGCAAAGAAAATAGCGGCCCTTATATTGAGAAGTGGTTATTCCGTAAGAGTAATTGTGGTGGCAGCGAGTCCCGAGAGGAACGATAGATGGGCTAAATCTACACCAACATCGCAACCTTGTCTGGACCTATAAAGGCCTAGAGTGAGAAAATTAAAGACTAGCTTTCTCGTCCAGAATGCCTACTGGGAAAGACGGCGGCACCATACGGGAGGTATTGCTCACACTGGCTCCTGTGTTTTCTACAACCTAGAATATCTGCTGAAGCATGCAGCGTTTGCTTAGAATGTGCTAGTCGGCGAGTCTTACTTACGATGCCCCCATCCTCGCCGCTGTAAAGGACAGCGAAGGACTTAAACTTCTCTAAAGAGCAGTAGGACCAGGAATATTGCATGCATCTCGATTGCTCAATTGGTAGATTAGCACTTGCCGGCTCTACTGTATTTGTAATTAGTCAAATAGTAGTTGGGGAGATCCTAGCTTTCGTGGTGCTCCTCTTACTTAGAGACCTAATGTCCTATCCATTTGGAAAGCGGTGGTACCGCGGTGGCCCGACAATTGGTTGTTGGCTTTACCAGTCTGCAAAGTTCGGACAATCAGTTTGATCGCGGCGACAATGGAGGATCGGGGAATGGGTGCATGACAACTCGGCTCCACTATTTGTCCCGTTCCAGTTCCGGCCGCCCTCCGGCTGGAAGGGAGCGGAGTATGCAGCATCCGCGCGAGATTTGTCTCGACACCGCTTGTGATTTCGTCAGATGGCGGCCGACACTGACCACGTTTATTTTGGCATTCTGCCGAGGCAGCTTCATTTTCCACATCTAAAAGCGTTTTTACGTTATTTCGCTCGTAAACACATTGCAGGAGCAGGAACTCGCTCCTTTTGCGACACCCGCTACAATTCCGACTTTGCTACGTTTGCCGGATCGTGACCAAAAAAGGCAGGAATTTTTTGTTGGATTCATTACGTGCTCTATTCACTCCTACAACACTCGGGATTCGAGCGTCTATCACAGTTTGAACCCAACTTTTGTCACCTGCTGAAAACAGCGATATAAGGTTTTACAACAGTCTCTTCGATGAGCACATATGCTAATGGTCACAGTATCCGATGTTCGGCCGGCGGAGACCTATAGTCGGAGCTGCTGTTGTGGTGGCCGCCTCACGATCCGCAGCCAGGCGCGAAGTGGAACGGCAAGCACAACAAAATGCACTGGCCCAGCAAGCTATTGCAATGGAGGCCGAAAGGAAGAGGCGAGAGGAGGCTGAGAGGGACGCCCGTACAAAAGCGGCAATAGATGAAGCTCTGGAACGCGAACGAGCGAGACTTCCGCAGGAGACACAGAGGCCTGCAACACCAAATGCTTGTCATGAGAAGACAAGTGAGACGGTTGGTTTCTGCGCGACATGTGGGCAACCACGGAAACGGCAAGACAGGTTTTGCAACCGTTGCGGAAGCCAGCTTCCTGAGCTTGATGCTGGGTATCAGGCTCCACGTTCTACCATGACTGAACAAGAGGCAAAGATACCCCGAGATTATCCTCCGGCGTATTGAGCTTTGGACTGATCTTGCGAAGATATTATTGTGCCTGTTCCAACCGCTGTTCACTTGGTCTCAATGTCGAAGTAAGAATCTGAATATCGTTAGCTCGATCGCATTTTAAACGCTTCTCCGTTTATGAGGGATTCTCCAGCATAACGCGCTCATTTCATGGCTCTTTCGCCTACGTTGTGCGTCTCCCACCCGTCTACCATTGTATACGCTTGCTTAGCGAGCTTAGGGCGTGGCGGAGTGATGCGTCATGCCTACGAATACACATTCATTAGGCTGTCGAGCAAGCTTCACCAACCTCCAACGGCCTAGGCTCGTCTTCTGTGGGAATCAGCCTCTTCGCCAACTCATGCTCTCAAAGCTTATCGGCCGTGATCGATCATCGTGGAGGTGTTTGGACGATCGAGATCGAAATGACGAACAGGAAGTGGAGACAATTGAGAGGACTGTTGCAATAATAGTGAATCTTTATTTGGCAAGCTGAATGCACGAGGCCTCGTCAAATCCCTGTCTCGTCAGCTGAAGATACGAAGTCCTCCGAGCACACGAAGTTATAGTACTGCGGAAGTTTATTGGTCGAACCTTCGTGATGGTGCCTTCCCACACTCGCATACGGATTTGGGGCTGCAGGTATGGTGTGACGGGGAACGTTGTCCAGCCACGCGCAAGATAAGTGCATTGGCACCGAAGTACTTCAGCCCTGCAGCCTGGCAGAGGTTGTCAGACGATCGACCTTGTAGCATGTGAAAAAGGACAACTCTGAAGAGCGGATCGTGGTCATTACTTGCTGTACAGGACTCGCCCTGGCTGCAGAAGACAAGTCTGAATGCAACAGTTTGGCGTAGGATCCTATTTACAAATTTGGTGCTAGAGAATGCCCGTCTATGCCGAGGCTCGTGGGCGACCACCAACTCGATACTATGATGACCATCATAACGATTTCGTCGATGGTGATTACGACCGATATGACAAAATGGTAGTGGTACGCCGACCGGATGACCGAATTGTCAGAGCCGTGTCGGTTGATGGGGTTGCCCGACCTGGCCGCAGGCGCAGCCCCCGTTCAAGTCGGAGTCGAAGTCGAAGTCGAAGTCGCAATAGAGGCAGCCACCACCGCCGCCACCACAGCTATGTACGGGAGATATCGAAGAAAACCATCACCACGTACTTGGTGGATTCCAGACTGAGCCGACCGCGAAGGGCTATAATCATGGAACCTACTCGAATGACGGTTGTGCGAGTCAGAGTGGCCCAGATTCGCCCTGAGACGTTGGATTATTTCCGCTATCCGTGGGAGTGGGACAAGGTAAGTTTTCATTTGGCATTTGCAAATCTGAGAAGAACTAACATGTGAGTCAGGACCGCAACTTTATCATTATCAAGAGATCCTGTACCCAAAATGAAATTGACGCTCTGTCTCAACACACAAGAGATGTCCTCCTGGTTTCTAGGAGAGTGACCATCTCAAAGCCAGTGGTCAAAAGGACGACAACCGTTGCTACGCTCAGGTCAGTTGACACGGGGACCGTGTGGTGAGGAAGCGGAGTGCCCTTTTCTGATGGATGGCACGACAGGTATGCCTGACAACATGACCAGGATTCAATGGTAGGTATTTTCACCACAACGCTCATTTCAATTCTTCGACTGATTGTATCGGTCGATATACTGGGCGCGCTCTGAATGACCTTGAGCGCGAGAGGACCTACGTCAACTATAAACGTCCGCACTCTTTCAGCGGCAAGTCAGGAAGATACGTTGGAAGATCCCGTTAAAGCTGTAGACTAGCACAATGGATGATGTGCCAGTAGCGTCTCAAAGCAGCGTTCATTGACTGACGCATGGACTTGAATTCTGACACAAGTTGCGCGTTGGCTTGTGAACGATTTTTCAGCATGCTTGACAAGAGCAAGCTTGCAACGTGACCCGAGCTCGCCTCCAGTAAAGCGGTGAGGAGCGTGTTCCAAAACCCACCAAGATTTCAGATACTAATCAGCAATTCCTCCAATGGGAAATACTCTGTCTTCTACTGCTTTTACAACTAGCCTGTTGGATCCGAGGTTAGATCTTTAAGACCCAGGCAAGATGGCAGTACTGCCAAATTCAGGAATGGAGACTGGATTGGAAAGCACAAGAAGCATGGAGAGGAAATTGTTGGCAAAGAATACGGTCATACAAGCGAGTTTGACTACCAAAGGTAATGCTTCTTGTCCATGCCCACGAAAGGAACACCATCCCCATTGAAGTACTAGGAACGACTGAACAACAGACATAACTGGAGCAGAATTCCTTCTTTTCGTAACCCTAATGGAAAGGCCTTCCCGTTTATTAGACCTTGTACGTAACGAATACCAACCACGAGATGACCGTCTCCCACTCGCCTCAGCACAAATGGCACAGGAAACCCGCGGAAAACAGCATCGACGTATTCAGTCTGGCTTGCCCCTGCTACGAGACCAAGCGAACCAGAGCCTATACGAGCGACGCGCGATCCATAAGCGACGTGACCATGGCAACCCAATACTTGACACAATTTTCGGGCATAAGATATTGCTCAACTTCGATTTGGGTGCGGTCTTCGGTACAGATAGGATGGTCTGCATAAAGAATGCTATTTACCCCGGTATAGAACGGGCGAATTTCGCTACCTCACGTGTAGCAGTCGACAAGAGCGCACCCTGTTAAGTTAACTGCCAAGAGTTGTGGCGCCAGCCCTCGGGCCCTCAAAGGTCCACCAAGGGCCCCATAGGTCCTCTGAGGGAGAGAACCCCTGCCATTGCTCCCGAAAGGTCCGACATCCAGCGGGATTTCCAAGGCGAGGCATCGAGCTCCACTAAATTTCTGGATCCCCCCTCATTCTATTAGAACATGCTCAAGACGCGCAGAAACTACTGGCTTGCCTCAGTAGCTTGCGTTTCACGAATGATTAGGCAAACTTGCTTGTCGCCCTCCAAGACAACCCTGCAGCTCTACCGGCAACCATACTCGCATACTACCAGACATGCAGAAAGCAACAGCTTCTAATGGCTCCTCAGGAATTACGGACCATTCTGAGCACCCAGAACCTCAACCTTCCCCACGGGAAATTCTGGCCGAACAAGACGACCAATTCCCGGCCTCCTTCCTTGATCCATCGACTGTGGACAACGGAGATGCCATGGAGAATGTGCAATACGGGACGGGACCAGAACAGATGGGCACGAGCTCCAGAAGAAAAGTCTCCTCCCTATTTTCAACTGAGAAAAGGATGTTATCAGATGAATCCGAATTCGGTTCGAGATTGAAGTGTTTGGGCAGCAAAATCGCAGAAGTTCCGCTACCCGATGTCACTGATCCAGCTTTCGATGTTCGCACATGGGCCACTGCGGTCCTAGACGCAGCAGGCATGGACAAAGTACAATCCAGACAGGCATCTTTTGTGTTCAAGGGTCTTGATGTGAGCGGGTCTGCACCTGGTGCAAGTGTTCAGCCAACCGTTGCTTCAATGTTTATGGCACCCCTCGCCCTAGCCAGACATTTCAGTGGAGGTAAGGCTCCGAGAAGAAAGATACTAAATTGCTTCGATGGGGTCGTCAACTCCGGCGAACTGCTCTTGGTCTTGGGGCGTCCTGGTAGTGGCTGTTCGACTTTTCTAAAAACAATCACGGGCCAACTGGGCGGCATTGAGGTCGGCTCTGGATCCACGATCAACTACTGCGGTTTGCTAGCCACCTCTGTCTGCCGACTGCGGACTAACAAGATTTAGGGATCCCGCAGTCACATATGATCAAACACTTCAAGGGCGAAATTGTATACAATGCGGATGTGGACAAGCATTTTCCCCACCTGACAGTTGGAGAGACACTCAAGTTTGCGGCTGCTATGCGCGCTCGCTCTGACAGATTGCTGGGGTCCTCGCGTAGAGAGAACATTGAATGTCTCACAGCGGTGGTGATGGCGGTCTGCGGACTCACCCACACCAAGAATACGAAAGTGGGCAACGATTTTGTACGAGGAGTCTCTGGCGGGGAAAGAAAGGTAAATGGCTCCGCTAAGTACTTCATCAGCTTTGCGAGCTAATGACTTCTCCAAGCGTGTAAGCATTGCAGAAATGATGTTAGCCTGGTCTCCCATTGGCGCCTGGGACAACAGTACCCGCGGTCTTGACTCTGCCACTGCGCTCACGTTCGTCAACAACCTGAGACTAGGAGCTGACATTCTCGGTACGACGCATGCAGTTGCTATATATCAGGCATCACAAGCAATTTTCGACGTTTTCGACAAAGTCTTAGTCCTCTACGAAGGGCGAGAAATTTTCTTTGGACCAACTAAGATCGCACATGCATACTTTACGGAGATGGGCTGGCTCTGTCCAGCACGTCAGACCACGGGCGACTTTTGCACGTCAGTGACCAATCACCAAGAGCGCAAAGCGCGTCCTGGCTTTGAAGGAAAGGTCCCTCGGACCCCAGAAGAGTTCGAGGCCTACTGGCGCACCTCTCAACCTTACAGGACGCTCCATGCCGAGATCGAGAAATATCAGAATGATTGGTCGAGCGCAGACTACGCCGAGAGGTTTAGATCGGCACACGAAGCTTCGCAGTCTTCCAATATCAGCGGAAAGTCGTCCTACATGGTCAGCCTTCCCATGCAAGTCAAGATATGCACAAAACGAGCTTACCAGCGTCTTTGGAACGACAAGGCTTCTACTCTGACCGTGGTGTTAGGTCAAATTATCATGGCCCTGGTTGTTGGCTCGGTGTTCTTTGGGCTTGCCGCAAATACAAACAGCTTCTTCGCGCGTGGCTCAACATTGTTCTTTGCGACGTTGCTTAATGCTCTGATCGCCGTGACGGAAATCAACAACCTGTATCAACAAAGACCGATCGTTCAGAAGCATGTCATGTTCGCGTGAGTGGACCCAGTACTGCAATTCACGGCAGAAATTCAGCATTATGGACTGTGCTACACCTGATTGGCTTGGCGCACATGCTCATCAGATATACAGATTTTACCATCCAGCGGCCGAAGCTTTGGCAGGCGTCATATCTGACGCTCCAGTAAAGATGGTCATCGCGACCTTCTTCAACGTGATCCTCTACTTCCTTGCAGGTCTGAGTCCTACGGCTTCGCAATTCTTCGTCTTCTTCCTGTTCACGGTATTGGTCCGCTTCACCATGTCAGCAATGTTCCGCACAGTGGCAGCAGCCACAAAGACTGTCTCGCAGGCTCTCGCCATAGCAGGTGTGTTGGTTTTGATGATCGTCATTTATACGGGATATACTATACCTAAGTCCTACATGCACCCATGGTTCAAATGGTTAATGTGGCTCAACCCCTTGGCCTATGCTTTCGAGGCCCTCATGGTCAATGAATTCCATGGACAGAACTTCGCTTGCGGAAAGTAAGGCTTCCATCCTGCAGGCTGACGTGCCAGACATTGACAAGTTTCAGCTTTGTCCCGTCATACCCGAACCTACCCGGCAAAACATTCGTCTGCGCCGTCAATGGCGCGGTCTCGGGCCAGCTCACAGTCTCAGGAGATGCTTACGTAGAGGCAAGCTTCCAGTATAGTTACTCCCATATCTGGCGGAATCTCGGTATTGTGATTGCGTTCTATACCTTCTTCCTTGCGGCTTATCTCATTACCTCGGAATTGAGCTCCGGAATATCAAGTACGGCTGAAGTCCTGCTCTTCCGGCGTCGAGACACCAATTTCAAGGCTGGAAAACTAGAAAGGCCATCAAGACAAGAGACCGAGTTCCAAAACGAAATGACAGCTACTGCCACAGAGGGTGTTCAAGTCAGGAGCGTCCTTACTTGGCGGGATGTGACTTATGACATTCGTATCAAGAATGAGCCGCGTCGACTGCTCGACGGTGTATCTGGATGGGCAAGACCTGGCACCCTTACAGCACTCATGGGTGTCTCTGGTGCTGGGAAGACTACACTCTTGGATGTTCTTGCTCAGCGCACCTCGGTTGGTGTTATTTCTGGAGATATGTTTGTGAACGGAAAGCCCTTCGACTCGAGTTACCAACGCAGACTTGGTATGCTGTGTGGGAGGCGATTCTTTACGTGAAGCTTCTGATCGTATTATAGGCTATGTACAGCAGCAAGATGTTCACCTCGAAACATCTACTGTTCGAGAAGCGCTGCGATTTAGTGCGGTCCTTCGCCAACCCGCATCCAAGCCAATCGCGGAGAAGCATAGAGATGTCGAGGAGATTATAAAGGTATGTCGTCAAGACTTCTATAAATGAAGTACTCTGAACAACATCTACAGATGCTCGACATGGAAGAATTTGCTGAGGCCATCGTTGGTGTACCAGGAGAGGGGCTCAACGTGGAGCAAAGGAAACTCCTTACCATAGGAGTTGAACTTGCCGCTAAACCATGTTTGATTTTCCTCGACGAACCCACGAGTGGTCTTGACTCACAAAGCTCGTGGGCAATCATAAAATTCCTCCGAAAACTCGCAAACAGTGGCCAGGCAGTGCTGTCAACGATCCACCAACCGAGTTCCGTACTCTTCCAGGAATTCGACAATCTACTGTTCCTTGCCAAAGGTGGAAGACCAGTGTACTTCGGAGCTATAGGCCCGAACTCCGAGATCATGCTCCATTACTTCTCGAGTCACGGTGCTAGGCCCTGTGCGGCGCAAGAAAACCCTGCAGAGTACATCCTTGAAACGGTGACTCTTGGGGCGAGTGGGCAGACCAGTCTCGATTGGCCTGGAATTTGGAGATCGAGTGACGAGACCAAAGAGATGACCAAGGAACTGGATCGAATTCACCACAATACGAGTCTTGGTGAGGCGAAAGATGACACGAGCAACACAGGCGAGTTCGCCATGCCTTTCTTCATTCAAGTCCGCCGCTGCACCATCAGGATCTTTCAACAGTACTGGCGGACCCCCTCTTATATTTGGGGCAAGGCGGTCCTCGGGCTCGCCTCAGCATTGTATGTTCGCGGACGATACATGAATTGAAGTATTCGACTAACAGCAACCAGATTTATCGGCTTCTCATTCTTTCATTCTAATGATTCATTGCAGGGCATGCAAAACGTAGTTTTCAGTCTGTTCATGCTAACCTCAATTCTGAGTTCCATGGTCCAGCAGGTGCGTCCACTATCACTTTGGGTATTTGGATATATCTAACAAATGCTAGATCATGCCACGATTCGTAATGCAAAGATCACTTTATGAGGCTAGTATATTCTTTCGCGACGTCTAAGGAAGGCTGGCACTAACTACGTGATTAGGTCCGAGAACGCCCTTCGAAGATTTACTCGTGGGTTGCCTTTATGATCGCCAACGTTCTGGTGGAGCTGTTCTACCAAGTTCTTGTTGGAGTCCTAGTTTACCTCTGTTACTACTACGCGACATTCGGGTACGTATACGAATGCGAATCTCGTTGTAACGGGTTACGTCAACTGACGGTTCGCAGAATTCAATCCTCTGAACGCCAAGGCCTCATCTTACTTTTCTGCGTCGAGATCTTCATCTTCGCTAGCACCTTTGCGCAAATGGTCATAGTTGCACTCCCTGACGCACAGACAGCGGGGGCTCTTGCCACCCTACTCTTCTCATTGACCATGATTTTTAACGGGTAGGGTAGACTGTTCTGGCGATAACAGCGACATGAGGCTAATAGTACATCAGTGTCTTCCAGCCGCCACAAGCCTTACCGGGCTTCTGGATCTTTATGTATCGTCTGAGTCCTCTGACTTATATCATTGGGGGCCTTGCTGCTACAGGTCTTAGTGGACGACCCGTTGTGTGTTCCACAACCGAATTGAAGGTCTTCCAACCGCCCAATGGGCAAACTTGCGGCCAGTATCTGAGAACATACCTTATGGAAGCACCCGGCCAGCTCACCAATCCTAATGCCATGGCCAACTGCTCGTACTGTCAGCTCAAGAATGCTGATCAGTTTTTGGCAGAGTCCGAGATCGCATGGAATGACAGATGGCGCAATTTTGGCATTGTCTGGGCCTACATCTGCTTCAACATCGCAGCTGCAATGATGCTCTACTACGTATTTCGCATATCAAAGTGGAAGCCAGCGACTTTGGAGCAACGTAAGCAGCGCTGGGGGCGTATTGGCAGCTGGATGGGAAGGACCGGGCTTTGGATCCAACTCTTGATATTGGGATTAATCGGTCAGGCTTTTTCGCGCTAAGACAAGACTGAAAATACCGTGTACCGCGTCGAATGAGACGACAAGGACACTTGATGAGTTTATCATGCTGAGTACGTACCGAACGGAATTCAATGTTTTCGAAAGTGATTACAGGCAGATGAAAATTGTCAGTGGTATTTAGTATCTCACCGTCGAAAGTAATGAAAGTCTGCGTACAATCAGAGGATAGGAAGTAGCCGTGCACTGGCTGAATGTATACTACAGATAACACCATTTCAACCTCAGCATTCTACAAATTTTGGACCTTACGGGCTATCACTCCTCAAGTCGTGAATGTTCCCTTTCCCGCTACAGGCCATCACCGTCATCACTGTACCAGCCCGAGCTCCATGTCGCCTATTTTTGACTAGAGTCAGAGACATATGTTACGAGACGCTCGATGTTCATCTTGCGTCTACTGATTCTTTGACGGTTCACAGCCTACCACGAGCAACCTCACAAGCATTCGCTGCGCAGTTTCTGGTCGCTGGCACGGCTGTGTGCACCCATCCAGAACAGCCGCTCTTGATCGGCCCACCATTCCGTCGCTAGTTGAGACCAGCAAGGGTAGATATTGCCGACGTCGCTGCATCGTCCGAGCTACCCTTACTAGCTTAGCCGATGCGTAGATGGACAACACCGGAAAGTGTAGCTCACTGCTGGGGCCAGCACGCGGCGCCATGTGCCCCGGAAAGCGGCCGGAACGGAAGGCGGCCGGAACTGGTACGAGGCTGGGCTACCCCTGAAGCGAAAGTGACCATCTAAGGTCCTGCCTTATCCATTGCTTCGTGAACTGGCGTAAATAAAACCCTCAAGAAGTACTGAATAGGCATCGGTCGGACGAGGCAGTCTAGTAGGCCGTTATCCAGTAATTACTTCTTTGACGGTCAGCTACTAGCTAGAGAGGCTTAGTAAGCGACAGTAATGAGTATAAGGTACCAAGTACCTTTATGGTAGGCTAGTAAGGCGATAATAATAGTCACCCAAATTGAAATTTAAGTCATGCTATAGATATAGTTAGAAAAAGAGCTAAAGATAAATTTCGGGCTTTTAAAAGGCTATCGCAGCATCGTGACTAGCTGCAATATTTTCTAAGTTAAACCTAAGTCGAAAGAACTATCCGATTCTGGATGGTTCTTATAGTTGATACAAACATACGACAGAAATAATGTAATTGTCCACAAAACGTAAGTCGCTGTTCCCCATTCACGATACCTGTTGAAGAATACCATAGACAATGTCCCAACCGGGCTGTGAATCGGGATGCGGCCATATTTGTTACCGACAGATGTTGCAGGAATAACAATCTGGTTGGGACACTTCGACTCAGCGGCTCCCTTGCCTGCTCCCAGTTCCAGTTCCAAGCATCTGCACGGAATTTAGATGACAAGGCTATACGCAGCTGAATGCTGGTCACCCGACCTCGATAGCGTCAGTGCTGTGTGAAGCAACTCATATTCGTATTCGTCCATAAGGCTGTCCACAGCTGGCTTGTCGCCTCATGCTTGAGAGGATTGCATTAGACCGAAGACTCGGTCTCGGATCGAAAGTGCGGTGTTCGCGGCGAGGTATTTCTATTGATATGCCAGACGAGATAATTATCCGCAACGATTACTATACGATCAATCAATTGCACTACATGAACTGAAAAAAGGAAGACTCACCAACGAAGAAGGTCAAAACTACCGTGGGTATCAGCCAAGAAGAAAGGATGTAGTTTCTGAAAGCCACGGTGTTGGTGTGTATGACTGGAAGGAGGCAAAGGCCAATCCCAGCAGAAAATCGAGTGACAACGGAGGCCATCTCGGCCCAAGCGATGTGCCTCTTACCACACCAGTATAGTACGCCTAGCGTGATCAGGACACAGCCAGCGCCGATGAAGAAGAAGTAGAAGACGGTAACGAACAGGTCGATAGCCTCCGGTGGTTGGATTGGTCTGAGGGCTTCATATGGCAGAGCCGATGTCTCGTTTTGGGTGTCTGGAATAGCCATGCAAGTAGATATGTCCAGATTCAAGGCTTTTGGAAGTCGGTTCGCATGCAGGTATCGCTCTACTAGCGTCCACCAAAGAATGAATTTGGAACTGCCTTCCACGGTGAGTAGAATAGCGACGTGAAGTGGATAATGGAGGAGAGTCCAAATCTGTACTCCGATGGTTCCGAATCTATCTGGGTCAATCTGATCAAAGTAGAGCACCCACAGAAAGAACTATTAATAGGGTCAACACCTTAGATTTCTCGAAGACCATTCAAGTACAGATCACTTACCACGAGGAAGCCACCAGCGACAATAGTACCAAGATCACTGCTCGTGATGTCTCCAGATTTAGTCAATATCTTCGCCACAGACTTGGTTAGACCAATGATCCCTTCTCCCATGATGATCAAAGTTAGGAGACCGATGCGTTCAACGAGGTGCGTGTGCTTAAAACTTAGAACACGCCAGATACTGGATACGATGACAACAACTATCGCTTCGATGAAGCAGACAATATACCTGTGACTGGTAAGTGATGACGCTATGTGAGAGAGAGGAGAATCCGACGTACCACCCGATGTACGCGTGGTTTGAACCTTGATCAGTAAACGCGAAGAAAAGGCCTAAAAAGACCATGGCCGAGGTGAACAGCATTGCCATAATTAAAGCCAGTGGCACAATCGTCTTCGGATACTCTTTAACGTACCAAAGCACCATAGCATACTGCATCACTAGAAAGAAACGTGATGCCATAAGAATGAGACTTAGGCTTCGAAAGCATACAGGTACATAGCCTTCCTTGCCAGTATCAAATAATGGACCGGCAACAGCAAAGCCAATCATTACGCCGAACGACAAGGCGTAAAATATCCGGGAGCAGATGGAGTCGGTTGAGAAACGAACATCGTATAACGAGGTTTGAAGCCATGTGAACCAAAGCAGTGTGAAAAAGCCGATATAGGACCCCAGAGCTGCTGTTCATCAGCGTGTATCTTCAAGGACTTGCAAAGACTTACCCTGAGCGTTTTCGATGTCGTGATTCGCAGTGAATGTCGCGAGGTTGGCGACAAAGAACAGGTCAGAGAATAGTTCGATACTGTTAGCTTCATGGTGTTCCCTAAATAGAGGGGTAGCTGGCACGAGATTGTATGGTTCGTTGCGTTCAGATGAATCTGGTGATGACCTTCCCACAACCTCATTGAGAGGCGATTTGATCCATGGCATGGGCCTGCTGCTGGGCGTGTAATCGGTCGCAATAGATTGATGTAGAGTCTGAGAACGCTCCATTTTGGAAAGTAGCACCCGCCTGCCGGACACGGAGACGCAGACGTGGTACGACGTTGGACGGAATGGAGTTGCTTTAGGGAGAGGTTACAGACGGCGTAATGCTACTTTTATCCTGTTTAAATGGCTTGGCGCCGCTGGTTAACTCGCCCTGGCTAGGATCTAGGGAAAGAAGGAGTACGCCGGTCAGCAAAGGATGGGTTTGGTCGACCCTGGATATCTCTATCAGAATCGTAGTATGATTCCTGATCTTGAGTTGGCAGCCGCAGAAAAGAAGAGTTTTGAGTGTTTTGCGACTTTCATGCCGCGGTTGTCAATGATTCGGACCGCGAGATATTCGATCTTTCGTCGTGTTGGTGGGCTCATTTGTGCCGCATTTGTTGCCGACATACTGGGCTAATACTTATTCCATTTGAATCGAGCCAACGCCAGCTCAACCGGACGTATCGTATATGTCAAGGTCATTGTCGGCATCAGCACGGCTTTTTCGTGGGTCCTATGTACCACACGCTTCAAGTAGAAACTCCAGATATGATGCTTCATTTTCTATCCTGAATCATATCGAAGTGCACCTCAGACAATTTTAAGGGAAGTGATGGAATCCGCCGCCTCCCCACGCTTGGACTTCGAAGGCCAAGCTTCCGCCTTCGTCCTTCATGGGCATATGCACTTCAAAACCATGAAGCCGATATGTACACGTACATCTTTCGATGTAACAGGGTATCTCTTCCACTCTGCGTCTGGGTTGCTATCGTGGTTAGACTCCTGAGGCGCGTGTAGTGAGCAGGTCTGGACAAGAATTAGGTCGTTGGTCTCCCTCGTCATCATCTTCAGTATCGGAGTTGACTTCAATGATCGTGATATTGATAGTTGGATCGAGCTCTTCCTCCTCCGATTCGTCTTCAGAGGAGGAAGCACTTTCAGGGACCCAGGCGTGCTCAGCTTCCCCAGCCATGATTTTCGTGTGTTGATACCTATCTTCTTCCTCTTCCTGTAGTTCGTCGAAAATGTTATGGAAGCATTCCTTGGGCTCCTGCTTGGCGTTCTCGAGCTCGAAAATCAGCGAGTCAAGCATATTAGCGTGTCCTACGACGAGTCTGAGATCGTGGTCAGGTCGGGCAGCCTCCCTTGCGAGCTTCGCGCCTGCACTGTAGGCGAGGGAGTATATTTGAGCAACACTCATCTTCTGCTTGCTTTGAGGAGATTGGGGGAATTTTGAATGCCGCAGTGCCTTAGTATCCGCTGCAGAAATCGGTGCCTCAACTGAAGGCGTTGTAGTTTCCCTTTCCTCGCTAATTGTGGTTATTGCTGTGTTCCAGAGACCATTACGGACACTTGCAGTTTCGATGTGGTATAGTGGCTTCTCTGACCACCTCCGCAAAGGCAATCGCCCTGAATCGGGAGTCAGAAGTACCATTTCTAGAGTCGAGACGGCGATCTATGTCAATGAGGGTTCTTTGGTGCGACGCCGCTATCCTTGGATATTGGGGTTGTAATTTCCAGTCAGTTCAGTTTCCTGACTCCTGGTAATGAGCTGGTTGCTTGGCTCTTTGGGTTCAGTGTGTCCTCAAAGCCCACTTCGCAGGCGACCATGAATGGTCGTTTCATGATTTTCCTGCACTAGTGTACCAAGTGCAGCTGATGGCAGAGTGCATGATGGTATGAGTACATAGGCTGCATGAGTGGAAACAAACGGGCACTCTCCAATCTGGAGTATACAGAAAAACTATACAAGTGCAATTCATTAGGAGCTGAGGAACACTGCCAAGGCATTGATGCAATACGAGGACACGAGCTGAGTATCACGCAAAAGGGTGGTTCTAGACCTTCGACGCCAACCTCAATCCAATATTTTACGGACGCATTACCACGGGCCGCCCGCACAATGAAATCTCGTGGAACCAGCCTGAGATCGCCCCGCACTTCTTTGAGGCAGCTTCTACTGTATGTGTGCGCATGCGGCTAATGCTAGCTACTGTTCTGAGTGAGCTGCTCATAGTTTCGTCCACGCATAGCGCCGTCGCCACAGGAATTATAGCTAGGGTAAACGTAGTTGCATAGCGAGTGGACCATCATAGCGAGTGGACCATCATAGCGAGTGGACCATCATAGCGAGTGGACCATCATAGCGAGTGGACCATCATAGCGAGTGGACCACCATAGCGAGTGGACCTAACCCAGTTCCTTAATCGGACCACTATAATCTTTTCCATCTAGTGGGTAGGGGATTAAGGATGGAATAATTTCAACGAAATGGCACTTCTTCACCCCGCGGCAGTGTCGCACTAATTGGTCGTAGCCAAGGTCTAAAGCTTCTAGCCGCTTGGCGCAGACAGCAGGACGTAGGTCGCAAACGTTCAATTGCTCGCGTACTCACCTTCCTTGCAGGAGAGGCGAGCTACGCCTTACATTAGTGAATAAGGTGCTTGTCATGCGTAGAAGTAAACTCGTACTGTATTCCGTAACAGTAAGTCTCCTTCATCAGCAGACATGAGCGACGGCACGCAGAAGCATTCCTGGGTTTTGCATTACCACGGTGGCAGTCTGGTCCAGGCTCAACCTGGACATCTCTCTACCCTGTAAAAACGTCCGGGGAGAAACGATATCACGCGACTGAACGCCCATGATCCAGCTCCGGCCGCCTTCCGGAATGGCTCCCAATGGATGTGGCGTTATTGTCATGGCTTACAGCTCGCGAGCATTCTCTTGTAAGCATTCCCTGCTCGTCGAGTAGAGTCTCAATCCAGGTTGACAGGACTCTTGTAGGTGGGAGTCCGCCTATGGACGTAACCAGCTGATGGCTTGTCCCCTGTGCACAAAGCCTTGGTTGCCTGCCCAATGTCAAAGGGATAACCTGGACAAGGACGCGGGCTCGATGTCGGAACCAGACGGGCATATTTAAACGTCCCGGAACAGGTCCGGTGGATTCGACGCGTTAAATTCATCCTTGTCGTGTGGGTGCTTGATTACCATATCGGATAGTGGCATTCACCACTGACGGTGGAGCGAACGAAAGACGAAGACAATGAGATCGCTTGTGGCTCCAAATGCTCGAAACCATGCGTTCTACGTCGGAAGCACCGATCTCACAGACCACCAGGTTCTCCACAAACAAAGAAGATGGTGTACAGTGCTAGGGACACTTGCAGTGATTTCGGCTTGTTGCTTTTTCCTTCTCTCACCAGATGCTCTCCTTCTCCCTTCGATTATGGCCTAGAAGACCACGTCCCTACCTCCTGAGGCACATTAGCGTTAGAATAGCGTTCCCCGCGCCAGACATAAGAGCTAGATATTAATGCTATCATCATCAAATCCAAATCTGAACGGCACACACTCCGAAGATGAATGAAACAGCCAGAAAATTTGCTGCCCCGTACGATTTTATTCCTCCACTCGTCGTTGCGTTTGATCCTCCGCTGCTCGTCGCGTTCTGTGGCGTCTCGACCAATTGGGGATCGTAGAGCCCGGGGAAAGTATCGTTGATGGTGCCATTCCAACAATACGTAGAAAAGCAATGCTGGCAAGTCGCCGGAATTGCGACACCTGTTCTCTCAAGGCTTCTGCTAAGAATTGCACAGCCGACACACGTTTGCCACTCCTCGTCGACTGTCCCGTTCGCCATTGTTGCAACATTGTACCCGTTTTGGACAATCCCGTCACGCTCCGTGTCGTTATATTCAAGGTCAAAAGTAGAGACGTTCGAAAAATAAGAATAGGGCGAGTTAGGGAGGTACACGATGAGCGGACCAACGCCTGTCATGTTTTTCGAGTCGCAGCCGAAGAATGTGGGTTTTGAATTGAGCCCCAAATTGACGAATGTGCTTTGATCTGGGATCGAAGGGAAGGCCGCGGTGCCATTGTCCGTCGAAATTAGACTTCGTCGATAAGTTGCAACTATGCTTGTGCCGTTTGGCCAACGGGTCTCGACGTCTGCTGAGCTGTCAATAGCGAATATTACGTCGACCTCTCTGCTAGACTGAAGAAGCGGATGGAAGGGTATATTTTGGAGATCTTCACCTCCATCAACTAAAACCAACGTAGTCGATTCCGCGCTAGGGTTTGTTTCGACGTTATATTGGTGGAACGGGTTGGGGGAATACAGCGAAATGTCGTTATTGTCCTCGCCAATTTCCTCAAGTATTTGGGTAATTGCTTCCGTTAGTATAGAAGATTGGTTCGACCCATTGAGTACTAGGAAGCCCTGGTTGAATAGGGATGAAGAAGTTCCCATGACAAATCCAGCATTGTCGAATCCGCGGACGCATAAGGTATTCTGTTGTAGCTTGCCAGCGGAGAAGTTCGACCCGAGATACATTAAGGGAACGAACCCGTAGCTCCTAGGATCGAATGTACCGAGTTCCCAAGGGTTAAATTCATATATCGGTGTGTTTGAGGCTGTGCGAGGTATGTGAGCATTCTAGACTGTATTTCCACTCGTGTAACTACTTACCAATCGCTAATTGGTCTGGTGTTCGTTCGACCGCTATAACGAGTGGCAAAGGCATCTGGCCCTCTATAAACTCAGGTTGAAGGGCTATAGATGACCACGTATAGCTTAGACCTCCATCCGTGGTGTTGATAAACTGATATGATAATGATCGGCCCCTATTAAAAGTAAATTTCCACAGTATTAGAGGATGTAGACCGGTCCTGACCAGTAGTCGGTGATGGAAGTATTAAACCCAGCATCTTCCTTATCGGTAATATCGTTCACCAGTGTCCTCCAGTAATTTGAAATTGTAGCCGGTCCTTCCAAGACAGAGTAGTCCAAGTCCCATAGTGTTCCCGTGTTGTCACTTAGCAAAGCTGGGACGGTGGTGAAGTTATTCATATACAGGGAACCCAAAAGCCAGGAGCCACCACTTAACCCAGAAATGTATGTAGTAGCTTGCAAGAGCCCGCCGAGATGACCCACTCCAGTGGAATTTGCTGTCCGGGAGTCGTAGGCAGCGACCGCACCAGCGCCGTTCATCATTGCCCTGTAACCACCGCCCGATACTGCGATGCCTATGTTTGGCAAAGCAGATACATTTTTGGCTTGATTGTTGAGGAAACCTGGGGCGTCGAAGTCCTTGACATTGATCCTACTGAACAGATCAATCATAGCTGCTTGTGTCTGATTTCGTCGTTTGGCGAGCCATGATGTTTCATCTGGGGAGAGCGTGCTCCCACTTCGTATGACAGGCTCTGGAGAGGGACATGCGCTTCCTTCTGGTGCATATCCGTTTGGCGCATTCGGTAATGCCCTTCGAGCGACTGCATTGCTGACTTCTATCGATACTGATTCTGCAAAGCCATATGAGCGGGATCCTAAAATTAATGTAAGTGATGGCCATCGGAAGCCCTGTTCAGAGCAGGACACTTCACCTTGACACAAAATTACTATGGCAGCAATCCAAGTGATCGTTCTGAGTATGGGGTATTTCATGATCAGGCGAAGTCAAAATTTTGTGACGAGGCAGCTATTCTCACAAGAAAGTGCTATTGCTTCAAGTTTCCTCGGACATGAGGGGGAAGAAGTTGAAAGAATTTCTCACTTCTCCAACATACCTGCTTAGAAAGTATCATCACTGGAAGGTCGAGCCAAGGGCTTCCTTTCACATTTTCGGCATACTCATAACTCATTGGAGGTCACGAGCTGAAGCTGAAGTGAAGAGCACGAATACGGATACAAAGCCATCCTTTTCCCGGATGAACTCTCCCAGGGTCTGCAGGACTTCGACAGTCTTTTCGTATCGAGACAGGGAAGCCATGCTGGTTCTCAAGACAGAGGAGGATGCGATGAATGTAGAACAAGGTAACCTAAGTGTCGGAGTAAGAGCGGAACCGCAACCGTAAGTTGAGGGTGTGTAGAAAGAATCTGTCAATTTCCGAGCCATGAATTGGCATCGCTTTCTTCAAGGTCTAGGCTGTTGTCATAGCTCATCATTGAGAAAGCCCATTGCTTTGCAGCTAATTCGTATTTCACTTTCGGAGTTCGGACGGAACGGCAGCATAAGCCTGGCTCAGCAATTTTCTAGGACCACCCGTCAGAATAAGACGCGTTGGTTAGTTCTTCCTTTTGCCAGGGTGTTCTGATCCTGAGCTCCTCTGAATGCAACAACAGTTCGCGTGACTTCGTGCGAAGGTCGAAGCAGTCGCCTGTGTTCATTTCAGTTGCCAAAGCTTTAATGCATTGCCTGAGCGCTAGCTTGCTACTAGCACGTGGCGCGGAATTTGCCTCGCGAGGCTCAGCTCGTGGAGCCCATTGCCTCCGAAAACGAAGCTTGTGCAGGCTGCGAGAGGCTCTTGGTTGGGTAGCCTATGGGACAATCATTCAGTCGGTATGGTTTACTCCTGCGGCCATGAATCGGGTCCGATCATTAGCTGTTGTACAGTGGCCCAACTAACGTTACTGAATGCTCGCACCTCACCCCGGACTGGGATATGGTGATGCCGCCCTGTGCTTCCCCGTGCCTCATCAACAGCCAGCGTGTCTTGCTTAAACGTCTCATAATTTGCTCCCATTGTCCTGATAGAGCAAAAGACATTCCTTACACAGGTTGTGTGCCTACATCATTCAGCTCCTGTGACTCGGAAAAGTTCGAGTCCATTGCGCATGCGAAGTCGACCTTCTCAGATGGTACAACCGTCCCCTCATTTCACCTCAGATCCTCCGCTTCGCCCAGAAGACGGACAACCTCAGTTACATCGTCAAGTACGAAAGCAGCACGAAGAGCACCCGGGAAGCAGTGTACTCCCGCAATGATGGCCTCGTGCGCGGTGAGTGGGATTGTGAATTTGGGTGGTCGATACGCGACCAAGGCACCAGAGACTTGCTGGGCCTCTGTTGGGACATCCCAGCGGCGCTGCAGGAAGAAAGGAAACATCATTCGCTCGCTCACTAACTCACTCGTTCACTCACTCGTTCACTCACTCTGTAGCTATAATGCGTCAACGTTCCCTTTGTTCTTGACCTCGTCCTCCTAGCCCCTCTCTAAATCGCTCATCTTATTGATTGACGAATTCATCTGAGTCCGGAAAGACGTCTATGCCTTCTATACTTTCCCCAAGTTCCCTGCCCTCGACTACAGGCTTCTCAGCATCGAGGTACACCAGGACTACCCGCGCCCATTCCGTCTGACTCACGTTTCTCCAGGCGTGATTTGTTGCCCTGTGTACGCATATGTCCCCTCTCCTCATTATCATTGTTTCTGTCGAATCTAACTCGAGCTCTACTTCACCTTCGAGCACAATACTGTAGTCAAGGCTTACAGTCCGGTGCATTGGCGAGGAGACACCGGGCCCTATGTCCATGACTCGTAGTACAGTGCCACCGGAAACTGTAACCTTCGGTGGCGATGCGAACGCGTTTGTATAATCGTCGAGGTCCGCGTCATCTCCGATTGTAACTGGGAAAGACTTAGTCGTATAGGCAAGGAAGAATGACGCCTCAGGGACGTGGCGCCAGAGAGCCTTCGATGGAATAGTCTTGTCAAAGCGGGATATCCCCGACGCCGAGTGCGTCGTGATATAGCGGTGTATTGAGGGGAGCGAATTTTTAGCAGCCATGTGGTCAAGACCTATCGTCGCTCCTCAGCGATGTTCTATAGCGGCGTATTTAGTTCATGAAAGCGTATGAGACAAAAGATACCTACCATCCAAATCCCAATACTGAGAGTTCCGAAGTAGAATCCAATAACAGAACGATCCGCTGTCCGCTGAGATCAGGGTTCATGCTACAGAGGGAATCGCAAGGCGTGGTTAAGAAGATCTCCATTATCTTTATTAAATCGTTTTTAAGGATGCTTTAAGGGCCCCCAAAGTCAGACCTTCAAGCGAGGGACGCCGTAGCTAGTAAGGGGCAAGCATAACGGGATTGTGGAGCCGGAGGTGGGTAAGTCGGTCAACTAGAAGGGCTGCGGAGAATCTAACATAGAAGTTTATTACAAGAATGCAATCGGCACACGCACCCTCCCTCTTGCTTTGTTGACTGTAAGTTTCATCGGCCCGGTCTGGAGCAACCGGAATACGTATCTGGAAGTACATTGGGCCGGCGCAAACTCAAATCGACGACACCACGATAGGATTTTTGGCAACGAATACGGTCCCCCTAGTCTCGCTTGCTAGTTGAAACTAATATAGGTGTGCATCTTAGTAGTAGTTTCAAAGTAAAACAAGGGTAACTCGGGTCTAGCCTGAGCTCACATTGGTCTCCGTCCGAGCCTAGCTCGAGACAGGCTCGGTTTTAGCCCATGCTGACTCACATCCGACTCGATTCCATAGTAGAGAAAATTTCCGTGGATTCTGCAACGGACGCAAATGGATTGCAATTGAGGAGAGATCGACGACAAAGAAGCTGAAAATTACTATTAGTATGCATGACAGAACGTGTCCTCAGCAAAAATGCGGCTGACAAAGTCCAGTGAAAGTCTTAGCGTCCTAGTAGTAGACCGAAAAAAGATCGCAATCCTGAGAAACATCAACTAGAATTCACCTTGGCATCCGGAGCATCTTGACTTAGAACAGTCACAGATCGGGGTTTGTGGACAACGGAAAGGTTCCCGTCTTTCGGGAAAAGAACGAATTTTCAAATTCATATTGCTGCAGCACTTCAAGCTGAATTTTGTTGATGTTTCGGGGTCCTGTGGCATCCGCGGCTCTGCATGTCGTGGGCTTCGGGTTTCCTCGCTCACCCAGACTTTTAGAAAGAGATTCTGAGCTGCGCTGGGGATGGCAGAACCCTGCCTTATGGTATCTGATTGCCGAGGTAACCGCGATGCTTCCCGACGACGATGTTCTCGCGGGGTTGGTACATGGAGAAATTTGGCAATTGGGTTGGTGGCGGAGCGGCATGGGATTCTGCTGAATCGACAACGGTTGCTTTGTGGAATTGCCAATTTTGACCGGCCCTTCCCGTTCCCGCCGTCGACGAGCTCTGAAGCCCCAGTACTCGTAGTACCTGCTCGAACCGAGCTCATGCAGGCACCCGAATCGGCGGAGGCTTTGTCTTCCGAAGCACCGAAATCTTCCCGTCTGGGTCAGAAGGGTGCCTCCAGTAAGTATCATTCTGCGTGTTCGATGGGCTGGCTCCCACCTGGAGTTCTGAAGTCTTGATTCGAATTCATTCTGAACAGTGACACCTGATAAGGCCCAATGCAAAGGATTTGGTCACAGTGTGCCCCTGTTGCAATAGCTGACGTGATTTACCTGCCGTCGGGTGCAGAACGACATCGAGTTTGGCATCGTCCTACCTGAGGCTCCAATAGCCTGATAGCCGTCATCATATGCCAAGGCCTGTCTGCGCACCTCCTTCCCGAACGTCACTTGTCGAGGTCCAAACGCCCATGTCGCACTCAGATCGTAGCACGGGACGGGGCACTCAAGCAAAGAACTGTTCTTTTCAGAGAAAATGAATGCCTTTTGAATCACCACCGCGCCCGCGGCGCAATTGATGTTTAGACCTGTGTTCGCAGGGAGTTGGCAATGCTGTGTAACCGGCTGGAACATCGAGCAGGGCACTGTACTGTCTGACCCCTCCGCAAAGAAGCTTCACCTGAGAATGGGACGGTCGCAGTAGACATTGCATCATGGCAGTACTGAAGTACACAGGGGGTGATATTAGGACAGCGCGATCTGAGGAGCGACTTCATCCTGGACTATGGAAGACGCAAACAACACGCAACAGGATGATTCCGAGGCCAACAGACCATGAATGGCACAATCGCATCACCATAAAGACGTTCATGCAGATCGCGCAGCGCTCATGACAGGTCGATACCATCCTAAGGGAAATTTCGTGCTGCCAATCATAAATCTTGAGAAGACCAAAATGACAGGTGGTGTGTTACAAATATGCTGATCAATGTATGACACCACATGGGTTTGAAGTAGAAAGGGACCACCCCGCATGCTTTCACCAAAGATGCGCTATCATGACAGAAGTTTGTGTCTGTGTAGCAGTACGGCTACATTCGGCAGACCCACACTGACGACGACATCAAAGATCCATCATCAAAGTTTTGCTGCTTGGACGAGCGCGGAACTTCCGGGGCGAGGGTGGGTGTTTGACTGCCCTGCGCAAGGGTCGTGGTCGAACTGCGAGCCGACATGTACTGCTTTCTTCAGAAACCATTCATTGGGAGATACACCGGAAACCATACCAAGATCCAAGTCGACCGTGTGCTGATGGATGTTGTGCGCGCCAACATTGAGGCTTGCCTTGGTCGAAGTCGTGACAGCGGAAGTTGCAGTGTGGGAATCCCGGTCAGACTTCGACGCGACAATGCGAGTAGCGGTCGCGAGCCTGGTGGATCTGTTCGGAGTCGGCATGGTCAATCAAACGGGGGACTGACAATCAGGAATTTTTGGAGGATGTGGTGATGGTTCTGCTAGATTGCTGGATTGTTTGTAATTAGGAGGAGCGGGTGCACTACTGAGTCGAGCAGTATACTAGTATTTTATACCCTCTCGAATGTCACCGTAATGTAACTCCCTACTCAGGGGAAGGCGCTGTACACTCGCGAAAATCTGCCAGAGTCACCGGATAGAATCATGTCGTACCTCATTGCTGAGCTCGAGGTCGCGGAAAGATCCTCAGAAGCACTAGAACGTGCGGGATGAAAGTGATAGGCTGCAGTTCGAGACGCGCAGAACAAGGTGTTACCACCTTTGATGTTGATCCTTCTGGTAGGAAAGTGCCTGGAACACAACCAGGGGCTTAATCGCATGTGCTGCCGACGCTATCAGATGCAGAAACCCAGAGGCCAAAGCAAGTTACTCAGTCCCCTCAAAGGTACCGCGACTCTTGCGTGGTCGAGGGTTGGCAGCCTGATGCGACCTGACTTGCAGCAATGTGGATAGTAGGATGGACGATAGGAACTCCTGAAGACTGCCGTGTAACCGTTTGACATAATGCGTGCATACGCCGTAAGCAGGCATACCCTGGTATACTGTAAGTGAAATGTTGTAAAGCATCGTCAAGTAAGGAGTAAGTTGCGGATAGACGCATTTGACCCATCGAAGCCTCCGCGGATTAGACTCGGTGCTTTGCTGTTGTCAAATTCATCTCACAAGGTGGGCACATCGCACTCAGGCACTTTGGCGTGGGGTTTCAATCCTGTCCAAGAAACCCCAAAAGTACGCAGCGTAAGATTATTCGGGCTACGCGCGGAACAGCGAATCACAGATTCTGACCATGTCGAAGAAGGAAATGCTGCTGAAAGAGACGAAGACCCCAAAGCGATTGCCGTCGGGAGCTAATCAAACATCCCCGAATGCACCTGGCCCGAGGAAGTGGTAATCCCTTAATGATCACTTGCAGCGGGGAAGGAACTCCCGCACGACACGGTCAGTAACTTAGGTCGGCGCCATCGGGAGCCGACGACTCGGCGCATCTGCTCGCTTGTTCCATCGGGCATACCCACGCAGGGCGACAGGCACAGATCGCTGATGTGCCCGTCCTTTGGACGGGATTGCCGTTCTCCGTTGACGAAGGTCGGCCAATGATGTATCGACGTGCATGGCTAGGGAGGACAAGGCGAAATGGTGACTTCAGTAGCTTGCCTACGGCGGTACTGTGGGACATCGGAAGCACCACCTTCCCTCAAACACGGCCAGCAGCATGTCTCGACAGCTCCTCCAAGGCGTCCAGGTAGCGCCGGCCATCGCTACCCTTTTGAAAAAGGTCACTCGCGACCGCATAGAAGTGGAGATTTGCCAACGCTTGCGACTTCGAAAAGATACGCTGCTGTACTTCCAGCGGAGTCGGAATTTCCCAGCACAACATCTAGCATTTGTTTCTGCATTTTGCTTGATCCCACAACGGGACCACTCTGCTGCAGGAGGTCTCGTCTGTCTCCTGCAGCGTAACCAATTATTGATGACCGGTATCCTGATCGAACGATATTTACGAATATCAATCAGGATGGCCTAGAGTAACCTTCCCTGATGAACTCCATTGCTGGGTACCACAGGAAAGCTGTGGTGTGTCATCTTCTCGAGTGGACGGACCAAGACAGACAGATCTTCTGGCTTATGCTCTGGACACATATATCGCAATATCATGCTCCGAAAATTTCCCGTACATTGCATTTTCGTTTACCATCATGCAAGACGCCGCAGGCAATGAGGGTCAAGCGTCCGTCGCCGAAATCCAGCCGCATATATTGCTTGTTATGAGCTAAGTTCGTGTACTCCAGTCCGCGAACCTCAGGCTACTTTCCGTCTTGAGCCCGAGACAGTAACTTTCAGCGGAAATGAGCAGTTGCTTGATAGGTGGGTGCCAAGGTTGTTCCCTGCAAGCACACGGCTTTCTGCTTAATGTCCGGATCAGACAACGGGGTTCAGTCTTGGCTTCATGCGAACGAGCGAGAGGAGTCTCCTTGAAAGATATTCCCAGGTATGGTACTGCGGGCAATTTCCTCTCAATAGCAAACAGCCTGCGACGGCACTACCTGGCCAAAGTGTTTTCGGTAGTTCATTTTGTGCCACCTCATGAAAAGGCAAGAGCTCTGAGTAGCGGTGAGCCGTCTAAGGAAGTTTTTCAGGTTGTACCACGCGGGCGTCTTCGAAGTCTGCTCGTGCAACACCAGTGACAACCACAGGGTTGTCCTGATGGTCCACATCGTGGAGATAGGTACGGAGACGGAAGATAACTCGTGAGAAGTGGAAATCATGAGTCTTTGACCTAGAGGAGATATTAGCTTCGGCTCAAACACAGTCGTGAATCATATTGTACCCTGAAGGAGATGAAGCGATAGATTGCGAAATGGGCTAGATGGTCATACCGATGAGTGACATCGTGCCGGCATTCTCCCGTAAGTCATTCGACTGCAGGGACGAAGACAACGAAAGCATGGGAGATCTCGAGGACGGATACTTGAACGGAAGATGATGTGCAAAAGGCGAACAGACTGTGCGTTCGGTCTCTGCGCACCTTTCAGCTGTGTGGGAGAAACGGTCGTCGCTTCTGCGATCTTCGCTTAGGTGCTGCGCTTGTACCCCGCAGTGCGGCGAGCATCGTTACCTGGCTCGCTAGGTACTGTTTGTAGGCTACCCAAGAAGTACTCGTATTTCCTCCGCAAGACCCTGCAATTACTCGCATAATCTCATCTGTCGAGCGCTCTTCTCGCTGGATTGCAATACGTACTTCAGGCGAATGTCCTGACGGCCGATGTCCTTTTAACGATGTACTTTTGATGGAGACACGCGACCCACCAGTCCACATTTCATCGGTCCATCCTCCCAAGAGCCTCGCTTATCACCGCGAAAGCACTGCCGAGGGCCACCAGCTCCGCAGCTCCAAACCTTCAAACAAAACAAAGTTTGCACTGTAGCCATCAACCATCTCCTGAGCATGAAAGAATGACGCATTTCCGCAACCAACAAACAACATCCACCGAGGCAACAGGAAGGGTCGTTAGATCGAAAAGATGGTGATATCAGGGAGGGCCGCCAGTGCTGCGGCCACAAAGGTTCAAGCAAGTCATTGGCCGCACCGTTGATACAGGATTTGAGGGAGCTTCGCGGCCGCAACTTGTCAAACAGCCTCACCAGCAGCTGCGGCCGAGGACGGGCAGGTCTGATGTCGAACCACCATTGGACATGGCACAGTTTGATGGTCCGTTTAGACAGCTTGTTCGAATTGACCTCCGATAAAAGCTGTAAGCGGTCAGCAACCTATACCTTCCGAGTGGATGTATCACCCTCACCCAGATTGCCGTCTTGGAGATTCGTCGATGTAGGCAGAAACTGTCCATCGGGTTCAAGAATTGTCAGGATAGCGTCAAGCTGCGCAGTCAAGGATCTTCTTCCAACCCGTCTGGTCTCGTGGTTCGAAAGACCAAGTGTCAACGGGTCCATGGTGTCAGCCGAACTTGCAAAAACATCAAGCATGAAGGATGAGTTGGTGCCGGGAATCCTTTCAGGTCGCCTTTCTGAGTATCGCAAGATGGCGGTGCCAAATCTCAAGACCGAGATAGCAGACATATTGGACGACTGCTTCCAGGTGTATAGTTGAAAGTTTGTTGGGACGAAAGTCCGGAAAACAAGAAATTCAGCTTTCGAACTCCAGAAGGATGAGAGGCGGCTGCGGACATACTCAGGACAAGAAGCAGGCATTATAGGAATAATGAACAAGCCAGACAGTGCGGACGGTGGCAGACTGGACCAGGTCGTTTGATTCTGGTGAACGGCTCGTTCCATCCTGAAAGAGCGGTGAAAAGCACTGATAAATCTCGAGGCCAATTCAACGGAGCCACGTTATTGCAGCATTCGAATACCAAGACGTGCCTGGTATGTTTTGGATGACAAGTGTTGCACGATCGTGCCTGGTTCATGCCCAATGGCTCGCTTGCAGGACGAGACTTAAGGCTCCCGGTCAGTCTTAACCCAGGCGAACTCTAGTCCCGCATGTGAGCATGACACGAGCTGGAGACTTTCTGATACTTGCTTGTAGAGATAGCCAGGATCATGTTAATTTAGGTCAACCTTATTCGGAGGCTTCAAGGCGGTTTGGTGGCTCTGATAGCACGCTTAGTCTGCAGACCATGGCTTGCTCCTCCACATCTGCATATTCGCTGACAGGGGTAGGTGAATAAGCGGAAACCACTATGATGAGGTGGAAGTGTACGTATAGCGTCGACTGAGGAGAGCTACCCGCACGGAGCGCAAGTCCGTCTCTCGTACGATTGAGCCAGTGGCGTTCAGAAGAACTTCCTCGATTGAAGTTCAGTGGTAGTGCAATTTGACGGCTTCGGATCGTCCTATGTCACTCATCCACCGATGGTGACGAGACAACCTTGCTGCGGCCTGGAAACTGCATACATCCGAATGGGTTGGGTATCGAGCCGCATGGTAGAATATGGTTGGCTGGGAGGTCGGGTTAGTAGAGAGGCTTGCCAGGGTCAGTCAGTCAGACCACCCTTCAGGCGTTGACTTGTGGCGGACAAAGAAAGGGCCCAGTCTGCCTAACGGCTCGGTTATCTCCTCAATGCTATAGCGTTGTGCTTTCCCATCCGGCGGTGAATGGAGGCACCTGTTCATCCCGACAGCAGAGGCAGTAGGTCGATGCCAGCAGAGCATGATCTGGGGCCAGGAATGTGGCCAGTGAAGGCTGTCTCCCTTTGAAGACGCATTACGCCGAGACTCCTGAAAATTGACGAAAAGAAGACAGTCAGACCCTTGCCTGCATAATGTGAACAGTATCCTTGCTGAGAACATGTCAGTGCTGCAGACTCACTCCTGATCCTGAGGCTCTGGTGCGCAGGTAAAAGCCGCTGGTGGTTGCAAAGCGCACCCACGCCCGAGCATTAGTGGGCGTCACAAGGGCTCAGGAAAAACAGGGCTGCATGTTTGGCTCCATATGGCACGGTCCGAATGCATCGACTGCGCTCAATCCTTGACGTTGGCGCTATCGTAAAGAGACCCTTGCAGCAGCGTAAGCTGGAGCACCCGGGCAAGGATACCATCGTCGCGAACCAACCAAGACCCTGTTGCGCTTGGCGTGGGACATGAGCCTCACCCAGGCCTGATAGGGAAATCCGACTTAATGGGGCAAGACGCAGGCCGCGAAGGGTTGCTTACTTTCCCTGTAACACTCAGTTGGTGATGATGGATGACATGAACGATGTTATGAAATTTCCAAGAGCCGGGTGTAGACTGACGCATTGATCAAGTCCCAAGGTGCAGCCCAGCGGACACAATCACGGAGAAGCTGGCCGACTCCTTAGTCGGATGTAGGGGTTGCAGAATGCTTCCAGAATGCAACAGCCACCCAACAGCCTTGTCAAGTCTTCGGCCAGGTGAAGATCGGGACCTCCGCTTTGCGGATGGCTTTGCATTAGCGCAAGCAAAGACCAGGGAAAGCAAAGACCAGGGATGAGACGGACAAGATCAACAAATGCAACCCACCCTTGGGTTGGTGCGCATGCAATTAAATTGAGGCTGCATGCACACCAGCGACTTCCGATTCACACACGGGGAACAGTGTTGTCCTTGACGGTTGACCTCGCAGGATGAGGCGCTGTGGCTTGTCTAGCCTGACCCCTCTTCTCAGCGCTTCCAGGCGTATGGATGGAGCTGAGCCCCTTGTACCGCATGCGGTCCAGGTATCTGAGAGGAGCGAGTGCCAATTTCGTCATGTGCATGGTTTGGTCTTTAAACTCGCACGTAGCAAGTGAGCATACTGTGATGTGACCCAGCAAGTAGCATCGTATTGAGCCTGCTCGGCTCCAAGTCACTTTCTCGTGACTTGCCGTTGCTCATACGCCGGCAACTAGACTCGCCTGGTAGACTTGAAGGGCTCAACAGTGCCCAGCAGCCTCTCTCGATGTGCAGCGAGCTCCATAAGAAGGCTAGTGGTAGGTGCTCAAGCCAGCTTTCAGGATGCCTGGTCGTGCGAAAACAAGCAGAGCTACCCCGAACTTCCGCTTCTCATGCATCGACTCTCAGTGGCTGGTGCAGCTGGAGACTGCACGTGACTTGGGGTGTACGGGCTTCTCGAAAGCACGCACTGCACGTCGCAATGCTCCACCCCCGGCTTCATCTCCATATCTTAGCCTCATACAATGTTGACGGCGGAGCGATTCATGAACCTCTGCTGAGAATAGTCAATGTTAACCCACAATGCCATCCTTGTTTGGTGTGGCCGCCCCCAGCGCGCCCAGATTATTATGCTGGATTCCTGGTCAAGTCCATTGAGAAGTTGTCGAAAGTCACTCTTGTTTTGGGAGTATGTAATCTCCAAACGAGTGTCGAGGCAGTATAAGCATGAGGCGCCCTTGAGCATGGACGCGTACCTTCCCGGGGAAGGAAATAAGCAATCAAGCTGAAGTGCGATTTTCCAGTGCAAGGACCACCTGTCAAAATAACAGCATTGCAGCTTCCGTTGTCGAGAGTGAACCCATCAACCTGTCAGGCAAGTGCTCACACCTTGGATGTTGACCTTCGAACCTATTCTCATCTCGCACTCCTACTTCAAATCATAACCTTGCCTCTGTTGTGTTTGTGTATGTTTTCTTGTGCATGCGGTACTCGTTGTTGATCCTGTGTGCCTTTGCCACCTACTCTCTTAATCCCGACTGCGTATAAATAGCAGTGCCTTTCATCGCCTTCTCTTCCTTTGACCATGTCAGACCCCTCCCGCTTGGACGACGACCCACAGCAATCGCGCCATAGAAGAACTGAATTGAGCCGCGCGAATACCACTGGAGAGGATACGAGCCTTTTCCACGAAATCCACGAGACACTTCGTCGATTGCTGCAGCACATGGTCTTCGTTGCTTTGCTGACTCTTCGACTGTATATGCTTCCACTGCTGTATATATCGCACAAACTCGCGTCACTTGACGATCCCTGGTATCCTGCATCCTGGAATTTCATCCTCTACCCGGGTAGAAGTGCGGTAGATTGCGGTTGTTGCAGGAAAAGAGAAGGGAGCGGGTTTTTGAGCGCGGTATGGTGTGAACTCAGCCGTGGCTTCGCATCACGTCTTCGCACATCGAGGTATCTTTATTTGCTGGGCAAAATCCTCGGAGAAGATCCCGGCATCCTCCAATCTGCTCCGGCCTTATCCCTGGGTAACGCAGTGGTTGACGTCCAAAGCGAGCTAGACAGTCAACAGCAGGTCCCCGACACTCACTCCAATGAACCCCAACCTGAAGTGTCTGCAAGTGCCTCTGAGGTATATCACGCCGCTCTTGTCAATGGGACCACTCTGGACGACATCCTAGCGGCATTCGAGGCAGAAGAGGATGTCTCCGAAGCAGAAGGCAGCTATATGGACGTGTCGTCGAACTCCGCATCGAAACCCATTGTCGACCAACAAGAACGCGACGTCGAACTCGATACGCATCAATACGAAGAGGTCAGCATACAGGCCATACCGGAAAAGCAGATCGCGCCCGAAGAGGCAGAAGAGAGTACCGTCTCACAGCCTGTGGCGACAGGAAAGGAAAATTTCCAACAGCAGCGGAAAATTCCGACCAAGGATGTTGAAGCTGCAAATCGAGGAGTCTTCGCCAACGACGAAGATGCTCATATGGGCCAAGCCCCTTCGTGCTATCGTACATCCTGTACTGATCATGTCAACTTTGACACGGGTGGGAGGCAGAAGCGAGAGAGCTCGGCGAATTTCAAACGCTGCCCGACGTTCGTCCGAAGACATGCTCAAACGCATATACCAAGAGGATCTGTGAGTAGCGAAAGACATTCACTGGCTGTACTGCATGACAGAGCTATGATGTCGTCACCAGCGCTTGGTCTTAGCTCCCCAACGAAGCGAGCAAGACTGCAGCGGAAGGTCGTGGTCTACCAGGACACAGAGAAAGCAGTGATGCCTGGTTGACCGAAGGGCCACGGTTGTGCTCTTGTCGCTCATGCGATAGACCTTGGATCCGCGATCAGGCTCTGATCGGCTGAGGATGGCATGAAATCAATGCGGCGGCGTCCGCCCGTCCGACTAGAGTGGCGGTGGTGGTGGTCGTGGAAATGAACGATCGCAGAGGCTGCCTGCGAAAACGGTCGTTTGGTGGTTATATGCGGCAAATCCGAATTCACACTTTCGCGGAAGACACATAATTTTCTGTCGCTTTCTGTACTTACCGTCGAGCAATGGGCGTTGTCTTTTGCGCTTTGGAGGATTGCGAAGAGCGCGTGCTCACAAGACATAGTCTGGGAACCACCATAAACCTGATCCGTTGAAGGTTTTCTAGCATTTTCATGGAGTATCAAAGAGAATAGGATTCCGGACTGGTCTTCTGCTCTCATCTTTTCAAAGCGCCACTCTCGGATCCATCGCATGATGTAGTAATATGACTTGTGAGGGCCGCGAACAGACGGGCTCTCAATGGGACAGTCGGAGCAGAGACTTCAAGATAGTGGTTGCCTAGGTCGCCAATAGTGGTTGTCCAAGCGTATATGCATGTCTGAATGAACAGAGGTCATGCAGATCGCGCCATATCGGATTCGCATTCTGGCGACTAAAAAATTAACACAAACGGAGCGGTTTCTTCCCTGAAGAGTTTGAGAATCTTCATCACGACGCGCCAAGACCTTCGAGCGTGGAGGCGATAGCGCGACTCTCCAAGTCCGAAGTGCAAGACCGTGATTTCGACATAATTTGACTGCGGCTTCGACATTACAACTATCTCACCTCCTTCTCTCCTTCATTCTCATTCCTCTTTGCCTTCCGACTGTCTCAGCTCGATCTCTCCCGTCAGTCGACACCTTACTCACTACTGAACTCCACATCGATTGATTTACGCTGCCGCAAACAGCGCAGCCTCAAAGCCGATCATGTGAGTATGCTCTCTCCCCGTTGCGACATAAGTCTGATTTTCTGGATAGGGAGACCTTTGAAAACATCTATCTTGACCTTTCGAAACAGTCCGGACGGTGTAGATTTGCCGAGAGTGGTCTCGGGTGGAAACCCAGCGGCGGCAGCGAACCATTCACATTGGACAGCAATCAGGTTGGCGCAGCACAATGGAGCAGGGCGTCCAAAGGATACGAGATCAAGATCATAACGAGAGACGCCCAAGTCATTCAACTCGATGGATTTGATCAGGAAGACTTCGACCGCGCCGCAAAAGCATTCAAGATCTGGTATGGCATCAATCTAGAAACCAAGGAGCACGCTTTACGAGGGTGGAATTGGGGCAAAGCCGAGTTTGGTAGAGCCGAGCTGGCATTCAGTGTTCAAAACAGACCCGCCTTCGAGATCCCTTACTCCGAAATATCTAATACCAATCTGGCTGGCAAGAACGAGATTGCTGTCGAATTCAACCTTGGCGAAGAGCCTACACAAAACGGTACGAACGGACACAAGGCGGGCAACACCAAGAATCGTGGCCGTAAGGCTGCAGCTGCTCGAGATGAGCTCGTCGAGATGCGCTTCTACATTCCCGGCACAGTCTCAAAGAAGGAAGTAAATGGCGAGGAAGGCAGTGGCGCGGAAGAGGAAGAGGAAGAGGAACAAAATGCCGCCAACTTGTTTTATGAGACCTTGATGGATAAGGCAGAGATTGGGGAAGTCGCCGGTGCCACCTTCGCCACGTTCCAAGACATACTACACCTTACACCCAGGTATGTATCCCCGATTGCCGGGTTACTGCCAGGGTATGTTTTACTGACTATATCTTCAGAGGGCGATTCGATATCGATATGTACGAGAACTCGTTCCGCCTACGAGGCAAAACGTACGACTACAAGATCCAATATTCGTCTATCAAGAAGTTCTTCATTTTACCCAAGAATGATGAGATGCACACCCTCATCACCTTGGGGCTCGATCCACCGCTACGACAGGGTCAGACACGGTATCCATTTATCGTGATGCAGCTCAAGCTCGACGACGAGGTCAATTTGGACTTGAACATGACCGAGGAATTGCTCGAGACAAAGTACAAGGAGAAGCTCGAAGCACATTATGAAGCACCAATCCATCATGTCATCACCAAAGTCTTCAAGGGTCTATCGGGCAAGAAGATCATTATGCCATCCAAGGACTTTGTCAGCCATCACAACATGAACGGAGTTAAGTGCTCCATCAAAGCGAACGAAGGTCTACTTTTCTGCCTCGACAAGAGCTTTATGTTTGTGCCGAAGCCCGCCACATACGTCCCGATCGAATCGATACAGAGTATTACTATGTCCCGCGTAGGAGGAGCTTTGGCAGCTAGCAGGACGTTCGACATCACAATGACGCTGAAGAACGGTCAAGGAGAGCACCAGTTTAGCAACATCAACCGCGAGGAGCAACAGCCCTTGGAAGCATTCTTCCAGGTAGGTCCTTTTTGCCGCTGTTCTTTTGAAATTGCTGACGTGGAGATACAGGCCAAGGGCATTCGCTTCAAGAACGAAATGCTTGATGACTCGTCGACGCTGCTCAAGGCCGCTATGGTTGACCAGGATCTCGCCTCGTCTGACGAAGAGGACGTTGTCAACCGCGGCTCAGCTGATGAGGACGACGAATCTCCTGATGAAGACTTCCAGGCCGACTCTGATAGCGATGTTGCCGAAGAGTATGACTCTGCTCATGAGAGTAGTGGTAGCGATGCTGGAAGTGATGCTGAGATGGCCGATGCTGATGGAGATGGAGATGCCGATGTTGCCAGCGAGGATGAAGAGCAGCAACGGCCCAAGAAGAAAGCAAAGAAATAGATGCGACACGACCTCGTTGACCTTTGGACTGTTAACTGCGGCGCGTCCACAAGCGGTTTAGTTTGGCAATGCTATTCATGCCGAGCCTTCTGTAAAATAATACAAATAGTGAGACGCAGACTCAACACTCCTCGCTTTTCTCTTCTCCTTTCATAATTATATATATCATTCGGGCCGACAAGAGGGTGTCGTGAATGGGCGGGTTTATGTCCTGCCATACTTTAATGGCACTTTGTGAGTGTCCCAATGTCCGCCTTTTTGGCGTTAGTCCTCATCAAGTTTAGCGTTTCTTTAGCGTGGATTCACAGAGTCACGGGAATGAAACTTCTAACCCTGGATGCTGTCGGCGAACTTGCCCATTTGCATCTTGAACCCGCTGACCTGGTCATCTACAAACCAAAGATGCCCTCCAAAACAGTCAAGGCAGCTTCGTCGGCGCCTGTCCGTCGTAGCCGGACAGGCTGTTTGACGTGTCGCCGCCGAAAGCTGAAGTGTGACGAGGTGAGTACAATCTCACTCTTGATTTTGCCGTGACTGACAATCGCGTAAAGGCAACACCAATTTGTGGACAATGCCAAAAGTCGCGCCGACAATGCGACCGCAGCGAAGGTGAGTCTCAAAAGATGATGACATTGAGGCATACTCGAAAATATTGATCAAATTACCAGGACTCACTTTCCGACACCACCAGAACGCCGCCATCGACCGAGATGAGCAAGATCATTCCCTCGGCAGCTTCTTCAAATACAGTCAATCCTACAGTCCAGAAGACCTTCAAAGCTTTTTACCCGTGCCACAGACTTGTAAGGATGTTCGAACAGACAGTGACTTCACAATGAACTGACCGTTATCAGTGACCTGGATTCAAGTTTCTGATCCGAACTCGGAAGATTCGAACGCTGTCACACCTCCGCCGCAGGCACAGGCAACCTCAGATCCATACCAGCAAGTCGCCGCACACACTCTCGAAGCTCTGTCGACTGCAGCAGCGGACCATGTTTCATACCCCCCTCAAGCGACCGCATACTACACGGCAATGGGATCTCAATCAGCACCGCACCCTGAGTATGGCTTCGTGCGACTCGAGAATGACGATGGAACAAGAGAAGGATCTTCAAACAATGCGAACTACATGAATGCACAAGGCCAAAACACGTCCTTGATGATTGATCCAAACTTGGAAACCAGCGTTGCAGACCCCGCTGAGCAGGCTGTGTCTATGGAAGAATCGGCCGATCACACTGGAGCACAAGATGCACATGAAAACGACGGACAAAACAGCCATATCGAGGGAGATGGAATGGGCGACTCCGAGTCGAGAGTTGCAATGGCTCTTCGAACCTTCAATGAGGCATGATCGACGAATGACACTGGAGTTCATATGTACTTATGGCTGGCGATGAATTGTTTTCAGGATGATACCCTCAGGTCAGGCGTCAAGGATGGCCGTATTTTCGCTGTAGAATCAGCTGAAAGTCATACTATTGAACGTTCAACTTTTGCTCGCTTCCTAGCGCTGTGACCCTCCAATACTGCCTCCGTGTCTTACCAGACGTCAACATCATGAATCTGCCACGCGCAGTGTGCACGGCGACTGAGCTCGAAACAATCGATGGTGTCACTCTTCGATTAACATCTCGGAATAGCCAACCAAGAAGTTTGTCGTCTTCAGCAACGAAGGAGGCTCCGTCTCAAATTAATTTCCAGGGGAGCGGACATGGACGGAAGCCACGCGAATCTCCACTGCATAAGTCTCGTGGATAGGTGGAACGCACGCCATGCATGTCTCGCCGGTGGGAGCCGGGAGCCCAATCGCTGGGGCAGGATGATGCGGCCCATTCGATGTAGGCCGCGCAAGCAAGATCGGTTATGAAGCCACGGTAGCATAGCTGCTGGGTCGCTGCTTAGGAGTAGCATCCCAAGCTGACACCGGACTACCCATTAGTAAAAGACGTGAGAGAAGAAAGATATAAGGCGATCCGGCACTCTTGAATTGCAGCCTCTTCCCATCATCACGCACAGTTTCTGTTTGGCAGCTGCATGGTTCCACGACTCGCAGAAGCTCAGCTCCCATGTTTACCAACGAGATCCAAGCCGAGCCTATGATTTCACGCCCGTCAAATTAGGCGACTGTGCTAGACCCAAGGCAGTAAACAACGGGCACAGAAGCGCCTCGTTAGCAGCAAGGTTGGATCGGACGGGTAAACAAGACGTCAGCGGTTGATTGATTGCGTCTCGAGCGTTCCCACCCAGCTCCCAAACCGCCCGGTTTCCAAGCCCAATCTATGATGACGAGAGAGCTCTGGGCGTTGGCGCAGTCATAACCTTTAACGAAACAGGCGCTGGGTCCGCCGGCTTTCCCAAACGATCCCGCAAATCACCAAAGCACGGCCACCACCACTATCACCTGAATAATGATCCAGTAGACGAGATCGGCTTTTTAACGTTTCCACTTCACTCATTCATCTCTAAAGCAAAGCCATCTTTTCGACCTGGTCATATTCACTACGCTCGTTGAAAATCTGCTCTTGCTGTCCGACCCTCTTGCTTTCGTTCAGAATCTTTTCTGCCAATCGCACTGCACCACTGTCTCCGGCCGGTCATTTGTACTTGCAGCTGCGCCGATCTTTTGGAACCTCCATGGCGAATTGAGGAACATATCGCTTTCAGACACCCCCCAAACCGATTCGGTCAAGGCCTCAGCTCCTGCGCTGCACGGCCCTGCCCACCTGCTGTCATTTCAGTCTTCTGGTCTAAGGCCGCAAGAGCCACCCATAATCACAATTCACAACATGGGCCGACTTCGAAAGTTGTCCCAGAGCTTGAAAGCAGCGGCCTTGGGCAACTATTCCAATGACTCGACGCAATCGTTCTCGAGAGCAGCCTCCAACGATCACACTCAGGTAGTCGATAAGGACTCACCTGCTCCGTCCCCAGACCTGACAGCCACGACCTTTTCCGAAACCCCTCCAACAAACCCTCGTCCAGATCGAACTCCTTCTCGACCGACCTCCATGGTCTACACACCGCCGTCGATGGAGATGGGAAGAGACAACCACGTCGAAGAGCTGGTACCAGTCTTTAGGTATGCAGGACATCTCGGTTATATAGGAGTTGTCTAGTGCTGACAAGGCCCTCCAGTTTCCTATCGAGTCATGGCAACAAGCTTTACCAAGAAGGTTCTGACGAAGGATTCCCTCGTGGAGAGAGACCTGGTTACTGATTACCTTTCACAGGCTACTTTCTCAAGCTGAATGATCTCGATACACGTAAGTGTGCATTTGACTGCATCCTTCGAAGACCCTAACATAATGGCAGATGGCCGGCCATATTCCGATCGCAATTGGACAGAATGCTTCGCTCAATTAGTCGGGACGGTACTCTCGCTTTGGGATGCAGCTGCTCTGGATACAGCAGGTCAAGATGGAGAAGTCGCTCCAACATTTATCAACCTGGCGGATGCGTCCATCAAGATGGTATGTCACCCATCCTACAAGCCCACTCTTACTGACCACTGCAGATCGAGACCCTTCCCACCCGCAACCCAGAGGTGGCTCCTCTCCAGAACGTCCTATCCATCTCTACCGCAGGCAAAAATCGATACTTGTTACATTTCAACTCCCTGCATTCTCTGACTCAATGGACAGCTGGAATCCGGTTAGCCATGTTTGAGCATGCCTCTCTGCACGAACTCTATACTGGCTCCTTGATCGCTGGCAAAGGCAAATACTTGAATAATATTCGTACGATTATGGAGAAATCGAGGTTCAGGACAGAAGACTGGGCACGAGTCAGATTTGGCGCGGGCACTCCCTGGAGACGTTGCTGGTGTGTGATTGAACCTCCTGATGAGAAGGAATGGCAGAAGTCGAACAAGTCCCTGAAGAAGAAGTCCGCATACGAGCGACCGTCCAGGCCAAAGGGTCACATCAAGTTCTACGACACAAAGAAGACGAAAAAGGCCACCCCAATAGCCACCATCACCGATGCATATTCCGCCTACGCCATCTATCCTCAAGCAAAGTCACTGATCGACCAGTCCACGCTCGTCAAGGTTGAAGGTCGGATCACGATCCATTCACGACCCGAGTCTAAAACGGAGGGCTTCGTCTTTGTGATGCCTGAGCTTCATGCAGCCGTGTCCGGATTTGAAATGATTCTGCGTTGGTTGTTCCCGGTATACGACACATTCCATCTCTACGGCCGTCCACAGCGGTTGATAGCAGACACTTGGGACACCAGAGGGTTAATGTTTGCCATGCCCAAGGAGCGAAGATATGGCTACATGGACATTATCGATGTCGCAGCATTGATTCACACTCAAGGCAGTGATAAGTGGAGTGAACGAGAATGGCGCAAGCAGTTGAAAGAATCAACTTCTCGGCGTATGGCGATGACTGTGCAGAGTCGGAGAAGCAGCAACCTAGAAGGAAGAGGAGCCGGTAGGACTGCTTCGGAATCGAGGCAAGGTGTGCAATACGATGACAGAGCGTCAATACGCTCCACACCGTCCACTCGACACCAGTATAATCAGTCGACCGACGCAGTTTTTGCGTCACCAAGAAAAACGGCAACGGCTCCAACAAATGGTCCATATCTTGCACCTGGACAGGGCCACCACTCAAGGGCCGTATCAGAGTCAGTGACATACTTGTCTCCAACAAAACAACGTCGGCAAAAGGAGAACTATCAACCGTCTAGGTTATCAACCGAGTTCTCTGAGATGGAGCCCATTCAACCTGCTCCCGTGCCTCCGAATCATCGCAACGGTGCTTTCAAGAACCATGCACTTGTCACCGAGGCCGACTCTCCAGTTAGTCGATACAGTTCCGACAGCGATGGTCAGCCACAGACCAACGCAGAAGATGTTCAAGCTGATGTGAGACAACAAACACCGCCTGCACCTGTAGTGGCGCCGCCCAACTTTCAACACCAGGCAGGTGACGTTCCTCAGAGGAGACCGGATGCCAGGCCAGATCTGAGGCGCGAGAAAAGTCGCATGAGTAATGCCACTTTGTCTCAGATGGCTGACGTGAACAAAGTGGTTAGTGGTGGGGCGGCGGGGCGTGCTGCAATGGTGGCGTGGAATAATGGAAGACAGGGGGAAGAGGATCAGGGGTCTCCGTACCGAGGGGTAAATTCAACACCCCACGATGAGAACGAAATGTCTGCTAATCAACATGCTTCTCAAGCGATGGTAGCAGATGGTGGTGCTTTTACACAAAGCCCAGCTGATATCAGACCAGAATACCCGCAATTTGCCCACGAACAGTCGATGACTCAAAAACCAATCACTCGAAAACCGGTCCCAACGTCAGCATCAACTCTTCTGGCTCCTCCCACGCGCTCAGAGTCTCCCAGCAACATGTCTAGATATTCAGCGTCCAATTACGACAACGACTCCAACGATACCCCGGACTATGATAGTCCTCCCGAAGATCCTAACCCCTCACTCCTCCCAAGACGGAGGAGAACCGGGGTGTTGAGGACCGTTGGCGATCCCAGTTTGGGCAACACAAGCGATCCGCCGGGACAGCCTTCCAAAATTGACATCCCCGCTGTCGACTTTGGCATCACCTACACTCCGACTCTGACTCCAGGACACAGTCGCCCTGCGACTGCGAGTGGCATACTCGACGTACCATCTACGTCCAAACTCCCTCACACAGCTCCTGCGACTCCCCAGGCGAGGTCTCCCCAAGATGAGAAGAGAATATCGTACATCGACAGCTCAAGTGGACTTCCAAGTCATTCTCGGTCGTCAAGCTATACTTGGCAACCTGGGACTGTTACAGGCCGGCAAAGCCCTGGTGGAGGCTTATCCGCAGAAGAGTTTGTCCTGTTAAGGGCGGCGAGTGCTCGGATCCCTAATGGGTATGTGCCTCACCGGAGCGTTTCGTACAGCCAACTCGAATCCCCCAGCAAACTTCAGAAAAAGAAGGATTCGCCCGGCAGGCCTAGCTCGAGGAACTCATTGCTTGTCGACTATTCATCACACATGACAGCCAGAGAACAAGAACACGTCGCCAAGATGACAGGGGGTCCTCTGATTCAAATTGGTGAAAGGAGCAAGACTCCTGATCCGTCCATCGGCTTGATTGGCGCGATTGAAGCTCGTGAACAGGAGAAAAGGAACATGAAGCAGGGAGTGGCCGGCCATATGGTCAAAGAGGCGATTGCGCAAAGACAAGCGGCCGAGCGCAACTATGGGAATCAGCAATATCCACAGTATGGCTATGCGATGGACTCCAGACAGAGTGGCCAGGGTATTTATCCTCAATCGCCCAGCCCATCACCATCATCACAGATGCATCAGGCGTGGACCGACCAGCAGTTGTACCAATATCAATCACCATCTCAGATGCAACGACGACAAAGTCAGATGGATCGTTCACGACTTAGTGGATACTATTCGAGCCCAGGAGGATATGGCACACGATAGACGATGAAGTTGCATGTCATGGTTGCATGATTTTGCATTGCGAGCGGTCATCAGGTTGGGTTTGTGCAAGATTTCTCGAATCATGGCTTAGAGGTGAGCCAATGGGTTGCATCATGTTGCATTAGCGTTAAGGGTGTTCTTGTACAGTACAACGGATCTTGCTTAAGACGTGCTGGCCCGTAAGAGCCAGCAAGTAAGATATCTACGTGGTTGCAGCGGAATTCATCTATGTTCAATGTCCACCGTGTTCAACACTGACACCATTTCAACGCGCCCGCGACCGTTACAATGACTCGGGCGGTTGCGTGATCTTGGTCAAATGGTCCCCATTCAACGTCTTGATCAACTTGCCGAGTCCCTGATGACTGTAATCCTTGTCGTTCCACATATCCTTGTGATAGCGTACCTTGCCGTGCTCGTCCAGGCCTAGGCTGACCAGACTGTCGACGGTCTTGGGCGTGTGCGTGACTTTGGGGGTGTATTCTTGTCGGAGCTTGAAGATGATTTCGTCGGAAGAGTCCTTGACGACTTCGGTAGCGAGCGTGCGCAGTGAAGAGAAGATCATGGGCAGGCCGTACCATTGGCCGGCGATTTTATAGCGGGTGTCGCAGTAGGAGAGGGGGTCGTCGTAGATGGCCTTCTCGGCGTAGACTTGCATGTCGGACTCGGACGCGCTGCCGCAGTAGAGGTTCGTGATGTGCTTGATTATGTCCTTGTGTTCGGGGGAGGTGGCGACGGAGCGGTCTGGGTGTGGTTCGTAGTCGACCTTACTAGTGTTGTTGGCACTGGTGTCCTTGCCGGTGAGGTCGTGGGCGTTGGGGTGCGGCTCGAAATTGTTGTGTAGGTCTTGCGTCGTCGTGGGTTGGGCCATTGTTTTGTAAAGAGAATGTGTAGGGTGTGTAGGGTGTTGGGTGGTCGGCGAAGATGAGGAGATGAGATGAGATGAGATGAGATGTGGTTCTTGTTCTTGTTCTCGTGGTTGTGCTTGGGCAAGTGGGTGGACGAGGCTTTGGACTTGAAAGTTAGGACTTAGCCGTGTAAACGGATGATGCGGCCTTCTTGATGTTTTGCTAAGCCACGGGCATGACCATGACCATACCTAGTGAACCTAAGGTAGGTAAGGACATGAGCTTGGAGGGGGGATGAGTGATGAGTGCACATTATTCATGACGACATATTTGCGAGCATGGAGCGTCATCGTCATAGAGGACTGGGTGCCTCTCAGCGTATGTAGAGGCCCGCAATGGTGTTCATGACAGGTTTTGATTTAGTTTTGGTGTATAGGTTGGATCTGTGTGCAGAAACCAACTTGGTGGTTGAGTGATGATGCTGCTTGCAGTTGTCGAAGTGAATTGGCCGCAGACGCGGTCTTAAGCTAGACGCGCACCGCGTTTCTAACTACTATATTAGTACTTAGAGGGGCTGCAGCTGCTACCGACTGAAGAGGGATTTTGGTTCTACAGTATCTGACTACCTACCAGGTAGGTATATATACACTGACTCCAAGTCGTTTATTCGGCTGCTTCCTCAAGCTCATCCCATGAAACCCATTCCGAGCAGAATTTCCCCCGCCGTTGGTAAGCCCACAGGATTTTCTTCTTCTCGTGCTCAGTTCTCCGAAAATGGACGAGGTCGAAAACATGACTTGCTTGAAAGCTGTACGAACTCCTCACCATCTCCAGCATCTGCGCCATCGTCCGGTCAATCATTCTTTCGTACTGCTCATCGAGCAAGTGCCTTGCGCGTAGTGCCCTTGTTCGCCGGATGTACTCTAGCGTCTTGTAGAACTCTTCCCTGAGACCCTGGACGTCCCGGATCACTCGGCGGCACCGCCACAAAAAGACGGCATCGCAGAGGAATTCGGGCCGTTGCGCCATGAGTATGATGGTCTCAAGTGCCATCCTGATGTCCTCATTGATCTCTGCTATGCTGTTTGAGTAGGGCTCGATATGTGCTCGATCATTTGCCAGAGCGCGCACCAGCCAGGATAGTCTGGATCGGTAAAAGTAGCCCCATGCGACATTTCGAAGACCGGGCTGTTGGATTTCGCGGAAGGGATTGTTCGTCGGTAAGATGGGTCTCGACAATCTCAAGATGCCGCTGTCTTGCTGGGACGAGGATGCTTGGTTGCGTCGTGGGGGCAGACCAGGCGCATTCGACGGAAGTTCCGCGTTGGGATGCCTCTCTGGCTGATTGAAGAGTGAGGCCCGTGGTAGATTTGGTCTTGATGGGCGCGGGTTGGGACCACCATTTGCTGGCCGCGGGAGTGGTGTTCGGAAGGCCTTGCCTTTACCTTTGGGACAGCTACAGTCGTTGACGTGCTGTTCGCCTGGTATGCACCTGACTGTTCTCCCAGTCCGAGTCTGAGTGTCCAGCTCCTCTGGATCATCCGGCTCTGGAGCTACTGGTTGACGGTCATCAGGGCCTGGAGTTTCTGAGTCGTCGGAAGTCGAGTTGATCGAGCTCGAAGCGGACCCATGCTCTGCTCCAGTGGATGAGACTGTTGGACATTCTGATGCCGAGCCCCATTCCTCGGACGACGAACTCGCATCATCTGAAGAGGCGTCCGAATGCGTTGATTGTGAGACCCCACACCAGGCCGGTAGCCAGTTGCCAGAGCCTGACGTTGTGGTCAAAGGAGGTGGTCCTTCTGAGCCCGAGTCCGACCGTACCACCGATGTTGAACGTGAACCCTCGGAGCCATGCTCTGACCTCCTGGATGTTCGTGCTCTGGCATGAGCAGCGGACGGGGAGGTGGTGGGTGAAGAGTACCTCGCAGCGGCATGTGGTTTCACGAACGGTGAACCTAGCAAAGGCCTGGAGCCTGCCATAGCTCTTGGGCGTAGCTAAGTCTTGGAAATGCTTTCTCGGGTGAAGATGGGATGGGGCAGGGAGAAATATATATAAATACGAAAGCTGGATTTATGCTTTTGCGGCCTGAGGACCTGAAGATTTTGTCTCTTGCTGGTTCGTCAAGACTCCCATCTTGACCCATGGGAAAAGATGACGAATTCTCGAGGACCTGTGTCTTTTGGAACGTGGAAAACAAGACTGTACCAGTCTCCTTCGACTAGTGAAATTCTTGTCCAAGTATTCACTGTCTCTTCTGGGTTGGGGGGCAGTCTTCCAGGGCACGTACCCTCGCATGCTGAATGCTTTCCTTCAGAACACCAAGGCGCAGCACGGCCATTTCTGGGGTGGATCTGTACGCCGATGGGATTGTTCTGCGGCGCCTGGTAAATGATAAGTCCGTCAAATGCTGGTCGAAGCCGGGCGATGCTGTCTCCACCCACCTATATGTACCAATGGTAGCGACTGAAGCGAGAGTTTTTCTTTGGTCCGTTGGGCACCACAAAGTCATCACGAGGCTGCGCAAGGCTGAACATGTGACGCGACAAGGCTGAAGATCCAATACGACGAGGCTGCGAGTTCAGCCTTGAACCCGATCGAGAAAACCAAGAAAACCCGAGGCAAAAGTGCTGCGAGACCGGCGCAAAGCTCCATCACGCCGAATGGGTTCCCCCCTGTCGTGTCCCTGACGCAACGATCGATGTTGGACATTTTTTGATGCTCTGATTGATCTCTCTTTATTCCTGTCTTAGACTGTACTATACTGTGCTACACTGTACTATATCTGATCCCTCCCTTACATCCCTTAAACCCGTGCCTCCTTACTCGCGTGTCCAGGGACCGGGAGTGATCGAGCAGAATGGTGTCCGGCGAGGTATGTTTTCCCCCAGCTAAGCTACGGAGATTTCCCGGCCTTTCAGCACCACCACCACCACCACCACCACCGAAATATGGCAACAAACCACTAATCCCACGGCTTGCCGCGACAGGGCTCTGAGAAGACGCCGCTCGTCTCGTTGATCGCAGGAGGAACAGCCGGTGGTGTCGAGGCCACCATCACATACCGTAAGTGGTCGAAATCAAATGTGCACCGTTGTCAACCAGGGACCGCCTAACCAAGGACAATTTGAGCAATGCAGCGTTCGAATTTGCCAAAACGCGAGTCCAACTGCACGACGACAGTCCGACACGGAACCCGTTTCGCGTGATTAAAGGGGTGATCGAGAAAGAAGGGGCGCGGTCGTTGTACAAAGGCTGCGAGACGCTCGTGGCGGGCACCGTGCTGAAGGACGGCATCCGGTTCATATCGTTCGACAGCATCAAGAACGCGTTCAAGGACCCCGAGACGGGCACGTTGTCGCCCCTGCGCAATCTCATGGCGGGCATTTCTGCGGGCGTCGTGGCGAGTACGTTCGCGGTCACGCCGACGGAGAGGATCAAGACGGCGCTGATCGACGACGCGCGGCACGATCGGCGGTTCAAGTCGCCCTGGCACGCGACCACGACGTTGGTCAAGGAGCACGGCGTGCTGAGGGCGCTGTACAGGGGCTATGTGACGACGACGCTGAAACAGGCGTCCTCGACGGCCGTGCGGCTGGGCACGTACAATATCCTCAAGGACTTTGAGCGGTTGAGGAACATCCCGCAGACGACGGCGACGACGTTTGCGAACGGCGCCGTCGCGGGCACGGTCGTCGTGTTCGCCACGCAGCCGTTTGATACGCTGAAGACGCGCGCGCAGAGCGTGAAGGGTGCGGGCGTCATGGAGGCGTTCAAGAGTATCATTGACGATTATGGCGTCAAGGGCCTGTGGAGGGGCAGTACCATGAGGTTGGGACGCACCGTGCTGGCTGGCGGGATCCTGTTTACTACGTACGAGTGGGTGGCTGCGTTGATTCAGCCCGTGCTGGACAAGAAGCTCTTGCCTGCGGTGAGTAAGGCCGATTGATGACACCACCACCGACCTACCTACCTATAGCATGTGAGAGAGAGAGAGAGGGAGCGGCAGAGAGAGTGTGTAAGAGTGTTGGCAAATGTTTTGGGGGGAACTGGAGGCCGCTCTTTTTTTTTCCGGTTCCAAATTCCTCCAGGTGGATCACCTCTTGGTGATGGTGAGAATCCGCACATCTCTCGTGCCTGGTGGACGGCGCGCTGGGTGGGGTGAAGCGAGTACTCGCCTGATGTCAGAGGCAAATAGTGCCCATTTCGAAGGAACAAAAGACCTCCACCAACCTCCATCGATTGACAGCGGACGACACGACCACACAGGGCAATCAACAAGCCAGCCTTCTATCTGACCCACAGCATTCGTCTCTAGCTCCTCTCAGCCAACGACTGACTACCAGTGATGAAGGGGAAAAGCAATGAGAAACAGGCTGGCTGTACATCTTCAATCGAACCAAGATTCTTGTCTCTCAACTGCGCCATCATCATCACTGGGCATCCATGGTAAAGTCTGAGACGACGAAAGCGAATTGAAGCATAGACTGGTTTTGTGACGCACGGAAAAATGAGCAAAATATTTTCTCAGAGTGTCCATGCTGTTGACTACAGCATTATCGGATGTTACTAAAAACAGATAACGCAAATACTTTGATTCACCCATACCAATAAGCATTTTCTGGAAGTTCCAGCCAAGTTGTAGCACCTCATCCCCATCCCTCGATTACCTGTCCCTGATTAGTGATACTGAAGCCCAATCCTTGTGCTCGGCGAGGATCCAATTCCGGGCCGTAACCATGCCCTTGTCTCGGCATGGGCGACTGAATCGACACAGGAGTCCCTGACCTTCTCACCACGGGCGAAGGAGTTCTCGAGATGGTCCTGATAGTTGTCATAGACGGTGAATAGCCCCGAGCCGAACGTTTGACAGGCGGCATGCGGTTCTGATGCAACAGAGTCAAAGCATCTAACCTCCCAGCTGCAGCGTAACATCTCTTTCCCAAAGTTTTGGCCTCGGCTTTCAAGCTCGAAGCTGCCCTGCTTTCTTTCCCATTTGCACTCTGAATGAGCGCGTGTGCAGTAAAATCCTTGTACCAGCGTTCTATATCCACCGCCAGCCGTCCAAGTTCATCTGAGGTCTCCTTCCGAGAGAGGCGCAAATCACCGGCATGTGAAAGGTGCACATTCTGCTGGAAGTGTCGATACAGCGCGACAACGGAATCGTCAAAATTCTTGATGTACATCGCGAGTCCGCGATCAGGGCCATCAGGGCCGGCAGCTTGCCCTAAAGATTGTGCCAAAGCACCGATCTGTCGAGGTTTTTCTTTGCAGATTTTATGGACAGCGCCCAGTGTCCGACGGAGGATTCGGCAGTCATCGTCCGAGTCTCGAACTCTCAGAGAAGAATTCGGATTCGACGGTGGTGGTAAGTTCGTAGTGGGAGGAGGATGCAGCTTCGAATGTCGCTGACCCATAGATAACAGCTAACGTAGGAGGGATAGGCAGGATGAGGTGACGAATTCGGGTACTGGGCATAAAGAGAGAGGCGCTGTGGTGTCTATGGATGCAGAGATTGTAGTTGAAGTCAAGATAGTTGGATGCTCTGGGGATGAGATGAGGCAGGAACGTGACAGATCAAGTCGGCAGGTGCCGTTATCAGAACACTTTCCCAGACCGTCAACGAGGCACTATCTGATCTCATCTGCGTCGTTGTTCTTACGCTCAACGACCGGCCTAAATTTGCATGAGATCCCATCATGCGTCTGGGATGTTGTCTTGGAGGATGACAGCGGACAGGTGTGGTGTTGGCGGTCGAACCGGTGGTCGCCCTGTATCAAAAGGACTTCGACGACTGGGGAGCTCCGCAAAGGTAACATGCGAGTTCGTGCTACTGGAACTGGAGGGCCCCTCAGGCACAAGATCTTCGGTGAACCTGGATCCATAGATGTTGCGTGTAAAGTCGCCAAGAATGCCATCAAAACTTGGTGTGTTAGAATACTGGGGGGACACCACTTCGTCTGTAGTGCTGGGAGTCTCCTCCTTGGGAGTGCTCCGGCGTGGTCGTCTCCGACGCAGCCTGGCCACTAATCGAGGGATCTGTTTCAGTAGCGTGTTGAGGGGCGGCATCATGTCCCTGGAAGTTGTCTGGATGCTATCGACGATGTCGTGGGAGCCTGGGGATTGGAAGGGCGCCGTGGGTATGCTATGCTCTTGACATATACGAGAATAACGCACTCACAGTAGCGATAATGGAAAATGCGAGAAAAGAAGAACAGCACGCATCTTGTATTCTGTTGCCTGAGGACCTCGCGGCATCGTATAGGTCCTGGAAAACTCTTCGTGGCCCACCGCAGGTCCTGGTTACTCACCGTGAACCAGACTTTCACAACCTCGAGGTCCTCACGTCCAGGTAGGAGTGGGGATATCTAGAAAGTTTCAAGTACTATTGTCGCCATTAGGGTAGAGGAAGTTCGACTCAAGCATCCATGGCTGCTCTCCCAGGAGTACTGACAGGTTGCATGGACCACCAAGGCGAGTGCTCAGACGACAACCCAGAAAGCGAAACCATAATATCAATCTGCGGACTTGCGAGCATATAGCCTAGTCTCAAATGAGAATACCACATCAACATCGCGCTCCCTGTGGTGCCCGGGATGCGTGCGTATCGAGGCATCTTGCATTGCTAAAGCCAACAACGAAGCGACCTCAGGCAAGTCTTTGGAGCGGGCGTAACAGGACTCACACGCACATGAATGACACTGTTGAAGTCGTCGCTTCGATCGGACCCAAGCTTGATTTCGCCAGACCATCGCGAGGACTGAGCAGGATTCGTCTGATCCTGTGCCTCTCCAGAGAAGGCATTACGGTAGCCAGCCTATTCGCCTTTGAATTAAATCCCCTTAATAAAAGGGCAAAGCCAGCTCCGACTGTTTGCAGATGCTTCGTTCACCAGCGAACCTCGAGCAGCTAGGATGGAAGGGAATATTCGTCTCCCAGCTTTCGTTGAAAGAAAAAAGAAAAGATTGTGGTGTGTCTGGTTAAGCTCACGATGCTCCGGTAGAATATTCTGGCGGGAAATGCTTGTGGAGGCTTAGGGCGATCTTGTTAGGCATCAAGCCCCCCAAGCATCAACCACAGACAAGCCTAGGCACTCTTAGGGCTCACTGATAGGCTGGGGACAAAGGGCGTCCGCCACCAACGTAAGCCAAGTGTAGCCAAGGAAAAAGCGGCTTTCCTAACGGCGTCAACGTCGGTATCAATCCCGACTCTCTCACACCCTCTCCCCATTCGTGTCCAACAGCGCCTTGCCCTAAGGTTCCCTTTGCCCGTACAGCTTGTCGCAGGAAGCTGCTCGTACTGTTTTCCTAGGTATACAACGGCCAAGACAAGCAAGTCCATTCAATGTCTTATCTTCCAAGCGCCACCCTCCTTTCAGCCGCCTCGACTCTCGTTGGCTTTGCAGAGCCATTCAACGATGACTCAGACTTTTTCTTGTCTTCTCGACAGGTCGCACGACTTGCGACCTCGTCTGGGCCGGACAATCGCCGCGATGTTACTCTTTATCTTGCATCAGCTCAAGCCAACGCAATCTCATTCGCTCCTCCAGATTGATCTTCGCCATCCACCCCGCAGCATTCATAGAACCAGCCTAGTCAATCTCCAGAGTCGCGGCCCTTGAACAGGATCAGGGACCAATGACAAAAGGAGACTTGCTCTACGGAGCTACAACACACCACTATGTCACCAGTCACTTCCTCGTATTTGCCGATCAGTTGCCGTGTGTGCAAGAGGCAGCGATATCCGGCCTCTGCTGATCCCATTGACCAGCTTCCTCTTCCAAATCCACTTAAGATCTGACTTTGTCGCACTCGACATTCACCTTCCAACTTCATCGAGTCCTCTCGCAAAGTCGACCCTGTCATTTATCTTTCCGCTCGGAAGACGTCGCACAGTCTCGACTGAGCGATTGGTCGACGGCTGCGAAGTCGCCTGGAATTCTTTCATCACTAATATGGCGAACGTCGACATCCACCCAAGTCCCGTGCTACCCTACGACAAGGAAATCCGAGAGAACCGTCGATATGAGGATGAAGCCCTGACTGACGGACGCATGCCCGCCGGCAAATATGCGGCAACTCGAATCACCACTCTCAAGCCGCCGATGGATCGCGTACCAAACCCATTCAAGCTGTTGGCGATGCTCAACACCCAGCAATGGCTATTCTTCTTGGTGGCCTTCTTTGCCTGGTCTTGGGACGCCTTCGACTTCTTCACGGTTTCCTTGACAGTCACGGATCTGGCTGAAACCTTTAACAAGTCGAATACGGACATTACCTGGGGAATTACCCTGGTTTTGATGTTCCGTTCTCTCGGGTCGACCATCTTTGGTATTGCTGCAGATCGATATGGGCGTAAATGGTATGCCATACGTCATTATGAACGCTGGAGCTCACTAACGGTCGAATTAGGCCCTTCATCGTCAACAACATCTTGTTCATTGTTCTCGAGCTTGGTACCGGCTTTACCCAGACCTACGGCCAATTCCTAGCTGTACGTGCCTTGTTTGGTATCGCAATGGGCGGTCTATACGGCAACGCGGCGGCCACAGCTCTGGAAGACTGTCCAGAGGCTGCTCGTGGTCTCATTTCGGGAATGCTTCAGCAAGGCTACGCGTTTGGCTATCTTCTAGCAACCGCCTTCGCTCGTGCACTCGTGAACACGACCTCTCACGGCTGGAGACCTCTGTTCTGGTTCGGCGCAGGTCCGCCTGTTCTCATCATTCTTTTCCGATTATGTCTGCCCGAAACCAACACTTTCCGCGCTCGTCAAGCAATCCGCCAACAGCAGGGAAGCTTGGCCGGCACGTTCATCTCCGAAGGACGAGTTGCTCTCAAGCGTCACTGGTTGCTTCTGATCTACATGGTTTTTCTTATGGCAGGTAAGGAATTGTTTTTATTTTCTATCCACTTGCTACTGCCTGGCTTGCATCTCTTGGCGCATTCCCTCGGCACGACTGCCTAATCGGGACCAGCGCCGGGCCTCGATATCTCCGACACTCAAGCCGCATCCCTTGTTCATAGTCCCTTGTACTACAACTTCATCATTTCAAGCGTTACAAACGTGATAGAGTGCTAACATCTATTACTTCCAAGGCCTGAACCTTCTCTCACACGGCTCACAAGATCTGTACCCAACTCTCCTCACTAATCAGTTTAGATTCTCCGCAAATGCCGTGACAGTTACGCAGGTTGTCGCCAACCTCGGCGCCATGACGGGTGGAACCATCGTGGGATACTGTTCGCAAATCTTCGGACGACGATTCAGTATCATTTTCATCTGCGTTATTGGCGGCGCTCTGCTGTACCCATATACGTTTACGTCGTCCAAGGCTGTCATCGCGGCTGCGTTCTTTGAGCAATTCTGTGTGCAGGGCGCTTGGGGTGTCATTCCTATCCACCTTATGGAACTGTCGCCCGGCTCGCTTCGCACTTTCGTCGTGGGTACGTCGTACCAGCTTGGGAATCTTGCCTCCTCGGCGTCATCTACTATTGAATCGACCATCGGCGAACGGTACCCGCTTCCTTCGATCACCAATAAAGAGGGTAAGACCGTCAAGCGATACAACTACGGCTTAGTCATTTGTATCTTTATGGGCTGTGTGTATGCGTACACAATCCTGTTGACGTTTATCGGACCCGAGAAGAAAGGACGCAATCTGAACGTCGAGTACGATCCGGATATGGCGGAGGTTACCCATCGTGACCTCAGACATCAGGCGGACTCGGATATCGCGCATGGAGACACGAGCGAGAATGACGAGAAGGCTGTGAAGCAGCAGGAGGTTGCTTAGCTTGAGCAAGGGATGACGCTACCGGAAATGGTCTGGCGGATGTAGCCGGTCAAGGGACCTTCCTACAGGGATCAGGAACAATGCTAAGCCACGATGCCTGTGGGATTTGGGTCGGATAACGTTAATGACGAGACGAAACTTGGGGGAGATTGATATCGCCTATTGAAGCCGGTAGGCATGGCGAACATTTGTCCAACTTCCTGAGAATGATTATGCATGTGTTATTACAGAATGCCCGTTTGTAGGCTGGGGCGTCACTGTCGAAGTCTGCACCACTGAGGTTGTCGTAGTGTCGACGCAGCTGTAATTGTAGTTGAACACTTTCTCTACATGGGCGCCAGCCCGTATCAAACGCCGAAGGGGTATTTGCCAATAATAACGTAACGAGTCCGACTGTGAAGCCGCGAATAACGATAGCCATAATAATTTCTGCCCGGAAATGACAATGTCGAAGCCCCGTATCACCGCCCGTCGTATTTCTCTCCGCACTTATGCAACGTTGGTTGTCAGGATATTGACAATTCTCCATTGGTTTCCGGTCCCTGGAGGTTTGGTGGAAGGGAATGAGTCGGTCTTTGCTGCACTGCAGGAACGGAGGAGGCAAGTCAGCATTTTTGCGAAACGCTGCTGGCCGAGCTGAGAGGTTGCTGCAGCTACAATAGGTAATACGAGCACTTGGTGCTGACAGCCAGTAGTATACGATTAGATGGCTCGGCCCCTTTACCGAAGGTAACTCTTTCGGCCTCCTCCAGTGCAGAACCCCTCGCTTACTGCTGGTCTTTGAAAGCAAATTAAAGTCACCCCAGGTGAAGTAAGGCTAGCAAGGCCAATTTGGTGCTCATGAAGTTGCGTAAAATCGAGGCGCAGTAGGGAGCCTGGGCAAGATAGTTTTCCCTGGTGTCAAGCGTTGCTCTGTGACCGTTAATGCGGCTTCCGTTATCTAAGCAGCAGCTTAGGGGAGCATAGCTTAAGATTCTGGAGTTAGCCATGATAGGCGGATTCAAACGACTTATAAAGCATTTTCTCGCGACCAACACAAGCCTTGACAACAACCTATTTTCGAGACCCTTCCCCCATCACCCCACAGCGGGCCTAACTAGTATTGGGGCGTTGGAATCCAATGTCTAGGATAACCCTCAGCAACAGGTTCACTTTCCCCCTCTTTTCAAGTCTGGCGAACAAGAAGTACGTGTCTATATCATTGGATACTCCCCTGGTCTGTTACGAGCCGAGCCCGCTCTATGACTAATATCGTTCTAACGGAAGTCGTAGCCGGCCTTAGTGATAAACGAATTTCACATGCAAAATGGAAATCCTTTTCGCTGGAATCGCATAATACGAACGAGCTACATGAATAGACGAAGTTCATTGTGGAGTTTTATGGCATCGAGTTGAGCCTAAACTGGGCATTGCTCCTACGTTCGGATTAGAAGTAGGTCTAGACAGTGGACTACGAGAGCAATATGAGATTAGGCATTTCTGATGGACGATGATAGATCGTGGGAGCAGCTCGACCTCAAGGCAAGATAACCGATTTTTAATCGGTGATGGGTCTTAGCAACGACCCAAGCCTCCCCATCTCTTCTCTCTGGACGGTTGATCTGAAATTTTTATCGTATCGTGACGACTCCAAGACACTTAATAAGCCCTTGTCGCCAGATTTCGTATGAAGGCTGAGCTGAACCAGACCACAGTTCGAAGACTGCAAAATAATCCGAGGTCACAGGTCTAGATTGTTCGGTAATTCCTGCCCCTGTCAATGTTCTTACCTGAACTTGCATCGAACACGAGTCACTCCTTGCACCAAGATAATCCTCCTGGGACGATTTATCATGCAATTCCTCAACTGAAAGATGCCAATACGAACCTACAATGGTCCTACGCTAGCCGATCTTTCCGCGATTTGTTTCTTTCGTCTCGTGCCGGCTCATGCAATGACCATTGTCTCACGAACAGCATCAGAGCTGAAAACCTTGTCTGAATACGACCCAGACTTGGGTGGTGTGATTTTCAGGTTGAGAAGTCATGTCTAAGCTCTTCGGTGAGGCGCGTTGTGCCGGGGGTTTCAAGACGTCGCATATAAAGGATGGCGTGGTCTGAAATCTTATCCGTGCTGTACTTAAATCTATATCTCAGACCGTGGCCAAACTACACTAGAAGAAATATCTGACGGTTTAAAACCAGATCCCCCTCTACAAGCCAGGCTCCTCAACGCACTCAGTCGGCGATGTCGGTTTCAACAAAACCCACTTTCGTACACTATGGAGACTTTGACAGCTCCAGCCGCAAGCTCCCGGTGATGGAGTTCATGGAACGCTTCCGAGATGACTTCGATACAGGTTCGTTCGACACAAAGTGGTACATGCCAGATTTCACCTATGTCGCCCCAGACGGCAAAGCAACCGAGGGTCGCGAGAAAAGCATCCAAGCTCTGAAAGATCTGTACGGTCCATTGCCACGCTGGCATCACGAAGCATCCTATCTCAACTGCTATGAGACAGAATCTGGATATGAGATGATAGGCAAAGCAACTCTGTGGGCGGATCTTCCAGGCAAGCCGGCCACAGGAGAGGAGAAAAGGACGGATAGGAATGGGAAGCAATGGGATCTCGCTGGTCCAGGCACTTTTTTCTTTCAATACGTCTCTAGTGGAGGTGGATTTGCGTTGAGAAGAGTCGAGATTACTGCTGATACGAGCCAGATCGTAATTGGTAGTTTGAAAAGAGGTGTCATTTCTCTCAAGGACTTGGGGATAGCTTAGAATAGGTCAGGTGGCAATCGATCATACTTCAGAACCGTCTTATTAGTGCTATGTGTTTAAGTCGTCTCGTGAACACCGTTGAGCTGTGACTGTTCCTCAATGGAGACTGCCATAAATGGGCGAGCTGTCTTGAAAAGCGCTAATTCGTGGTGTCAAGGTTGAGCCTACACGAGCAAGAGAATATTAAACCTTTTGGAGGAGACCCTTCGATTTAATGCCCCGGGCCAGGCGGATTTGGTTCGCTCATCACCAATAAAGCACGCAAAGTCCATCTGCAAAATCACGCACTTCCCTCTTTCCATACCTCCAAATTATGAACTGCAAGAGCCCATCGATCTTCAAAGCTAGCTTCCAGAATACTTCCCAAAACATAGTCTCGAATTCTCCGCGGCACATTATGAGGCCCGACCAAGACAGGATGCCAGACTGGCTCTAACGTGCAAATTTCTCGTATAACAACTCCTTAACCTTCCTCAGCAGACCCTGGGGACCACCGCTCTCGAATGTGCCAGTGGGGACTTTAATAAACTCAATCGACATTCCACTGTCTGTCTTCTTTGCCGCTACAAGCCTAGCCATTTTCTCCGCTTCTTCGTCGCTGAATGCACCTCCGACAATGAGTCCCGCCGGAGACGGGTAAAGTGCGTCGAGTATCAAATCTGAATTTTCGAGTGAATATGTCTGTTTCGGCTCTGTGCTCAGAATGGCGCAGTACGTGTATTGGGGCTGAAGATGTTCCAGCATTTTTACGGCCAGAGTACGGTGCGCGCCGACGCACAAGAGGCAGGTAGGTGGCCCGTGGGATGGTGTTGGGCTTTGAGGGTGTCCCATTCCATCTGTTAATACCCATCTGTTGATGTTGTTATTTGCGGCAGCGATGACTCCATCTCTTCTCTTTGCTGCTTCCGGTCTAGAGGTGTGGTTGATTCAAGGCTGCATTAACAAAAAGAAATGTCCTCATTCTCGACCGTAAGTCATGTTATAGGGAATGTAGGACTTCCTCTAAGGAGTATCTTAAATGGCGACGGCTTGGATCTAAACTCTAGAGCCCCAGCTGATGACGTTCTCGGCCTAGGGCTTGCGGTCAAGCCCCGGTGCGGTTGGACAGTGTTCCAGGTTACGAGCTGTACCCCGGATTGTCCGTCGATAGGCTGCAGGTTGTTCGCAGCCTCGTATTCCTAGTTTAGCTAAAGGCCTGGGGATTGGGTGAACTGCCTCCGTGGGCAGACCTGCGTTCCGAACTCAGCCGCGGCTGAATCTCTTTGGCACACGCAGCCCAGGGAGCAAATGTATCGATTAGAGAGCGCGACATCGTCAAGGATATAATCGATTACCGAGCCACCCTAGTTTCTAGTAACTGGAGACAACAACTGTTTTCTTTATCCGATAATTTCGGTACGTATATCAAGGCAAAGCAGAACGGGATAGAGAAGGGAGAACTTCTAGTGCAAAGGACATCCGGACTTCGAAGAAGGAAGAGTAATAAGTTGGCGGACCCTTGTGCACGCATAACATGTACCTAATAGTACAGTGAATACAACAACACCACTGTAACAGTCCTGATTGATAAGAATTAAGCCATTTGTGTGTACCACTTAGAATTTTCATCGCCGGGCATAATCGCATAATTCGAGGAGTAAACTCCGAAGTCTTTCGGGAAAAGCAATGGGGCCTCCTACGTCATGGGCACCTGTGTATCAGTTATAAACTTGATATACGACATAAAAGGGCCACTGTCCTTCACCAAAATCGATCTCTGTTTTACGCAATCTTGATCCAACAACCCGTAACCACTCCTTTAGATCCTTAAGTCACACAGTGTCTGCCCCAACGAAAGTCACCTTCCCATCCTTCATGCTGCAACTCAGCGGCGAGCTCTATGCTCCTGATGCTGGCGCGCCCAATCGCAATGGCGCTGCTGTCGTGGTCAGCCACCCCATGACCGGGGTCAAAGAACAAGCCTCTGCGGACCATGCCCGACTACTTTCTAAAGCCGGGTTCTACGCGCTTACGTTCGACGCAGGATATCAAGGGGAAAGCACTGGACAGCCACGTGGACTAGAAGACCCCATCAGAGAGTCGAGGAAACAAGGCTGCTGTGACCTACTTGAGCTCGCTGAAGGGCAAAGTTGACCCCAGCCGGATTGGCGTCCTTGGGATTTGCGCCTCGGGTGGTTATACATCGTATGCCGTGCAGTTTGACAGCCGAGTGAAGGCACTTGGCACCGTGAGTGCCGCTTGCGTTGGCCGTATGACCCGTAATGGTGGCCTACACAAGGAGAACCACGAGGAAGCCCCTCAGGCCATCGCTGGTGCGCTTCAGGCAGCCGGCCAGTGGCGAACGAGCGTTGCCAACACCCCCCATGTTGAAGCTCTGCCTATGTTTAGCAGTGATATCTCCAAAACTCCGCAGGACGCCAACTCCTTCTTCAAAGATGCCGCCTTATACTCCGGGTCCCAACGCGGAAACCACCCACGATCGGACCAGAGAGTTTCCACCATCTAGTTACGACCTCATGGTCAGCTATGACTCATTTAATCTCCAACATCTGATCTCTCCACGTCCATTGTTGATGGTCGCCGGATCCAAAGGCCAGGCTCTTCACTATAGTGAGGACGCTGTAGCTACTGCCCGTGCACCGAAGGGACTGTTCATCGTCGAAGGAAAGAACCACTTCGATCTCTACGATGACCTTACAGTGTCTGGCCCGAAGCTTGTGAAATTTTTCGGAGACAATCTTTAAGGGCTAGGTTGAGATTTGAGTAGGCGTGAAAGGGATTTATAGGCTGTCTTTTTATTTCTGTAACTACGTATTGGAACTAGTATTGTCTCAGTTTCTAAAATATTAATCGCCGCTTCTTGCGAGACTTCGGTAATGAAAGGGATTATTCAAGGGGAACGCATATTGAATATCTAGTATCTGGAGTGGTTATTGTTGGATTGGTCTCACTCTCGGACTATTAGCTCTTGGGCGGATGGTAGCATTGTCAAGTACATCTTTTCGTGGGCTTGACTTGGAAACCTAGCTGGTGGTATATAGCATGCGCGCCGCATACACATCGACTTACGCTCGCTAGCGTTTGGAAGTCGACGCCACCCTGCGCCTATAGATAGGCAATACCATCTTACTGCACCCATTAGTTGCACCGGCGAGCCCTATCCCTGACACAGGGTTTAAGGAGCTGAATATGGCAATGCGCTCTAAGCCGCATTGACTAGTGATCCCGAAAAGGTAGTGTAGATAAAGGAGCAATCCAAGCTTTAAAAAAAGAAAACGATAATCGAATCGCACTATTATAAACCGCCTCGATGGGCCGCGAAGTGGTAGATGATCGAAAATCTCGGCACCAGTATAGTCAGACTTTCTTGTTGCGCAACAAGGAACGATTGCTTGTCAGCCTTCACTGACAGAACACCCGAGTCATAAGAGCGAAGTCCTATATCGGGTGTAAGTAGAATTGTGAGTACCGCTTCCGGAGACAATGCCAGACGCTTACAGCACCAGGCTTTATGTTGGGATCACGGTTGTCTTTCGATTGACCTACTACTATATAGTGTTATGAGTGACGCGTGTAATTCGGCGCTAAGGTGCCATTCGACGACAAACAGCAGCGACGACAATTTATGTGGTAGGAGCATCCCGTGTTCAATACGAGGTTCAACTGCTCCTTGGACGATTCACGCGGCAGCTGTTTTGTCACCCCGTCTAAGCGAGTTCCATTACATGATTTACCCGTGAAACCGTAGTACAAGTATCTCGGATATATTTCCCATGACGGGGAACTGCATCACTCGTTGACATTGTTGTGGTGTATGGTTGAATTCCAAAAGTGTGTATCCTGTCTTTAGACACTCGAGTCAAAGCGCCCGCGGCCAGTGCACCGGAGTGGCTTCAAGATGTCGGTTCTGGCCTGGAGCATCGACTCCTGTGGCCATGCCGGGCTATTGATAATGCACGGGTGTTGAATATGATTGATTATTGGGTCATTCTGGATAAGCAAGTGCGTGGGATTTGTCGCAATCGTTTCCTGATTGCGAATGTGTGCCTGCTACAGTGCTTACATATATGAAATTTGGAGTGGTTGCACTTGCGCCTGTACGTATATAGATATTTCGTGAGCCAATGCGCAGTAACACGTTTGGACCAAGGATAGCCGGTAAGAGCCAGCAGAAGGTCAGGGTAGTGCAGATGCTCGCTTCTGCTTGATGTAGACGAGTTCGATCGCCTGTCCCGTACGAGTGGGCAATGGCATAAGCTTGGAGCATTTTGCGGCCCCATTCATGCCCCCAAAGTTCGATAGTTGGGGGCAAGCCAAGCTCCGCAATGCTGAATGACATGAATAGCAGCATGTCGGCTGCAGCTGAAGCAAGGATTCAAGGAGTCAAAGATTCAAGATATTCTCGCCTCAGCAGAGCACAGGAAGACACCCCGGTACGGAGTACACTCCAGGAAGATAACTTGTCGGTGTAGATCTAGATATGACCCTGGCTGTTTGTGATAAGTAGCGAGATGAAGTGAAGCTTCATGGTTTACCTTATCTGCAGAGGATGGCCATCTTCTGAAATTGGTGGCTGTTTCGTCACCAAAGCCTCCGAACCTCTGATGCAGGACCGATCGTTTGTTTCGATGCCACACTGCTATATAATGCACGGAGCTGGGCATCTTGCAAGGCTGAATTTCTCAAGTCTCTCTGTTAGTCCAAGACTGTGGCTTCTTACGGTCAGTATGCATCGAACTCGTCGAGAAGGACACTCATGCCGGCCGATTGAAGATACGACTGTAACACTTGTCCGAATTACTGTAAGCCACAGATCGATACGTTTCACTGCGCGGTTGCGGAAGTCCTCCATGTGCCATCCGCAAAATTATTGAGATACGATCGCCTGTAGCGCATTTGTTATCGTTGGCGCTGGTGGTGGTGGTGGTGGAGTGGCACGAGTGGACACTTGAAACGGATAGAATGGAAGTACAAGGGTCCTACGAGATGGTGATTGGTGTGCCTGGTAACTGGCCCAACTGGCGAAAGAGATACACAGTACGGTAGTTCGGCACAAGACCAGAATTGATGATGTTCTTCTGTTGCATTTCGGGTGGTTGTCAGAAGAGACTATTGAAATTCTCGACAATGGTGTGTGTTGTACGGAAGAGCCCGTTATTGTTTGTGCTGTCGTTGATGCCGTTGTTCCAGCTGAAACAACCTCAACATTTGACATGGGGACTTGTGATCGTTATCGTGCTTGAATTGGTGTCTCGCGAGCCTTTGATGGAGGTGTTGATGGTGTCCTTCTGACTGGCGGGGATGGTACAGCAGGTAATCTGGAGGCTTGAAAGGTGCTGGCGGTGCCGATGATTGGCGTCCGGAGCTAAGCTTGGTTAAGATAGGCGCTGGATACGTTCTCTAGGCGTTGAATCCACACCTAAACTTGGGCGGCCACTTATCGCAGGCCATGCCTAAAACAACAAAAGCCCCAAACTTATCTGCGCCCTGCTGGCTCCCACGCCGATCGCCCATTCTCTATCGCAAAACATCGACACTCTCTCTCTGGCTTAACAGTCTGTTATATTCCATACCTCTGCACTGGTTGCATTTCCTTTGTTACACCTCGACTCCCACGCGCCTTTTGGCTTTTCGCACCTCCCCAAATACTCTTCTTCATCTCGATTCCGCGAATCCACTCGCGCGACCTCGTCCACTAGTCCTCCGCATGCCACTTACAATGCCTGGCAAGGATTACTCACCCTTACACGTGTAGTTCCTTCGTTCGACAAGCTCACTGCATGACCATTCTCATTCGCTCGCCGGTCTGCGTTGTCAGTATTGGGTGATGGCCTACGCTGCGGTCTCACAGGCTGAGCACGATGCCATCTACGGCCAATCCCCCGACTTGACCCTGCATGCCAATACCCTCCCCGAAATATCCAGCCCTCCGTTATCTGTGTCCATTGACCATATATCGCGTGATGGCGACCGCTCGGGTGTCTCACAGACCGCTCCGGGTGCTGTAGGGGTCGAAAATCTCCTCAAGTCTCTCAGTTCGTCGCAGTCATACGAGATGGTGGAGGACGACGACTACGAGGAACCCAATACCACGCCGCACGGGCTGGGTTTGGGTATGAAGGAATACGCGGCTGCACAAGACGACACAATAACATTCCAGTCAGAAGAACCTCCAATCAGAACCGCGTCCATCAGCCGAAACCTTCCTCTAAATCATCCGACCCCGGATCTACATGCCCTGCAAGGGGCTTTGGTCAAGAATGTGGAGAGACTCGAAGAGAGTGCCGAGCGGTTGAGCATGACATCGAGTCTGGAAGAGGAATTGAACAAGATGAAACTAGATCAGAAGCGGGTCGAGCGACAGTCGTCTGCGCCTGCGAATCTGGGCAATGTATTGCGTCCGTCAATCAACAGACAATTCTCGACCAGTTCGTGGTCAAACTCGATCATTGGAGTAAATCAGACAGCCAGATTAGGGGGTTATTCACCGGCAGGATACATCACCTCGCCTACAGGCTCGATACACTCGGGACGCTGGCCGCACCAACACAACCTGGAACGCAACTCTTCAAAGGGTAGCCGTCGCGACCATACACCTCCAGAACCTCCCCTCGATCCAGCTACTTCTGTCCTCCCCGAACAGGCGGATATTGTCCAGTCGTCTGCCGACTCCAATGGCTCCATACAAGAAGAGAGACCACCCACTTCTGGTTCGAACGATACCTACCGGCAAGCCCAAGCAGCTTTCAATGACTTTGACGGTGTCCACTTCAACTCTGGCGCGTCAATATCTCGACGTATATCCTTACAGCAGCCTCCACTTGCAAGAGACTCCAAAGTCTACAGAGAAGCACAACCGGGCGAGCAAATGATCTACTACCCTGCACCAGTTCCTGTTATGCTGAACCTGCCGCAAAGATTGTCAAAGATGGATCTGAGTGAGCGAGAAAGGCGTCGACTTCAAGGTCTGTCCGCAATACCCGATGATTTGCGCAAGTCAGCGCCATGGCTGGCAGACCAAGCTAGCGTCAAGGTGCCAGGCGATAGGAGTTCGCTGAATTTACCACCACAACTGCGTGCCAGCGCCTTCTTTGAGCAGGCCAGTGTCACGCAGGACTTGCAGCTCAAGAACGGTTCTGCTATCCAGACTCTGGACAGCATACTTGATGCAGCTGCTTATGCTCCAGTTAGCGCATTTACAGACCATCCTATTGCTGGCCATCTAGGTAAAGAGGTGTATGGACCAGATGGATCGCCACGCAAGAGCATACCACCGACAGAGGATAAGAAAAAGAAGCGCCGAAGCTCACTGAGTACGATGCTCAAGACGAGAAGGTCGAGCACTGGACTAACTGGAGCACGAGTGAGTCGCACAAAGTCCAGAGACTCCAAGACTATGTTGGACGACGAGGAGTATGCAAGTGGAGACGACCTTGATCGAGCAGCGGCCCAGTCTATAGCCCCAGACGGAGATGAGATATCGGATCATGGCGGAGATGCAGAAGACGTCGCTTCTCAAGGATTCTTCAGCGCCCCGACCACCTTGCTTGCCGAACTACAAATGCGCAAGGCGCAACAGAAACAACGCAACAGGACTGCCGCAGACGCTTTTCCCAATGGCATGCATTCGACCCTGCTTGAGCTTGATGCAGTTACTCAGCTGCAGCAAAAAGCTCGAAAGACCAAACATGTCACACTCGCATGGGAAGATCATGATGAAGCGAACAAGCAAAACTTTGACGATGACGATGTCCCTCTTGGCCTTCTTTTCCCCGAGAAAGACCGCTTAGAGACGTTCAACTCTCATCGACCTGTCGGGCTTCTTGAGAGGCGAGAAATGGAAGACAACGAGCGATTGAGCCACAGACGCGCAAGGTTGCGAGGAGAACCGTTGCAGACGATGCAACCAGACGCGGACCCTCCACACATTGGGGATGTGCCCGGCCTTTCTGAAGAGCCTGTGTCTGAAGGGGAAGATGAGACTCTAGCTCAGCGTGCTGCAAGAATGAAAGCGGAAAAGGAAAGGGCCGCTGAAGGATCGTTTACAGCAGAGCTGAGCCAAGAATTGGGTCTTAATGTCAACAGAAGCGCTCCTCAGCCTTCGAAGACCCCTGATGCTGAGGAGACCTTGGGCCAGAGACGGAAGAGACTCAAAGAAGAAGCTTTGCGCAATGGTAGACAGGTCAGCGGTAATAGCGCCGACGGTGCTACAAGACCGGGATTGCGATCGATGCACAGCCTAGCTGATGTATTGCGAGCTCATCCGGTGGGCGCCCAGGATCGCAAGGTCTCCAATGAATCGAAGGGATCTGGCCTAAGAAGTGGTTATCCTCAGAAACCATTGCTGATCGTCGACGAAAACCCTCCGTTCCCGCAGCTGAGCTCGCAGCCATTCCAGGCACCTAACTGGGGTTACGTTCAGCACAACGGCGCTTATATGAATTCTTATGGCAATTTCTATCAGCACAACAACCAAGCTGAGCATGGGACTTTTGGCGGAGTGGCACCGGGCTTCTACGGTGCCCCGATCCCAATGCACATGCAGCAACCCATGGCTGGCTATCCATATGGTTACGGCAACCAACCCTACATCCAAGATCCTATGATGGGACCGCCTCTTGACCCGAAGCAAAGGGCGCAGATTGATCGCTGGCGGCAGAGTATCGCCTAGTAACCTCCCTAATTGGAGCGGTGGTGACTGCCCGGCTTGGATTGGAAGTTCGGTGGCGCGTATCTTCTGGTCAGTAGGCGAGAGCTGTCCAGGTCTCCATGATTGGAAAGGATGACCGGGATAGAGACTGTATGATTACGAGAAGATGATACAATGTTCTATCAGTGTAAACCCATGTTCTGGCGAGATCCTGCACGTACAAGTAGTAGCTCCATACGGTGTCACTGGTGTATGCTCGAATGCCTTGCGGAAGATTCGTGATAATGAGGCATGCCAAGGAATGACCTGGTGGCCCTGGTTGCCGTGGCAGGCGCGACTCCCGGGCGATGTAAACAATCCATGGCCGAACTTCATTTGACCATTGCATACCATAGACCATCCTGCCGCCCGTGCTTCGAACACGTCGTACTCTTGTATCAATGATGAGGTGTATGTGATTAGGCACCGTGCCCGAATATATGCTTTATCCTTCGCCATGGGTCCAACCGTTCACCAAGTTGCCCAAATCTTCGAAGACGCCGATAACGAGCCTCAACAGAGAGGGCGCAGACTGAACCATAGCCGCGCCCCATCGGTTGGAGACGTGCTGAGAGGACGACGAAAAGAGAATTGCAGTCCTAGCAAAATTCAAAGACAGCCAGATCGTGACGCCGCCAATTCTGCGAGTCCCCTCGGCGAGCGACACATCAACAGCCCTCCACCACCGAAGAGAATTCCTACCAAGACTGGTGATGAGCCTCTATCCTCTCAACGTCCCGCGCACAAGAAGACGGGAAGCTCTGTGTCATTGAAAGGATTCATACGAGGCAAAGAGAAGGGTCTCGCATGTGACGCTGTCTCATCGACGGAAGAACAAGTGGCAGAGAAGAAGCCTAAGAAGACCAAATCAGCCACCAATTTGACGGGTCTGCTGAAGAGGAAATCAAAGAAGGATCTCCGGGAAGAATCACACAGTCAAGAAAACAAAGCACCGTCCGGTCAAACTCCAGCTGAGACTCCGATCTGGTCACAGTTTGCAACACAACCACTTGAGAGCCCAGACGGCATCATGCTTTATCCGAAGAGAAGGACGATCGAGGAGGAGATCAGATTGTATACACCGAAAGACTACTCGGAGTTTCGTCCTTCGGAGCAGAGAAATTTTTATGGTTACAGTTCCGCCAGCCCATCGTCGGTGGATTACAAGCCACCGCAGCGACCATTCCTGGAGCACAAGTCTAGTAGAAGCTCCATATTCACGGAAAACCTCGACGATGAACCACAGCCTGAGTTGAAGAAGCTACTGACCCGAGACCAGAATGCCAGCCGACCAAGCTCATCGTCAACCCCGGTCGAGCGCCCTCCTCTCTCGACTCGCTCGTCGGAATCGTCTCAGGCCGACAACAAAGGCAAAAGAGGATCACGGGTGTTCGAAGCCATCCAAAGCTTCAACATGAAGGGTCGTCGGGACGACCGCAAGACGGCTGGTATAACCACTGGAACTACGCCACCTCTCAGCCCTCAAGAACTCGACACCGCGTTCGAAAAGGTGTTAGACTCCTTAAACATACCCTTGAATATGCGCGACAACATGCGAAGTCTCAAACCAGACGTGAAAGCCGGTCTGATGAAGGGAGATCGAATTGGCAGCGGTTCGTCAACAAATTCTGCCTGCCAGGATGCATCAGAAGTTCGTTCTTCGGCTAGAAGTCCCAACAAGAAGGAGAATGAGCGGCCAAGCAGCGAAGGTGACGACGGCAAGGAGGGCAAGAGATCTCGCTCTCGATCCCGACCTCGAAGCCGTATTCTGACACTGTCGAGACGCGACGAAAATTCGCCGACCAAGCAAGAGGGAGCAGGATCATCATCGAGATCTCGTAGTAAGAGCAGGAACAAGTCAGCGGACCTGGCGAGTTCCCGACCGACGTCCTCACGAGCCATGGCGTCGACTGCTTCACTTGCAACTTTGAACCCAGCAGACAGTGCTTCAACACCAGGCGACTTTATCCACTATCTCCGAGAAGTACAAAAACCAGAGCTGGTTGAAGTCAGCAAGTTGCACAAATTGCGAATCCTGTTGCGGAATGAATCGATCAGCTGGACGGATCATTTCGTAACCAAAGGAGGCATGGACGAGCTTGTGCAGCTGTACTACCGCATCACCAAGATTGAGTGGCGGGAAGAGCACGAAGACAGTCTCCTTCACGAGACTCTGCTCTGTCTCAAAGGCCTATGTACGACGTCTCTTGCTCTACGTCGACTTCAGGAAGTGGAAAAGGAATTCTTCCCGGCTCTTTTGGGCATGTTGTTTGATCCAGAGCGAAAGGGTCCGGCCGAGTTCAATACAAGAGGGGTGATAGTTTCGCTTTTGTTTGCTCACTTGTCTGCTGTCGTCAATGGTAGTCAGAAGCAGATCCAAGAACGAGCAGAAACAGTTCTCGGCCTCCTGAAGGACCCAGGCCCGGAAGACGGCAAACAGCCATTGGATTTTGTTTCTCAGATGCATGTCCCTCGACCATATCGCGTTTGGTGCAAAGAGGTTGTTAATGTCACAAAGGAAGTCTTCTGGATTTTCCTCCATCACCTCAATGTCGTTCCTATCATGGGGGCCGACGAATCCGTTGGATACTTTCGAGCACATTTCCCGGCTCCCCGTCCACCACACCCTGCCGCTCCATACGTCGGTGGGGTTGAGTGGGAAGCCACTCAATATCTTGCTATTCATCTGGATCTGCTGAACGGACTTATTGCTGCTTTACCAACATCAGCCGAACGAAATGCACTGCGAGAAGACCTCAGACAGTCGGGATTTGAGAAGGTCATGGGTGGCAGCTTGCGCACATGCAAGGAGAAATTCTACGGAGGTGTGCATGAAGGATTGAAATGTTGGGTCTCGGCAGCAAAGGCAGATGGTTGGCCAACCGAGGATGTAAGGGCAGGACCACCACGCGAAGCTGCTAGTCCACGAAAGAGTCCCATCAAGAAGAAGACCGACGAGCCTCCTCAGCTTGCCTTGGATGTGGGTCTTGGTCAGGTGCAAATGCCCAAGGCTGATGTTGACTGGATTTGAGACTGGACCAAAGAGATTTGTGTGTGGCAAGCTAATTAGCTCGGTGAGACACCGTTAAGCGGAGTGGTTGTGTCGTCGAAGGGGAAGAGGGTCATGACTTGATGACATTGGCGTATGTTTGTCCTGGAAACGTCACTTGGGAGTCAAGGTGTAAAGGTGTGATTATTGGTTTCCGTGGCATAGGTAGGACAGTGTGTATCGATTGTCCAATATGATGAATTCGTCCTCGCGATGGCATCAACCAGTAGTGATGAGGTTGAAGGTGATATATTGTGTTGCTTCATGTGCTGATTAAGGTACTTGAGGACTGGCACGTGATGGCCGCTCCTACCAGCCGCCTGGAAAAAACTGGTGTGTCTGACGTACGACGTTGCCTCGTAAGATCACAAAGATCCACCAGAATCATCAAATATAGTCCGTCAGACTCTTCCTTTTTCTCTGCTCGAAAATCGGGGTTGATGTCACCAACAGGCCGATTGGGGAGCGACACTTTGATGGGTCAAACTGCGCAATTGGGGGGGAGATCGCGCGCATACAGTTGTATCGCCTTGCGCAGAGTCTCGTTTCCATCTCGTTTCCATTCACACTCTTGACCGACCTCTTAGACCGCAACACTCTTCACTTTTTGCATTTCTTATAATGTCGTGCACCTACTCATGTTCTGGCATCTGTCTGTTGCTGTTGTTTTGATTTTCCAGCCGCCGATGCTTTGAATTTCCACTCCGAACAAAATCCCAGCCGACCCTGCTGATCGCACACTGACAGCTTCGCCCACCTCGTCTACCACCATACCTTGATGTCTACAACCATGACAACAACACTGGGCACCTCGAACTTACGAGGCGGTCCGTCTGCTCGTCGAGTCAACCCTGGCAGAACCTCCAAAATCGTCGGGTCCTCACTCCGGCAGAACTCCCTCGTCTCCAACAGTGGCCTCCCACTACTATCCTCCTCCGTCACAGCCACGAACAATCAAACCCTGAATAGCAATGATCCTCCCGGCATGTATCCTGCCATCACACATTTCACAGATGCCATTAGCGCTTTACCACGAGAGTTTCGCAGGCACCAGTCACTGCTCAAGGAGGTGGACGCGAAGGCGTGGGCGAACGAGGAGTCACTACAAAATATACTCGAACAATGTCTGGCTGATACGAGGGCGACATCCTACGAGACAGCCCTCGCCGCGCAAAGTCTGGCCCCCTCAGTGACTGGTGATGATCCTGTCAACAGCAGCGAAGTCCAGAGTGTCGCAGGCGCCTCTGTGGACGCAGCCTCGCTTGCTTCTGCTCGCTCAACGGATCCGGGTTCCCTTCAGCGCAGACACCTTCACCATGCTTTGCGGCAAAATTTAATCGCGATCATGCAGACCATGGATGAAAAGAACCATGTCATCGCCAATGCCAACGAAGAAGTGGCAAGGCACATCCGGCGACTGGACAACATCTGGCCACACATTTCAGAAGAAATCTCAGAAGAAGCAAGATTGGGGAGTTTGAAGCATTGGGCATACACCGAGACAAATTCAACCAAGAAGCCCACCGAGCCGGCACCACGAGGACGGCCAGGAGAGAGCGAGGTCGCGGCCAGAAGCCAGACCCGAAGAGACGATGTGCAGGCTAAAAGACAACGAGCTGTTCACCATGCTGATTCAGATTTGGACGAATCACGACCACCAGCGCGGAAAACCCATCCAAGTTCCAAGAAGCGTGTTGCCGAGCTGGGACCGGAGCCGCCTGGCCTGGGGATATCGAACATTGGAGCGGGGAAGAGAAAGAAACCAGACAGAGGTGCGGGAGGTGCGGGCATGGAGCGGTCGATTAGTAGTGCCCTAGGCGGCCGTGCACCTGCAATGTCCAGGGAAAACTCACAGCAGGACAATTTGAAGAAGAGGAAGGCCTCGCAGCCAACGACGGTGGCCAGGAAGAGGTATGTACCAGACCCTCGCGGAGCGGTCCATGCTAATCTGACCGTCTGCAGAATCAATGCCCAGAATCACGATTCCCCTAAGCTTGCCTCCTCACCACTTGCCGGGACAACTGGCAAAGAAGGATATAAGCGCAGTCCAGCACTTTCAGCTGTTCGACCCGCTGCGGCACGGGGAAGACAAAACTCGACGCAGAACATCGAAACTACAAGAGGGCGGCAGTCGTCTATTGCTTCTGCCAAGTACGGCAATCACAGTGTGACTGCGAACACGCAGGAATTGAACAGTGTTGCCGCCTTGACTGGCAAGACTGCAAATGAAGTCAAGAGCACGATGAAAGAGACAAAGACAGATAAAGGAGACAGGTTACTTGAGGATGAGCCAGCCATCAATGGCGCGAACGGCGAGCCATCGTTACGTGGTGCGCTTCTGTTGGAAAGGCCGACCAGCAAGCAGGAAGGTCTCAGGCGCGATGCCGAAGAGTTGTCGGCCAAACTCATGGCGTCGCCTCGTCTCACACCTTTTTTGCTTACGAGCGAAGTCAAAAACGAGCGTGTGGGAAGAGGACGTGCCTCGAAGACCTCTACGCCCATCGTGAGTACTTTTGCCGAGGCAGACGAGTCGGATCGCGCGTCTGCGAATGGGAACAGCAGGGCTGATGGCTCTACTAAATCGCGACGGCCTGCTCGTCCGAGGATGAAGGACCATGGCCTGCATGACTCGCTCTCGCCCAAGGGTTTGCCGATGAAGCGATCGCACAAGAAGAATGGCAGTCTGTCTGTTTTTGGCCCATCCACGTCGGTGGTAACAAGTGCACCGAATGCGCGGACAAAAGACGAAAACGACGCGCCAAGTTCTGCGACGCCGTCCGGTTCGGATAGGCTTGGCGGAGGCGGGGGTCTCGAAAACGAGGAAGACGACGACGTCGAAAACGACCCAGACATGGACGCAGAGAACGATGGCGAGGACGAAGAGCGGTATTGTTACTGTCAAGGCGTGAGCTATGGGGAGATGGTGGCGTGCGATAAGCCCGATTGCCCGCGGCAATGGTTCCATCTCGAATGTATTGGTCTCAAGAGCGTGCCCAAGAGCGCCAAGTGGTATTGTGATGAGTGCAAGGAAGCTTTGGCCAAAAAGGGCAAACCGACGACTGGCAACGGGAACGGGAATGGAAACGGAAACGGAAATGGGAATGGGAAGTAAGTCACTGATGACTCGACGCTGGAGTGCGGTCGTGGTATTCGCACTGTGCGGTGCAGTGCAATGCATTGTTGAGCGTGTGAAGCTGTCACGGGCTCGTGGGGAGGACCCAAGGATCAAGAATCAAGGGTACAATGAAAGTCTCAGGGTCCACACGACCGCATACACATTATATATCTACGAAGACGAATGTTTAGAGTAATGGCCACGCCTTCGAAGGGTCTCGGGGTATGGAATTGCCCGGCTCACCCGGAAGCAGTGGGCGAGAAAGCACGGCAGGCGAGCTGACTTAGACTCACGCAGCTCTGCATAGCAGGACTATAGATATCGAATAATGATCAGGCTTGTCTAGATCAGTGTATGTACTCCGTACAGGTATGTATCCAATATGTTGGAATCGTTGCGAGATACCAACGAACCCTTCGGTGCTCGTCACGTCTATCAATTCCAGCAATTCGGATTGAATCTCTGCCGTTGGGCCATCCAAGTCGGTATTCACGGTCGATGGTCGCTGATTCCTTTACATGCATCGGTCTAGAACTCGTGAGGACACCATATCACGGGTCGTCGGAGCCTAAGGATAGCACTCATCATATATACCATATGTTACCAGAGGATCCTGGTCGAGGGGATGCTGAAGTCTTCATATCTTCGTCATCCGCTGGTACGGTAACTTGAGACTGCAGGCACAAGCTTCATGTCACTGTCTCCTATCCTGCAAGCGCTTTAGGAGTTTCTGGCAAGCCAAGCGGGAGGTAGACTCTCCGTACAGCTGGTGGATACCGGTGACTGCTCGATGGCGATGGCGATGGCGATGGCGCGTGGTATCTCATTTTAGAATCCCCGGAGAAGTTGCCGATGTTGAATTTGTCAGGCCCTGCAATTCAAGCTGGCTGAGTGGCGCGACAAAGCAAGCCCTGAAGGATGGCTAGGGACATCACTTGGACAACTTATGCACGACTGAAGCAACGGCACGGGATCGAGTCGTATGGGATACTGTATCACCCGCTCCAACGTTGGCAATGGCTGTTCCCCTGTGCGGTCTGTCTGGTCGGCTAGATCCGCATGTCGTCCGTTGTTGAACCTTGGCTCCGTATGGGCGAAGTGCAGGTTTTTTTTTTTTCGTTGTCGCATCGAAGGTTTGCCGGGTTGCGCTGTCGTCGTTGTTTCCATTCTGTGCCACGCAGCGCGGTATGCATGAGTTGATTCCCTTGACGAGCTGACTCCAGCATGCTGGTTTCGAGGCAACGCCCGCCAGAACCGGAAAGGCTGGCAGGTCGCGAGGTGATTGATATTGTTGTACCCAACTCCTGCGCGGGACTGATGACTCCCCATATTGATGTTGACAGTGGTGCCGCTTTGCGGCTGTGCGCACCGTCACAGACCCCGCCAGGACACGTTTGTATTGCTCATATCAATACGGTGTTCAGGATACCCCTGCCATTTGTACCTCGCCGCCTTCATTACTGTTGACGAGTTCAATATCCATGTCTTTCCGTTCAGGGTTCCAGTAGGTTTCCAGGAACATCTTGGCTTTGTCGAAAATCTCCCATTTCGATCCTCTGCTATCATCATCGAGCCATGAATCGGGAAACTGTGTCCAACCGTGGACGACGCCGTTGACTTCCACGACGCTCAAATCTGCACCACGGCCCTGCTCGTGCACCTTCTGCACCCAGACAATACTCTGATGATGCAGAGTATCGAATTGCGGCAAGATGAGCATGATCTTCGCCTTGGGGTGCAGGCCTGCAACTTCTCCGTCCTTCTTCGCTCTGAGATCTGCCAGGCCCGGACTTGCTCTGGGGTGGCCACTCTTTGGCGCTGGAAGGTATGTCGGCATCAATTCGGCCTCGATCCTCCACCTCTCAACGAAAGTCTTCGGTGCGTCGTATCCACGAGGCTTGGGCCTCTCGTGGGGTAATAGTCGAGTATCTAGGGACGGGTAGAACAACAGAACGGGAATGTCGTTCGGGAAATCCCACGGCGCCGGGCTCAACCAGTCTGTGTTGATGGTGGGGTCGTTTTTGATGCTCAAAACCATATTCAATGCGAGGTTCCCTCCTGAGCTGAAGCCGGAAAAGGCAATCTTCTTCTCGTCGAGGACGATGTCCTTGCGCTTTTGCTTCTCGAGAGCCTGCCGTATCTCTTTCCTCAGCACCGAGTATGCGGGCTTAGTTGAATCGATGACCGCATGGACCGTATCCTCCGCATCACAGTGTGCAGCGGGATACTGTGCGGCCGGGCCGAGACGATAATCGACCGAGATGACAACGGCATTGAGCTCCCGGGACATCTTGGCGCAAAAGGGCGTCTGTTCCTGGCATGATCCGAGGACGAATCCGCCGCCGTGGAAGTCGATGAGAACAGGCAGTTTCGTCTCCTCATCGTCGGGATTGAATCTGAGGTGCAATGCTTCCTTGAGATGCGTCCCTTGCGAGGCTGGCTTGTGATGATGCGGATTCCGGTGGGGCGGGATGAAGACATAGACCGGGATTGTATGAGAGTCACGAGAAGGAATGTCGAAGATTACCGGATGCGGTCCCTCTGGGGATGTAAAGCGCAAGACAAAATCTGGGACAAGGCGTGGAAGGCTGACGAGGGCTTTCCTCCATGTTACGCCGAAGTTGTTGGAGGACATGTCGAACTGAACCCGAAAATGTTCCAAAAGCTCAGCTCAGCAATACAATGAAGACACAAGGCAGACTTTTATCAAGGGGTGAAGATGGATTAGTGCAACTCGAAGGACATACAGAAGTCAATGGGAGTGCATATCGGAGAACATGAAGCAATGGTTGGAAGATACGCAGGTAGTAATTAGAGAATATCTGCTGTTTGCCGTTTTGATGATAATTCCTGGAACTTGACGTCACTAAGCAACTGCTGGTCTCCTAGTATCTGGCATCGGCAAAAATACTCTATAAAAATAACCCCTTGCACAGCTTAGATCTTCTTTTCGTTCAGGACTGAGCCACTTATCTGGTTGCATCATAAAGGGCGTCTGAAGATGTCATGTACTGGAAAACGAAAGGCGCTTCTTGTCCGGTCTACCGTGGTGCAGTGAGATCCTACTTGGGCTCCGGGACATCCCTGATCATGAAATAAATAGTCCCATCGGCATCACCATAGTTCCACTTTGGATCCAGCGTGAATTGCCCAATGTCCTTGAATCCGTACTTGTAGTACAGCCCGTGAGCATTGGGAGAAGATTCGAGATAGGCAGGGATGCGAAGCTGGTCGGCCATGTCAAGACCCCATTGAATCAACATGCCACCGGCGCCGCGGCCCTGATATTTGGGATCAGTCTGTAGGAGATCGAGCACTGATGATGCAAAAACCGGTCAACATGGCTGTGCAGAAGATCAAGGATGAGCCCTTACAGCAATAAGCCTTGCCGCCCATCAACTCAGCTCGCTTCCGATAGATCCCGCCAAAGTATTCCTTGCACATGTCGAGATTGCAACCCGGGCCGAACTCTTGTCGGCCCGGCTCTGGATCCTTTGGTGTGTTCATAATGTTCCACTTTGCATACGCGACGAGCTCGTCGGTGTCGGTGTCAACGACCTTGACCCATCGTGTTGTTGGGTCGTTTTGGCGCTGGGCAACTAGTCCTTCGGCACGCTTCTCCAGGGCATCGGCTGGAAATGGGCCCGGGAACAGGAATGGAGTCAACTTGTTGTCGGCAAAAGCTGTCCGTTCGATCTCGACCATGCGAGTGGCGTCGTCATCTTCGCCCGGTCGGAGAACAAGAGGCATTGTGCTCGTATTGAAAGGAAGAAAGGGGAGAGGGAACCTACGAGATAGTCCTACCAGTAATCTTTCAACATTCGAAGGGCTCTTTAGGCGTTCCGTCGCCTTCACGACTGCCTGGCGTGGAACTGGCCTATCTGTGCAGTGATAGCATGGTAGTTGTACTCTGTGATATAGCTGTTAATGCTACCTTACCTAGGTAGCTACTGATACCTGCCTGGACAGGACTAGTCACAGCATCAGTTGGCACTGCTCTAGTCAAGATGAGTCATTTGTCTTCCCGCGGAGTCGTCCACCCAAGGCTAAGTGAGGCCAAGAACTGAATCAACGTTGGTCGCCGACTTCTTCTCTCTGACTAATCGAGCTAACGTCTCAACCTCTCGATTTTACGAAGATACCGTCTCGACTCATTGGCTTTTCGTATTCTTGTACCTTGACCTAACGGCCTTCGCGTCTTCGCAATGTCCGAAAGCTCAGTTTCGGTGCGCCACGGCGCTGCTGAAGCTGATGGCCATCGCCACATGCTGAGTCCTCGTTGCACATGAGCAACTTGCTGCGGAGTCAAAGGTTCGTGAAGAAACTCCAAAGAAGCAACATGGCCAGGACAGGCAAGGCTCTCGTGCCAGAGGTTGACCTTGCCGACGGGAGAAGACGTATCTGACAAAGGGAGAACTCGCGGATACGATACGAGGCAAGTCTCTCTCAACAACTATATGAAGCCATCAGCTACTTCGTCAAGATGTGCACCACAGCTCATCACCGTACTGCCTCCAAAGCCACATTCAAACAAAGATAAAGCCTAGTAAAGCTGTAAGGATGTCCACCGCTACCCTCCCAAGCACGATGCGAGCCCTTCTCCATGACCAATCGGACCAAACACTTTCGCTGGCCTCGACACCCCTTCCCAAGCCCTCAGCAACTCAATACCTCATCCAAATACACGCCGTAGGCCTCACGAATGGCGAACTCCTGTGGCCGCGCCCAAACGACCTTACCGTCTCCACGCCCGGCGTCGAATTTGCGGCGCGTGTGGTGACTTCTCCCTCATCCTCGTCCAAATTCCAACCAGGAGATGAAGTCTACGGTCGCGTCACTTACCCTCAGCGTGGCGGTGCGAGGGAATACTCCGTGTCGGACGATGAGGAACTCGCCCTACGTCCGAAAACAATGTCCGTCGCCGAAGCTGCCGCTATGCCGGTGAGTGCGTTGACGGCGTGGCAGGCGCTGTTTGAACTATTCGGACTTCCGACACCCACTGAGACGACAGCCAAACCCGGCCTTCGCATTCTCATTACAGCAGCGTCAGGCAGTGTCGGCATATGGGCGGTCCAGCTCGCCAAACTCACTGGCGCATATGTGGTCGGCACGTGCGGCACGGCCAACATCGACTTCGTCCGCAGCCTGGGCGCGGATGAAGTGCTTGACTACAAGACGACCAATATCAGCACCTGGGCTGAAGAAGATCCCTCGCGCAAGGTCGATCTGGTCTTTGACTGCGCGGGCGGTGCGTCTCTTGAGCAAGCGTGGCATGCTGTCAAGGACCGCGGCCAGGTTCTTACGATCGTCCCGCCCGCGGATATGCAGTGGAAATTCGTGCTGGATCGGCCAGAAGGGGTCAGCGAGTCGGTATCGGGGCGGTTCTTCGTCATGCATCCTTCTGGCGAGCAGTTGAGTCAAGTCACCGAGTTGGCAGATCAAGGGAAAGTAAAGTCTGTGGTGGATAGTGTTTGGAAGCTGGATGAATACGACCAGGCTTTTGAACGCTTTAAATCAGGCAAAGCGCGGGGAAAGGTTGTGATCAAGGTCGGTAACGAGGATTAGAAGGTCGGCACGTTGGGCAAGGTGAGCAAAATGTACGGAATATGTATATTTTAGACCATGTATATAGACCGAATGACCACTCCGAGACCACCGCCAGCTATGATAAAGGCGAAAATGACACGCTCACAAAATATACGTGAAGATAGCGTCTATTCGTAAAAGATCAAACATCTCACCTCAATGCTCTGTCGTCCAGGAGCATCTGCTGGGGTTTGTGGATCGACAAACGCTGTATGAGGAGTGCCATCGGCCAGACCTTGCTTGCCGCCCATGATCTGGCTGCGCGAGTCGAAACACTTGATGAACATGACCTCCTCGGGCGTCATATCTTTCATGTAGTAGAACTTGTGATTCTCGTTGGGTGCCACGCTATAGGTCTCTCCTTTGACTTCGTAACCCTCAGTGGAACTGGCTGAGTTGGGATCTGGTAGAACTTCTTTGCCCCGATCGTCGTCGTCATTGTTCGCTACTTGTCTCTTGGGGTAGAGTAGATCGACTTTGATAAAGTCTGCCGGCGAGGTCGATCTCCAATCAATGAGCGCCAGTGGAAAGTCTGAAGCCTTGTGGCCGATTGGTCGCCAGACGTTAACGATCTGGTAGCGGCCTTTGAGCAATTCTTCAGCCTCATCGGCGGGCAAATGGCGTCGCACACGGGCCTCAGCGGCACGGGGTGTCTGATCGACGTGAACCTGCTGCACCGGCTGACGGGGTGAGGCCTTTTCCCGACGGCGAATTGTATGGTCGAATATTACCACCTTTTTCACGCCTGGGAGTTTGTCGCGGACTAATTTTTCGACTTCGGCGTAGTACCCTTCTCGGACCGCAGCGTCATCTGTGAAGGACTTCTCTTGCGCGGGATAATTGTAGACAGCGAAACCGGAATTGTCAGTCGTGAAGTTCGGCTCTTGTCCGCGCAGGTTCTCGACTGGGCGTTGGTAGTCGATGAGCTTGAAGGAGTAACCTGGACCGTCGACTTTCGCCCACGGCTTGACGAAAGGAACGTCGCTGTCGACAAAGGAGGTGCGGTCAATGTACTTGAAGGTACCGGTCGTCATATTGGCGGCAACGCGCGAGTGACTGGTACTGAAGAATCTGGATGCGGAGTGACTGGAAGACGAAAGGCGTGGGGAGAGGGCGCTTTTGTAGAGTGGGGAAGACGCTCGGATAGATCTTACGGCGGTGGCCGCGCTCATGGGGCAGAGGCTTCGAACGTACTGTGACTTCGATTAGGCAGATTGCTATCAGGTGAAGAACGAGGCTTGCGGGGTTGATGCTGATGTTGGTGAAGGATCAAGACTCAATATATATGGTTGAACATTGGGTGTTAGAAAGGTGCTGTGTCAGCGATAGAAAAGTCACGAAAATAATGACGTTGAAAGCGGAAATATCAAGGAGAAGGACATGATAGGACCATCACAGACCTCATTGGGGAAGACATGGCTTTGATTACATTTCTGCAAGTCCCATCTTAGGGAGTTATGTAAGGTATTCACAGTATTCCATTTTTCCATGAGGCTTAATGACGCCAGCAAGATTTTTGTGAGGATCGATTACAAAGACACCGCGCACGTGATCAATGTAATTCTTTGGGGGTGGCGGAAGTGGCAGATGAGGAAAAGCAGCCGCTCCGATCTTCGCCGATCTCGCTTATGGAGGCATTGTGGACAAGGCTGAGACTTCACGTGAGTATGTGCAGCCTTGCTGAGTCACTATCCCCGCTAAGTCGTTCCTGGGCAGTGATCTACGCGTAAAGTAAACTCCCTTTTGAGGACGCGTCTCAAGCAGTTCAGACTGCGACCACGCGTTTATTGAAAATCCTATCACAGCACAGATCCCAACGGTCGCAAGTGGGACAAGCGTATGGTCAACCATAAGCGAGTGCATCCACTGTCTCTACTGTTGCATCTTCCCTCTCACTGCGATGACGAGCAACAAGGATATCTACTCTGCTACCTACAGCAATGTCCGTACCCCTTCCTTTGTCCGCACCCCACATAGACTGACCCGGGCCTGCAGGTGCCCGTCTACGAGCTCAAGATCGGCAATGACCATGTCATGCGACGAAGATCTGACGAATGGGTCAATGCCACTCACATCCTCAAAATCGCCGGTTTCGATAAACCCGCAAGAACAAGAATCCTAGAAAGAGAAGTGCAGAAAGGTGTCCATGAGAAGATTCAGGGTGGTTATGGCAAATATCAAGGCACATGGATCCCGCTCACTGAAGGTCGTATGCTCGCCGAGAAGCATGGGGTCCTCTCTCGCATCTCTGCCATTTTCGATTTCGTCCCTGGCGACCGAAGCCCTCCACCCGCCCCGAAGCACACCACTGCTGCATCAAATCGCCCTAAGCAAAACAAGCAGCCTGCGGCAAAGAAGGTCGCCTCACAACCTGGTCAGTCAGCCTTGTTCACTGGCTTCGCCCAAGCTAATTGCGTACAGTTCAACCCTATCAGCCTGTTGAAACCTTCGAGGCAGCCAGCACACAGTACAACGGCGCGACCGAAAGCCGAGAACCTTCTCCCGAGACCGCATCGTTCATGGCAGATGACGATTTTCTACCTCTCTCACAAAATTCGGCGGCATCGAGAAAGCGCAAACAACGTGACTTTGAGGAGCAAATGGTGACTGCGACAGATCTTGACCACACTATGTATGGTGACGAGTTGCTGGATTATTTTGTCACTGCTGGCGACGATGATGGCACTTCCCACATTCTACCACCAGAACCCCCAGCGAACTTCGATGTTGACAGGCCTATTGACAATCTCGGAAACAATGCGCTTCATTGGGCCTGTGCCATGGGCGCCGTGCAAATTGCTCGTGATCTTTTGGCAAGAGGTGCCACTCCTAATGCTCAGAATTCAAGTGGTGGAGAGACTCCGTTGATTCGTGCGGTCTTGTTCACCAACAACTATGATAAGCGAACCTTCCCTAAAATCGTGCAGGCCTTGTCTGGGACGATTATCGAGCGAGATTGGCATGGTGCAACCGTCTTCCATCATATTGCAGAATCAGCACGTCTGAGAGGGAAATGGAGCTGTGCACGCTACTACTGCGAAGTCTTGATCAACAAGATGCAAGAAATGGGATCGAACTACGTCCAAGCTCTTCTTTGCTCACTCGACAAAAATCACGATACAGCACTGCTCTGCGCCATTCGTAACGGATGTGTAAAGGTGGCAACATTCCTTCTGAACCACTGTCCAGAGGCAGGCGAGATCCCGAACTTGAAAGGCGAGACTGCAAACCAATATCTAAGAGCTCTGCGCGAAAAGAAGGAGAGCCTGCAGCAACCGGGTTCGTCTCCTCCAAGAGCTGGAGAATCCTACACTGCCAAACAAGCACGACGCAAACGTCAAAAGGACGCTATTTCACGCGCGGCTTCCTTGGTTCTCGATAAGATCGGACCACTTATGGATGAGGGTAGCTTCAAGCTGGCAGATATGTACGACTCACAGATGAGCGAAAAGGATACCGAAATAGCCGAAGCCAAGCAGGCCTTGTCCGACTTCGAGACTCAGAGACACAAGATCCGACAGGAGACCTTCCTTCTAATGGCCAAGGCTGAAGATGCTTCAAAAATTCCGGCATTGCGGCAGGAGTACGAAGCCTGCTTGAGTGATATGCAGTCATTGCTGGAGCAGAAGGAGCATAGCACTCTTCAACAGGAGATCTTCCAGCAGGACCAACAAGCAAACCCACAAGCCTTCCGCTTCGCCAACCCTCAACCATTGTCCGCAGATGAGATACGTGCATCACTGCCCTGGGCCCTTGAGTTGAACCAACAACAAGCCATGCGAAGATATTGGGTGCAAGAGATTGCGAAGTTGATGGGCGAGGCCGGAACCGGTGAAAAGGTTGGAAAGCATAGAAAGTTGGTGGCTATTGCGACTGGTATGAAGGAGGATCAGCTGGACAGCATGTCAGAAGAGCTGCTGGAGAATTTGCAAGCAAGTCAGGGTACTGCGCCTCAGACTCCTCCGGCTATGATGTCTGGGGTTCAGGCTTAGATAGTACCTAGGTGCTGGCTTATGATCACTGTATGAGACATGAAATGATACGATGTTTTCCTATTCATTTTTCACCTTCTGTATCCCGTCTGGCACATCAAAGGGGGTATTTTTAATCACGGCTTTGGCACGCTGTCGTGCTTCAGGCATATCGAGGGCGGTTCTGCTAGCCTAGGATAGAGAATCCTGTCGTACGTCAAGCATATTGCCGTTGTCTCTTTTATTTCGCTAGAGAAGGGTATGGCGAACGCTGGACACATAACAGTAAGGCTCTGCTGTTACGCTGTCTGGCATCTTGTCGTTCGTCAAGCATATTTCCGTTATCTCTTTTGTTTGGCAAGACAAGGGTATGTCGAACGCCAGGGACATAAAACACAGTTCTGCTGATCTGCGATATAGGGCGGTGTCGCCCGTCCAGGGCATATACGGTGGCTCTTTTGTTATGCAGTACATCATCCTGTCGACCGTCCAGGGCATATACCGTGGCTCTTTTGTTATGCAGTATAACATCCTGTCGACCGTCAGGACGAATATAGTATACATTTGTCAACGGGTGTATACATCGCTGTCGCACGTCAGTAGATCATAAGTGCACGGCAGAGCACTTAGAAGTGTGAATACACGGTGCAATACAGTGCGGCTACTCACCAAGTTAGAAAGGCGGCGTTCGCCATGCTGAATAATAGCTGAATGAAGGCAGAAAATAGGAAGATCGAATGTTCAGCTCAGTGCATAGCATTATGTCTCTAGCTGTGCATCTTCATGCATTTCACTATGTACAGCCCCATAGTATTGTGCATATTCGTGCACATGAGTAGAGAATCCTCTATGCTGTATGCTGAAACCCCCATAAAAGCACTTTCAAGTATCATTCCGAGCCATTCACCGTTGAAAAAAAGCACTTCAACCATCATTCCGAGCAGTTCACCATCGCCAAAAAAACACCGTTCTACGCCTTGAAACGCCGGCATAGCATCAGTAGTGGCCTTCCTCTGGGTACTCCTGAATGCTGCCCATGCCATACTGACCTGCGCCCCAAGCCTGAGCAGCGTAGCCGTAGGACTGAGGAGGTGTAGGTGAGAATATGCCTGGCGGAAGCATTCGCTGGATGAAGCCAGCACTTGGTGGAGTGTGATACTGCATGGCAGCAGCAGCATTCTGACCGTATCCTTGCATGCCTAGACCCGAGCTGTATCCGTGGTGTGGTGGAGTTGCCAATGGATTCATGGTGTACATTGGTGGAGCGTTGTAGGTGGCCGGAGCTCGAGTATTGTAGGCAGCATCGTCGTAGGAGTAGTTCGGAGCGTCGTGATTGTATTGAGAGTTGGTGGATTGAGCGCAGCGAGAGGGACGGCGGACTGAATACTCCTTTGGTTCGACTCGGAGCTTGTTTCCATGCAGATTGCGCTGGTGAGAAAGTCAGAAACGGCGCAGGCAAGTGTATAGGAAGTGTATACTTACTTCAGCGAGGGCAGCACGGTCAGCCTCGTGGGCGTAGGCGAATTCGATGAACGCGAAGACATTGGTGCCGCCGTCAGCTGTAGAAAGGTCAGAAACAAGCCGATAAAGAGAGGTGAACAGTGTGGAAATGGACTTACTGAACGTCTTGCGGATCACGTTGACCTGGATGATTCTCCCGAACTCGCTGAACATGGCGTTGAGCTCTGGACGGGTGACAGTCTCTGGGAGATTGCCGACAAAGATCGACTTGGTATCGACCGTGGAGCGAGGCTCTGTAAAGCCTCGAACCATTGGGGCTCCGTTTGGTCCAGCACGCATACGCGGCTCCATTGCAGGAGCGATGACCAGAGTGTACGGGCTGGCGGAGTTGGGATGACCCTGGTTTGTCTCTATTAGCATTACTGCGCAGACACCATGGGCGAGAGTTCTTTACCTTCAAAGCGTCTTGACAGTCCAGATAGAAGGCGAACTTGATGAACATGCCGTCTAGGTTGTTGGTACGTGAGTTGGCTGGGACACAGAGCTCGATTCGTCCGTAGCGCTCGAGAAGGTGACGTGCTTCTGTTTCTGTGACAGCAGTACCGTCTTTCTTGGACAGAATGACGGATCCTGAGGCCATGGTTAGCATGTAATAGACGACAGAACAAGGCGAGAAGGACTCACGCTCGGCTTTACCACGCTCAAGACGGATCTTGCGACCATGAAGAACCAAGTTTGTAGTGTAGACCATGGCATTGTTTGCATCTTCAACCTTCTGTATCCATTCTTAGCATATACAACTGAACCTTCGATTGCTTTATACGTACCTCGAACTGGACGAACGCAAACGGATGCTGTCTCGGATCGTATTTGATGAAGATGTGACATGTTCCGAACTGATCAAACACGTGGTGGCATGACAGTTCCAATTGTTCAGCGGTACGTTGGCTGGAAAGGCTGTAATACTGTCAATCGAGCTCTTTTCCATGCGTTCTTCCTCACATACTTTGCAACGAAGATTAGAGCTTCGGGTGGAAACATTCCTTGAGCATTCCGAGCACTTGGGAGCTGCGAAACACGGTCCGGACGTGGTTGAAGGCCTCTAGGACCGACGGGAGGGCGAAGATTGTGAACAATGCGCTGTGCAATAGCATTCGGAGCAGCAGCAAGCACGAGAGGACCGGTTGGAGGAGCAGAAACGAAGACGTCGTCTTCTGTGGCAGGTGTAACACCGAGGGAAGCACCAAGGGAAGCGTCTTGGACAACGACAGGGCTTTTTACAGCCGTAGAAGGAGGAGGAGCAGCCGGAGCGGAGCCTAGAAGCCACTAGAAGTCAGTATATTCGTTGTAATCTTCGATATTTGACAAGAGAAGCTTGGGAAAGGTATTTCGACTCCTGAACAGGGTTCAAAATCCCTGAATTCGCAGCCTTGCCCCCTCTATAGCCCCTGAATTCAGGGGGGCAAGGGTATATAAGTACGTACCAGGACGGATTGAGCTGTTGCCGACTGCTAGAAGGCCGAGATCTCCTGTCACAGCTTCCTTTTCAGGCAACGGGGACGGCGTAGGGGGAGTGGGGGCTCTAGAACGAGCGACACCAGCCAAAACGGGAAGCGCAGGCAGAACTACCCTCCTAGGAGGGGTGTTCGAAGAGGAAGGGAAGCCGGAGGACATTTTGAAGGCGTAAAATCACTAGATAAAGGTCGGAAGCAGTCAGTGTAGGCCTAGAAAGGACTTCTAGATGAGAGAAAGAGAAATACGTACCCTAGAGGAGGACTGGAGGCTCTTTTATAGAGCAGGAATGCAGGGAAACGGCCGGCAACCGAAGAGGATAGGTGATGACTAGAAGAAACGAAGTAAAAGGGAAAGTGAGGTAAGTTGACTGGAATAGTAAACGGAGGGGGTAGGCGGGGGAATGCTTGGCGTTCGACAGCGGGCCATTTTTCCGCCCAATAGCCCTTTTGTACGGCCTGTATTTACCTCTATATAGGCTCTTCAGTAGGGCCTCTTATACCCTAGGCGACCACTATCGACAGTACCTCCCCCTTGTCCCTATATAGCGGGAGTATATCCCGCTCGTAATGGGGTGGAAAGGTCTCTATATGCCCGGGGGGCGCATCCAGGGCATCAGGAAGTCGATGTTCCTCTGAAAGTGGAGGAAAACATGCTTACAAGCCTCCTAGAGGGGTTCGGTAAGTATAGAGGGCGAGACAAGGTCAAGAGGGACTCTAACCGCTTTGCCAGAGGCGAAATTCACCTATCCAGCCGTCCCGGCCTCTCTGATAAGTATTGAGGATCCCTGGGGCATAACGAATACAAGGAAACGCAAGAAGAGCCGTTTGCTGGACCAGAAGAGAGGTAGAAAGCATACATATCAATAGGCAGGGTCAACTGGCCAGGGATCGTTGACGATGCTATGGACAGAAGTGCAAATCTACAGGATAAAGGGGCCAAGATCTGCTCAGCCTTGTTGGCGCCATCACATGTGGCGCTAAATATGCATGGATGTTGAAAGAGACTTTCTTAGCGCCGGCAGCAACGGCTACATCCGAAGTGCACGGACCACCAGTCTTGTGCACCAAGATGGCGGCAGATGCAAGTGACGTCTATTGACCTGGATCGCGACCGGATGCACAACCGACATGAAAGAGCGACCTCGCAGATAGTGGGCGACAGCGTTGAGATCTTCTGACGAACAACAAGGGTGACCTTGAACATAGTGGACGACAACATTGCAGACATCTGACAAACAATGTTCATCCCTTCAGTGAGGCGCTGCGCGCCTAGCATCTGGAGGAATACAAGCAAGGAGCTGCAGCGAGCCACCAAGTTTGGTGAGTAAAGAAGCAGGATTTTTCGGGAAACTTCAAACATCAAAGAAAGGCTAATTGTGGTGGATGACAGCTCTAAATCTCGAAGGCCTGACCCTACCTGTCACGCCTAACCCTATCTTCGACTTCGCAGATCCGGAGACCATCACCACCTTGAAGACGATGACCGATCAGTCAGTTGGAGGCTTTTCCACGGCTGCGCTCACCCAGAAGCCTGCAGAACCAGCGACCAATACACCTGCCCATGTCCTGTTCCATGGCAACATCTCTACCAAACTTCCTGCGAATAGACCTGACATCAATCGAACGGGATATGCGGCGTGGCGAAATCAAGATCGCGGACGGACACTGTTTGGCGAGCTCTTCTGGAACGTTGACTCATACATGTACCTGGCACTACGAGTGAAGAGCGATGGGAGAAAATATTTTGTGAACATACAAACGGACTCGATCGTGGAGTCAGACATACACCAGCATCGGCTGTACACGAAATATCACAAGGGAGCAGAAGCACCAGACAGCCCGGCGCAGTGGGAGACCGTTTGGATTAAACTACATGAGTTTGTGCGGACAAACCATGGCGTTGTCACGGAACCGCAGTCAGAAATGCTACGGCAGAAAGTGAAGAGCTTCGGCATTGGACTCATCGACAGGCAACCGGGACCGTTTGAGCTGGGAGTTGCGGCGTTATGGGCTACGAATCTGAACGAGCGGGGTCAGGTGGACGGGCGAACCGGATGGGAAGATGGTGATCAAGGCAGTGCCAGACTCGGCGAGGTGACAGCAGAGAAGCTAGCACAGAAGGAAGAGGAGAAGAGAAACCTGCCACAAGAGAAGAAGAGCTTCCGAGAAAAGGTGCCGCATTTTGGAAAAGTAGGTACACATGATACCTCAGGCGTGAGATGACCAAATGCACAGTGCAGCGAGCAAAGGGTACGAAAGAGCTTGTACAGGCGGATACAGGCAGTGAAGAGCACAAGTTTACAGCCTTGCAAATGCGCAGCGATGATGAGAACACAATAAGATTATTTCAGCTCCTGCAAAGTGTCCTGCAGCGACTTGCCAGTCAAGATCTTGAACGCCTCGAGATATTTGGCACGGGTGGCCTCGACCACATCTTGTGGCATGGACACTCCCTCCTTGCCTTTAAGACCATTTTTGGTCAACCAGTCTCTGAGGAATTGCTTGTCGAAACTGTCCTGACCCTGACCAACCTTATAGGTCGACTTGGACCAGAATCTCGAGCTGTCCGGAGTCAACACCTCGTCCACAAGAACAACTTCGTCCGTCTGTTCATCCAGGCCAAACTCGAATTTTGTGTCTGCAATGACGATACCTTTCTGTTTGGCATAATCTCTTGCAGCCTTGTATATCTTGAGCGAAAGCTCCTCGATGCGCTTTGCGTATTTCTCGCCCACAATCGTTGCGGCTTGCTCAGTGGAGATGTTCTCATCATGCTGGCCCAGCTCGGCCTTTGTGCTGGGGGTGTATATTGGTTCAGGGAGCTCTTGCGACTCTTCCAGTCCTTCAGGCATCTTCTTTCCGTTCACCTCACCGGCTTTTTGGTATGATGACCATGCGGAGCCTGTGATGTATCCTCTTACAATAGCTTCCACAGGGAAGACCTTGAGCTTGCGCACGAGCATGCTTCGGCCTTTGAGCTGAGTCCTCTGATTTTCGGGAACAGCAGGTGGTAATTCGAGCGAAAGGAAATGTGTCTTGAGGTCTGGGATTTGTTTCTGAAGGTACTGGAACCAATGCGCAGTTATGAGTGTCAGGACAAGACCCTTGTCCGGGATACCCTACATTCGAAAGTTGGTGAGCTGGCAGCAAAGTAGATCAGTAACAAGCGCACATTCTCCATGATCACATCATAAGCAGATATTCTGTCCGAAGCCACGAACAGTAGCGACTTCGAATCAACATTGTATAACTCGCGAACCTTGCCTGAGGCTATCAGAGGCAAGGCATCGCCGAGGTCTGGTCTGGTGAAAGCCATTCTGACAGCGGCCTCGCAGGTCTGGATTGAACGAATATCCTCAGCACAGAGACCTATAGTGACCTGAATGCCACTCCCGAGATTTTTGTAAAGAAATCTAGCGATGCCAAAAAATGTGCAAACCTAGCAAACAAAAAAGAGGCTAGCCAATTGGATTCACCGACACGTCGGCGTCATTCCTCTTACGCGCCGATAACATCCAGTACCACCAGCATTTCGTCTCGACAAGGCTCAGGGTAATAAAACCCACATAACGACATCCGATGGACGAAGCAGAAGAGCCGGAAGTCAACGAGTTCGTGCACGAAGGCGTCTTGCAATTCTCCACGACTGCATAATGGGACGCTACCTCACCCCGGCAAAGATCACTCTGCTAATAGTGGCCTTTGTCTACTCAGAAGATGTAGTCCCGACCTCTGCAGCCACAAAAGTCCTGACATTTCTATTGGATCATATCCTACCAGCGAACAAGGCTTCTGATACGACGATCGCGACCAACGAATACGACCATGTCCTGTCAATATCAGTCCTTGAGTCCACTCTATCTAGCCATCCCTCAGCCCGACCAGGACGCTCAGTATACGACCTTCTCCTCAAACGTTTATGGGCAATCGACTGCTCTCACGCGCTCGACGCGTTCATCACTAACCTCCCATGTCTCTTGACCAAAACCCGAGAACAACTGCTGCGGGAACGAGAGACAGGCGAAGAATCACTAGAACCACACGGCCGCATCCTCCGCACCTCTCCACTAGGCGCCTTCATTCGCCGCTGCCACCTGGAATACACGCGCCTTCAATTTCAAGACAGCATCGCTCTATGGCAGGATTTCATCTCCTACCGCCTCCCCACCCGGCAAGCATTCGAGAAGAAGAACCCGTCTGACTCCAAGTCCGCCCTCGATGCCACCCTGGCGAACATGCACATCGATTCGTCCCACCACCTCGCGCAAATCATGTACGCTCGACTGGCTGACGAGGACCAAGATCACCACGGCGCATTCAGCATCTACGACGTCGAGAAACTCATGGAGTTCCAAGTCGCTGAACTCCAACGGCTCGGCGGCCGGTTGCCAGACGGGATGAGATCCCGACTCGACCAGATGGCCAAAGCAGGCACCGTCGTCCCCAAGCTAGGTCATTACCTGAGTTTTCTCGACTCCTGGCGCGCCGGGGACTTCGCGTCCGCACTGGATAATCTCCATCGATACTTCGACTACGCTATGCAGACGCGTGAACGGGCATTTTATCAATACGCTCTGCTTAACTTAGCGATCTTACAGTCCGACTTTGGATCCTACGGAGAAGCATTACCCGCTATGCAAGAGGCTATCGCTGTCGCGAGAGAGAACAAGGACATCACGTGTCTGAACTTCTGTATGAGCTGGGTGTACCATTTCGGCCGGTCGTTTCCGCAAGAACGTAAGAATATACGCATGAGCGGGATCTTGGGCAGTGAAGTCGAGGGTTTGGCGTTTCTGAAGTCACGAGCGAAAGATGCGGAGATGTGGAGTCTTCTAAGCACGACATTATTGAGCGAGGCCAAGCTTGGATTGCAGTATGGCGATAGTCTGGCAAGCGTGTTTGAGAACATCACCAAAGCGGCGCATCTGAACGTCGTCAAATCGAGCCAGAGCGTGACGGGGCCGACCCTGCTTATGAAAGGAGCGGCGTACAGTCGTGTAGGGCTGACACATTTGAGCTGGTGGTGTGGGCAAGCTTTCCTGCGGTGTCACGCGAAAGATGCGCCGATGGAGGATTTGTTAAAGTGTAATTGTCGCATGGCGGGATTGCTGGTCCAAAGAGGAAGGAATACAGAGGCTATGGAGTTGTTGAACGGGATGCCGCCAAGGGTGCTGAGGGTGTTGAAGTTTCAGAATTACTTGAGCTTTTATGCGGGACTGTTGAAGGTGCGGACATTCCTGCACCGAGATGATCTGGACGCCGCGGAGCATCTGCTTGCGCTTCTGGCGGGACAAGGCGTGCCTGAAGCAGAGATGGGGTTTTCCTTGTCGCTGCTGGAAATCGATTTGCTCATGCGGCGCGGCAACCTGACGAAGGCGCTTGAGAGAGTGGAAGCTGCTGTCGAAGAGGGACATCAGGAGATCAACGATATTGCTGTGCAGACTCGGCTGATGAACCTGAAAGCCAGGATATTGGCGGAGAGTGGACATCCGCTCAAAGGTTTCTCGCTGGTCATGCGAGCTGCACAAATTGCGTATCGGGGAAGGCTCTTGCCATCACTGTGGGAGTCAGTCGGCTTACTTGCGAACATTCTCAACGAGCTGCGAGAGTTTGGCGCTGCTACTGATCTTTTGCAATCCATATTGCCGCAAGTGCTCGAGTTCCAGGACTGCGATCTTGCGGCTCGCTCGTACGGACTTCTGGCAGATGCAAATATGGGCATGGCGGGTTCGGAACAAGAACAGTCCATTAAACAGAAAGAGTTAATCAGCAAAGCCATGGAGAATGTTGACCATGCGTATTTGCAGTTTCGGTACATCGAAGACTTGAGGGGCCAGCTCGAGATGCTGAAAAAGAAGGCAACCATCATGCACTGGCGGGGTGATCTGATGCTGGCGAATGATATTGCCACTCAGTATCTCGACCTGGAGAAGCAATATAGGACTCGACGGGTCTGAAGCGGTATGTCGAAACCGAGTGACGCTCGTTAACGACGCAATGGTATGAAATGTTGATCGGGAATTCCGGCCCACTCGAGGCCATCACATTTCTCCTTCTTGCTCCTTCCCCACAGCATATGTACAAGTTCCAGTATTGGTTCTGCTTTATATTTAAGTCTGCTTGTCCTTCTTGTGGTAGTTGACCTTATCGTTCCAGAACAGGGTCTGAAGCACACCGCTGGTCAGCAAATACTCGCCTCCGAACTACCATAATGTTTACTGACCTTGTCCCCATCTCCCCAGAAGAAGTTCTTCGTTCGGAGGTTCTGGTATGGGTATTCAACGCGCTCTTCCAAAGGAGGCAGATGCTCCCAATGTTCCCAATGCTCGTTCCACAGATTCCAGGCGTTGATGCTTCCGAGAATGAGGCAAGGGATAACGACACTGCCAACAGTTAGACCAAGTGCTCTTCTCTCGTTACCCAGACTCGTACTAGAGGGAAAGTCTACGCCAAAGGTCTGCCTCTTGTTAGCCTCCATGTACCACATCCACCAAGGGGAACAACCACTCACCACTGGTAGCAGCAGCGTGAGCCTTTACTGCAGCTCTTTCTCTGTTGAAAGCGTTGTCTTGAGTTCCAGCCATCTTGGTTCCTGCTTGGCCTGGAGGTGCTGGGTGGGCGCTGGCGAACCGTCGCTGAATGCTAGATCGGAGGGTCGTCCGGAGAGCTGGTGCACGCATTTGTTGCGCAAAGCGCAGGCCGACACGCTGAAACGACATTGTGACTGCAGTGAGTGGAGAGAGTGTCGCTGTAGGACTGTGGTTGTCAGTTGTCTGAGAGTGCAGTTGCAGATGAGCTCAGAACACGGATTCTTGGCAGACAGATGACAGTAATTTACCCGTATTTGAAGCTTTCCTAGCTTCGTATGGCAGGGGTGAAAGTTTCCAGCGTAATGACACGTAATCAGCTGATATTTGATGCGGGCAGGAGCTTGGATTTAGCGCATTGAGCTCCTCGACTTCGCAGTCACCTTCAATATTCTACAATTCAACAACCACAACACACTCTCCACTCCACCAAGACTGGCACTGCAGCTGTATTCCAGCTGGCTCTGGTCGGCTTGAGACTCTCACACCCTCATTAGGACCTTACTTACCAGAACGCCAGCCACAATGTTCCGCACACCGGCCGTCCGATCGATCCCGCGTTCCTTCGCTACTCTTCAAGCTCCAGCACCACGAGCCAGCCTCTCCAACAATGTCTTCAGAGCGTCCTTGAGAACCTCTGCTCGCTCAGTGAAAGCCACCCGAGTCCTGTCTCTCACCGTCGCCCGACCTTTCCATTCATCCCTCGTCAAATATGAAGCCAAAGGTGCCGACAAGGCCGCGAAATGGAATACCAAACAGTTCGAGGAGGATTTGGCAAAGCAGACTTTGAAGCCAATGCCAGAGGCTGTCAGCGCATCATCGAGTACTCGCGCCGTCGCCGGTGAAACTACCTCAGAACATGAAGATGATGTGGATATGATGGAAGGCATTCGTGCTGATTTTGTGGGTTCATCGAGGAGCAATAATGATGGAACGAGGCTAACCTTGAGCAGAAAACCATCAAGGAGACGTTCACCTTGAGGGATGTTCCTCGCCAAGCTCTTTACGTCGGTTTGGCTGGTGTAGTGCCCTACCTTGCAACATCTCTCACAACCGTGTATCTGTCCTTCGACATTCAATATGCAGCAAATCACGGCCAAGGCTTTTTGTTATCTGGAGAGACCGCCGAGGCTCTTTTGCACATCATTGAGCCGATTCAGCTCGGCTATGGTGCTTCCGTACGTCTCCTCTGAAAGTTTCATCGTTTGAACCTACTGATTCCTGTTCTAGATCATTTCCTTCCTTGGAGCCATTCACTGGGGACTGGAATGGGCAGGCTTCGGGGGCTACAAAGGCTATCCTCGATACTCTATGGGTATTGTTGCTACCGCAGTCGCCTGGCCAACTCTGCTGCTCTCAGCTGAGGTTGGCTTGATTGCCCAGTTCTTGGCTTTCACTTTCTTGTACTACAACGATGCCAGAGCAGCTGCTCACGGCTGGGCCCCTAACTGGTACGGAACATACAGATTCGTGCTGACATTCATTGTCGGTGCCAGTATTGTGGCGTCGTTGATTGGCCGTGGCCAGATCGCTGACTTGGTCACTCGACCACCTGGACCTGCGGACCGAATGAGGGAACTCAGGAAGAAGCAGATGGAGGAGATCGGCCCTGAGCCTGAGGGTGAGGAGGAAGATGAGGAGGATGGTGAGGATGAAGAATAGAGGGGTCCTGGGATGAGAAGCAGATCATTCTCGAGACACTGATTGTTTACAGGATCAGTCCATTATGTACATATTCAGGCAGGAAATGGAGCTATTCTTGCGCTTCTCGGATCTTCTTTGCCGAATTCTGGTCTCGTGCACTTCATCATGAACCTGGACAAGTCGCCGAACGTATCCCATGGGATCCGCCAAACGTCGTGCCCGAGAAAAGGCGACTGGGGCTGCCTTGACAAGAACAATCCGGCCGAGCCGCGTCCTTCTGTTACTCGGTGATTCAGAGCCCGAGCCGCCCAAGAAAACTGAATTGTTCTCGGGCCAAACTGGCGACGAGCGGGCTCCCCTAGGCCCCCCTAGGCCTAAGTTAGCGAGCCCAAGAAAAGTTGCATCATAGTGCTAGATTCAAATTGCCCTGCTCTGCGTCTCCATCCCCGCACCGAGGCATCCCACATCTCCAGCTGCGACCTTGCTGGCGACAACGCAACTATATTGTTTATATTGTGCTTGTTGCTGCCACATGCATGAGCGAGTCTTCAATTTCACAGACACTGTTTTCAAAGGTTACACAGGTTTTTCAGGCCCATAACTTTGACATAGCAGCTTAAGTGTGTCGGCGACAATCCGAGTACCTTTTCCATCATGGTAGGGCCCATTGTGAAATGTCTCGACCATTGTCTAACTCGATTCCAGGCTGGCAAGAAATTCATAGGAGCCATTGACAATGGGACCACTAGCACCCGCTTCCTCATCTTCGACCACACCGGTAACCCGGTGGCCGAACACCAAGCTGAGTTCAAGCAGATGTACCCTCATTCAGGGTTAGTAGCCCTACTCACTTGGAGCACGCGACTTCCCTCGGCCGTGCTAACACCAGCCCAGCTGGCACGAACATGACCCTCTCGAGCTCGTCTCCTCGACCAGCGAATGCATAGACAAGGCTTGCGAAAAGTTCGAGGCCAAAGGCTACTCCCTCTCCGACATTCAAGCCATCGGTATAACCAACCAGCGCGAAACGACCTGCGTCTGGGATAAAGAGACGGGTGAGCCACTCTACAACAGTATCGTCTGGACCGACACTCGTACACACCGCATTGTGCACGAACTCAAGGCGCGCAAGGGCGCGGACGAATTACAACCACTCTGCGGCCTGCCGATATCTACATACCCGTCCTCGACGAAGCTGTTATGGATGCTGAGACATGTGGACAAAGTCAAGAAAGCGTACGACGAAGGCCGACTCGCCTTCGGTACGGTCGATACGTGGCTCGTATACAAATTGAACGGCGGTCCCAAGGCGAACGTGTTCGTTACTGACCCTACGAATGCATCGCGAACAATGTGGATGAACATCCATAAACTGCAGTATGACGACAAACTTATCTCCTTCTTCGACCTAGATGTCAAGACACCGAAGCTCCATCTCCCAAAGATCGTTCCGTCGTCCGATCCCGCCGCGTATGGGAAACTGGCCAGCACGAAACTCAAGGGAACCAAAATCACAGGCTGCTTGGGCGACCAGTCGGCCGCGCTTGTTGGCCAGAATGGCTTCGTGCCTGGGCGCGCAAAGAACACATACGGCACCGGGTGTTTTCTCTTGTACAACGTCGGCGAGGAACCCGTCATATCTACGCACGGACTACTTGCAACTGTCGCATACGACTTTTCACCACAGGGGATCAAACCAGTGTACGCGCTCGAAGGGTCTATCGCGGTCGCCGGATCGAGTGTCCAGTTCCTGCGGGATAACCTTGGGTTCTTCCCCGAAGCACCGAAAGTCAGTGAACTCGCGCAGACGGTGGATGACAATGGAGGGATTGTGTTCGTGACGGCCTTTAGCGGCCTGTTTGCGCCGTACTGGTATGACGACGTCAAGGGGACAATCTGGGGGATGACAAATTACACGCAAAAAGGGCACATCGCGCGTGCGACGCTCGAGGCCACGTGTTTCCAGACGAAAGCGATCTTGGATGCGATGGAGAAGGACGCAGGTGTCAAGTTGCAGGAGTTGGCGGTCGACGGGGGCATGAGTAATTCTGATTTGTGCATGCAGGTAAGAAGAAGCAACACTTTTCCTTTGATGGGACAGACTTCTGTATGATAGTGCTGCTGAGACTGACGACTATAAATTAATGGCAGACACAATCCGACATCATCCAGATCCCAGTGGATCGGCCCAAGATGCGCGAGACGACGGCACTGGGAGCGGCCGTCGCCGCGGGATTCGCAGTGGGAGTGTGGAAGAATTTCGACGAGTTGAAGGAGATCAATTCGGAAGGACGGTCCTTTTTCAAGCCCAAGATCAGCCAGCAGGCCAGCGACAAGATGTATCGACGGTGGACCAAGGCTGTCGAGATGAGCAAAGGGTGGGAGAGTGAGGATGAAGAGGAAGAAGAGCAGGCGAAAGAGGAGAAGGGGAAGTTGTAAATGGGCGGGCTTCAGCCGGAGAACACTTTCGGACGAGATCTGCAATGATACCAGTCACTATATCACGATTGCAGTGTCGTGGGAATAGGCTGAGGGATATTTCATTTCACACCCTCGAGCAAGCTTGCGTAGACCTTCATGAAGAACATGTCTATGGCACCTGTCGTTGCTCACCTTCAGAACTGGTTTGGGTCCTCATACTGCTCGATCCTGGCCTCCCAATCCTTCCGCATAGTTTCCATTTTCTTCCAAACTTCAGCGCCTTGAGAAATGAAATTCTCCACGTCCTCGTGTGTCGCATCCACGGCGCCCGTTTTGCGGCCCAGGTTGCCTCCCCACCACTTGTGCTTGAATGGCTTCCCTGTCCCATTGATACCCCAGCCTTCGACGTCAGACACGCGAACCGACGATCGACCTAGGCGATCACACGCGGATCCCCATTTACATGGTCCACCGGGACTGCCTGCGGCGGCCGCGGCTTTCGCATTGATCTCGGCCTGCGATGCAAGGACAAGCCATGTCACAGATGCTGCTCCCAGATAGCTAGTCACGTTTGCCCACGGCGACCCGCACCAGCGCGCTAGATAGATGCCCAGACGATAGCATTGATGGACGATCCAGTATAGGCTTATGATTGTGGTCGTGCATATTCCAGGGTGTGCGACCAGGAAGCTCGGTTCTGATTGCGGCGTCCTTGACCACAGCGCCAACTCCATCGATGGAGAAGGGGTGATGTATTCTTTGACCGACGCCGCTGTCGCAGGCTGACTTACAGCTGTCAATGCCATAAGATCGGTCAGCCTCTTGGTGTGCTCGTACGCTGCTTCTGACCTCAGCCCCTGATGGTCGTCCGGGTTGTAATGGTGCGCCGAGGCTTCGATGGACGAAACCCATACAATCTTGCCCGGGGAGCCCGAAGGACATGCGCGGATCAATGGCATCAGCCAGTGGACCAGGATATAGTGTCCGAAGGTATTTGCGCAGAACACCTCACCCAAGACCGGCTCTTCGTGCGCAGCTTTTGACATGGGTAGGAATTGTGTCCTTGCCACCAATCCCACCACGCCCAACTTGAAGGTCGGCCATGTCGTCGCTTGTCTTATGCCTGTCAAGACGTTGTAAAATGTCAAGGGCCAGTTGAGACCGGACCAGCCGCCGATACCTGCGTTGAGGACGATCGCATCGAGATGAGGGATAGGGAGATCGAGAAGTCTGCGGCTCAGAGCGCGCACCGAAAGGAGAGAGGTCAATTCGACTTTCTCGGGTTGGAAACAGACCCTACGATCGGACTTTTTGTTGTGGGAGCCATGCCCATGCCGTGCGAGGTGCTTCTCGAGCGAGGAGAGCGTTTCGGCGCCCTTGCGTGGACCGCGTGTCGTGTAGATGATTGTCAACGTGCCATGACTGTCAGCAGACGCGAGATACTCGTCAATCAGACGGCAGCAGATTCCTAGGCCTAGACCGCTTTGAGCAACGGAGGCAATGTTAGTGACCAAATATCGACTGCGGATTTGGGCGATTGGGGGAGGGCGGAGGTCAGCAGAAGGGGGAACATGCCTGTTTGCACCTGTTACTAGGACATATTGGTCCTGGGTAGTCATTTGGGTGTCGCTGACTTGAAGCGCTGAATGGACGAAGATGTCGTTTGCATATTGCAAGTTGAGAAGAGGTCGGGCTACAGGTGTCAGTAGTCAATAAGGACTCCGGAAACTCCATCAGCTTTGTGGCTTCTCGTATAATTTATTATTAGTGGCGCGACTCGGATATTTCCAGCGGAGTCGAAATCTTGTCATCTACTTCTCCCCTCTCGGCATCAACATCGACCATCCACTCATACCTGGTACCGAGTATGTACACGATGGTCCTTAACTCATTGAATTATCAGTGATATTATGTGAGTTGCAAAGACGCTACTTGAAGCTTCCCTCCAGGACTTCATCACAAAGTTTGATCATGAGTGCGACAACACCAGCCTGGATCTATGTCATGCAAACGTCCATATTGCCCACGACCTCATTTCCTCCTTTGCCGTGGCTATCGTGCAGGATGTTGTAACTTCACTTGGAGGCCGTGTTCATCATTCAGGCGCAGCCGGATTTTCACTGCCGACGCATAGCCATGTAGGCTTCTTCGGGTTCCAGGCCTTTGGGTCGACCTGGGGACATACCATGTTCGATCTTCTCGTATTTGCATCGAGGAATGTTCCTATACATTCCAATCAAACTTGCACCATTGTTGCACCCACTTGCTCATCATGCGAAAGCTCCGAGACTCCGTGGCTTTCCCTTGTTCAAAGAATGTCACCATGGCTACCGCAGGTATGTCTCTTCATCTTTGTTTGGTGAGCTCGACCGGAACGGGAACAAGTCACGAATTCCACCAAAACCTCTTTCTTTCATCATGCCAAAATCGGCTCAAGTGAACAGTTTACCCTTGGGGCTCGCTTGCTGGATGCTGTTGGCACGAAGAAAGCTTTCATCTTGACCCCTTTTGAGTTCCTCAAACCCAGCCTCGATCACGATGATATTGCTCCTCGTCTTCTACTCGATCCTTTGTCCGGCTCTTGTTGGAGCCATCACTGTACAAGAACTTCCAACATGCGCGGTAGGTGCAGGAACCAAATTTCACGGCTTCTGTGACTGACCCAAGGCAGCAAAATTGTCTTTCGAATTCTACCTCAGTTCAGACTTCCTGCTCCGTAATAGACATTGCCTGCCTCTGTTTGAGTTCAACGTATGTGACGGCATTGTCATGTTGTTTGTATACCAACTGCAATGCAAATGACCAAGCTAGTCAGTTTGACGACTTGTTACTGCAAAGAGAAGAACCGCTGACAACTGAATAGCTGCAATCCAATTCAACAAGCAGGAGTGCGCCAATGTCAATGAGACGGCTCCGGATTTTGTTGGATGCTCTCCAGCCGGGTTATCCAGTGCCTTGGCCAGCATGAGTCTGAGCCAGATCACAACGGCCGGGTCTTCGACAGCGTCCTCGGCAACTACGACATCTTCCTCAGTCAACCCGTTGTTGAGCACAATAACCGGCAACGTGATCACCGAAATGGCTCCAATGTCCACGACGAAGCCACCAACAGCAACATATGCAGGTCGACCACTACTGACAGGAAGTTGTACAGTGCCGTATTTCGCCTTTGTAACCGGGTCCAACAACGAAGTCATCGAGTTTCCCGCCATCGGATGCTCTGACCAGAGACCAGAATGTTGTCCGTACGAGCCGGGCACCAGCGCCTTAATCACACAGTGTCCACAGGACTATTTTAGCACATCCAGCGCCTGCTGTCCATTGTAAGTTCTCTGGTTATGCTCGGTCACGTTCAAGCTGACTCCGATATACAGCGGTTATCAAATATACTATACCGCACTCGGCGGTCAAACACCATGTTATTCGAACCCGAGTACGACACTCGTCCCCGTATCAACGCCGACCGCCTCGGGTCTGACCCTCATAACGGAGCATGTTTTCGCAGACAAGTACATGCTAGCTCCAGCGACAGCTACGAAGCACAAGCTGCCTACCGCCGCCGTGATTGGTATATCTGTCAACGCATGTCTTTTTGTAGGGGTCATAATCTCGCTATGGTGGTGGTTTGGACCGCGTAAAAGGAGGAGAGCTCAGCAAGCAGCGGCTCGAACCACCACATTCCCGCCAGAAGAACCTGCGCTTCAAATGTCCAGAGCGCCCACAATGCACGAGCTTGACAGCCCCGAACGACAAGCAGGATCGCCAGGTGCCCTCTCACGCTGGGGAAGTTTTCCGGCATCATCACCTCCGGCATATGACCAGGAGAAAAGCAAGCCAAAGCCGAAGCAAATCGTCCCGCAGGAGTTGCCAGGCAGCACATGGATCAACGAGCATCATCCAGCGTTCTTCTCAGGCGAAGATACTCCATCGGAGGCCACGCAGCCATCTCCTCCTAGGACGCCAATTCAAAAAGCAACGCCGACTGAACCGAGGTCGCCGGTTGTGTCTGCCATAACATCAAGATCAGGGAATCAAAGTCCGTCATTTGTGTCGCCGCTCGGGTCACCAAGACTGCCGCATGCCTCGCCTTGACAAATTGTTTCGGTTTTTGTGCATAGTCTTGTTTGGACATGGGGACGTGGTAATGCAAATTGCGGCGGAAGAAGGAGGAGAGGTCGATGGCTGCCTGACGCACAAAGACAGCATAGAGGGTGATGAAAGTAGTGGATACTGCAGCCGCAGAGTGTTCTAGGAGTACAATGACAGCGGTGACTGCAACGATGACCTTTAAGCGTTGATATACTTGGTGGATGCCGAGGCAGTGTTGGTCAGTGCGATGGAGGTGGCGATTACCGCAGCCTCAACAGCTGTGTACACTCAGTGCGTATGCATACCATCACGCCTATAGCTAGTAGGACGAGTCTGACGATCCAAGAGTCCTCAGTCATGGCTGCAGGCATGTACATAGTATTATCCTTTCCCATATGTGTATCCATGAAGTCCCAAGGTTCAGGCTCTAGGCGCTCCTCGCAGCGCTCCCTCGGATGAACGCCATTCCGTCCCGCCTGCGATCATTACACAGCTGCACTATCATCTGCGGAGGCTGGAATTGGCTTCCCTCACCTTCAAACTCCCATTCAACGTCGGGTACTTGTGGCCCAGGGGGAGGGGTATGGCCACGCATCGGAAATCCGGATCGAAGCATTTCCAAGCAACGGCACGCGGATTACCTAGAAGTCTTAATATCAGTACTCACCTTCGAGATCGCCCTTCCACAGTTAAATCAGGCCTCCCCCTTCTCCATCCTGCAATGACATGACCCCCCACAAGAACACGATGGCCATCCACAGGGGATGGATGCAAGCGACATTTGGAGAGGGGCGTCAGCAACGACGACAGGGACGGGAATGCTCTGCCATCCACCTCCCGCCTGGCATATGTTCGACGAAAATCGTTTGACTAGATCAAGCCACAGTCGGGGACTTCTCCAACGTCAAGCGAGCATGCAGCCAATTCCGACTACAAACGTAACGAGAACCATGTGTCCAAATCTGGGGTACCCCCGTGTGAAGTCTTGGGGAAAGGCGGGTCCATGCCGTATTCGACGCGGAAACGATGGATCTTTACCGGTCTCGAGCCCATTGTCGGGGAATATAAACCCTCTGACTGGGTCCACTGAGGGTCGCTCTCTGTTCTGCACTTTCGCATCTTCTCAACTTAGACAGTTCGAAAGGCCTGCTTGTGGTTCCAGTCCTTATCGATCCAAACATGAGTGACACCGCCAACTTCGGCTCCGCCTCCCATGCGGATCCTGTCGATAAAAACGTCTACTTGGAAGACGATCCTCATCGTGCTGCTTTGGAGGATAACCCTGAAGTACCTGAGAAACTCACCTGGAGCACTGTCCTGTCTATCTTCGTAAGTGAGCCCTCACCACTTACCAGTCCAGCGGGGTTTGAGCACTGACATTGCGGTCCCTGTCAGTTTCTCGGCTTGGCCTTCGTGGGCCCTGTTTCGGGCGGATTCCTCCTACCAACGGCGATCCTCTTCCAGATCGGCACAGAGCTAGGTGACACCTCAAACATCGCCTGGATTCCCGGTGGATGGTCGATTGCATCTTCCGTCTCTTTCTCGATCGCGGGCTCCCTTAGCGACATCTTCGGCCGCCGCTACGTGACGCTCAGTGGCCAGGCTTTTGCTGTCGTCGGTGCCGTAAGTCTTCCTGTCTACCAGCAAAATCTGCACCTCCGGAAACAGGAGAAGAAAGACTGAGATCCATAACTCTGTCAGATCGTTGGTGCTACGGCGAATACGACCACCACTGTTGTCGTTGCCTCTACACTGCTCGGGTTCGCGACCGGCATCATCTTCGTTGCTTATGCTGGAATCCCGGAGCTGCTACCAAACAAGTGGCGGTATGTGCGGCGAAACGCCATTGCTCATATCTTCCAGTGGAAGAAATCGCTGATCTGGAAGCTAGGAATGTTGGCCTCGCATGGACTGAAGCGCCATGGCCGTCCCTTGGTCCATATGTGGTGTGATCATCGCCAACCAACTCGTCTCCAAAGCGACGTGGAGATGGTGCTTCTACATTGCCATCATATATTCCGTCATTTCGGTGGTGGGCACGGCGCTGGTCTACTTCCCCCCCTCTCGCCCGCGAAGAGACTACGAAAAGACCCGCTGGCAGGAGATCAAGGAAATTGACTACCTGGGCATTGTTCTGTACACGTCAGGTTTGACTGTCTTCCTCGTTGGACTTACCTGGGCAGGTTCGGCTGCGCACCCGTGGAAGAGCGCCTCCGTGATCGCACCCATTGTCATCGGCGTCGTCGTCTTTATTGCGTGCTTCGTCTACGACTTCACAGTCCCACAGCAGCCTTTCTTCCCACTCGACCTGTTCCGCCGATATCGAGAATTCACCGTCCTCCTCGTTGTCGTGTTCGTGGCCGGAATGATCTTCTACTCCATGGCTGGTCTTCTGCCGCAAGGGACACTCTACATGTTCGAAAGTGATCCGACCCAGATTGGCTTGACCCAGCTGCCCAATGGTATAGGCACTTTTGTCGGCGGTACACTCATGCCTGCGATCGCTCACAAAATCAAGCACTTGAAGATGCAGATCATCGTCGCGCTGACGATCCAGCTGGTCTTCGTGGCTCTGTACTCGGTGGCAATCCCGCAGAGCAAGGCGGCGTGGATGGCTTTCCAGTTCTTCGGACAAGGTTGCTTCGGCATGATCACACTTCTCTGCTATTTCATCGCGGGACTCCATGTAAGTCGTTGTCCCTGTCCCTGGATCCGCCACGACTACCATCCATCCAGGCTAATTGCATTTCTTTCCGTTAGGTACCACTTCGAGAACTCGGCATTGCTTCAGGCCTCATTGGCACATTCCGCAGCGCGGGCGGGAGTGTTGGCAACGCCATCTTCAACACGATTCTGACCTCCGTTGTCAATGTCGAAATGCCCAAACGAGTCATCGCAGCCGCCATTGATGCCGGGTTTCCCGCCGCCAATCTCGAACAGCTGATCCCCGCCGTCATAGGCGCGGCGACCGGCGTGCCCGACGCCTTTGCTGCCGTGAAAGGCGCCACACCTGCAGTTCAAGCCGCCACACTTACGGCGTACCGTGGAGCCTATGGCTACGCGTTCAAGAGAGTGTTCTGGGCGACGATTCCGTTTGGTGTGATCGCCATCATCGCCGCCTGCTTCGTCTTGGATTCATCCAAATATCTGACCAACCATACAGCCGTGCACATGGAGAAGGACACCATCGGCGGCCGGACGGTGACGCAGGTCCAACATACCGAAGATGTCGAGAGACACGATGGGCTGGAGAAGGTGGAGCATGGCACGAACAAAAGGCTGTGACTCTGTTTTTCCTATTGCCGGAAGAGCAATATAATCTGTGTTTGGGTGGTATGGTCAAGGAGTTTGCGACGTTTGGAGTGTAGTATTCTGTAATCACCACCGTCCTTCGCATATCCCCTCAAGTCCACTTCTGTAGTCTAGTTGTACCTCGGGAACATGCCATATGCAACACTGAGAACGATTGATATAACCTCGACGAGGCTTGACAGGGTTCAACAGAGGTCCTCATATCGTAGAATCACGCGCGACATTGCATGCTGGGAATATGCTCTGTGCAAAAGCTGTACTACCTGCTGACGACTCAGGAGCATACTGTACCATGTCGATTTACATCAACGACAGAGCCTCGAAACGGGGAAGTCGATACATGCCTTGGTCCCTCATGCATACCATGTCCTTGTACCTCTACGGAGCGCGCAATCGACAACGAGGTACATCTCTTCGCCAAATGAAGCATTACCACAACTAAAAGGGAACTCTACGAGAGTGGACAGTGAAATAAATGTGAGGCGCAATATCAATCATTGTCTCCCTCAGCCCCCTTTCATCAAAGGGGGAACATCTCGTCTCTACGTACTCCACCACGGTCATGCCAACGCACAACCACCAGGCCCATCCAGTAATAGGATGATTGCAGCCTCCCTCCCTCCGCCCCACCCTATCAGGCCAGCCAACCTCAAAGGGAAGGACGTCTTGCTGAGTTCGCCCTCAAGGACTCGCCTAGTTGTTCGGCCGTACGGCCTACTAATCCCAGGGTCACCTATATTGAAGCTAATCAGCGAAGAAAACCCCTTCCCCCATCGGCGACTGCCTCTCCCCAGGCCCATCCTCGCCGGGATGATTGCAGCCTCCAACCCCCCTATCAGGCCAGCCCACCTCCGAAGGGAAGGGACCTCTTGCTGAGTTCGCCCTCAAGGACTCGCCCAGTTGTTCGGCCGTACGGCCTACTAATCCCAGGGTCACCTATATTGAAGCTAATCAGCGAAGAAAAACCCCCTCCTTCTTTGGTGACTGCCTCTCCCCCCCAAGGCCCATCCTCTCCCAGGATGATTGCAGCCTTCCTTCCTATCTCCTATTCGCGGCCTTCTTGGCCCGAATGTTCCCTCCACAGGGCTCCGGGATCGCACCACCGCGATTCACCCCCGCGGTCCCCACGCGCACGGTATCGCCCTCGTAGCGATTACCGGCGTCGTCCTCGCCGTACCATCTCGTCTCCCCGGCCACCGGGTTGCTTGCCACGACGCCGAAGCCCGCGGCGCCAGCCCGGCCATCGCGCACGTGCCGGTTGAACTCGCCCTGGTACAGGACGGCGTGGCCGCACACGTCGCAGATGAACAGCCAGTTGGGGTCTCGCCCCGTGATGGTCTTGACGTTGTTGTGGTGGGGTCGGCCACCAGCAGCAACAGGGACGGGAGCGAGAGCGACAAGAGGAGCGACAACAGGAGCGACAGGAAGAGGAACAGGAGGAGGCCGAGCGACAACAGGACCAGCAGGAGCACGAGCAGGAGCAGGAACAGCCGCACGAGGCGGGGGGAAATTGTCGTTCCATGCCCAGACATCGTCGAGGATCTCCTGGGTGACGGCCCATGGCCGTCCCGCCAGGTCCCAGTATGGCTGGGCGATTCTCTCGAGTTCCGCCCTGGCCTCGGCCGGCTGGTCGTAAAACTCGTCAAAGATGGTGGGATCTGGCCGGTCCCACAGCCGGCACATGAGCGCCGCCATGTATCTGGAGTTGCTGGTGCGGCGATAGTCGCCCACCAATTGTCGAAACTCCCTCAGGTGTTGAGGGTTCATGGCCTCGGGCCGCAAGAAACCGTGGTTGGCGTGCCACTCGTCGTTTCTTCGCGCCCAGTCACCATCGATGGTGCCCGAGTTTTTGATGGCCTCATTGGCCTCCTGGTTGGTCCACTGTTGTGGAATTTCTTGTTGTCGTTGTTGAGCCATTGTGACAAATGGCGGAGGAGGAGAAAAAGAGAACCACCGGTGTTGGCGGAGGGTGTCTGTGGTGAAGGGACTCTCTGACCAGCAGAGAGGAGAGGAGAAGAGCCGAGAAGAGCAGAGGAAACCGAGTCGTCGGTGGTCGAGTGAGGTGAGGAAGCGGACGACACTCCTGGAGGTCGAGGATTCGAGAGGAGGAGGAGACAGGAACAATCGTCCGAGTGTGTTGATGGTGACTTTTCGTCTACCAAGGGTGTTTTCGAGCAACAAATTCTCTTGAAGAGAAGAGAGCAATCCTGTCGAACAATCGAATCCGAAGAGATTTTAGAAAAGAGCCCGCAGGCGAATTTCGAAGTGATATAGCACACACAAATTCGCTCCTGCTTGGCGAGGGAGGAGAAGGCGGTGTCCCCAGTTGTTGTGGGTGACAATTGGAAAATGGTGGCGGTAATACCGCACCACAGCAGCCTCTCTTCCTCCTCTTGCTCTTTCGCGAGATTGACTCTCTTCACCATCATCGTCGAGACGACAATAGGCCTCAAAGGCCATGAATAGTCCATCAATAGGACAATGGCCAGCCGGGGACCAGCCAACATCGTCGCCCAATTTGCGCCCTCGCTCGACGACCATCCGAGTCATGCTTCCCCTCACCCGACAACCCACTGGTGGGCGAGCTGCATCATGTCAGTTGTTTGCAAAAGGATTGAGGATGTGGATGTGTTGCGTACGTTGAAGGCCCCGTGACAATGTTTGTTTGATATATATTTATTGGGAAGTGGTGGGATCAGTGACACCGAGAGGCACGAGCAGCACTCTCATCAGTACTGAACACTCCTTCGTTGAAGTGAACGTCGTTGATGTATTTCCCACTTGCATTCATCATGAAGTCCATATGGTCGATGCCCAAACACCCAGGGACTCCGAGTGATCGAGGCACACCTCGATGGAAGACTGTGTCCGAGATGTCCCGTATCCGTGGTCCAAGGTACAGTCTTGGGAGGGCAGAATTCATGGGCGACAATGCAAAACAATGGTAGTTGGCATGTTCATGTCTGGGTATGCTGCAGTAGGCTGTGGTTGCTGTATGATACCCCCTGACTGTTCAGCCTCAGGTTGTTGTCGGCATACCTGCCCCCATTGGTGTTCGGTTGTGATGCACTCGGCAAACCTACTCATCATGGTCAGTCGGCATAGTTACCACTTGTGATCACCATCACGTGGGGACGAACCTTGGAACCAAGCAACTCACTCAAGTTGTTTGTTGTTTGCACAATTCACAATTGACAAGCATGGTCGATCCTGATCATGATACAACACTCTGCAAAGAGCGCGTCGTTTCAGTTGTTTGGACATGTTCTGAAGTTGGACATGGCCCTCAACTGGACCGCCGAGGGTCTTGAGATGGACCACCCCGACGCTCGTCGCTGAGTTGCGATGTGTGATGGTCACATATTGATTGTGATTGTCGGATCTGTGTCGCCTGAGGAGGAGGAAGAAGAAGGAAAAAACAAATGAGAAGGTGTGCAGGTGCAGGTGGGTTTAAATACTAATAGGCGGCGAGGGCGGCCATGAAGAATTCACAATATTTTGTACTTCACGGCACAACCATAGCAGCTCTAGCGAGGCACAATAACGGCATTAACGACCTCACCGCCCCCTTACCAGTGACTGTACAGATTGTACGGTCGACCAAGCAGAGGTTGCAAGGTATTTCCTCTACCAGTGACTGTACAGATTGTACGGTCGACCAAGCAGAGGTTGCAAGGTATTTGGCACAATGTCATGTGCTGGGTGGGTGAAAGCAGGGGGATGTCGATCTTATCGTGTTTGTGCTTGAATGGGTGAAAGCAGGGGGATGTCGATCTTGTCGTGTGGTGTTTTGTGCTTGATGGGGTGCATCTACGAGAGAGACGATGGGCTTTTGTCTTGGAGGCAGGAGGCCGGCGTCAGTCGTCAGGACTCAAGAGGCACTGTGTGCGTATGGGAGCTCACTAGCAAAGGCGCTAGGGGTTCCCATGAGTTCCGGAAAGCCTTGGATGGTGTATGATGGAGACCCTCTATCTATGTCTGGCCGCTATTACTACAACTACGGACTGGCACAGGGAGCATTTTTGGCACAACCTGGGCAGACAACCAAAAGGTTGAGATGGGCACAACTTGTCCTGTCATGACGATGAGAAAGTACAGTGCAGTCTTTGCAAAGGGCGGCAAAGACATGGCCGTTGACAGACATCAAGGGAGAACAAGCACCTTCCTGACTTTCTGTGTCTTGTGTTCTTCGTCGTGCAAGGAAATCACGCCACGACTACTAGGAGAATGCTTGTCCAGAGCTCAGATCTCAGCCAGAGAATTCATTCAGATCCAGCGCCGCCGACTCTAATGTATGAGGTATCTTCTTTTGCAAAAATGCACAACTACACAAAGCCCTGCAGACCCGCTTCAAGCTGCATGCGCCTTGACTCCCTCGGCCCGCAACTTCGATCTACTCACTTTCTTCACACCCTGCTTGCTCTCGACGATTTCATCTTCCGTCCCAGAGGCAGCCTGACTCTTCCTCGCGCGCCACTGCCACTCCCACAGCACAGGCAGGAAGCTCCACAGATCAAAGTCTGGCCACAAGACATCCAGAAACATAATCTGCGTATCTTCATGGCACTGCCAAAGCATAAAATCAGATAATCGACTGACACCACTTGTGCGAATGAGGAGATCAATAGGCGGGTCCGAGGCGGTGTACATGTGCGAGTTTAGCGTCTCGGGGGTGATGAGTTCTGGAGAAGGGTATATCGGTTTCTGCTGCGAGGCATCTTGCTGTTCTTTGCTGTCAAGGGATGTAAACTCTGGTGGTGGCGAGGTCGTGTTGTCGTCGTGGTGCAGGGTTGTGGACGTCGATACAGACGACGTGTCATGCTCGTGGTCCTGGTCGGAGTGTGAGTATGATGATAACGAGGTCGTGCTCGATGATGGCGACTGCATGTCGTCTGCTGGTGGCTGGAGATATGTAGGCTTTGCGTTCGTATCGTGTTGCTGCTGCGAGCGGATCGTGCTGGCTATCCTCTCTTCTCGAGATGGACTCGGCCTTCCCTGCTTGTGGGATATGGGTCTGGAATATTCCTCGACTGTCTCGCGGATCGCAGTCGTAATCTCCTCTCGACTCGTATATGGAAAGCAAACATTCAGCACGCAGGTTCCATTCCGAGACGTCATTTCGACGGCTCTATCCACGACTTCAAGAACGTCCGGCTTGATGAGCTCCCGCTGACCCAGAATGCGTATTCGCGCGCCGTACCGGTCCAGTAATTCTCCATGCTGGACGAGTTGTTTCAGTTTGATCTTGGCCATGTCCATGAGCGCGTCCACTTCGTATTTCGTTCTCTTGAAATTCTCGATGCTGAAGGCGTAGATTGTTACGTGGGTCACGCCGGACTTGTAGCATACTTCGAGGATCTAGTAGCAGAAGCGGTCTGGTCAGCTTGCGAAAGAACCCCCCCTGGAGCTTGTAAGTTTGTAATGCAACCCACCTTTGCCAGAGCTTCGAATCCCAAGTTATGTCCCTCCACGGTTTCTATTCGGTGGGTTTTGGCGTACCGTCTATTCCCATCCATCACAAAGGCAACATGTTTCGGCATTGGGCCTTGTCGCAGGGCCCCGATGAGCACCGATCGGAGCTGGTTGAGGGCCCACTCTGCAGGAGGAGAGGATAGGAGCCATCGGCGAACGTGGGACATGTGCCTGGATGTCATTGTAGCGGTGCAGTGAGTGGGATGGTGAAATGGCGGTCTCTTTGCATGTAGGAACTGGCGACTTCTCGGATCACTTTTGGCGTTGAGCTGGGCTCAGACGAAGGGAAGGAGTGGCATGAGACTGGATGATGTTTCAAGGGCGCAAACACCGTACACAGTATCAAGCTACCAGTACGAAAGCATTAGGTGCGCAATGGTATACGTGGCCGCCGAGCCGCACAGGTGATGGGCAAACTGCGCCTACTTTTTGAGAAATGTTGGTGAGGTTCTGCCAGGTTCCGGGGTGACGTACGGGGGTACAGTTAGTAAAGTACTCGGCAACTTGTTTCCCCTGCTTTAAGTGGCCTCCAATTAAAGACTTGTGCCTGGCATGGTGGTCACCGTCTAGACACTCGAGTATTCTGTATAGAACGAATATTCATGCAATTCAATTTAATAGTATATCAAGACATCCTGCCATCCTGCCATCCTGCCATGCTGTCTCAACCCCGACAGATGCGTCCCGGAAGAAGGCCATTTGCTCAAGAAGAGAGTCGTTTTGTACTCGCTAATACTGCACAAAAGAAACCATCCAGCTCGTCAATGTCACCTGTCCGACACTCGAGCACTCTCCTTCTCCCCTCCTCGACCACTAGGCGGGAGTAACACATCAGGAAGCTTGATCCCTACACCTCCTTTGGTACCGACTTCCTTTTCCTTCTTCGGTGGAGGGCTGCCTCGGCCACCGTTGTTGTCCTTCTTCTCCTCTTCTTCCTGAAGCTGGACTTCCAATCGTTTCAATTTTTCCCCGCGCAGGATCTTCATGATCTCTTCCCGGTCGAGCGTTTCGAATTCAAGAAGGGCATCCTTCAACGCCTCTAATTCCTTGCGCTTGTCTTTCAGAATCTTGTCCGCTCGCTCTCTTCCAGCCTCCACAATATCGCGAACTTCACGTTCAATCTCCTGCTTGGTCTCGCTTGACAAGTTGTTGTAGTCTGAGTGAAGGTCGACATTGCCGAGCTTGGGCGAAAAGCCGCACTGCGTGACGAGGTGATAAGCAGTTCGTGTCGCTTGCTGAACATCCGAAGTGATACCGCTTGTCACCTTGTTTGGGCCGTAGACCAATTCCTCTGCCGCTCTTCCGCCCATTGCCACATCGATATCGCTGAGAAATTGGTCGTAAGCGTAGCTCACAGCATCCATCTCCGGTAACTGATGGGTAACGCCGAGAGCATGTCCGCGAGGGATGATGGTCATCTTGTACAATTCCTTGCTGCCGGGGGTGAAGAGATTGACCAGGGCATGGCCGGCCTCATGGTAAGCCGTCATCACCTTGTCCTTTTCACGAATAACTCTCGACTTGTTCTCGGCGCCCATCATAATCTTATCCTTGGCCCACTCAAAATTTTGAGCGTTGACCTTCTTGTACTTCAGTCGAGAGGCGTTAACGGCGGCCTGATTGCAAAGGTTCTCCAGCTCGGCGCCAGACATGCCACTGGTGGCACGAGCGAGATTGGTCGCGTCAACATCGGCAGCAATGGGCATGTTTCTCATATGGTGCTTCAAGATCTCGATACGGCCTCTGACATCCGGCAGCGGAACGGTGACATGACGATCGAAACGGCCGGGTCGAGTAAGTGCTTTATCGAGAGATTCCGGGTAGTTGGTAGCAGCAATTAGAATAACTCCAGTACTGGGGCTGAAACCATCCAGTTCGGTCAGCAGTTGGTTGAGCGTCTGCTTGGCGTAGGCCGGGTCACGAGCGTTTCTCTTGCCACCAACTGCATCAAGTTCGTCGATGAAGATGATGGCAGGAGCCTTGTTTCGCGCTTGAGAGAACAGATCTCGGACACGTTTGGCGCCAACGCCGACATAAAGCTCGTCAAATTCGGACCCAGACATGTAGAATACTGGAACACCCGCTTCACCAGCAACAGCGCGAGCAAGCATAGTCTTGCCGGTACCGGGAGGACCGACCAACAGGACACCCTTGGGAAGTTTGCCGCCGAGTCGGTTGAATTTGTCGGGGTTCTTCAGGAATTCGACCAGTTCTTGGAGCTCTTCCTTTGCTTCGTCGCAGCCATGCACATCGCTGAAACGGACAGTCTGGTGTTGAGGTTGAACTTCGTTGTTCTGCCCAACTCTGGTACGGAAGCTGCCGGTGAATTCCACAACCATGGTGAGAACGACTAGGAGGAAGTAACCCGCCAGACCGACCCAAAGGAACGTCTTGACCCACTTCAAGATTGTGGCTCCCCACGACTCTTCAACCACAACATAGAGTGGTGCCTCTTTAGCGCCAGTACCCGACTTGTTCCCAGGCATGATCAGTTGTCCACCGTAGTTCTGGCCAGCAACTGCTTGACCAACAGCTTGCAACTTGTCCGGGCTCAATCCGCCACCTTGTGCCATGGCCCCGGACCCGACTCCAGCGCCAGGGGCAGGAACAGAGCCGGTCATCTGCAAAGCCTTAAGATATGTAGCATCTGCGGCCGGATTTGTAGCATATCGACCAGACTGATATCTTTCAATGACAATCTTGGGCATATTGGCTCGTAGTAGGGCAGAATAGAAAGCGGTCTGGGCGGTAGCGCTGGTAGGATTGTTGTTGGCGGTTCTTTCGGCGTGGGCCAGCATATTCTGATTCGCAGGCTGGAAGGTGGTGGAGAACTTTCTATATGATATCTTGGACCCGGAGCCTCCTTTGCGTGGAGGCCCGAACAGGAGCGATGTCATTGTCGATTGCATACGTGGATGTGCAACAGCATTCGATGGCGTAGGAGTTCTTGAAGCCGTAGCTCGCGGCACACTCGTGGAAAAGGCTCTCCGAAGAGATGACAAGGAAGTCTGGTGTGGCATCATGACGGCGCGCAGGCTTTGCGACATCCAGGGAAGCGATTGACGAGAATGCGTATGGAGTGGCGAGGATATCAGGCTGTTGGCTGTGGCAGTCGCCATGAAATCAGGAAGGACGGTCCTTGACGATGCCTGTCCACTGTCAGGGGTGCCGAAGTCTTTCACCAAGGCTGCATCACTTACAGTCGTCTCTGTTGCTCTCTTGCTTGATGCCGAGTGTACTTCCCGCACCGTCGGGACGTTTCCTTCTGCGCGCAGTCTGGCGAGGCGATGACGGCGGAGGGTCTGCAACGGAGAGGTAATGAGCGAAGGAAGCGTGGTGAAGACGTCTGGAGCAATAGCGGACAGGCTCTGTAAAGACATGAGAGTCAGCGAGGTCGGAGGAAGTCGAGAAACTGCGGCACTCACAGAAAGTTGAGATAGCGGAACCTGTAGGGCCATGTTGAGGGTAGAATTGGCGGCGGGCGCCGCGAAAAAAGACTTGAAAACTATCAGCAACGAAGTTATGAAACAAAAGGCCTGGACAACAAGGAAAGTAGAACAAGATGAATGGCGTCGCCTTGCCACGCTGCGAGGTGGTGGATGGTCGGTAGGATGGGCGCAGGCGGAAGTCGAGCAGTCAAGTCAGTCAGTCAGTCAGTCCTCGTACCGAGTGGATGATGTGATTCTATCCTCTTCGTTGGTCCCGCCCCCAGTGGAAACCGCCACAGGCACGTGATTCAATGCTGAGATGAGGGCACGTGCCACAACACCACACACGTGACCAGGAGAAGTCGCCGACCGACTTATTCAGTACTCCGCCACTCCGTATACCGTTCACGATCGTCTTGCTTATTGTATAAACGTGACGGCAATTACATTCAACATCGCATCCTCTAAAAGATCATGTTGGCCTGGAAATCTGATCCCAAGCTAGTACAAACTCGCCTCCAATGCTATTGCTGGTACCAATCCCCGCCAATGCTATGCTAATGCAAGTCCAAAATGCTGTCGTAAAGTCATTCAGATGCCTGTTCCGCGAGCCTTCGATCACCTCCTTTTGAATATCAACTCACGGTCCAATAAAGAACTTTGAGGCCTCCATGACATCCCGATCTCCGTTTGCAAAATCCCAGCCCACAATCCTACTATCTTGTGAGCAACACACTATTCGCCGGGCATCGAATTGGAGCTTGAATACGCGGGAAACCGAAGAATGCTGCTGGTCAGCTTGTTGACCTTGGCCTGTAGCTGGTGCGGGTGCAGGTGGCCCCTGTTGATGCTGCTGTAGTGTCATTGCTGCTTGTTGGATAGGATGCGGGAGGTTGGCAGGAGCTGTTGGCTGCTGTTGATTGTGATTGTTGACACCATTCAATGTGGGAGTGGAAGCATTCGTGACATGATCACTTGGACGCGACGCTTGACTTTGCGATCCGGTCTGCCCATGTGAAGAAGATCTGTTTTGTACTGCTTGGTTTAGCGCTTGTTGAACAGCCTGCGACACGATAGCTTGCGTATGGGTACCCGCAGCAGTGGCAATGGCTTGTGGAGTGCCGTTGATGCTCGCGTTGGCTGTAAAGCTGGAGCTGTGGTTTGTTCCCGTTCGTGGACCACTAATCGGAGGGTTCAAAAGTCTTCCAACGCCGATAACGTTCGACAGACCGGCCCCCAGACTGGCAAACGAAGTCCCGACAGCTTGTTGCACTATTTGCGAGGCGGACATGGCTGCAGGGTGAGCAGACCCTCCGGGGCCAAGGTTGGCGGGAGCGGACCGGACTTGGGGCGTCGACGCCTGAGCCGGAGCATTTGGAGGTTGAACAGGCGGGGCCGGAGGGTTGTTTGCATTCACTGGTTGAGGTTGGGATTGAGGCTGTGCTCGTGGTCTCGCGCTCCCAGGCCCATGGGCGAATGGATGCTGGAACAGCTGTTTACCGATTACCCAATGTCCCTCGGTATTCTTCCTCCAGATGATGATAGTCTGGTCGTAGCTGCCGGACACAATTCGTCCCCATTTACTACCGCCTCCGCCAGGCGGCAATTTGGCCCCCAGAGCGAGTCGGGAGCTTCCGTGTTCACCATTCCTGATTTCGCGGCTGTACTGCCTGTCTTCGACGACCCTGCCATTAGCAAGGTTGTCAAGATACTTCCGCTCGGCTTCTCTTGCTAGCAAGTTATCATCCTCTTCACTTCCAGGCAAGTCACCGAACCCAGCTTGAATGGTGCGTACCAAATTGCGGTGGCCCTTCAGTTCTGCAACTTCCGCGCCTGTGTAGGGATCGTATATCCGAACAGTGTTGTCACTACTGCCACTGACGATACGCTTGCTGTCGAATTGGACGCAAGCGATACCTTTCTGATGCCCCTGGAGTGTTCGCAAAAGCTTGCCACTTTTCGCGCTCCATACCTTGATAAGCCTATCGCCAGAGGCAGACACGATCAAATCTCCGTTGATCTGAATAGCATTAACCGCGGCATTATGCCCTTCCAGGGTCAGCAAAAGCATGTACGGTTTCAAAGCCCGGATGGTGCCGTTGGCCAGTCTTGTCTCTAGGAGAGAAGGCTCCATGTCCACCGTATTGACGATGTAAGAAGGCACGCGAGCCGAGCTAGCACGATCGATCTTTGGATAGTCCTCGTCCGTCGCAGTCAAATGCCGACGGTTCCATATCTTGATTCGCCGGTCTTTGGAACATGTTACCAGGTATCGTTTGTCAAATCTGAGATTGAGCACGGATTCTTCGTGGGCGGACGGGATTTCATGGATTTTTTGACCAGTGGAGAAACGCCATATCAAGACGCTGGCATCGCTGCTGCCAGATATGACGACGTCCTCGCTCTCTGTGGGATCAAATTGAAGGCACAACACTGATTGAGAGTGGCCAACAAGAGGCTTGCCCCGGAGTCGTCTAGTCTCAAGATCCCATATACGAAGCGTCTTGTCTCGACTGCCACTAACAAGCCATCTGCCGAAGAATTGGATGGTGTAGACACATTCGGTGTGAGCTTCATTCGGGTGGTCCGGGTGTGGTAATTCAAAGGTTGCATAAAGCCCCTTGGACCAGTTGGACTCCAGCTTCTGGCGTTGCATATACAGATGAAGCCAGTTCAGCTTCTCTCCACCACTGGAATCAGTGACGATCAAGCTCGACTTGATCGGAGGCTCCGGGGCATCAACAGCATTGCTGTCTTCATTCTTGACATCCATGTTGCTGGGGTTGTAATCCATCTCGTCATCGGACTCCTGGCTTGATCTCTTGTTCGGCCTCTGAGGGGAATTCTGGATGCTGTTTGGCGCATCTTGCATTTCTTGGTCCTCAGACTCTGATCTGAAATCCGTGTCCGCCTCGACCACACCATGCTGTTCACGCCACGAGGATACGTCGGCCGAAACCTTGCGTGGTCGTGATTCCAGCCAGTCCGAGGTAGCACGCTTCTTAAGGGAAGGCTGGCCATGAAGTCGTCCTCGGGCCTTCTTGAGTTCTTGTCTGACTAGGGAATTGTGTGCATTCTCGAATGCCCTGACCTCCTTGTGGTCGTATCTCCAGCCTTGATTCTTGTACAGTTCGAGCCAAAGCATAGGATCCATGATCCGTGCCCGCCAGGTCCGCGATGCAAGTGACGCAGTCAACAGGGTGTTGGCATCAAGGTATGAAAAGATCAACCCAGTAATCTCGGCAGGGAGCTTTTCAACAGGATCGATGTGTAGAAGTGGCGTCAATCTGTCGACTACTGCTGCAATGTTTGAGGTCCTGAGTGTGCGCAACACTTCGTATGCAATCTCTGCTCGAGCATCTTCATTTTGAGCCATAACCCATTCTTGGAATCGAGCAGCCATGGCTGCAAACATGTGGCGCCCATTCTCGTCCTGACTCGAGGCATCTTCTGAAAAGCCTTCGTCGAGACGGAAGGGTGTGTTTGTAGAGCTAGAGGCATAGGACGACCGCAGCGGGTCAAGATCGGGGTTGTTATAGGGATCCATCGTCGACGGACGTGAAGGGTGTCCAGTCCGCGAGAGAGGCGACTCGAGCAAAAACTGAGGCTCGGAGGAATTGCAGCGGCGACGTTGATACCGAAATGTTGTCTACCAGTTCTGAATGGAGAGGCTGCAAGGCTTCGTGGCACGATCGAGATGGGAGATTGGACCCAAGGTGAGTTGTGGTGAGCACAAGAGCATGTGAACCTTCCGAGCGTGCCGTCAGGATTGCATATTTGAGCTGGACACTCCGGAGAGATTAGGCAATCAGATGTGCAGGTAGAAAGGCGTGAAATGTTGTGCAACGAAGCCAACAAAAGGACAGGAGTGGATGAGAAAGCGATGCCTGTATGGATGATGTCGAGCCCAGGTTGTGTTGGGGGATGCGATTCTGCCTTGTTTTGATTCACTAAGGTACCTGGCGAGTTGGTACTCACGGGCACCCGACGGGTAATCGCCATTGGCACCCAGAGTGGCTCGGGTGGGCGACCACTGACCACTGACCACTGACCACGGACTAGGGTCTTCCATCTTATGGGACCATGATGGGACTCTTTCCCACCAGCCTGATCGGCGAAATGACACAATTCAAGCCACCACTCTACCGTATTCGCGTATTCTACCTACTAGGTACCTTACATGTATCTCGAGGTGTCACAGTTATGCAAATACAGAGACAGAGGTACGGGTACCTAAGGTTGTAACATTGTACTTCACAGACATCAAACTACAAGGTATAGCAACCACATCATCCTTGGGCCCGAATCTCAATTGTTTCGTAGACAATTTCCGTGTTCGGCTTCGAGTACACACCTTGCAATGAGCGACGAATATAATCGCCGGACGTCATGGGTTGAAATTTTGCCGGATTCTCGAGAGTCACACATGTGTCAAGAGCTTTAATGACTGCTTCTTGATTCGCTAAAGCCACTTAGCAAAGGCAACGGGAATCGACACCTTCGGTTTGAAAAGACTCACCACCGAAGAAGAATGGCACCGAATAACGAGCTCGCTGCGAAGTGTTCCGGACTCGGTGCATCGTGGAGGAGAAGAGACCGTTCGTGAGCATAGCCAGGGTGTCACCAATGTTCACCACAAATGTGCCCGGGATAGGCTTGGCCTGGATCCATTGTCCCGTGTTGGATAGTACTTCAAGTGAAGGTATGTCGTCTTGCAGTAAGATGGTGAGGATCTCGTAGTCCGTATGAGGTCGAATCGATGAGGGCTCTTCTGTGCCTGGCAGCGTACCGGGATAATGAGCCAACTTCAGGATCGAATATGGTCGTGTGGCGAGGTAGTCAAAGGCATGCTCCTCCAAGTCTAGGCCCAAAGCAAACAATCTGAGCAAACGTCGGCTCAGTCTCAAGACCTCGGACATGTATGACTTGACTTCCGTCTCATAGCCAGGAAGACGGTCTTTGAGAGGCCACCAGTTGTCGCCATTGTTCTGCTGATCCGCAGAGTCAGGGTCGACCGATGGCTCATAACCATAATTTATGCTCTCGTTCAACTCTGCCATGATCAGCCAAGTTCCGACAGAGAGGGAAGAACTCACTGGCTCCAGCAGGCTGTTTCGGATCAAGCTTGATGGGATAATATCCATAATAGTGCTCGTGCTTCTCGGTGTCGAATCCCATCTTCTCCTCGAGAGTCAATTCACGGAAGAATCGTCTTGTCTCATCGAAGATGGACTCAACGGTGCTGTCGGGGATTCCATGGTTGCTGACATAGAAGAACCCTGTCTTTATAGCAGCATTGCATATGTCTTTTGCGACGGCTTTGCGACGTTCCAGATCTGGATGGGATCCATTGCTGATGTCGATCACAGGAAGTTGGGTCGTGGCTTCGCTGCTTGTAGAAGGTAGCACCTTTCGCCAGCCCAGCCCCGTTTTGACCTCCTGGTAGCCGTCGGGTGTAGTCCGTAGTATATCAGCCATTTATGAACCTGTTGTAAAGAAGCATCTCTGGCGACGGACTTTGCAAGAATGTCAGTATGCCAGGAATGTAAACCGTTGCCCGGACAAATCCGTAGAGACACCCAGGAGGCGGTCCTTATCATGATGTTCCTAGTGCTAAAGTCCGATCATGCTTTCTCGGCCAGAGAGCTCCGACCCCTAGATGAGAGATTCCAGAGCAAGTACATGCCTGGAGACACGTCCGCAATGGTCCCTTGTTGTCGTGGGCCTCGAAGGACTGGTACCCCGAACAGGTCCATCGCGGGCGCTACTGGCTTGTTTTAGAGGTTAGGCGCTTCGCCCCGTCTTACCCCGGGTCCGTGTTCAGCGCGGCTGGGAAAGCGGTTGAGGGAACACTGGACTTTCGAGGATGATCTGTCAAATGTTTGATTGCATCTGACCGGAGAGGAAAACTTGCCAGAAGTGCTCAGAATACAGGTACACCGTAGTCAGAGGTGAATTAGGTGAGAACAGCCTCGCCATATCGTCATACCACTTCAGCCGTGCTCAGCCTTGTTCCCCGCATACGCCCTTCATGTCAACGTTTCTTGGTCAACGCGAGCAATGACGAAAGACACGACTGGGAGCATGTGCATTGAAGACGAGTGCTTGGAACTTCTAGTTCAGGACGCAAGCTGAGATAAGTTGTTTTATTTGAAGGAGCCCTGCAACAAGATCAGCCTGACTATTTCGTGTAAGAACAAGATTCGGCTCCTATCATGGGACCAGAACGCTCCCACGAATCTGGCGAGATACTTGCCAGAGTCCAATGTCATTGTGGACTGAATTCCTTTCCTCTGTCATTACCATCATCGTCTTTTCCGCTCAAATCTGCTCTCTGCCATTGCCGTTCATGCCGCCACTCGACGGGATTGCTGTTTGCCACGTGGGCGGTAATCCCGTTGCCGTTACCCGAAGTCTTGGAGGCTGGGACCCTGGTAGAATATGAGTCCTCGTCAACGTGTCAGAGGTTGTTCTGCAAGCAATGCGGTGCCAGTGTCATCAACATTGACAAAGCAGGTGGAGCCGATGAGTGGGAAGTCGCGACTGGAGTGCTCCACTTCGACGATGGGAACGGCCTGGTCGGCAGGTTAAATCGGGTTCAACTTTGGGTGGAGGACATCAGGGCTGATGGGGGAGCTGCGTGTTGGATCAACCAGGGCAGATTGGAGGGCATGGATAGACACTGGAGAGGGAGACAGAGCGAAGTCGTCACGGATGAGGATGTAAGGCAGATGATGAGACAAGGGCCAGAGTTCTCAGCAGACTTGCTGGGTGAGAACCTTGATGCAAGTTGTCACTGCCAGAATGTCGCGTTCTCAATGTCGAGGCCAGGGAAGTCATTCAACAACGGGACCGGCAGATTCGAAGCTAGCCTCGATGCTTGTACCTCTTGTCGTACAGTTAGTGGCTTCGAGATCACCAGCTGGATCACAGTGCCAAAGGACCTCATCCAAAGCGGTAGCAGCGATTTGGGTACCCTTCTTGCCAACAGGTCGAAACTCGGTCACTACAATACCTCCTCAGATGTCAGTCGATATTTTTGCACGACATGTGGAGCCACGGTCTTTTATGACAAGCATGGCCTTGATACTATAGATATCGGGATAGGCCTCTTACACCCACAGCATAAAGGGGCAATGCGCGTTGAATATTGGCTGGCATGGCAGCAATACCCAAAGTGTCTGGGATACCAGGAGGATGCCGTCGATAAGCAGTTTGTCGCAAATCTTGCAGAAGGAATGCGATTGGCAGAGGACAGCAGAAAGTGACTGAAGTTTCCCGAATGAACATAACAACCATTGATTTGCAGGAAACAATGAATGTGTATGCTAAACGCTGCAAGCTGTGGTATCAATTAGGCGCTTGCCTGCGAGTAGTCAAAATTCACGTTATGATGTACAAGGGTTGGTTTTCCAAAACCCTCTAGCTGCCGAACCTCTTCTCCGCAGCCTTCCAGTTGATCACATCCCAGATGGCGCTGAAGTACTCAGCCTTGCGGTTCTGGTATTGAATATAGTACTATGTGAATGTTAGCAAGCAGCTGGTCGTCAAGGACACGGATCAGCTTACAGCGTGTTCCCAGGCATCAATACCCAGCAAAGGCTTGTAGCGACCCACCACGGGGTCTTGGTTGGCGTATGTCTGGATAGAGATGTTTCCTGTCTGCGTATCCTTCACCAACCAAGCCCAGCCACTACCTTGAATTCCAGCCAAAGCAGTGTTGAATTTCTTCTTCATGTCTTCCAGACCTCCGTAAGTAGTATCAATTGCCTTTGCCAATTCTCCAGAGGGAGGTTCACCACCACCAGAGTTCTTGGGTGCCAGGTTCTCCCAGAACAGAGTGTGATTGAGGTGACCACCACCGTGGAAGTTGATCAATGGCTGGAGGGCAATCTTCGTAGCAATGTCGTCGTTGGCTTCAGCTGCAGCATATTTGTCTGCAGCATCGTTGTAGGAGTTTACGTAGGTCTGATGGTGCTTGCTGTGGTGCAGCTCCATGATCTTGCCCGAGATGGCAGGCTCCAGGGCGCCATAATCGTCTGTGAGTACACATCAGCACGATTACGGTCAGTGAGGACCGTCCTTGATATACGTACAGGCAAGATCAGGGAGAGTGGCCTTGTTGCGAACGAACGTCCTGTTGGCCGTGGTCATGCATCGCAGCGGTTGAGTAGCTGCAACAGACCGGAGAGCCGAGGGGCGAGCAACGGAGCGGAGAGCAGAAGCCATGATGAAGTTCAATATCAACAAGGTAGAGAAATCACAGTACAGTTCTGAAGGAGCTTGAGAGAAAGAGATTTGAACAGTTCAATGTATTCCGTAGTTCCGCTTTATCGAAGATGCTCTTCGCATTGGAGAAGCTGCTGCATTTTACGTCACGGCCGAAAGCAGCTCCAAATCTCGGACTGGCACCTCAAGGTGACATGATTCTCCGTACATCCGCTACGGTGAAGTACAGTGAACTCCTACACAACAACCCTCCAGCACCCATTCACTGCCTTGCAGTTGTGCCATTATGTGCCTTCCATGACAGCCTCATCCTTGACGGCTACTGCGAGTGACTTCAGCCAGACAATCTGGATCTGAATTTTACAGAGTTCTGAGCGCTTCTCTTCTTCTTCGAAGGACCCCCACGGTTCAACTTCTGACTGTATGTCGATTCGGGTTGACCGACTGTGCCGTAACCATCCCTGATCTTAACATTTCCTGTGGCAATGTCCCGACCGTTGAGAGTCCGATTGAACATGGCCAAAGAAGCTTCCGGCTGCCACCAGGGGACCATATGACCCGCGTCAAAAACTCGAGTGAAGGAAAAGTTGCCGTACTCTCGAGTGTCTCCGTACCGAACACCGTCCACCATCAGGGGCACGTAGCCGGCCTTGCGAAAATCTTCGGCGCCGCTATAGTTGGCCGTTAACGAAACGTTTTCGCCGCCGTACCAAGAACAGATGAAATCCGAATCACCGTAGATCAGGGCTATTCGGACGGGTGCGTCGTCCAACAGTTCCTCAAATTGCCTCATGATTTTAGGATTGATATAGTCACCCGTGGCCCAGAAAGCGGCCAACACTTGCAAGTTGTCCTTGGTTGTGTAATTGGTATCCACCCCTAGGGCACGTTGGATTTTGGCTTGGTTGAGATAGGTAGGTGTTACTGGGGCCGGATTGGGAAATTCTGTTTTGTTACGGACATCATAGACGTCCTCAATCCCAGAGTAAACCACATAAGGCAGTTCCGAGCCTCGCCTGCAAGCTGTGGATGCTTCACTGCACGCGAGTCTGCCGGAGGCTGTGGTGCCGTTGTCAACTGCATAATAGGCTTCGCAAGCGTCGATCATGGCATGACAGCCGTTCACGTCCATAGTGAGCGAAAACTCCATATAGTCGGCCACCGAATCGTTGACCTCGACGCCATGTGTGTTGTTTCTGGCGAACCGCGGGTATGACGCAGCTTGGGTTCGCGTGTCAATCAGACCATTGATGATAATGAGGCTGTCGATGTTGAGTTCACTTCCAGTGATGGTACCATTAGCAATCAGCTTATTTTGTTTCCAGAAATGGTTAATAAAACCAGTGCCCCTATGGCCACCGTACGACTCGGTGGCCAGATTGAACGTGCTCGACCTGACGTCAGGAGCCAGTTGCGGTAGGCCCGCACAGAATGCCTGAATGGCGTTCCAAGCAGTCACAGCCGCAGACTCAGTGGAATCTGGGAAGAAAGATCAATGCTTTGCACGACAGTTGGTGGAGGCTTTAAGCTTACTGGTTTTGGCCCAGTCGGCAGTTGCGAATCTCCCTTCAAGAACTTCCGTCATGCCACCCATTACTATCTGTTCTAGTGGATCGGTCGTCTATGCGAAGTTAGCATTGCAGTACACAGTTTCCCCGGAGGCATACCTTCGACCCGTAAGAGAAGCCCACTCCAGCAGGCTGACTCAGAAATAGCATGTTAGATACCTCATTCCACGAATTTGGATTTAGTCGAGTTGACAGGTCTTCATTCAAGAAACAAGGACCAAGTTCTATGTGAAGCAGGTTAGCACTGAACACCCATATGAGACCTCCACGAACCCTCGAAAACACCATTCATCGAATCTCCACCAGGCCCGCCATTGAGCCACAAAGTGATAGGATCATTGCCCGGGTCCCTTCTCGACTCGAAGAACCAGAAGAAGAGGTGGTTGTCATCATCGACATCGATAAATCCGGAATATGACTTGACTCCTGGTGTAGTCTCGCAGATCTGCGGTTCTTTGTAACGAATATTCACTCCTTGTGGAGTGGTGATGGTTTTCAAGTCGGTCGGTACCACTGGTAGCTGCGCGGTGGCTACTGTAGCGGCAGCAAGAGTATAAAGAGCTGTCTGGAGTATACCTTTCATGTTGTTTGTTCGAAATGCCCGGACCTTGGCGGTGAATAGCTCGCAGCGACCAGCGATAGAGACATATCTACTCTTTTATATCCAAATTTGGTGGGCCGCATGCAGGCGGATGCGTCTCTCCAGAGAATGGATCTCATCGTTAAGGCGACCCGACTAGAGCATTGGCAACCTGGCGGTAGAGACATAGAAAAAGCGCTGCGTACTTTCAAAGTAGGCTAGGCCTTGACACATAATATCTTCCCTTGGGCGCAATGCTCTGCACATGGATGCCCACCAAGCTGGCGACGGGCGGCTGTGCAAAGCTCTTCCCCAGTATTGGGAGGCTATTTGCGTTGGCAGACGTAACACAGTGGTGGCCCAGCGTCCCGATCCGTCTTCCATGTTCTGGGTATGCTGCTGTTAGAATCAGACAAGGTTGTTTTGATTGAGGCTTCCGACCTGAAAGTGACTTGGTGATCATCATGGGGTTCGATCCGGTGGACTTGACACGAGTTACCGGTAACGGCGGCTTGTCCGTCTCGTGGAAACATCTCTTGGTCTTCATTCAGCTAGGATTCTGCGGCGAGCCTCGCCCATGAAATTGCACCTCGCCACAAGTCACAGAGCCCAGCTCTTGCGAAAGGTTTATTGCGTCACAACCTGAAGCCGGACACAGGATGTACCAAATACCGAAATAGAATGCCGCAGGTAAGAAGACTGGTGCCATCCGTTAGAACTAGAGCCTCACAAGTGGGCCCATGGAAACGTCTGATGCTAATCAAACCTTTCTTTTCCCGCCGTTATTCTTTTAGCATTGATCGTCATGGGGACTCACTTCAATCTCGAATAGTTGAGCGCATTCGAGGAGCCGTGTGTCTGCAAATCTCCAGCGCCTTGATAGGATGCCAAGGTCATCTCCAGGCTTTTACCATCCATACAGGTTCACCGCAGAAGGAGGCGTGGCCTGCTTGGTCCTTTTGACAAGTCGAAGACGAAGGCATTTCTCCACCTACGAGGCCGCTGCCGCTGAAGGCTAGGTATCCGTCTGCCGGAGTATGGGCGCGAGGCCCGTCATCGCAAGCTTGTCCAAGATGTCGGAACTAAACAGGTCATCGACGTCATGTGGTGCCCCATAGGCTGTTGTAGGTTGCTTGAGAGAAAACAGTTTCGATGGTGCTAGCCCAATATGGCTTTACGGAGCGCTCCGGTCGATCCATTTTCGGTGTACACAGTATTTTCTGCCTCCTCAGCCTTGTGGGCCTGCATAGAATATACTTGTACCATAGTAGCTATAACTGGGACATGCTTTCTTGGCCGCCCAGCGCTAGACCCGCTTGATGACAGGCGGCTCAGTACGAGACTGCCTTGACAAGTCTACCTCTGTGGCTGGGCATCTCGACCTATCGGCAGTCGTCTTGTGCTACTCCATACTGCACTGCACTGATCTGCTTGTCAGGCCTCCCAGACAATGTAAACGCCATCGACTAGTGGCTTTGAACAAGTCATCCGCATTTTGATCACTGACGGGAGTGAATGGCTGCTGTGGCATTTCTTCTGCTCGATTTAGACTTGTAATCGAAACTTCAGCAGCGGATCAGAAAGCACCGGCTAACGTTCCGAACGATGTGCCCAGACGTCCTTCCGTCCGTATCTGCTGCGATGAATGACAAGCACAAGTCATGTAGGTCGCGGTTACATCTTTTGACCTGCTCGTCCGGCACTGACGAAATCTGTTATAGGTCTACCCGAGCCAAACGAGCCATTCATGAGTTGGCACTCGTCCGGGTGGAAACCGAACTGTGAAGACAACCTCATGGGAAAGACAAGATACAACACTTGCCATAGTCCGAAGGGGTCACCGTGCTTCGACCATAAGGCACAGCGTCGGAGACTTCTCGCAGCTGGTGTGCTCCGATTGCTTGCCACCGTAGCTGTCTGCGCGTTGCTAGGTATAACTATCCTCCTGTTCGAGAAGCTGAAGCGAGGCATCACCACTAGCGAACGCCGGGGTTTCAATACCGTCATTATCGGGCTCTCTCTCATACTCAGTCTGAACCTTTTCTACTCTCTTGAGGGTTGTGCGCAAACGATCCGCTGGCAATTGGTCGCTTCCGAATACCACAGTTTGAAGCAGTTCGATCTTGTCTTCAACTTCGACAGGAAATGGAATGCCTTTCGCCTGCTTTGGAGTGCCCGGACACCAGGAAGCCACATGCCGAACAAGACACAGCTACTGGCTCTGCTGTATCTGCTGGTTTCGTTGGGACTGCTGGCGGATACCGCCGTTCTGGGATTAACCTACTCCATGGAGGTGTCAGCACGCTACAAGCTTAGCAGGCCTGGAACCGTATCAGTCGCCAAGTTGGACTCCATCAGCCCATTACAAAATTCGCGGACGGCACATTTCCAACAGGCGCAAAACTATGGTTTGATTAGTCAAGGGTTTATACCTGTCGTGTCCAGTGTCGGAGAGAACCAGACTCGGAACGCCGGGCTGCTAATCATTCAACACACCGAAGCGGCCGATCTATTCTGGTACCAATTCATGGACTTTTCAGCAGACAATCTGAATTACTTCGCGCCTTCGAGCCGGTATGTAACCAGCAACGCCACATGTCGAGAGGTGGCAGTCGTCAGTGGCGGGCATGGGGGATACAACCTGACCACAGGCGAGCCAATTGGAGAAAGTTCAGTCCGCATCCGTGACGGCGACGACGCCGTACAAGACATCTATATTGGAGATTTTCAGGCTCCTGGTGCCACGACCTGGCTAGGAAGCATCAATCCAGGCTCTGGAACATGCGGGCCTCGTTGTGCGCACGTCTGGGCGCTTCAAAGCGCGTATCCTTCGCCAGGTCGGGAGGAGCCCCGATTCTGGAAATGCACCAACACGGTTTCCGATATCTTGAACACGAACCGAGACGTCAATGCATCGGCATTTGAGATGCCCCAGAGCATGGCCCAAATAATGGCAGGCGCCATCGGCTTCAGCGGCGTGGAAAGACAAGACGATCCATTCCAGCGGGTGTTGTATGCGTACGGAAATGCATTTGCCCCATCCAACGATGAGGCAATCATGAACGTGTTTGACATGGAAGCCACAATCATGTGGTTCACGACTGGAGCCTTTGCCGCCATGGACAGCTTCGGACCTCGAGTCAAAGTCACGAACCAGCGCCAGCCGATGCCTGCACAAGTTCTCAGCGTTAACTGGGGGTACACTATTGCGGTTTTGGCCATCCCGCCGCTGGCTCAAGCCCTGGTGCTCGTAGCGACGATCATATATGGCGACAAAACTGTAGTCAGAGATGGAGGAGCTGTCGCGACAGCGCGGTTGCTCGAGCCTCTCACGCAAAGACTGGGTCACGAAGGAGGAGAAGCTGCTGCAACAACGGACGTCATAGAAGAGGGTCTCGGACAATACAAGATAAAGTACCAACCGGTTTGTAATCTAGGAGGTGGCATAGAGAGTCCATTGGAGGCGCGAATGTAGGGGCGAGGAGATCACCTTATGCGAGATCTCATCAACTCTCAGATGTAGTTCTGTCTTGGCGAAGCTAGTCAATTTTCGTACTAGACTGACATTCGGTCTAAACCGTGCTGGCGGCTTTACTTCGGTAGAATTTCTTCACCCGCTGGCCAGGCTTCAACAAGTTCATTACTTTTTGAATTGCAGAGTCCCTGACCTCGAATGACCAGAGCATTTGCTCCCTCTGCGTCTCTAATACGTCGCGATCTCCAGATCCAAAGAAACCCACCGATGCTCGCGCAGTGCCCTTCAAGTATCGCCGAACGCTACCTCAATTCGAGAATTACAACATGAGCGATTCCTCGGAAGACGACCAGCCATTCAATCTTCGCGACTACGATGATGAGGACACGGACGACGAAAGACCGAGCAAGCGTAGAAGGACGATGAAGACACTGCGCACTCGTGGAGTAGGGTTTGTCCAGTCAACTACTCAAGAGGGGGAAGAAGATGAAGAGGAAGATGTCGACGACGAAAAACCCTCCATGGGCATGGGAATGGGTGCGGGCATGGGCTTGGGGCCTGGAATGGGTGGCTTTCGAAGTTCCTTCAATATAGGCGAATACAGCGCACAAGAAGAACCAGAAAGTCCTGCTGCTCCACCAGACATGTCTCCTCGAGAGCAAGTGGAGAAGACAGGTGGTGCTGGGCCTTCAGCGTTTGGGGCAGGAGGGAGGATACAAAAGAACTCTTTTGCCGCACGAATGATGGCTAAAATGGGTTATGCCGAAGGCCAGGGTCTGGGGAAGGCTGGACAGGGTATTACAGCACCCATCCAAGCAAAAGCCCTGCAAAGTCGTGCTGGCCTCGGCCAGGGAAGCGGCACAGCTGAACCGCCTCGCAGGAAAGAGCCGGGCAGAGAGAAGACCTCTTCCAAGCCATCTACACCAGGGACGAGTACGCCACGCATCAAAGCGGCCCCAAAAGCCAAATATGCTGTGGCAGCAATCGAGTCCCGGGGTCTGCATATTCCGGAAGCCATGAAACAGATTATTGTTGACGCCACAGGATCAGAGACCAAAACTGTGACATCTATATCGGGGTTTTCGACTCCTACACGGGAAGCATCGCCTGGTTTGGAAGCCGTCAAAGCCACCTCCCGCATCAAGCTGCAGTTGCAAGCATTTGCAGATGCATGGGATTCTACCAAAGAACAGGAGGATCGTCTTGAGCTTGAAGACACCCAACTCGGGGCAGCCCTAACACTCCATGAGGAAGAAATACAGCGCTACAATGACATAATATCAGCCTTTGAGCGTGTGGCTGTTGACGACTCCAATGAGTTTCGAGACTGGCAAGCCTCCATAGCTCGACTTCGAGACATTCAAGGCCGGTATGCGGATGACATTTCCGAGTTGTCTCTTCCAGAGCTGGCGGTCTCCTGTCTAGAATCGCCGTTTCGGCGCGAGATGGCTGAGTGGGAGCCGCTTTCCGAGCCATCACACCTGGTCGAATCATTACAATCCATCAATCACCTCCTTGAAATCGAGAAGTCGACCACTTCACGCCACCGCAAGCGCACATTCCCCTTTGAATCTCTGTTGTTGCTACATTGGTATCCTCGGATCCGGACAGCTCTGGGAAAGGAGTGGGATGTATACGACCCTGACCCTGCATATACACTCATCACTTCCTGGTCATCGATTCTTCCGGCCTGGCTTACTTATAGAATCCTACATGAGGTCGTGCTGCCTCGATTGATCGAAGCCGTGAAACGATTTCCCAAGACTGTTGAGTCAACGACCATTGGCCTCAGCAACGGGTCGCGGAAATCCAAGAAACCTGCGCCAGACATGCACACTTGGCTATTTGACTGGTGGACCCTGCTATCCTCCGAGGATCTCGACCTCGAACGCTTTGGGGAGCTCAAGTCGCTCGTGAAAACCAAGGTCGATGCCGACAGCTGGGCGACGTGGAAACCACTCCTTGGTTCCAGGCGGCAGAAAGCTCTTCCGCCTACTCGAGAAGTCCCGACTGCAGCACCGTCCGGCGGCACTGCGGATATGGAGGAAGTCTCGTTCAAGTCTATTGTCGAAGACTGGGCATCCGAGAACAATCTGCTGCTGCACTCATCCCACAAGTCGGATGCATTTGGACGGTTGCTGTATCGTTTGCAAGATGCCGAACGGCGCAGCAGAGGCGTCTTGGTCTACCTTGCAGAGGATGTCGTCTTTGGCGAAGACGGCGAGCCGTACGCTCTGGATGACAAGTTGGTTGCAAAGGCGATGGGCCGGTAGCGGTAGAGGATCCTTTTTGGCGGTGTTGGAGGAAAGAAGCAGGGTCAACTACCAGATGACAACGGGGGCTCAATGAACTATAATATTCACTGCGAGAGCGAAACAAAAAGTCTAGATTACTCTGCAAGTCTGAAAAGCCAGGAAGTGAAGAAGTTTACGACGCTCCCCAATATGCAAACGTGTACTCCGTAGAGAACTCCCCATTTGCGCTTTTGGTGAAATCACCCCCAGCTCTATTTACCAGCCCGTATTGCCCAAGTCAGATTGACGAGCTGATATCCTGGCTCTTCTGTCACACTTCATTTTATCCACGATATATGACTCCAGGTAGCATCCGTCTTCTTTCAGCCCAAAAATTCCGATTCACATGTCTCGAGTTTCATCCAGAATCTCATTGCTCCGACGGGCGCATCGACGGGTTCCGCTGTGTGTGGGAGAGGAATTTTACATCTGCAGGCGGGTTATTGGTTAGCCATTTATTCACATTCACAACCACGCGCACACGCACACGCACACGCACACCACGGGCCACAGAAAGAGTTTTGAGTGGGAGAGAAAGAGAGATTTTTGAGAGACTTACACAAGCAGCACCATCAATGCCAATGACCTTTCCGTTGACCCACTCACCGTCCTGGCTGGCCAGGAAAGCGGTGACTCTGGCGACGTCGATGGGCATACCGACGCGGTTCATGGGGGACCAGGTGGCGGCGTACTCGTCGACCTGATCGTCGGTCAAGTTCTCGCCGTTGGGGATGTACTCCTTGCAGACGGCGTGGTACATGTCGGTCTTGATGCCGCCGGGGGCGACGGCGTTGACGGTGATCTTCTTGTCGCCGCAGTCGATGGCCATGCAGCGCACAAAGGTCTCGATGGCGCCCTTGCTGCCGCTGTACACCGTGTGCTTGGGCACGCCCTTGGCCTGGCCCGTGATGCTGCCCATCAGGATGATGCGCCCGTACGGCTCGAGGTTCTTGTAGGCCTCGCGCGCCACGAAAAACTGCCCGCGCGTGTTGATGTTGAAGACGCGGTCGAACTCCTCCTCGGTCACGTCCTTGAGGTGCCCGAAGGAAACGACGCCCGAGTTGGACACGACGATGTCGAGCTTGCCGAAGTGCGCCTTGGCCTGCGCAAACATGTCGATGATCTGCGACACGTCAGACACGTTGGCCTTGACGGCGATCGCGTCCCGGCCCATGGCCTTGATCTCGGCGACGAGCTCGTCTGCGGCTTTCGAGCTGTTGGCGTAGTTGACCACCACGTCCGCGCCGCGGCGGGCCAGTTCGAGTGCCGTCTCGCGGCCCATGCCTCGTCCTGCATTGTGAAACGGTTCTTGGTCAGCTGGAACTGCGGAAACGCACGAGGAACTTGCGGTGAAAGGGCGTTGCGGATTAGGGAGTGCCTCTGGTCAGGGCAACCAAAAGTCCGGAACTGGACAATGGGTGTCCAGTGTGCAAATGTGAAACGTACCTGAGCCAGTGACGAGAGCGACCTTGCCGGTCAGGAGGTACGAGGGGACAGCGGCAGCGCCGGTAGCAGATCCATTGGCGACCATCGTGGAGTTTCTCTGGGACATTTACGAAGGCGGTGTGTGTAGGTGGCACTTGGGTAGGTGAGTGCGGGAGGAAGTTGAGATGTTGGGTTTTGTGCTTTGCGTACTTTGCAAAAAATATGCAGAGAGCGAAAAGATATATACAACTCGAAGGAGTGTGTATGTAGGTAAGGACGAAAAAAGAGGGCAAGATGCAGATGGATTGATGATTGTACGGGGATTGTTGATTTGACGGTAAGGACACATTTTATTGTATGCGCGCCCAGGATTTCTATTTATTCCTACAATCAGCCGCAGACTAAGCCGGGCCCAGAGGAGCCCCTACTAAGAGTCTAAGGTAGCCCTGAACACAGCCCATGATCGACTAAGTTAGTGGGCGTACCGCCGTACTGTGTACCTAGGGAAGTAGGGGGCCGCCCACCACTCCTGAGTCCTCGGCCCCTGGAACAGCGGACCCCTTTTTTATTACTGTCGGGACTCGGGTGGGATAGAGGGGCACCTGGGCATCGGCCACCAGCAAGAGATGGAGGTTTATTAGGTTCATGTATCAGGCTGCTCTACCAAATCTTTTGATGAATTTTGTCTACTCATTCAGCATGTTGCCCGAGAGGATGAAGGTACTGTCATTTCCGTGCAAAGAACAGAGCAGCCTCAAAGAGCGATAGGGATATCACAAAATCTAACAGCCATGCTGACCTCATCTAAGAAGTTTTTGGTACATGTAAACAAAACCCCTCTCCATCGATTGGGCCAAGTCCGAGTGACGGATGAATTAAATCTCCACCAAAGTCTTCTGGGTCTTTGCTCGTCCGCCTCCCACAACTTTGGATCTGGCTCGCTGGGTCGTGCTCAGGCTCATCAGGCACAGGCCATTTTTCCGGACGGCAAACCGTCTTTCTTGTCAAGTCTGTACGATACCCCTGGCACTGACACCCACCCACCTGGTACCAGGTGGTTTTCCGTCCCTCGTCCAACGTACAACCATTGCGGCCTCCGAATCTTAGCGGCGGCGGAGGGCGTTATGAGCCTTTGTCACTTACTTGTGCACTGGCAGCACAAAAACTCGTGGGCCCTCCACTTTTGAAGACGTCCTGATAACTCAATTGACGAGTGAATCCTACGAAGTACTGTCAGCAGGCGATCACCGCGGCTGAAACTCTTGCTTGCAACGTTTGCTAATGAACCTTCGATAATCGTGTGCTCTCCTTCGATCAAATATAAAAGTGCTCGTCTGGTACCACGCGCTACCGTTGATTTGTGATTTTGTTACCGACACGGTGCCTACCATAGGTACACAAGACACCCTCGCGCAACCTGACTGCGCGAACACCGAAGACCGAGCACCGCAATGTCCGCCCGCGCAACCAAGTGTGGCGTCTGGTACGAGTACTGTACATTGAGATGGAGCATCCGAAGACAATGGAGTGCGAGATGGCGTCCGGCACTAGTCGCGGGGTCACGTGGGGACCATGTCGCACCGTGCGATATCACTTTGATAAATCAACCACTGCTTCAACCGCACCATCGCTGTCGCACGAACACACCATTCTCCTTAGTCTTCAAATGCTGCATCTCCGCTCAATCTATGCGAAGACACATCTGGAGTTTTGATGAGAATGAGGCTCTTCTTGTTGGACCACCTGAAACAGGCTGCAATGTCCCACAAGCACACTTATTCACCTCAAGGACAAGGCCCTGGCATCCTCAACAGCAACCCTGATCATTTTCTTGAGCTCCGCTTTCCAGTTGCTTTCCCTCCATCTTTCCCATTGTCCAAAGCCTTCATTGGGAGTCTCCAGATCTAATGTCTCATACCCTTCTTTGATGACCTTCTGGATCGCCGCCGGCGACTGATGTGTCTTTTTGCCGTGTTGTGCTTGCAAGAGACCATGATAATGCGACGACACACTGATCAGAGCCTCCACCGATCGGTTCAAAGTGTCAGATTGGGAACCAGAATCGCAATACGCTTGTTTGAATTTCGGCAAGAGGTCATATGCCTCGATCAATTTGTAGAACAGGTCGTCGAAGCTTGCAGGATCGGGCAAAAACCCATCCCCTTTGGACAGACAAAATGCAGCGAGGCTGGCGAGCGGGCCACATAGGTCTTCGCGCATCCCCCTGAGATGTCGAAGATCGTTTGAATATTGTGTCAAGAACCGGATGAGTGAAATCAACGAACCCCATATGTAAGCCCAGTGATACTGCAGTCGAGTCTTGGTTTGCTCAAGGTATGTCACTATACGTAGGATAATGCCCAGAGCAAGACCGTATAGCTGGATATCAAGTCTCTTCCGAAGATTGTGGCTGAGTGTGTCCGTACAGATGTCGAGGATTGCTGTTGCAGGAACCCTGGCTGACGTGACCAGCGGCAAATGAGGAGGTCTTTGCCGGCACAACCGCACCACTACTTTCGCCTCTGCTGAGCACATCCTCTTCGCCAGGATAGAATCCTCCACCATAATCCGTATCGACAAAAGACTCAGAACGGCATATGTCGATTGTCGAGGCCCACGATAGGCGTGATGTGAGATGTATGATGTGGAAGAGAGAAATGCCGAGAATGGCGATTCTTTATCCTTGTCGGCAGGCAGGTTGAGTAGATTGGCCGCAAACAATTTATTCGCTTGAACAAAAGAGTACAAAGACAGGATGCAAGCTGCTTCTTGTTTTGGTAATGATGTGAAGAGCGCTTTAGCTTCCTCTTCAGTGGGAGGCAAAGGTTTGTTGCCATCAGTGGATAGTGCGCGTAGCCCAACCATTGCCAGTGTGGAGTTCACCGTCCAGGATGCAGGCGAGTCGTCCTGTACAGCCAGAATTTGATCTCGAATGAGTACGCAGGTGTCCGCGAAATTGTGCACTAGGAGGCGGATCGTCTCCTCGTTGACGAAATCTTCCAGCCGGTTCTGATATACATTCTGTGATTCGAACTTGTTGTAACTGGAGAGGACCCCAATGATGACGAAGGCTTTCAGCCCTGCAGAAAGACTTCCATGTATATCATGGACGTACTGGATCGAGGTCAGCTCTGCTTCTGGATGGAAGTCTTGATCTACCTTCATGAGGGCCGAGAAGAGGTCTTTATGCATGAAATAAGACACCAGATTGGTGTGAAATCCTCCAGCAACCAAGGCAAGGGTAGTCTCCAAGGCCTTTGTCCGAAGGATGTCATCGGCCGCTTGTCGTACAATCGACTCAAGGCCATGCACGAGGTCAGACATGGATTTGTCAATGGCACCAAGTCCCGCCAGTATCTCAATCACATCAGTATTTGGATTGGCGAACCTCTTGGTGAAGACTGCACACAGGAATGCTGTCAAGTTCTGCAATAGTCAATCTCAGCTATCGCTTGAATGATTCAATAAGAAGATACCTCGAGCGCATTTTCGTTCCTAGGAGAGACTCCCGAGCATGCCTCTGCGATAGCCCGTCTGAAAAATGCTTGCATCTGGGCCTGTAAAGAGTTAGGAACATCGAGAAGCCAGCGGGAATGAGCTAGCTATACTTGCATGTGCAGCAGGTCGAAAGCAGTCATTGGTTCCAGAATGTCATACAGCCGCTGTTTGTCGGGTTTGAGAAGGAAGAATTCTCTCCAGTAGCCTTCCGTTGGAACAGCATCTTCACCTTCCTCGTTCGCAAGCACTGTGAACAAATGGAGGTAGAGTTGGACTATTTTCGGCTCAAATGAGTCGGGTCTCAACAAATGGGTCAATGGGGAGTCCATAACAGATGGGACAGCTGGGATTGTCCTCGAGACAAGGTGCTGGCAAAATCATAGTCTGCATATGGACTGTCAAAAACACAGGGGCAAGGCTGTCTTCGGGAGGCTACTAGTGTTCATGGCTCGATGAAGAGTTGACAGTACGGAGTAGAAAGGACCAAGACGACAGAATCCGATTTGCTTGCAACCGAAAAGAGAAATCTGGTGTTCTTGGCAGTGACTTCTGGCTTTACCTGCACGATCTCATGGCCGCATCAATGAGCACATAACGTCGTAAGTTGATTCGAATCCTTGCTGGCCTCACGCCTGGTCTGATACAGAGGCAAATCATCCTAGGCTTTCAGAGGGTTACCCGGGTAAGTACATGATGGTACTCAAGACGAGGGTGGCAGTGAGTGGCTACCCAGGGTCTTCGGGGTCGAGACGGTCGATCGACTACGAGCCAGTCTTTATTATTCGATGCACTCCGATTGGTCGAATGATTGCCCAGGTAGTGAGGCTAAAGGCGGCAAGCGGCTTACAAACGCCGAGAAAGAGATTCAAATCACCTGCGGCTCTTTGACATCTTCCCGGTTCCCACCTACCTACCAAGCACAGTCATTCCTTTCCACAACTGTTCACGCCTTACATTCCTTGTCAGCGCTCGATAAATGCTGCCAGAATCATCACCGTAGGCTATACTCCCTTTGCGAAGTCGACTATCTCTCGAGAATCTGCTCAACATGTCCGCGACACACTTCCTTCCAGGAACGACGTCATCCGCCACCTTCTTCAGAGCGCTCACACTGGCCTCGACGGCAAGATCATGTCCTCACACCTTACGAACCTTCTCCTCCAGTATCGCCCGGCGGCAGTCATCGAAGCGGGAGTTGTATACTGTCCCTTCGTACCAACCGCATAGCCTCCCAACCGACTTCCCTCTCCCCCCTCGAAATACCAATATTCCAGACACCTCAATAGCCGGGCCAGAACCCCGGTTGAATGAGACTAGTCAGCCTAGCAAGAGCTCAGAACAAAACAAATCAACAGAAGTGGCGAGTATAAGCGTACCTGAAGGAGAGGCACAGAAACCCAAAGCAGTCGAACAATCCAAGACAGAACAGACCAAGTCGGCAAAGCCTAGGCGGAGCAAACTAAGACCTCGAAAGGCCGCTGTGAAAATAACGCCAGATGCTTTGTACCACCTGCGAGAGCTGCTGGATCAACCCAACCCAAAGATGATCAGAGTCGGTGTCAAAAATAGAGGTTGTTCCGGGCTGGCATACCACTTGGAGTATGTGGAAAAGCCAGCAGCTTTCGATGAAGTGATAGAACAGGACGGGGTCAAAGTTTTGATCGATAGCAAAGCATTATTCAGTATTATTGGCAGCGAGATGGACTGGAAAGAGGACAAGCTCAGCGCAAGGTTCGTCTTCAACAATCCCAACATTACAGAGCAATGCGGTTGCGGAGAGTCGTTCAGCGTGTCATGAAGGAATGATCAGATAATGCTTTGCAACATTCGAACAGATATGCATAGATGGCGGCAGCAACCCAGACATAATGATTAATCCATCCGAAAAGGTTGATCTGGACCGGGACTTCTCGAGCTTGTGCTTATCGCCTGGTCTTCAGTACACGCCTTTCTCATAATCAATCACTCTGACATCGTCGAATCTGGGACTGTTCTTCTTGACAAAAGCTTGATGAGTTGGATCTTTGGCGACATAATAATCTCGATCCTCCTTCGATGCAAATTCAACCACGAAACCATGCGTGAAGCCACCCTACAAGGTCAGTATTGTGGTTGGAGGGCCGGCTCTAGCAACCAACCTGAGCACCTTCTGGGCTGTTGTCAATGCCACCAGATGAAGACACAATATATGGTTTGTTCGATGTTGGATGCATGCATGTCTCTCTCAAGCCCAGCATATCATCGCAGAACTACAAGGCCGCGTCAATGCTGGTTCCTGACCAGAATTGCTCGGATGAAAACTGACCTCTTTCTTCTCCGAATCACTCAACGAAGACTTGAGTCTGAATAAGACGATATGTACAATCGACATCTTGACTGTACACTGAAAGAGGATAGCATCTATAAGCGTACAGGTGCAAGGTCACGGACATCGCTATGTACATACCTAGTATATAAAATTGTAAATTTACATCATACATGGGCATGGTCGTGCATAGTTTAAGATCTTTGTCAGCAACAAGCGGTCCGCTATCTCGATTTTGGGACCTGCAGCCGCTTGGAAACAATGGCCAGTGGGCCTAGAGTACCGAGGTAACCTGCCCGTGCCATTCCATGCGGGGCATTTGTCTAGGTGCCTTGTGCCTTTTTCCCTGCCCCTCACGCCTGGTGAGCCCATTGAGCCCATTGAGCCCGGACTGGCTGCGTGGCACATGCTCAAAAGCTACACCAGCTCACACCTGTCTGGGATTGACGGTATCATAAACGCCGATTTGTTGCAGACTCCCACCTACTCGACCACAGCCTCTACGAAGTTGTAGAGCATTCTTCCGCCCTCCGCCCTGGGCCCTCCTACACCTACGCCAGACAGGGAACCATCCCCCTTCGTCCGTCCGCTGCTCCGAGTCCATCTATCGAGCCCAGAAAAAAAAGCAAATCACACTCGATATCGACTGAAGACAATCGAGAAGACATCCTCTCTCTGAGAACGAGATATATCTGCCCCATATACCCTCCCGTCGTCCCTCCATAATGGCCACACATTCCCACGACGGTGGGCCCTCACACTCGCATTCGCACGACCAGACCAACGGGGCCGCCGCCGCCGCCCATGGCCACTCGCACGAAATCCTCGACGGCCCAGGGTCGTATCTGCACCGCGAGATGCCCATCGTCGAGGGCCGCGACTTCTCGGACCGTGCCTTTACAATTGGCATCGGCGGGCCCGTGGGGTCCGGCAAGACGGCGCTCATGCTCGAACTCTGCCTGGCCCTGCGGCGCGAGTACAACATCGCGGCCGTGACCAACGACATCTTCACGCGCGAGGACGCCGAGTTCCTGACCAAACACGGCGCCCTGACGCCCGAGCGCATCGTCGCCATCGAGACGGGCGGCTGTCCGCACGCCGCCGTCCGCGAAGACATCTCCGCCAACCTGCTCGCCCTGCAGGGGCTGCACACCAAGTTCGGCACGGATCTGCTGCTGATCGAGTCCGGCGGCGACAACCTGGCGGCGAACTACTCGCGGGAGTTGGCCGACTTTATCATCTACGTCATCGACGTCGCGGGCGGCGACAAGGTACCCAGAAAAGGCGGGCCCGGCATAACGGGGAGCGATCTGCTCGTGATCAATAAATGCGATCTTGCCGACGCCGTCGGTGCGGATGTAGATCTCATGGAGCGCGAGGCGAATAAGATACGCGAGGGCGGACCCGTCGTGAGGGCGGTGATCAAGCACGGCGTCGGCGTCAGGGAGACGGTGGATTTGGTTCTGAGTGCGTGGAAGAGTACGGCCGGCTATGCGGAGAGTCGGAAGCGTTGGGCCAACGGTGCGCAGAGGGGGAGTGGCGAACAGCCTCAGGTGAGCAGGTATACGCATGTTCCGCATAACTAGAATAACTAGAGGTGGAATCAGCGAGAAGACGGGAAAGATGGCGACCTGAATTGCACAGATTATATGATGTACGCATGTAAAATACTAGCCGACATGAAGAGAAGAGGAAACGACAGGGCAGGACCACCCACACCATCATGGCTTGAATTCTCTCGAACGGAGCACGGCATACTTGAGTAGATTTACCATTTTGTATCTCTACATGAGATGTATACCTAGGTAGTCAAGTCAGACCTTCCAGGCTGACACTCATCTCCTGGCAAACCGCGCCAATGCAGGGCCCAAGTCGACTTTATCCCTCTTCAACTTCTCCTTGTCCCTCTCTGCCCTTTCCTTCTTCATCTCCTCCAGTCTCAACCTCTTCTCGTCAACGACATTCTTGCCGCCCTTCTTCCTGAGATGTCTTCTCAAGGCACTATTCTTGCCACGCCCACGGTTCCTCTCCTTCAACTTCGCCAGCGGGTCTACGGCCGGCGCATCGAGATCCTTTTCCCGTCTCCGCTGCTCTGCGCTCCTGGTATCTAGCGTTCCGATGAAGTTGGGATCCAGCGCGATGGTCCCAGGTTGCAACTTGGTGAGCAAGGACTTGACTTCGGCTTCTTGGCGTTGTTTGCGCGTCTCGTACGGGTTCACTTCGAGCGCGTCGTAGTTCGCCTCGCCGGCACCGGGGACGATGATGCTGCTGAACCCCTGGGCGTGCGAAATGCCTAGGACATCGTCGAACGGGCAGAAGCGTACGCGCTCAATTCGTTGCCCGTCATAGCCCCAGTTCAGGTATGGTGATTGGATTTTTGAAGGGTCCGAGGATGTCGATGATGTGAAGAGGTCCTTCCATATCGTCACGCCCGTGCCATTGCCAATGGCTGCTAGACCACGGTCGGAGATGTCGATCGACGTTGCGGGTTGTCTTGTTGTGTATGAGTGGACTTCTTTCAGCGCTCGAACGTCCCAGAGTTTCAGGCGGAGATCTTGTCCGCCGCAAAGCATGTAGTGGCCCGAACGGTCGATGGCGATAGAGCGCACTGGGCCGGCATTGGACTGGATCTTGACCAGGGGTGTGGTCGAGTTGGGCGACCACAGCGAGACTGTGCCATTCTGGTGCCCGACATGTAGAATGGCATTGTAGGGGTTTTGAGCAAGAGCCGTCGGTGCGCCTTTTCTCGTCGGATGCTCTGCGACGATCTGACCGGTCGAAGTATCTGTGTACCGCAAGAACCCGCTGTTCTCGATGCCGGCTAGGAGGAAATGGTAGGGCAGGAACTCGAGGTGTGTCGTTTCCACGTACTTTTTCAGACAGTGGATCTCCACTCCAGCATGATCGTAGATGTATGTATGTTTCTTCTGCGCCACGGCGAAATACTGATCATTGTGCAGCCACGTAGCGTCTCTGACCGTCTCGTTCAAGTGCATTTCGCAGCCTGCTTTTCCTGCTCGCCAGTCACAAGTGGCGATATGTCCCTTGCGGCCGGCCAGTAGCAAACTGCGCCCATTCCTCGTGTAATCGGAGACGTATGGTCCAAGGTCCAGTTTGAACTCAATTGATTTTTTGGCCTGCTGAATGCCAACTGCCTCCAGCATGTCATCTTGCCGAGTCTTGTACGTCTTTTCAAGCTCGGTCTCTGGCTGCAGGAAACCTTCCTGGTTCTCGTAGAGGATCTCGGCATCTTTTGCGCTGAGGACGGCGGTCCGGTACTTGTTCTCGATGAGTTTGAGGTTGGCGCGCAATTTCTTGTCTTTGACATCACTCAACCGGACTGGCCGGCCGCGACCATATTTCTTGCGTGCTTCGGCGAGGTGTCTCTGGTTCTCTTTCTCTTCCGCTGTCAGCGTGCCCGTCGGTGCTCGCTTCGTTTTCGCTGGTGGTGGAAGGTTGTGAATGGTAAGCTGGCCGTCGCCATTTTCTACAAGACTTTCCATTTCGATGACCTGCTGGGGGTTCCAACAATAAGAGCGCTCAAGGAATGCAGGGACAGGGTGTGAGTGAGGCACTCTACAAACTCCGCAGGTAAAAGGCAAGATGCCCTCAACGATCAAAATTTCTATTCGGCAGACCTTACTTAAGTGGAAGGTGGATTTTGCGGGCTCACTAAGTTAGGCCTACAGCAACTTATGGGTGCCCACCACAGTATAAGGTACCTATGTAAAGTTCAGCCTTGCGCTTAATCAGCCGCCATTTCTGGCGGCAGCGTGCGGGATGCCCCTGCGGCGCCCTGCATACCTACCTAGGTACCTACTTCAGCCTCTCACACCATCCCCTTACTCACACGGGACGGAATAGTCAACGTACTACATAGTACATGCTGTTTGCTGCTCGCATTCGTTCCCGGCCATTTCTGACCTGCATACTCTCGTTGCAATTCAGGTACGCACTGCCCTCACGCAAGCCATCGTTCTACTGAAATTCGGGGCCATATTTCCATTGTCTGCATCCTTTTTCCATCGAAGGAGCAGAAGAATAGAATAGGTATCATGGCGTTGGCAACAAATCCAATTCGATACTTGACCCGGCATACCCTGTGTTTTGAAAACTGGTCGGTGCAAAAGAGGGAGGTAGGTCCTGCAAAAGCAGAACGAAGAGTCGTGTGGTCAGTGCCCGCGGAAGCGGCATAGACTTGGAATGTGTCGATAAAATAGTTGAGCGCGTCTATCAGCGCTGCACCTGTAACAGGTCATGTCTCGAAGATACTAGTCTGCCCTACCTTTGCCAGACTTCGATATCCGGAAACGCTGGGTAGCCAATGTCCTGGAGCCACAAAGTATCTGTCATGTCTATGTTCGGACTGATGCTCAAGATTCCTTCAGGAAAGATTGACAGGTCCAGATCCGTAGGTGGTACGGCTGGCAAGAATATCGGATCAGGCAATTCATTCGAGATAGGAGACAGGGTATTCTGCGACAGTTCTCCGGTCGGGGCTTGGTTGTTCTGCGTAGGGGCATCCGGACCCCTAGCCCTGTTGTCACTGGACTTGTTGCGAAACAAGAGAAGACAGTCATAAGCCAGGCTAGCACCCAATCTAGATTTGATATGCAGCTTCGGGGCCTGACTTGACATTGAAGGGTTTCGTTCCGCGGCCCTCCAGAATGCTCGTAGCATTTCGGATGCGCGAAGAGGCTGATCTTTGTCTTTCTGCAGCACCGAAAGTTGCCTCATGGAGAAAGCTGCGGCATTGAACAAGAGGCGCCCTCCTTTGTAGTCCAGGCCCGCGGCACATGTTGAATGTAGGATTCGGAAAATGACTAACGCCGCGTTGAATATGATCCTGACCACGCGCAACGGAGCATATGGTAGTACGTCATGGGATGTTTCGTCAGATAAAATGGTGTTCACAATGTCCGAGGCTGTCGAATAAGCTCTCAACAGCCCTGGTAGACGAAGGCTGTTATCTTCATCATACAAGAAATAGATGCACTGGATGTGTAAGCGGGCATGCTGGAGATCCAGTCTGTTTGTCAGGCTGAGTTGTGACTCGAGAGTGGAAAGTAACTCATCAAATCGTCTCTCGCATTCCCATATGATGTCAAAGCCATTGTCCCCAGTGGGAACACCAAAAGGACTTTGAGCGTCTTTGGAAAGAAGAAGTAGGGCATCGTGGTTGGTTCTTTCAATCATGAGACTATGACGCAACTCAGAGGGAATGTCGTCAAATGAAGAGCCCTCGCAGACGGCGCGGACAGTCCAGTCGTCAAAATGAGCGGTAGGACCGTGGCCAAGGTCGACGGAGAGACTGAGGGCATTTAGCCTTGTGTGCAATGACGAAGGACATGCATGACTTACCTCTGACATAGGGCTACGGACGCAAACCACGTACAAGCCCGGTCCGCGATGTCGCCCCGAGTCAGAGAGAGGGTCTCTTTCGAATATCCAATCTCGGAGCCCGGTCGGTGCATTCCCAGCTGAATGGATGTATTCATCGCCAGGTTACTCAGAATCCACGATTTATCGGTCCACAATCGGACGTTTGGAAGCGGCCAGCAGGAAAGCAGTAGCATCGCCTGAACTGTTGCAAGTGACACAGGGCTGGTTGCCAGTGTAGTCCAGAGTCGTTGGTTGAGTTCCGGTGCCAACCGACTCAACAGATCTTCATCGGACCTCAGCTGTCTAGTTGCCACGGCGATCACTGACCAAAATAATAGCACAGAGGTATGATAGTAGGTCGCTTCGGTTCTGGTGGGTTCCAAGATCGGCAAGAAATGATGGTAATGCTTGAAATACCTGTCAAAATCAGTCCAGCATCCCAAGGAGGAAGAGCATGCTCTCACGTTGCAAACATTGCTCGAGTTTGCTTCTGGGGTATTGTTATGCGCCCAAGAACACGGGTTGCTGCATCTTGTTGGTTTGGTGGAGGGTCAATGTGGCCAGTTTTCGGAGCAATAGCTGAATGGCTCACGGAGCTCTGTGGACTTGGATCATAATTGATAGTGCCGGTATGATAGGGATCTGCGCTGTTTCGGACAGAGCTGCCTCGAGAACTGCGTGACACGGGCAAAACCCCGTCGTGCTGGTGCTCGATGAACTCATGAAGATGCTGGACTTGTTGCTCGAGCTCCTTCACTTTGTCATTCTTGCTCACGCGTCTATATGAGGGGTTGATCGAGCAGTCGAGGCCCACCCTTTCACATCTCGAGCATGGGATCTGTTCCAGGCCGCAGCGAATCTTGGCTTGCCTGCATTGACTGCACGCGATTCTTCCTCGTTTTCTGCTCTCATTCTGGGGCTGAGCGGGAGATTGCGATGGCCGCGGCATCTGAATCTTGACCGGGAGTATGGACGCGGAAGGTGACAAGTATTTCCAGACCTAGGAAAGACATTGCAAGATCCGGCCCACGCAGAAACAACGTAGATGCGGGGAAGTGACTCTTTTTAAGCCGACGATGGCCTGTCCGGAGTCTGCGGGCTTAACTAAATCAAGTACTGGTGGCGCACTAACTTAGGCTAGTAGGCTACTGAGGCTCGCCTATGGCCCCTCTATCCAAGTGGTTTTGGGGGCTCCACTAGGCTCTCTGGCCATCTGGGCTTCCCAATTACTGATGAATATCATTTTCTCATGATGTCTCGTACCTACCTGGTTACACACGAAGATGGTTTTTTCGTCTACTCAATAGTCTCTACTTCTTCACGCTCAGACCCAACTGCGCTTGTGTCGCGGCTTCCTTCCCAGCGATTCTGCCAAAAACGGCTCCTTTGGTCAAACCTGCCCCTCCAGCATAATTGTGGTAAAAGACGCCACCAGCAATTTCTCCGGCGCAATAAAGTCCCGGCATAGGCTTCCCTTCGTTGTTGAGTACTCTTGCCCGAGTATCAGAAGCAATGCCGCCATAGGTAAATGTGATGCCACATGTCACTCCATAAGCTACAAAAGGCCCTTTGTTCAACGGCAGCGCCCAGTTGGATTTCGGGAGCGAGAGTGAAGAGTTCGTGCACAGCCCGTCTAAGTGTTGCGGGTCGAAATTGGCACTTTCCGGACAAGCATTGTTGAAATCGGAAACAGTCTTCTCCAGGACATTTGGATTGATCTTCAGCTTGACTGCCAATTCTCTGACTGTATCTGCCACAATCGGAGTGCCGGTAGAATATCGTGTTTGGAGGAGGTACAAGGTCTGTTGGTCAAAAATCTGATATGCAATGGCCTGAGGTTGGTCGCCAATCATCTTCCCGATCTTTGCATAAGTCAATGCAAAAGTATCTTCACCCTCATCGAAAAATCTCCTCCCCTCAATGTTAACGCTTATACCATAGGTGTACGAATATCGAGGGATAACCGGAGTTTTCGTGATGTCCCCAGCAGGCGGTGCGTTGATGTCTTGAGGCGATGCATGCGCACCCCCCCAGTGTCCGACTGGTCGTGCACCGGCATCGATCGCTCGCCGCAACATTGTCCCAGTGTTATGCTTCGTGCCACGAACTGTTACCAGATCCCAACCTTCACCGAGGTATTGTCGTCTCATGGCCGGGTTGGCTGAAAATCCGCCACAAGCCAGGATAACCTGGCCGTGGAAATCGACATACTTCTCCCGCAGGCGGACTTTGACACCGTACACGGCATCACCGGCCAGCAGCAGTTCGTGAGCAGGATGCCCGTACTTCACCACAATATCCGTTCTCTCGACGGCAGCGTACAAGTCCCGGATCAAACCAACACCGTCGCCGACACACTTCACCGGAGAACCACTCATAATGTCGATTTTGCCCGCATCTTTGAGATTCTCAACGTTGTAGTATTTGCGTACGATCAATTCCCAATTGACCCCTTTATCCTTCATCCATTCTATAGTCTCCCAACCATGTTGCACCAGGATTTCGGACAGAAGAGGGTCATTACGCCCAAGGGAGGTCGACTGCAGATCTTTCAGGTAATCTTCAGGCGTATACGATGACATTGAGCAAAGAGAGACGTCTTCAAGAGCGTCTTCACAGAGTACTCCCTTGACTTGATTTAGACCGGTATGCGGAGCTCTGAACACTGTGCCTGCGAATCGACTGTTCCCACCCCTTTCCTCTTCCGAAGCCGCCTCCAGAATCACCACGCGAGCACCAGAGGCGTGCGCCGCCAATGCGGCACACAAGGCTGCGTTCCCTCCTCCAACAACGATCACGTCGTACTGCTCAGAGGATCCCAGTCGCATACTACCCATCTTGGCTACCTACGAGACTGTAGAAAGAGCTTTCTACCTTGAGCCAACCGTGACTCCAATCTTGCATCCAGCTCATATATCTCACACTACAGGAACCTTTCAACCTGCTAAGACTTGCCACGGACCGGGGCATGAGCGTGCACATTTGGCGATGTTGTCCGGTTGTGCAAGTGTGTTATGCTATCGGGCCGTCTCAGATCGAAAATTGAGTCGCTGCCGTGTGCGGGCCGGAAGCGGAGCGCTTGCGGCAAGGGTTTGGACAGTCGATCCTGGCTTTCGCCAAAAGGTGCATGTAGATTGGCTTGGTCCTGGCCAAGACGCAACTCGGCTTGGACAGTGCTCTCAAGTGCTTCTCAGCCGACCACGCTTCAGCTAGACATACGATGACCTGCGATCAAAATTTACAAACACAGGCAGATACGGAACGGCGTTCTTTCGGCCAGACAGCACTAGCTAAGCCGTGGTGCGAGGTGTGGCACCCCATGGGGATATCACGTTCGCTAAGTACCCCCCAGGATGAGCATATAGAGCTGGCCTGTTTCCCTTCGTCAATTAACTCCTCAACCCATCATTCCCTGCTTTTTATCACCCCCGGTCTTGAGTCTTTCTAGTCAGTCTACCTTACACGCCAGAGTGTCACGTATCTGCAATGGGTATGGAAGTCAAAGTCTCCTCGTTTGCGTCGGAGCACAATGAAGACCCTAAAGTCCTTCCGGAACTTGAGACCCGCCCTTCAAAAGCAGCGAAGTTGGAGAAGCGCTTTGTTCGCAAACTGGATATGATCATCTTGCCGCTGCTTGCACTCGCGTACTTGTTGGCATACATGGTGAGTTACTAGTACTTGTACATATCTCCTAGTGGCGTTGACTAACTCCCCTCGCTCAGGACAGAAACAATGTTGGCTATGCCCGGCTAATGGGGCTCCAAGAAGACCTCAATCTATCATCAGGAGAATTCTATAATGTTGTCATGATGTTCTGTAGGTGAATGAAAGGCTCCCTGTGTGCCCTTGATCTGACGTGCCTGAAGATGCCGGCTATCTGGTCACCATATTCCCGGCCAACTTGCTGGTTCGAACCATCGGACCAAGAATCCAACTGAGCTTTGCCGTCCTCGCCTTTGGGCTTTTCGTTTGCTGCATGTGCTCTGCTCGAGGCTACGGAGATATACTGGGCCTGCGCTTCGGCGTCGGTGCTGCCGAAGCCTTGTTGCAAGCCACACCACTGTACTTGGTGCTGTGGTACGGGAGAAACGAGCTTGGTAAAAGGATCGGTAGGTCTATCTATTAATTGCCGTGACGGATATCCTAACACTCGGCAGCATTGTTCTATTCTGCCACGGTCATTGCTGGAGTGTTCGCCGGTCTTATCGCTTATGCAGTCCAGAAAGACCTCGAAGGCGCTGCTAGGAGACCATCATGGCAGTGGCTTTTCATCATTGAGGGGTCTATTGCGATCGGAATTGGTTTACTTATGGCTGTCTTCCTCCCGGGATTTCCTGATCGGATCAAGAAATCTTGGATGTTTAACAGTCAAGAGATTGAGCTCGCCATCTCTCGGGGCGAAGGTAAGCATCATAAAACGGACCGGCAACGATTACCATGCTGATTTTGATCGTTTCAAGGTCTCAACGCGAAAGGGGCAAGTCGTTTCCAGCCCAACCAGGTCCGTAAGAGCCTTCTCGATCCGAAGACATGGTACTTGGCTGTACTCGCCGGGGTCAATTCGACACTCTTAGCTTCCACCGGCGCCTTCTTCCCTACCATCATCAAAGAATTCGGCTACAGCTCAGTACAGACACAGCTCTTCACAGTCATACCCTACGCATGCGCCTTTGTGTCCATGGTCACGATTGGCTATCTCTCTGACCACTTCCGCAAAAAGTCCACCTTCATCCTCGGATGTCTGTCGCTCTGCGCGACTGGCCTAATTATACTTATGGCGACAACAGGCAAAGAAGTCGGCGTATTTGCTGCATGTCTTTTGGTGATGGGCGCCTATCCATCAGCCGTTCTTCAGATGGCGTGGATCCAAATCAACTTCTGTGGCAACACTAAGAGGGCCATGTCATGGGCGGTGGCGATGATATTTGGACAGGGACTGAGCATGGCCGGAGCTCAGATTTACACTACACCACCCCGTTTCTTCAAAGGTCATGGCATATTGCTGGGTTTCGTGGTCATAGCAATGTGTTCCACCGTTGCTGCAAGATTGACCATGGCAAAGGCAAACAAGCGTCGCGATGAGGAGCTGAGAGAATATGAACAGCGGGGTGAAGCTCATCCGGACCAGGCAAAATCATATGAGGAGACTTGCGACTATCATGTCGCCTTCAAATACACCATCTAGGTCAAACAGGTGCGCGGAGACCACACGGAGATCACGGAAGCTGCAGTGGTGGGATTGATGCCCGTTGCAGGCCCGTTGCAGGTATCTGGAGAATGGGCAAGCTTTTGAAATTGTCATTGCTTGGATGGAGTCAGACACTAGTATTGAATTCGATGGACTTATAGATCAAACAACCTCGCGTACTGTCGCGTATCTAGAGTTCAATCGCTGTCAGGAGTGTGACTTTGTCTGCGCGCCTTGCTCCCAAGGACTTACTCATCGAGGGATTCGTGCTACTACCAGCGACGTTGTGTAGGCATATCATGGTGACAATCTAGATCATGAATACCTTAGGAGAGTCTGTACGCACAACTTGCACATTCTGAGTTAGCATACAAATTACTCCGATGAAGCCCGAACAATAGTATCAAGCAGCTGGACATTCATATTATGATCCTATCAAAGAGCACCCTTCCGGGCCACACTTGAGACTTCCAGATCGAAGCTCAGCAGCTCTTGCATGCCACAAGCGTCAAACATGTCGTGAGGCTTAACCTCCGGGTCGTACTTCTCACAGTCTCCGCTTGCTTTCAATACTTCCAACGCTTGTGTGATGGCCATGTACATGGGCGCCAAACACAGGGCTGCGTAAATGATGATCTTGAACCCGAGATCCTTTGCCTCAGCCGGGGTCATTTTGAGAGCCTTGCTCCCTTGTACCATGCCATACATTAAGGGAGTACCTCTCTCCTTGAAAGCTTCCTTCAGCGCCTTGACCTCTTCTCGCTTTGTTATAGCTTCCAAGAATGCAACATCGGCTCCCGCATCGACGGCGGCCGTCAGCCTCGAAATGGCTTCATCCAGACCCAGAGACGCGAGCGCATCAGTCCGAGCGATGATCACGATATCTGAGCCCATACGTTCCCGCGTCTTGACGGCTGCTCGGATCCTGGTGAGGTATTCTTCCTTGGAAACCAACTCTTTGCCGGCAAGATGTCCGCATCTTTTGGTAACCACTTGATCTTCGAGGTGGAGTCCGGCAACTCCAGCTCGGATGTACCCAGCCACCGTTCTTGCAACATTGATTGCAGCGCCGTAGCCTGTATCGGCGTCTGCAATCACTGGAATCGACGGATCAAGGCCTGAGATCATTTCTGCGTTTTCTTTCATCTCGGTGGCTGTTGCGAGGCCGAGGTCCGCCATTCCAATACGAGACATGCTCGTTCCAGCACCTGTCATATAAAGTGCGTCAAAGCCCGCCCGCAACGCCAAACGAGCACTGATACCGTCGTACACGCCTGGGCACACAATGATTCTGTCCGGCTCGGCGAGGAGCTGACGCAAACGGGTCGAAGAAGGCACGGGCATGTTGGTATTTGAGCATGAACGCAATTCTCCCATGTGTTCGACAGGTTATGAGCTGCTGGGAAAGGGGGTCAAGAGGGGAGGGTGAAGAAAATGGATGGATGGAAGCGACGGATTTGCTTGCCTGCGCATCCTGACCGAAATTTCCGGTATTCAAGATCGAGATCCAGAGGCTGACTTGAGAATGAGCCCAGATTCAGGAAGCTACTGACCATGCTTGCATCGGGGGTCTGCTCGCTCCGGGTGTTTTGCCACTGAGATGCGTGCTTGCCGCACGCGGGCCGGTCAAGGCTGAGGTACTGCCGAAAGCGGCTGTTATGCTCGCATGGTATCCTCAATTGTGGGGTACAACCTCTGCCTCTTCAGGACGCGCTCTTTTTCGTGGTGGTCTCTACAATTGCCTGCGCTGCCCCAAGTGCAAGGCAAAGTAAGTTGCCAAGCGGACTATCCTCGTTCACCATGCACCAAGATATTGGCACCGTTGTTGTCGCCGTTCGCGACGGTGAGGCTGGGGCGTGGGAGCTAAAGTGCATCTCTTTGATAAACGAAGTCTCAGGAGTAAAGATTTTTTCCGTCAATCAGGAACCGTCTACCGATAAGACTCCTAATCTGTTGAGGTTTCTCCAGACATGTGGTGAGGACTTACGACAACACGGCGTAACAAAAGTGTGCGACGCTCTCGAGGAGGTCGTGCAAAGGTGCACTACTCATCCTGATTTTGGCGGATACGGCATGAGCATTGATGGCCAACTGCAGCCACAGCAACAGGATGATGTTGTGTTTCTCTGTTCAGCCTTTCTTGAAGCGCTGAAGTCAGCTGCCCGAGCGCGACTCAGACCTCTGCCCCTGAAAAGCCGGCCTGCGGGACGACGTGGCATGACCATGTCCGAGAAGATTTTTGCAATGCACGACGTCTCAAGAAAAGGATACGTTCAACCAGGAGATATAATTCAGGTTGACGTTGACTGGGTATTGGCTTCAGAGTTGTCTTGGGCCGTATGTTTCGATTGACAAGATTGGTTCCACACCACCGGCTAACTGGAATTGCAGGGTATGGAGCGAGTCTACGACTCTGTAGGTAGGCCGGGGATATTCAGAAACGACCGCTTCTGGCTTGCTGGAGACCACCGCGTCGAGCCGCCGCTATATGAGGATCCCAAAGTCAAAGCACTTATGGAGACAAGTAGCAGGGCACAGAAGGATTTCAAGATGACGGATTTCCAGGGTTTCAATGTATGTTGACCTTTGATAACCACAGGACAGGTCCTCCTGCTAAGCACAGAAACAGTATACCATCATGCACACCGAGTTTGTCAGAGAACGAGCGCAGCCTGGAATGTTGGTCATTGGCGCCGACTCCCACTCTTGTTCTGCTGGAGCTGTCAGCTGTCTCTCGATCGGAATGGGAGCGACGGATGTTTGCATGCCGCTGATTACAGGCCAGACATGGTTCAGCGTGCCACGGACTGTCAAGATACGGCTCATCAACAAGCCACCGAAAGGCATAGGCGGCAAGGATACTATTCTGTACATCTTGAAGCAATTCAAACGCAACACCATTGCTGCCGACCGCGTGATGGAATTCGCCGGCCCAGGTCTCAAGTATCTTTCGTGCGACGCCAGATTTGCGATCGCCAATATGTGCACGGTAAGTCCTCATCATGATGCCTCGGATTGTGTTGCTGACCAGGACGAGGAATTCGGCGCAGTCACCGGTATATTCGAGGCTGATGAGCGGACCGTGAATTTCATCAACAAGAGGCGGATAGCGAAGCACAAGAAAGAAGCGGTTTACTTTAAGGCTGACGAGGATGCTGTCTATGCCGATACATTCGAGGTCGATCTGTCGAAAGTCGAGTCCTTCGTGGCTGTTCATCCTTCTCCTGATAACGTTGTCCCTGTCAGCGAGACATCTGACGTAAACCTGGATGGCTGCTTCATCGGAGCTTGTACCACCGCGGAGGAAGACTTAATCACCGGCGCATTGGTGTTATCGGCGGGACTCGCACAAGGCCTTCGACCCGTGAGCCACGGCCGGCGTTTGGTAGTCCCTGGGTCGAAACCCATCAGGCATAAGTTGGAACAGCTTGGCTTGATTGACATATACCAACGTGCTGGATTCAAGGTCGGTGTTCCGGGTTGCAGTATGTGTGTAGGACAGGGAATCGATCAAGCCGCTCCAGGAGAGAAATGGCTATCGTCACAAAATCGCAACTTCCACAATCGGATGGGACCAGGTACCTCGAAAGCTACTAATCATTGATCAGACTGGCGCTGACTTTCTTAGGCTCGCTGGCTTACCTTAGCTCGGCGGCCACGGTTGCGGCGTCGTCCTTCTCGATGAGAATCTGCGATCCTAGGCCATTGTTGGAGGCAATGGATATGCGATATCTCGAGAACTGTGTCAGATATTCGCCGTTCGATGTCAGTGACCCGCAGCCTCATGCAGCACTGAGGTATGACGAACCCTACGGAGAAGCACTAACGGAGGATGTTGGGAATTCTTCAACTTCAAGAACAAACGGTGACGCAAGCCACGAGAACCACGCATCAGGAGACTCGGAAGGCAAGAGTCTCATTTCTGGCAAAGTCCTTCGTCTGGGGGACTTTATTGACACCGATGCGGTAAGTCAGTTGTGCTGGACATCAAAACGGGTTGGAAGAAGTGACTAACACAGACTGAAGATCATTCCCTCAAAATTTCTCGCTGGGTGTACAACAAACGAACAGCTTGGTGAGCATTGTATGGAGTTTTTCATGCCTGAATTCCGCAAAATGGTCAAGGATGGATTGAATATCGTTGTAGCTGGAGACAGTTTTGGCTGTGGCTCGTCTCGAGATGTAGCGGTCAACACATTGCTCGGCGCAGGAGTGCAATGTGTAATTGCGAAGTCATTCGCATTCATTTATGCCCGCAACCAACCAAATATCGGCCTGCTGGGCATCACCATCACCGACGAAGACTTTTTCATGGAAGCGCAGCAAGGAAGAGATATCAGTATCGACCTGAAATGCAGTCAAGTAAGATGTGGCTCAAGGACCTTTGGCTTCCAACTCAGCGATATGGAGAAACAGCTCATAGCTGTTGGTGGTCTCACAGAAGCGTTCAAACGGTTTGGCAGCCAGGTGTTCGACATCATGTGCCAACACAGGCGCCCAGGCCGCATGCCAGCTATTGGTGACATCGAAAGCCTGAAGTTATGAAAACAGTAAAAGCACGATCGGCGACGTCTTAATCATGATGCCGTAGACTCATACCCGCAGATCGTCACGGCAAGTGGTTGGTTTGGTGGAAACAAGGCTCGGCAGCGTGCGACACTTGACGCCTCTCGGGTAATTGCAGTCGAGCTGTATCTTACATGCGCCACCCGTAAAGTCACAGCTCGAGGCGAGAAGCCGAGGGAAAGGAAGTTGTGCTTGGAGAAAGGCCGTTGGAGTTTGTATAGGCGACTCGGTGATCCACAATATGGTCTCTGCTCCTCGGATATCGACCGGGACCTTTCCCCGCACGTTTCTCTGCTTCATGCCGATGCCGGGTTAGTTTCTGGTTAGCCACGACGGCTCTTCACAGGTTCTTGTTCCTCCATTTAAGGGAAGGGACTGTAGCTTTGGCGGAACGATCGCAGGCACCACATCTGACAACCCAGCCCAAACACCCACATCGAGATTCTTTCCTACTCATCATGGCTTCACAATACCTCACAGAGATGTTCTCCCTGGAGGGGAAGATTGCAATCTGTACCGGAGCGACGGGTGGCCTTGGAACAGCAATGAGCTTAGCGTTAGTCAAGGCTGGAGCCTCGATCGTCTCGCTCGAGCTTCCAGACGACCCTCTCTCTGCCGAATTCAACAAGAAGATCCACGATGCGGGCGGTAAGGTGACGACGTTCCATTGCAACCTGCAGAACAAGGAGAGCATTCGATCGACTTTTAGACAGATCTGGGATAGTGGCGTCGTTCCCGACATCCTGCTCAACTGTGCCGGCGTCATGAAGAGGAATTTATGTGAGAATGCCACTGATGACGAGCTTGATCTGGTGCGTATCACGGCTTTTGACGTCCCCCCAACAACTGACAACTCTCTAGCTGGTTGATGTCAACATCAAGTCCTTCTATGTATGCATGCAGGAGTTTGGGAGAAGATTGCTCTCACTCAATCGACCGGGCAAAATTGTCAACATCGCCTCGATTACCTCTTATCAGGCTGGATTCAACACGAGCATCTACTCTTCCACGAAAGGGGCTGTGCTGCAGATGACCAAGGCCTTCAGCAACGAATGGGCAGGCAAAGGCATCCAAGTCAACGCAATCGCTCCTGGCTTCATGCAGACAAATATGACAGCACAGTACCGAGACAACCAGCAGATGATCGATTATTTGATGATGCGAGTCCCCATGGCAAGATGGGGCGAGCCAGAGGATTTAGTGCCTGGGCTCTTATTCCTTGTGGCTCCATCGAATAAGTTCACGTCCGGTATTGCGTTGATCATCGATGGCGGCTTTTGTGGGAAATAATCCTGGTGATGGGAATATTTGAAACTCGCCTGGGGCCGACGAAGGATAGGACAGTCTTCGTAAAATAACTATGTTAGTGATATTCCACCAATATACCATTGACTTTCAATACCTATCCTACAGCGTTGGCTCTAAAGCGCCCATTCCACTGATTTTGGTCTCGCCAATCTCCCTTACAAGACTCTTTTCCGTCGTGCGAGCCGCCGCCGGGACCCAGTTCCCATGGATTTGGGCCTTGATGTGGAACGGTAGCTGGACAATGGCGACGGGCTTCTCGAACTCTCGTGTATCGATGATGGCCACGTCGCATCGGCCAGCGTCTCGTCGCTCGACTAGGGTCATGACCCAACCGTCACCTTCAGGGGCATTTGCAGAGCGTGGGATGAAGACCGGTTCTTGACACAAGGAACCGTCCCCCGCGTAGAAGTACCGGGACTTGCCGGTCTTGTTGCTATGCATGGCAAGGCCGTTCAGGCCGTGGAAGATGTTCTTGGAGCCATCCGCGTTCTCCGGTATGAAGACGTTGAGGAACAGCCACTCGTACTGCTTCGTCATGAAACGCTCGTCGATCCTCGGAAACTCCGATGGCAGATCGAGCACCACCAGAGGATCCGGCACTGTAGTACCGCTTGGCTTGGAGAGGTCCAGTTCCCAGCGCACGAAATCGGCCTTGGTCTCCGCCGAAGGCATTCGTCCGTCGTCGGGAGGAAAGAAGGGGAATGCGTTGTCGTGCACCCTGGAACTCTCGACACAGATCCTAGAGCCATCGGCGGTCTCCCAAGCGCCAGCTGTATGGATGGGCATACAATTCTTCCAAGAATAGACACGGTGCTCTCCCTTCTTCCAACCGTGTCTGGCAGCCGCTCCCTCTCGTCGTGGAATGACGATGAAAGTGGCTGGCAAATCATAGCTCCAAGCCCAATGCTGCTTTCCCGCCTTCATCCTTGCCACGTTCGCCTCGAATGGCCAGAGGAAAAGAATGATGAAGTTTGGAGTGATGGCGCAGTCGTGGATGAATGCGCACCAAGGGGATTGGAGCCAAAATTCTTCCCCGGTCTTCTGGCCCTGTGCATCCAAGGCGTACGTCACTACATCGAGGGTTGCGAGACCTTTGGCCTCGTAACCGAAACAGACCAGCTCATTCGTGAAAGGGTCGATTTTGGGGTGAGCCGTGAAAGTTTTGGACTTGATGTTCTGCTCGGCGAAAGGGTCGTAACCGAGAGTCTCGAGGGTGTCCGGATCTACCTCGTAAGGGAGAGCGACTTCTTTGAGAGCCAACAACTTGTCTGCCCAGTAGACCAAATTGGTGTTGGCAGTAGAGTCGACGGCGGCCTTGACGCAAGGATGATGGGTGAATGGATTGCGATAAAGACCGAAGAGGGCCTTCTTGGCTTTTCGTTCGAGCCTGTACCGCTCAGTCTCGATGTACCGCATCTTCATGTCCACCTGTCCATCGTGGAACCGAAAAGCAGAGATATTGCCGTCGCCATCGATCGACACGTTCCTGGGATCTGGAGGCACAAATGGATCGCACATGACTCGATAGAACGTCCCGTTGATCTCAGGTGGGATCGATCCTAACACGACCAAGTCGCCAATCTCTCCCTCGAGACGGCATGGGAGACTTGATCCGGCGAGGTCGTTGGCCACGGGCCATTTCGAGGTGAGGCCATAGAGACCATCATTACCTTGGGTACTCGGGACCGCGGCTGCGGCTGCTTTGGAAGGAGGCGGCACATCAGGCGCAAGTAACAAAGGAGCCTGCTCTCTGTCCTCGGCGACAGTGGGGGCTGCAGTAGTACCAGAAGCGTCAATCATTTTGAAGGCTTGTATGGGGAATGCCGGTAGACTCTAGACAGAAATCAGAGACCAGGAGGACAGTACCGATGGGATACATCTACTGTCTGCTCCTGAACCTCTGGCTCTTTTTGTAGGTTGAGGACAGGAGGATTGATGCGGCCAGCCAACTCAGTCCAAGCATGCAGCTGAGCATCTGCCGTGCCGATTGAACCTGCCGATGACAATTTTCTTCTGGACGCGAGTGAAGACGGGGTTCCATCTGCTCGCTGGAATACCAAAAGGCCTTAAGAGCCATGAATCGCTCATGCTTAAGCATTATGCTCGAACCAATGAGACCCGACCCAGAGAATCAGTCGTCTTTTCGTTGGCTCGGAAAACAGGTTGGTAGGTGGCACTATGGCGACGGATGTGGGGATGGGAGGGCAAGTACTGTGTAGACTAGGAGACTGGCGGTCAGGACACCATCAGGGGTCAACGGCGGAGATGTGGGGGTGGGGAAAAGGCAGCCTCACCAGCCTTGAGGAGCTGGATGGTAAACGGGAAAGCGTACGAAATGACTCTTTGTCCTGCGGTGATTTGTACTAACAGGCCTGGTAAGGACTTGAAAGAGAAGTCAATGACAGCTCCCTACGTTCCTGGTAGTAGATCTGCAATTCTAAACAACTCACACCGCCACAATGGTCCTGTAGTTGATCTAGATTTCATTCGATATCGAGCTATAGAGCAAGCCTTACTCGTTTCTACTGAGCCAAGTTGGACCCATCTTCTGCCGATCCTTTTCTGCGAGACATACGGTACGCAAGTTACTCTGCTCCACCTCTCGCAAATGAGGGGTTGTGGGTGAGTGGTGCTTTTTCCGGGGCAAGGCAGCCTGGAAGGCGATCTCGGACAATTCCCACACACACCAAGCTCGTCCAACTGTCTGCCGAAAAAGGGCTTCAGGCGTTGGGAAGGTGTTTTCCATGCCACACCCCATACCATCTCCGTGTATCTGTGCGACGAGAAGTGATATGAAAATAAGCGAACTCCGCTTGCTACTGTCCTCTTTCTCCCTTCCTCTGCTCTAGCTACTAGCCAGTCCAGGAACGGAGTTCGGATGTCCCCAGCCACGGCACTGCAAATCTTCCGAGAATCATGTCCCCTGACAAAGAGCAGTCGCCTAAACCGTATCAGTGCTCTGTGTGCATGCGAGCTTATGGACGACTGGAGCACCTGAATCGACATTCTTTAAGCCGTAAGTACCTACACATGCATGGAAACGCCTCTGATATTTCCCATCTTGTAACATGGTGGTAGAAGGTTGACGTATCTTTATTCATTCCACAGATACCTCTTCCTGCCCGTTCACATGCCCACGGTGCGGCAATGCTTACAAGCGAAGGTGCGTCCTACTTTTCTTGGGAAAGGTTGGCTGTGATCTGGCGAGAAACCAACACGATGTATAGTGATGTCCTCAAACGACATGTTCGCTCGTGTAATGGGTCGGATAAGTCGACTGTTGCCCTGGTCTCATGGACTTCTGGTCCGGCGAATGCCCGAAGAAAAGCCTGCCATCATTGTGTGAGGCTGAAACGACGATGCAATCTGAAATCGCCGTGTGGAACCTGTCTCGAACAGCAGAAATATTGCGAATATCCTGCCCATGCCCGGCGTCTTCGAAATGATGCCAGAGACCCAGCCGCGGAAGAACACATCCCCACCGTGGCAATGGACCAGTCAAACACTTCACCAACAGCGTATTCTTGTCGGGAAGTTGTTTCAACAGATAACGATCTTGCGAGGAATCGTCCATCATCGTCACCACCTGACCAGGCCGAATGCTCTGGAATTGCGCTCTTAGACGTTGTGCCCACACCCACAACCACACCATCAAATCAATGGTGTCGTCGGTCAACAGAAGAGTTAGGGTTACAAGGGCAATCACAGGTCGCCGACTTCTTGGTGGCCTTGTCCTTGCTACCTCCTTTCCCTCGAGATCCTGCAGTCTCGTTCTCTTTCCTGGCTCGTTTCACCTACGACGGCGCCGGGTTGGTATATGTCTTTGAATCCGACGCCGTACTGCACACGCTGAGAAAAGCTTCCATGAAAATGTTATTCAAAAGTCGCGGAGGGGCGTCAGCTGTTTGCGACATTGAGGTCGAAGCCGAAGCCGAAGCCGCCATTGACCCGATGTCAATACAGGACGATACCATGGGATCCTGTGTCTGGCCAGGATACCAAGCCTGTTCCCCTGACACGATAGAGCTCGCTGACGGATCTAGCGATGGTAACATCACTGCTCTGGATTTTGATCCTGGCGATTCATCGTCACTATTCAGCCGATCTCCAATAACTAAAGTGGCAGACAATCATTTCAACGGGTACGAATCAAGCCTGGTGTTGAGTCCGTTGTGGAGAGGAGATGAATTGGCAACCAAGACGCTCGAGATCAGCCGTGCTTTACGCAGAACGGTGATTGACGCTCAAGCAGGTGGCAGTCCCCAGGGGCGATTTTCCTGGTCACCCGTCATGGAGGCTGCTTGTCGAGACTTCTTCTCACCACCCAGAATCCGCATATTCCTTGAGGCATATTGGAGTATTTGGTCTCCCAATTGTCCCGTCGTCCATCGACCAACGTTCGATATTATGTCGACGCCGACAACCCTTCTGACTGCAATGGTCGTGATGGGTGCCTGCCACTCTCCAAGCTCAGCCGACCGCGTCAATGCCAGGTGTTGGTATGACTGTGTGGAGGAGATGGTGTTCAAAGACACATATATCTCCTTCGCAATATCATCATCGAACAGTGACTGCCAATGGAGTCGTCACGCATATAACAGACGACGCATGGTACAGGCCATCCAGGCCGCCTACGCCGTGTGCGTCTATCAGAACTGGGATGGCAGCCAAGCCTCCCAGTTGAGAATCCGCCGACAGCGATTCAATGAAATGGTAGCGGTAAGCAATTTGACCTCCGAAATAAGCCTGCTGCGTGGAAGCCTTTCCCGCTGATACAAAGTCTCTTGCAGGTGGCCCGAGTCCTCGGATTCTCTTCAGCTAGGCACCCTGACTTGACCGATCTGAGAAGGTCTACCTTTGATTGGCGAGAATTCATCCTTACAGAGGAGATGATTCGGTAAGTTGCTACATGAGCTTGCATCGTCTGCTTTTTTCAATGTATCATGGACGTTGGACTGACCGAAGACAGAACGCTTCTCTGGGTCTACCTCCTCGATTCAGCCTTTGTCATATTCAACAACATGCCTCCGCGACTAGCCTTGAGAGAGCTCGGTATGGGACTCGCCTGTAGCGAAGCGTGTTTCCAAGCCGAAGACGCTTCCTCGTGTTACAATTACCTCAAGCTCTGGGGTACCCGGGTGGGCAGGCCGAGGGACACGTCGCTCTACTCACTCATCAAGTCGTTCTGTTCTGGTACGATGGACAGTGGTCGGTTGGATCATGCGTCGCACGAAGGGTTCATGAATCTGTGGTGTGTCGTAGGATGTAAGTTCCACCAAGCCAACAGACACAACGGACCCATTCTTTCTGGCAGTCCAGCCAGATAGATGAATTGCTTATTTGGCTCTTTGTTACTTCGTTTGCCCCTGCCACAGGAGAAATCTAACACCAGCCTTATAGCATTTCACATTATGATATTCAATCTCGAACCTTCGATCGCACCAAAGGCCCAATTCGCACACATCCGGATGGGTCTCGCGAATTGGAAAGCTGTGTGGAACCAACGTACCCTGAACGACGACGAGCGCTTTTTCGACGTCCCCGTCACCACAGGCTTGACCCGTAGCAACAGCAAAGACGGCGACCAAAATCAGCACCAAGATGCAAATGAAAAACTGGCCCAGCCCCCACCTCACCAAATACCTGAAGATGAACCGAGTATGTGGAAGAGATCAGGATTCTGGAGACATGCACCGGAGTATTGGCTTCTTGCGAACCTGTATCTCGACCGGATGGAATACGGCATCTCCGTCGGGCCTGGTGATCAGGGAGCTACAAGTTTCGACCCTAAACCCCAGCACGACGACACTTCCATGTCCTGGTTGAGGGATCTTATCATGAAGTTCTAGAGAGCTCCCCGTGGAAGGAGACTGAGATCTAGGGGTTAGCTGATGGGTGTTCCAATTAGCCATCCGTGAAGTGATAATCTTAACTCTTATTATCCGCCGCCGCCGTCTACTACGCTAGAAATCCGCGCAACCGTGTCACAACCATCTCCTGGTCTGTCTGACGTCGCAGGCAGCGAGTAGTGGCCACTTATTCCAGATATGAGCCTTGAAAAGACGTATCTACGGACTACTAGCCCTCTGGCTCCACCCGAATATATGACTGCTGGCACATGGTGAGATTTGCAGAGAGAATTGAATGAGATCAGCAGGATCATAGGCCAGTCATGGTCCAATTTGTGTTATTGTCAGGGCTATCGAGGTGGATGAGGCTCCTACCATACGTATGGCGCACAGCAGCGTGCCTGGACAATCAACTCCTTTTGCTTAGTCGACGTCCCCTTGGCCTCTTTAGCAAGCAACACCACCATCCGCAGAGAAGGTGGCGCCAGTAGTGAACGAGGCATCGTCGCTCAGCGCAAAGCAGATCGTCTTCGCCATGTCATCCGCCGTACCCAATCTCTGCAGTGGCAGAGTCTTGTAGGTATTCGTGACCGGTCGATCGACTGTACCACCATCGCTTCTAAGTCTGTCGAGCATAGGCGTTTCGATCGGTCCCCTGTGGTAGTCAGCTCACTATGAATTCCAGACGAATATCGCCTTCAACATACGGAGCCAGAGCGTTCACCCGGATCCCCCTCTCACCGACCTCTTTGGCGGCAGTCCGCGTCAACCCAACAACACCATGTTTGCTCGACGAGTACGCTGAGATTCCGGGCCTACCCATAAGCCCAGCCATGCTGGCGACGTTCAGGATTGAGGCGCCTCTTTCCATGACACGGAGCTGCGCCCGGAGACAGTAGAAGAGTCCCTTCAAGTTGATGTTCATGATAAAATCCCAGTGCTCGTTGGTAGTGTCGACGATATTGCAGAAGACTTTTCCGCCCGGTTTAGCCTCGACTCCTGCGACGTTCGCTGCGCAATCCAGCTTGCCGAAGTGCTTGACGGTGTCGGCGATCCAGCTGTCCACGCTGTCCGAGTTCGATACGTCGACGCGCTGGCTGATGACATTGGTCCCTTTGCCTTTCAACTCTTCAAGAACTTTGTTGAGTGCGCCTTCGTTGACGTCGCACAGAGACAGGGACGCCCCTCTGGCTGCGGCCAGGCGAGCAGTCGCGGCTCCGATGCCAGAGCCTGCACCTGTAATTGCGATTACTTTGCCCTCGAGTTGAGCCATACTGTCCGGTATCCTTCTAGCGAGACCCTGAGATGTGTAGAGTTAGTCCCAAGTTTCCAACTCCTGATCAGTGTGAATTGGACCTTATGTGGTGCTCGGTGAGGTGAGGGGTCCCGACCAGGTGCCCGAGGTCCATAACGTGGAGAAACCCATGTCACGGGCACAGGGACCGCGTTCCGAACACCTTCGGCATGCGTGTCGGTCGGTTTACTTCATGAGACACCTCTATACTTACGATTAACACTTCTTTGTGGTCAGCACTACTGCTAACAACGACATTGGAAGCTTAAAAGCCCATTTAGAAACCCATCAAGAACTTCATAGCAGAACAACATCAATCCACGCATTAGCATCCCATCGGTTCCTAGCGATGGAAGAAGATGCGCTGGCCGATAACACGGAATTTGGTTGCCATTTATTGGATGATGAACGAAACTGGACCTCGGGCTCTTGTTGGCAATACTTTAAGGCCTTCTAGCCTGGCGCTACAAAACTTGCTCAAGAACCCGCTCAAACGTGATCGGAACCGTCAATGGCTAGGATCCGCCCATGTGGGCCACGTGTGCCTGCAGACCGTGATCCCATTACATCCTGTAAGGTATAGGTATGTGTATGTCTGTTCCAAGACCACTGGTACCTTGATCAAGGGGACTTGGTTTCATCCTATTTGCTTCGCCCTATTCCTTTTCATAGGGTAACGACGGGACTGTTGGTGTCAGAGAGGAGAAGTGGTATTTGTCCCGATACTGCCGTGGCGCATGAGTCCTCATCAATGTGCCGCAGAGTTGGCTATAAAATGTCCAAACACCATGCTTCCCAGAAAAACCCCACCTAAGACTGACAGGAAGTATCCGACATTCATAGTCATCACCGCAATCATCCTGTCACAAGGTAAGCGGAAATGGTCTCGTGTCAAGGCAATGAGGAAAACTGACAGTAAGTAACTGAGACCCGCGAGAACAACATCAATCGTCGCCATCATCACTGCCTCATTGGCTCTCCATGGTCTGGAGGTTGGTTTTGTGTCGGTGAGCGGTGCACTCCCCATACCACCGATGCGGCGATATTTTGCCCCTGCCAGGAGATCGTAAAATCGCACTCGAACGGCTAACAAGGCCCGAAAAATAGACGCGAAGGCAATCAGAAAGATGCAGGTCGCAGCATACTGTCCGATGCTGTTCGGCGACCAGGACCAGGAGAAGAGAGGTGTGCTCGTAGAGGCGAAGAACACCATGGCCATGGATTCCATTCCCATGAGCATGGTGGTAGATGATGCCATCGGCATGGAACTGCTCATGGAACTCGCCGTCGACATTCCCGACATTGTGGAGGTTGGCGAAGCGGACGTAGACATCGTCATACTCATGCTACTCATGCCGTTCATCGACATCATGCTGCTGTCCATGATTGAGGTGTACAGATATGCTCTTGGGAGAGTCACAAAGCAGTTCGAGTACGGGCCAGCAGTCTGGGCTTGTAGTTCTGAGTAAAAGGTGAGTAGATACAAGCAGTGAAGACGAGATTGAATGACGGTACTCACTACAAGTCATAATACACATGGAAAGTGCAAGGTTCTTAGCTTCACAGCGGCCTGCCTGCTCATCCCAGCAGTTGGTAGAGCGCGGTGTGGCACGAGTGGATATGAAACGTGCTCAGGCAACCCATATCTAGTTAATGCTTCCACCACGCAGATCTAGCGCTGCATGACACGAATCCCCTTGCGTGAGCATATTTCTCGAGGCTTTGAGCACATTTTCTTTTTCAGGGGTCACTATGGCCCCGACACAATGCTTCTGAAGGTGCCGGTTTTCCGCTGACCATAACTTGGAGGATCACTGGCTTATACATAGTAGTACTCTGGATATTGCTGGATGAAGCCTTAAAGCTGTATTCAAAGCCAAGCTATCTGTAGCAACGGTCTGCTTCGGAGTCTGTGGGCTGATTACCGTCAACATTGACCTTCTTGCGCCTTACTCGAGTCGTCAAACTCAGCAAGAGGGAAACACAGTCGGGCATTCATTGGGTGAAGCAACGCAACATGGCCAGTTGGCTCACGCAACCAGTTCAGCTGCATTCAAGCCGGGCATTTTCTTGCGACGGTTTGACGTCCGACCAATGCAACTACTATCAACAACGTTGGCACTTCTGGTGAGCAAGAGAGCAAATAGACTTCCTCGCCGCTGTGCAAGAAGCTGATCAAAGACATCCTAGGTACGTCGCTGACCATATCTACGGACTGTCAACAATAGCTTTCTTTATGTGCGCCATTGGAATTTTCATCGTTGGTCACTTGATATCGTGGGTGTTTGCGCCCCGGATCAGTCAAGGTCCTTCGATATTGCGAAGGACAACGGCAGTGATCCGTTACTTGTCGTACCGTGGCTTCCACATAGCAGCATTCCGATGGAACTCAGCCCCGGTCGGGCTCTTGCTATTGGCAGCGGTCGGTGTCATCTACTTCTTCTGTGAGTTGCCTACCCCATTGGAAGACAACTTCGAAAACCTGACCTGTATGGTACTGCAGGTATGGACCTGGTTCCAAAGCCGTACTACTGGGCTAGCTTAAATTTTGGGGGCTCGCCACCGCTAGGAACAAGATCGGGATGGATGGCTTTGGCCTGTATGCCATTCGTTTTGTTAGTTCTTACTCCCTTTCAGAAATGGCAAACAACCAGCGACTGGCTGACATCGCGTTTAGCGCCACTGCGAGCAAGGCAAGCTGGATCACTCTGGTCACAGGAGTGACGCATGAGAAACTCCAGGTATTCCATCGATGGATATCGTATGCCTTCTTCATCCTCGCCCTGATGCATACATTCCCCTTCATTGTGTACCACATCCGGTTTCACGACATGGTGTTGCAGTTTACCGAAGGCAACATATTCTACTGGACTGGCATTGTCGCATTGATCTTCCAAGCTTGGCTCACCTTTGCGTCTTTCGGCCCCTTTCGGTGAGTAACTTTTGATCTGGAGCAGCCAGCTGTAGACTGCGTGACTGACTCGAAACTCTAGAAACCTTGGCTACGAGTTCTTCAAGGCGACTCACTTCTTCTCGGCCGCAGTCTTCGTGTTGATCTTCTTCTGGCACTGTGACTATACGCTAACATCATGGTTAGTCGCCAAGCTCCTTCCAGAGTATTTCGTTTGGAGAGGTCTCGCGAAAGACACTGATAGATGGATAGGGACTACTTCATAGCAACAGCAGCGGTCTATGTGCCCTGCCTAGTCTACCCGTGGCTTCGGACCGTCTTTGAGTATGGCATCAATCAGAAAGCACAAGTCTTTGTGGAAGATAATGGCTTCACTCGCATCACGATCCCGGCGACTTTCGACTGGGTGCCGGGACAGCACTGTTTCCTGCGCTTTCGCGGCTTTGGCACCCACGCTCTCACGTCGCACCCATTCACGATTTGTTCGCTGCCATCGAATTCGCCAGATGAGCAATCCCATATGACCTTCTACGTCCGTCATCGAGGCGGCTTCACCGCGCGACTATATCATCATGCCATGAAGCGATCCGGCGTGTCTGTGCCTGTGTTTGTGGATGGTCCCTACGGAGGTATCGACCCTCAGAAATACTACAGCAGCGATCGGCTCATTGTGATTGCCGGTGGTTCGGGCGCAGGCTGGAGTTTGCCTTTCGTCGAGCAATTCGTTAGATGTTGCCTAACCCCGGCCACCAAAGAAGCCAGTGCTGGAGAGGAGCCAACCAGGACTACACGCCAACCCAGACGCAGTCCAGCCGCACCTCGCTCGCTACGCGTGATTGTGGCAACAAGTGATACTGCCACTCGCGTGTGGTTTCACAAGTCCGTAGGCAATCTGCTGTCGAAGTACTCATCGCTGGACCCATCCTTTGACCTTGATGTCCAAGTCTACCTGACTGGTCAAGCCGAGCAGCAGGCAGACACATCGGAGATCCTGGCGGATCTAGAGACGGCAGAGCCATCCTTCGCTGAAAATGCTAGTATGCAGAAAGATGGGTCAAAATACGAGGGACAAGGGAACAGCAGTATGGAGGGCCAGGAACCACACGGCCGACCGCCATTACCGGAAATCATTCAGGAGGAGGTGGCCCGTGTGGCGGAGACTGGACAGTCCTTGGGCGTCTTTGTCTGCGGCCCTGGCACCATGCAGAACGATGTTCGCAATGCCGTTGCAAAAGCGAACGTGAACGTCTTGAAAAATCCGACGTGTGGAGTCTATCTGCATCTGGAACATTTCTCGTGGGCTTGAGAGAGCGACTCTCTTCGATCGTTGCTTTCTCTCCCATCCCGATCACTGGGGTGGCTGGGGATTGGGATGGGGTAAGATCGGTACCAGATGGAGTATAAGCTGCCGGAAGGTCCCCCATGGCTTCTCTCACCGTGGTCACTTACATGAACGCTCTGTGGTATAGCATGCGGTGTGTATCCGAAACTTGTTACCCGGGACATTTCGCTTTGATTACGAAATATACCTCTTCGTTAAACAACATTGCCCGAAGTCCAGATGGGTGGCGCCCAGTCAAACTTGCATGATGCACTACGGCCGTAGGCGCTCGATCTTGACATCTCACATGAACATCGGGCGGGGAAGCATCGGGAGTACTGAGTACTGAATCTCTTATCATTGGGCACCAGTATCCAGGATAACATGGCAATTGGGTTGATGGCCAAGACCTGGTGTTGGCCTCACCTTGAGATGTACAACAGAGAATGAGAGAGATTGCGGGTTGGGTCGCCGTTGGCAAGAAGCATAACACATACGGCCTAAACCTGAAAGGTCCTCAGGCGTTCTTGGCGCTGTTGGGCCTACTTATTGCACCTTCTACAGTACATCTCTTTCACATCTTTCTCACTTCTCACTCACCTCACTTCTCTTTCAATTCTCTCTGACACCTTGTCGTACATCTTTCATACACAAATTGTCCTCTTTCAATCTTCGCAACATGGGTGATCAGAACAAGGACGCAGCAAAGCGCGAGAGCAAACGCTTGCATATGCGACAGAGTCTAGATGCAAGCTTTGGCGACCCGCTCGAAGGGTTCAAAACACCTATTGCAGCTCGCCAGATTAGCAAGAGTATCGACGACGAATCCGCAGAGCTGGAAGGACGAATCCGCAAGATCTCAGACTCCTCAGACGAGCTAATCGGCGACGGAGAAGAGAGAACGACAACGTACATCAATCAACGACAAGCAGTGGTCGATGCAGTTGAAAAACATATCAATAAAGCCCGCAGAATCCTCAGCGAAGAACGCACTCAACTACTAGCGGGTCCCCGAAGAAACGAGCTCAAGAGGGCGTTGAGAGAACTCGATGAAAGTGACAGCATGCTACTGAATGAGAGGACTGCACTGGCCGCCCACCGAATTCGGGTCAAGTATAGTGTACTTGGTCACCCGAGCAATGTCAAGATCGGTGAGGCGTATCTGATGGCCATCACTGAAAACCTTCCTGAACCGGCCGAGGCATCCTACCGAAAGAAACATGCAAGAGCCAGTGCAGATCAGACGTCTTTCCGCAACCGGTTGATTAAGGCATACAACGCCAAAGGGTCCAAGATATTGGAGACGCAACTGAAGACTCCCACTGTATTCTTGAAACAACCAGAGATTTGGTGTCCCGTTGCCGGAGAAACGTTCAAAGCATCAGAGATGAAAGCAGCTCATATCGTCCCCTATTCAATCGGCGAAACAAACGCTGCGTACCTATTCGGATCCGAAGTGAGCGCGGGATACGACGTACTCTGGTCCGAAAGCAACGGTCTTATGATGAACGAGGTCCTCGAAGAAATCTTCGACGACGGACGAATGGTTATTATACCCGATCCAGCAGACAAAAACGAGTTCATCAGCATCATTTTGTCTCAAGCTCTTCTGAAGGATAGTAGGCTGTGCCCAGCAATTGATGCGCCGTACAGCGCTCTGCATAAGAGACGACTTCAGTTCCAGACAGGGGCAAGGCCCGGAAAACGATACCTCTACGTGCATGCGTTGTTGTCCCTCTTTCGACGTCGTCGGTTCGACGTGCCTGGTTGGGAAAAAGACCGGCAGCAGATATTCACCGGGCAGATCTGGGCCACGCCATCGAAATGGGCACGAAGGAGCATGATTCAAGCAATTGCTTTGGAATATGGAGACGTCTGGGAAGGCGCAGAGGCGGTCAGTGGCCTTGGAGAATTTGAAGATGCAATGTCACCTGAGCAGGAGAAGGGTGTAGCCATAGTGGTGAGGTATGCATGGGAGAACCGAGCTGGAAAGATGGAGGACGACGACGACGATGACGGTGACGACGGTGACGACGGTGACGACGACGAGAAGATGTCATAACCTTACATTGGCAGCGGTTCATGGGCTTATTCTCGACCTGAACATGGTGTACCACAGTAATTGAAATGTTCAAAAAACCAACTTGCAAGTGGACATGCCACCATAGATGTCTAACTGCAGAAGGCTGAAGCATGTCATGTCGAGGCGGAGGTCAGCCTCGTCAGCCTCGTCGTTACCCATTATGGCCCCCACTTCGCTTCAGGGGCGCCGCTGCATGCATCAAGATGCCGAGGCTTTGTTAAGCTGGGCGGCCATTTCCTACCGAAGTTATGCCTACTAGCCTAAAATCCCCGAGTCGGACCTTCCGTCCTCAGCTTTTATATCTCTTACAATCATCTACCACGAGAGGTGTCTCTGAGGGCTCTTCAGAGCTGCGATAGAACCATGCAAACCGCCCAAAGAGCCGTGACGATTCTTGGGGCCGGGACGCAGGGTACGCGGCTGGCGTTCATGGTAGGTCCCGCCCCACCAATGTTTTGAAAAAGCATGTGCTGATTCGACATGATGCTTTTTTAGTGGACAAAGAAAGGCCGACCAGTGTACCTCGTCGATCAGAATCAACAGCAGCTCGAGAAAGCCAAGAAGGGTATTGAGGATTTGCGGTCACAGCTACAAAGCTTCTGGGCGACGTCGACGCACTGGGGTGAAATCATAACCTCATCGCCCGATGCCCTGGAGCAAGCAGCGTCGGAGTCATGGATGCTATTGGAGGTATGATGTGCTCTCTGGGACCACCAAGCCGCAAGTATTCGAAGGCTGACCCATAGCAGTGTGTGCCCGAGTCTCTCCAGCTCAAGCGCACAGTTGTTCGGCAGTTAGACGAGATTGCCGATCCCGATACGATCGTCGCTTCCAATTCCAGCAGTTACACGATCGAAGAGATCTTGGAAGACCAGAGACTTAAGCATGCGGATAGATTTGCAAGCTTGCATTCATGTACGGCCATCCCCTTTCGCATGACTATTTCCAGCTGACAGAACGAAAAGATTGGCCACCTGAAACTTCTGGTATGTCGCTTCGTCGCACGAGAGCAGAGTCGGTCGACCACTGACTGACACGCCAACCTTCATGTAGCAATCGAAGTAATGGGTTCGACCAAGACGAAGCCCGAGATCATCACCTTGCTAATGGAGGAGACAAAGAAGCACGGCTTCTCGCCCTTTCACGTCCGCAAGACATCGACAGGATATATTTATAACAGGTGAGTACCGTCGTATATGGCGATCCCTGGAACATCCGAAGGAGGCTGTCCTCTGACTTGAAGAATTGTAGGATTTGGGCAGCAATCAAGCGAGAAGCCCTTCTGACTTTGTCCGAAGGCGTCGCAACGCCGGAAGAGATTGACGCGATCTTCAAGGACGTGCTGAAAACGCCCAAAGGTCCTTGCGAGCAGATGGACGTAGTCGGATTGGATGTAGTCCGCGATATCGAGCAGCATTATGCAGATGTAAGATCAGGTATCCCAGAGCAACCTCGGACGTATCTGCAAGAGATGATTGACCAAGGCAAGCTTGGTGTGAAGTCGGGTTCTGGGTTCTATCAATATGATAAGAAATGAAAAGGTCAAGGAACCACAGATCTGGATTGCAGTGCTAGCGGCTTCCATTTAAAATTCGTTGTCTCCAGATTCGGCCCAAAGACGTCTGACGCCAGGCTATGATCGCAATTGACGATGTTGCCTCCTCCAAGTCAAGAAAATTACCAAGGACTCCATGCATGCGTCGATATGTACTGTTTGGGGCGCCTGATCTGATCTGCTCCGCTCTGCTTGCCGCCATTCATCATTATATCTTGACAGCTTTGACCTTGCCCTCCAATGGATGATAAGTGCCAGCGCCCGCATCCTCCTGTAAGACCACATAGTCGAGAATGGCAGAGCCTGCAGCGAGAGCTAAACTGATGGCCGAGAACGAGTACATCGCCTTGTACAATCGGCAAACCATGACGCCCATGGAGGTCTGCCATATCTTGACGGTACATGAATGTGATAGGACCATTCCGCCCAATCTCCAGGACAATAGACCGAACGCTGCACACCAGAGACTCAAGATGAACAGATGGACAAATAGGTTGAACCGTGCCGAAAGCAAGAAGACTTTGTGCCGGAAGATGGCGGCTATCTGATCCAACAGGCTAATGCATGCGACAACGAGGACCTACAGACTAGTTAGCTCTTGCTGTAAATCTGGAAGACCACGTACGAAGACCAATTCTGTTGGCGCCGACATGTTGTCCATCCTCAGGTAATGGACAAAGTATGCCAATATCCCTGCCACGATGGCTCCTGAGATGAAGTTTGCAACGCCCAGGATAGGCGTCGCTGGGTATGGATACAACGACGCCCTTTGGCGATCTCGGTCGGCGACCTGTGTGATCAGAGGCATCTTTGCTGCTGGGCCCTGGTGAAATCTTCGTGCGGTCTCAGGAGTATTCGAGGATGGTAGAGGTCCAGAGCAGATCGCAGTAGATAGGCGAGGAAAACAGTCGAGAGGCAAACGGCTTATCGGCCGTATGTATCGAAGAGATCTCAAGTGGTACCTTCCTGAATCCGGAAGGTCGTCTTTGGGCGAGATTGTCATGAAGGAGCGTTGTGGCATGATGAGAGGCCTTAAAATAGAAGACATCTTATGTAAGTCTCCCGGTGGATGGAACGGACGACTGGCGGCTGATGGCGACGATCATTAGCTCTCACGGAGCGCAGGGCTAAGAGACGCGATCAACTTTCCAAGAGGCGAGATGCTGTGTAAACATCCTAAATCCGCGTTGCCGCAGCCTTCCCAGAGGAATAGGGATGGGAGCTGACCGACTTTGTATGACTAGTCTTGCCATTGATTGGGACTTTTGCATGTGGCTGCTTATGCTCTGCATTGGGGGCCTGATCCTTAAGAGGCCGCTAACATTCATACCATTCTGATTGCGTTCACCGTCGTTCGTGTTTCAGCCAATGGGGACTTGACACACTGTTGTTCCCTCGTGGCACCAACTGCCTCGTTAGTCCTGTTGTAGACAATCATCAGTACCGTTGTAGTTTGTCCAAAGTCACGATCGAGGACTTGGAACTCGACGTATCCACAATTCCCGAGCGATACTCGCTTTCAAATCATGCTTCATCCTTCCTAGCTGTACGCCACTAGGCTTAGTCTCAACCTCCGCCGGAAAATGCAGACCTTGGCAGTCTACCGCCCGTTCGGAGGAGGACCAATTCCTCATATTGTTGACAATTTGTGCCGGAAAAGTGGCGGGTGGACGATCCGCAGCAAATCCTTTTGCCAGTTATGATAGTGTAACCTAACCTAAATGCGAAGCTGACATGCCGGCAGAGTGGAAATGAACACCTTGAAGCATAAGCCAGAAAAGAGGTATATATCGTAGGGCGATAGACGTGTTGAGGGACCAACAGAACCATCAAACAACTTACTTTCGTTCATTCACAAGCATCTGCAAGCCCACAACAGTAATCCCAAACTTTCCTTTCCTTCTTTTCATACCTTTAATGAAAACCACCACAATGCTTCACCTCGCAGCTTACATCATGATGCCGTGGGCGGCCATGGCTGCCCCAACACCAGACACCAGCTCCACCACCACTTCCGGTTCATCGCATGTCGCATTGAACACAACCAGCCTCGGCCCTTCAGTCGCGATCGGTCCGGATAGGTCTGGCAACATAGACTTGATCAACGCTCTCACGCAAGCAGCCACCGCGGCCGATCGGTTGAATCTGTTGCCCAACATGAGCGACCATGTGTACGACTTCAACAACCCTCCTGTTGACTCGGCCATGACCGTCGGCAATGGAGGTCACACTGTCAAAGCAGACCGCAAGGAGTTCCCAGCCTTGATCGGCAACGGCGTCTCCATGACTTTGGGCTTCATCGGCCCTTGCGGCTTCAACACGCCCCACACGCACCCAAGATCCGCCGAAATCAACATCATTGTCGAAGGATCTCTTGGAACGGAATACGTCCTTGAGAACGGCGCTCCTCTCATCCGAAACCGTCTGGACAAGTACCAGATGACCGTCTTCCCTCAAGGTTCCATCCATACAGAGTGGAACCCAGACTGTACTGACGCCGTCTTTGTCGCTGGCTTTGCCTCCGAAGACCCTGGTGTGCAACAGTCTGCTCAAAGGCTCTTTGATCTGGACGACGACCTGTTGCAAGCCACTTTTGCCAGTGACTTTACCTTTGACGGCCGCGATATTGATCAATTCAGGAAGCTGATCCCGTCCAATGTGGCTAACGGCGTCGAGTCATGTCTGGCCAAGTGCGGAATCCCCAAGCGATGATTTTCTTTTTGTCCTTTAGCTCATGAAAGTTACATGTACATAGTTAGGTCCCAAATGTTTAATGTTTAGATTTCTGTTAACCTAAACAATCTTTGATAAGTAATTCTCCTCCAACAGTGGCTTCGCTGCGATTCTTAATTAGCAAAGCCGCACTTGAACGCCGCAGTCGTTGGTGCCGGAGCCAGTGGCACACTCTTGTGGTTGATGGAGATACCCTTGGGACTTTTCGAACACATTTCCCTAGGACCCTAAAGGTCGTAGATTTGCAAACAAGTATCTCTGGTCGCTTCGACAAATGATGCATCCTTGCTACTGTTCCCTTGCTCTCGGGTAATCGATAACCGCGCCGAGTGACTTCTCAATTGATAAGTCGCCCCCATCCTGCGGCTCAATAAATGGGGCCAAGTTGAATCCTCCCGATTTCTTGCCCGAGTTCGCCACGGGTCAGCAACAGAGTCGCACTTTGGTCTTCGGCAGGGACTCGATTTTGTTTTGGAACAGAATCGACTCTCGCTTTCCAGGGTCCTGCGTGATTGTCGGCGTCAGCTGGATGGATCTCGGTGTCCATGAAGATCTCTTTGGGATAGAAGATGATTTTGGCTATAGTAGATCTCGCCCCAAGTATGTCAGGGGACGCAGAGGTGGCAGAAGGAATGAACTGGAACTCTGGCATTCTTGCGGTGGTTTGACAACACTTCCTGAAATAGGCGCGTAGTCACAAGCCAACAAGGTAGATGATCAGATGGTTTTGAAGTTCGTGAGTTGCGGTTATATCTAGATTTCATGCATACGAGGTGAGATCCAACTCAGGCAAACCTGTATATGAGTGAGCATCGTATTTCTGGAACCAAAGATCGCGAAGGTGTCAGAGCCTTGCGGGATGAGTTAGCGCATGCCAAGGCTGACGAGGCTGCGAATATCTGCTAGAGACACGTGTGAGAATCCACGTCTAAGGCCACTTCTACAACTTCTCCAAGCAGCGTTCCTTCTATCGATTTTCTTTTGCTTTCAGCCTCGATACCACTGTCTCTACTCTTTCCAACACTACTTGGACGCACCCAGCGGAGAAAAGGCCATGTCTTCCACCGAGGACGCCCTCGAAACCTACACCCATCTCCCCCTTCAAATCGATCCCCAGACTAAACAAGTCTCGATACTCTCCTCGGACAAGACACTCCAAGATGCCGTGGCGAACCTCAACAGTCTCCATAACATGCTGAAATCGCTCGAGACCCCGAACAACGTCCCTCCGCCTCCTCTCCCCGTCAATCCCAAAAGATCTGGCAACATTCAGAAATTGCGAGACACAGCAGCACAGTCCTCTCGAAAAGGCAACCATGACGATGCCATACGTCTTCTCGGTGTTGCCATCGATATGGCAGCCGGCAGACCTGGCTGGGAGCCCATGGGTCTTGCAAGGGAAGAACTCGCCTTGATGTACCTCTCTCGAGCAGCTGCGAACGCAGGTGTACAAAGATTCCCGGAAGGTCTCAAAGATGCAGAGTGCAGTTTGGAATGTAAGAGAGGTCCTGGTCAAGGTCCAGGCGGAGAAAAAGTCCCCGGCAACGCGAAAGCATATATTGTGGGAGGAAGGTGCCTGATGGAGATGGGACGCTGGACCGATGCTGTCGAGTGGCTTGAGCGGGCCATCGAGATCGAAGGAAAGGAGGGCGACGATGGCCGGGAGCTAATGCGGCAACTTGCAGATGCGAAGAGTCGTGTTCAAGACAGAGATTGAGAAGTTTGGCTGCTGGGAAACACACCACATTGCGCTCACAGTCTACCCCGAGTTCTGATGGCAACACTTCCAGAACCGCCTCGCCTGAAGAAGAATACTACTTCCTCCAAGTGCGGCCCCGAGACCAGTGAACAAGATCAGACATCCAAACCTTGTCCCATAAGCCCAATGGCTCGTATTGAGAGCACCTTCCTTGAGGAGTTGTACACCAGCAAATCCTCCTGCGACATATCCCATTCCTCGGCCTCCGTTCAGCAGCCCAAAAATCAGCGCGGTGTCAACAGGCTCATGATGAGAATCAGCCTCTCTGCGAATCTCTTTCACTATACCTCCCCAGATTGCAGAGTATCCACCAGCAAAGAACCCATATGTAGCAGCAAACAAGGCTATCAGCACAATCCCTGCTGCAGATTGATTTGGAGCCAGACCCCAAAACAGGAACGCCGGTAGAGAAGCTCCCATGGCTGACAGCACCGACACAGTCGATATCGATAATGGATGACCTCCTCGCCAGAGAGGCCTGCCGTCGCTCAACAGACCAAACCAGAAACTGGCAATGATGCTGGGAGCGTTCAAAGCGGCCACCATCAAAGCACTTTTGGAGGTGGAAAAGTCGAAAACATTGGTGGTGAAAGAGGAGAGGTAAGTCTGGGGCATGCCATAGCTCGCACTGAAGACTATGTTACCGATTTGAAAGACATAGAATGTCGGATGGCGCAGGAATCTCCAGGACAGCGATCTTGTCCTCCTACTGTCTCTGCTCAACTGGAACCGTGGTCGGAGCAGGAACAGAGCAGGAACAGACGTGGCGAAAGTGACCGCGGACCAGATCCGAAGTGTATTCCTGAAGCCTAAGCTGGATAAGAGATATCCAAAGAGCAGAGGTGTTCCTGCGCCTATTGCAGATTTGACAGAGAGAATCGTTCCATAGGCGAAACCTTTGCGTTGTATGAACCATTCATCGATATAAATGGTGCTCGAGCTGAAGAGGAGAGTGCTGCCTAGGGCCTGGATAACGCCTTGCGTGACGATGAGCTGCCACACCTGTGTGGCGAAGGAGGACAAGATCAGACTGGCGACTGACAGGATGATACCGGCCGCCGCAGCTTTTCGCCGAAGATGAGCATACTTGTTGGTGAAGAGACCGAATAGGATTGGCATGCAGAGGTAGATGGTGCCCTGGGGTTTTTGCATGTCAGCGAAATTCCACATGTTCAGTCAGAGTCTTTGTTGCTTACATTCAGTGTCGTGCCAATTATGCCGGTCCTACTCAAGTCACCCTCCAAGCCTGACGGGTGCGATGTATAATTCTCCTGAAACACGCCGTATGATATGGGAAATGCTGTTCAGTGTGGTTAATGTGTTTGTTTTTGAGTCTTCGTTGGTTCCGTACGTACCCCAGACAGGCAATTGTAGAAGCGAGCAGCCGAGTAGAATGAGGTTCGCCTGTTTCCCACGGTCCATAGGCGCCAATTCAGTGTGAGCATTGTTCGGTATATCGTCTGTCATATCGAAGGTGTGTGGAGGATCGACTTGTTCGCTCTCGGCCATTTCGGCTATCCTATGGTCTTGTTCCTGCGCAAGAGGGACCTGATACTTATTGATGACGACGCTATATTTGAGCAGTGCGCTGTATTGCTGTTGGCGAGTCGAATATTGTTAGGGCTGCCGTATACGCGTGCTTACATACGCTTTTCTATCAGAGAAAGCAGGGAGTAGGGTACGTAGTCATTTGTTCCATCCCTAGCTCTCGATTAGGCCGACGTGCCGGAGTTCAGCGGTAGTCGCTCAAAGTCCTTGCAACAGGGCGTAAAAAAGTCGGATCCTGAAATGGCCAATACTAGTAACCACCGGTAACCTACACGGCCTGAGGTACCAATGGCAGTGAAGCCTTACAAATCCGCGATCGGTCATGGTCATGCTCTCTCAGCGTCCGAAACAGTCCAAGCAACGCCGGTTAAATTCCCACCACGACACTCCGCGAGCCCAACTTCCCAATGCCGTTCAGGTTTCGGGCCTGATGCAAGAACTCTACTGGCGCTTGATGATCTTCTACATACCCAACACCTCCAACAGATTTGTCTACAAGTAGATTCAGTTAAGACGCTCACAAACTGTAGAAAGCCTATACTTACAGTAGCCGGTAATCTTCAAGATGTCATCAGGTAACTTGCGGGCCACTTCTACGGGTGTAGACAGGACCTCTTCTTGGTGTTGCCTGAAGTAGTCACGCTGGCTATACAACACACCCGTCAGTCAGTCGGCTATGGCCATGCTAGAGCTTGTTGGTTTGATACGTACCCGAAAACGGCAAAGAGGGTTCGCAAAGCCTCCGGATCGCTTGAATCACATTTATTCTCCGAGCCAGCGTGGAAAGTAGCTGTAAGGGCACCATCAGTACTCCGTACCCGTTGGACGTATGCATACTGTACTCAACTTACAGCCAAGAGTGAAAAGAGCGGACCCAGGTTCCATTTCTGCATAAACAGCCTCCTCGAGCTTGGGTGCGCGGTCGTCTCCCCATAGATGGCTACCCGGGATGACCCTTGTCGCGCCGTTCTTGATGGTAGTCTTCGATGCAGCAATCAGGCAGCCGACCATGACGGTGAAAAGAGGATTTCTAGGGTCATGGCGGATTTGATATGCCATTTGATCCTGGAAAACAACGAATAATGTCAACAACTCAGATCGTCAAGTATCGTCATAGCTTACTCTGTGCAATGGTTGAGCTTTCGCCCCGGGTACCAGTCGAATGGCCGTGGTTGCATTCAGCATGTAGCCACTCTTTTGAGGTATCAATGCCTCTCCCGTGTAGGAAGAAAACTCGTCGCTAGATATCGAGGCTCAGCTCTTTGAATCCGGTGGGAGAGGTGCGTAACAACCTCAAAAACCGTTCCATTATGCCATTCCACACTGGTAAACGAAGAATCTTGGTCATCTGCTCGGGCATTTTGCCCAAAAGGCCCTGCGGTCTCCGTCAAAACCTGCCAGGACGGTCGTCCCCAAAAGAGAGAAACGTACATAGACACGTTGAGAGCCGGGCGAAAAGAACTCTTTGCCCAGCTCCTCGTGGGTTGCGGTAGATGTGTACAACGGACGATTTTCGAGGTATGGCTCAACTTAAAAGACATTAGGAAAAAGAGGCTCCAGAAGGGGAGAAAAAGTCTTTACCAGCTGTCAGGCATTCTTGCGTAAGCTCCGGCGAGAGGAAATTCGAGACGATGACACCGCCGTCGCGTGCAATGATGCTGTTGATCTTTTCGAGGGGCTCAGAGGCGTCGATGGTAACAACCGAGCGTGGTTCCGCCATGTTAGTTTGCTTGTCGAGGTACAGACGGATGCCTTTGGGAAAGGGCAGAGGCGTCGCGTCGGTGACCTTTATATCTTGAGGGACAGGCTCACGTTGTATGCCGGGTGAAGTTGACTTCCAGCATGGACATCATTTCCTTTGTGTCTGCGCCGTCACGGATAACTCCGAGTATCAAGTACCCCCTAACATGCCCTGAGACTCGGTAACCCAGGCCACGCCCTCGACATGAATGACCGGAATTGCAACTGTGTTACTCCGTACAGCAGGGTTCGATCCAAGCTGGATTTGGCCGCGGCGATCCGACAACATCGTTGAGCTGAAATGCTCTCAGCCGAATCCACATCCTCAGGGGACTCTTACCGGGTTGGCATCCAAATCTACCGTACCGCGACTGCCATGGTCCAACGGCAATCACCAAAGGCTGCTGTCTGAGACAGTCATAATCGGCGGCATTTCTCTACCGATGGTCCCTGGCATAGTGCTTTCCATGCGGCTCGTGAAACGGCACAGAGGACACAGGACGGAAGAGTCCGATGTCGATTGAAGCTTTGGCTTGCGGAACGGCGTCCGAGTTTCCGACTCCTAACTTAGTCTTATCAACCGCGGCGAGCCTGGGATAACCGGGGCAGAACCATAGATTGGACCAGTTGCCCCCGGAATCAAAGAAGCTCGATAAGCGAGGAAGGACTTCTCAGTCAACGTCCACCATGCGCAGGTTCCTCGTTATTGTGTTGGATTAAATCTTCAGGTGGTTGAGTGTCCTTGTAAGGCCTCCATTGTCTCGTCATCGAGGGAATCCACCGCCCTCATCGCCTAATATGGAAGAGCGTAGAGACTCGCTTGAGGACGAGAAACGAGGCTCAAGAAGAATGCTAGGAAAAAGGGATCCACTCCCCTACACCACGAACACACATTGAAGATGGGAGCCTTGTAGGATTTTGGATTCCCTACCAAGGGATTCAGCCTAAGGCTCCTATTATCACAGCAAGCTTCCCGTTCCAATCTGGGGCAAACTTAAGCAATGAAGCACACTACACAACACCCGAACACCGCAGGCCCAGGCTCGCGACCCCAATGTGGAATCCGATCTATTTGACTCAGCGCTCCTCTTCGATCTCCACCTCGCGCTCAGCCTTGGTGGAATATTTAGGCAGGAAGCGAAAGATTATTGGCAAAGATGCTGCCAATATCAACGAGATGCCCATGAAGCTTGTCACGCAGGCAAAACCAGTGGTGTACCGGGGGGCGTCGGAACTGGGCCAAAAGTAACTGGCGTAGATTGCTGAGCTGGCTCCAACACTGTTGATGATGGCAAGAGCTACTGCACGTTTCTCTGCCGGCAGCGAAAGAGTTTCCGAGGCCCAGCTCAGAATCAGTGGCGCCGTTGGGTACAACCCGCCAATATACAAGCACATGAAAGCGTAGCGCACTTTGTCCTTGTCGGTCACGGTGAGACCCACGACGGCACTGATCCAGGCCACAGTGAGCCCACCCACAATGTGCCAGCGTCGTTCCACATACCGGTCGGAAGTCTGAGGAAGGATGATGAGTACGGCCGTGCCAGACTGCAAAGAAGGGCATAAGTCAGCCTTGTCAAGAAATTCATTCCCTCGGAAACCACTTACCGCCCAGATAGGCACTGTCATCCATTGTGCGGAAGTACCTGTGTAGCCCATGCTCTTCAAGACCGTGGGGATGAAGTATGAAATGCTGGTCGAGCTGTTCTGGGTAATGTATACTGCGATGAAGAGATATACGCGCAGATCAACGAGCGCCGCTTTGAAACTCTGCCAGGCGGTCAGTTTTCTCCTCCCTACCGCCGCCTCTTGCTTGTCGTGCATGATTCGGGCGATGGAAATTGCCCTTTCTTCCGGCGTCAGTCGCTTTGTGGGAATATGGGGGTAATCGAGCAGGACGAATTTTGCTGCGATGGCCACCCCGATCGTGACGAGCCCCTCGATCAGAAACAGCCATCTCCAGCCGGCCATGCCACCATGTCCCTCCAATCCAGATATGACAGCACCGGCGATGAGGCCAGCAGCTGCGCCTGCGAAGCAGATGGCGGTATAAAATAAGCTGAATCGCTTGCCTTACCACTATCATTATCATGGAGCTTGACTTGGTTTGACAACATACCAATCTCGTTGCGCTTATACCAGCAGGACATGATATAAAGCACGCCGGGGAAGAACCCAGCCTCAATCACGCCCAGAAAAAACCGGCATACTAGGATGTCGCGGCTGTTCCTCACTTTTGACATTGCGCAACATACCGCGCCCCATGCCTAAATTACACCGTCAGTATATGTTCGGTTTCCGGGACCACCAGACATGTGGGTGTGGGTGTGTGCCAAAGACGGTTGACTTACGGCCATGAGTCCGGATAGGTACCAAGAAGGCCGGACGCGTGCCAGGATCATGTTGGAGGGGACTTCCCAGAGGAGATATCCGACGAAGAAGATGGAGATTAGTAAGGCATATTCTGGACGGCAAGCATGAGCAACGAGTCTCTCGAGGACTGGCATAGTGTGCGCCTTACGGTTGTCGGACAGTCCAATGTCGTCGCTCATCCCAGCAGCGTTCGCGTTTCCCTGGTCAACGTTAGTGTGGATTTCCTCTTGCAAACACAAAGAACATACAATGTTGTTTCGATCCACATAAGCCATCACACACATCAACCAGAGCATTGGGATCAGAGACAAGTCGACCTTGTGCAGCAGCTTCTTCTCGAGGCCGGTGTTGGGCACATACTGATGCAGCGCCGTCTCGACTTCGTCTCCGGAGAAGCCATGCTGGCCACGAAGTGATCCATCCAGCACTATCACCTCCCCTTCGTTAAATTCATGTGAAATGGCCTTGTTGACTGGAGCCACGCTGAGGTCCTTTCCGCCCTTACCAACCTCACAGGAGATCTCCATATTGGCAGGTCGCGAGAAGGTTGCAGCATGGCAAAGATGAGGGCCGCAGTGCACAGTATTAATAGGCGAAGAACCTCACCTCTCCTCCATCCCAAACCGGATGTCACAGAGATCTCCCTACGCTGATTCGTTGAACAAGGCACGCGAAGCTCAGTGGTTATCTATAACACGGCACAGAGTACTAGATAACCGAGCATGGCCTCGAATTCGGATCGAGAATGCCGGTGTTTCCGACCAAAATGACCCCACCCGCGACACACCTTCAAGTCACCGCCCTTCTATGTGCCAACTTCTACTTCGGATTCTTCCGCATTTACTTCCTTCCCTTCTCTTCATGCTTCATTGATTTCAACGGCCAAACTTATTCCGTACCTACTCTGTACATCGGGATTGATGCACGCTTGTCCGTGATGTCCAGTCAATCATTGTCACCGTCACTGGGCCGACGCTCCTCTGTGCCACGCACAAGGGTGTCGCGTGCTTGCGTCGCATGCCGACAGAAGAAGCAGAAGGTGCCGTCTCCGCCCCCCACCATGACTGGAGCATGACTACCGAGTAGGCTGACTAGATTCAACGCCCAGTGTGACGGTCGCACTTCTTCCTGCAATAACTGTCTCAGAGCAAACCGCGGTTAGTCGCCCTCCGATTCCCTCGTAGTCGTGGCAGCTTTACTGAAGATCTGGCCGCAGCATGTATCAGTCAGGATCCAGCCACCAAACGGCCACATCCTCGTGGGTACCTGGAATCCCTCGAGCAGCACAATTCGTTACTGGAGCAGCACAATTCCTTACTTGAGGACCGTGTCACTTGCCTCGAACGGAAGGTTCGAGAACTCCAACCAGACGCAGACATAGACCTATTGGAAACCAGCCCAGCCGAAGACGGCGGTGACGCTCGAGATGATGCTCGTTCGGCACGCGACATGTTAGCTTACCTTTCCACACGTTCCTGGTAGGCGTATGAGGCTGATGGTACGCAAGGTGCAGCCCTGGCAGCCCTGCCGATGCAGGCTCTGGAGAGGGTATCAACATCGATAGCCCCCCGGATCTCTCGAGCTTGGAACTACTATGTCTGCGCGCGGCCGGCGCGGAACCTCATTACTTTGGGGCTTCATCTGCCTACTCTTTTACCAAGATGTTTTCCGCCTCTCTCCGGGCGGTGCGCGCACAAGGGCCCGGTATGACCATGTCTGGAATCGCGGATAGTACGGTTCAAGCCCGTGCAAAAGCGACCCCGGCTCCTCTGCCTGGCAGAGCTTACACCAGCATGTTGACATCGGCCTACTTTGAGCAAGTCCATCCGCAGTTCCCATTTCTCCACCAACCGACTTACCTACAGTGGGAGGAAGAAGTCATGACAGCCTGCGAGAGCGGTTATACTCCTAACCCAACGAAAGCATTCTTTGTCTTTGCGGTGCGTTTCCTTCTTCTGCCTGTGGTCGGTAACCCTTCCTCTAACCTCTCCAGTTGTGCGCAGTAGGAGTCCTGACCGGGCCACTGGCTGGCGGGTCGCTTTCCGAGGTATGTCATCAATCTTGCATGTCTCGTCTCACCGACTGATTGCACCGACATTCGCCTACAGGGCTTGTACGCATCGGCGGAGAATTTGTTTGAGCATGTCATGCAGCTCAACACTCTTGAATCCATACAGGCCATTCTATGTTGTGCCATGTATTCGATCCGATCCCCGGTGGGCGTGTCATTATGGTGCGATCTTGACCCCGGGGCAGATGAGAAAAATGCGATGGAGAAGACTGACTTGGCGGCAGGATGCTCTCTGGGCTTGCTCTTCGACAATGTACCGAGTTAGGCCTCCATCGAAAGATGCCTTGGGACAAACTCGATTCCGATGTCTTGAAGACACAGATCAGAAGGCGCGTGTTTTGGTGCTGTTACAACCTAGATCGGGCCATGTCCATCACTCTCGGACGGCCACAGAGCATTACGGATGGCGATATTGACGTCGAGGTAAACGCGTCTATGATCTCCACTTGGGCAAATGAGGCACATTTTCCTGACCCGTTGGGCTAGTTTCCCCTTGACATTGACGATGAGAACATCACGGCGTCGGGCCTGTTGAGTGAACCAAGGATGTCCAATACCGATGCAAGCACCACCATGTCCGGCGCGATTCATACACTCCGCCTCCGACGGATTTGGGCCCGCATGCAATGTTCAATCTATCCCCAAGTCGGCGCCGAGGTCACAATAACACCGGATTTGCTGATCGACGATTTCAGGCGTGAGCTCGGCGAGTGGCTCGAAGCTTCTCCGTTTCAACTCTCGTCGAATCGCAAACACAACAATAGTTTCGGCGCCCGAATATGGTTTGACGTTATGTATCACCACTCCATCCTTCTCCTCCACCGCTACCGTCTGATGAACTCTCGGAGCAGTGTTCCCTCCGCGACATACCTGGAGTGTGCTCAATCGGCGGCGCAACTTTGCAATGGTTATCGACAATTGTACGTGAGCAACCGTCTCAATGACACCTGGGGAGGACTGCACAACTTATTCCTCGGCGGGCTGACGTTCCTGTGCTGCTTGTGGTCGAGTCCCGAAGTGAGGACACAGTTCCGCGTGGACAAGGTGACCACGACCTGCACGGGGACTTCTGTCGTTTTAGCCATCATGGCCGAACGGTGGGCGGCGGCTGGGCCGTACCGGGATGCTTTTGACATGCTTACTGAAGCGACCTTGACCATGGTGGCCGAGTCGGGCACGACATCCACTGAACCGACTTTTCCGGTCTTGTCGTGTTCAGCCAACGGCCAGTTTTCCGGCTACTTGTCGCACATGGCCGAGGTCGGGATTGGTGCTTCCGTAGAGGAACTCCTATCGAGTATGTTGGAGTTCTAGTATCAGCATTGCCGCACCAAGTTAGTCCTGGCACCGGTCAGTGGGCAGTGGCACATCGTCGTGTGGGAGCACATATCCCTTCTCATCCACATTCACTTGGTGCACGATGCGCCAATGGTGACTCGTGATTCACTATATCACGACCTGCTTCGTGTTCCCTGTCTCTTCTCTAGTATTATCTCGACTTAAGGTGGGTTCGGCTTTCGCTCCCCGTGCCGCAATTGTGTTTTCAAGATCCGAGAAGCGTCGGAAGATGTCCACTCAACTCATCCCTAGGTGCTTGCCTTGAATCCCCCAAGCGTCCCGTAAGGAGATTGTATGGAGCCCCAGTCCAATTCGTCCATTTATCGCGCGCGTTGTTGGCAGGGAAGGTGCCGCCTGGGCACTGGGTGGATGGGCTCTGATATGATGGACTCTTCTTTTCTCTCCTCTCGTAGACACCTCCGCCCGGCGTCCGCAACCGGGGAGGCCGGCCTCGCCATCTCTCCGCTGCTCCATGGCCGCTGATCGCCCGGTTGACCCCGATGCATCTTGAACGAGCCAGTCTGTCCCGCCCGTGTCTTTTCTACCGTGCCAATAATACCTGGTAAGTCGCTGCTTATTCTGAATGAACCTATGTGTACAGGTTCCGTCTTTGTACGTGCTCTCTTCCACTACTACCGCCGGCCAATGCATCTCTGAATCCTCTCTACTCATTACTACTAAACCACAAAACTCTTGGTCTTCTCAACCCTTTTCTTCCTCCTCTTCTTTTATGTGCCTCCTTCTTTTCTCTCCACCGCCATCTTCGTTCTTCGGGGCAATCCTTTTCCGTTTTGTCCAAGGCAGGAAGGATTCAAAGCCACCACCAGCACCACTTTTGGCCGTGAATACGTAGGTTGAGGGTGGATGGCGCTCAAACGGGTGCCCATTCGGCAGAGTTGCCTACTTTAGGTATCTTAGTAACCACCTCGAAAGTTAAGTACATGGCTTGATGCTTATGTAAACATGGTAAACAGTCCTCAGTAAGAGGCTAGATTTTGTTATATCAAAGTTGGCTCCATGAAACCCAGTCTTGCGCCAATGACCACACCTTGGCATGGTTTGAGATGTTCTTGAGGAACCCAGAAAGTAAAGAGAGCCGAATCGTCGTCGAATACTAGCAACAATTTGAATAGTATGTCGTCGGACGCGCTGAACAAGCCCGAGACTGAAGTTGAGCGGCTGAGGACTGAATATCTTGATGCCGTGGAAGAAAATCGGGCAGCGCACCAACGGTATGAACAGGCTCTCGCCGCGACGGGGGATCAACCCCGGCACACCAAAGCAGAGGACAGGACTGATGGTGTTGACTCTACGACTTTGCTCGAGCGGCATATTGAGTTACTCCGACTGCAAAAGCAGAACGCTTCTCTTGTTGTTTCGAGGGATGAGCTGGAACAACTCAAATTCAAGCGAGAAGCGACGAAACTTGAGTTTCTGCCAACCACGGTCGAAGAGTTCGATGCACGATTCGAAGCAGGTCAGGAAGTCCCTGTGCTGGAGGAGTCGATAACGAGACGGGTCAAGGCGCTAGAATCGGAGGTCGTCCGGGCTCATCATGAAGCTGGACAAGAGAGAGCGAAGCTCGAGAAGGCCAAAATGCAAACGCAAACACGAGTCGCCAACTCGAGTCCGAATCGACGACTGCACGCTATTCTGGCTACGAGGCAAGAGCTGACTACCTGGCTGGAGGAAAGTCTAGAGAAGTGCCAGGACCAACAGCAAGGAGAGCTTGAGCAAATAGAATGTGGGAGACGCGTTACCGAAGCGATGATCGAAGGGCAGTATCAACGATATCTGGATGCACGGAAGCGCCTTATCGCAGCTGTTACGGAATTGAGAGCTGCTCTGCCCGAGAAGTCAACGCCGAAACTGAGCAGCAGCGAGTGGCAGACCGAACAGAAAACGACAAGACATCAGAGGTCCAGAGAAGCTGCTGCCTTGCTCAACACCATCGAAAAGATAGTCCTACCAAAAGTGCAGAATCAGTCCGTTTCACAGGCACATCTCGTGTTTGCGGGTGAGCAACTCCAGAACGAGTTGGGACGGACTATCAATATGCTCGAGAGACTCGGCGACGAGAGCCAACTTTTGCAAGCATTTCCAATCTTAGCGCGGTCGGGCAGATTTGGACATGCAGCATCCACGTTCGGCAAGCAGGTCAATGCCCAAGAAGCACAAAGTAAGGATGAGATATCACGGCGGATGGAAGCCTGGCTATTTGCGGCGGAAGCAGCCGATGTTGCTGGATCAAGCATCATGGAGAAACAGCTGGATCAAGGAAGAGACGCGACGGATTCGGTGTCGAGGAGTCTTGCCGAATTAAAGCTTTTGAAGGAAACCAACAGCGATGACAATTTCATGCTATGAGTACTCCGTACCAGATTCAGCTTCAGATTCATTGCTTCTCATTCTCGGCGAAGAAAAAGTTGGCTCCCACGACTTTGAGATTGTTTTCTTCGGCCCAGTCTCTCACGCCATGTCGAACCTTGCCGTAGCCCCAGTGTTTGCGGTCATCAGGAGCCTTGAGATTGGACGAATCACCCTCCAGAAGAACAAAGACGTATCGATGAGCACCAGTCTTTGGTGGTGGGCTCGGCGGCAAGTACTCCATGATCTCTCCTGGTTTGGCCGCGTGGATCTCAGGGGGTGGTTCTGGGATCGGTGTGGTCAGGTTTGTCAGAATCCAGTGACACATCTCCGACCACTTGGGTTTCTTGCGGGATTTTGCGTCAGGGTCTGTCAGGGCGAGGGTGAAAGTCGAGTTCTTTGCCTCGATGGATGGAGAATTGATCGAATAGAAATTGAAGACTGGTCTCTTGGAGACAGCGTCGACCGGGATATCATTGCCGAGAAGGACCTTTTCGTGACTCGAGGGATAGTCGACCTCGATATAGTATGATGGCTCGAAGTCGTCGAGGACGTCGCCAATGACATCGTTAGCAACCAATGTGTCTCGGATGGTCGAAGTCAGAGAGAACTCTGGCTCTATGATGGTTATTTCAGGGTTGTTGATGGCTTGTTGCTCGCCAGGAGCTGGAAAGGTGGATACTGTGTTGACCAGCAGCAGGCCGGCCAAAGCAAGACTTGTAGAAAACATGGTAGAAGCGAGGGACGACGAGGATTAGATGAGTGCTATGGGCAGAAAAGAAACCTTTATGCTCTCACCACGGAAGAGCTGGAAGACATTAAGTACAGAGACGGCTTTAGCATGACCACCATGTCGTAATAGCACAGAAATCCCCGCATTCAAGATGGAAGATCAGAAGAGGTCGACGAGCAATGAGGGTGGTGGAGGGTGGTGGAGGATGAGCACACGACGAGCAATTGATGGGCAAGGAAGCAGGGATACGGCAAGACTGGGAGAGGGACTAACGTTACGTCAGGGTAGTGGCAAGAAAAAGGGCAATGTCTGACATAGATCCTGGCCAAGGGCTTGGCCTGATTCTCAGTGATATCGCAGCTCTTCAGCGGCAAACTGCATGTCAGACAAGAGGCTACCTAGGTGGCCTTGGTGGGTTTTCAACGTAGCCTATTTTCTCCGATTCAAGCCTGGAGCCTCAACGCCTCAAGCCTCCTGCGCGTTTTCTTCCACACCCAAAACACCAACACCAAAGAAAGGTTACCTGATGCGCAGGTAAACATGTGCCTAACCATCTGAGCAAACAAGTCATCCACCACCACCATTTCCTTTCTTCTTCTCTTCAATCTGTTTCCTGGCGAGACCTACTTTCCCCAGCCAGCTTTACCTTTCTCTGTCAACACCTCGACCTTCATTCCTCGACTGCGCTGCCAACTTTTGTCCTCTGAAACGAGCCCTCTTGGAATCGGCCACGGTCGTCAGCAATGGCCGCTCTAGGCGACGACCTCCTCCGAACCGTCAACAAGCTTCAGGACCTTGTCTTCAATACCATTGGAAATGACTCCCTCGATCTGCCTCAGATAGTCGTCGTTGGTTCACAGTCCTCGGGCAAATCATCGGTCCTTGAAAACATTGTCGGCAGGGACTTTTTACCTCGAGGCAGCGGTATCGTCACCCGGAGACCTCTTATCTTACAACTAATAAATATTCCTGCTGATGAGGACGCGGATACCAACAATGACGAAGTTCACGTCCCTCACACTGCGGCCAGCGTGGCCGAACATGGAGAATGGGCAGAATTCCACCATATTCCCGGTCGCAAGTTTACAAACTTCAACCAGGTCAGAGTAGAGATCGAGAATGAGACGGCGAGAATAGCTGGCAACAACAAAGGCATCAATCGACAACCCATCAACCTCAAAATTTTCTCCCCACACGTCCTAAACTTGACCTTGGTCGACTTGCCTGGCTTGACCAAAGTCCCCATCGGTGATCAACCCTCAGACATTGAGAAGCAGACACGAACCCTGATCTCCGAATATATCGCGAAACCGAACAGTATCATCCTTGCCGTGTCTCCTGCGAACGTCGACATTGTGAACTCCGAAGCACTCAAACTGGCACGACATGTTGATCCCATGGGAAGAAGGACAATCGGTGTCCTAACAAAGCTAGACTTGATGGACCACGGTACAAATGCACTGGATATCCTGTCTGGTCGTGTATACCCATTGAAGTTGGGCTTTATCGGTGTTGTTAACCGGTCACAACAAGACATACAAACCAACAAGCCCATGTCCGAAGCCGTAAGATCCGAAGCCGAATTTTTCAGACATCATCCTGCGTATCGGAACATGGCGACAAGATGTGGAACCCAATACCTCGCGAAGACTCTCAACACGACCTTGATGTCACATATCAGAGATCGTCTACCAGACATCAAAGCAAGATTGAATACATTGATGGGACAAACACAACAAGAGTTGGCAAGCTATGGTAGCAAGCAGTTTGCGGGCAAAGAACACCGTGGATCCTTGATTTTACAACTCATGACCCGGTTCGCCAATGCGTTCATCTCCTCTATTGACGGTACATCGTCAGAAATTTCGACCAAAGAACTTTGCGGTGGCGCTCGGATATACTACATCTTCAATTCTGTCTTTGGAAACTCTTTGGAAACGATCGATCCTACTCACAACTTGTCGGTCCTCGATATTCGAACTGCCATCCGCAACTCTACCGGTCCGCGACCGAGTCTATTCGTCCCTGAGTTGGCATTCGACCTGCTGGTGAAACCTCAGATCAAGCTCTTGGAGATTCCAAGTCAACGGTGCGTTGAGCTGGTTTACGAGGAACTGATCAAGATTTGCCATACTTGCGGTTCGAGCAATTTGTCCAGGTTTCCCAAACTGCAAGGCAAGCTTATCGAAGTCGTGTCAGATCTCCTGAGAGAACGACTGGGACCAGCCTCGAGCTATGTCGAGTCTCTAATCTCCATCCAGCGAGCATACATCAACACCAATCATCCTAATTTCCTCGGAGCTGCGGCAGCAATGTCCTCAGTCATTCAGAGCAAGAATGAAAAGGACAAAAGAGCAGCCCAGGCAGAGGAGAAGCGAAGACGAGACAAGCAAAGAATGAAGCAACTTGGTGTCAACGGCACCGCGACTCCCGAGGACGAGGAAGCCGAACAAGAGGACAAAGCTACGGCACTTCCAATCCGCAAACACCCCGCTGTAAGCCGAAGCATGTCTCCGGCTGTCGCGCGAGACCGAGAGAATGGTGTTGGCAACATGTCTGGTGCAGCAGGGACGGCGGGCGGTGCCAGAGATTCATTCCTGAACTATTTCTTTGGCAAAGAAAATGGTTTTCCAGGAGGAATGCCATCTATGCCGCCATCCTCATCATCCGCTGCTCCCAGACACGTCAGTCACAGCGTAGAACCCAGCTTCAGTCAGAGCATACGGCGCATGGAACGAGGCAGCTTCACTGACAGGACACCTGCTTTCCCGCCACCCATGAACGATGAGTACGCGCCATCAGAATACGGCGAACCAACTTCTCTTTTCGTAAGTCTTGCCCCAATGATGTTCACATACGTTACTAATTGCATTTTCTAGCCCGAGCAGTCCGCTGAACCCGTCCTGACCGATCGAGAAGCACTCGAAACCGAACTGATTCGACGACTCATCAGCTCGTACTTTAATATCGTTCGAGAGACGATTGCGGATCAGGTCCCCAAGGCAATCATGCATCTGCTCGTCAACCATAGCAGAGACGAAGTCCAAAACCGACTGGTCAGCGAATTGTATAAGGAGGAACTGTTTGGCGAGCTGTTGTATGAAGACGACGGCATCAAGAAGGAGCGGGAAAAGTGCGAGAAGTTGTTGGCTACGTACAAAGAAGCTGCCAAGATTGTTGGAGAGGTGTTGTAGGCACGCCGATGATGGAGTGATGTGGACAGGGGGATGGTTATTGATGACCTCAACGAAGAAAGGGCTTTGCAGATCATCTCGTCTCCTGCTTTGCTGAAGGGTTCTCCCCTCGGCTGGACTCGACTCATTGTCTGAAAGGAAGAAGAACTCATTCTTCTGGTCTTGTACTTGATTCTGTGTATCCACTGGGTATGCTCATACCTTTTGTATCTCGATATTCCCAGGGTGTCCCACAGCCACGGCGTAGCCTATGGCGGGACGGGCTTGTAAATTGCACATATGTTCTGAATAGTAAAGTAAGTCGGTAGATCGTGGGAGTCGATAGAAACGAAGTGGGAGAGAGGGTTGTGGAGATCTCGTGGAATCGAATATATCTCTTGTTCACACTACTAGTATTTAAACGTTCCTTCTCAGACACGACACCTGGACTTAGAGCCTTTCCGGACTCGGCGAGAATGTCACCTGGTCTGATGCCATTGGTTTGATTGTGTTTTTGTCGGCCGTACCGTGCCCAGTCTTCAAGGGCAAAGAAGGACCACGTTCCATCTCGCCTGGACATGGAAGGAAGGTAATCACCACTGGACTGATACAGAAACAAGTGCCTCCGTTCGTATCGACCCACCCATACAGGACCTCCGACGATTCCATGAGTACACCATTGGCGGTCGCGGAAACGAGCTTCAGGGAGCGTAACCTTGGCAGCCTCGAATCTTATCGAGAGGAACAACGGTTGGCGCTCTCGGAAGTTCTCAGCAAGCCGTTTGTCCAAGCCGTTGCGACTTGTGCTCTGTGGTTCAACCACAATCTCATGTCCCAAAGCGACCATGAAAGATTTATTTTGCGACTCGGAGCGACTTCAAGCTAGAGGCTTTGAGACTTGGGTTTCCAAATCATGCGGTCGAAATCTTCGATTACGGCGCTCCAGGCCGGTACCGTAGTAGATTCGGGGCTGGTCGCTTTGTAAACCCGGGAGAAAACCTCCGCTCACAGCAACAGCAACTGGCTAGAATGGGTCGCGGTCCAGCTTGGTGTTGCGCTTGCCATGTTCGGCGCAGGGCACGACAAATGCATTCCTCGTTGTCTCACACACGCTTGATTGTGAGCTCTGGTGGGAATTGGAATTGGCCGTTGTAATCGTGTGTAGAGCTGGAGCTGGAGATGACGCGGGCGCGGGCGCGGGCACGAGTGTTTGCCGGATTGTGATGTCTGGGAGGAGATGGATAGATGTAGATGTGACAGGCATCGCAGAGCTGTAGGTGGCGAGAAAGAGATATAAGGCGAAGGTAGTAATAATAAGCTGAAAAGGTGCCATGATTGTATGTTGCTGGGTTGACGTTGGTCGAGATCGAGATCAGACATTCAAGCTTATGAGATGTCGAAATGGCGAGAAAGGGAGCCGAAGATGGTACATGGACCAACTACGGAGGATAGTGACCTGGTATTGAAGCTCGACGGCACCGTCTTATATGTTCTGGTGCCCAACTGGAACTGAGTAAAAGCCATGATCCTACGGCGGGAGATACCGTCGTATCCGCCGGATTGACGGCATTATTGTGCGATCGACATACTGTGTACAGCTGCAGATGACATCGGCACGAGTGTGACTCCCACGGTCAGAGACAGGTCATGGCCTGCTCTCGCTTGTGCGGCTTTACTACGTAGTACAGTAGGTCCCACAAGCGTAGCGCGCATGACTCTCAAAGGCGCCGAAAGCCAACCGGTACTCGTACATGAAGGCTGTTGAATAGATCATCGTTACTCCGTACACGCGCTCCGCACCCGTTCCTTTCGCGATCGTGTCATTCGCGCCTGTTTTAGACGAGGGGGTTTTGTTTCTTGGTGTTTGCACGGGTTGGACTGCCAGACGAGTTCCTTCGCCTGCAACGCACATAGTGCTATGGTATAGGTAACACGTTAGAATCTGAACTAAGCGCATGCGAGACCGATGTTCGTTTCAAACACCGTAGTTAACTAGTGCTGCGTGGTTGGTGAAGGAATTTTGAAACGATCTTGAAACGTTTGGAAGGGGCGAATTCGGGCTCTCGGTGCGACGAGGCGGGAATGATCACGTGACAAGGCTGTACCAGCACGAGACACTTTGGCCAGCAACGCCAGCTTCGTTCGAGGGTCTGGTTTGGAGGAAACAAAAATTGTCTTCTCGCAAAACAATGGGCTCCTCGCAAGCCTGGTCTTGGTCGGTATTGACTGATGGCGACCCAATTCTAGCTCTCGGCAGGTTCCGACGCACTTCAATAATATGTCGTCCCCCCTCGCACATAGTCCTGGTGAGTTCCGGGGAATGCACCAACTGGCTGCTGGCCATCATCTTCTTCATCCGAACTGGCTGCGTTCCCGAGGTCTTCTTCGTCGGGCGGTGCCCTCATGGCAGCAAGCTCGGTCTCTTCGAGCACGGCCGGTCTCCATTTGTCTTCCATCGGCATATTCATCCCACTCGGTAGCATCGCGAGCAGGGGCTTCCATTCGGGAATTAGTTGGATATTGACGGTGTTGTTCTCCTTGGTCATCTTCTCGTGTAGATGTTCCACTATTCGGCCTTCTTCCAGCTTGCCGCCATCTAAGCCCCAATTGGCGCTGCCCTTCTCGATCCGTTTGTCTTCCCTCTTTTCCGTCCATGAGGCTTTGAGCCTTCCAAGTCCCGAGGATTTGAAGCCATCCTTTGGGATCTCCATGCCTAACTCGCTCATTGCTACATGGAGCCACGCAATTGCGCTCCCTGTCGAGCCGGCTAAATCTTCATCCAGCGCCTGGAATCTGCAGGCCTTGGCTCTCGATGCACTCCGAACTCCTTCACAATACTCCAGGAGGTCCTTTGAGACCTTCGAGGCTTCCACTTTGAGCGCCACCACTGCTGCAGAAGCGTGCTCTGCTGCACCAATACACAGTCGCGTCAGAACTTGTGCCCGAACTTTTGGTATCTGGGGAGCTTTGATCATCCACTCTCTGTCGTCCTTATTTCGAGACTGAATGAGCAAAGCCGGGTATGGGTCATCCTTTAGCACGCACAATAGGTTGAACTCAGCATGTGCCAGATGCTGCAAGGCGGATTGAACAGCTACCGAGATATCGACTGCGCTGGGGGGAAACGTCGGTGGGCCATCATTCGATGAATTTGCCCTTAACAGGAGGTACAAGTGGATCGAGTGAGCTGTCTTCAGAGATTTTGACGCATTCTGTATCAGAGCTGTCCGTTGTTCGTGACTCGGGTTGACAGATGCGTATAGACCCAGGAGAGATTGCCTGGCAAGTAGATTCTGGACGAGTGCGAGTGTATGGTGAACGAAGAAGATCTCGTAATCAAGACCTCTCCCTTTGACGCGCTCATTCTCTCGTCCCGGAATGGAAGCTGAACTGAGGGTAGGACGCCATTCGATTTCTGGCTCCTTGGCGAGTGCGATGTGGACTTCTTCGCCCGCAACAGGCTTGCCGGAGAGAGCAAGATCCAAGGTCAAGAGGTAGCGTAAGTAGTTCTGGATTGTCGATGATATTGGTAAGAGGTTATTGGCCTGGTCCGACGGAGGGAGTCTTTTGTGGCCTTTCAACGCTGCTCGAAGAAAGGCCCGTTGTGAAGTGGCCGAGGAAGGGAGAGATGGATGGCTAGACGAGGTCAGGCTGGATTGGAGAGAGATGTTGGATGTCGTGGAGAGGACGAAAGGAAAAGGCATTTGTTCTGCTAGATATGGTCATTCATTCATTCATTCATTCATCCATCCATCCATCCATCTGATCCTCGTGATTCTTTACTTGTAGATGTTACGAAAGGCGAGCAGTGAGTGTTGTTGTTGTCTTTTTGTTTGATGGTGATGATGATGAATTCTCGAAAGTCCCGCGGGGTTGATACGAAGCCACATAGCGAGATAGATATTGATTGGCCTTGGCTATCCTTGGCGGTCACCCGCTTCGGGAAGAGGGTGATGCCGCCCTGTGCTCACCCTCCCAAGGCTCTAGACATCTGAAAACAGCGTGGATCAGTATCAGATCGAAGAGCGTGAGGTCCAGGAGACTCTCCAATTGATGCGCAAGAGATAATGCCTGGTGACTCCAACTTTCAGATACTCTCTCTATCAGCCGTTACCGCCACTGGATGCTACTAATCCATAAGCTCTTGCGTGACCCGAAACAAGCTCTCATCTATGCCTCGCTCGCAACCCGGTACGCTCCAGGGAATCGCTTCATATTCTGCTCGATGCTGCCCTTGTTCCTTAGAAACTGGACGTAGGCACCGTCCATCAAGACACGACCGTCCTCCTTCAGCTTAACATACTCCTCACGTCGGAGCCTGGTGAAGCCCCAGTTCTTACTGACGATGATCTTCTGTCGGCCAGGAAACTTATACATAGATCGTCTGAGAGCCTCGATGGCAGTGGTACGATGGGAGTCCCGAGTTCTGATAGAGAGTAGAATCTGACCAATTTTGACGCGAGCAACGATGCCATTGGGCTTACCCCAAGCAAGTCTCATTCCCGTCTGTAGTCTGTCCGCACCGGCGCAAGACAACATCTTATTGATGCGAACGACGTGGTAAGGGTGGGCTCGAAGTCGAAGATGGAAACCTTCTTTACCGGCGATCTTAACGAGATATCTAAAGTAACTATTAGTAATATATTGGTATTCGTTAGAGAGAAACGTACTTATTAGCGCAGATACGAGCAGCCTCCAAGGCCTCGGAGCTTAATTGTTCATACTCGTTAGAGACCATATGGACGCAGAGAGGAAACTCGTCGACATTGGCCCGCTTGCGTCCGAGGTCGAAGATCCGGATCTTGGGATCGGGGACTCCGCGGTTGAATCGAGACTTGGGAAAGGGCTAGAAAGGAATCAGTGTGTGCGCTTACACAGAGCACGGGATTTTCTGACCTTGTTCTTGCAGTAGCGGTAGCATCTGGCAGGTCTTCTGCCCATTGTGTTTAAGAGAGACTTGCACTCCTTGCGAATGATGTAAGGAGCCGCGATAATCCGGTGGCGTACGACCTTTTGAAGACGGAAGGGACACTCGCAGCAACGATAGCATTCAGAGGCAAAGCGATGAGGATAGATAGCAACAGTATGAGGGAGTCGCCATACCGGACTATCTAATATCCTGTCTGCCTGTTGCTGAACCCTGGTCGAAGTCCCAACTGAGCGAAGAATCTCGATCAACGGACTTGGCCTTCTGCTGGCGTTGACATTCCATATTTCCCGAGCTTGATTTGTCACTCTCTCAGCTTTCTATGCAGCTCAGCACATTGGAACCACTATCGATCACTCTGTATTTCGTTTCTTATTTCCGGTTCCGCCCCGAGCGCGGACCCCGATTGGGCAAAATAATTTCAGGTGGAGCCTTGTGGCCCAGACTAGCAATGGGATGCTCCTCCTCAGACGACAATCTCAAGGGCACTGGGGCCCATACAGCCCATAGCCAGATCTTGAGCGTTGTACAACGTTAGATTGCCATGTCAGCGGTTCCCCATTTCTCGATCCGTTGGCTAGACGTCTGCGACATTTGGATGATGGCCAATGAATGAGGCAGTAAGAGACTCTTGCATAAATGGGGTGCGCTTCCCTGTTCGGTCGACGTATGACTTTGTCGGCTGTGACTCAAACTTTTCGGAGCTCGGGGCTCAACATGATGCGATGGTCTCTAAAGATCTCAGGGTAGAGGCATTGGATGACTCTAGTAGTTGCTGACTACCCCATCCTTGTCCGCCTGGCCTCTTCTTGACATCTTGTTGCGGGACACTAGATTGACCATGTATAAGGCGTTGATGTCTTTGCGATACAGTGAGTGTGAGGGCCATTCTTACCTGAATTCTGTACCCGGTATAGCGTTTCCCATCATCACACCGCCATTATGGTTACAGATCACTTCGCGCACACGAACGGTGAATCACTCACCGGATCAGTTGAGCTGCTTGATCAGCCGCTGCACACGAAACGCAGGTTGCGGTTGATTTGCATCGGCGCCGGTCTTTCTGGCATTGCGGCAGCATACAAGTACCAACGAGACCTTGAAAATGTGGATTTTGTCATTTACGAGAAGAATGACGACGTCGGGGGTACTTGGTACGAGAACAGATATCCTGGTTGCGCGTGTGATATCCCAGCCCACGCCTATACGTACTCGTGGGAAGGAAATCCCAACTGGTCACGATTGTAGGCATCTCTAATCTCCACCCTTCTCAGGCTAGCTGTCCTCTGACGTGCGTTTCCAGCTACGTTGACCGGCCTGAAATATTCGCCTATTACAAGAGTTGCGCAATCAAGTGGGGTTGCATGAATTATATCAAGTTGCAACACCGTGTGGTTGAGGCTCGATGGTCCGAGTCCGAGAAAGGCTGGCATGTCAAGGTTGAGAATCAGGCCGAAGGCACCGTGGTCAAAGACTTCTGCCATGTGCTTCTCAACTGTAACGGAGTGCTCAAGTATGAAAATCCCGAAACACTTGCTTTTGACACATGGCTAAAGGACCCATCACAGTAACTGGAAATGGCCCGAGATCGAAGGTTTGCACAACTTCAACGGCAAACTCCTGCACTCTGCCAGATGGGACACCGATTGGGATTATACTGGCAAAACCGTCGCCGTGATTGGTGCCGGTTCATCTGGCATTCAGATCGTGCCTAAGATGCAGAAAGGTAAGCCTCCACGCCGTGGCGGATCATCCCTTTAATTAGGAATAGTTTGCAAGTCGGTCGTGAGCTTCAACAGGTCACCGAATTGGATCACTCCGGAGTTCAGTCAGGCGTTGGCCTCAGACGGACGATCTACAATATACACTCCCGAGGAGATTCAGAGATTCAACACCGACAAGAAACACTTCTTACAGTATCGAAAGAACATTCAGAACTTTGGCAGTGCGACCTATTCTCTTTACTACAAGCATTCCGATATGCAGAAAGAGGTTTTTGCCAAGTATTCGGAGTTAATGAAGAAGCGACTACAGGGAAACGAAGAGCTATGTGGCAAGTTGATTCCGAAATTTCATGTTGGCTGTAAAAGGTAAGTTTACTGTCGAGAGTTGACCCGACTGCTCTAATTCAGCTAAACAAGATTTACTCCAGGAGAGGGCTACCTGGAGTCGCTATTGGAGCCTAACGTCACCGTTGTCACTTGTGAAATTGACAAGGTGACTGAGACCGGTATCGACCTGATCGACGGGAGACACTTTGACTTGGACGCCATCATCTGTGCCACGGGGTTCGATTGCTCGCACCGTCCTCCTTTCCCTATTATCGGTCGAAATGGTCGGAATTTATCGGAATACTGGAAAGATGAGCCCTTGCACTATATGTCGGTGGCGGCACCGGGCTTTCCTAACTATTTCAGTGAGTCCTCGGCCTTTGGAGGATCTGATTATGTGAATCTTTGCTAAACGGGGTACTCTTTGGCAGTCACCGGCGGTCCAAACAGTCCAATTGCAAACGGATCACTCATATCAGGGGTAGAGACTGAAATCGACTATACCTTCAAATGCATTGTGAAGATGCAGACTGAAAATATATCCAGCATGGACCCTAGCGAAGAGGCCATGTTGGATTTCATTGAGTACAGGAACGTGCTCATGAAAGAAATGGTGTGGAGCAGTACCTGCCGCAGTTGGTCAGTCTGCCCTGCTTTTTCCGTTCCAAAATGGTGACTGTCTGCTGACGCGAAGCACTCCAGGTTCAAGAATGGCAAAGTGGATGGTCCCGTCATTGGCCCCTCGGTTGGGTCAACCTGGCACTTCAATGAGGCCCTCAAGGATCCTCGCTACGAGGATTATAATCTTACTTACTGCACACCCAACCGCTTCACGTATTTTGGAATGGGAAGAACCATACGGGAAATTCAAGGCGCCGATATGGCCACCCACATCATCGAACCAGGCGCGTAGGTTGTCTGAGAGCATTTGGTGGTCTAAGGTAGACTGAAATATACAGCAGCTTCCTTGCATAAGTCCATATGAGAAGAAAAAGTGAGTAGCTATACATAGACACACGATCGGAGTTTTAGATTTGTTAAGACTTTAGATGAAAAGTATTCGTCTATCTTGTCAAGTGGAATGCTTGGGAGGCAGGATAAGGCTGAACAGTTCAGGTGGGTTATAGCTGCTCACATATAGACTGCATAATTCGGACTCTGGACAACTTCATATAATTTGAATTCATCCACGCGTTTTTGGCTCTCTTCATCATTGACGTACCGCGTGTTGAAGCGGCTACTTTACTGTCGACAGGCGGCAAAGCGCTACATGAACAGTCACCACGTCATCTTGCTGTCGGCTGGAAGGCAGTCAAAGCTTTGTTCTATGCATATGCCAAAAATTGTCCAGTGAGTATGCAGTCCGTGTCCTTGAGTGTCTTGCAACCCACCCACCTTCTACGTCGTGGACATCAAAATAATTTCACATGAGATTCTCCAGAAAGAAAGTAGCCAGCCACTCAACGCCCCTTTTGGCATCAACTCACTATCTGCACGTTTAGATTGAGCCTGAGCCGTCGAAGTTGGGAGAGCCAAGATACTAGTACACAACCCAGTTCCGGATTGTCTCATCTGTACGGAAAGCTTGCCCTCTTTTTCTATCTTCGACCCGGTCAACGGACTCAGCGTTCTGATGGTAATTGAGCAACGAGTTCATCGTAGACGGTGGAATCCTCCATCTCTGCAGGGCGATTCATCTCTGCTTCCTCGTCAATTAGACGAACGGCAGCTTCACAGCGTGGTTTGAGAGTTGCTTCAAACTGGGAAGGCCCAAATACGGGGAAGGCTCCCGCTAGTTATGAGGTTAGTTCATGAACCTGACCTGGATCGGAGTAATGTGGCTTACAGTAACCTGGCTGTGGGAGCTTCTTGGGATTCCCCTCGATATCAAAAGCCCACAGGATACGGCTAATCATGATATAGAGACTGGCATCTGCAACATGCTTGCCAGGACATTCTCGACGTCCTGCCCCAAATGCGAAGTGTGTACCTGCTAGATTGGCCTCCGGTGCAGCTCTCTTGTCAGACCGAGGGAGATATCTTTCCGGAATCCACTCTTCCGGCTTCGCAAAGACATTGGGGTCGTTATGCACGGCGTAGATATTGCTGTACACTATTGCGCCACGGGGAATATCCTTTCCTCTGTATACGTCCGCTTCGCTTGTGGCGTGGATGAAAGCTAGGGGCGTGGCAGTTGCCCATCGATGTGTCTCATTTACCAGAGCTGCCATGTAAGGTAGGTTCGGACGGTCTTCCCAGCTAGGGAGACGGTCTCGTCCCACAACCTGATCAATCTCCTCCTGTGCCTTTTTGATCGCATCAGGAAACAGTAGAGCCGCCTTGAAGAACCACTGGAGAGTTGTCGCAGTAGTGTCGGTCCCGGCTGCCATGGTCGTTGCAATGATATGGGGAGGTTCCGATTCATCAAATATCGAGCCCTCTTGCACCAGCAGGCGGGCCAAGAAGCAGTCTGGCGCGGTACCGCTTCGTACTCTTTCTTTCATGACTTTGTAGAATATAAGAAAAAACGGCATAATCTGGTTTCGAATGTTCACTGCCGAGGCGCGCCACGGGGCCAACGTGTCGGGGAGGTAGTCCAGGAAGGGAATGGAGTCGACGAGCCAGGCACCTGGACGGATGTTTTTGAACATGATCAACATTCTTTTGTTGATCTCTTGCGGGATCAAGGTGTCGGCAGAATTAAAACGGCATCCCAAGCTGTTCTCGCAGTCAATCAAATGATACTTGCCGAGGAAACACGTTGGAAAGACATACAGGAGGCTGAAAGTCACACTAGCCGAATACCTGGTCACTTCTCGCCAAAACCCAGCGGGTTCGTGGAGCAAGTTCTTCAGTGTACGTCTGCTCTCGTATTCCTGATACGGGAGAAACATCTTGGCATTTTGCATGTTGAGAAGCTCGTGGTACGCTTTTCTGTGTTTCTAGTCATTTTGTCACGATAGTTCTTGATCATATGAGGCGGAATGACTTACACGCCACTGATCTCCATAGGGTATGGCCACAATCCTCGCATTTTGCGTGATGATGCTCGCTTAGTTCGATCCCTTTGGCCTGGAACTATATTTGTTGCCACGCTTCACGAAGAGATCGTTGATGGCTTGATGGCTGTTGAGCACAATAACGGGGGCGCGACCCATCATATAGGAGTAAAAGTCTCCGTATTTATGAGCCCATTCGGTGAGCTTCAGGTGTAGCGGAGTGCCATCGTCGATAGAGAACATTTTGCCGAAAAAGGGAAGACCTCGGGGACCATCTGGAAGATTCATCGCCCGATTCTGGAGCATCAACCAGGTGATCAACGCCACGAAGGCGGCGACGGCATAAATCATGATCTTCATGTTTGCTGTCTCCCCCGAGGGTGATATGGTGGTCGCATTCGTAGCCATGGCGGTTGACATTGGTGAGGGAGTCGTCAAAAATGAACTTTGGACGCAGTCGGCAAGTTATATTACCAATTAGGCTTGTCCGGCCTTCACAAGATACCCTACGAGGTTGTCAGAACTGAAGGTCTGTATTCCACTGGAAATCCACAGGAGCCATAATGAGTGGCGGAAGCCTTGTGGAGTTTTATCGGAGTCGGTGACGATCATGTATGAAACTCAAAAGGGGGTGCAAAGGGTCTGGGAGAATCAGTCCCATGATATTCGGGTGTCGGCTCCTATAATCATTGTTGCCGACTCCGCTGCCCGTAGGTAGGGCCCACACCACCAGCTTATTGGGTTCCGCCACTGTTGAGCCTGGGTTATAGCTGATGCTGGCATCGTACAAGTGTGAAGGCTTTCAATTGTATACAAGAGTGGGGTTGCAGGAGTAACGGCCCAGACAAAGCGAGAGTACAATCTGTCATTTGCCGTGATTTTCATTAAGAGTGCGCTATCGGCCCAGCCTCGATGACAACAGACCTTGGATAGCTGGAGGCTATTGTTTTGAAAAACTGAAGATGTCTGTCGTTGAGAAAGTCATCATTGTTACCGGCGCGGGCAGTGGGATCGGGAAAGCCACGGCCCTGCTTCTGGCGGCAGAAAAGGCTAAAGTCGCCCTTTTTGATATCAGCCCGAGCATATGGGACATTGAGGCACAGATAAAATCTTCCGGGGGCAGGGCTCTTGCAATAAAGGTGGATGTCAGCTCTTCTGCTGAAGTCAGTGCAGCCACTAAGGCCGTCGTGGAGGCCTTCGGCCCGATTGATGGTGAGTTGACATAAGAGACCAATGGAGGTCTCATTGTTCTTTCCGCAGCTGACTCCTCTCCTCAATAAAGGTGGTGCCAACTTGGCTGGTGTCTCGGGATCGGGAACAATTAATCTGGAGCAGGAAACGGACGATGAATGGGATCGCGTGGTTAGGATTAATTTGGGAGGAGTCAAGAACGCTTTGCGTGCCCAACTCCAGCATAGGAATCCCAAGGGCGCCTCGATTGTCAACGCTTCAAGCATAGGGGCGCGGATAGGATCACCTGGAAATGCTGCCTACTCTGCCAGCAAAGCAGCTGTCAGTGGTCTCACCAAATCTGTCGCCCGGGAGATGGGTCCTCATGGAGTCCGAGTCAATGCCATCGCACCGTAGGTGCCTCTTGCTCAACCTTTTCCTAGCAACGACTGTGACATCTAACTCTGGAATCTAGTGGTATCACGGATACGGCCATGGTCGGCGCTGTACCAGAATCCATTCGTGAGGAATGGAGAAAGGCTAATGTTCTTGGACGATTAGCCGAGCCTGTTGAGATCGCGAATGTTATACTCTTCCTCCTCAGCGACAATAGCTCCTTCATTACCTCATCAGTACGTCTTCGACCACTCGAACACTGATACTCTTGCAAAGAAAGCTGACACTCTTCAGGTCGTTGATATTGATGCTGGTCGCGTCTGACCCTGTCACCCTTTATTGAACACGCAGATGGGCGTCACAACTAGCATTAGTGGCATGTTTACCTGGTGATGGCCGATTTCAGACAGGGCCTTTTATATAGACGCGCCGTTCGTGATCCTTAACATAGGATGGACGTAGAAGAGTGCGGTGCGCATTTGCGAGCATCTGATCAATTGGATATGTATTTTTGTCAAGCCACTACGACAGTCACAATCGGAATGGTCATCAACACAGGTTTACAGGGCGGCCTCGAATCTGCTTAAGGAAGACTTCCATAACTCTTATGTTTGTAGATGGTAGCGACACTCTCATCAGACACATGTTAAGCACGCGCGACTAATGATAAACCCATTCAATTTGACGGCTACTATTGACCAGGCGACAAAAGCCTGCAAATGGAACTCAAGTCTTAATGTCTCGCCTTATCCTTCCAAAACCGTTCGAACGACACTCAATTCTACACATCAGTGGAATGTCTCGACGACCCAAGCGTCAGCATTTTGTTCTCCATACCCGGCAGTTCAGCTTTCATGTCGACCAACGCTAGTAGACATATCTGAACTGGGGATTCTGTGTTTTGCTCCACAGTCAGCGGATTCAAAGCGGCCTGTTGACCACGGAAGGGTTCACACATACCTGCTTATCAGTCACGTCATCTTCATATGCGTGGTCATAGCCCTCCAGTACGCCAGACTGATCTCGACGTTTGTTCTGCCAGATACAGATGAAACGGTAGAGGATATTGAGACCCGCCGACGCCACCGCAGTCACAAGAACTGCAACGAATCCGGGAGTGTAGTCTGGCGCATCTTTGGTTTTGAACAAAAGGGGTGCAGTAAACTGGCCTGGAGCAAAGCGAGTCAGAGCTGACTTACAGCCGGCAGTTTTGACAGGATTATGGGGGATGGAGACTTACCAAGGCAATATCCAACATAGATAGTAGATGAGCTTACGACTCGCTTCGTATAGCCAGCGGAGTTGGCAATGGACAGTCCCATAAGGATACCCCAGCCGCCACTGTAACCTGTGAACAGATACACTCCGACCAGGAGGCCTCCTGTCGCATCGCGGGGAAGCTTCCACAGGAGCACGGATGCTATGATGACGAGGATTTCGCAAAAGAGGATTGCATACGTCCTCATGTTGCGGAATTTGTAGCATATGTACGTTGTTCCAAGGATAAGTGTTGCACCAATGGCTCCAGCGGGGATGGATAGAAGGAGGCTGTTGAGAGTATTGAAGCCAAGAGATGCAATGATGATGGGCATGAACGTATTGACCGGTCCTCCAGCAATCGTGCTCAAGTATGCTTGAGCAAAGATGAGCCAAAATTTCTCGTCGCGGCATAGTTCCAGGGCATGTTGCATTTTGAAATGTATATTTCGCACTCCGCTGTTGTTGATTCGAAGGCGAGCAACGGCAATATATCTCTCTCGCTCGTTGAAGCCTTTCGCACGTATCGGATCAGGGGGCATAAAAAGATAAATGACAGCGGACCAAAGGACTGTAATAAGGCCGCCGACAATATACATATATCTCCAGGGAGATAGGGAGCCTCGAATATGACCAAGACCATAGTTGATAAGAGGAGACACGAGTGTTATAAGCCCAGATGCGGCGTACCAAATACTAAAAGATAATTAGTAAGTTATCCCTTATCTGTAGGAATCATTATTCTTACCCCATCATGAATGATTGTTCATCCTTTTTGTAGAACTGGCCAACCATAAGCATAAAGATAGGGCTCACTCCGGCTTCGAGAAAGCCTAGGAAGAATCGCTGGACGTAGAGAGTCTGCCAGGTAAAACAGGCAGCAGTCAAGGTGAAGCAGATGCCCCAGAGCAAGACCAGGCCGCCAGCGACTCTCTCGATCGGAAATCGCTGAGCCAATTGAGAAGCCGGATATGCTCCGCCGATGAAGCCCAAATAGAAGATACCAGAAGCCATGGAGTATCGATTGCCCGTCAGCTCAAGGTCTGTGCGGAGTCCGAAGATTGCCTTGAAGAAGACGAGGAATGTCAGCGAGTTTTGTTCGAGGATGTAAAAGGACGGTTTGAGGAAGGACTCACGGCTTGAGAAATCATTGTCTTGTCATAGTACTGCAGACCATAGGTTATGGCGAGAATTGGCATCAGGCGCCTATCAATTTTGTTCCTAACTTTCTTCTCTTCCTGCTCATCCCAAGTGTGATTTCCGTGGTAAGTGGCCAGCACCTTCATAGCCTCGTCATTGTGGACGGTATCGACGTCGTACTTGTCAGACAGACTTCCATGGCCAATATCTTGATTCGCAGGTGCATCATGCGTTTCAATGACGTCCTGCGCCTTCTCGGCATGAGACATGTCCATGATGAGATTCAGCGAAGCACTCTCTGTGTCGATGGTCTTGAATTTGCTTTGGGAGACTCAGAAGACTAGGATATCAAAATCTGAATAGGTCTTAGACAATCGAGGATGGCAAGCGAGCTTTTGAAGCTTATCAAGTCGGCAAGTTCCCCAGGAACCACTTACTGCTAACCAACGGACGGCATTTTTGAGAGTGGGGAGCTTGTTGGCGTGATTGGTGCCCGGTAAGTTGAGACATGGGACGCAAAGCCAGGGAGCTGATAGAGATCTACAATCATGGGGTATAGAATTATCTGGACAATAGGGAGATTGGTGGTGAGTAGATAGGCGAGGCACGCGAGGCTAGTCTAGAGTTTACACGTGATGTATCCGCCTCGTCTCCTTACACGAATCAGATGCGCCCCTCGGGCCGGAACCGGGAATAACGACTCTGATATGCCTAGGTTAGTGCTAAGATATACAGAGCTAGATAGACAGAAAGTCTTATCTTGAACACGCTCTTCGACAGACCATGATTGCGGGCAGCTACTGATACGCCTAGGTACTGCTCCCCATTTCTTGCCACTTCCCCATCTGGATGGCAACGAGTCTGGTCTGCGCCGCAAGGGTGGACACGAGCCAGGATCGCGTCTACATCTTGAGCAGGCGTTTCATTGTGCGGCCAGACGCAGTTGGTTGGCTTTCGGTCACAATCGTTCGATGAAAGTTGCCAGCGATCGCGGCGACTGAAGCCATGGTATGCGTAACGGGCAAACGAAGGGAGTCGTCATCGGCTATTGAATGGATTGTGGCGAGGGGAAACCTTCAACAGGACCTCAATCACTTTGACGATGGCCCGGAGCAGGTTGCCCGTGACGAGAAAATGAAGGCGTTTGTTGAATCGAAGAGGAATACCTTTCCTGACCTCGTACTGTTGGTAAATCACAGCATCCACAAGCATGATAAATGGGGATAGAGACCTCAAGTCTCTGCAGACATTCTGTCCTATGCCACTCATGACGAATCTATGTCTCCCAGGCTTCAGGTCTATCTATGTGAAGGATTGTACCTCTTGGCGATTGCGGCTTCTACAGGTAGAAGCCCTTTTTTCTGTATATTTGCACAACACCACCAAGACGACGACATTACGGAATCTCACCCCAGGCACACCAAGATACTTGAAAAGGAGACGTGGTGCTTGAGCCGCAAGTCTTGGTGACTGCAGGTGTCGACCACCAACTGCGGATCACCTTCGACCTCTGGATCACCCTCTGGCTTATTTATGCCACCGTTGCGACAGGCTTCGTCTGTGGTTGGGAGTAATCCGGCTCTTTGCCCAGTAGCCAGGCCATACCCTCGATCTGCTCCACTCTAAACTTCTCGCTGGCTTTTAAGAACGGGAAGACCGCCCAATGAGTATGCGGCAGACCAGGATAGAGATAAAACTTGGTCTTGATACCATTCTCTTCGCGCAGGACACGTTCGTAGATGAGAGCATCGTCGCGTAGCGGATCCATACCGGCAATCTGAAATAATGCAGGCGGTAGGTCTTTGTGTCCTTGGGGGTGGTTGAAAGAGGCATAGAATACACCATCGTCCTCATCTGGGGCATAAGCGGCCATAAACATATCAATCGCGGCGACAGGTAGGATTACTGCCTCGCTGTTCTGCTCGTAGGATAGAAACCATTCCTTATACTCTTCCGGAACCTTCGAGGGCGGCAGTAGCGTCGGAATCGCGAGGTACTGGCCGGTCAGAGGAGGAGAAAGTTTCTCGTCGCGGGCCAGATGGGCGAGAACAGCCGCGATGTTTCCACCAGCTGAGGTTCCGCCTACAACGAAACCTAGCGATGGATCTGCGCCCCAGGATGTCGCGTTCGCGGCAGCCCATTGCAGAGCGTTCCATGCGTCCTTGGGGGCGTAGGGAAATTTGAACTCTGGCGCTAGTCTGTAGGTAGCCGCGATACATGTGGCACCGAACGCCAGGACGAAGTTACGCGCTGTTTGCTCTTCGCCTTCTGGCTCCCCAATACAGAAGCCTCCGCCATGAAAGAGTACGATTAGGGGACTGCCCCCGGACGGCAGGCTGGTTGGCTGATAAAGTTTCGCACGAAGCTGGCTGCCGTCCTCGGTAGTGTACTGTAATTCGGTTTGCTTGACTCCAGCCGGTGGTGCACCTAAGGCTTTTCGGGCGGCTTCACTCCGCTGGAGAGCAAACATCTTGAAGGCGGCAATGTCGCTGTAGTTGACTGGCGGCAGATTTGCCTTTGCCAGAAACTATGAAGCCTTTGTGAGATCAGAACTCAAGGCCTGAAGATCTTGCGGACGGACCTCTTGGAGCTCGGGGTCAATATTGGCCGTAGCCAGAATCGACTCTCTATCTGTATACGACATGTTTCTCGGGCAGTCCACCGATGGTGAGTGATTTGACCGTAGTGACAGTGAAATTTGTTCAATGTATCTTGCCTGCTGTTGTCGTTTCGCCTATAGCAAGAGGGATATGTGTTGAGATCAGAAGAAGGCTGAAGGGGCTTCGACCGTGGGACTATTTGAGGCGGGTCGACGGGCACCGTAATGAATTGTGACCTCTGACTTGCTAGGACCCTCGTACTAGAATCACCTCCTAGCGTTTGATGCCGGGGGCTCGACCTCTCTATACCTACCCCACCTATGTACGCAGGGGTCATTCTGTGGTGAGTACCTCCCCACTACTCGCTCCACCTATTTGATAATACAGTACATCGTTCGGCCTGCCGTGCGATGTAAGGGGCCGAGATACCGGACATAAAGGCTACAGTGACTCTTACCTTGCATATCCTGTATACATTAGAAGGCCCTCGCCGAGTGAGGAGTAATTAAGGAGAGGCCAAATTCCTTAGGTCTTTCTAATTTTGACTGTGGTTTCGAGTTGAATTTAAACCAAGTGGCGAAGACAAGAATCACAATGCCTTCATCCGCATATACCAATAAGCCGGTTGATGTTTCGGTCAAGCCGGACACGACCACGCTTAGAGATAAGAGTGTGATCATTACGGGAGGTGAGGGAGCCCTAGTATTATGGTGTAGTAAGCGCACGCGTGCGCCAGGAACGGGACTGATCCAGTATTGAGCATAGGTGCGAGCGGTTTCGGCGAGAATCATGCGCGCGCGTTTGTCGCGGCAGGGTGAGTGACAATCTCGAAGAGCGTGTTCAGGTGGGACTGAGTGCGTGCCTCATGCAGAGCGTTTGTGACCATCGGCGACATCAATGAGGACAGGGGCCGGAGCCTGGCGGCCGAACTAGGACTGTGTGTGCTCGATGCCGCACTATGGTGCCATGGGGAAATGGTGTGATGCGACAGGCCCGCGTGTACTGAACGTTCGGAGGGAGGGATGGCGTGCCAGAACGAATTGCCCATTTTTGGGTTTGGGTGTATGTACAGAAACCGTCTTTGTGGTTCTCAAGTCGATGTCGTTGTTCGAATGGCACCCTCCCTCCCCTCTTTGGCATTACACCGGTCTGGATGCACACTTGCCAATCCCCCCAGTCGCACCATAGTTGAGGTCAAAGTTGCTGACTGCAAGTCGCTAGCAAGGCGCAATTCATCAAGATTGATGCAAACTCCTGGGAAGACCAGGTGCAATTGTTCAAGCAGGCCGTGGCCAAGTCGCCTGCAAAGAGCGTCGATATCGTCATCATCAACGCAGGTGTCGCCGGTCCAGATGAGATCTTTGCCTTGGAAGGTCTGTTGCACGTCTCATCTCGTCCGTTGACACTATGTTCCCAGGCATGGCCCCTTCTTGGCTGACCATAAGCACCACAGATCCTGCTTCCGAGCCCATCAAGCCAACTCTGTCGATGCTGAACCTGAACCTCATCGCTTCCATCTACACGTTCAAACTGGCCCAACATTATGTCCGTCTCCACCCAGAGGGACCCGGTCGAGATCGGTGCATCATTATCAAGGGCAGCGTCGCCGCCCACCTTGACCAACCTGGCTCTTTCCTGTATCAGACATCCAAGTTTGGGCTCAGAGGTCTCATGACGTGTGCGAGGCGAACGTCGTGGCAGGAGGGTATCAGAGTGAATAGTATCGGCCCGTGGTAAGACGCCATCACGATAGGTGGATATGTGGAGCTGACGATACATTCCTCGCAAGGTATACCAAGACCTCGCTCATGAAGCCTCATATTGTCGACATCTTGATCTCCAAGGGCATCAAATTCGCAGACATCGCTGATTGTACGATGGCCGTGCTGAGAGTCGCCTGTGACCCAAACATCAACGGTATGAACATGACACGAAAATCAAGGAGAGACATCACTGATTAAGTTGACACAGGTCGATATTTGACGATTCTGCCCCGTTCGATGGTGCCCAACGGCTACATTGATACACAGCTAGATGACTTTGAAGACGAGCCTTGGAAAAGTATGCAAAAGGCCATGTTGGACGCTTCGATACGTGCGCAGCCTGGCTCGTAAAGCGACCCGTGCCTCAGATGTTGCCGTTGTGGTTTCATGTCCTTGAGAAGTGAGGATGTGCCTTGGAGAGGAAAAAGGGCGCTGCAAGCTACCCATGAATGTCTGATCATCTTACAGATCCGCACTTCTTGTTCCTTTTTCGTCATTCCCCAGCAAGGTTGGGAGTGACTTTTGAATTGCGGCGCCACCGTGCGCAATACAGTTGATCTCCTCCACAATTCGCTTCTGACTCCACTGCCTGTCCCACCAGCCTATGCATCGCCCGAGTCTTGGAAAGAAAGTCCAAGTCCAAGTCAAAGTCAGAAGAATAGCCGGTTTGCATTCCCTTCGATGGGATGCTGTCTTGATCGGGACTCGGCAAAGATATCAAATCGGCTCGTGTTTGTAATAATCCATGACAACAGTCGGCTGTCCACAACACGTTCTACTCATATATAGATGAGGCGGCGTTCCCTCTTCGACAGCTTCAGCCAGCGCCAGACTAATGGTTAAATAAATGTGACTTTGGTGTTGGTCTCGTCGCGTCGGGTTCTCTCGACTGCTAGCGATAACATCTCGCTCAGTGTCTGCTTTGGAGAGTCAACGGCTAAGGCGCTACTTCGCTGTGTGCAGTGCCCAAAATACATGCATCCATAAGGTGAAAGCTCAATGTTCTATGGACCCAGGAGGTTGGGATGAACCAATAAATCGCAACGGATATCGCAGTCACGTGAGTCCAGTCACGTGATCTATGAAGTTTTGTTGGTCTCTTGGCACTTGCTCATCATCACCTCGGCTTCGTGTCTTGTGTTGCAATAGTCAGGTTACACGAGACGATCACGTTGACATCAATTTGGATAATCCTACTGAAAGCGAGCGGGACATTTCCTTCATCCCAGTCGAAAGTTGTGTGCAAAGTGGAATTTAGGATCTCTGGGATCTTGAACTGCCCTCACAAGAATACGGACGCCTGGAATTTTGATGGCTACTCCTGACATCCAGCATGAGAAACCTGAGAATGAGGCTCCTACCATTCAAAATATCAATCAGCTACTCGCAAAACGCCGACGTAAGTCTCACCCAAAGGCGTGTTACCCATGCCGTTGCCGGAAAATACGTTGTGATCACATGGCCCCTTGTGGCAATTGCCTCAAGCATGAGCAACCCGAGCTCTGCGTGTATCTAGACCAGAACGGTCAAGTGCGTAGGAAACAAGCTTCTGCTCCTCCCAGAGCATCGAATGCGTTGACCGAAGATCGAGTAGCTGCGCTTGCGGATCTCGAAGGTAGAATGCAGACAATCGCCGAGGAGGTAGTCAGACGCCTTGGTTCTCTTGGTGGTGGAAGCCTTCAAGAATCTGCGAAGCAGCTGCAGACAGACCAAGGTAGTGCCATTGGCACGGGCTCACCTCCGGAGGCACCACAGTATCAGCAAATGTCACCAGGTCATGCGACACCAGCGACTGTTGCTGCAGATGTTGTTGGTGCATCCGTACACATTGGTGCCGAGTCACTAGCCTCGATACTTGTTGACACCTTCAAATCTGTTCGTCCTATGGCAGCTTCTCCACAATCAGGCGACGGGATTGGTCTGTCCCGACGGTCGGCACACGAGACCATGAAGCTGCTATACATGACCGATACAGGCTCTACACACCCTTTTACAAGTCTTTGGAAGCCAGGAGCTACAGTGGAAGACATCTGCCTTGCCCTGCCAGACAATGAAACCTTCGAGCAGTATGTCGCTTCTATCGTCTCACGATATACTTCAAGCTACTAAACCCTTTGCTCAGATGCTTGGCTTCCTGGAAATCAGTCAACCTTATCTCCCCGTCCGTTCCCTTGCCCGAGTTTGCGGAGGACGCCAGGGTCTTTTGGAGTGAACGCTCTAATGGTGAGAAGAGAGAAAGTGATCTTCGGTCTACTTCGTGGCTCGCACTTCTCTTTTGTGTTCTCGCTGGCGGATGCTCGTACAGCAGTGTCCATCGGACCGATAACGACCTGAACTCCAGAGTCTTTGGTATGCCTCCATTAAGCATGTTCATACGTTCCGTATCGTGTTGACTCGAAGACTTGCATTCGTAGTCTGCTGCGCCGCCGAGCTTCTACGGCTCGACAACTATCTTCTTCAACCAACGATCGATAATGTGCGAGCGTTGGCCGGACTGGCGGCCACTCTACGCGTACAGGCCAATCCCGCTGCATCATGGTCATTGCTAGGTACTTACGCCGCTACCTATCCAGCTTTACCGACACAAATACTGATCATGATCTAAAGGAATGGCCATCCGTGCAGCGCAATCCCTAGGCATACACTGCGTGCCGCCACCAACCAAGAATTCCACCGCCATCGAGCGACAGTCTTGGATGTTGTGGTACGAGACAGACCCTGCTCATTGCGTCGATCTTATTCTTCCCTCATAGGACTAGACCCACTGACCCCGTATCTTAGGCAAGGCCTCGTATGGCAGGATACCACACTTTCGCTGTGCTACGATCGGCACCTAGCTGCTTTCGTAGATGGCTCTGTGAAGCGAATCCCGCGGCCCCCTAGCCCAAAAGGATACCCCTATCTGGAGAGCTGTTATGGACTGTCGATGATAATGAACGACATATACCACGAATGGGCACATTCTAGGCGCGCCTTCTTGCGCACTCTCCCAGCAATACGCTTCCAAGTTGCGGCGGAGCAAATCCTTCTATGGGAAGCCTCTGCTGAAGAATACTTGCGGAACCGTGCCAGCTGCAAAGACGACGGCCAGCGTCTGCTTCACGATGTGTTTCAGATCTTTGTCAACTTCTTCATTTTTCAGCTCCATCGCCATCACCTGGCTACTCCATCGTTGTTCGCGGATGGACTACGATCTACATCTCCTTTGCCGCTAACGACATGGGAAACCCAGGGAGCTACTGCCAGTGAGGCCCAGAATTTACTGTGTATGGATCGTTGTGAGACAATCCTTCGCCGTTTCATGTCTCTACGGAGGGCGCATCATCAAGCCAGTCGCCTGTGGATCCTTATGCATATCTGTCTTGGATGCGCGTTTTACCTCGCCAGCCAACTGAAGAAGAACTTGAATAGTGCCAGAGATCAAGAAGCCGAACCCTCGGAGCACTATACTAGTGAGAATCAGGCTCGTCACCGGCTTTTACGTGATTTGGCCGAGGATTTTGAGCAGAGTCTCCCTTACACGATGCATCCGCACCATCTGGACTTTCTGAACGCGCTCAAGCACATCATAGAAATATGATCTAAAACCAAGTTGGATGGCACAGTGGTCCAGTTTAGCAGCAGTACTCCTCAGTTGACAGCTACCAACAGCCTACACAGCCTGAAATACCAAGCTGTATCCCTACGAGTCGCTAGTTCGGCCTTTCACTCGATCAGATCATCGTGACCCTCATCATCAGTGTAACTATCCCAAACGTCTGAAAGAGTCAGCATCCTCGTCACTACTGTTACTAACTCCGGGGTCATCTCTTTCCCATTCATGAAGCCGTCGCAGAGTCTCATCCGCTGCCAGATCCTTTGGAACTTGGGCGCGATTCAACCGCCGGACAGAAACACTGGGCTCGTTACTTATGATGGCGTGGAAAGAGTCCGGAACACTCAAATTCTCTGGCTCCAGTCGCTCTGCCCTTCCCCTGTTGGGCTTCCACGTAATGGCCTTGACAAAGTATTCGTTAATACCAGGCTTCGTTTCGTCTCGCAACCACCGTCTTCCCTGCCAGGTTGAACTTCCACTCCACAGATCCTCTTTGCATTCCTCCTTTCTGGCAGACATGGTCATTCCGTCCTTTCTCACAAAAGGCCATTTTTCTATCATTTGATCGGCGATGCACTCAATTTGATTCCTCTTCCTCTGCAGACTCTCGAGTTCCAGACAGATTTCATGAAGAGTGGCAGGGAAGCGACAAGTGTCGACCCAGTAAGCGCCAATGTGAAGACGATCATCCTCCTCCCAACCGTACCAGTCATGATGGCGTATAGTCACGGTGAGCCTGTGTGGAAAGAAATAGGTCAAGTTTAGGATCTGGCTGAGGAGCTCACAACCATCCTCAAGAGCGCAGAGCTGCGCAAAGACTCTGACATGGGGGATTTCGACCTCGCCATGTGCCGTGAAGAGCCGGTCGAGGACTCTCTGGAATCCTGGGGTAGTATTCGGTTCCTTAGGCCGACGCCCTGGCCAAGCTAGATAGAACGTGTGAACGGCAGACATCCAAGGTCGGAACCAATTTTCGGCGTAGGCGCGCTGACACGTCTGGAGAATAGACGTATCGGCGACAAGATATGCGCTATACTCGGGTCTCACGTAGGAGGAGTCTTTGTCCCAGGCTTTGGGCGAATTGTAACAGGATAGAGTGAAGGCCAGGATCCGGTCGCGAATCTCGCCAGGAATCTTGCCATTGAAAAGAGGAGACTCTCGTTGCTCGCTGCGAGGAAGTTGGAACGTGGTGACGTGGTCCATCGTGCTGTGTTGTCAGGCTGGTTTGAGGAAGCGGGAGTTGAGTAAGTCTGAGGCACCTTAATATTTCAGAATGCAACTTTCACTGAGAAGTTATGGTTTGATAGGTCGCGACGATGTCTCGATATCAATGGATTTGGCGTCAGCAGGCAGGAGCAGCGGCTAACCTCATTTGACTCCATCCATCTCGGTTACACCATATTCAATGATTGTTTGGTTGCAGGTCTGCGTGACAACACAGGACGGAGGCTGTCACGCCCATCTTCATTGTCAAATATTATATACGAGTATGTGTTGTCAAGGAAGAAGAACCTCAAGCTACATACGTGGCAGCGTACAATTACTTGGCATCCGACAGGCTCGTCCAACATTTGGTGCGGTGCCACTCTTCTCGAACGATTCCTTCCACCGTCAGGTATTGTGGTCAAACCTAGTCTGTCCAGTCTTCATATCTAGGAATCTCCATTGCTCGCCAGTGCTCCTGTAGTTGAGGGGGTTTGATCTATGTTGGCGTAGCAGACGTTCGGTGTCGCCAATCCTGGCTGCTCATTGAACACTAGCGCACATTTTATCCTTCAGTCCGTGTTCTGCGTGTCTAGACAGCTGGTCCCGATGTCCAGCTCGGATCTCGTAGCTTCTTGATGTCGCTCGAGTGCCAAGTCATGGGTTTTTGTCGACCTCCTTCCTCAAAGTCGCCTGATGGAGGATCCTTAAGGATCCCTTGTGCCTAAGCCAGTTGGACTGACTTTCAAAGGTCGAAACCTTTCATTCATGGCCGGCTGCATGATGCGATGTCACATGGTTCATGTCCCCAGTACCGGCACGTATTTGAGCGCCGCAGGGGCAGCGCGCGCCAATGTGGTCACTCAGCCACATCGGATTGTCTGGACTTTTGTCGCGGACGTTCTGCCAATCCAATGTTGATGCTTCGGCGAACTCAGGTTTCCCTATGCCTTACGGCGGCAACTCTGCTGCTGTGGAGTTTTCCTTGCGCGTTGTTTCCATCAGCTCGACCGGACGCGTCGCCTGCGGGCTCAACTCGACGGGTACAGGTGATTGTGTAGCGTAAGGAGGTGTAGCATAATATGCAGCGGGGTTCGTAGGATCGGGTGCAAACTGCTTTGCATAGGCAGTTTGATCGATCGGTGTCTGACCAGGAGCCATCATCTGATAGCCATTTGGTGAACCCCACGGACCTACTCCTGGCTTTGCTTGCGGCGTGCGCTGCTTCCTCCGCCGGCGCAGCAGGAAGAATATGATACCAGCAATGGCGGCGATAGCAACGACACCTACACCGGCACCTATGCCAGCCTGTGCACCGGTTGAGAGGCCGCTACTACCACTGGATTCCGAAGATGTCGAGCTAGGCAAGGTACCCGTGCTTGTTGGTTCTGCGGGCAAGGTTGATGAAGCTGTCGCCGTAAAGGATGAACTGCTGGCACTGTACTGCGATTGCAGATCCGCAGGTGAGGGGGCTTTGACCACTATCTTGGTAGGGTTCTCACACCGCAAATCGCCGTTGGAAGTGAGTCCACAGCAATGCCAAACGCCCGACGTTTTGTTGTAGACGATGTCTTGCACCTTTAGCGATGAACAGGCGTTATGGCACACGTCTCTGTCTTCGAAATTGCGGTCCGTACACATTCCAATATAGTAGCCAGTGCCGTTGGGAGGGGGACTGAGTGACTGACAGATGCCGTTTGCAAGGCATACGCCGGTGTGTCCGCAACAGCGGGAATTCCCGCTAACAGATTCGGTACCAGGACAGATGTAAGGGCTAGAGACTTCGTAGAGTTGCGAGCCAGAGCTCGTGGTCTTGTTACCATAGCAGCGATCGTCTGACATTGCTGCATGGGTGTGCTTGAACTTCGATTGTCTAGGCAGTCGTGAGATTTCGGGAAATTATGCCGTGTAAAGAGCAGAAGCAAGAGCGGAAGTGGTTCGAGTCGCGCGTGACTGTCGTGCATGCGGTTCGCGAGGAACGAAAGCGAAGTTGCCCATATATGCCGAAAAAAGGTCTCGGGAACAAAAGTCTGAGAGATGAAGACCAGGTCGGACGACGGTACATATTATGCGTAGATCATCGCAAAGTGGCTCTCCACAGGGCTCAGCACTTTGAGCCTCTTCTTCTCGTACTCCCTTCTTCCCAGCTCTGTGGGCCTCATTGGCGCAGGCCGTGATGCTGTTTCAATTTCGAAGGTCGGTGCCAGCCATGTGCGCGGCATGCACAGCCTGTCCTTGCAGATCAGGACCAGCACAAGCGAACAATTGTTGATGGCAATGATTCGTAGCCTGGCGGCCTAGCCGACGATACTCCAGATCTCTTCGTCTGAGTGGACATTCTTGGGCGCCTGAAACCGAGTCGTCCCCTCGAACTAGACTAGTATCAGTCTACTGTACGAGGAGCGGAATCATAGCGTATGAGGCATTCATTGTTGACTTGCAGCTGTGGAGTCTGTCCACAAGACTTACCAAGTCAGTGGTCAGTGTGCCATCGAGGCACAGCCCATGATGGCCCCTAAACATTGGTTAATTTTGTACCGTTTCAGCATTCCCCATTCGAGCCCATTTTCCATGCGCAGCCGTCACAAGGGATGGCCGTATGCGTTAGGGTTGCAGGAGAGAATTCTCAGCCGCAACGAACACTCAATGGCATACCTTTACAGCTGAAAAGGGTAACGACCTCTTGAACACACTCCGCGGTCTCAGCTTTGCTTGACTGCCGCCGTCAAGAACGAAGGAGCAGAATCACAGAAGAGAAGGGCAGCTGTTCAGGCTTTTGGGCAGCAATATTATTAAAGCAGCGCTGCCATTCATGGCAGAAATCTCATCTCGGGCGCTCAGTTGACGCCGCTTTTTGGTCATGTTTTTGGCCTGCAGAATGAAAGCTAGGTTACTGTGTACCGTTTCTTCGTTCCTCTCGACCACCTCTTCTTACCAACGACTTGACCACGGCCATCAAAGAAATTTATTGCTGTTCATTAGGATCAATCTGGTACAATTCAATGGCAGGGAAGCCAGATTTGACCTGACCCTCTTCCGGCGCTCCCAGAGCTGTGGACTGCCCTTCTTTCTTCCAGCCTGGGATAAGTTGTACTGACTGTCGCTACACGAGCAATATTAGTATGTTTACCCGCGTGCGACAGTGTCCCGAGTATCGGCCACGATCAATGCCACTTTGGCGAACTGGGAAGCCGGATAACAATCAGCGAGCCCCTGGATCAGACCTGACAGCTGTCACCTTTTGGTGCCTAGCTCGGCACGCCTTTTTCTCTGCCTGAAGAATCTCACGTCCGGAAGATGGCTGCTGTCAGTTCCTGGTGATAGAGTCTCAAGCGATTTAGTCTGACTGCATTGGGATCATCCCTGTGTCTGGCAGCTTCGACATGGTATCAGTCATAAGGTAGAATCTGCCGCGCAAGAATGCTTCCCTGTGTCTCTCTACCATTGCTCGAAGGCATCTGCGGCATGTCTCGTTGAATATACACATTTTGTGGCCATTGACTTGATCACAGATTTAACACGCCAACCATGCAAAACCACATATCCTCACTGGACGGACTCCGCGGTATAGCCTGCTTTCTCGTCTACAATTTCCATTGGGCATTTGAGAATGGCTACGGCAACCGGACTGAAGGAATGGCGTCCACCGTCAACCTGTGGTGGGAGCAACCGTGGATCAGCTGGATGTACGCCGGCAAGTCAATGGTCTACGTCTTCTTCGTCATCTCCGGCTATGTCTTATCATACAAGCCATTGACGCAGATACACCAAAACCACGGTGCGACCGCGGCAACATGCTACCCGACGCTGGCATCATCGGTATTCCGACGCGGCATCCGACTCTTCCTGCCTACCATGATCGATACGCTTGTCACTGCGCTCCTAATACGAACCTCAATCTTCGAGATGTCTATCCGAACATTCTTGGACACGAAGATGAAGAAGTCGTATCTAGACATTTGGATGGGCCCGAAAAGACCAGAGGACACCATTTGGCAGGAGCTGCGCGTAGCCATCATAACATGCTGGGGATACATAGACAGCGCAGTGATACCGTGGAGCGAAAGAGAGATCGACGTCCGAAAATACGACGACGTTCACTGGACCATCCCAGTCGAGTTCAAATGCAGCATGATGTTGTTCATACTTTTGATCAGCACGGCACACATCCGTACACGAGCTCGGCTTTTCATCCACTGCTTGGCATGCGTGTATGCGTTTACGAACGGTCGTCAGGCTCTCTTCTGCTTTTTCGCCGGTATGGTTCTGGCCGAGACAGATGTCATGGCAAGGATAGCTGGCGCAGTACCCCCGCCTGCAAAAGACTATCTCCTCAATGCCCGGGATCTTGAGGCTGCAAGCCGCGAAAGCAAGGAGTTCGAGAAGGGGTATTTGCGCAGAACGATGAAAAAGCCTCGCTGGCAGAGACCTGGCCGGGCCCTTCTCTGTTTGCGGCCGACTGCATCACTGGCCCGGACGATCACCCTCGTCTTCGGAATCTACCTCAATGTGGCGTCTTTGAAACCTCAAGCAGAACCATCGATGGGTTATTCGACCGTAGTCGACAAAGTTGTGGCATCAATCTGCGGAAACAGTGACCCCGTTGAGGCCACCAGGAGTATCGGCGCAGTGCTGGTCACTTGGACGGTAGCCAACAGCACTGATACTTGCATCGGCTTCCTCTTTTCCAACAGGGTTGCTCAATGGCTAGGCAAAATCTCATTCGGAATCTACCTTACACATTTGGACGTTATTCGGATTCTCGGGCTCAGCCTGGTCCCCATCTTCTATCGAGTCGGAGCTGGAGTTGACATTCTTCCAAATCCATACATATGGCATGAAGGTGGCGGGCTATCGGAGTGGCAGATTTTCAAAGTTGTGATCTTGGGGTGGCTCACCTGTCTGCCCTTTGTCCTGATATGCGGGTACCTGTTTTGGTATCATGTTGATCAGAGAGTCGTGAGATTCTCAAAATACGTTGAGGAGAGATTGAAGATGCCCAAAGCGTCGAGGAAAGGGTGACGGAGTTCGATAATGCGAGAAATCAATACTAATAATATATTCGGTAAACGAGGCACGTCGGTACTTCTGCATTCGCTTCTGCTTTCGCTTCTGAGGAAGATACCATGTATCCATCCTGTCCTAGTTTCCTTAATGTGTCTGATGAAAGCTACCAGAATGGCGCCATAATTGCCCTGGCTGACATAATACCAACCGCCGCGGTGAGTTTCCTGTTGCAACTTGTTTTCCTCTCCACCTGCTATCTCACCTCCCCACCAAAGGGAAGAAGAAGGCTCGCATTCGCACGCTTGATCATCTACATCTCGATATATCACGGAGCAGCATTGGCATGTCGTGCTCCACGAAAAGGGACGCCGACACCTGAGAAGAGTCCGAATCCGTCCGCCACTTGCTAGCAACTCCACCTCGCTTCCTTCCGGTCACGAATCCCACCTACTGCCTTCTTCTATGCTGGCACTTGCTGCCTCAAGAGACCCATGCGGACCTTTTTCAACTGCCGGCGGGACTGCTGCAGCGTTTCTTACTTGATACTTGTCACCAGCGCTGTCAGTCAGCGCCTTGGGCCTTCAGAACCGGGTGGAAGGACAACGATGCATTTTCTCCTCTTCTCTCCTCTGCTTGGGATGGCATAGCACCCCTGCTTATGTGCCGCAGCAAGGATTTACCCCACACATATCTGCGTCCATATCCAATACGCTACAAGGTAAGTGCCTACGTTGATCCTTGGACGCAGGGTTCGTCCTCGCTCGCCGTGTTTGGAATTTCCTTAAAAGGACCGGTTTTGCCCACGTACCTCCGTCAGCTCAACTCCCCTCACCTCGACTACTCAGAACAAGCAACATATACATCTCACCAAAAGCAATCAGTACCAATTCAAGGATCAATACCCAATCTAACCTTCAACAATGGCACCTTCCCTGCACCCACTCATTGACAACGGTCTCACCAAAGGAGACCCCAACTTCTCCGGCGGCACCCTCAAATGCCACTGCAAGACCAACCCCGTCGAGGTCAAACTCAAGGGGAATGTACTACACAATCATGCATGCGGCTGTTCCCAGTGTTATAAGCCCGAAGGCGCGCTCTTCTCTATCGTCGGCGTCATCCCCGACGACCAGGTCGAGGTGACCAAGAACGGCGACAAACTGGCTGTCGTGGACGAAAACGCCACGATCTTGCGCTACGCCTGCAAGGACTGCGGGGTGCACCTGTACGGGCCCATCAAGAAGGACCATGCCTTCAAGGGCTTGAGCTTCGTGCACGTCGACCTGTCGGACGACAAGGGCTGGCAGGAGCCCCAGTTCGCCGCGTTTGTGAGCAGCTTGATCGAGCAAGGCTACCCGCCGGAGAAGATGGGCGAGGTGCGGGACAGGCTCAGGGAGATTGGGCTGGAGCCGTATGATGCGCTCTCGCCGGCGCTCATGGATGCCCTGGCGACTTTCAACGCCGAAAAGAGCGGGAAACGCAGCAGATTGTGATCGCAGATTGTGACTGCAGATTGTGATCTGAGGTGACGAGCGAGGAAGGCTGAAAAGCAGGGAGGTGTTGCCTCTGGTTCACTCACGTGGGCGAGCTCCCAAGACGTCACTTATTAAGAATACGTTCATAGTCTGAATCAAAAGTTTATCTCATGAGCAGGCGTCGGTTGTTTCGGGAGCACCGATCATTCAGAAAGATGAACCATGGCAGCCTCAGCGTCTGTATTATAGCTGATGCCACTAAGACTGATGGTTCACGGCGAAGTCAGACAAAGCACGGAAGGTTCAATTGCGCAACAGATGGCATTTCGCCTCTCATTGCCTCGCCGCAAGTTGTGGCCTTCGGTCCTCCTGAGTAGTATGTACAATGCTTTCTTCGCGGACTGCCTACAACGAGTTCTCGTACTCTAATACAGTGTATTCCCACCCTGCCCACTGGTGTTTCCAGGTCTGTAATCCGAACCCTTTGCACCCTTGGCCTGCTGGGCGGTAGGGTAGTCTGTGTGAATCTCCGGGCCACCCGCGGGACCATCGACGCCTGGCATGTAATTCTGCTGTCGGCCACGGTACCCTTTCTCCTTATTCGATTTTAATAGTTGGAGGTATCGATCTGGAGCAAAGCCGGTTAGCAAGAGCCCTCATCGTTATAACACGACTCGGGTTCGGGCTGGTCTGCGTACCTCTGTATTTGCCGCACTTCTCGAGGTGGTTGACGCCCTCGCGGATGTAGCACTTTCCTGTAACGGCGAATCTTGTCAGCCCCTGTCCCTGCATGGCTTTCCGCAGCATGAGAGCTTTTGGATGGCCCTTTCGAGAGCCTCATCTTCCAAACAAGCGCCCCAAACGGTAATCCTCGTTGGTACACCATCTTCGTACCCGCCAATTTCTGTGCTGCTGTCCCTCTGTGCTTCTAAAGGGACACCTTTAGGAATCACACGTACCCATTTCCTCGCCTACTAGTCTTTGCATCATCATCCCTACCCATTGTTCTCGTACAATCGCATCTCGGGCGTCCGTGACCGCTTGGTTGTCGGCGAAATCGACGCCATCGAAAGTAGGCGGGACCTTTGGTTTCTTGGCCAGGAACGCCTCGGACTCAGGTGTAGGCATTGTGAACGAGCCTGGGGGTAGAAGGGTGGAGATCGAGGAGGAAAGTAGTTGTAGTCTGAGGTCTCAGAGGGACGACCGGGCGCAGCTTTTCAACCCCAGAGACCTTCAACGGCTCTCGGTGGTCAATATGAGAATTTGCGTGATGAAGCAAGATACGTGAGAGCGATCGGCCGGAATGAATCGAATATATGCCCTCGATCGCTCTGCTCTGTACCCAAATCCAGCAGCGCAATGAAGCTCTCTCGTTGAAGTCCAAACCAAAGAGCTTCGAGCTAAGGCCGAGTTTGGACTAGTACATCTTGTCCTGCTACTACAGTACTTTTCTCGGTACTCACTTCTCAGTTCTCACTTCTCACTTCTCACTCCCCTCTGACAGATATTGGACAATATTGCGATCTGAAATGTATACCCCTAGCCGTGGTGAGCTCATAACTATTTGCAGCAACAAAGAAAGCCCTTTCGACCGGAAGCGGCACGATTTGCTTTGCTCTTTGCAATCCTGAGCCGATGTTGAACAGCGACTGTCCAATCATTAGCTAAGTCACACCAGGACTTTCATCTCTCCAGCAAGCGCCGCGAAAGACAGCCTCGTTGGCGGCCTCGAGGGCTGTGATCCAGGAGTCGACACCGGAGCGTCTCCCGACTCCCTGATATGCGATCGATCACCGGTCCAACCGACTGCACCCCGAAACCCGTCTGCGATTTTCGACATGGCTTCCTGCGTCGAAGTTGATATCACACTGGCCCTGCTGCTTTCCTCCTTGCATTCAGGCCTTCCGGGATCCATCATCATTGCCAATGTCGTCGAGGCTCGAAACAGCCTCCTTCCACGCTCCTGACCTCGTTCATTTCGTTCCGCAGATCTGACCATGATTCTTTTTTCAATGTCGTCTCCTATGTGGACTCGGATGAACTCAACCCGAGCGTCGCGCTCGTCTTGACATGCTGCGCAGAGGTTATCGATGCCGAAAGTATGAAGTGGGTGGTTGAGCTTTTCTGTACAGCTTGGTACGCTTGGCTCAGCCGGAGTGACCGAGAGGCTTCTGTTCGGGCATTGCGAGTTCGTGACGGGTTTGTCTGAGAATGAGATATGCCCGCATCCTAGGAAAATGTAGGTATTGTAGTAACACATTGTACACGAGTTAGGTACGACTTTGTGCAGGCTATTGTTTCTCACGAAAGCGAGGAAGGATCTGGGAAAATCATGTCGAGCAGAATCTGCTGGAAGGACATATGCAAACAGAGCCAGCTTCCTGGTATGCCATCGCCGGATCGAGAGACCATCCCGCGCGTAACCTGCGTGAGGCTGTTCTTTGTTCTCTACACTCACTAATGCCCTGAGCGGGTGTCATTATTGTCACCCATGACCTTCGGACTCGGCAAACAAATGCTCGTGACGCCGAAACAAAGTCTACAGACATTATTCTCAACTCTTTGTTTGCCTGGCCGAGAAAGGCAATGCAGCGACAGCGAAGGGAGAGACTCGAGCGTGGTTCCCACGTATTGTGCAGCGCCGCAGAACAAATGCTACGATCCATAAACTCGCGAGAACGAAGGCTCGAGATTTCTTGCGTGTAGGAGGCGTGCCCATTGCAGGCATCTGCCCGAAATGATACCAATAACCAAAGTGCTCCGCGGAGACTCTATCTTTACCGGGCTGCTAAAATATCGTCTTCCACAATGGTGCATGCACTCGCCTCGCATGGTTAACCAAGCAGTCCATGTTGCGGCTCAGTCTCCTGCTGGACTTACTCCTCTGGCGCAAGAACAACCTTTGGCCGATCGCCCTCGTCGATTGTCTCTCTCCCACCACCCAGTGCGCTCGCAACATCCGCCTTCTTCCCCGTCCAATCCTCCTTCTCCTCCTCTTCGATCTCCTTGCCCGTGCGCTCTCCACGCTTGTGCAATTCCGCCTCATGCTCCGCCGTCTTCCTGTCCATCTCGGATGTGAGACTCTCCTCGCCTGCATGTCCACCACCGCCACCCTGGCGAACAGCCTGCGCGACATCCCCCTCGCCGGCCATGCGCATCTGCTCGCCCTCCAGCTCGCTGTTTTTAGAGTAGTTCTGCGAATCCGACTCGGGGATCAAGTTCTCGGTCAGCGGACCACGAGCACCCGACCCTCGAGCGCCAGGGTGCGCGGCTTCACCGTGCTGCGAGGGGACATCGTGCGCCTTGCGGTGGTCGATGATCTGGTCGTTCGAGCTGGACGTGTCGTGGGAAGTTGATTCTTCGGTCGAAGTCTTGGAGGCTGGGTTTCTAGCTTGGTTCAGGCCGGCTTGTTGTGTCGGTTGTGAGGGTGCGTTGGGGTCGAGGTTAGACATGGTTAGGAAAGTCTTTTGGAGGGATACAAGCTCTGGGGTTTATAGCAGGTCGAGCACACAATAAGGAACGAGACCCGCTGGCTAGTTGGGAGCTGTGTGCGAAATAGGCGGATATGCAGCTGCGTTCTGGTATGCTCAAAGAGGGGTAGGCAGACTAGAGCAATGATATTTGACAAGGAGAGGGCATGCAGTTGTTTATAACTTGTGCAAGAAAAGATAAGGATTGAATGAACAATTGTGATAGTTGACCACAATGCAATTCAGAATGACTGGATCAATGCTGTCATGGAGACGCCCATCATTCACTCCTCTTCGAAGCACTTTTTTCCTGAGCAGCCAAAGTGACGTCACTGACACCATGACGAAGGCTTGAGGTGCAGCAACACCCGCCTTATGTATAGAAAGTCAGCACGTGATATTAAACACCCCCGTTACCGCCTGGTAGACTTGTCTGCCGGAAATCAGACCAGGAAACAAAGCCGAGGTTTTTCGAATAGAAAAGGGCGATGAGGTTGTTGTTTGTTTTGTATTCTCTCATCACCACCGGCCATCATGGCCCATGGTCAAAAAAATATATATGATTTTCGGCCTGGATGACCTGGACCTTGTGTCCTGCGTCTTGTCTTGTCGTGTCGGCCATGTCTTCACATCCTGATTGATCTCTCTTTCAGAGTGCTATGAGAGCACTGTCATTGTCTCCTCGCGCGTTCTCACAGAAGAAGACGACAACCTTACCGACAGCATGACCCGCTCCTCACCAAGCGCTCACTTGTCGCGACGACGACACAATCAGAGGGCTTGGCGGCAGCACTGTTGCTCGGCGTCGACGAGCATGAAGTCTTCATCTCAACTCTCAGTTCACTCGAATTCTCATTTCGAAGACAGAGTCGACTCGAGCACAACATCTTCTCCTGATCTTGATCCTGATCCTGATCCCGATCACTTTCTTCCATCAGGACTTCAACACACCTGAACACCTTCAATCACCATCTGCAAAGCTTCTTTGATCTCCTTCTTCAAACTTGAACTCCTCAGACATCGTCAGCAAAGTCGCGATGGCCGCTCAGAATCCCGTCAACCCCGCTGAGTAAGAGACTAGCCACCCCTCTACCTCCCTTGCTTCTTAACTGACTCTTCATCAGTCGCATCCGAGCTGAACAAGTTCTTCGAGCTCATTACACGAACCTCGAGGTCGCCATGGCAGTACTAGCCAGAGAGCAGAAGATCGCCGACCGGCTCACAGGAGTTCATGCATACAAATACAAGATCACCAAAGTCTCTGAGCAGGTCAGTGCCCTTTCCCTCGAACAAAACAATGATTACTCACTATAGCTTGCAGATCATTTCCAACAACCAGGTGACTCAGGTCACGGACTATATTTCGAGATGTCCAGCTGAAGTCCAGCACCTCTTCTTCCAATTCCTGCCCCTCGATGCGGACCGCGCTGCGCTCGCTCTGACATGCAAAAAACACGCTCAGACCTACGAGGCCTTGAAGGAGAAGAAGATCAAGAAGAAGATCAATGAAATCGAAGTGTCCCAGTACTTCCTACCGCGCCCACAGCGGGTCACAGAGATCCACCGCCTGCAGGTGCTTGTTCGCGTCCAGAGCTTGATACCAGCAAAGTACCGACTTTGCTTCAAGTGCAACCAATACATGGACACAACCCACCGAGACAACCGGATCAGACCTTGGGGAGGCTTGCCAATGGACAGAGTACTCGAGAGATATGGCCCAACCAAGAGGGCTATGACCCTTGGCCCACGTTGTCCCCTTTGCCAAGCGGCTGCAGACTTAGAACTGGCCAACCACCGAGCCGAGTTCAATGAGTACAAACGCAAGGCAAGGAGCATCACCATGAGATAGATTGGCCTGGAAGGACTCGAGAAGAGCAAAGCACGCTGCCAAGTGCGTGGCTAATGCCCAGGACCAATCTGGAACGACAATTATCATACGCGTGGAGAATGGTTGGAAGTTGAGATGGAGACCAAAGGTGTCTGCCGAGAGCCCAGGAAGTCCATAGGGACTTGATTGCCGTGATGGCATCGTTACTAATGCAATGCATTGATTGATTGATTCATGATCACTCCCATTTTCACTTTTCAGGGCTTTTTCGGTGATCGTCCGCGGTCCAGCTTGTCCACAAATGGCCGGTAAGGAGCTGCGACGACATGAGGCTGGGGTCGGTCTGAGCCATCATGCAACTCCTCGGCATACCCCGGGTAATGTTGCTGTACCTCGTGCATTCGATCTAATGGTTCACCGACAATATGGTATTTTGCCCACTCAATAGGAGGACATCGAAACACATTCTGCGGACTTGGAAAGCTGCCAAATTTTGAACTCTGCCCGGCGGTTGCATCCGTTGCAGATTCATCGTCAGCCACGTCGAACTCGGCCGCAGCAGGACGGGTCAAGTTGCCGCCTGCAAGATCTTTGACAAATTGCTCGGGATCTTCTAGAGCCGCTCTCTTCATCTTGTCGAGATCTCGCATATCCTGCAGCGCCTTTTGGCGTTGTAATTGAAGTACTGACAGTGCTGATCTTAGGGCAATGGCGTCAGGATTGTCGTCGAGGCTTACAGGAAGCGGCTCTGGTCGTTCGCTTATCCATTGCGGCAAGTCTCGCTGAGAGTCATCATGAGTGGCGAGGTCGGTATGCGACAATGTAGGAGTTACTGGGGAGTATGACGGTCGTTCAGGACTATGACTAGATTCAGACTCAACGGTATGTCTTATTTGTGCATGTGAGTTCTGCTGTTGCTGCCTTTCGATTTCAGGCATGACCAGCTTAATCCGCAAGGAAGGGCGTTGACCGCCAGCATGCGTATCACCTGGGTTCTCCGCCGTCATCAAAGAGGAACTTGAACGCTTTGAACGCTGCCAGGCAGCCGACACCGCCTGGTTGCAAAGCCTTGGAGTGTCGACAGGACAGATAAGAGTTCGAGCTCTGTACAGAGACTGGATTCGCAGATTTAGGGGCTGGAAGGGTGCTGGAAATGGTGGGAAACGCAAAAGACCGACGTGCCCGATGTCGACCCGGCGACTCGTTGGGGGCAAAAGTTCCGTGCAAAAAGAGATTCGAGTCCTGATGAATAAGAAATTCAGACAGTTACAGCAAGACCGCTATGGTCTCGTTGGCCTTTGATCGAGTGTGGTTTTGATCAAGATGGTTCGAAGTTAGGAACTTTGAAGTGTTGGAGGCAAACCGTCCACGTGACAAGAAAACAGGCAACATTATGACTAATCAAAGCAGGAGCCCGAGCTCCGGAACATTCCATGCTACTTCTCAGGTGTCTGGGTGTCTTCTCGACCTGATTCTTCGACGGGGGTGCTGCCTGAACGTATTCTGTCAGCCTTTCACACGCTGCCCGGAGGTTGGTTCGCAAACTGCCATCCGCTATACAAGAGCATGTGGCAGTCACCCCTGGGGGAAAAGCCGTCTCAGGTACTGAGTTACACAGGCCTTCCTTCTGACTGCGTCGTTATCCCCTCAATTTGTGCAATTCGAAGAGCTTTAAGCGAAGCCCGGGCATGGCGTTTATGACGAATTTATGGAACTTTCCAAACCTATCGAGCGCATTCACAATATGACTGTCAACCACTCATACTTCGAGGGGCTTCTTTCATGCGTGCTGACACCTTGACCTCTAGGAATACCCTGGCCAGGCAGTCCACTTCACAATGCCAATCATAACCCTGCAATTCCCCGAGTGAAAGGCTGCAGAATGCACCAAGGCCCTTGCCAGCAGTATCACGCTCAGCCTCAGAACAATCGAAACTTCTCTAACGCACAGGATATCGAGATTGAGTCTACAGAAAGTCAGCATATTGCCAGAACGTACTCCGTACCGAATCCGCATTTTGCTCCCTTGCGTTGAGCCCTCTGCTAGAACCTTCATAAGTGAGAGTCCTTTCATGCCAACCTTAAGCGAAAATACGAAAGCCACACACGCCAAATGTTGTCCATGCAGGGGCATTTCCTGCACCGTGGTTGAGAAAGAGTAATACGACGCGAGAGGCACATCCTGGACATGCACGAGCACGAGTGCATGAGAAGCACGTTGTGATCGGACCTTTTTACGTGTATCTGTCCCAAGAATGAAGGGCGTTATCAACGCCTCTCGATTCTCGACCAATCTCAGCCCCTGGAACGGCCCTTACAGGCATCTTGAGTCTTCCACGCGTCGGTCTCAACTTCGTCCTCACTCGTTGGCTTGCATTCTTTTTTAACATTCGCTTTCTCTCTTCCCCAAACATGTCATCCGGTCACCCAGTGTGGTGCCCTGAACTGCCCTGGCATGCGATTGGAATGTTCTCTGACTCAAGAATCCATGATTATCGCTTTCATTCCCCCGGCAAGGGCCGTCCACGTAGCTTGTCAAAATCTTCCCAGGCACATTCTCCATCGACGATCAAAGACGATCCTGCCACGATGCCGCTGCACCCTCTTTTTCGCCTTTTGTCAGTCAGTGTCTAGTAACCGCGAATGTTTTCAGAACTCCAGAAATGCAGTTTTGTTCTTCTAGCTGCCATCTTCCTCATCTTCTTGTCACCGTTCCCAATATATTCATCCGACCCCTCTCGCATTGCAAGGACGTTTCTTCCGAACTTCGCTCCAATCTCCACCTGCAAGATAAACGAGAACCAGCCCCTCACCACCGTCATTGTCCACTCGAAGCCTGTCGCCACCACCATTTGACAGTTCTCGTTAGCTACATCTACAACAGTATCCCTGTCAACTACCCCATGTGAGTGGGATACACTTCCGCTGCATCGGCAAAACTCCTCCATCTCTTTCTCTCTCGCCATGTCGCACACCTAGCCAATTCCTCCCTCCTCCTTCTCTCTCGGTGGTCGTCGTCGCGCAATGACAACAGCGTTGAATCATCGGAGGCCAAGTGGTGACTCCAGTGCTGTCCCCAAGCTGTCTTACCGAAATGCAAGCCCATCAAAAGACCTTGAGCCTCTGCGAGAGCTTCCAAGCGCGAACAATACTACCTCGCCCGTTGTCTCGATATCGAAGGCAGAAAAGGCGGAGCCGACTCAGGATGGCGACGACCCAGAAGCTGGCCAGCAGGACAAACCTCCCCTGAGTATCCGACAACTGCGAGAGCAGGCTCGGAGCAAGGTCCTGGAACAGACTGTGAGACAGTCGCAGCAAGAACAGCGAGCTCAGGATGCAAAATCAACCCATCCAGCGCAGCTGCCACAGCAGAAGAAAAAATCCCCGTTGTTCGGTGGACTGTTCCAGGTCAAAGAACCTACACAGGTGGCCCTGAACCAAGTCGCTGCACAATTGATCTCGCAGCATGGCTCAACGAGCGCGACGAGAGTGCCGAATGTGAGGATGGAGAAGATGCCCGATTTCGTGCCCAAGGTCAATTCGAAATGGGATGGGATCCCTGAAGGCGTTAAGAAGAGAGAAAAGGATCGAAAACAAAGAGAAAGAGGCCAAGGTAGCTCGACCAGGCGTGATTCCGGGATCTACTCCGACTACGAGTTTCCGAGTCAAGAGGACAGGGATCGAGGACGAGGCCATCTGAACAGCCGCAATTCCAGCTCGACAACTGGTTCCTTTGGTAGTCGCGGAAGGTCGAGTGGTTCCCACACGAACTCGACGCGAGCTCGCTTCTACGCTCCATCGGTCAATTCATCCGGCGATTTGGCTTCCCAGCAACGGACAAATCATGCTTGTGTTCGAGCCTCTTCTTTTCAGTCAAATTCGGCCAGCAATCCCTCTGACGCTGGTCTGGCAGAATCTCCTCTCGAGATATCAGCTCCTTCCCCTGGCATCCCATCATTATCCGGCCCGAGTGGTCCTGTGAGATCTTCAGAGTACCAAGTCGGCGATGCACGAATGCCTTCGTTGAAAGGTCTGAATCCTATCCATGAATCTCCTTCGCCAAACATACGAACACTACCTAAAATTGACGCCGCACCATCCCCTGAGACGTTTTCTTCCCAATCGCCACAAGAGACTTCACCAGCAAGCCGGTCTCCACGCCCAATGCATTCGCGGTATGACACTGTAATAGGGGACGAAGTGACATTGACCTCCTCCGGTCCAGGGGTGTTGGGACCACCTGCGGCATCGAAGAGCTCTCGTTTCACTGTCGCTCAGGGGTTTCCAGCTGGGGAAGCACGAGAAATGGTCCTATTGGACGACGAAGAAGAGCCTCCTCCGGTGACTGACTTGCCCCTTCGACCGTCGGATGCAAGCGAACAAACACCTGTGAAGTCCTCGTTCGCAACTCCTCGAAAACACCAGCATCAACGATCTGACAGTTCGCGGTTCCGTTTGGCACTGCGCCCAGGTACGCCCTCCAAAAACAATGCGACATCGCGGGATACGCAAGTCAAGGACAAGTCACCTCTTCGGACATCCACCGATGGCTCTGAGGGCAGTCCACGGGGCCTCCGCAGCCCACGATCAAAAGTCTCCAAATCGTTCAATATATTCAGCAAAGAAAAGGACTCGGACGCGGTATAGGTTAGCCCATTGCTGCATCAGCTTCTACTCGACAGCAACCTTTTTCTCGCGTCCATCTCTCACAAATCTCAACAGTAGCGAAAAGCAATTGCGGCATATCTAGGCAATTGTGGGTTTAGCAAGGCGCTGGGAGCTCTTCCTCTTCTAATGTACTTACGCTCACGAGTGACGACCATTGTTGAAAACAAGGAGATACCCAAGGGTTGAAGTTAGCAATCGTACATAGGAAATTTGAGCATGGTATCTTCGTTTCTGCGCACGAGACGAGTGTGAAACGCTGAAAAACCTGTTCGACTCCTCGCATCGTGGTGTGATCTCCGCAGCATATACGGAGTACTCGTCTGACTTTTTTTCTTCTCCGCATCCGCCACAAATTTCGAGATAAGCCATTGAACCAGTAAATACAAAGATTCGTCCACCCTTTTCTTGCAACCAACGACGAGCCTGACATTCGAAGGATGAAACGCAAAGGCGTCGAGGCCGAGCAGCCTCCTCTGAAAAAGCGCAATACCTCGAGCGATGCTCCTCAATGGCTACAATCTGCCTTCCGACCTGACCTGTTTAGCGACGACACCGTTCAATCATTCCGCAAAAGTTACACAACTTCGAGCCCATATCCTCATGCCGTCGTGCCTTCTTTGATTCAAGAAGCTCTCCTACGCTCCGTCCGAAGCGAAATAATCTCCCACATCCACTTCACTGCCAAAGAAACCGACATCTATCGCATCCACCAGTCCGGAGACCTTGCAAACTTGTCCAACCTCGACGCCGAGTCCCTCAAACACCTCCCCAGCCTCGTCACCCTTCGCGATGCCCTGTACTCGCCCGAGTTCCGAGAATGGGTGTCTACGGTCACAGGTGCGGGCAAAGTGTCCGGCAAGAAGACGGACATGGCGGTCAACGTGTACACTCCGGGCAGTTACCTCCTTTGCCACGACGACGTGATCGGCAGCAGGAGGGTGAGTTATATCTTGTATCTGACGGATCCAGATCATCCCTGGCAGCCTGAATGGGGTGGCGGCTTGAGGTTGTTCCCGACCGAGACGAAGAAGAACAAGGCCGGGGAGGACATCCAGGTTCCTTTGGCCGAGCATAGTGTCAATATCCCACCGTCGTTTGGACAGTTGAGCTTCTTCGCTGTGCGGCCTGGCGAGAGTTATCATGACGTGGAGGAGGTGTACCATGGACCCGACCCTGAGGCTGACGGAAAACGAGTACGCATGGCGATCAGTGGATGGTTTCACATCCCGCAGGAGGGCGAGGAAGGATTTGAAGAGGGCATCGAGCAGGCACAAGCACAGAAGTCAAGTCTGGCACAGTTGAAGGGGGCAGCGAATGAGTTTGATGAACCACAGTTGATCTTCCGACATTTCGACGAGCCGAGACGGGTGATGGACAGTCATGCCTCTAAGGAAGAAGTCGATCCAGGCGATGATCAGGACGCCGAGGACGAGCTACTCACCGAACAGGACTTGACGTTCTTGTTGCACTATATGACGCCGAGCTATCTTACGCCAGATATGATTGACGACTTCAGGTCGTCTTTTGTAGATATGTCTGTGCTCCAACTTGAACAGTTCTTCAATGCGACCTTCGCGAAGGAGTTGAAAGAGTACATCAGTGCCGTCGAGCAGGACGCACAGGATGCGAGAACCTCAGAGTCGAAGTCTCACCCCTCGAATTGGAGTATCGCTCGACCGCCGCATAAACACCGCTATGCTTACCTGCAGGGTGCAGAGGCACTGCACAGAGATAAGACGCCCGTGTCCAAGATCCTGACTGACCTGCTTCATTCACACGCCTTCAAGAAGTGGTTAGCCTTGGTCACGGGGCTGAAGACGAAGGGTCTGATCCGCCAAAACGCCATCGCAAGAAGGTTCCGACGCGGAAAGGACTACGCTTTAGCGAATCCCTTCAATGGAGAACAACCACAGATTGAATTCACCATCTCTATGACACCAAGCCGAGGCTGGGAGAAGGCCGAAGAAGAAGACGGCGAAGAAGGTGATGCCGAGAAAGCAAAGAAGGGCTTCCAGATGGCAGAGAAAGCATTGCACAATGGCATGCCGCCTGTGGACAACGGCGAGGAGGCTGAAGGCAAAGGCAAAGGCAAGGCCAGAGTTGTTGAGCCTGAGAAAGTCCAAGTGTCGACGCCCACTGAACCCGACTACGGTGGTGAGGAAGTGTACATGGCAGGCGACGATGATGATAATGCTTCAGTTCATTCTAGATCGTTGCCGAATGTGGGCAAGAAGGCAGATCCAGCGGTCTATAAGTCTTCGATGGGCGAGAACGACGAAGATGATGGGATATTGTTTACGAGTCCGCCGGCGTGGAATCGATTTAGTGTTGTGCTTAGGGACAAGGGGACGCTGAGATTCGTCAAGTATGTGAGTCAGGCGGCTCAAGGGGATCGGTGGGATATCAAAGGCGAGGTTGAGGTCAGTGAGGATGCGTGGGATGACGGTCCTGAGGATGAAGAGGGCGGAGCAGAAGACGAAGACGAGGAGGAAGATGACGAGGACGAGGACGAGATGGATGATGAAGATGAAGATGAAGATGACGATGAAGATGGAGATATTGAAGGCGATGGTGAAGAAGGGGAAGGCGCATCTGCCGAGGAGAGATACCAAAGGCGATTTGGCTAAGGAAGCTGTACAGAGTATTGTGTAGAGGAATCCGGCCGATGCTGGACAAAAGGAATTCGTCGCCACGCCCTGCTGGTCGTGCTATCATGCAATCTTCTCGGCTGGAACGGCTTCACCAGACGGCAATTCACCTCATGCGCATTTGGCCAGCGCCGGGTTTGTCTTGTCGGCGTCGTCTTCATTGCCAAATGTGTCTATCTCGCCGTCCGTGGCCAGTCCTCTCCTGCCCAGAGCTTTTCATGGCTTCCCTCTGGCACTGCTCAAATCTTGCAACCGTCAAGGATGGTGAAAAGACTTGAGTCCTGTCGTTTTCGATCCGTCCCTAACTTGTATCTTGCACACATCTTCACAAACATGTACCCCGGAAGGTAGTTAGTGTCTGCTATCCCCCCAGCCCTTCAGGTTCTCAACCTGCGGCACTCCCGAGGGCGCCCGGACAATGACCTGTTCAAAAGCGTAGACACCGGTCAGTCAGTTGTCAGCCAGTGCAAAAGGTTTCGCGAAGTGTCAAGCAACCATCTCCATAGCAAGATCTAGTCAAGCCTTTGCCCGGAATCCCCATTCTTGTCTCTCCCTTGTCTTGGGTCCTAGTCTGCTCCACCTTTCCCGCTTTCTTGCAAGAGCACGACATGTAGATCCCGTGAAATCCGAATGCTGGAGATGTGATTCCCCCCAGCCGCCCAGAAAAAAGAAAAGAGAAGAGAAGAGAAGAGAAAAAGGACGAGAGGGAAAGAGAGGTCGGCCACTTACCCAAACAGCCTCGTCCTCGCCATCATTGACCTCCTGATGCTCGCGGTACGCCGGGATGAGGGCCCAATCGCCGGGCTTAAGATCGTGCCTGGTGTCGCCGTCGCTGTCGTTCGACGAGGTGACCAGGCTCCCGTGCCCACTAACCGCGTACACGATCGTGTCCTGGCTGCCGTGGTGGTGCACGGCCGAGGCGGTGTGCGGCTGTGCGCGCATCAAGGTCCCGCAGATCGAGGGCGAGAGGTTGACTATGGCGGTCTATTGTGGAATTGACCGGAGGAATCGTTAACAACCTCTTTTCCTTTTTGTCTCACTCGTCTGTCCGACTGTTCCCCAGAGAAGTCGCCGACAGGTCACAAACTGACGCAGGCTGCCTTTCGCGACCAAAGGAACACAGCATACATATATACGTACCACTCCGTAGAGGTTGTAATATATGCGGGATGGCTTATGCTTCTTTTGCGAATCGTGATCGTGGAAGGGTGATGGCTTGCTTACCTGCCTCTCCATCCCCTCCGTCTGCCCATCCTTGCCGGTCTTGACGTCCTCGGCGAGCGTAACGTGCACGGGACGAGGATTCTTCCTGTCGTCTTCTTCGGAACACATCCTTCTTTCCTTCCTTCTTTCTTTCTTTCTCGAAACTCGTATCAAATTCGCGGAATTTGTGATAAACTACTAGTATACCTGGTACGCGTACGCGTATGAATGGCGGGTACTAGTATTGATGCAGTAACCAGAAAAAGACCCCCAACAGTTCTTTGACGGGATCCTGCTACCGTAAGAGTTCGAAGGGGGTGCTCGCGTTCTTAAATACCTGGTACCAGCTTGCCAGTACTACTAGTACTCCTGCAGCGACGCAGCGATGCCCAGAAGAGAGTACAATAAGATGGCGGTGATCGGGCGCGGGTCAACGCCGATACTCTGGTCAGGTAGTCCTTCAAATTGGAGCGGAGTAGAGCAGAGTGAGCCAGAGCACACGTCATGCTTCCCTACAGCATATACCTCGCCCCGGATTGGATGGCCCACCTGAAGTGAACGACCATAGGACCATCACTCCACCGCGGCGTCGATAATCCATATGCAGATACTTTATCGAGCTGCTCCCAATGTCCCGACCATAAAATGCTTTCTGGCGGCGACTTACTCACAGGGTTACATGCGTTGGTGGACAGGCAGTCTCCCCTCCGGAAGGGGTATCAAACATCGAAAGCAAGGACGAGATGGCGACCGACCATAGTCATTTTGTCATTCCGAGATTTGTTCTATTCACCTATCATGAGCATAAGCATGACGCATGTCACTGTCTCATAGCGTTTCTCGTCCTGATCTTGCGCTGACATTCGAGTCGGCCTGTTCCTCGATAACCCGGTTTCTCCGGGGCATTTTGAGAGCCCCTGCTCGATCCTCTTCGACGCAGGGAAACCGGTCGAGAACCAACCGGAGACTCATCGGAGACTCATCAAGGATGTGACATGCCCGGCTTATCATCGGTCCATTCACATACTGCACAGTAATTCCGTCTATGCCCAACGCCTGCAGTGCCGCATGGTTTATCTTTTTGTTTGAATAAACACAATGAAAATGCAGCGTCATCAATTTCGTCTCATTAGAAAAAACATCAGACTCCCAGCCGGCCCAAGTCTAGATGTATCGCCAGGCAGTCATATGCCAAAAGCAAACAAGAGCAAATGACATTATGGACAGCTTTACACCTGGCCCATAGACACCATCTTCTTCCGGAGGTAGTTCTTGTACTCGCCAATGGAGCCGTCCCATCGTCGGACAGTCTTGTTCTCACACACCATGATATCCTTGGCAATCTTGTCGAGCAGTCTGCATGAATGTTAGCCTAGATTCAGTAGCAAGAGCATCGGAAGAGAATGATTACCGGAAATCGTGCGAAACCACAACCACACCCCCAGAGAAAGCCTTGATGGCATCGGCTAGAGAGTCGATGGTAGGAATATCAAGACCGTTGGTCGGTTCGTCAAGCAGGAGCATGTTAGGGCCTTCAATTGCCAACAGTGCAAAGACCACACGAGATCTTTGACCTTCTGACAAGGTGCCCATCAGAGCGGTCTGGGACTCACCAGACAAACCGTATCGACCGAGCTGTTGTCTCCAGTATTGGTAATCTTGCGAGACGGCTGGATACTTGTCTCGGACGAAGTCAAGGGCTGATTTGGTCAAGTCGAGCTGATCAGCCGAATGCTGGGAGTAAAGACCGAGCTTCAAGTGAGTGTGTCTGCTGACGGAACCGCCAGTCGGAGAAAGCTTGCCGGTCATGATTCGCAGCAAGGTGGATTTACCAACGCCATTGGGTCCGACAAGGGCCATTCTGCTGTCCATGTCAACACCCAAATCGAGGTGTTCGTAGAGGTTGTCTTCCTTCTTGCCAGAATAGCTGAATGTGACATCGTCGAAAGACAAAACTGGGGGGGGCAGCTTCTCGACATCGGCGAATCGGAAACTGAAGACTCGGTCTTGCGCGACGGGTTGGATGAAACCATCAGCCTCCATCTTGTCCAAGATCTTTTGTCGTGATTTGGCTTGTCGAACCAGGTTGGCGTATGTACCAGCCGAGGCAATGAACTTCTTGATATGGGCAATTTCTTCTTGTTGCTTGAGGTATGCCTTTTGCTGATTGGTCTCATTTTCTGATCGAGTCTTGATGTAGGAATCGTAGTTTCCACCATAGTAGATGAGCTGCTGGTGTCTCATATCGATCATGTTGGTGCAGACACCGTTCAAGAAATCCATCGAGTGGGAAACCAGAATCAAAGTCTTGTCCCATTTCTTCAGGTATTCTTCGAGCCACACGCAAGCTTCGAGATCGAGATGGGCAGTAGGATCGTCGAGCAGAAGCAACGAGGGCTTGACGAACAGGGCTCTTCCAAGGGCCACACGCATTCGCCAACCACCGGACATGTCTTTCGTCTTCTTGTGAATGGTCTTCTTGTTGAACCCCAAGCCGGTGAGGATGAGTGAAGCCCTGGTTTCAAATGTGTTGGGGTCCATGGCTTCGGACCGTTCGTAGATCTCCATCAATGTAGGACTTTCGGGGCCTTCTTTCTCGAGAATCTCCTCGGCCAGATCATCCAATCTCTTCACCTCTTTTTCTGCCTCTGTAACGACATATTCGAGGGCGCCCATATCAGTGGCCGGTGCACCCTCGTTCAGTAGATAGATATCGACGTGCTCCGGGAAGGGGTATTCCCGCTTATCAATAGCCTTCAGAAGCGTGGATTTGCCGCAGCCGTTTTCACCCAACAAACCGTATCGTCGACCAAAGTTGACTTCAATGGTGGAATCCTGCACAAGGACCTTGCCGTGGAAGACCAAAGAGGCTGAAGTGATCTTGACGTCTCGACTGGCTTCCTGTGAGGCCAAAACACCGGTTGTGACTCGATCTGAAAGACCGTGCTTGTCCATTTGCTCGGTCAATTTCTTGACCTTGTCCATCTGGGCGGCGTTCGTTGCGGGAACGTCGAGCTCATCCTCGTCAAGCATAGGAGGGTCATCGTCGCCAGCGACTGAGGAGGCTTTGGAGCCGTTCGTTGAGGCATTCTTGGAAGACAATTTTGAGGCGGCGGTCTTCTTGCCTTCGCCCTTTTCGGCCTTCTTGGCCATACGAGCGGCCTTGGAAGCAGAGACAGGCATGGCGGCTTGTGTTTAGTGGATTTGATGGACAGGAAGGTATATTTGGATTGTAGAGAAAACTTGGGCGGTGTCGACTAGGCTTATCGTCTATCGCAGGCAGGGGGAACAGTGAAGACTCAATAATAGTCTCCCACAAACGGATGGCGAAGAAGGCCAAAGAATCGATGAAGAGCAGTCAGTCGAGGCCAACGAAAGCCACGGTACACCAAAGAATTTCCAGGTTGAGAAATGGGCAAGGATCTCAAGCCCTTAAAACTTCACTTCAAAATTCCTCAACTTACGTAGTGGCGGCGGGGGAGATTTTCGCCTCTCAGGCGGCGTGCACGTGCAGCCAATGGAGACTGCCGCAGACTAAGCCTACGGCGGAACACATAGTCAAAAAGAGCAAGGCTCACAAGGCTGAACTTCAGCCGATCAGTTTGTCGCCATATCAAATCATGAGCAATGAGCAATACCATTACCATTATTATATAAGCTCCGAGATCTACGCCGGCGCCTGTTATTCCCAGCGTCTTCGGACCTATCTGTAAAATGCTCTGTATCGATGGCCCGGCTGTACCCATCCACCTGTATCTAATATTCTTTCCTATACATTTCATCTAACTCTTATCTATCCGCCACGTCTGTTCAACGAACTTCTACTTCTCTTCCTCACTCCACCCTTCGGTCTGGGCAACTCACTATGACTTGGTCTTCGTCTCGCCGGCCCTCCAGTCATCAGACTGGCACCATCAGGAATATCCTTGCGGTTCGCTGGTGACGTCTCTAATTCGTAGCTCTGGCCCCTTTCCAGGGTATCATCGACAACCGCAGTCTCGTTTTCCTCGGGCGTACTTGCCTCGCTCTCGCCATACGCCCCGCCGACGCTCTCCATGACGAATGAGCCTGCTGTCGGCGCGTCAAGAGCCCTGAGCTCTTCGTCCCGAAACCACTTCGGCATCAACCACGAGCGTGCCACAATCAGTAAGATCAGAAACACAGGAAAGCCAATGGCGGCGATCGTCTGGGATATGGCGAACGTCGCGCCGAAACCAATGAGCTCAATCGCCACGAAGACCCATATCGCCAGTCTCCTATCAATCCGCGCCAAAGGGTCCGTCGCATCGGTCAAATTGTTGTCACGCGCAAGGAAGAGCAGTTTCTGCGTGATCCCGTTGCCCTGCAGCGCCTGGACGCCCATGACGAAAAACAAGCCTGCAAGCACACCTTGAGGGATCAGGTGCAGGACAATCAGAAGTGGACCAGACATGGTGACTAGGAACAAGAGTCCCTGGGCTAGATTGCTCATACGCTGTTCGACAACGTGGTCTACCACACGAACGGTGTGACCTCGAGCCTTTTCATCCACGACTTGCCGTGTGGCGCAGAGGGCGGTCGTGTGAAAGGGCGCTTGTGGGATGAGGCCGTTGGGGAAAGGAATGCCCAAGAGGCCGGCAACACCAGTGCTCAGGCCAAGCAGAAAAATATCCCAATGGAAGCCGGGTGGCTTACGCAGAGGAAATTCGCTGCCTTGAGCAATGAGTGAGGAGACTAATAGGATCAGTCGAGGTTTGCAAGGCGAAGGGTCGTGGTAGGCTTACCGTTGTGGTCAAACCAGAAGAGAATTGTCAGCAGAAGCGCAAACGGGATAGCCAGAAAGACCTCTCCAACACTAATATCCCAAAAATGCACAAACCAGCCACGATCGGTGGTGGGAAAGAACGACTTGCTGGTAGGAAGTGTCTCTAGGTGGACATCTTTCATGTGGCCGATGTGGACGAAGCCGGTAAAGAAGATAATCGTGAGTGGCGTACCGTAATCTTCGATGAATTTCCTCGGGATGTGGTGTAGCAGATTGCTGGCTCCGAGAACACCACATCCATAAGCAAAGCCTAAAACGAGCAAACTGACCATGATGGAAAGATATGCGCTCTCTCCGCCAGCTAGACCCCATTGCCGAGTGAGAACCTGGATGCCCTTTTGCAGATAGATGAAGGCCACGTAAAAACCAAAAGTATCGCAGCTGAATCGGGTGACGTATGTCAGAAAATTGCAGCTATTGGTGATGGCCAGCAGCCAATGCATGATGAGCGACCATATGCCGATCCAGGCCATGAACGCGAAGTAATTCGTGCCATTGGGGACGACGATGTCGTAGACAGTATAGGAGAAGACTGTGATCGGACCAGTGACACCGACAATGACTAGTGGTTGTGCTGCAAAAAGAGAGAATATGACACAGGCCATGACGGAGGAGAGAAGGACTTCGTTGACACCATACGAATTATGGGTTTTTGTGAACATGTCGAGCGAGAAAGCCAGTGCTGGAAGGATACTGTAGCGATATATCAGCTCAGAGTCGCCAAAGCAAGATTTCGAGAGTAGTCAAGAGGCCTCGATTGCAGGCTGGAGGAAAACATACTTGGCGAAATACATATATACTGTGGCGGGCACCACCCTGTAATCCCAAGCATCTCGCCAATCACTCCAGTAGTATGGTGCCCGTCTCTTGACATCATTGATCATGCCTCTGAACCACCGAATTTTATACCATTTCGGCGTTCGGCGATGGGAAGACCTCGTTGTTTGGCGCGTGACATGCTCCGACAAGTGCTGTATCTCGTCAGGGTCGGGCCGAGAGCGAGTCGAATGAAGGGACAACCGGTGACCCGTACGTTCCCATGGTTTCTGCTGTTGACTGGAATGGGAAGAGGACCGACGTCGCAAGGAAGGTGCAGTGTGAGAGGGTGTGCGCGTGATGATGTCGGTCTGGGTCGTCATGGTGTGTGCTTTCCATTAAGCAGTAATTGTTTTGGGATGCTGTCGTATCAACGGACATTAGAGAGCGAGGGTTGGGGCCTTCTCAAGGGAATGAAAGATTCGGGAGACAACAGATCAAGAGTAAGCGTTATAGCCATGCCTTGACCAAGGCAATCACTTCGTAAACGTCAATATCGAGAGTTGCCACGAGTACAAGCAAAGACTGAAGATGCGGCGGACCGTCGCATTGGAGTTTTAATTCCTTAGTACCGACCACCACTGACCATGCGGGGAAGCCTCTAAGCCTCTAAGCCTCTCACCCTCTACTACGTATTCTCAGGCCTTTGATGATGTCAGCAACGAGCTCGTTGAGCCTCACCAGCCGTACACAGTACTCCGTAGTCGGAGTAACTATCCGTATTTCCCGATACCTTTCACCCCATCATTACACAGTCGCACCCATATCTCTTCTAATCCGCCAATTCCGTGTGTCAACAGAGTTCTCCAGACGTCAGGGACTCCAGTCTCAGCTGCCTGGACTCTGCCGTGAATGGCTTGCATTGGTGCATCAAACAAATACCATTCCACTCCTTCTACAACGATCACGTTGGAGGCAAGCTGAGCCCGATATATCTCGCTTCTTCTCCTGAGAGTATCCTTTTAATGCCGAAGAACAGAAAAGAAAAAGAGGCAGGAAGCGGCGTCCAGTATCATTCCAAGTGTTCAGCAACGAACTTCGTCAAGATGATCTGTTAAAGCAGCCTGAGCTTTCCCGGTCATCCGCAAAAGCAACACCGCGATGCGTCAAGCCCACGGTAAGGAACCCGTCGCATTGATTTTGAAGGCGCTATACCCCATCCCGGATTCATCCCGCCAGTATATGTTACTCTCCACCTGCTCGTACGGACCGTAGTACATCACTCTGATATCATTACTAATTCCTCCACTCTTTCCACCGTCCTCCCCCTCGTAGACCAATGCCCCATTTCCTACGACGCTCTCTGCCATTCATGACCAAGTCAATCCAAATTCATACTCTTCCCCAAACCAAAAACAAAAACCCAAGTCTACGGTTAAGCCAACAAGCTCGACATCTAAGTAATAGTACCGCCCACCTAGGTGCCGCCGCCAGCATGTCTCGCCCAGATATCACACTCTACACCGACGCCACGCCCAACGGGATCAAAATCTCCATCGCGCTCGAAGAGCTCGGCATCCCGTACAAGACCGAACACGTCGACATCTCGACCAACCGGCAAAAGGAGCCGTGGTTTCTGGAAATCAACCCCAACGGCCGCATCCCGGCCCTGACAGACACCTTCACGGATGGCCAGAAGATCCGCTTGTTCGAGGCCGGCAGCATCCTCGCATACCTGGCCGACCAGTACGACACGGACCATAAAATCAGCTACCCGAAAGGTACGCGCGAGTACTACGAGATGAACAACTGGTTGTTCTGGCAGAACGCGGGTCTGGGCCCCATGCAAGGCCAAGCAAACCATTTCGTCCGCTACGCGCCTCAGAAAATCGAATATGGCATGAAGAGGTACGTCAACGAGACGAGACGGCTGTACGGCGTGCTGGACAAGCACCTCCAATCGTCCAAGTCCGGGTTTATCGTAGGCGACCACATCTCCATCGCCGACATCACGACGGTCGGATGGGTCATTTGGTCTGGTTGGGCCGGCGTGGATATCGACGAGTTCCCGACCTTGAAGAAGTGGGAGGAGATGCTGAGCGAGAGACCCGGTGTAAAGAGAGGTTGTGACGTGCCCAAACCGTTGAATATCAAGGAGAAGTTGAAGGATAAGAGCAAGGTTGACGAGTATGCCCAGATGGCGAGCAAGTGGATCATGCAAGGCATGGAGGGCGACCACAAGAAACATGGATCGTAAAGCGGCGATAGACATAGAGACAGAAAAGGTGCGACTAGGCTAATGTCAATGGCCTACTTACCTCATCCCAGTGGACTTGTGTATCATGGCCTATCCTGCACAGCGCCAGGTTAGCCGACGTCGTGTCGGCGTGGATTTCCCGGCAGCTTGATATACTCCATCTTGCAGCCACGGGCAGACTTGCTCGCTTGCGTGCTTGCATCATCTCTTGCAGTAACGGACACGTGAGCTAGCTCTTGCGTTGCTAGGGCCACATCATACTGGCTTGATGCCTCTCTATGCCGCCATCACCGCATGGTTGCATTGACGATCGACATTGGTGCACCTTCTGGGTCGGTTCTCGTACCTTGCATTTCGTCGCGTAGACGGTGGCCGAGGTGGACTGTTGACCGAGCGAAGGTAGGCGAGGAAATTGTCGGAAAGGTCTACATCTGCGAGAAGTCTTCTTTCGCTTGGCTTGTTCCGGTCAGGTGTTGTAGCATCGACCAGGTCAAAGGCCGGCGTCCGGAAGCAGTGTACCTCGTCAGGCATCTGCGGGTGTGGGTAATTGTACACTGTCCGACTCTTTGATTCAGTCGTTGCGTTAAGCATGAACGCAAAACGGCAGGAACCGTTGTCATAATTAAGACTGGACGCTTGTAAGGGTCGTCAAAATTTCCTCATAGTTTGTAAGATGCTGGAACACAGGCAGTGACAGCACATAGGCACCCCAAAAAGGGCATCACTGAATGCAGTTATTACCTGAATGACAAAGTCCCACAGCTTCCGCCGAATCTTCTGTAGCATAATCAATGTTACTTGATCTGAGGCTGATTTTCCTATCATTCAGCCTATTGCCAGGCTCATTGCAGGTCTTCGGTAGCCTCTGACGTTGACGCCTGGTAGGGGGTATTCCAGTTGAGAAAGCAAGCCAGTTTTGCACGTGGGAAAAAGGGAACAATCGCAACAGCGACGTTGCAGGATGTTACCTTGCTGAATGACAACGGCGTTGTCATCACCAGAAGCACATTGATTGGGGATGAGAACCTCTGTACTAGACAGGGCCGCATAGTAGCCCGACCTATGCATCGAAGGTTGCGGAGAGACGAAGGATTGGAAAATTCGAAACAGCTTCGAAAGCTAAAGCGTCTGCTCCACGCCCCAAGTTGGGAAAAGGTACCGTATCAAAATCCTTTCGCGGGAGATCAGGATGCAACATGTAGCTGTAAGTCGAATGCATGTCACGCTGTGCTCGCTTGCTACCTTGGTCGCGAACCGTCGGGAATCTTGCATACCAGGGATAAGGTGGTAAAGTGTGGCTGCACCGCACCCTTACCAAGCAAAGGTTTGCACTGCAACAGGTCGAGTTTTGAAGTCGTCAATACTAGTATGCTTAGTCGACATTTGGCGAATTAGGGTGATGGGCACACATTCCGATTGTAGAGGGCAGCCACGAATGGTAATCGGCAGATCCTAACCTAGTCGACCCATATTCGCCTATATTTCCCTAGGATCACCGACAAAGCCTGGCCGGTGAGCGGGATGAGTGCTTGCTCAGTAAGCCAGTTTTGACGTTTGCCAGCCAAAACCTGCGAGATTGTGATTGGTCTCTGCGGGCCGGAAAGAACGGTGAGTAGTGTGCAATTACTCTGGATGAGCGTGGATGAGGTTTGTCCCTGTTTGCGTCAGTTGATGTACAAGGACTGTGAAGGAGTTGCATTGCTCTGAAAAATGCAGCTGGATAGGAGGAGACCCGCACGGATATGGATCTGGCATCCTAAGGGTGCTGTCACTGCGGCAGATACCTTGTTCATGTTTTGTGACGGCTGTCGTGACTGTTCATGACGACACAACATGTGCGTTCTACACAAGGCAAAGGTAGACCAGCCCAACTGCTACGCGTACCGAGCTTTCAGATGCATCGACGATGAGCTTTAAGCTGTCTTTTCGAGATCGGGATGGTACCCGGCTTCGGACGCCAAAAAAACTCCAAGTGTTGCTTGCGTTACTTGTGCTACGATCCGTGGAACTTGTCGAATTGACAGAAGATGTGTGCTTTGACAGAGATAGATCTCGATGGGGGCTTGTGGTGTACGAGCTGAGACAGGCGATGCTATTTCTCGGGTCTGGTCTCCGTGGAAAAATCGTGCGTTGCTGTTGCATGCAAGCTCGCGTACTCGGGTTTGTTTAGCCAAGCTGCGTAAATGAATGACCCCTCGGTCTCGGGATGAAGGATTAAACGAAAGGCCAGTTTCAAGATTGTACGGGGTTTGCAGAAGGACTGGTGACCGAAGCTGATTCGATACGGAGTACAAGGTCAGCAGGTACTGGCTTATTCCACGTGACGCTCATTCAACTCCCAACTAGGTGGCAAGCATCGCCTGACGATTGTGTCATGTCACTGCCAATCACTTCACGGGCCAGGCCTTTCCTCCGCAACATCCGCATTGAAGTGCTGTACACAGCATTACAGTCTGTCTCATTCACTTCCTGTAGGGAGTAGCAGAAGGGCGGCAAGGATGTCTACCTTAGTAAGTTGCAGCAGCTACGATTGTGGCATCAAGTCACCGTGTCCCTGTACGGAGGAAGACGTTCGAGAATATGAACGACAATCGGTCCGCGAAGTCGTATGTATTGGTACGAGTAGTGCATGCGGATCAGTCAGCAACACGCTTTACAGGGATGAGCATGTGCAAGACGTGGAGCTCAGCCAACCGCCTGGATGACCGCCAAAGAGGGGTGTTAGGCAGCGCACTCTCTACAACAGGCATGGGTGCATGGGGCAACTATGCCGAGGACCTCGTTCGTTCGGCCGGAAGGGAGGAGAACCTCTACACAGTGTCGTTCGTGATCGTTCCCCTACTTGTATTTGGCAAGATTCGAAGGATCAGCATGCTCTGCCACTCTTGCTAAAGTGAAACGATGGTCGATCAACACATTTTTGGACCCCAACGAAAAGGGCTAGCACAGCAGAGAAAGAGTGCCAGGCAGGTGCCAGGGAAAAGGAGGGCACGCCTGATCAGCTGTAATGAAGGGGCCTGAATAATCTGCCCAAGGAGGAGGGGGTCAGCCTTTGGTGTTGGCATTTTGGGTTGTCAAATTAATACCACAATATAAACGATATACGAGGAGATGAAGCAATGTGTTTGGCACGCCTCACATATGCTGACCGATGATGGTACTCGTACTCGTGCGAATGTGTGGGGATAAACGATGCAAGGGTGTGAAAAACTGTCATTTGCTCTGCATTTCTCGACAGAATGAGGAAATCGGTGATTTGTAGTAATTGTAATTTCCAAGCAATGCTTATACAATCACAAAAAATGTCGGAAACCTGCGAATCTGTTTGGTCGGATTGGGATTTGTGATTCAGTAAGCCACTCTGCCTTACATTTCGCGAGCGACCTACGGATATGGATACCAAGGCGACAAATCACTCCCTCGGTGTCCTTCCTGCAAGGCGAAATCCAGTAATTCAGAAAAACGCACGCTCGGAAATAACGTGCATTTCCCCAAGACCTTGAGCAAAGTCCAGGTGACTCATTTTGCTTGCCACGGCGAGCCCGAAAAAAAAAGCTCATTTTCTTCCGAGAAGGCTACATAGTAGTAGTACAGTGGACTCTTGTTGGTGTTGGCGTTGGTGTCCAAGTGATCTTACTTCTACTCCGTACAAGAAAAAGAACCGCGAAGAAATCCATAACGAAAGGTCCCATGGAGCTTCCATCGTGTAGTATAGTACCCGTATCCGTACGAAAAAACAACAGTGTTCACTTGACCACTTTTTTCGGTCGGAAAGAAAGCTGACGCCCCGGGCCCGAGAGGCGCGAGCAGACAGGAACGAATAGGATGGTAACCAGTGCGAGGGCGCTAGAGGTGAGAACTTTTTTGTGCATTGAACAGGCGGAGCACTTTTCGTCCGTAAGAACGAAAAACCCGTACATCCGGTGCTTGTGGGCTCCGTGCCCATCAGTGCTTTCGCTTGTGGTTGGTGCATGACAAGCCTTTCTGCCTTTCCCACTCGCACGAACAAGAAAGCGAGAGCCGATTCCGAGTTGAGGACCCTGGACGATGCAGCTGCAGTGATCAGCAAACCTTTTTTCTGGCCTGATCTGATTCTGTGGAGAGCGAGATTTGGAAATCTGGTATGAGTAACCGAAGCAAAGAATAATGAAATGAAGATTGTAAGGCAAAGGGAATGTAAATTTTTTGGAGATTCAATATTGATCATTTTGAAAGTCTCAACCTCAAACATACGGAGGGAGAACTATCTGCAGTAATACATAGAGTAGAGTCATAGATGATTCAAGATCAATCAAAACACGAGGCGAGGCATACTGTCCCCGTTGCTTCCTCAGGCTGGCATATTTCAGCCACGACTACTGAGTCGGCAATGAGGTCGATGTCCTTCTCGATGCTCCGTGATCGTTCCCATCTCTGTTCGATCCCCTTTGGTTTCCAAGGTTTCCAAGTGCCAAATAATTTTGGGTTGTGATTGTTGTTGTCAAGTTATGCCAGTTCCAAGAAACACCATGCTCGTTAAGACATTCATAAAATCCAATGCTTCAAACGCTCGGGTATCAGTCGCTCGCAGCAAAAGTCGAAAAGTCAAGCTCAAGGGCGGTCAGCGACACCTGCACTAGTAGGCAGCGATTATCGTCGGCTGTTGCCTTGATGGGAGAAAGAAACCTTCTTGTTCAAAGGCTTCCGACTCTTCGATCGTTAACGAGGATGCTTGTTTGGCGTCGTAGTATGATGTGGTTGCAATGGCTTGTCGTTGCTTCTCGTTGAGTGCCTCAACGGTGGTTGCGGGTGGTGAGGGTGGCATGTGCTCATCTTCATCTGAGTCGGAGGAGTCGGAGTCGAGGCTCAACTCGGGAGGTGAGTGTCGAGAGGCGGTTCGGGTGAGTGTGAGCTCCTCCTCGTAGTCTTCCATATCCGAGTCGACTTCCACGGCTGTGATTTCGGCCTCATCTTCAGATTCCTCCTCGGCCTCTTCGGGGATGGTCTCGACGTGCTTTGGCTTTTCCTCGGCCTCCTCGGATGAGCCGCTGACGATGTTATTGAACCATCGCTCTTGCTCTTGCTCGGCATTGGCGAGATCGAGCATCAAAGAGTCGAGCATGTTGGCGTGGCCGACCAAAAGACGGAGGTCGTGATCAGGCCGGGCAGCCTCCTTGGAGAGCTTGCCGCGGGCACTGTGAGCGAGGAAGTATGTTTGAGTGATGCTCATCTTCTGCTTCTTCTGTGGTCGGGTGTAGATGGAATTGCTCTTCGCTGGAGTAGCGTTGGCAAAGGTGACTGAGGAAGGCATTTTGAATGCTTGATATTTCTGAGTCACCGGTGGGTGGGTACTTTGGTTGGGTGGGCTTGAGTAGTAAACACTGTCGGTGTTTGTATGGCTATATGCTCATCGATCGAATACTTGTTGTGTTCTGTTGTTCTTGTTGTTGTATCGTGATGATGGTGGAGGAAAAAGCTGGTCCCAGAAGAGGGTGGACGAGTTCTTTTGTAAACGCACGGGCTGGCTGGAGGTAAGATGGTCCTAACGTTAACATGGATTATTGAAAGGTGCCTGAGTAAGAAGCGTAAAGACCGATCTCCACTCGGCGACCCCTGTCATGCATTGACCCCCCTGTTCGGATTGTGGAAAGGCCTCGTAAAGCCGAGCCGCCACGGGCGTACTGGGGGCAGGCGGTGTTACCATCCCTCCGTCTTGAGGCCATAGTTGCTGCTCAGCAGAGGCTGAGAAATCCTTTCTGGTGGTCCAGTGGTGGATGACGCTTGTCATGGGGCCCATGGCTTGTCCATCTCGGCCGTCTCGCGCAAATTCGGCTGCCTGAAGCGTCCGTCTTTCGATGACTCTCGTCCTTCGGAGGGTTTTGTTCACCTCTTTGCATCAGTGCGTACGCTGCCCCGGTCACGGCTCGCGTTCACATCCGAGAAAGGGTAAGCCCTTCGTTCGTTGACTGTGCTCTCTCAAATTCCAATACGAAGATACCTACAAGCTGATCTCACTCTTACGGCAGCATGGTGTTCTCAAACATTCATTGGTTACTTTGAGTTCAAACAACTACATGCGCTTCTCGTTATCTCCATGGCAATACGGCCAGATCATTCATGCACGCCATGTTGACTTTGGCTCTTGGGTCGAGGCGGAGGTACCATGATTCCTGCTGCTGCGATTACTGTTCCCTCGGAATGATGATGCATCAAACAGCACCGACAAGGGCGTGGGTGTCATAGACTCACCCAGAAACTCTTGGTCCTCGTAGGGCGGGAAATGCTGAGAAATTCAGGTCGGGTTTCCCCCACCTTGACCTGCTACAGTACTAGTATTGGTCTGTGGTGACATGGTGGTACTTCTGCCCTGGGAAATCATCTTGGTAAGCCATGCGTTGTAACATTTGGCCAGCCCAGAAGCCCACACCCTCCTTTGTCTGGCGGTCAGTCACCACTCTGCCTTGCTCTCGTAATCTGCCTTCCCGCTGTTTTTACGACATTAATACGGAGTACGGGTTGCTGTACTTTCCCAAAACGTATCAATAATCCTTCTGCTGCAGACCGGATGGCAGGAGAATCTTTCGATGCAGCCTGGAGTCCACGACCCGTCACACCCGTATAGTAGAGCAGATAGATGATTGCTAGCTGGCAGCTGCAACCTGACCAAGAACTCTTTCCGAATACGGTCGCTTTCAGCACACAATTGATTTTCACCAATAAATCACAAATGCTGGCTGGGATTCTAGAATCTACAGGCCGGGTCGACCACAAAGCGTCCTGTGCGTGAAGCATTGGTATGTTTCGGCGTTGAATTGGATGGGCTGAGCTCCAGCCAAGCTGGGCGCACAGGGGCGTTAGTTGAGGCCTGAAGCCTAGAACACTCGCTGATTTCCAGCTTCAGGCAGCCTACCTAGGTAGCTTTGCTTCCACCCCGCCTATTGATGCCCCCAAGATCTCGCTTGTCTGTACCTGGTAGGTGCCGCTTTATCTCAAACCACCACCCATCAACAGCTCCATATCATGCCACTTAGATCGCCGCACCGGAGCAAGCACTACTAGTAGTTTGTTCGGCGACTTAGTCTGGCCGTGTCTGGCGCTGCGATATTGGCTCTGCCTTCGGGCTCGCAACTTCCTCTTCATCGGTCCTAGGCTCGCAGCGCATGATGGCTGAGCTGCATGAGTATGCATGGTATGCTGGCTGCCTGTAAACAAGCATCTGATAATCTGTCAATACTAGCAATAGTGGACGATAATGCGGAGATCATCAGGTCACCGCCACATGTTGTCGTGGATCATGCTCGCTCTGAACTTTCTCACATTCGCATTCGTATGCGTCGCAAATCCGCGAGGACGAGGACAACCTATCGCAAGACGTATGCGCGTATGCGGCCTGAAACTTGTGCCAGGCAGACGAGGAAAATTGCACGTTTCATTGGACAAAGGGGGCCAAGGTTTGGAAAATCCGACAAGCGGACCAACGTTGTGCCCGTGCCAGACCAACGGACACATGGACGTGCATGGACTCGGCAGGACCGCATTGTTGAACCGACTCTCACGGCCGGACGGCCTAAAATCCAACCTCGAGAGCGAGTCAGCCGTTATGCACGGCCAGATGTAGTCTAGCTGCACACATCATTGCATAACCCTACGTAGTGGGTGCATATTGAGTCACTGGATCCCCGGGCTTTAGAAATTGTTCATCGCCGTCCCACAGTGGACTCAGAGTTGAGTCGACTACCGACTTCGTCCGGATTTTATGCAAGTTGTGCCTGTCGCTCTGTCACCAATGGCAACGCAGTCCATAACTCCTGCCTTGTCTCCGTGACTGTACCACAGTATGGTGTCACGTGGGTGTTCTCCCCATACGCCCGTTGTCAACTTGTCACACCTACACACAGTATGCACAATTGTGCTTCCATAAAGGCATTGTCCATCCCCCAGAACGGAAATAGGTGCATGATTGTGCAACGTGGTCGCCATCGTGGAATAGCATGGATCAGACTTGACCGAAATGGCGAGCAACAATCGTGTTGCTGCCTCATGCATCTGCCAGGACTCAATCCCAGACATTCCAAAATCATCGCCTTCATTATTCTGCAGCCTGTTGATTTGGAACTCACCTCTGAAACGAAACGTGGCATTGTTGCTTGGTATTTGGTTCTTCGCGTTTCCAACCCGGAAGGGGAAGGCGTGTGAGGAGGACTTTTGGTGCCTTGAGTCACAAAGCGGGCTTTGGCGTGTGTGGCTTGGAGATCTGGTTGCAGCACTAAAAAACGCCTTTCCAGTGTCCACGGGTGGCTTCGTATGCGTTTTCCCAATGCAGCATGCTTCTCGAAGGTCTCCCAGGTGAGAAAAGCGGAGTCCCCGTAAGCGAATGATTTGTGATTGCCCGCCCTACCCAGCGAGCCAGTACCCACGCCATTGCTGTACTTTTGTGCCCCAAAACCCTTCATCAACCAGTCATACAACGCTCTGCCAACATGGCTGTGCTTTTCTTAGACCTGACATGTGCAGCAACGAACCGTTGGCGTCTCTCGTGCCGTCGTGTTCGCGAACACATGCTCGTCTGCCCCAGATTTCTGAAGGCGGCTGTGAAGAGCTGCAGGGGCCCCATTCACCAGTGCCAGTAACCCATGCCTCACCGACACGCTTGGTGAGTCAAACCTAGCATCTCCAAGAATTGGCACCATGGCTGTGTGCTTGAGTCGCAAGGGCCAAGAATTTGTGATGAGGTGCACTAGAATCTATGGATTGCTCTCCACGCAGTTTGCCGATTCGGCCTGTATTATCGAGATTAAGAGCACCTCGGATGGTGGAATCATCGATGAATCAATCCACAACCTAGTATGGTAAATCATTCTTTGGATAAGGCCACCACATGCCAAACCCAATACTCATAGGCGTTGTGCGCTTAGCGGTAGGGCGTGCTGTCAGCCCTATGGAGAAGACCCAGTACAACATGGCACTCCTGTGGCAGAACCACAGTCTTGGGTCGTCCGACCGAGGGACGAAGGAAATCACTGGAAGCTACCTGGCTCTCTGGGTATCTTACCCTGCTTACATATCTGTCAGCTTGTATGTGACCCTGCAAGCCGCTGCTTTTAATGCACTCGCAATTCCAGATCAGGAGCTTACCACCGTCTTGGGTCCCACGCTTCTGGACTGCTTACCGGCCAATCTGGGAGACCCAAAAGTCACAATGCCCGCACTTTTATTACTTTTCGGTCGAAGTCGCGTCTCAAAGCAGAGTCTGATTTGTCGGCAAACTACTTCCACAACCTCGAAGTCGGCCGTAAGCCAACACCATCCAGCCAAGGAGGAGAATAGTCCATGTGCGGAAGATGCTGACACGAAGTAACTAGAGGGCTAACCGCTTTTGATACCCAGTCGTTGTCCTTGCTCCCCTCCAGGCAGACTGTTTTCATGAGGGTTCTCGTGTTCGTTTAAGACCTTCAGTCATACTCAGATTCCAGACTCTGGTCGATTAGAGGTGCAAGGGGCTGATCCTTCTTCATCACCAACGGAACCAACCAGAAAGCTGAAGTGGCTGCTTCGAGTCTTGCACATGGCCAATGCTTCCAGAGCCGCACCCCTCTTGCTGTCACCGCATCGATGATCTGCGTGTGTCCATCCAAGGTTTGTGGAGCACCTTCGAGGTTTTGCTTCTCGGAGGGTTGTTGCTGATTACTCTTTCAGAGACACCAGAGCGAACCACTTGGGTCTTAGGTGAGGCAACTGACCAGGACGGCCCAGATACTTGGATCCGGCTATTGATTCGGCAGGCAAACCAAGGAAATGTAGCGCGGTACGGCCATTGTTGCTCCTCATGAGTCCTCGAACGTGCATGCACTCCTCCATAGGCGAACTGTCGATGCCGAGATAACCGTTGCTGACTGGCATTCTCAGACTGTACTTTTGTGGTGGAGGTCTTGTAAGATAAGGCGTCCGCATACCAAGGTAGACTTCAGTATGATACCACCCAAGTAGATGATTTTCCAGACACGGATGTTTTGTGGTGTGCTCTCGGTAGATGCATCCGATTTTGTCAAGCTCTTGTTTCGTGCTCTGAAATCCAAACAATGCTGTACACTTTGTAACGAACTTGCGCCACCTGGCCATCCTCGGCTCGATGCTCGTCGTGTGGCATAAGCGACCTGCAATGGTCTGAATTCGTGTACTGGGCAATTTGCTATTCTGGTAAGTGCGTTCCAAGTGCCAATGGGAAAGTCTAGCATGCATTCTACCCACAGAGACCCAACACAAGAAAAATGACCCGTGCAAACAATTCTGACTGCAAAGCCCTACTCTTCACCGCAAGGACGTACCATAGATTGACAGGTTATGCTTGAGGACAGATTGAGGGGAGAGAACAAGCTTGAATTGGCAAATTCTGAGTGCCCTGCAGACTATGTATTGAACCACCGCCCGAGCAATGCAAACCCAGGAGACCTTCCGAAGCTGTATGCCCACCGTCTTGATAAGATGCTGACTATTTACATATTTGTTTCACATTTGTCTTGACATCAAGCGCATTTGTTTAGGGTCGGTCGTTCGATCATACTTAATATTGTCGAGCAGCTTGTTGGCAAGCCTTCAGCTGTTCAAGGTACCAGCCGCAGATTGTCATATTGCCCTGATTCTGGTTCATGCAATCGGTGAAGCTCTTGATGTCGGAGGCACAGGGCCCGGCGGCCTCGGTGGATGAGCTTTGGCTGTACAATCGGTTGTCCATCGCATTTCCGGTATGTGCATAGGCATCGGTAGGTTGCTGAGCTTGTTCGACAGGAGCAGAGGAAGAGCCGCCACCGAAGAAACCGCCGATTGCATGGCCGATTGAGGACCCGACGGCAACGCCACTATCATTTACCAAGTCAGTCCGAAATGTCTCACTGAATTCACGATTGCCAGCTGTGGACACTTACGCTGCTGTGCTTGCCATCTGACCAAAGAGACCTGGTCCTTGCGATGTCTGAGCAGGGGGATGAGCTTGTTGAGCAGGCGCTGTCGTTGCAGTTGACATGGGCCGATGTTGCTGCTGTGGCGCTACAGGTCGAGAAGCTGGAGCAGGAGCCGTTGGCCTTGAAGGAGCAGATCGGGAAGGCCCGGCACCACCGCGTGAACGAGGCATATCGAAGGGTGAGTTTGTTCTGAATGGGAGATGGGTTTTGAAGGGTATGAAAGAGATTGAACGGTGACTTGTGTAATGTACCAAAGCTCAAGAGTAGTGAAGAATGTCGAAGGCTGCAGAAGCTGGCCACTTCCGCAGTTGAAATCACTCCGAGCGCCAAGACATATTAACCCCGGTTCTAACCTCCGTACCTAGGTACCTACCTTACGCTTTGGTGGTATGGCCCCAGAGCGGCCTGTCCAATACCTCAGCCTCGTGCTTGTCCATCATTAGCTGGAGCAAATGATCATTCAACTCGATACGTTATGCTTGCATACTGGAAGCCTACATCTAGGCACAACCAGCCAAAGTCTCTGATTAACCAATTGCTTCGGCAATCAAGCACTCTGCCCTTGAGAAAGCCGAACTGGAAGCTAGTGATGACCGCCGCGATACTACCTGCCTAGATTCAACCCCCAATCAACCTTCCCACCTTTGAACCGTCTGCCTTCCAGGACTCTCATAGTCTGTTCAAAGACCTTCTTCTGCACCTTCTTGCCTGTCTCAGAGTAGATCCACGCCTCGACCTCCTGGTTCTTTCCGTCAGACATGAATGCGCCGTGTGACTCAGGCCCGGCGCAAGCCCCATATACCAGCGTTCTCGACCCGACTTCCGTTGACCGTCCAATGATGGTGCGCATCACGAAACCCGCCCATTGCATTACAGGATGCAGGCTTCGGTCCAGCGAAGATCTACACAGACCAGGATTGACGAGTGTGATGATCACAGGTGGCGGGTGAGGTTGAGACTCGCTCAGGCGAGCAACAAGTTCGCGAACGAAGAGTACCTCCATGAGCTTACTCACATTGTACCTGCCCAAAATATCAGTCACATGCTTCCCTCAAAATATTTCGAATCGGGGCAGGCAACGGTAGATCAAAGTATTTAAACTCACCTATCAAAGCCATTGTAGGCTTTCTCGTCATTCAACGTCTGATATATATCCTCAGAATTCGCCTCGGGGAATTTGGTAAAACGATGGACTTCCGAACTAACGATCTCCAGATGTGGAGTTGAGCCTGGGAACTTGTTCTGCGTCTCGGCCAATTTGGGGAGGACACACAAGGCGAGTAACAAGGTATTTATGACATTAACTTGGATGACCGATTCAAACCCTTCGGTAAAATGCAATGTTTGGGTGCTAATGCCCGCATTCTCCACGACCACATCGACTCGGTTCAGCTCGGACTTGACCTTCTCAGCAAAGGAGAGCGTGGACGCTGTACTGGTGAGATCCAGTGGCCAAACCTCGATGGCTTCGGCACCATCGGTTCGGTGCGTGACGCTTCGAACAATGTCTTCCTTTGCGGTCCGGCCTTTGGACACGGTTCGTACGGCGAGGATCAATTTGGCACAATTGAGCCGGTAGAAATGTCGAGCTGCTTCGAATCCAAGGCCAACGTTAGATCCGGTCACGATTACTGTCTGACCAGCGAAGGAGTGTGTCAGGTATGGCGGTGTGCCGAAGAATTGAGAGTGCAGGAATGTGCGAAAAGTGAGTCCGAAGTTTGGTTGAATGATGAACTCGTCGGACATGTTGAGTCTGGCGCTCAACGGGGCTTAGAAAGCAATGATCAACAGGTGATATGCGTGGAGGACTCGAAATGAAGATCAGGACGTTAGTGCCTGTCTGACGCGATGATCTTAGTGATGCAGCGTCTGTCTTTTGTATTGGAACCCTCCATAAGAAGTGTTGTTATACTCGTATCAAGAAGCTTGCAAAGCATCAAAGGAACCCCCTCCTCTGGTACCTGGTGGTGAGGTCACCAATAGAACCGGCATTGTTAGCGTCCCACGTCGCACGAATTATTCGTCCGTGGCAGGCTGTGAAACAGGAGGCATATGCAGACGGCCTTCGAGTTTGAGATTATCCCCGATGAGAAAAACTGTCTTTGCCTGGCTTGGTAACCATACCGTGCGAATTTTTTTCCGGATTTTCTAGGTGTTTTCGCAAGCAGGCGTGATGGCAAGACGCTGGAACTGCTGACATTCTGGAGGCCAGAGCCTCGGCACGCCTTCCTCTGGTGTCCCTAGCACTCATTACTAAGTGCTATTGTGCCTAGAACAAAAATGCGGGGATACGATTGTCCGACGTCAAACGTCTCGCTCGTGCTGGCGCAGCTAGGAAATCCACAAATCGCTTGCTCTTTTCCATCCAGAAACACTGCACTGCTAGACATCGAGGTCAAGCTCTAACAAACAGCCCACCATCGCATTCATTCGCAATCGCACAATGGCCAGCAAAGCCCGCGCCTTTCAACAAGCATGCCGCACGCGCGGTCAGGCGATCATGTCGCGACCCGAGAAATCCCAGTTCTCCTACTCAACCTGTGCTCCCGTCGCACCCTTCGCCAGCACACGACGCTTGAGCTTTTCATGCTCTCAACCCCTTGTTCCATGCCAACGCACCGCTAGCCCTGTAACTTGCGCGGGCTCCTCGCATCGACACATACGCCACGCAAGCACCAGCTCCTCCAACCCACCCAGACGAGCCATCACCGTAACCTCCGACGACGGCCGCTACAACTGGTCTGAACTAAGCACCTCCGAAAAAGCCGCCCGGGGCACGCAGCAGACATTTAACTTTGTGATTGTCGCTGCAGGTCTCGTGGGAACCGTGCGTACACCTTCAGTGTGCTCAAGCAAGAAATGACCCTAACATCCAGGCGTTTGCCTCACAGATGACGATCTCATATCTATTATATCAGGAACTCCTCGCCCCGGACTCCTCGACAGTGCAATTCAACGCGGCCGTAAGCCGCATAAAATCGTCGCCGGAATGCCGTGCGCTCCTCGGACCCTCGTCCCAGATCACCGCATACGGCGAACCGACCTCCAATAAATGGGCACGCGCACGACCCTTAGCCCACTCCACCGAGACAGACCGCTTCGGCACGACGCATTTCCGGATGCACTTCAACGTCTCGGGCCCTGACGGAACGGGCGTCGTGACTGTGCATATGACCAAGCCGCGCGACGGGGATAGGCTGGAGTACCAATTGCTCAGTCTGACCGTCAAAGGGCATGAGACGGTGTACCTTGAGAATAAAGAAGCTGAGAGAAGTGTCAAGGGGAGGGTTGGGAAGATGTTCGGGGTACAGTGGCGGTGATATAGCACTTTATGTTGAAGACAGTAGGCCTACCGCATAGTTATATGTTACTCCGTTGGCGACACGAAGGGAATTTGGAATTGCCCTATCCTTCCTACGATGCGGCAGACCTCGTTTGCAAGGAATTGGAAAGGCGTGGCAAGAGGGAGAAGATCTTGTTGTATCCTACTGTAGCATGTGTTGTGCCGCAACCAAGTCTGCGGCTAGCATACCCTGCTATCGGGAAATTCCGACGTCGCAGATATACCACTTCCAAGGTACATTGCGTGCATGCTTCAGCCCATGCTGAAAGCCCGTCGCGAAGCTCTTGCACGCAACTCAAGCCGGCACCTCCTCACGTTTGAGCACCGATATTCTCCCCCCAATAGTCGCCACAACTGCTGGTATAGGAGAATTATCTCCCTCCTTTGAGTCGCTATCCGCTGAGACGGGCTGCCGTCTGTGACTCGTAATATCTATTCCAAGCACACCTCCAATGTATCCGCCTCTCTCGCCAGGCACGCTGAACTCACGGAATGTGTATCCCCACTCGTTCAACCAGTTGCGCACGCCTTTGCCAACTTTGTCTTTGCCATTCTTGCTGTGGTGGCCAGTTCCGGTGATGGCGTAAACGATCCTCCGACCCCGCTCGTATTGGACGAGGAGGATGTTCTCGAGATACTCAATGGCTTCTTCGGGATGCAGACCATGCAGATCGACGTATAGTTCATCGGCGTCGTCAGTCGACGTGAGATGCGGATTGCGTTCGTCATATAAAGCTCTAGCTGCCTCTCGGTGTGCCTTTCTCATGGCATCATTCTCGGCTTGTCCTCGAAGTGATAAGGCCTTTGCCGCTCGTGCGTCATTTCGATTCCAAGCTTGCGCGGCACTATGTTCATCAGCAGAATCCTAGTTGCTTCACAATTGTCTCACCTTTGTAAGAATTTGTTGCGGACGCTGCCATGCTTGATAGCCTCCTGTCTGTACTTCAGGTACTGCTGGTTAGCATGAGCGCCAGTCTCAAGCCATGGGATATGTTGGGGCTCTGGTATTCTCTTTGCAGCGGCACTTTCTGAACCGCCATAGGTTCTGATCTTCCGCGCAGCCTCAGCTTTGCGTGTCTGGCCTGGTACTGGCGAGGGAGACATGCGAACGACATCAGCAAGGGAGGAGGGCGTGTCTTTCTCGATGACATGGCCATGTCTTGACCGGTGTCCATGATGCTTTGCACGCTTCGCGCTCAAGGATCCCAACGCTGGAAAAGCTTCATTATCATCCATGGCAAGGGAAGATGGTGTCTCAGGTCGATTTTGATGGCGAGAGCTAGGACGAGAATGAGGCCGTGAAGCGGGGCCAAAATTGCCCAACGCATTTCGAGGCTTCTGGCCGCTAGGAACAAAAGTGTTGCCTGCCGCTAGTCCGGCTTGGAGTGTGCTTCTCGCGTTCTGAGCCGACAGAGTGGGAAATTGGTCATACTGGTCTTGGACTTGGAATGCTTGAGGTTGTGCATTCTCATTGACGCTGAGCTGATTGAGCACAAGTGCAGGATCATGAGAGAACTGACAAGCATCGCCTGCTAGGCAATTTCCATTCATCCAATACCTAGACACAGAATTAGGCCCCTCGAACTTACGGAAGATACTAACACTTACTTGCAAAGATAGCCACTAGTGTCATGTGCGAATCGACAGTCAGCACGTAAACACGAGCCTGATGCTAGCCAGTATTTGCAAACGACAGGACTCTTAGCTGAACCAGGCGTTGAAGGGCGCACGGGATTTGTAGCCATAGACTTTCCCACCAACACATTGGTGTCATTGTTGGGCACGGCCGTATATTGTGCATCGGCAGTATCGGTGCCGAGCAGCGAAGCTATGGTGGCCCCAAGATCATAGGAGTTTTTGTTGAGAGCATCTTCAATCTCCTCGTCAGCCTTCCGATCCCCCAGTACGGAGCGGAGAATATCGTATGGACTCATATCAGGCTGAGGGGCCCATTCGGGGGCTGCGGCGCTGAGACCACCAGTAGAAGAGGCGTTGCTTGCCGTTTCATCAGCCAACAGCCAATCCACGTTCTCATGGCCGTAGTCGCCGTAGATGTCTGGGGCGGGACTGGCATCAGAAAATTCATAAGCATTCAGACTTGGGCTGTGAGGTATAGGCTGCGCTAGCGCCAGTCTTGGAGAGGGCCGAGGAGAAGCAAACGGAGACTGTACGCTGGACTTCTGGCGAGAAAAGCTGGGTCGCGAAACTGGATATCCCACTGATAGAGCTGGACTCGATGAGAGGGGCGGAGGGGAGCCCAGAGGTGTTGGGGCCCTAGCCTGCCACGGTGCTGGAGATGATTTGCGAATAACGTGGTGTCGCAGAGGAGTGTCCGATGTCTCCCCACGCTGGGCATTTCGATGTTTCCATAGCGCATTCAGGACGGCATTTTCTAGGGTGGTCCCACTCAGTCCTGCCTCTTTGCTGAGGAGATCTTCCAAACGCTCGGTCTTATCTTCTTCTTCTATAGTACTGTCGTCCAGAATAGGACGACAGAGGTCATAATGTTCGTCAGAAATCATGTCGGTCGTTAGAGTGCTCTGGTCAAAAGGAGAACAGGAGGTGATCGTTATGTTTCCCTCGCAGGCTCGACATGAACGGCAGTAGGGCAAAGAAGCGGACTCCTGAAAGGGTCTTCAAGTGGTGTTGGTCATGCTTTTTTAAGGCGGCGTGGAATGGGGTTGAACGTATCAAGACCTCCGCAGTACCTTTGTCAGGCAGCTGAGATGGCATGCGACCGTTTCGATACCGAACCGCTCATGAGACAAAGGGAAGGAGGAGCCGGCTTAGCGAGTGACAGTGGGGTAAATGAGGGCGAGTGCTTTAGGGAGGCGCGGAGGAGAATCGTGGCCGTCGTCTATAGCAGTCAAGAAGATGGACAAGATGGAGGAGCAATCGTAAAATAGCCGAGTTGGTACGGAGTACTCGATGTCGAGCACGAGGTGGCCGGGATGCGTAATGTAAGTGGTGCATGGAAAGGAGGAGGAGGAGTACGGAGTAACTTAATGAGGGAGCGAGCGATCATGTGGCTGGGGGCACGAACTGTTCCGCTTTGGGCACCTGCGGGCTTCTCTAATGGGCGGCAGGCGCCTGTGGCATTTAACTAGATCCAGAAGATCCCCTTCCATCAGTGGCGTACAAGAAGTGAGCGCCACTCTCGATTTGGGGGCGAGCATTGAATGACGTATCAGAGGCTTCGGCCGCAGCACAAGCATACACAAGAAGCCTTCGGAGGTCGATGCTGACATTGTTCCGAGTCCCAAGAAAGTCGCAGTCTGTGCATGTTTCATCCAACCCATACTCCGTACATTCTCATTATTACCTTCTGCCTGAGGTACATTCTCTCTCTTCTCCTTGTGCTGACGACTTGTTTACTCCTGTCCAGCACTGCCTGAATTTTCGTCCACCGCCTCCTAAATCATAAAGATGGCTTAATCTGCTCAATCCGATCCCTCCGCAACCCAGTTAGACACTCTATACCGACTACTACTCGGCGCTGTACTTCGCTCTTTCCGTGAACCACGACCGTCGCTCCCTTCGAAGCAAGAACAATGACTGTTCATCACATTACATTACCAGACTCAGAGGAACAATCACCGCGGGCCGCCCTATTGAGTCCTTGGAGACCTCCTCGAAGATCATTGTCGACTGGCAGAAGTTCTCCCTTCGTACAAAGTCGATCGGCAGCATGGCGGGACGAGGCCATCAGAAATGCAGAAAGAATACAAAGGCGGGCTACCAAGGTATGGAGTAAAATGACCGCTCTGCAGCGAGTGCTGGCTGTCACTGGTGTGGTTCTTCTCAACGTCCTGGCTATCCTCTTCCTGATCTTCAACGAGCGCATCTTCGGCTTCCTCGAGCCCCTTGCTGAACGCTGGAAACATACAACCGGAGGCTGGACGATCTTATGGGCGATAACGTTCTTGACTGCCTTTCCTCCGGTCATTGGCTACTCGACCTGTGGCACAACTGCCGGGTTCGTGTATGGAGTATGGGAAGGCTGGTTGATCTTGGCTACTGCTACTGTGGCAGGATCGTTCTGCTCGTTCCTCGTCTCGAGGACCGTCCTTCGGAAATGGGTTGAACGTTGGGTCGCAAATGACAAGCGATTTGCTGCATTTTCTCTCATCCTCAAACACGATGGGTTGAAGCTCCTTTGTATGATCCGTTTGTGTCCGCTACCATATTCCCTGTCGAATGGAGCCATGTCCACTTTTCCAACAGTCCACCCCGCCATGTATGCACTGGCTACAGCATTGGTCTCTCCGAAACTGTTCATTCACGTCTTTATTGGAAGTCGCTTGGCGGTGATTGCGAGAACAAGGGAGAAAATGACCATGGCCGATCGACTGGTCAATTACTCCAGCATTGCCATAGGGGCAACCGTCGGCATATTGACTGGAGTGTATATTTACCGACAAACAATGGCTCGAGCCAAAGAGCTAGAGGCCGAGGAAGCCAGCACTGTCACGGATTCTGTTCGAAGAACAGGCCACATCCCCCCGCAATATAATGACGATCCAGAAGCACAGGTGGCTGCCAGTACCTTGGCACGAGATGATGATGCCATGGAATACTTTGACGATTCTGATACCGAGCGAGCAGAATATCGCGACGAGCCTACCGATGATGAAGATGTCTTCGGACGAGGCGACGGGGATGACGAAGAGGTGATAGATACCATTGGCCTACAACAACAGAAGAAGTGAGGAGTGCATCTAACTCTTTCACTGTCTGTGAAGTATAAGATCCGCTACCTACATAGCATGCGTTGAATAGGTGTATAGAAGCCAATTGACTTATGCTTGGTCTGCTCGAGTGAAAGCTATTCTGACCATGGCAAGCTAGCATGTCTTGACTCGTGCGCTGGCCCGGTCAACTACCCAACGCAGGTGTATGCATTATTGTCCTTGTCCAGCATGAGGCATTCCTCGCTGCGGGACATCCAATTCCCGTCGCGGTCCAGCTCTTCCAAGTGGTGGATGTGGGAAGCAATATAGAGGTTCGCCCGCCCGGAGGGTTCGCGGACTCGCACCAGCTTGTGTCGCGTCATCGGATGGTCCTCTGGATTCAAATTTTTGAAAAGTTCGGGAGCCGCTCGTTTGCGGGGATGGGGTAGCGAATGTGCTGCACATAGTCGCGCTCGAGGAGATGTTGTTTGAGGTCCTCGGGCAGTTTTGTCGAATGCTGCTCCGGTATCCGCAAATCCGTATTCCCACCTCTCCGAGGAAGAGGAAGAACATGAGCTAAGAGGAGAGAGTAGCGACATCGAATGGTGTTGAAGCTCGAATTGACGTGGAATACTCCGTGACCCTGATAGTGTCGTAAGTGTAAGAGCTCGAATCCACTTAGGTTTCGTTCCGGGATGAAATACCTTTGAGAAATGCGTCTTCTTGGAATCGGGCTGATGCAAATTTCCATTTTTGTCAAGATTTCCCACATCAAAACAACTCGAGGGAACTGAGCCGATGGCCGCCGTTTTGTATTGAAAGGAGCCGTTCCATATCATTTAGCTCTCCGAATTTGCGGGCAAACGCTAAGTGACGCTCGTCGTCGAGTCCAGTCTTGCGAAAGACGCAAACTCCATACTGTTCATCCCGATCTCAGCATCTGTAGAGGTCCTAGGCATCCCGCTTACCTTTGCCATTGCCCCAGAGATCCGGCAACAGTGTAATCAGACACAGGCTTGGAAAAGTCCACGCCATGTACTTCTGCTCCGAAGGTTGGATGCAATTGTATGATATAAATATGGTCGAAGAGTTTCCCTCCAGTCGAGTGCGGCATTTTGGTTTGGTGATCAGTCTCCGTAGATACGGTTTGATCTGAGGAACCGATAGTGTCTTCGCTGTTTTATGCAATCTCTCTCACTTAGCGCCGTGCCCATGTCGACGCGACGGTTTTGGCACTATCACGAGGGCCATGCGGACGTCTGTATGAACGGTTGTTAGGGGTGGAGTTGAACTCCACTTCTATACAGGGCGTGACAGGGGTGAGTTGTGGAGTAAGCCTCATGATTGGTTGATCGCGGCAGTCCTCGAACTACTTCAAACCAGTGATGCCAGGATTCGGTCCCCTCCTTCGGCGTGGCCTGCCTGATTCCTGTCCCACCACGCTCTCAACACCGCTGCACGACATTCTTCGGCGGCAACGGAGCGAAGGAGAGCTGGTTTCATTCGGGCCACTGGCCCTTGTCGCGGCCTTGACCTGTCATATCTTGTCTTTCGAATCGCTGAGAAACCTCTTATCGCCTGAAGAAAATGGTGGACTTACTGTAAATCTAGGGGAGTCTTTGAAGATATGGGAAGAGTGCTGGAAATAACGTCCCAACAGCTACTATTAATCTATTCACGCTCACGATCCGATTCTAGGAGAACTCTCTTGCACTCTTGAACATTGCATACTACCATCTACATGGCAGCAAGCAGTTATCCTGGGTCAAGCAGCATCTGGAATCGCCTTCCTCTACAGATATGTGTTTGGAATACTGCAGAAGTCTCCGCGCCTTGGATCTATGCCAACTGGAATTGCTCATTGCTTGGGAAGTGTCCGCCATCAGGCTCCGGGCACGTTTCGGTATAAATTATATGAGTAGGAACGGGGCCATGATTTAGTTTCCTTGCTTACAGCGGTCTCCATACCTTGCTACGACTGAGAACCATTTGTGTATGCGTACTGTGCAAGAACTTCTTCAACGTCTCCAGCCAGCACATTATCTGTATTCCACAACGGAATCCATTTGATGTCGGAAGGAAGCTCTCCTCTCCACAAGAACGGCATGGTTTTTAAATTGTCCCTACTCGGTCCACGTCGATTGAGAGCAGATTCAAGGCCTTCCGACATTCCTCTACGCTTTCTGCTTCCAATTGTTCGTACAACGTTGTCGGCTCCTGGATAGCAGTGGCGAGGGCTTACTCAAGGAGATCTTTGTTTAGATGCCAGCGGCTGAGATTGGCAGGAAGTCTTCATACGTAATGGGTTCGTACTCCACCAGGCCATTGGCCAGAAGTTCAGAGAGCTTACACACCTCGCCCGACAATGGCGTGGAGGCCTTGTTTACGGGACGGTATCTGAAAAAGACCAGGCCCTGTGAGCGTAACTCAGCCCACGTGTCTGGATATGGTGTAAAGGCGTCCTGGAGAACTTTCTGCCATCTGTCGTTGCTGCCAACATTTGCTCCGGCGATGCTGTCGGCTCTCTCGAGCAATGTATCGTAGAGTTCTCGTTCTTTGCGGGTTACGGCCGCTCCTCGCTGCTCCACTTCACCAAAGCGCGCAGTGTGATGGCTGACCGTCACCTCTCCATTGTCGTTCACGAACTGCACTCGCTCTTCAAAGGCCTTGAAGCTGGTTTGCCTTAGCAAGATGTCGCATGCTCTTCTAGGGGGGGCCCTCAATTCGATCCTTAGCCGGCATTCCGCGCTGCTGCATGGCTTCCTGGACTCTGTCTATGTCGAGAGTACGTGGCGTAAGGTGATTGATGTGCGCACTTGGGAAACATGCGATGTCTGCGATCATGGGATGCACCGCCTTCATCTGCACGTAAGAATCATAAGGGGTATGGGTCGTCGCGTGCCACCTGAAGATTTTCAGCGATTCTTCCAACAACTCCGCTTCATGCTCCGGAGTTGCAAGTCCCGTGGTTTTGGCCTGGCCAAGTAGCTCCATAAGTCTGTCGGAGAACAGGTTGCGTTTGGAGAGAACCTTTTGAGCTAAAGTACTTGTCTCATCCGGAAGGAGGTCCAATCTGAGAAGGCTGGTGAAGACTCGGAAAGGGTTCCGCGCCAAAGCATCGCTCGTCAGGGGCCGAAAGGCTGTGGCATGTAAGGGGAAGCCAACAAGGCTGAGGTCGTAATAGCCGACAGGAAACATGTTGAAAAGCGCGAACAGCCTGGCCATGATTTGCATTTCTCGGGGTGTCCCCAGGCGTATGTCGCCATGCCTTTCAATCCGATGGCGTGGGGGTAATGGGTCGCTGGCTACCTGTTTGCCATGGTAAGCAGTCGGTCTTTTTGCCGAGTTGTCATTCACGTCATATCATACTTGATTATCGACTTCTGCAACAATTGAAAGTAGTTCATCGTAGAGAGGGACTTCTTTCTTGTACATCTCCGACATTGCTGCGGAGAATCGCATTCAAAATGAGTCTGCATCACTCCCAGCCTGGTGCAACCCAATAGACCCCATATTGATCGACTTCTCAGCACAGTATCAAGCATCAAGTTTACGGCACAATATCAAGTCCAATGACGCCTTGAGATACTGAGGGATACCAGGAAGCACTTGTCACTGAGCGGAAAGGCGAGCGGAAAGGCATGCGGTAGAGGCGGGACCTGGATACGGACAAGCCCTGACAATGGTGACCTTCCGGCGGTAGTGTATGCACAAGCCGGCGCCACCGACCAATGTCTTCTCTCACCGACGGATGACTGACGTGAATCCCCCATCCGACGCATGCCTAGGCTGGTATCCATGGGTATCTCGCTTTCGTTATTGACTCACCAAACATTTGATTTCCCAGCTTCCTACTTTGAGCCTGGAGCACACCGCCACCAACAATGCTTCCGACGTATAGACAGCATTCGTGCTTCTCTGGGCGCTTGCAGACAGGGGAGCAAAACTCGAATCTGCATTGTTATAAGCACAGAAGCATGCAGACTTAGATAGTGGGAAATGTCTCGTCTCAAATCTGCCTCGCCAGTCACGCCAAGCCGTAGAAGGTGAACGCTATTGTCTGACTGCGTGGCCATCCAGCCAACTTCGCAGTAAGCCGCAAGCGCATTCAACGAGAGCTAGGGTGACCGAGCGGAGTGAAATGTAGAACGGTTACTTCATAACACTATTGTCACATCGTACGGGCAGTAGCATGGCCCAGTGTAACAAGATCAATTTAGATATCGAGGCAAGTACATGGTGATCAGTCATGCGTCTTCCTTGGAGGGGGTTCCTCCTTCTCTGTGAGAACAAAGTCAAACTCCAGCAACCAGAATCCTTCCTTTTCTGAGCCGACGACAGTTTGCTTGAATGTCTTCAGTCCGTAGCGTCGTGCCAGCTCGGCGTCTTCAGTAAATATGTAATCAACCAAGAGGCTAGATTTGACTCCAAACACAGTATCACTTTCAATGTATTTGCTGTCTCTAGTGTACAGCGCCGTGATGAGTTTGTTGTACTCTGGATGGAGGATCATGAAGTGCTGCACATGACATCGTCAGCTTCAAGCTTACCACCGCCGCGGGAGGACATCTCCTTTCACTTACCATGTGAGCCGGCCGGAACCAGTGTCGGTTCAATGTACGCAGCAACTCTCCCACCGGCCCATCGTTGGAGATGGGATAAGGGATTGGTTTGACACAAGTAAAGGCATACTTCCCCTCCTCGTCGGTATAGAACTTGCCTCGGCAATCTGGTCCTTCCTTCTCTGCGTATTCGAGGTCATAGACTCCATGGCCGTCCGTTTCCCAAACATCAATCAAGGCCCTCTTCACAGGAGTGCCGTCGATCGAGCGAACCTGGCCCCTCACGAGCGTTGCTTCGCCAAAAGTGTCGTCTTTCACAATGACTGAGCCATTTTCGACCAGTTGGCCCACTTCATCATGGAAGGGTCCGAGTACGGACGACTCGGTGGCACCAGGCTTATGCGGATATGAGATCGCGTCCACCAGGGCCGAAATTCCCACAATGTCAGACAGGAGCACCATCTCGTGCCTTACATCGTCTGAAATTTGGCCGACCTATGCGCATACCAGTTAGGGCCGAATGAACCACTCGATCACAAGCAAGGGGCTTCACCTTCGTCAGAAATTCCCAGACGGCGGTCCACTCGTCGAAGGACAGTTCGACATCCCGAACATAGTCATGAGCCACTTGATCCACACCCGCCAACCTGGATACTCCCATCATGCTCCTCCAGCCTACTACTACAAACCTTGGAAGGTGGCCAGGCCAGCAGCCCAATACAGGCACAAGTAGGCTCGAGGTAATGTAATCCATCCCTCACCGAGTAGACTTGCGGTGCTCCATAAGACACTTACTGACCCTGTTGCGTATCGCATCCGGAGTCTCTCATGTTATCACAACTTAACGGATTCCGGTGGAGCGCCACGACATCTCGTATACAGCTATGTGCGAGTACGTGTACCCCGATATCATACAACTGGCACCAGAAGTTGACTTGCATATTGACCCCCGACCCACACGCGAACATCGCCCCAGCCGTGTACAGGTGTCCGCACTTGGGTTTTGTTCTCCACATTCAGGAATCCATGGCCGTTAATCGCGACACGCATCTTCTCCCCGGCCTGCCATACAGTACTGCTGCGCCAAAGCTCGATTTGGGCCTCAACAATGTCACACGGACGCACCCATTGTCGTTTTTGGTGAGTATGCTAGGCTCGCTCGGGAGTGCTGCGCTCCTTGTCCAGTTCTCGGTGTGAAAGACGCAGCCAGCCCAGCGACGCTGGTGCCTCGATGAATTGGCTGGAATTCCAGAACTTGACTTCTTTGCCCTCGGTGTCGAGCTTCTGAAGCGCGACAAAGAGGTCCGTGTCTGGAAATTCCAGGCACTGGACATGCAGTGTCAAGGATGCATGTCCTGTTATTTCGGTCTCCTTGTCAAAGGTATAATCGAATGTGAGCGTCGAATCGGCATGGTGCGCCTTGAAAGTACAGTATTCCGCCTGTTCACGGCCGGGTTTCGTCACTAGCTTTCCGTCGCTTGCCAGGTAGAAGTTGGACAGTTTGGCGGGAGGCGGGAAGTTCCGCCAGTCTCTTCGAACATAAACGTCGGCAGAAGTGCGAGCATCAAGCTTCACGGTAGGCCAGGCGCGCACCGAGTTTTCCTTGCCCTTCAAAAAATGGTCCCAGAACTCTTTCTGTTTTTCGATGCCCGAGTCCTTGTAGTACTCGCTCCACTCTCTGCCGGCCTAACAGTCGTCAGCAACCAGGGCCACCTGACATGTCTTGCGTACTTACGTGAACCATCAGCCACTTGTCCTTCGTCGAGAGAGCCTTCCAAGCCTCAATTGTGCCGCGTAGATGAACCGCCAAAGACGACCACCCGGTAACTGACAGCGTCGGAATGTCAATTTTGGTCCAGTCGACTACTTTGCTTTGCCAGAACTCGTCGAAGAGAGGATGTTCAAGCGAGGCAGTGGCATGATCTTCACTCATACTCAGGCCCTGTCCGGTCAAATTCATCCACAGGTTCTGGAAAGGAACAGAAGGGATGCCTCCCACTTTATTCACCTCGCGGTAGATGTCAGACATCCCCTCCCATATTAGAAGGGCCTTGAGACGTGGAGGCTTCAACACGGCCGTTTGGTAGGTAGACATTGCATAATAGGAAACTGCGCCCCAGCCAATATCACCAGTGGACCTGTTACATCCAAAATTAGGCTGGCTCTAGTTGCTCCAGAATGACCTAAGACCTACCATGGCTGTTGAGCCGCCCACTCGACGACATCATACCCATCGCGAACTTCTTGCGGCGAGAAAAAGGTTGCTTCTGTACCCTCCGACCACCATGTTCCACGAGGATCAACACGAACAAACGAATAGTGTTACTGACTGCACCAAAGGAACGGATCGGGTAGCTCAAAGAACGTATATGGGCTCAACTTCTCGAAGTCGACACCCATGTTTTTGAACAGTGCTCTCGGGACGGCTCCGTGTTTCCCAAATGGCGACGAGAAGACCGAAGACGGAGTTCGCTCTGCTATATCGGCTGCAGGACGGTAAATGTCGGCATAGATCTTGACACCGTCTCTCATCGCTATGGCCACGTCCTTCTCCAAGATCACCTTTCCCCCATCCAGCTCAATTGTCTCGTGTTTGAGGTCAGGAGCCGGGTTGAACGAAGGCTGGACCTTCGATGACTGTAAGCGACTCTGAACACCGAGTATTGTGCTAGCCGTAACATACCTCTTGCGGATGGACACTTTTCCTTAAAGGACCAATGCGACGTTGGGTTTCAGCCATATTTTCCAAATTGCTCCCGACGTTTCGCCTAGAAGAAAGGTGTATGAGTGTACTTCAAGACCAGAGATTCTCGAACTTCGAATGTATGCTTGATGAGATCACAGGAGTTCTGTCACGAAACTGAGTTCAAAGTCGCAGGAATAACAAAAATAGTCGGCAGTGTTAAGCCACCAACGAGAGTATGGGTAGCCTTGGAGCATACATGTGAGGCTCTGCTGCGAACGGCTGCCCGCGCGAGTAACAGCCCTCCGGAAACGGGATATCTTCCGCTAGTGAGACGTCGAATGTGTCGCCATGGATGCCTTTACAGTAGCCACGTTGTGAGTCATGTAACAGAGCTTGATCGGCCGTGCTGGTACTCGTATGGGCTCGTGGTGTCGTTTTGTTCCCGCAGTCCGGCATCCCGTTTCCCGCTCTCCACATCTCCACAGACCGTGGCAAATCTCGGCATCTCACACCATGTCCTTTCAGCGGTGACCCCAGGGCGAGGAATCTCGTAGTCTTCAGGACATAACACTCAACGGCCTATCCGAAGAAGTGAGTGATTGAGCCCTGAGCCGAAGGCCTTATTCCAACGTACCACAATATCCCTCTCGCAGGACCGAACTATTCAGATCAAGTCTGGCTGGACATGGAACCACTACTCCAGCCTCCGGGGCAAGCTGGAAAAGCATACAGGCTTGGTCCTTTATGCGGCGAAGTGATTTATATTCCATGTTCCAAGTCGGCCACAAGATTGCTGGTGACTGGCAAGGAGAGTGATGGCGCGTTCGCGGTGGTGAGTAGCGGAGGCTCGGGTGACAAGCCCATTGGGTTTCATTACCATCGCGAAGCCCACGACGTCTTTCTCTGCATAAAGGGGCGAATGAATGTCTGGGGAGGTGAGTTTTGTAGGACAATGGAACCGGGAGATTTCGCAAGTGTCCCACCGGTATGTTTGGACATGATGACTGCTTCGTGTGGAATGATTCCTGATTGATGCTACAGAACACCGTTCACCAATACCAGGTTTTGGGGGACCACAACAAGTTCCTTGGTCTCATTGTTCCAGGAGGCTGGGAGGAGTTCTTCCGGTTCATTGGCGACCCCTACCAAGGACCAATGTGGCCAAATGAGGACGAGCGCAATGTTTTCGAGGTTCTCATTCCCCGACTCCAAAAAGCAAAGGACAAATATGACCATGTCCCGCTTCCGGACCATCCATATTTTGAACCTCAGCCATGGGAATCCCGTCACGGACGTTGCTTTACCTGGGAGTTACACTCCGTATTTTTTCAAGGGCGGCGCTGGTCCTCGATATACTTTCGCGGGGATGGTGGTCAGTCCATTGATCACCACGGCAGAGTCTGACGGTGTGTTTGCCGTGGGTTCAATCGAAGGTTCTTCTACCATCAGCAAAACCCGCTGGCAAAAGGCGTGACATTCTTTCTGTCGCATCATTGCTTTTACCTGGTGGACGGAACCCTGGAATTGGAGTTATCTGGGGGGCATGCCGTCAAGCTTGGGCCGGCGGAGTCCATGTATATACCGAAACAGACCACCTTCTCTTTGAAGTTTGGCAGTCGGTATCTGAAAGCATATGTGTTCTCGAACAGAGGAGGAATCTTGATAGCTTTGTGTGCGGTTGGTGTGGGGTGTAAGCACCCGATGATACCTGATCGCATGGGAGACGTGGATGTTGAACGGCTCAAACAGCTTGGATGGAGCATGGCGTTCAGGCTTGAGGGATGAGTAGGATTTTGTGAAACCAATACAGTAGGCTGGGCAGCCTCGCGCATCATATGACCAACAATATTTGACATTGGCTTCTACACGTGTACCCCAGCTCTTTAGCTCTTTCTCGCCCTGGAGAGAGGTGCAACCTGAGAAAGTCGAGGCCAGACATAATCGTGAGACTGGTGGACAGAGGCCCCGTCAACGGGATTGGTCTAGTCATTCTCGCATGATGAAATGGCGCCAACAAGCCGCGAGAAGAGACCGATGGATGTGCCGTGTCGAAGTCTGGTGCAAGAAAAGGCGCGAGAATGCTAAAGCTGAAAGATCAGCGAGGTTAAGAAGTCATAAAACATAATGAGCGAAGGAGAAATACTGATGATGGTGTTGGGGATGGAAGATCATCTGACCTGGGCACTACCAACATTTTGCAGTAGGCGCGGCGATTCCCGTCAAGAGCAAGAGCCCAAAGATCCCCGGCGAGCCTGAGAGAACTTTCGAGGTGCCCATCATTGCCCAAAAGTCCCCCAGACATGCCTAATGACGCCTAATGCACGTTATCCTTAGGCTAGTAAGCACCCAGGAGCCCCAGATGGTTAGTGGCAGGCAGCCATGAGTAAGCGCTCGGCCGAAATGAGCCTCAACGATCGTGTAACCTCGTCATTCGTTGTGCTTCTCCTCTTCTGCCTGAAGACCTTGTCGTGATGGTCCTGTTAGTCGCTTCTTCGTCGGGCAATGCTCACTTCATCTCAAGCCTGCTTTCTTCTAGTCATGCGTCTCTGCCCTCCCCGGTCACACGCTGGTTTCTCTCCCTGTGCTATCGGTAGTATCTCGCCGGACTGAGGTATTGTACCTCGATGGACCTTCTCCACTGACCTACATACAGGCCACTCCAAGCGGCAGAGAACGACCTTCGACAGTCGGTTCAGTCCTGGCCGCCCCCAACCTAATGCCCACAATCGCCTCTCGAGGATCCTCGTGCCAGCTATCTTCCCCAGTACAGCCTCCGTAGAGTAGGGCTATCGCGCACAAGGTTTGACCTGGTGTGTCGGCTGCATGATGCAGTCTTCTTCTCCAGCCTCACTCCACTTCACTATAAGATGACGCCCTCGGACACACCCGTCCGTTCAAATCCTCCATCGCCTCATTTCGTCGACGGCTACTTTCCTCAGCAACCTGTGCCGCCAATGACTCTGAATGACAACACGATCCGTGACCTAATTCGACAACTGGAGCTAGACCGCAGGACATATCTTTCAACGTTTGAGAGGGTGCATCAGACTTTACACCAAGCACTCAATGGGCAGCCTGCTAGGTCCGATACTGCGAGGTCCGATGCTGTGTCCGACGTGGTCCTTGATGGCATCCTATCACAGCCTATAGTAGGGTCTCCGGAGGTGTCGCCGTCTCCAGGCCTTGTTCATGGAACAGAACAGCCAGCCGTACCGCCCTTGACAAGCAGTCATCGAACAGGCACATACGTCTTGGAACGCCATCAAACACATCCTGCCAAAGATTCCATCTTCACGGGCGATGCAAGTTCCGATAGTGAAGACGATGAATCGTTCTTCGCCCAAGAAACCCTACCAGCAAGAGACTACTCAGAGAGCGATTTAATCGAGCATCTGAAGACTCATGAATGGGATGTCTACAGCAAATATATTCTCCAGGATCTTCTTCGCAATCTGAGCCTGTTGGAGAATGGGATTTTCCTCAAGGACCGACATCACCAAACAGATGCAAACCACCAGCATGCAGATATCTATCATGTCTCGAAAGACGGTGCACCGTTGCGGTCTACCCGAGGCGAGTCCGACGAAGGGCCCCTCGCGGTGTGGGAGGCTTTGAAGAGCACGAACAGTTCCGAAGGGAGGAATCAAGCTGTCGGACGAATTATCGTTCTCAGGGAACCTCCATCGAGTCTCTTCGCGGCGCTACATCTCACAATGGTTGAGTACTTTGACATGGACAATATCTATCGCATGTTAATTGACGATCACACCCCCACGAAGGCCATCACAAAGGGGTACCTGGAGGAAGATCACCGCCGACAACGATCCATCGTTTTCGTCTTCAAGTATCATACGATCATTGGCGAAGGTCGGGCACCTTTACCGTGGCAGAACTATGACAATGCCGAAGACCCCCCAGAGGATCATATTCCACTCTCTACCTGTTCTTCAGTGGTAGCCCTCTCTTTAGCTGGCAGACCAAGCCATAGCCTTCGACGGAATTCTCGAAAGAGGAAGGCCATCGTTGGGCACATCTATGATCCCTTTGCTCCGTGGCACGTTCTCTCCATACAGTGCTTTCCCGACTGGAACTCTAGCGTTGACGTCCACGCAACGAATCACCATTACGTGAACGGGCCCGACGCCTTCTTCTCATCGCTCCTGGGAGAATACAGAGATGCCGCCAAGAGATTCAGGGAGGTCTTTTCGAGCATACAACGGCTGGCAACTCCGCCGAACAAGTCGATCTTCGATCGCGCTCTACGGGACGAACTCTTGTTCGAGAATGACAAGTATACATATTCCCGTCGATATTTTTGGGCTTCGCAGACCCTAGGCTTGTTGAGCAATGAAATCAAGGCCATGATCAGTGCGTATAGGGACACGTTCACCGATGAGCTATGGTCCGGCGAGCACAAGACGCTGTTTCCCGGAACGAAGGATCAGTCTTCCAAGTATAAGAACTGGAGGAAGAAATTGGTTCATACCCGGCGATTATTCGAGAAGGAAATTGCTCACTTAGAAGAGGTGTTGAAGATGTTCCAACAGCAGCAGAAAGAGATCCGCAACCTCCGGGAATGGCTGTTCAGTGGCACTTCGGTCCTGGAAAGCAGAGAAGCCGTCAATATGGCCAAGATCACCGTGGAACAGGGCTATAATATTCGTCTGCTGACATTGGTCACACTCTTTTACCTTCCACTCACCTTTGTGACCTCAATTTATGGTATGTTGCGGCATGAAACCCTCCCCTTGCTTTCCTTCCTCCGCCCGAGCACTGACAAATTGTGGCAGGGATGACGAATATGCCCACCGATGATGATTTCCTCCCATTTGCCCTAACCATGGTGGGCATCTGTCTCCCAACATATGTGCTAATCTTGATCGTCAACAACCCAGACAATACCAAACGAACGCTTGCGGATATCGGCCTGTTCTTCACCAAGTTGACGTCTTGTGCCGCTCCAAAGAAGTCGGAACGACTCAAGGAGAAAATCCTCGAGCATAAATTACCTCATCCCGACGAGAAAACTCCCGCCGTCCATGCAGCAGCCACATACGCCAGTCTCGAAGCAAGACTGTCTCGCGACCTGACCGCGGACACGTCCATCCGCGGCTCGCAAGGCTTCCTCCTGGCAAACACAAGGCGAATGTCGCACAGCGTGTTCAACCATTTGCCCGGCATAGCGAGACTTGCATCATCGCAAGCAGCAGGAGCTGGAGAGAGAGCCACACAGGTCAACGATAACGTGCTACAGACCTGGCCGGAAGAAAGCGGCGATGCAGCGTCGAGGTACAGAAGGCCCCGGTCAACAACGATCGAATTCGAAGAACCACACTACTCGTCCGCCAGAGTGACGGTCACTGGGTCTGACGAAGACCCGCAGTACGGCAATGGGCCGGGACCGACGAGGCGGACGACAGACGAGTCGCACAGCTCGACATTCCTCGACCCCGAAAAGTTGACGTCTACTTTCTCTGCGGTCTCGCCAGGTGTGAGCCCGTCGAGGCTGGATCCGAATGCTGTGAAGCCTACACCTCCGCCGACCGCCGCGCTGGCATCGGACGCCATCATCAGAGAGCGCAGTATGAGCCCGAGCTACAACCTTGACGGGCGGTCCTTGTTCAGGAGATTGAGCAACCGATTCGCAGCTTCTTCGCCTAGGCCGTCAAGCGAGCAAAGTCTGACGCCAAAAGAATCTGTTTAGGTGACAGCACTACTAGTAACTAACGAGAAGAAAATGAGTAATGAGATGAATCTTGCAGCCCGACCTACAAAGGTCTGTGCCGAAAACGGAAGAGAGTGCTGCACATGGGGGTGTCAGATCCTTTGTGCTGTTGCTGGAAGGCTCGTCATTCATCAAGGAGCGAGTCTGCCAGCAAAGAAGGACTTTGCTCGCCAAGGAGCGGCTAACGACTGAACGATTTAACGAGTCACAGGAGACAAATGAACGGAAGCATGCAAGGCATAAGTGGTGTCATATATGTGGTAGGGCTTTTATGGTACTTGTTCTGTCCTTGGAGGGGTTTCCAGGAGATGTAGCAGCCTCACGGCTCAACACAGCGAGGACGAATGATAGCTTTAGGTACCTAGGTAGACAAAACGGTTTGCCATTATTCGATGAATGGAAGAGTCAACCCGAAGCTGGATGTGAGGATAGCATGAGAAAACCCCCAAGTATCTTATACAATGATGGTAGTCCCATGTCCTGAAACTCGGGCAGCGCGTCATTCGTATGTACAGTATCCTTCATAGTGTACCCGGTCTATGGCTTTGCCTCTTCAAGAAACTGCTTAGTGTCATGATGGTGTCTTGCATTGCGTGCGAAGATGAAGTCGACTTCCGCAACAAGCTGAGCAGGAAGAGTGCTCGCACAACCACAATGCCAGCCGAAGTCTTTGACCACAGGCTCTCGCTCAATATGCCTTGAACAAGAGCGGTTGAAATCAAACATCGCCGCCTGCCTTTCTCATTGTTCGAGGCTTGTCGTGTGCGGAACCACGGACACTTTTCCCCAAGTTTCGAAGCCAGGCCTGTAGACAGAGCAGAGCAAGGACCATACGATGACCTTCCAGCAAGCCAGTAACCACATTTTGGCGCACTGAACATCAGGCTTGCTCTCTCGCGTCCACAATCAATGGCATCTTCTTCACCAAGGCCTCGAGCAGCACGTCGATCGCGAAGCCCAGACACAACGATACGTGACGGGGGGGATAAACAACGACTCGACCACCCCAGGGAATATACCGCCGCTTCGTGCACCACACTTTCCTTTCGTAAACCAAGCCTGAACCATGTTTGCGCCCTTTTTTCCCCGATCCGCAGCGCCCGTTAAAATGACCGAAAAACAACCACAAGCCGCGTGTTGCAAGTCGATTCGCATCCGTTGAACGCACTTTTAGATCTTGACATGTCTCCCTTCCCTCTCCACAACCTTGACCAGGGCCTTGTACGTCTCGTCCCAACTCTCGCCATCTCCCTCTGCATCCTTGTCGCCGCCAGATTTCTTGCTCACATCCCGACTGATCATAACCACACTCGTCGGCCGTTTCGTCTGGCCCGCGGTGCCCAGTTCCGCCCGGCTCGTCACGTAGATGTACGGAATGCCATGGTCCTCCGCAAGCACGGGGATGTGCGAAATCACGTCCATGGGCGAGATATCTGCCGCAAGCACCACCACGCCGATGGGCAGGGACTCTCCACCGCTCGAAACGGCGGACTTGCGCAGGGCTTTGACGACTTCCTTGACGCCGCGTTTCAGGGTTCGTTGGGCAGCAGCTGTATATTGCACACAGACATAGTTAGCATTATCGTCACACAGAGACCTGGCACACGAAACGTAACCATGACAGAAAGCGATCGCAACAGTGCCAACCCCTAAAGGAAAAGAAAATGGGCGACGTACCTTTCTTCACGCCCTTGAACACTTTCTTCGCAACCTTCTCATCCGCCAGGGGATTCGCAAACGGCACAAGCGGTCCGGCCGGTTTCGTCGCCAGAGATTTTTCGTTGTTCTTGACCGCCTCATTTGCATCAACCTCCACGGCTTCCTCCTCGCTATCTACCTCCTCGTCGTCATCATCTTCCATCTCTTCATCCTTCTTGGCCTTGTCTTTCTTGGATTTGGTGGTGTTATCGACCTCATTCAGCACTTTCTCAGCCAACACCTTCCGCTTCTCTTTCTTGTCCTTCTTGTCGCTCTTGCTCTTCGTTACGCCCGTCGGTTCGGAGCCCGTTGCTGCGGATTTGGCGGCCTTTTTCTCGGCCTTGCGCGCGGCTTTGCGGTCTTCTTTGGACATTTTGGTGTCGGTGGACTTTTCTTTGGCCATGACTTTGTCTGTCTGGTTTCGGATTTGGACAAGTGATTCTCTGGAGATAGGAGAATGCCTAGGTAGGTATTCTGCTCGATCGAGGCGTGTGTGAGTCCAGTGAAATCTACTCGTACAAATACTCTGTATAGTCTCGCAGTCAAAAAAATTGTCTCTCCGCACTTTTCGCAAGCTCGAAATTTAGGTGGAGTTTCGACTCTGGCCGCGCTAGCCACATTTGGCCGCCGCATCACCATTGACCATGACTTACCTGGTACTCCGTACTTCTACGAGGTTTACGAGATTACTTGTTCTTGTAGCAGCTTCACGCAATGGAGTGCTAGTATACTTCCTGTGACGAGATAATAGGCGGTTGGATACGAGGAACAAAGCAAACATGAGATACACTCTTCATGGATGTTTCCATTTTTGCGTTCATAATAGTCAAACAACGCATAAAACCCCAGCCAGCCCCAGGCACCGACCACGGCATTGACCCAAGTCACTGCATATCAATCGATAAATCCCTTTTTCTTGTCATGCTCATAGCTCCCAAGCGCTCTGGTTGTGATCTGGATTCGCTTAACCCATTGAGTCCATAAGGCCCAATTTATCGCCTGCAGACCTTCGACGAGATTGTTTCTGTGTGTCCATTACAACTTTCCTGACCCTCGCCCAATATATAATGCCCAGTACTTGTGCTCCGTACTTGTCCAACATCCATCAACGCCATGCGTACAACATTGTCAAAGTAATCCAACAAGAACTCCAGTCGTCAAATCGTCAACCCATCATGCTGGTCCGATCCTTACTTCTCTCCTTGCTCAGGTGCCGCTTTTGTCGGTTGACCTTGACTCTCCGCCAGTGGCTTCTCTGCAACACCAGGCAAAACCTCCTCTCGTGGCCTGTCGAACGACCGCCCTCTCGTGGCGAGATGCTCCTGAGCAAAAGCATTCAGACTGCTTCGCGAAGCACCATGTTCATTTCTCGGGGGACTCTTGGCCCTTTCCTTCTCGGCATTCCTCTCTTCTCTAGTCTGAGACATCTTCGCCTTCCATTTGCCAAACAGCCCTTTCTTCTCAGTCTCTGCGTTTTGAGCTTCACTCGACTCCTGACTCGAGGGTCCAATCAGTGATTGCTGTCCACTCCCAAAGGGCGCGTCTCCATACACCGAAGCTGATTGTGTTTGCTGAGAATCTCCCGTGAAGCTCTTCCTTGGCCGACTAGCACTGCCCAGAGAGCTGTTGCTTCCTCTCGCGCCTGCGTTTTGTCCAATCGGGGGTGGTGGCGCCAGTGGGGAGTTCTCGCCTTTCTTCGCAGACGATGAGAACCTCCATCTACTACGACGCTTTTCTCTTCCGGGCCGCGGTGCAGTATCGTCGAGCATGTCAGTCTCCGAATGGTCGGTGAAAGACGAGCGTGAATGAGTAGAGCCAGGCGGAGATTTGGGCGGCGGCTTCAGTCCAGCAGCGTGATTTTGCTCCTCACTACCAGCCGTAAACTGCTTGGATCCTGGGGTCTCGTTAACAGGCGTGGCAGCTGTACTTATCAAGGCTGGACCCTGAGCAGCGGCCAAAGGGTCATTTCTGCCTGCACTACCAATCTCAGGCGAGACAAGTGGTGTATGGAAGGTGCCTGCATCCTCGCCATGGAGGGAGTTCAATGAACTTTGGGCGCTATCATTGACGGCTCCCGGAATCCTCTGTCGCTTCTGGAGCTTCCTGGGTTGTCGACCCGAGGGATCTGAAGGACCAAAAATTGGTGACTTGGAGAAGATGTTGGGCATCTTGCGGTCCTTATTAGGAGCTGGTGCTGCGTTCGTTGCAGGTTGTTGATTCGGTGTCTGCCCTGGCATTGAAGCGGCCTGGTTAGGCACGGTTGACGCAGCGGACAACAACTGCTGCTGCCGCTCTGTTGGCTGTGTTGGCGCCTGGACGCCTGCGGTAGCTGCTGCCGTTGTCCTGCCTTCAACGTCATCTGGTTGGATGGATCCAGATCTTGAGGACTTCGGCCCGGAGTCTTCTGCATTGGCTGAAGGGGTTCCCGAGCCAGCTATTGGTGAGCTGACTGTAGGCACGGTAGGGTCCGAAGCATCATTTATGCGCTGAAAGCGGCCAGAACTAATGGCTGGAGATCGTTTGGATGGGACAGTATTGCTTCGAGATATGCCCGAACTTCCGGCGAATGAGGTTACTCCAGAAGGCGTGCCTGGACTTGAAACTCCGGGGCTGCCCCTTTCTCTTGAACCTCGAGAAGACACCGACACGTTGCGCCGTACACCGTATTTTCTGAGACTGTCTGCGCCTGCGCTAGCGTTGGACGCTGAGCGGCCGAGCGGTTTGGGTGAGCGCACAGAGGGTGGACCGCTCTCGACATCTTTCTGGGTCTTTTCGTCGACTGCGGTTCCAGACATGCCAATGAGGAAATTATCTTGGTTCTCGATCAAGAAGATCAACACGTCTTGACTGAGTCTGTATTCCTCGGGCGCCATATCATGGGATGGATGCGAAATGATGCCTGGTTGAAAAATGGCAGCGAGGTTGGCCGCAGTCATGCGGTTCAGGTCCGATTTGGATGCAAAGACTGCTAGCAAATCGAGAATGTAGAGGAGTAATTGTCGATTAAGAGGAGGTAACTCGGTGATGAGTTTTTGGTATGAAGTCACAGCCGCGCTGTGTTCATCGACACTGAGGTCTCTGGGTCGCATTTCGCCATCGGATCCTTGAATTTGTGTCCCTCGGAGAGGCTCGCGGAATCGTTCGTAAAAGTCTAGGGGGACGATAGGTTCGGGTAACTGGTTAAGATAGCGGCGGAGGATGTTGGCTGCGTCGTGGACCGTGTATCCAGTCCAGTCCAGTCCTTTCCCATATCTGTCAGGAGAATTGAACACCGTTTGTAGATCTTTGATTCTCTTTGCGGATCCGCTCAGTCTGAAGATGCCCTCGACATCAGTAGCTAGAAATGCGTCAGCCCTAACGTTGTCATCAAGAGTCGTTACTCTTGTGCGCACCTCTCTCTTTCAGAAATACACCACATTTTGCAACTACAATAGGGACGTATCCGTAGATGAAGCTTTCGCCCTGCTCGTTCTGTAATGAGATGGCGACGTTTGCGTATCTGATGCTGTCGGCCAGCGGCACGCCGAAAATCCCAGGACCGTTTTCAACTGACAAGGAATTAGTGACATGCTCGTGAGAGAAAGAGGTATTGTTGTCTTGCAGGACGACCGCTCGCTTCTTCTTGTCTCACCTTTCTCGTCTGTCTTTTCAGTTGTCCTCCTGAACTTCTTCCACCAGGATGCCAACTCTCGTTTGGACGGAGGAGAAGCCGCAGCTAGCGAAGAAGGCGCAGGAGCAGGTGCACCACGTTGTGAAGGTCGATCAATAGCTTGTGGAGGACTTGTCGGCCCTGTGCCATTTGTTGTCATACTGGCAACGGGGCGCAATGCGCACTTGGGCGGGTTTCAGACGAGGGAGACTCCCTTGTCGTCTCGGAGGCGATGTCGTTGTGCGTGGTCCCTCCTCTTTGTGCCAAACAGGGTGAACGAATGATTTGAGAGGATGATGTCGTTAACGCGCGCCGAAAAAAAGTACGCCAGGAACGAATCGAGAAGCAGACGCTGGAACGCACAGAATGCGACGAAGTGTGGTGTTTCCAAGGGCCAGAGAATGAGAGGTTTGGGAAACCGAATTGCAAGGAGTAGGATCGGCTGAAGGAAGAGGCTGGCCAAGCGGTGCGCAGCAGCAGGGTGTCGGATGTCGATCAGTACCAAGCATAGGCAGTGGGCGCAGGATGAAATGTGCCTGGCTTGCTGGGAGGTTTTGGTTCTGGATGACTGGGACCGGTTTTCCAAGGAATCTTGCCAGAAGACTTCGACGAACTCTTGATGGGATTCGACAGAGGTGAAAGCTGCGACTCAGGATGGGTGTCAGGGGGGTTTTGCAGTGAGTAACGGAGGGTTTTGGACAGTTCAGCGTTCGTTAGGGATGTGAGGGCAACAAGCCTTTTTGGTCTCATGCAAGAGGTCAGCAAGGGCTTGCACCTTTATCCACGCCCAACCAGGCAACTTTGTTCTGCTCGCAGAAGCATGGCTAGACTAAGTAGACTTTGTTTCTACCTAACCACCGGCTATCGCGAGGAAACCAGATGCTTATTCTTTTGGGTAGCGAATTGTGCTCGAGGCCTAGCACATCGAGCCGGCTGGGCAGCTCCTCAACCATAGGCTCATCGTGGCTCATCAGGCTCAACCCACGCGTACCAAACACTACTCCGGCCCATGTCTCAAACGTGTCACCACAACTCTTCAGCCTTTTTTCGAATCTCAACAGGACAAATGCCTTCATTCCTATATTTAATCATCACTCAGAAGCTAGCGACCTGCAGTTGGCTCGCTACCATCACATATGTATGCAAGCCCGGTGCCACTAGAGCTGCAAATGACAGTGTTGACCGGTGGGAATGATCTCCTTGGTCCCCAGACAACTAGGTTCACTATGCCAGTCAACTGCATTTCCTGAATGTGATATACTTATCACGACCTGCAGGCGCAGCTACAGCTACAAGCGAACGCAAAGAACATAAAGCTTGTCTCTTGGATCTTCAGATATCTGTGAAGAACATGAACGGTCATATCGTATTGAAGTGTGATGACTCCATAGACGGCCCCCATAGCCCCAGCTGACCGAGTGCCTATTTTGGCATGATGGAGGCTACCGCATTACAGTAAAGCTGGGCTAATTCTATTAACCAAGACCAACCTCAACGCCTCTTGTGATCCAATTGCTGATGTGATGTGAAAATCATACATGACGAGGTCTGCCAATCTCACTAACGCCATGACAATGCCGCCTCTAAGATTCGATAATGGTGGCGCGGGCTGTGATTTCCGCACCAGTAGCGCCTTTAAATGCTTTCGTAAAGTCGTAGGTGAGCATGCTCGAGGTAAGACCGCCACCGCTTGGTATACAGAACTTTTCCGCACTTAAAGTTCAAGGGCGAAAGAGGCTGCCTCGACATGGAATTTTGCCGTCTCCGGATTTTGGTGCCGTTGGCGGGTATAATCCCCCAGAATGCCTTTATTCCTTCGGATGCAGCGCCGCCGGACATACCTTAGTCTTCTTCAACGTCATCCTCCGCAATAGCATCAGTGAGCTGGGGTGCTCCGCCTCCAATCGTCAAATTCTTCAAGGCCTTGTCGAATTCGCGCTGCATTCCATGTTTGACGGCTTCCAAAACGTTGTCGACAGTCATTCTGGGCATGAAGGCAGGTCTTGTGCCTTCGCGGAAGACCCCAGTCCGAACCAAGATGGAGTACCAGTCTACATCGGGAGACCCATGCTCGTTGAACTCATTGGTACCCCGGATATCTGACTCCGGGGTGTCACCAACAAAGTACACGGTCTCCGGAGGTTTGTTGATGCCATGGGTGTCCTTTCGCCATTGCTGAAGGAGCCGGGTTGCGAACTCGAACGTACCTAGCTGAGGCTTGCCGAAAGCAACCGTCTTCAACTCTTTACCGGTGATGGCCTTGAACATGGCTTCGAGGGATGCTCGCAGAGCACCCATGCCAATACGGGAGTATGCGTGAGAAGTGGCCCAGACAATATCATTGTGGGAGAAAAAGACTGGCGGGCCATCCTCAAAAGTCTCCGACCGCGTGCCCAATCGACCATTCTTACTCATACAGAGATCGAGAATGATCTGGGAGTCGCCGGCCCAATCTCTGCTGTCGGCAAAGACGAACACTGCTTCGATTTCGACCTCGCCATAGTTGCGTTTGACCGAGTGCTTGAGCTCCTCCTCGGTCAACTTCCGGAATGGGGTGGTGTCTTTGTTATCCTTTATGATATCTCCAGGAGTGATGACGTCTTTGAACCCATAGCCCTCGGCAACGGTGCGACATTTCTCGCCTTCACCACCGACAACAAGGACGGTATGGTACTTCTGGGCCATATCCCTCATAGGTGTGTGGCCACAGATGAATTGTCCAGGCGACACTTCTAATTGGAGTTGGTTGGACAGCTGAATGCAACGCTCTTCTTCAGTCTTGCCACCTCCGTTCGTCACAAAGATATATGGTCTGTATAATTGTCAGTGATTGCTTGCTAACCTCACCAGCTGCCCACCAGACTTACACTTTGATACCATACTCGTTTTCGCCGTTCAATACTTTCATGGCTTCGATGGCTTCTGGGATCACCTCGCCACCTTTGATCAATACACCGTCAATATCGAATGCAAAAGCATATTTATCGGTGGTCTTCAGACCAGATTCGTCAGGAGTAGTAGGCTGAGAGTCCTCCGGCGTCGTCAGATCTGAAGCTTCAGCCAGATGATGCTTGGCCAATTCCATGGCCTTGGCAGTTTCGTGGGCATTGCTGGATTTCCCGAGATGTTCAGGAGGCCCGACAACAGCCAGGCCACTGAACAGATCTGCTCGAGTGGCACTCTGATTCGAAAGTGTCCGCGTGGCTCTCCTTCTAGTTGTGACGGGAGACAACAGATTGTTGTCCATATCTGGAGGGGCGTCTGCAGCAGACATCTTGAATGTATACCAATGTTGTCCGTCCTTGATGTCACAGGCGATGCAGCTTATCTCGTTTTGAAAGGGACGCTGCTTGGTCGAATGTATGGTACTCGTATGGACCCTAGATAATCTGGACAAAAGTCTCCGGTCGATAGGGAGTTGGGTTTATTATATGTACTTCGTCCTTCGTCCAAGACCCTACTGTTCCTTGTGGATAAGTAACGGGAGGCAACACTGGACACACGTGCGAAGCAAGTGGAGAGATACAAAGATAACTGTAACCAAAACAGTGGATCACACGAAAACAGAACTCCAGGCGGTCGTTTGAGGATTCACACGAAAATTGTGATAGTAACGCATGATGACGTCAATAGTGAGCGAATGGAGGCGACCTGATCAGAGGCCGCAAAAAGAACCCAGCATCAAGACATACAATGTAAGCAAATAACAATGCACGTTTGTTTTTGAGTGGAGAGAGGCGAATCTGTCATCCCCTGGGATGCTGTCGACATTCGCTCGAGCTGTGGTAGGAAGTCCCTGTGGTCCTTGCAGAATCCTTCGGCAACAATCCACCGAGAAAAAGGACCGAAAGGCTGAAAATAAATCAGCCGTCAGACCCGCTATTTTGGTATCTGTTTATAGTGACATATCACGTGCAGTCGTATAGAAGAACAGGCTTTGATCATGTCTGACTGCAGATACTCGAGCCTCAATTTCACTTCCCCGAATGTGACGCCGCTGATCTCATTAGTCCACATCACTTTTTTCATCCCGGAAACTACGGAATCCATAAATCCTTATTATTTTAGTCAGGAACGTTTTGGTACGAGAGGTACGAGAGGTACGGGTACATAGCAGTCCAGGACAGAAAAATTGGTTCCAGGAGCAGTCGTAACCCGCTTCCAAGAGGTACCCACCGGACACGCAAGACGAGAAGTTACCAGAAGTGCCGGAGTATATGGGATGCGTCCGCCCAATGCCCAACACGCCAGGTAATGCTCATTCGTTCTTTATGTCTCTGTTGGATACCTTGAATAGAATGTTGGATGTTGGTTGGACGATGTGTCTTGTCTCGATCAAGTTACGTGCATTGTTGTCCAGTAGATTTTGTTCGCTGGACGTCGATCCAAAGACTTGTGGCTTTAGAATATAATCCTACGAGGTAACATGTGCACTTATTGTTGCGGTGAACGCCAACCAGAAACCAGGCAGCAAGGTGGGAACAACTCCGATTTGGGTATTGGTACGAGTACCTCGCTTGCCGGCTATCCCAAGCACAATGACTCCGTTCAGGCTGACAGTACACTGATAACGCAATTCTTGAACGAGTACGAGTATAGAGAATGCTCGCAGCTGAAGCTTGAAGTACATTCGTAAACTAGTGGTCTAACCAACACCTCCGCTGAAAGGACACGACGAACGCTACATATGACACCGCAGGATCAAAAACTTCGTGAACAAATAATGCCTCGCTTCGTAGGATGGCATGTCGCTTACCGCAAAAGCCACACTGCCAAGAAGCGTCGGCTTAAGGGAAGCCAAAGTCGGTCTCTATCAAGACAACATAACAGCCATCGGATGACCACACGTTGTTTGATCTCCATCTCAGACTGCCACATCGGATAGGTCCCAAAGTTTGCATGCAAGCCTCTCCCAAGAGGTTTCAAATGTCAAATTCGTTCTCCAGCCAATGCTTGATCACGACTTTGCCTTCCTCAAAAGCGGCCCTCGGTGTACGCACGATCATCGCTGCATGACTATGGCTGCTCTTGTGGATATACACAGGGTACTTCCGGAAGCCGACGTCGTCAAGAGCCTTGATCATCTGAAACTGTGCCGGAGTGAGGGCCAAGGTGGGGAATTCTGGGGCTCTATCAGACATTGAGGGGCTCTTTTTAAGTAAGTCCACGTCTGATTTCTCGGAGCTCAAAGATTCGGCTGATGTAGCAGGGAAAGTGGACATGGATGGCGAGGCCGGCGTCGAAGCGATCTCTTCGGACCCTTCTGGCAGATAATCATATTGCTGAGCTGCATTGACATTTTCAAACGCATCCTCAAGTCCAACCCGCATCTCCCTGACCATGTACGGGATTTTGTACATGCCGAAGCCTGTTCCTTGCTGATCGGTCTCATGCAATTGTATGCGGCGTCGACTCCGAAAGGTCTGGACGCACGAACTGCCCAGGAAGACCACCGTCGCTATCGGAATCAGCACGGTGAGAGCCAGGAAAATGGGAGTCCGGCGCAGAAATGTTCGGCTACCGGTACGGACGCGCTGATAGAACGAAGGCAGCTCGTGTTCTGGTATGATTTCGTAAGGGTGGTCCGGATCTAGAATGACCGGCTCATAGCCTTCCAGGTAATGAATGCTCAGCTTGTCAAGGCAAGCATAAGGATCAGTCTTCGAGATACCAGTGGTATAATACACGGCGGTACGGTCGTTGACAATATTGGTGTATAGAGAGCGGTGCTGGAACAGGGAAAGAGCCTGAATGAATACGCTCCCGGGGTCGGCCAAAACGCTCAGCAGTGGTCGGCCAGTGTCCCGGAATTCGTCGATCAGGAAAAGCTGCCGGCCACTCTTTGACAAGGTTCTCGCTCCAAGGACGTTCCAAAGGTGGTTCTGATATCCTCTCAATGGCGTCCTGACCCCTAGGTGAGGCGTCGCAAAGGTGGTGAAATTGACCGGAGTTATCTTGTCGAAGTATCCCTTGTGGTAGAGCAAGCCAATCGTATATCGCGCGACCAGGCCGCCTAATGAATAGCCGACTATCGAGAATCGAGTAATTTTGTTGCCGTCTCTTTCTAGCTCCTCCAGCATGTCTTCTATCTCTTTGGCCACTCTTTCAGCACCGACTTCAACTCCATCGTATGTGAGCGACCCTGGATTCGAGCGGCAAGCCAGTATTATGAGCTTCTCTTCGTTGTGCTTGTCTCGAAGTGCTTGTGCGACGTAGTTAAGATGAGACTTGGGGTAATATTAGCATTGTCATCCTGAGCAACCAGGTACTTTTCATACCGCATTGCCCCAGAGCCTGAAGAATAATTAGCAATGACGTAGTTGAAAGAATGGGGTCTTTAATATTGAGCGCACCCATGGACGAGGACACAAAGGTGTTCTGCTTTCTTTGGCGTGGACTGCCCTGATCTCTGACGGCATTCTGCCATGTTGGAATTGGGAAAAAGAGCCTGCCTGTCGAAACTGCGCAAGTCGAAAGGAAGCGAAGGCATTCTTAAAGATCGGAGACACCCTTGTAGATAGATGAGCCTAAGACGCAGCGCATGCAGGGGGCCAGCGACAATTGGTGGCTGAGCACGATCCTCCGGCGCGGGAGAATACCTACCCTAAGGTCCGGTGGCTTGCAGGATCGGGCTCGTGAGGCCTAGCCTCTAAGCAACCACGAGATGACGCTCGAGTGGACAGATCTCGTGGGTTTTTGCAGAGGACTATTATGTCCTATGTCCTACGTCCGAGGACAGCTCTGGGGCCCTGCAGATTCATATAATTCTTCAACTGAGAGAGCCTTATCGGGCGAGCCTCTGGGCCCGAAAAGTGGCATTGTCTGACCACAAGGACTCCTATCTCATCAGGTACCTAGCGAGCTAGGTAGGTTTCTCACCTTTTGCGATGTCCTCCTGGACCGTAACTGATAGACTTATGTTAAACCATAGGCGTACAGCTCAGCGGGACTGAGGAGGCGTTACTTTCACTCCCCTGTAACCCATCGTCAATATACAGTGTGCATGAGTGACTTGGAAGGCGTGTTATCCCCAGGTCAGACCTCACAATTCTTCTCGCGCCCACAGTCTCGTCTCGCCTTCCCTTCAGTGCGACCGGATCTTTACTCCCAACTTGACAATCATCTGTCACGGCCAACCACCTACTGCTTCGGAATACTTGGCTTCGCTCTAAAACTAGCTATCTCATCCATTCGTGTCCATGCGATAAGGCAGAAGTGAAGGATTTAAATGCCGCAGCGATAGCGTGGCAGGTGCTTTCCAGGTCTTATCATCTTGGGCAAGGCTTGGAGATTATGTGATGAAAATCCAACAGTAACCATCAGTTATACACTGACGAACCAATACTGGCACACAAGTCAACTAAGCCTTGCGGATGGCTCATTATCTCCGAATGCGAAGGTAGACAGCCAAGTCGTCATCTCTTTATCAATTGGCGACTGTATGTCTTATTCGCCATGTTCTCCGCCCTGGGTCTTTTTAAAGGCATCGCATGCCCTCGGCAATACGAATGCAGCCTGCCCACCTGTATCTTTTCGCATGAAGCTACAACATCACCACCAAACGTGCATGATCAAGTTGGATCGGCACAGGAATATGACCCATTTAGTGCAGGAGAAATTCTCTCTCCACCGCCAAAGAGGAGACGCCTGGAGATTCCTGAAACAGGCAAAGATATCGAGCAGACAGTGAACCCGGCTGCGACAAGAAGAGATGTGGACGTACCTAGACTTTCCGACAGGAGACCTACCTCCCCGACACCAATAGCAATTTCGACAGTGAGAAATGATGGCCTTTCCAGAAAAGCCCTTCACGGCGGTGTCCGCCCCGTCACTAAGCCAACTCCCGCTTCAGTTGCAAGAACAGTATCGCCTCCTCCGACCAGAGATGGCAAAGCCACCACTGCATCAGATGGAAGGCGCCCAACCAAGGCCGAATCACTCACCCCACGCAATGTGGCTAGAGCTCCAGCTGTTCTGAAGACAAGACTAGCGATACTACAAAAGTTGCATGAACAGATGCAGGCACAGAATGCCAAGCTTGCTGCGATGAAAGATCCACGTAAAACCCTTGTCCTGAAGGAACAAGAACTGATCACTTTTGCCCTTGATGAAGAAGAGGCCGCCACGAAACTGGGCGAGAACATCTACAAGAATGCGTTGGCCCAAAAGGTGCTACGCATCAAGAAGATGACCACTGATGAATGGGTGAAAGCCGTGAGCCACTGGACTGGGACAAAATCCAACAATGTATCCCAAGGAAAAGAGAGGAACACCGTGCCTGATGAAATCTCGACGGGTCTGGCTACTCTGAATGAGCAAATCGCCGTCCTCAAACATCTACGCACACCGATTGAAGGCCTCGAGGCATTTGGGTACGTGACAAGCAAGCCTACGGATAAGGACATTGCCTCCGCGAAAGCAGGCATTGCGGCAGCAGCAGGATATGAAAGCTGCGACAGATGTGGCACTCGATTTCAGGTGTTTCCGGGAAGAGACCAGCATGGTCGGCTTACCAGTCATGGAAAGTGTCGCTACCACTGGGCCAAGCCATATCTCGCAGGTGGATCGAAAGCTACTCGGATACTCGGTCAATCCGAAGCCATCTATCCATGCTGCAACAAATCTCAAGGTAGCGAAGGCTGCTCAGAAGCAGCTACCCACGTCTTCTATGTGAAGGATCCAAAACGACTAGCAAGTATACTGCAGTTCGAACATACTCCACCAAAAGCAGATGTCCTGAGGAGGCAACCAGTATCATTTGATTGTGAGATGGGCTACACCACGCTTGGAATGGAGGTCATCCGCGTCACAGCTGTCACATGGCCAGAAAACAGACTTCTCCTCGACGTTCTGGTCCGTCCTTACGGCGAGATCCTTGATCTCAACACGAGGTTCTCGGGCGTCACGCCAGAGGCTTTTGCCAATGCACCGCCACATCAGCCGACTTCCGCAAAAGATGTGATTGCCTCAGCAGAGGGAGACGCACTGGCCTTGCGCAAAGTCGGTTCGCCGGCAGCAGCGAGAGATCTGTTGTTCGAGCACTTGAGCCCGGATACACCGTTAATTGGTCACGCCATCGAGAATGATCTTAACGTTTGCCGCCTCATTCATCCGTTCATCGTCGACACGGTTCTGCTGTATCCTCATCCGCGTGGACTACCTATCAGATATGGTTTGAGAATGCTGAGTCAGAAGTACCTCTCTAAGTCTATTCAAGCAGCAGGTGAAGCCGGTCATGATTCAAAGGAAGATGCTGTCGCGACAGGAGAGCTAGTCGTCAAAAAGGTGGCAGAAAAATGGGGCAATATGCGACGACAAGGCTGGGCTTTTGTGGATGGGCTGCTGACGGCGCCCGACGAGATCGAGTCCGTTGAGCCCGGAGGATAGTCGATGTATATGCTGCGATTCAAAGAACAGACGGAAGCTAGGACTCACGGTACGCAAGTGTGGCTAGGTAGTTACTTGTAGGATGCCCGATGAGATAGCGGAAGATCTGATTTGACTTCCATCAAAGTGATGGAGCAGACGCATGAAGCCGGGAAGCTAGTGCCTATCGGGCCGGTTCTCCTCGTCGTTCCTCTACCTCGAGCCCCCATCACCCTCCTAGCCCCTTTCTTGGGAGCCGCGTCTAGCCTCTGAACCGCGCCGGAGAAATTGCAGCGACAAATAATTTGCATCTCCCAATTACCCGAGCTTGCGGTCTGAGATAAACCAACAAATTCGCGGCGCCAGAAAGCTATTCACGCGATTGAGAAGAAGGCAAGCATCGCTGTTCACCTGCTTGATTCAGTTAACATAGCAGCGCTCGTATTCTACACGCGCGTCTCGACGTCACCACGCAATCCAACCGCGCCTGGCCGACACCCAAGCCATTCGCTGGCCCGGAGGATTGACACTTTCGCACGCGCTTTTCACCGGCAGTTACCACCAACATGGGCAATCAAATATCCAAAATGATGGGGAAGATCTTCGGATCTAGGGAAATGCGACTGTTGATGCTGGGCCTTGATGCCGCAGGCAAGACAAGTGAGTCTGCGCTTCGTGGAAATCATGACTGCATGGTCTGTGACCTTGTAACCAGCTCCTGACGAGTCTCTAGCGATTCTTTACAAGTTGAAACTCAATCAAGATGTCACCACGATTCCTACCGTTGGATTCAACGTCGAAACGGTCACATATAAGAATGTCAAGTTCAATGTCTGGGATGTGGGTGGACAAGACAAGATTCGACCACTTTGGCGACACTATTTCTCCGGCACACAAGGCCTAATCTTCGTGGTTGACTCGAACGATCGAGCGCGGATTGATGAAGCCAGGCAAGAGCTGCACAGGATCATACTTGACCGAGAAATGAAAGAGGCACTTCTGCTGGTTTTCGCCAACAAACAGGACATTCCAGGCTCCATGACGCCGACTGAAGTCACGGAGAAGTTGAGACTCGGCCAATTGAAGGAACGAATATGGTACGTGGTGCCTAGTTGCGCTACCACCGGCGAAGGATTGCTCGAAGGACTGGTAAGTGGGATCAAGTGCTCAAAGAGTCGTACAGAAAACTAACCCAGGACCACAGAGTTGGCTGTCAACGAACGTCAAGTCACAACCACGACCAGCAGCAGCCAAATGAACAGCATTGATCTTTGAATGAGATTGCGAAAGAGGAGATGATGTGCGGATTGATTTACGGTTTTCGACATTCGCCGATGAGCTGGACATCATCGATTATGATACCAATTTGCAAGCGTTCTCGAGAGGCTGTTCTTGAGCGGATTTTTGCGGGCTCCATACGCGACGTCGTTACTGCATCGTGTGGAGTATTTGCTGTGCGGATGATTGTGCGTATGAGGAAAAAGCGCATCACAGAATGAAGTGCGGAGTGTGGGTACAAATATTGGAGGATGTCCATTGCGCAATGGCAACTAAAGGAATGTGAAAACTGCTCTGAGCTCACCCTAATTGTACACTAGTCTAATGATACAGCTTCTGGCTCAGGTTCATCATGACTTCTGTCCTTCAAGTCACTCTTGACCTCTCTCCTGCTTGTAGAATTCATGCACCAGTTGGTTTAGGTTGAAGACCGATGTACAGTCTCAATCGTTTCTCTTTGGCTTCTCTTCCCCCATTTGTAGAGCAACCCAACTCCTGTAGGACAAAATCAAGCCTCTCATTCTCCATATTTGGAATATCTCCAGATCGTACAGGAAACCATTCGATAAAGATATTAGTCAATGGACTTATTAGTGGTGTAAGTCGATCGGAGGATTTCGTAAGATAAGAATTTTGAACTCGAGCTGAGGCGTTGTGATCACTGTAGAGTTAGTATTTATCATTAAAGAATATAAGTAGCACTTACTTCGCGATGACTCGAGTAGTGAGCGTATCGATCTTGTTATCAAGCTGATCAAATCTCTGAGCGAATTGAGCGTTGATTTGAGCGATTTGAGCGTTGAATTGAGCGTTGAATTGAGTGAATTGAGCGTTGAATTGAGCGTTGATTTGAACGTTGCTTTGCTGAATTTGATCGGTGAGCTGTGCTACGGCATGTTGAATGAGATTGCCTTCAGTCAGCGCCGGTACGTTTGAGAGCTTTGACAATTCCTCGGCGAGACCGTGGAAATGTTGTACTATACGGCCAGCATCTGGCTGTGGACCGATGATATTCGGGTCCGCCATGATGGTGGTGAGAGTTGGTGCGGAAAAGCCAGTGGTGTTTTTGTTTACTTTGGAGGGGTGAGTCACGAGCAGTTTTACCATTCCTTGGCGTGCGGACTCTTCTGCCATCTGGAGAGTGCCTGCTGCCATCTGCCACTCGGCCCGTGCCTGCATTCGATCTCCTTTGACGTTAGCGATTCGGCATTCCTTGTTCCTGCTTGCTTGACGGCGGAGAGGGTCGCCTCACATGCTGGCGCCATCTTCGGTGTCTCCTTCCTCAAACCACTAGTCCGGATACCTGTCGATACGAGACCTCCCTTCCTCGTGCCTTCTCCCTTCTGGGCTCCCTCAGCGCAGGAGCTGGTGACGGCTTTCATCTCCTGCGTCCATTCTCTGATTCTCCCTTCTTGTCCATAGAGTCTATCACCGCTGCATCACATAATGAGTGCCTCCGAAAGCATACCTCCCTCTAATGGCAGCTCCAAGCCCTCGGTATTGCTCGTGGGCGGTCTTGGTACCTATCTTGCAGCCGTGACCCTCACCAATGCATTGACCAGATTATAGGATATATCGGTCGCTTCGTAGCAAAGTACATTCATTCTCAGCATCTTGCTTCTAGCGTTCGCATTGTCGATAAAGTCCTTCCCCAGCTAGCCCACCTTGCGCCGGAGTTCGACGAACCATGTTCACCCAAGTTCTTCATACAGGCTGATGCCTCGCGCGAGGCTTCCATGTCGCGCATATTCGATCATCCTGACGGGCCCGATGCTACTTGGGACTATGTCTTCAACCTTGCAGCCGAGACCGCTTGGTCACAAACCCCGGAGATATACAGACTGCGCTCATACCAGGTCAGTGTCACATTAGCGAAAGAGGCGGCCAAACGTGGGGTCAAAGCTTTTGTCGAGATAAGCACCGGCATGGTCTATGCTCCTCATCGGACGCCGCGCACGGAACAAGACAAATTGAAGCCGTGGCTGAAGATTGCTAAGGTCAAGTTGGAAGCCGAACAAGAGCTGGCAAGAATACCAGGACTGAATCTAGTCATTCTGCGTCCGGCGCACGTCTACGGAGAGTATGACTCCAAGTTCATCGCGAAAGCCTTGTGTATGGCGCGGGTCTACCAGGAACAAGACAAGGAACTCAAGTGGCTGTGGACTGAAGACTTGAAGATCAATACTGTCCATGTCGAGGACGTCGCAAGAGCGTTGTGGGCAGCCGCCAAATGGCTGTCGACCAATTCAACTATACCCGCCTCTTCCCCCACGACCAGCAGAAGATCGACGTTGGGCTCCAAAGGCGAAGACGGGCCTGGTAACAATGTACCCGTTTTCAACATTGTCGATCATGGTCAGACGAGTCAGGGCGACCTTGCTGATATAGTTTCAAAGGTGTTCGGCATCAAGACTGGGTTTCAAGGGTCCTTGATCTCGCAATTCGCAAGAATGAATCTTGACCATGTCGTTGACGACCTCAATGAAGACATTTTACAACCCTGGGCTGAAATGCTGGAACAAAAGGGCATTACCAAGCCTGGCCCCTTGACTCCGTTTCTGGAGAAAGAGTTGCTTAAGGACGCAGACCTCAGCCTCGACGGCAGTCTTTTCGAGAGGGTCACCGATTTCAAGTATGAACGAGCGGGCGGCTTGACCGTCGAGGGCATTAAGGAGATGATAGCCAGCTACGAGAGGATGGGTTGGTGGCCTTGAAATCGGCTGTGTGGTTTCCCTTCTGTTTGAAGCCTCTCTTTCCCTTCGTTATGCAATCGGGTTGTGAAAAAACCTGGCCGACCACATATGTTGGAGGCGGATCATTATTGTACTTATTCGCTATTCTGACGGTTTATACGACTGCGGTCACCAGTCCGCACAAGAACTTGCGTTGCACGAGCATAGCGAAACAGGAGTTTTTGGAATTCAATAGTTGTTATTCGGAATAACATACATCTTGTCAAGCTACTTTCCTGTGACTACTGGTCACACTCAGCCGCTGCCACGCAGGGTTGGAAAGGCTTTCATGTTATGTCTCGGTCCGCTGCAGACACCTCTTTGAATAACAGGGCGTGCAAGACACCTCTAAACCATGGCCAGTATTGGGCGTGGTCGATTCCTCAGGCGGAATTTGATCCTTCTTTCGATCATCAGGCATCCTCATGCTGATCCATACAGGGCCAGAGAGAAACTCATGCTGGGTAGCTCTATGGCAGAGTGACCACGCACACCTTCATTCTCCAGACCTTGACTCCCAAGCGAGCGGCACACAGAAGATCCTCCTGAAAGTCTGGCCATCCCACACCAATCACACGCCATTGATGGGCAGGGAAGTCGACATCAGGACCCTTGAGTTTCGCCTTGGAACCCTCATCAACAGCCGCCTTCTCTTTGCCTTTTCCCTGGTCCTGAACATGCTCGCTGCAGCCGAGGTGCTTGGTTTGTTCGTGGGCTTCGAAGCGGCCGGTTGAGATGAAGCGGCAGATGTCCTGGTCGACATATTAGTACAGAGCACTTTGAAGTAAGTGACGGCAAACTGAGGGTAAAGTGAGACGACATACATTCCATCCGTAACTCAAGACGTAGCCGAGGACCTTTGAAGCAGGAGTGGTGACGCGGTAATTGACCCCCTCGATGAAGCGGCTCATGTCCAGATTCTCGACAGGCGCGTCGACCCAGTGGTAGGCTTTGGCTTCGGGGGCGAAGACGTGGACGTGGTTTGGCAAGCCGTCGTCGGAGAGAGTGATGCTGGGCATGTACGCGGTACTGATCCAGATTGACATGACCGATGGAAGGGTGGGTGGGATGATCGAGTTTGGATCCTTGATCGGGATGCCGCGGCTGTTGAATGGCTCGTTGGACATGGAGGTGGAGGTGGTTGTTGGCTCGTTGATGGGGATCATTCCTTGTGCAACAACAGCATTGTCGGTGACGGTTGAGTCTTCTTCTGGAACTTCGTCCTCGACTTCGTCGATGCGCATGATCTTCTCTTGCCAGAGACTCTCAAAGATGTGTGGGTCGCTTCGTGCTCTGAGCTTGGACAGGGCGACAATGAGGTCGACAAGGCCACGTTCGGTCTCTGCATAGGTCATTTTCTGGTCGGTTGGGGTGACTTCGGCCATCCTGGCTTGCAGGTTTGTGATCTTTTGTTGTGATCTTGCGCGTGCGCGGTCAAGGGAGGATGCTGGTGGGGAAGAAGGAGTTTGAGAGTCGGAGAGGTCTTGATATTCTGCCTCGTCGTCTTTGACTGTGCTAAGGTTTCTTGGCCGTCCGACGCGACGACGACCGCGAGGAGTAGATTGAGTTCGTGGAGTGAATAGAACGTTGCGCATCCGGACCCAAAGAGGTTGCAGGATGGTGAAGAACCTTTGTTGTTGCATCGGAATGTCAGAGCTCATGTCCAGTGCGCCATCAATAGAGACCTGGTTGGTACGTACCTATCGTTCTCAGAGACGTCGCTTGCTGGTCTTGTTGCGCGTGGTTTTCTGTACGTCAATCGATCCTCACCCTCGTCAAGGTCGGCTGCATCGATGAGCCACTCGTCTACTTGGGACACCCAGACGATGGTTCCGTAACCCCTCAGAAGGCGGTTGCTGAATTGCTTGTAAACACTGGCTGTGCCTCGTTGGATTTCGTCGAGGTGGTTGCTGCGGAGGACGCGAAGGACGCCGTTCCAAAAATCGAAATATTTCCCGGGTTTGAGCTGCAGCTTACGGAAGATGTCGCTGTAGAGCTGACCGTGTTGCTCAATCAATCTCACCTCCGACTCAGGCAGTCTGCGCAGCTGGCCTCTGTCAATCGCGCTCAGATCGGGAATTGACGATACAGCAGTCGGTCCTGTCTCAGGAGTGGGGTCTGCATCTGCATCTGCGTCGACCATTCCTGCGTCTGCGTCGACATAGTCAATGGCCAAGGATACTTCAGAACGTTCCGGGTCCTCCATGGTTGGTGGTGGTATGTCTAGACGTGATCGTGATCGTGAACGCGCGACGATGAGAGGAAGACAACATCGCGGCTCTCTGGGCGGTGGGTGAAGCCATAGCAAGTATAGCGATGGGTGCGGCAGAGCATTGCCATGACAGACAAGTAAATTTGATCTGAGGCCAAGTATGGCATTGTGAGGTACACCGTGATCACTCTGATAAGTGTAAACACCACAAGGCTGGCTTGTGTATGCTTCCTACACTGGGACTTACGATATTGCACGACATTGTGGTCACTACCTGAAGATTGTCACTCTTACATACAGGAGAGGACAAAGACCGCCCTATACATGCTAGGCACAGGTGGGTGACAGGCTTTCAAGTTGTTATGAGATTGAAGCTAGATGAGGCTGGACTGTCGTCAGACTTCAGGTCCTCCCGGGCCTGTAAAGCAAATCTTGGTCGTGCCCAGACCAGGAGACCAGTGATGACAGACCAGTGGTGGACACGGAGGACATGGGAAATGACCCAGTCGTTTAAAGCCACCTTTGCCCGATCCATCGCTCGTATTTATTTCTGGACAGGCACTGACGGGAATGCACCCCAGAACACGGGTCCTGTCAAAGCCACCAGACGTCAAAGGCCATGATGAGGCCATGATGGGCCCATCACAAAAGCATCTTGGTTAATTCGCCCTTTAACGAGCTTTGAGATTGCGGTCAGCGGGTGCCAGGGTGGGCGCGTCATGCCCCAGTACTCGCATCCTGCACCGTGAGAATGACCGTGCTATCGACTGTGGCTTGTGTGCTCCTGACAAGTTTTCCAATTCCATGCCAGTTTCTGTCACGTCGCACCGCACGAGCACTTTACTAGTATTTCCTGCCTCCTCACTTCCATACCTCGTCGACCACGAACTGTTTCACTATTCCTGCAGGTCTCACAACCCTCGCCTCTTCAGTCGCTAAATGTACCGACCATGTCATGGAAGCTTTAATCTACGATGAGTCCCCTATAGCCGAATATCTAGAGGCAGACGCCATTCCTTTCGAAACCGCCGATCTTCCTTCCACGCCGCCACGAACATTTGCTCCCCGAGGGCTTCCAAAACTCCGCGAACGATTACGAGCATATCGTCAAACTGCTGCCTCCGTCACCGACGTCGCAAACGAGAAATTTCTCGAGCGTTTTCGCTACACTATCGTCGCATCGCAGTTACTCCAGGATGACCCCAAGCCTAGGAGGCATCTTCAGGATGAGGAACAAGCATTTCAGACGAACACCTTCTCGACCAGAGGTGCTCTTATGACGGCAGTGGTTTCCTTTTCAGTAGCATGGTTTCTACACATTTTACGACGGCGGTATGAGACTCAAAAAGGGTTGGGAATTAATGAAATATGCATCTACATGCTCTTAATTTTCGGGGGGTGCGTCCTTTTGATCTACTTTGCGCGACGGCAATATCTAGAATTCATTCGGCGCTCTGCAGGCTCGACACTGGGGAAGGTTATTGCCGAGTCACATAATCTCGACACGGTCACGACGGCAGGACTGCGTTTTATCCAAGAAGTTGAAGTGGTCTCACGAGGTTATGAGTTGTAAGAACAGCCTCCTCAGCAAGGTGTCTCCCGCTAACTCTTTCTCAAGCAGTCAACCTATGCCGCCCGTCAGTCGACTGGAAGATCAAAGTGCAAACAGTCGCTGCAGAGAACTCCGAGCCATAATCGGAACGGCGTTGACGGCCAGCATTAGTCAGTCTGTTGAAGCCCACAATACCATACAACCCTTCATACGCGAACTCGAGTCACAGAGCTATCACGATATCTATGACGTCTCGATGCAGGACTATACTGATGCTGTCACATTTGCAAACAATATTGCCATGGAAGCCCAGGATTCCTTGAAAGAGCTGCGTTTCTTATTCCGACTACACTTGATGGCGAGAAAGGTTTTCTTTTGTGATCTACTTGCGCTTCACTCGGGCTCCACATGGTACAACATTTGTCAGTGGAGGGGAACATTGCATCTACTGCAAGACTTTGAGGCTGCCACATCTCGAGGGGCACGAGATGTCCGGGCAGCTGTGGTACGAGAAGAATTTGGTGGCAATTCTGCAGCCACAACGGGCCAGGAGGCTGATTACGTGGTGGAGACTAACCCGGAATTAATGACTCCACAGAGACGGCACACGAAGGCACAGATGCGTCGATTCGACGCTGTTGCTAACTCCATCCGCTCTCTGAATGCCAAGGTACATCTAGTCAGAGAGGCGATGAACAACTCGTCGACGAATGAGGACGATCCAGCTCTCAGCATGACTATTACTCGAGGCTATGAGACTCTGGGTGCAGAAATCCGCAATGCCCTCAGCGAATGGCAGAAGGGACGGAACACCATGTTCCTTCATATTGATGCCGACCCTGATCGACGGTCTTCAAGAGCATCCAGTGATATTCGATCTCCTGCATCACCATCCCCCAGCAGTCTTGGTGGCCTGACCATCGTCGACGGGGGTCCTGCGGAAGCGTTGAAATTGCTGAGTGGCGACGAGCGAGCTTCTTCCGACGGAGGAGGATTGGATGAGGAGGTGTTCGAGGCAGTGGCTATGCCACGAAAGAGGATGTCTTGGACACCAATGAGCCGCGAAGAAAAGCTCAGCAGACTGCAGCAGGAGCGGATAAAGCGCGCAACCGTGCAAGAACATGCAGAGAATACGACCAACATGCTGCGCGAGTTGCAGATGGTCATCAAACATCGCCCCAACCATGCCCGGCCAGAAACACGAGTTACCTCAATATGAGGTCCAATCCAGTGGCAACAAGGGGCCCGCGGTCCTTCATAGTGCGACCCTTGCACATTTGAATTTGAGATATAGGCATCACATTGGCCAAGACGAAGAGCGATGTTCACGAAGCACACGGCTGAACTTCAGGTGCTATTTTTGTTCTTTCTTACCTTGAATTGAGCGTTACTCGGTTCTGGCGTCAAAGGCATCTTCAGCGTGTGCAGCAAGCTTTCAGGCGTTCCCCAGGGCCGGTTTTACATTTTTCAGAGCGATCATATTAATGGTTGAGTGTGTTGACTTTCTGTGAGGGTACTTCGGCCGACGGCAGAGCTCTCTGTGAGCCCGACAGAATTGGCTCTTGTTTGAGCAGACTATCTATATTGGGACTGGGTGTACGAATCAATGATAACGAGAGTGAAGTCAGAGGTTGATGCCGCGAAGCCGCGCCGACTGGGTTGGGTGTCGGCGAGTTGCGCTACGGTCTTAAGGCGAGAGTGGTCCGAACACGTTCGAAATACGGATAGGCGACCGCAATACATATCGCAATCCCTGACGAACAATCAAAAGTCCAGAAGCCATAACTCCCTGACATTAGTAATGTGAATCTGCTGGACGATGGAGGAAGCTTCTTCCTCACGCTAGAACCCAGGCCGGATGTTTGTCCTTCTGTTCTCGTTGACCCGTCGTTCAGTTAGCTACTGCTATGTTAGTACTGTAAGTAGCTGACTGTCGTCACGGTCGACTTTCGCGCGTTTTCGGCCACTGGCTTACCTGGCTGTAGGGCTGATTCGGAATCGGCCAGTCTATATCTCCGGCTGCGGCACAAAAGTAGCGAGGATTCCGGGGCTGAAGATTGCATCATCATTGTCGACGACTACGAGTAAGTCTCATCGTAGGCGCCAGCCAGAGCCTGTCGACGCCTGTCAGGAGCTATGAGCCATTCACATTTCACGATTAACCCAGTACTGCTTTATCCCCAAATTAGTCCAGGCCGGTCGTTTTTGCTCTGCTGACCCACTATCAACCTCGCTCCGTTCATGGTGATGATCAGAGCTATGAAAGTTTACATCCTGACATCGCTCAATGTTTAACCTTTTCTTCTCGGAAAAGAACACATCTCAGCTCATCATGTTGTCAGGGACTGTGTTCGAGATTCTTTCCAGCCGCCTGGATCGATTATCTAACTCGCTGTCGTACATGCACAATCCCCTGCCACCCTATCATGAACCGTTCCGCTCCAGGAAACCTCTGCCATGTCTTCGATTCTTTTCGGTCTGTTCGGTGGCCGCCTCTTCCGCCCGATCTGGCATTTATATAGGAAACGAGGCCAGTCGAATGCGCGAATAACCATCCTCACTAGCATCTCAGGGTGCGGCTCAGATACACCAACGGATTTGAGAAAATGTCTAGATCTGATGGAGTAACTCGTCCCCTTGCCATGCCTTGGACAGACTTAGCCCCCGGATCTCATGGCTTCTCTCATCGCCACACTCTCCAGGCACGTCCGGTCTGATGTCGTATCGTGGCTACCTAAGGTAGGTACAGAGAAGTCTAGGACTCGTCGAAGCAAGGGGTACTTCACCCTTTTCGGTCCTCGACAATGATCTACTTCATGGATTGTGCCGATGGCCGTCAGCTCCTTCCGCCTGCAAAGCCTATACTTCCTTCCCATGGCGCCCCTGTCCCTTCCTCTTACAAAGCCACATTTGCCACGCGCCATCTGCAAGTTCAGACTTTTCTGAGCCTGTAAACAGGTACAACATCTGTGGCGGTTGCTTGGGGTTCGAACTTCGCCCGAGTATACGCTCACGATTCACATGCAAGAGTCTTATGATCTCTGACAAGAGGTATATGATTCGTTGGCATATCGGTACAACCTAGCCGTTTCGACGCCACCTTCTTCTGAGGCAGCCGCGACGATACCGTATCTCTCGGGGGCAAGGGATTCTATCATTTGGACTGCGGGTCTCATTGGTGCAGTCGGGAATCCTTCTCACAACGAATCTCCTTGTCGCGGTGTTTCTAGGCGGAGTTCAGGGTCTGCATATGTTTGTCGCCTACTGGGAGCCTTGGCCCAGTACATCTACATAAAAGAAGGCAGGCCGCAGCGGCCGCTTGAATCACAGAGGAACAACTTAAAATACACTCCTGACGCAGCATGTCTGGCCGCAATGATCAACCCCAGCAGGACGGACTGAACCCTTTGCAAGAATATCAAATTGAAATCGCAATCGGCAATGTTCTGCGCATATCGGAAACCTCTCCACCGGAGTCCTTATCCTGGGAAAATCGAGTACTAGTTGCGAGAACAGCCATAGCAACATTCGAAAGGACGGGGTTCATACAGTTGCCCAACTATACGACTGAACGCACCTTCGTCATTGGGGCATTGCAGAGGCTTGCACATCACGAACCCGACAGTGCTGGTGTCCTTGATATCTCGGATTGGTGCATGCAGCAATGGCTGCTACTCCTCCAAGGGAATGGTAACGACTCAGACGCTCTTCGAGGTTTGTACATTGGTCAACAGCCGTAAGAGGAGTCCACTGATGTCAAGGCAGGCCTCGGTCAGAATTGGTTGGCACGCTCTCAAAATGTTCTCTCGCGAATACATCGAAATGAAGGAAGCTCATCCAGCGGAAGCAGTGGCAGACCGCAAAGCATGAATGATAGAGTCTCATACACATCCTCACAAGATGCTAGAGAAGCAGAACGGGCAGTCATTGAAGCCGACGCACGAGCTCATACGGCGGACTACGTCGAAGCACGCGGGATGCTTATTCCAGCAGTCGACTACTTCTCCAGGGCGGTCGATGCTGCTGATGAAAACGGGAGATTGAGTGGCGAGTTACTGTCGGAGGTGAGTTCAGCCACGAAACTGGATTGCCACCCCCTACAATAACAGGTGACTAACGGATCTACGCAGGCTGCGGAAGCGAACATGGTACGAGGTCTCCTTCGTGATGGACTGTGCTCGAAAAGCACACGTCTCTTGCTTTCTCATTCCATACCAATCCAGCTTTCTGACAATTTGCAGAGTCTAGGCAATGTTTCCTATTCTCATCAAAACGAGCAGTACTTCCACAGAGCCATTCGATATCTGCGGAGAGCAGCCCAGACGCCAGACTTTCGTCTCTCCCCTTACTTACAGAGGTCCGTCCCGCGATTCTCCTATCGCGAAGAACGTGGCTGCTGACGCTTGCACAGTTATCTCGATGATTATGGTCGGCTGGTCGACTGATATAGAGTCTGCCGCAAGATGGAATCCTTTGCAGAGTTTGGGCGACGCGTTCGGCTCAAGCAAATTTAGCGCGGGCGCACTGGGCCTTCCTTGACTTGGACGTCAATATGGGTAGATATCACCTCTGGTAGGTATTCATTGGAATGACATCTGTCTGTCAGCATGTATCATGCTTGCCATCTTTCTCCTGCAAATCGAATTGTCCTCAGATGTCACTCTTGCAAAACCAGCTTCTGTGGCGTCTCCTAGCTCAGCGGTTCACATCAAGACTCAGGAGATCTCCACAATCCTACAACGACCCTCTTTCCAGGCCTGATACATTGCCGTGCCACAGTCTAGGACCAGCATTCTGTACAGCCGCTGCGCCTGGAGCTTTCGTCATTGCTTGCGACTACGCCTAGCCCCTGGTACGGAAGGGCTAGACAATGGAGGACCCTTTCTATCGGCCTTGGCCAGGAGGACGGCCAGAACACTCTGGAAGACAAAACCCTCGATTGGCATGTAAGACTCAGATGCGGACTTGTTGCATTTACGGATGCGCTAGGACCAGGTGGCGAGCGTATCGTGTAAGGGAACAAGGAAAGGGGCAACAAACATTCGACGAGGCTGAGAAGGACCCAGGGGCTTTGATGATGGTGCCTGGAGCTGAAACTCAATCACGCGGAATCCTGCATTGCATTCGCATTTCCAGGAGAATCCAGCGCCTGGTGGTGGGAATCAATCAGACCTGGGATATTTTTAGGCATTGATTTCCTGCGAGAAATGGCTCAGGCCGCTCATGGAGGGCTCGGCCTTTGGTTTATCACATATCCGGCGAGAGACTCGTACTTCCAGCTTTGCGTACGTGAAAGGCGAAGAAACACGAGAGCCGTGCGAAATACCTCAAGTGCTCGTCCGTAAGTCCGAAAATTGCTTAGAGCATTGATGACGTAGTGGTGCCGCTCCTATGACACGTGACTACTACGAGTATGTGCTATGGTTTGCAGGCATTGGACAAACACCCTGAAGGGGATTTGCTGCAGACACCTTGGACAGAGTACCTATCTTGCAGCCCATCCATTTTCAGGAGCAATGTTGACACCTTTGCACTTCTTCAGGTACACGGCGCCATGCCTGGAACAGGGCGCCATCACGTGCGACCCACGGTCGAGAGGGATGCCAAGGAACCAATTAGATCGTATTAGGACTAGCTTTTGACGCGACCGCGACTGCCCTCATCAGACCGTGTTCTGGAGATGACCAAAAATCCCATCTTCAATTGAATATTGACAGTCGATTTGCGCTTCTTAAACAACCATTAGCCCGTTGTTCAACTTGTTTCTCGCGACACAAGATCAGACATACCGTTCATCAATTGTCAAGAGTGAGTCCGCGTCAATGCACAAATTAGTCTCACCCTGACTTGTCTGTAGTGTTGGAAGCACGGCTGGAGCGGGCTGCGGACCTGAAGAAGGTACGAAAAACAATGCCTCAATATGAAGGATATGCTGACGTTCTCCAAGGTCGTGGACGCCATCAAAGACCTTGTTCAGGATTGCAACTTCGACTGCAATGACTCTGGTGTCGCACTCCAAGCAATGGACAATTCCCACGTCGCCCTAGTCTCCATGATGCTCAAAGCAGAAATGTTCTCTCCCTACCGATGCGACCGCAACATCGCCCTCGGGATTAACCTGAACTCCCTGACAAAGGTCCTACGTGCCGCCCAAAACGATGACATCCTCACTCTGAAGGCCGAAGACGCTCCAGATGTCGTCAACCTGGTGTTCGAGAGCAGCGAGACGGACAGACTCAGCGAGTATGACATCAAATTGATGGACATTGATCAAGAGCATTTGGGAATTCCAGACACCGAATACGCGGCGACAATCGAGATGCCCAGTGCAGAGTTCGCGCGTATCTGCCGTGACTTGCTTGCTATGTCAGAATCTGGTACGTAGGCTTGGCTTAATGTGGACACATTTCTAACTCCAGTAGTCTCTATCGAGGCAAACAAGGACGGTGTGCGATTCGCGTGTCAAGGCGACATTGGCAATGGAAGTGTCACAGTCCGACAGCACAACAACATGGACAAGCCTGAACAAAATGTCTCCATCCACCTCTCCGAACCTGTCTCCTTGACATTCTCTCTCAAATACCTCGTCAACTTCTGCAAAGCTAGTGGTCTCTCATCGAGAATCAAACTCTGCCTTTCGCAAGAGGTACCGTTATTGGTGGAGTACACTCTGTCCGGGAGCAGCTATCTTCGGTTCTATTTGGCTCCAAAGGTATGTTATACTCATGACTATCATCAAACTCGTACTGACTATATTGTACTTGTAGATTGGCGATGACGAATGAACGAAACATTGCAATGACGGTGAATATGGTTCCGGCAGATCTAACGAGTTGACGGGAAGGATGATTCGTAGATGAGATGCACGTTTGCTCCGACCAGTCGTCGAGCATTTAGATCTGCTGCAAGTTCGATGTGCTGGATACGGTGTTTGACGCTGGTTCAATCTGCATGGCGGCGTAATAAAGGGTGTCACGGTTGGCCAGCCTTATCGGGGAAGATAAGGTTTTGCGTCATCTCCGGGCGCGAACATTATCAAATTGCAATGTACGCTATGTGGCTATGTGACTCCTCAAAGAATCAACACCTCTGTTGGATAGGAGCCACCTGGACTTCAAATCCACACTTGCTATCCTAAAATCGCTGCGTTAAGTGTCTGCTTCTATGGTGCTAGACCTGTCAAGATGGCTTCTCAGGAGATATCAACACCGGAGACAAAAGTGCTAGCCATCGCTAGTCATGTACGCTCTTCACCACCTCATAATATGCTCCTCGAACTTAGCATGACCTAAAGCTGACACACATCATTGAAAGGTCGTATATGGGTAGGTATTTTACCTTTGCGCAAGGCACGCGTTTGCTTGCTTGTTGAGCCAATTTTGGAGAAAGACCAGCTGCTGATCAAATTTTCCATGCGGACAGATATGTCGGCAACACGATGGCAACTTTTGTCATGCAGACGCTAGGATGTGACGTTGGCGCCATCAATACTGTACAGTTCAGTAAGTTCAACGCCTTCGTGCAATGGGTGCTTTCCCCGGCTGCGGGCATTCTGTGGTGCTCACGGGATGGGGAGTCCTGCAACACTCGATGGAGGCTGGTTTTTACGAGATCTACGGATACTCCAGCAACGATAGCGGCACTGACGGAAAATCCGCTTGTCACCAGGTAATCACACGGGCTACCGACAATTCAAAGGCAGGCGCACGCCCGCCGACGAGATCACCGAGTTGTACGACGGATTGCGAAACTCGTATTTGACCGACTTCGACGTGCTGTTGAGTGGGTACGCTCCTAGCGCGGAAGTCGTCCGCGCGGTTGCTCTTATCGCAAGGGATCTACGTTACCGGGCGACGGTCAAGCCTGGTCGGTTCTTCTGGATCGTGGACCCCGTCATGGGAGACCAGGGACGGTTGTACGTGGCCGAGGATATTGTGCCGGCGTACAAGCAGCTGGTTCGCGAGGCAGATTTAATCCTGCCGAATCAATTCGAGGCCGAGTTGTTGAGTGGGTTGAGCATCAACAGTTTGACGGGTGTCGCGAATGCCGTGAGCGCGATGCACAAGACGTACGGGACTAGCCATGTCGTGGTGACGAGCGTGACTGTGGGAGACGCTGCGAGGCCTGATGATCAAGAGGCGGTATCCACGGGGAGTATACTGACGGTGGTGGGGAGCAGCAAGCGACGCGACGGGAGCGCGCGCTTGTTCAAGGTCGAGGTGCCGCGGTTGGATTGCTTCTTCAGTGGCACTGGGGATATGTTTGCAGGACTGATGGTGGGGAGGTTACGCGAGGCGTGTGCCCAGATGGGACTGCTGGACACGGCGGCGTGGATGCCGGATGATGATGTGCCGGCGGTCGAGTTGCCGCTGGCCAAGGCCACGGAGAAGGTGCTGAGTAGTATGCACATGGTCCTGGAGAAGACCATCAAGGCCCGGGATGAGGAGATGAGCAGGTTCGGGCTGTCTCCTGGGGCGAGTGTCGGTGGCGTGGAGGGCCAAGGGGCGCCAGAGAGCGACAGCGAGGACAAGAGACGGTATCTGGCGCAGACTAAGGCTGCAGAGGTGAGGGTCGTGAGGAACGCAAGGGATCTGGTGTGTCCCGAGGAGAGATTCAAGGCTGTTGCTATGGAAGTATGAAGCAAGGTGGACGGGCCATGGTGCGTGCCATTTGTGGCGGAGGTAGACTTTGCCATAGAGCGAAAGAAAGAGCCGACATGGAAAGGCCGCTTCTTCGAGTGCTGAGGACATTAACCTCATTGAGAACCGGGCATCCATTGTTCATCTATTCATCATCAAGTCTATTTCAACCAGTGCCATCCGTGGTCCTCTTACAAGAGAGATCGACCCGACACGAACCGAAATGCTTTTCCTTGGGAAGCCATCTAGTTTCCTGTACTCCCAAAACCTCCAGCTCCTCTGACGCTTTCCTCCAGATCGTCCACCTCGACAATGTCAGGAGTGTATATCCGCTCCAAAACCAATTGTGCAACGCGGTCTCCCTTCTTCACCTCGAAATCCTCCTCGCTGTGGTTGAACAGCAGCACTTTGACCTCGCCACGGTAATCTGCATCAATCACCCCCGCACCGGTATCGATGAAATTCTTCGCTGCTAGACCCGATCTCGGTGCAATGCGGCCGTACGTTCCTTCTGGTGTAGCGATTGATAGGTCTGTTGAGACCAGTGCCTTGCCTCGTGAAGGGATGGTGATGGGTTTGGCTGCGTACAAGTCGTAGCCGGCGGCGAAGGCTGAGCCTCGAGTTGGCGTCGTCGCGTCTGCGGAGAGCTTCTTGACCAGTAGAGGAGGGTGGGATGTGGATGTGATTTTGGGCACAGCGGGGGATGTTGATGCCATATCGGAGGTGGAGATGGGGTCGGTTTTCACGCGCTTGGCCAGTGGTGAGTTGGGCAGTGAAGGTGGTTGATGATCTCCGTTTTTGCTCTCTGGTGGAGGTGTAGACGATTCTGTCATGCTTTGCGAGGAGCAGAGGGCTTGAAGAAGAGATGCGACGGCGAAACAGTCAATGGGCGGCGGACGCTCTCCAAAAAAGACGCGTGGAGTGGAAAGCGCGTTCGGCGCGTCGGGCTCATATGCTCAGACGAAGGCATACAGCGATGTGTTTGTGCTGCGGAGTAGTTCGAGTTCTCGTCTCTTATCGTTGGTCAATTACCCGGCGAGCCGGACAATAAAAGATGTTGTCTGACACAGAAGACTTCCCTTTCAAACTCGTGAAGTTCCAGCACTCTAACAATGCAAGTTGTGCTTTACCCAAACAGCCTACATTCTTCAAGTGATGCCAAATGTGCTGAATTATTCCTCAAGGACCGATCTCCTAACACTTAATCTCAGATACGGTCAAGAACAGACCCCATGCCTTTAACACCAAGTGAGTCTTGTGCCTGCTGGTGATGAATCCGTCAGACTTTAGGATTTCCCCAGCTTTTTAGTGCCGAGGTAAGGCTTGCCGCTTGGAGAACGACAGCCTCGGCGATATGAATGAACGACCTTACCTGCGCCCCTCGTAGAAGTAATCGACATCTTCTATATTCAATGCACACATAGAGAAGCATGGCCGGGCCGGTGCGGCAACCTATTGATCTGGCCTCCCTGGAGCGCTACATCGACAATAATGTGCCAGAAATCAAAACTCCGCTTGAATTGAAGCAGGCAAGCTGCTCCCATGCCACTAATAGTACAAGACTTACTGTTCATACAGTTTGGCTTCGGTCAATCGAACCCTACCTACCAGATCACGGACTCCGCAGGTACAAAATATGTTGTTCGCAAGGCTCCGCCTGGCCGGCTCCTCAGTAAGACGGCTCACCGAGTTGATCGAGAGTACCGCATTATCAGCGCACTGGGTCCGACAGACGTACCTGTACCAAAAGCATACTGCTTGTGTGAGGATGTCAGTGTCATTGGCACACCGTTCTATATAATGGAATTTTTGGACGGGCGAATGGTGACAGAGCCGCATTTCCCGGATTGCAGCCCAGAAGAGAGACTTGAGATGTATGTGAAGCCTACGCAGGACCGACACGACACGAACTGACTATACACAGGTGGCGCGATGCTGTACGGACACTGGCCAAGTTCCATCGGGTAGATATCAACAAGGCTGGACTATCAGGTTTCGGCCGACATGGAGATTTCTATGACCGTCAATTGAAGACGTTCGGTACGCTATCAAAGACACAAGCATTGGCCGAGGACGTGGAGACAAAGAAGCCCGTTGGGGATATACCTCATTTTGATGACATGGTTGCTTTCTTCAAGCAAAAGTCCAAACAGCCCAAAGACAGATCAACTTTGATCCACGGCGATTATAAAATTGACAATCTGGTCTTTCACAAGACCGAACCCCGAGTCATCGGTATTCTTGACTGGGAAATGGCAACCATCGGACATCCACTGTCAGATTTTGTCAATCTGACTGCTCCATGGGTCTGGGCAGGAAAAGTCAGTGGTTCTGCACATTCGAACAAGGGGAGTGAGGCCTTCAAGGCAGGTGCTACTCCAGGTCTTCCCTCCTTGGACCAATGTATACAGTGGTATGCTGAAGTGTCTGGCTATGATCCGCGATTGGAGCTGGCATGGGGCAACGCCTTTGGAGGTTTCAGAGGCGCCATCATCATGCAAGGTATAGCTGCGAGATATGCGCGGCGCCAGGCAAGTGGCACGACGGCCAAGAACTACGCCGAACAAATGGCCCCTTGTGGCGAGTGGGCCTATAGTCTGGTGAAGAAGTTGGAGGACACGTCAGATGGGAAGGCAAAGCTATGAACCGTCAGCGTGAGGATGAGTTTGGTTGGCGAGCCCGTCCAAAGGAATAGGTCGTGAGCGGCGCGTGGCACTTATTGCAGCAGCCTGTTCGCTTGGATTATGGAATACGGCCAGTCAATGTACATACGTCCTAGAGCCAGACTAAAAATCATAGGAACCAACAGGCTGTTGCAGTAAATCTCGTCTTGAGTTCCATAGATGCCACAGAGTCCAACTGCAGAAGTATTGAGCCGACGTCGAAGTCTCATATCTCAGACAGTGGTGGTGTTTGTTTGACTAGGAATCGATTTGAGATACTCCGTATCGTGTTGTGAAATTGGACGGAAAGAACCACTACCGGCTCCTTCGATATGCATAGAATCTTCTGCTTTGCAATCATAGTTCCCCAGGATTAACTTACTTCTCGCACAGCCACATCCATCGGAAGCAACAAAAGGACATAGCAGCAGTCTCACCTGAACACCTTCCCGTTGTGGTCTACGCTCCCGGGTCTGCCATTTCCACCCAGCCGAGCACTTTCTGATGGCGATGAAGATCCACCATCCGTCGCGACCAAGATATGTACCCAGTATTGTCCGGATAGTTAGAATCGTATGCATAAGCCCCTAAAGCGGCGAACAAGCTAAATGTTCCTTCCAATCCTCATGCACGATCGGTCGTCGAGGATTCGATACTCCGTTTTCATGTCAGCACGCAAAATATGGAAGTCCGACATGATACGTCGGGCTCGCTCTCCCTTGGATGAGGTGTCCATGGGGTAACACACCTCGCTGGTCATGTAAGCAACCTTCCAGAACCCATTCTGCGGCAAAGAGACAAGGGTGTTGGATAGGCTGCTGACATTATTCTCCAGGTCTCCAGGTCATGAGGCGTCAGCACCACCCAGTGGCTTGGGTTGGAAACACCGAAGCGACTGCGAGATAAGCCCCCTCATATTTGTCATCCTTGACCATCTGGAATATTCAGACGTCGACTAGGGAGGTCCAGAGTCAGGAAGGGACCAAGCGAGCACCGCTCAATTTCTTGACTGAAATCCATACAATTTGTGCAGCAATGCATTTGCTGACTTAACAAACAAACAGCTGGTCTGCCCGTCCTCACCGTCTTACCAAGGGATGCTATCAGGTCGTCGATTGGAACAGTGCCACTTCATGCACATACAAGGGTTATCCACATTTCCCCTTTCTCTCCAAGCCATTTCCAACCACCATGGACAGAAGGTCTTGGATTGTGCGCTAGTTGAGACGTCTGCATATTGTTGTCGTCAAGAGATCACTGATGGCTCGTTTCCCCCATGTTTTCACGACAATAATACCTGCTCAATGAACAACAACAACAACGACGACGATCGAAGAAGGCTCGCACTCGGGATCGCACTGGAGGTTTTATCCGAGCACGTGAACCGCTGTGCTCCTGGTCCAACCACAGCACAAGCTAAAAGACCCAGCCAGCGCTGGATTTAACCCATTTGAGATTGGTCCGGTCTTTCAAGGTTGGGGGCTAAACAACTATGGGCGGTGGGCAGGCATGGGGGCATTTTGGTACCGAGTTGCTAGCCTAGTAAGCCCTGGCGTCTGCCCCAATACCCATGAAAATCGGCCAAATCACAGTGGGAGACCCAGTGCCCAAAACAGCCTGGCTTGCATCGTGGCGGTCGGTCGAAACCAGAGTGGAAGATCAGTGAAGATCCTAGACTCTCCACCATCATCACCATCGAGCTTGCAACCGGAACACAACACTCCGTACCCGCAGTTTCCTCTCCACCTATCACGAGCCCACAGTACTCGTATGTAAGAGCTGCTTCGCTCTGAACTTTACAGTGATTTTACTCGTACGAAGAGCTTATCGACCAACACGCTCAATTGGCACCCTCACCGCGAGTGCAGCGCTCGTATCAGGAAGGTTCCGGTGCATATCAATTTGCAGGCCCAGGCGATGTAACCTCTCGCTGCGCCCGCCAGGTCCTTTTGTGAATAGCCTACTCGGTCCCGAGTTAAGAATTTGGGCCTCGGGGAATTCGAGCAGAGATTCGTCGGGTGCCAGCCGACGCCGGAGTCACTCCACTTGGTGCACGTACGACCTACTCAAAGCGGGTGTCAGACACACACCGGTCCGACTTCAGCATCAAATCTTGTTGAGGAAATTATTGATGCAGCTTGCTACTCGTATCTCCGCTGCGAAACAGTGCTCTAATGTCCGGTCATGATCCAGACAGCTCTTGTAAAGCAGCTGACAAGATAAAATACGTACTTGAGACACCGAGCACACTTATCTCCGTGTCCAAGACCTCATCTATTGATTCAGGTGATGACGAAGACCTGGCAGATCGCGAGAATTGTTTGTCGAGAAATCCCCAGTGATGGAGGGAGGAAGGTACTCGACAGACTCTTCTCTTTCCTGGAGCTCTGGTAACAGTGGGCCAAGCGTGATACTCCGCTAGCTGCAACTTCTCACAGGGCTGTGGGATCTTCAAGCTTTCAGCCCAAAGAATCGAGTATCCATGCTGCAGGACGAACTAAGAGAACCCCCTCTTGTGTTCCCAGTCGCCATGAGGGATCTTTTGCAACCAATCTGCAATGCAACTGCTGATCCCTTCACCGGCTGGATCCAAATAATTACGGTCAGGGATGAGCAGCTGTCACCGCGATATGAAAATCAGAGGGCGCAAGGAGCAAGATTTGTGGCGTGTATGGTGGATCTTGGTACACCAGAACAAAGGAGAGCCGTTCAATGAGTGGCGCGTTAGCGTTTGTCTCCCATGTTATCCCCCCTGGACACCGCTCGCATCCTACCGCGATTGAGGCTAGCCGGGTACAGGGTTTTGGTGAAGTCACCACAGGTCTTGCTTATGAAAGCATCCACGTTCCGACCATGGCCCATAGCTCGCGAAAGGGCTGGGATCGGGTAATCATTGCGAAACTCTGGCCCCCACCCATTGAAGTACCACCGTGCAACACCTGACAAGCTGGCAGTTTTCGATTTGTCCAGTGGGTAGGAGCCAGTCAGTGGGTGCGGATATCGTTCCTAGGCGCGAATTTCATCAGGATCTGCGCGCTGAGAGCCTTCAACAGCAGCATTCGCGAGTGCCCGTGTTGGGAAACTCGATAAGTTCTACCTGTTTGAGGCTAAAAATGCATGACAAATTTCTACGAGTTACGACTTGGAGTCCTCCTTGGCCAGCACTAAGCTGAGCCTTACCATATTGGAGCAGAGGCGGGCGACCACTCCGTCCACCTTTCGAGCGAGGGGGTCCGTCTCATGGGATTTGGTTTGTGCCTTGCAGCTGCATGTTTGCCTGGCATTACGAACACGTCCCTACTCGAGGGACAGGCCAGAAATGACATGGCACTCGTACAATTTCTTCACAGGAGGTTTGGCATCCAGGATGCATAGCTTGCATAGCTTGAGCATAGCATGGTGTGATCACGAATAGAAGACAAAAGTCCATTCCTCCCGGCTTGGCTGTTGCGACTTGGCTCTCACCATTGACGCTTGGAGCAAACATCGACTCGGCCGTACTACACGTTGATCTTGGAAGCATACGTATGCAAGCGCAGATGTGTGCATAAAGACTTGTCAAACGGTCGCAATGTTGACCTGTTTAGGATTATTGCACGTTTGGACCGCACAGGATCTTTTTCCGGACTGGCACTATTGCTTGCTGTTGCCTGGGCTGTGCAACTGTGACGGAATCGACCAGTCAGTATCCATAAATATTGGGCCGCGACGAACGAGGCGTCGGCGACTTTCGCACGGAGAGTTTTTCGCGCGTTTCACGTTTACAGCGGCACATGCCTTTCCTACTGAGGTACTCACTCTCACTATTCGTACTGTGCTTAGCTGACATGGGTAAGTACTTACGGTGTTGGCAGTACCGGTGGTTTGAGTTGCGGATATGGGCAATCATCATTGCCTTTGATATCTGAAATAATGTGTGCTACCCAGGTATCCTGGGCTCTGCCTTGCTTTGACTACTGCTAGCCCTGACACGCTGCTCTTCACGAGTCGTCCTGTACCGTCTAGCGTCACATCGCTGCTACATAAGTATTGGCATGGCAGTCCATTCGCAACCTCGGTCGTTCGTGCTGACCACACATACAACTATGGAGTAGCCGTGGACTAATCACTCCGAGCGAGGCAATGCACACGGTTTCGCGCTGGAGCATTTCCTTTGATGTACCAAATTCAGTCTGTAGCGACTGTTTCTTTTTATTCTCCTATCTCAGGGATCGACCTGGCGCTGGCCCTTCCCCCCAAAATGAGCTGACCCGAGCTGAAGTCGAGCGTGCAGATCATTTCCACATGAGCTTGGTTCCCATTCCATGGTATCAAAACAAAAGTTAACTGTGCAAGCCAAAAACAAAAAAAATGGCGCAAGGCAATATGTGGCCATGTGAAATAGTTTCCCGGTCATCAATCTGGTTCCCATACATTTCTGCGCCGTGATTCCTCGCCCGGATGGCCGTTGCAAAATCCCCCTTAAAAGATCAAGGCCTTCTCTATCCCATTCGTACATGCCCTGGCTTGAGATGGGCAGTGTCCAGTCTAGCATTGACATATGACAAAGTGGCCGGGATAGAAGGTTTTACGCTCACATAGAAAACGTCCCGTGGTTCTTCTCCTGGTGAGCCCGTCCGTCTCAGAAGAGAATCCTGAAGAAACAAGCGACTTGCTGGGTCCGAACGTAGACATCCTTCGTTGAATATAATTAGCTCTCTCCTCGTCTTTTTGGACTTGCTGGGCCATTCGTGACTTCCCGGCTCTCGCGTGTAGAAACCGCCCGTGATTGTCGGTGGAAAATGCCTTGCAAATCTCGTGCGTTGTCGATCCTAGTGTCTTTAGAATAAAGACTGTCAACTGCGCGCTGCTTCTCTCATTCTCTCACTTTCGACTCGAGCTCTGCGCGTGACTGGGTTTCTGCTGCTGCTGCTGCGGGCTCTGGTCCTTGCGGTGGATCCGGCGGACGTGGTCTTTCATGTTGTCCATGCGGGAGAAGACCCGGGGACATTCTTCACCGTCTGGGCCTCGCCATTCGCACTTGATACTGGGGCTGTGCTTAGCCTCGTGCCGGGCGCGGTCCTTTTTGCTGGAGAAGCCGCCTGCGAGAGGCTGATCGGCGGATTTTGCGCGGCTCGCTGCCGCGGCCTCGCTTTGGGGGCAGCCGTCCACACGGCAGAACAAATGCTTGCTGTGCCGGTTGTAGTGCTTGCGCAGGTCGCAGCCGCGGGTGAAGGTCGCGCGAGACGTGCAGCCTGGATAGGCGCAGCGCCAGGCTTGTGTGCTGCCGGTGGGCGAGCCGGCAGAGGACGTTGACATGCCTGTGGGCATCATGGATGGCGCTTCGGCCACGGGGATGCCGTATTGGTGGAGCGATGAAGTGGAGGATGTCGATTGGGAGCGGATGTTGGGTCGGAGCATGGTTGAGTCGCTGGAAAAGGATTTGGAGAGGTGTGGAATGGGACTGCATGAGCGAGATAAGGAGGAAATGCTGCCCCTGCTTCGGTGTGAGGCATGGGAGAATGATGGCGATGCCACTAGGTGTCCGTTTGATGCGAGTGCTGGTGGCGCATTGAAGTCGAAAGGAGTCGGCTGGATGTCCTGAGGTGTTGGGGGAATGATGTTTGCCATGGAAGGGTGTGTTGAGCTGAAGGCATCGTAGGATGTTGAATGGGTTGGTTCGTAGGGCATCATGGGCGTGGGTTGAGAGTAGTTGGGGAATTGGAACCAGTTGGTTTGCTCATACATGTTGTATGAGTTGGCGCCAGCGCCCGACGTCGACGTGTGTCCGAAGGCCATTGATGGATCGGTGACTGGCGCGATTGGGAAGAAAGAGGCTGAATCGGATGAAGTGGCGTCGTCGAAGTTGAGATGCTGGAGATCGTGAGAGTGAGACCGATGCTCACCAGACATGGCGGACAAGCCGGGTAGCATGAATAACGAGTCTGAGGAGACCGACGAGGCGTGGTCTCGACTTGAAGGAGCCGGTGATGGATATGTAAAGCCCACAAGGGAAGGAGAGCAAGTCAGCAAACCGCTCTGGTCGAATTCGTCAAAGTCGCTGGGCGGGGGCGTGATGGAGAAGATGTTTGCTTCCTGGGTGTCAACTGCCATAATTGCTCTGTGCCAGCGGTCGACGGGATGGTCCCTTATATTAATTTTAGGAACTGGGCGAGGTGATCGAGACGCATATATACTTCTCTTCTCTCTCTAGGTTGCCAAAAATGGGGATGTCCCATTCAAAGTAGATCTGGAGCGAGAAGGTCAGGGAAGTGGTCGATGTCGAGAGAGCTCGCGAGCAATGTTGATGATGAACATAGAAACCACGAGCTATGGCTAGCTGGGGGCGAAGAAGGACATATTCATAGCAGGTTCGAATAGTGGCTCGAAACCTAAAAGCGCTTGTGCCTGTTGAAGGTTATGGAGTGGTTCTCGTAGGGCTACGAAATACCCCGACCCCGTTGCTGACAGTATCCCAGCAATCCCAGTATCCCAGTATCCTAGAAGTCGATCGCTGGAACCCGCACTCGCACAGCGCGGTCGAGCGATGCATGCATGGCTGCGGGTCCTGCACCGCCGAGCCATGGTGCGATTGCGCAGGCCCCAGTCTCCAGTCGTCGCAACACTGCACGCATGAGTTCCTCGACAGCGAGGGCGGAACAGGCATGGACTCGTCAGGGGTGGAGACCGGGAGCAGCAAGCCACTGTTTGGTGAACATCAGGGCGAAATGGTTCAGGGTCGGTGACTGGAGTGAGGGCGCAAGGTAGCACCGGTACGCATGCAGACGGTGTTACCGGCGTCAGGGCCAGGCGGTTTGCTGATCATCTGCGGTGAGGGCGCTGGGTGACCACGGTGACCTTTCCACGCTCTCGTAACACGGTATCGATGTCGTCTTGAACGTGGAGTTCGTTTACTAGCGTCGTATGATTGAGTCCATGTTGGTCCATGATGGGCCCCGTCTTCTCAAAGTTCTCATCTTCTTGCACCTATCACACCCAGCACACCGTCTTTGCTTGCTGCCACCCAGCTGCTGCAGTAGCGCGACACCAGGGCGGCGGGTAGGGCTAATTTTGATCCTTGCTAGACTTGATGTGGCTTCGCCCACGGGCCAGATAGTGCCTGTGAGTGCCCTGTGAGTGCCTCTGCATGACCCCCATCAGTGTCGATTTAGCCCTACCATGGTAGCTCGTAGAGCCATATCGTGATTTGCATTGTGCAAAAAAGCCACGGCACGCACTACTGCACTGCACCGCTTCTCTGGTCGTTTCAAAAATGCTCTTTCTTTCGGCCGAAGCTGCGTGCAAGCTATGCATTATTTCTTCATCCGTCTTTGTCCAGTCGCGGAGGCAGTACACTTGCTACAAGCTACGTAGGCACGCAGATCTCCTGGTTGGGTTGGTGATTCAAATCAAAGGAGGCCGTTGAGTCCCTTCATCAGTTGGCTCCAATATGGTCCTGGATTACTACTATGTATGGCAGGGTTCTACTGTCCGAACACAGTTTGGGACGGGTGGAAAACTTCAAACTTCAAACATCCAGCTTCCCTCAACCTCCTCCACCACTGCACCCCCTAAGCCTTGTGCGATTGACAAGCTGAGGCTAGTGTCCCCTGTCTGAACGAGATCGCTGCGTCATCCGGTCTGAAATTATGCCGTGCACAGTCTCTCGTCCCCTCAAAAGTCCATATCCACTGTGCCACTATCCCCTCCCGGCTCGGAGCACAATTTCGCCTTGGAGAAGAGCTATATCCGACTCGGCTGTTGACATCCGCTATTCGTGGATGCGCTGCCCATACAGAATTATTATTGTCCATGGGCATTCCATTCAATTGTGAGATTGACCCCGACGGTCCGAAGTCTCTCGGGCTGGGTTCTCCAGCCAGGGCACCTGCTTACTCAAAACGTGCCAACTACAGCGACCACAACGTGTTACAGTGTCGCGGTGCTGCATTCGTTTAGTAGGTCTTTTGCCGAAGAATCGACGTACGACAGCCACCTGCGTGCTCTTGGTTCTATTATCGAACATGATCGTCCTTGTTGCATTCAAACGTGGCCGTATGGAGGTTCAGCGTACGAGCTTTAAGGCAGTGGCAGTCATGCTGTGGAGATCACAATCTGCGCAATCAGAACGTGCGATATCAGCCTTGATGCTACATAGGCTCATGGCACTGGGTTTCTGTGTCCAATACCGGGGACGACCTAGTGTACACCAGAAAATATCCCATTACGTCGATGTTTCCCTTTCGAGGTCGCCGGGGCTGGTGTAGCGATATCCGATGGCACCTCCAAACGATCTACCACAGACTTTAGCGACAGACCTGGCTGAATGCTACTCGAGATGATCCAACGTTCAGCGCATCTCCAATCGGTCAGGAACTCGCCGGCTGTGCAGAACGATCTTCACACTCTGCTCAATAGCCCAAATCGGCATCCCGCTTTCCAGGATACGGGAGTTGACCTCTCTTTTTCGGGGTCGCCTTTTCCGGTGGATCACTTGTTCGACTGTGGTTCTTTGGCATAGCGTAGGCACCAAAGTCCGCGCAATGCATACGAGATGCGCTGCGACTGTCGATCAGTCCATGTTCCTATTCTGATGCCACTATCTCCGCTATCTACAGATGTAGCATGACGGGTGTTTCCTTGGTTCAGCACAGCTTCTCAGCCCGCAGGCAATGGGACGCACTCTGGACAACGGTGATCTACTGTACGAAGTGCAGAAGCTTCACTGAGCTTGGAGTTCTTAGTGGGCCTCAGCCTCGACATACAACAAGATCTCGTATCAAGCAAGGGGGCCAAAATCCCCAGCTACGCTTGAATCCCTATCTCCAGTGCTCCAGAATATACGTCCCAGTTAACACCCATTATACTAGCATACTCGGCAGCCCTACCGATCACGAGTCCACCTATGCTAGTATACGAATTGCTCGAAAAGGCAAGTGGCACTTATAGCCATTGTTCAAATTGCGTATGACAAGACCACAACGTCGGCGTGCCATTGGGCCTTGCCGTCAGAAGAACCTCTATAAAATGCACGACATCAATATAGCCACGAGGCCGTCAGGCCTACTCTGCTTGACAGGGAGGTCCACTACCGGATCGGACGTAGCTGGTATCGTGGCACATGCATCTCTCTTGTAGAGTACGTCCTGCGCGACCGGGACCACCTTTGGAAACAAGACAAACGAATATAGAAATAGGAGTGGTTGATGTCACCGTACAGTGCATCTTGCGCAGAAGCATTTCGAAATACTTCGCAATTCGCTCCACAACCAGGACAGACGCTCAAATGAGGTCTGTGGCTCGCTCAACAACATGCTCCAAAACCTGCTTTCAGCAAATGCCGTTCAGTTAGTGTAGTCTGTGAAAGAGTTTCGAAAAGCATCCATTCGCCACGTGTTCTTGCACACATGGCACAGAAGGTGATGTTGAAGCTCTTTGTTAAAAGGTCCACGAATATGCTTGGATTCGGCCAAAGCGACCTCGAGGTACGACGTCATTGCAAGCTCGGCACAGAAATCAAGAAATGGTCAATCCTGGAGGTTCAGTGAGAGATAGGTGGCGCCAGTCGATGCTCGAGTGAATCGCTTTCTCGCATCTTTCGAACGCTTGAAAGAGAAGCAAAAGAAAAAGAAAACAGCGGCCAGATGCCAGATACTCGCCAGTAGGTGGCCAGATGCTAGATGCCGCTAGAAAGATTACTGCACTAACTAGTTTGAGAATGTACAATCACGTGATATCCAGCTTGACTTCGCCAATCTGGCCGCAGAAGCCCAGACTGCCTCGTGCACGTCTCGTTTCATCAGCCCCTTCCTCATCCGATCAATATTATAATTTTCAGATTCAGTCAGATGTCCTTCTGCTCACTCTGTCTTCTGGGTCATCAGGATCTTGTTATATCCTTTTCCGAATACAAATAACCTTCTTCCCCTGCTCTGATTGCCGTGCTGGAAATGAGTCGACAAGAGGTTGTCGATCCGGAGGACCGCCAGATCGTGGAGAAGTTGGCCAAATTGCAGAGCATGTACAGCCAGGTGAGTCGTTCTCCCCGCACCTTTCAGCTGGAGCTGCGTTGTTGCATAGCAAGAAGACGTAGGCTGACTCGTCGCAGATCGTTGGCCTTCGGACATTGTTGCCGGAGAAGCTCATCAATCCAACCAGATTCGCTCTGGAGAATCCGGATGGCTATGACCCTGAGAAGCTTGCGACTTACTTGCAGGATGCAGCGCAAGCGGGCATTCGGGAAGTCGAAAGATTCAAAAGGGACTGGCACAGTGACGACGTGCGAGAACTATGGCACGCTGTGAATGCTGGAGATGTACCCCAGGGTGGAGACGCCTGGACGTTGGATTACGAGAATCTCCTTGTCAAGAACGGTGATAAGCACGCCGTATCAACCATGGTAAATGGCTTCAGCCATGACTCGCATACACAGACCGATGCGGAGATTACCAAGATAGTCAGCGATTTCCGATCAAGACATCCCGAGCTGAAAATCAACGTGTTGGATGCTGCTCATCCTGTGCCAGTTGATGTTGGCCTGGGCCAGCTCGAGTTCCGCATCGAAAGAGACCAGTCTGCAAGTGACGCTACTTTCAAGGTATTGGGCAAACCTGGTACCGAAACCTTTGCTCTGCGTGATGATATCCTCGAGACCATTCAGAAGGTTGGCGGCAGAAGCAATCTGGCCGTGTTGTTGGTATGACATCCTCAGCTTCACTTCTGCTGCAAGCTGACTGCGTACAGGAAACGACGGCTGCTTACCACGATATCAAGACTCGCGCTTGTGATAAATGCAACAAGCTGGTCAACACCAAATTACAACTACCGCTGATCCGGCAGTTGAAGAGTGCAACAAGCGACGGCAAGTTCGAATTCCTGGCGCTTCATCCAGACTGCGCGTGACGACATCTGGGAACCAGTCTCAGCCCACCCGGCTTTTCGAGGCAATGAGCATCATAGGCGTCTAGAAGTTCCTGATGAACGAAAACTGGAGCCACCGCCATGGAGGGCCATAGTACGAGTCTCGGCATAAAGCATTGGTCGTATGCTGTGCAGCGAGTATCGGCACAATGAAGCATCAGCGAGGGTAAGACGGTGAAGTCAGCAAGTATAACTTATGGTGGGTTGCTAGCAACATCATGATGTGCACCAGCGTTTTCTCTGCTTGATGTTTCTTGGGAGCCTGTTATCATAAAGGGGTGGGACCTAGAAAGACTCTAGGGTCGATATTCGCATGAATCAGAACGACAATCTGAGCATGTTAACAAACAGTCATCGTGGACATGAACGAGTCTTGGGCTTCACACGGCTTGGCGACTCCTGGAGGACTAGACACGCTTCACACCCGGACAAGAATAGCGGTATCCGTGAATGCAATGTCGCCCTGTGAAGACTGACGACGATGCAGCCACTCCAGGTCAATCAAGAGGAAGGACAGCCGAGGGTACATTGCTTCTGAACCTCAGCCCGTCTGCAGAGATATGGTACATTGGCAACGGCGGCAAGACACCAGCCTGTGCTTTGTGCAGAAAGCATCAGCTGAATCGTATCAACCACTTTTGAGGTGCAGAAGGCCAGCTGCCCATCGGACCAAGGCCACATCTCGCCATCAGACCACCCCTCTACCTCACTCTCTGCATATTCACGTTGAGCATGAATGCAGGATAGCAATCGATTCTGCTAGAAGTTGTTTGTTCAATCACATATTCAGCAGCACTAGCATTGTCTGAACGACCTTCCCAACGAGACACGTTATGATGGAAAGTCTTTCCGACGCCGAAAAGTTGACTTCGGTTACTGTTGGCGGGCACAAAGGTACCTCCAAACATGTGCGACTACAATCGTGGGAGTGCTTGACCGGCAGCTGCGCCAACCTCAGCCTACAAAGACCACCACCCACCACGACGAAGGCTTCGACTTGGACGACCGGAGCAGTGTCGGAACAATTCCAACCCTCGAGAAAGCGAACGTCTGATGGGAGCGTCAAGGATGATCAGGCTTGGAAGACGTCCGATTTGGAGGACAGTCTGCTTTCGATATCGAGCTTAGAGGATACTACACAAGTTCAGGTGGCTATGGACATGGACATATTGCGACGTCGGATTGCTACCATTCAGGCTTGGGAGAGAGGCGCCGTGGCAAGATCCTGTACAGGGAGACGCGACCACGCGGCAGGGAAGCAACAAGGAAAGGGTAGGATTAGCAGCGACCAGCGACAGAACAGCATTTTGGATTGGAAGGAAGAGGTCTTGCGTTGACAGCCGCGGGCAAGAAAAGGAGGAAATATCAGGGCACTATCATGTGCATGAGTAGCAGGGCTGGTGTTCTTCCACGTTGACAACTATCGGCTTGCACGATGAATCCAAGCAATGAGGCAGGTTGTATCTCAGTCTGCGAGTGCATACTCAGTTCAATGAATAATGAATGATGAATCTGGGCTGCATGATTGACCAAAATAAACCAGAGCCATACCCGAGATGGTTAGACAGTGACAGGCCCGTTAAGAAAGTGGCTGTGGAAACGCGGTCTTTAGGTGGTCTCTGGCTGGTCTTCTATCTTTTGTTGTGGCTCGGGCGCCGTCCGTCGCCCAGGGTGAGTGAGACATTGATGCGTGGGAATTTCCAATCCGGTCTCCTTACCACCTGCGCACCTAGATATTCTTCTTCTTGATTCATTTTCATCCGATCCTTGCCTCTGTGCATCCTCTCGCTAATCTCCAGCATTCTTTCAACGGTCGTTATCTACCTAGACATATCTGTCATTTATTGCTGTCTTACCAGCCTGCACCAGTACTTCCTGCCGAAGCCTCAATCGAACCAATACCCCAGATTCGACAGCCCGTGCACTTTCCATCAGAATGAAGGGCTCCGGCCTCTTCTCTTTGCTCTCCACCCTCTTCATCGTCGTGGCCTTCACATCAGCATGGCCATGGCCTGGTTCATCCGATTCCGATTCCAATGCACTGGTCCTACGAAGACAAGAGCAAAAAGCATCCGAAACGGCTGCCCAAACCGCCGCCGCCTCCACAGGTGATGCAGCAGCGACCACCGCCGCCGCATCAGATTCTGCATCAGATTCAGCGTCTGCCTCAGCATCTGCCTCAGATTCCGAATCTGCATCCGCCTCGATAACATCTGCGTCAGGGACGGAAGGATCAGGATCTAAGAGCGGGACAAAGACAACAGCTACCAAGACGACAGCGATTGACCCTCGTCTGCCACCTGGCGGGATTTCCCTTATAACACCCGCTGCAACCGATGGGATTCAATTTTACAGGGTTGGAGAGAACGTGACTTTCCAATGGAACTATACCTCGTTGTCCGTGACACCATCAGCCATTGATGTCCTGGCATCATGTTCACTGAACCAAGCCACATATACCATTTCAGCAAACATGTCCGTAGAACCTACAGGCGCCATCACTTGGGATACTGGCAATTTCCCAGAAGCTATTACCTCTCCCTTCGCCGTGGCGAGTTACACCCTCATTGTCCACGATGCAGCAAGCGACATTACGGATGTGCCATCCGCCGGCTATCTGGGTGCCTATAACCAATATGTTTTTGGCATGTACACAGGGTACGTTTCGTGGACTGTCAAGTGAAAGAATAGCGAACTAACCCGGTCGCAGGCAAGCATACACCCCCCTGAACGAGTTCAAGTGCGCCACCTGCAACGGCGCATTTTCTGTCCACGAGAAACAAGTCTTTGGCGTTGTCTTGATGACTGCTGCCATTACAGTCATGTCCTTCACCTGGTTTGCCAATGGTTTTGGTGTGTTCTCATGAAAGCATTTGGATTTGGTCCATGTTTGCATTGATACATAATATAATGAACCTATCGGATGACAAATAACGACGAGGCGGATTGTATACAGCATAGCGGAAGGGGAAAAGTCTGGAGTTCTTGGATGGCGGATCACCTTCGGAGCGATTTGAGGGACTTGACGGCAGGCTACATGATGGCCTTAAACGGGGAAGGACAACAACTTCCGCTTCGTCTGGAATTTGGAATGCCTTGAAAAACGCCATCGACAATGGTGATATGAACATACCCTCCCGATATGGGAGCAATCAGACATCACTCCTATTCACATGCAGTCGAGAGGGAAATCTTTACTGCTAATATACCGATATCGAACCGGAAGTGACTTTGTCAACGGCTGGCAGCACGATTTTGATCACAATGCAGATGGCCAGCCATCGAGCCCGCATATCAAGCGTTGCAGCCTCGTGGACGGGTCTTGCCTTGTCTATTTGTCAATGACAGCCTCATTCGGTCTCCCGTCAATCTCAGAGTGGTCTGCCAGGCCAGGGCTTGCTCGATACCGCCTTTCAGTGGAGCTCATTGAGCGATCCTTGGACGGCGGAAGAGAAAAAGTACTTCCATTTTGAGCCTCGAGATGACCAGTCACGCCTCCCCAGGGCTTCATCTTTGTCACTGAGCCTCACTCTTCGTTTGTGACTTCCGCTAAGTGATGACAAAATACTTCGTTCCAGTTCCTCGTTCATACCATGAAGGTACCCGTTGTAGAGAGCAGGTGAGATGGAGAAGTACAAAAAGCTCCTCTTGTGCTCCCTCTTCTTGTACTCTGAACAAGCCATCCACCAAATTCTCCTTCCTCTCCTCTGGGTTTGCTCATAATCGAGCACAGAGGGTCTTCTTGTGATCTCAAAACATTCCCAATCAAGTTTCACGTGTTGCCCAGCAGATACTTTTTTCCAGAGAATTTAAGCACAACAGAAGCACTTTCCCATCGCTTGTTACTGGGTGATTGGACCTCGACACCTCAACGGAAGGGACAGCGTCATCTTGCAACACATCAAGCGCTATTTCTGAATCAGTGAATACACAGCGATTCTGCGGCCCTTCCGCATTCCGGCAAGCATCCAGCCTCGCCTCATCGTCCAGCATTCGGCCACGTCCGTACCCTCGACTCACGCTGCACAAGCCTGTGTTCATTGTTCAGCCAACGACAACGACAAAGAAATCAACGAGAAAGCAAGCAAAACGAAATGCCATCCCAAGGCACGCCGCGGCGACCGGAGAACTGGCTCCCCGAGCACGACATCTTTGTTCGCCGTCAAGCCCGCAATGGTGAAGACGTCACGAGCATTCTCATCCTCTTTGAGACGGAATATCCAAATGTCAAAGTGAGCAAGGAGTGGATCAAGGAGAGAACCAATGGGTCCTCGTACACTCGATGAAGAAATGTCCCCAGTCCCTAGAGGGGTTCAGGGCCTTCTCTGGCAAGTGCTACTCGTACACGGTGTTTTCATTTTCGGGATTCAACGTTTGATTTGAGATGAGTTATGACGGGTTCAGCGGTTGTTGGGATTCGAAAAACGGGCAGAGAATTTTGAAAAAGGGGCTAGAAAAAACGAATGTGTGGCTCGTGGAATTTATCGGAGCCATCATGCGGCTGAGACGACATTTAAGTAGAAGCACCGCAGGCGAATCTCTTCTCTGAACATGGAATGAAAACAATCAATAGACAATGTTTTGTTTTTGTAATATTCTACACTCCTACACCCTAAACTCTACACTCTGCACTGTACGCTGAAAAGTGTGGATATCTCACTCCATCAGTCAGCGAGGCGGCTTTGGACGATTCGGGTTCGCCGAATCTGACTGACACTGACCACGGAATTGGCCTCCTTCCGGTATGTAGAATACCAGTACAGTATACACAATTCTTCTGTTCGGGCGCTCACTACTGCGGGACAAGAGAACAGCGGACCAGGAACGCTACTATTTAGGAAGCACAGAGCGAAAAAGTAGGTAGTTTCGTGCTTGGACCAAAGGCCCTGTAGTATAATTCCCAGTCTGAGGCCGAGCCTGGTGCGCCAGAGGTACAACTACATTGCAGTGTGCGCAAGTGACGGAGTATTGGGTTACAAATAGCCCGATTTGAAGTGGATATATATATGCTCTGTAAGCTAAGGTATGTAGTCTGTGAAATAGGAGGATTTGGAAGCGAAGAGTTTGCTGTGCCAGCCTGCCAAAAGCTGCAAAAGCAAGATCCCGATAATATCAACCCAACTGCTCGTATGGTACGGAGTAATCCTCTCACGGTATTCCCAGGGCGTTGTCCAACTCCACGCTTCAAAAAAAGGAGAATACTTATCTCTCCTGAGGTCGATCATGTCAACGGAAAGTGTGCTCATATCGCTTCGCCAAACCGCAACGCATTCGTCTCCCTCTCGCCGTGGGCGGTCAAACGTTTCTCAGGGTGGTTATGTGTGTGCGCCCATACTGGCGGCATTGCAACGCCACTGTGCGATGTCATGATGAAATCCAAACCTCCATCTTCCCCATCTCGTTTCTCTCCTTCCTCGCTTGGCTCCGGACGCTGGCCAATAGCATTTCCAAATCATCTTGGTCGCCCATGGTGATCATGTCTCCATCATCTTGCATTTTAATCTTCAGTCGATCTTTGATGCCAAATTTTTCTCGTATCTTGCTCTCAAAGTCGCCAAAATCTATCACTGCGCCGATCATAAGGTATCTCGTATCTTCGTTAAAGTGGCATTTGACTCGGATCTTGCGCATTTCGGGGCGGTTGCTGCCGCGTCCGGATCGTGACGGTGCACGCCGGATGGGTTCGAAGCCGCTCATATCGTCGTCGCCCAGTTCTTCATCTATATATTCATCTTCTTCGTTGAAATATTCTTCTTCCCGACGTCGTTGCGTCGGTCGTCTTTGTACGGGTCGCGGACTTGCGTACATATTATAGACGTCGTCCATGGTATCAACGGGGTCCTCATATCTTGGCTGCTCACGGAACAAAGGCGCCGGCGCCGGAGCTCTCTGTGATGTCGATCTATCCAGCACCTGCCGCCGAGAAGGAGCTCTCCGAGGTTCAGAAGCTGTCCTTTGGGTACCATACCGTGATCTGTCCATCGGAGGCTGTTGACTCATCATGGAGGATTCGTCTTCCCAGGAGCCTTCGTTGATTGGGGGTGGCTGCATTCTGTTCCGACCTGGCGGCGGTTGCTGAGCTCCGCTGACATCAAATGTAGCCGCACGTGATAGCATGCCTGGTCTAGGCTGCTCCATGTCGGGTTTGGTAGGATACCTCGGTCGTGGATTGCGCATAGACGTAGATCGTATGGGTAGATTTCCATTTCCAGTACTACTGGCTCTGGGCTTCTCTGTCTCGGGTGGTGGAGTTGGTGGAAAGACATTTCTGTTCATGATGGGAGGTGCGCTTTGGTCCCTCGGGATTCTGCTGGACAAATTTCGCTGGACGAGATTCGTTGCGGCAAAGCTGATATTCTCTGGAGGCCTGTCGTCTTTTGCCCCCAATTCGGCAGCTATAGCTTGCTTTCGCTCGACCCCTACGAAGCCTGTGCCCGTGTTCGCACTGTTGGACGTGGCGATCAACCGGGCTTTGCCCAGGTAGTCCTTGGCCTTGAGATTTTTGACTTTGGCCTCGTTAGGTCGGTACACGCATCCGACAGGTCTGGACAAATCAGTCAGCCACTATTGCTCATTCTCCCGGAGAGGTTGCTGGAAATCAAAGACCAGAGACTTACATGCTGAACACGACGTAACCCTAGCAGATGTCAGACTTGGATTGAGAAGCTGGAAACTAGGCACTCACCTGAGCTCTTTCCTTGATAGCATCGTCGATCACATCGTGATCGGGGGTCATTTTCTCCTTCTGGGCGAAAGTAAAGTCTTGCAAGCCAGCCTCCTCCTGCTGCAGATACATGTAGCACAGCCCACGATTGAACAAGACCTCGCAGGAGTAAAGCTTGAATTTGAGTCCGAGCTGTTCATAGTCGATGTACGTGTTTCCTCTGAGATATAGTAGAGTGTCGTTAAAGTTGGCTAGGGCCTCTTCGAAGTCACCGACGAGAAAGTTGGATACGCCTTGCTGAAAGTATGCGACAGCCAGGTACTGGTCCAGCTTGATTGCTCGTTGGTAGCATTCCACCTTTTTTCCTGTCAGTCTCGTGCTCCTGTTCGCTTCGCATAGATGTACCCACGGCTCTGTCATGCTCCCCAATTGTTGCATGTATGACCCCACAGTTGAACAGTATCTTGGATGTGTCTGCGATGGCATCGAAAATGGTCAAGGCTTCCTCGAATTCTTGATTGTCATAGTGACCGAGGGCCTCGACCCAAGTCTCTATTTCCTGCAAACTGTCAGGAGAGAATCCCTCAATGGACCAGTATAACCCACCTGTTTGAGCGACATGGCGCCGCGCCCAAAGCAGTCGAAGATGAAATCCTCTCGCTCGTGGGTGCGCGCAGCTTATGCAGGCTAGAAAAAGGGCAGGACGGTCGTGCCTGGGACGTACTCCGTATAGGGTATTGAAATGGAGGGATGCGTGCTTGAATTAGATTAAAATGGCTGGCTGCAGTTTGCTGGATGCTTCGAGGGCCGGCCCTGCGGCAAGATGACTCGATCTCCAAGGAATAAGCGCCCAGATGAGCGGTGGGCGTTCTCGGCGCCAATGCGTTCAACGAATTGGCGATGCTGTCAACTTGACAAGGTAAATTAGTGACGACCCGCGTGCAGATATTGCAAATGGTTGATGAGAAGTGAAGTGTCGTGAGATAGAGAATGTGTATACAGGAGAGTTTCCGGCAGGAGGAGAGGAGGATAGAAACAGTTTGACTGTGCCTGGAAAGGAGGTGCTTTTTCACGGCTTTGGGGCAGAATCTGTCACATAAATTTTTCCGAAGCAACCAGACCAGGGACCTTTTCAAGGAAGGTGGGGAGGAATCCCTACGCTTCTTAAGGGATGGTACAGTCGCTTCATCAAGGGTTGGTACTCGGATTTACAGGGTTCGATCACCTGCAGTCAATGAGAGATGCTGTCAGATCGCATCCGTAAGGGACTCGGCACTTTACTTTAGGTATATTTGGGGGTGACCAGCCCGGTCCTTAGCTGGCAGACCACCTACGTCGGTGGTGCTTAGGGGGCACGGGCGCCCATTGGGGTGGCTGGGATGCATTCTGCCCGCAGTGTTCGTATGGTGATCTGTAGTCTTCTTTTCTACAGCTGTCTACTACCTACCTAAGGTATAGTATAACCTTGCCTCTTACGTGCCTTGGCTGGTTTCAATCAACCTCACTCGCCAGATGATGTGACCAAAGATGGCTTCCTTATCACAGCGACGTTCTCGAGTGGCCTGAGTCCGTCACCTGAGCCGTGTCCTTGCTCGTGTTTTCTTGTCCTCTCCATCAACCACATGTCCGATGCTCCCTCAGTCAATTGTAATGTGGACCTGATCCGACACGACGATATCTGGACAAGTCTGGTTTCAGAATCACATTTTGACGACCAACCAGCGCACCCCAATCGACCTCAAACTCTCCAACAAGTCAGTGCCATGACGGGCCTGGCGTTCCGTAGAATCGGGTTTCCGGTTTTCAATGCTCCATGCAGGGGTCACGATCCAGCCAGTGCATCATTGTGCATTGTGCAGAATCCTTCCAACGGAGCACATGCAGTGATTACGACGTTTTGTACGGCGCACGGAGTACATCACCGATTGTTTCTACAAGAAGAATTCTATCTTCACGTACGGATACATCAGACTCATATCATCCCCCTTCCTACTTGCTCCTTGCGTTCCTGCCACACCGTCTTCCCTGAACAACTGCACACAGTCTTATCATTGTCCCAGACACCAGCGCTGCGAGCGATCACCCCAACCAGGGTATTGGGGTCCTCGGCCTGAAACGGTCCCTCCTGTTGTTTCGACACCACCATGCTGCGACCGACAATTTCCCATATTGACACAGGTCGGTCCAAGAACGCACTGCCTCGGCCATCCCTCCCTACTTCGACCTGGCCAAACACCCCGCGAGGCTGACTGAAGCCTCCCAAAGCCTTGATCGCTTCCCAAATCCCACCCGCCGACCCGGCACCGCGTGAAATGTCGCCTGTCTCCCGCACTGTAGCATGATATGTTCCCGGTGACACTCCACGCAACGTCAGGTCCACGAGTGTACGATTGTCCGACACTTGGACCATCCTTGCCAGGCCTCGGACTGGATCTGATACCGATTTTGCATGAGTTTCCAGAATGCACACCCCGGCAGAGTTCGCTCTCCCACTCCCACGCAAGATCGCATCTCGTCCCGTAGATTCAACGGCTGACACGATTGCTGACGGAGGTGCTGTTCCTTCAATGAAGAAAAGTTGGTCTTTAAGATTGCATTCGATTTTCGTGATGCCTGACCGGACAATGTCAGTTGTGGTCATACAGAATGTGAAACGAGCCACGTATACCTTCTACTTGGTTCAAGGCTCCAGTAACATCCTTCACACAAGAATCGCAATGCAGTGGCACAGCGAACGTTGTCTGCCAATTACGGTCAGCGTGGCCAGTCGACAGGAAAGCGCAGCGACTTACCTGAAACGGCTCGATCCCTACGCTTCCCATCTTGGTTTCTGCAAGTTCCTGATGCAAGATACACTTCGTTTCACGTTCCGGGTGCAAGGCTTGGATACTAACTTAACTTGATATGCGAAGAGTACCTTATGAGTATTCCGTGACTCCGTAAGATGCTTGGTAATAAAATAATGATCGGCTGAGAATCTTCCCCACACACACCGAAACCCCCCGATGTTGGTGGAAGTCTGGCACTGTCTGGGCCTTGGCCGCTTTTACTCCCATCATCACCTCTGAATACCACACACTGAGGACTCTGTCAAATCATGCCGGTTCCCTCAATCCTAGTAATATAGCATGACGGGTCACGAACAATTGACAAGATGGGCTGTCGATCGTGGCTTCAAGCTCAATGGCATCCAAGCCCACTCATTTCCCGGCAGAGGCTTAGGTATTATTGCCGAGAAGAATATTGAGGTAGGTTACCTACTAAGTAGAGGCTATCCTAGCTTCTTGTGTTGCTTGCTCGAGGACTACGTCTGATACCAACTAGCCTGGAGAAGTGTTGATGACCATACCAATGTCTGTCGTCCGAAGAGCTGAGACTGTTCCCAAAAGCATCTCTAAATCAATGAAAAAGACATTTCCCTGCAGCAACAATGGTCTTTTGGCTACCGAATTATTCCAGGATCAGTCTGACGACTATGCTCTCTGGCGTGACAGTCTACCCAAGATGGAAGACCTCCAGGAGGCAATGCCAGCGATGTGGGAACCCGAACTCTGCCAGCTTCTCCCACCCAAAGCGAAAACCATATTGCTTAAGCAACGACACAGGATTGGCCAGGACTGGGACGCCATGACAGCCGCAAATCTTGATATACCTATGGGTCTCTATCGATATTACTGGCTGTTGATAAGCACGAGGACATTCTACTACACTCCTCCCAGGAGAAAAACACCACCCGCCGATTCCGACGAATGTTTGGCCATTGTTCCCTACGCTGACTATTTCAACCATTCTGACGCCGGCTGCAAGGTCTCATACACAAGATCGCAATACAGCGTAATGGCGGATCGGTCATATCACGAAGGCGAAGAAGTGTTTGTATCATACGGTGCCCACTCAAATGATCTCCTGCTCACCGAGTACGGCTTCATTCTTGAGGACAATCGATGGGACGAAGTTACGCTGGATGACGTCGTCATTCCATTATTCACAGAAGGCCAGAGGGAGATTCTGACCAACGAAGGATACTTTGCCAACTTTCACGTAGACAAGGAGGGCGCCTGTTATCGAACAAAAGTGGCGCTGAGACTGCTATGTATGCCACTGGGGCAGTGGAGGCGTGGCCTTGCGCAGGGTTTCGATGATGGCGACAAGTACCAGCCAATTCTGAATGGATCGTTGCTCAGCGTCTTCAATACTTCCCGCGACGTTGTGAGGGAGAGACTTGAGCAGATCTCGCTACTCGATGTTGGCTTGCCCTCTCAAAGAGATACCCTGAAGAGACGCTGGGGACAGATCGACAAGCTTTTGATAGATGCTACAGACCAACTCAGACATTGACAGAGGCCTCGGGATTTCGTCCATGTAGTTTTCAGTCATTCTAGCATCTCATGAGCAAGGTCTACTGTGTCAGATCTGCCTCCAAACGCGTGGTCACGTGCCTTTCGATAGCTTTTTTTGGCCGACGACCACATGCAAGCAGACCGCATGCATGGACGAACCCGACCGTCGACAACGCCTTCGACAGCCCAGCGACTCCAAGGCTCCCTAGCAGGCTAGTTCCGGAGCTGCGATGGCCTCGAAGACCTCGAAATGGGCCGACGATGACGACGAAGAAGCCGCCGCAGCTGTCGCACTGCGCAAGAAAGAGAAGGAAGAGAAGAAACGCCTCAAAGAACAGAAAGCCCGTCAAGCTGCTGACACAACAGCACAGCCCGTTCCATCTACTGCACAAGAACCCGACGGCGAGAATGGAAGACCTTCCAAACGACAACGCACTTCACCTTCACAAGAGAACGGCGACGCAGAAGAAGGCGCACACCTCCTCCAGTTCCCCTCCCGACCACTACAACCATGCGGCCACGTCTCACAATACGAGACTCTGAATAACATCGAAGAAGGCTCCTACGGTTTTGTCTCGCGTGCGCGCACAAAATCCACAGGCACAGTCGTCGCATTGAAACGACTCAAGATGCACAACGAAACAAGCGACGGCTTCCCTGTCACCGGCCTGCGAGAGATCCAGACCCTGATGTCCTGCCGGCACGCCAACGTCGTCAAACTCCTCGAAGTTGTCATGGGCGATACTTTGAAAGAGTAAGTCTGCGCCCTCTTTTCCCATCCTACCTGAAAAGCGCCGATACCCGACGTTATTAACCATCTCTTTGTATCCGCCTCACAGTGTCTACCTCGTAATGGAATTCCTCGAGCACGACCTGAAGACCCTGCTCGAAGATATGGCCGAGCCATTCCTGCCCTCGGAGACGAAAACGCTCATGCTCCAGATCATATCCGCGACCGAGTACCTGCACTCGAACTGGATCATGCACCGCGACCTCAAAACCTCGAATCTCCTACTCAACAACCGCGGCGAAGTCAAACTCGCAGATTTCGGAATGGCAAGGTACACCGGCAACCCGCCGCCGAAGCTCACGCAACTCGTCGTGACTTTGTGGTACCGCGCACCCGAACTCCTGCTGGGCGCCGAGGAATACGACTTTGAGATCGACATCTGGAGCATCGGATGCATATTCGCGGAGCTTCTGACCAGAGAACCTCTCTTCCAGGGCAAGAACGAAGTCGATCAACTCTCCCAGATCTTCGCCCTATTAGGCACGCCGACAAATGAGTCATGGCCCGGTTTCAGGTCCTTGCCCAACGCGAAGGCTCTGCATCCTATTCTGTCCAAGTCTACCTCTCAATCGTCCCTGAGCGTGGCCAAGTTCCCGTACTTGACCACTTCGGGCCTGCGACTACTGTCGTCTATGCTGTCTATGAACCCTGCAGGACGACCATCGGCAAGCTTGGCCCTGACGCACCCGTACTTCAGCGAGGACCCGCGTCCGAAAGCAAAGGAAATGTTTCCCACTTTCCCCAGCAAAGCTGGCCAGGAGAAGCGACGCCGTAGAGTAACTCCTCAGGCTCCTGTACGTGGAGACGCGCCGAGATTGGATGAGCATGAATTCAAGGGCATATTTGCTGGACGGGCGGATGAAGAGCGTGGCGCCGGGTTCGCGTTGAGATTGGGCTGAAGGCCATCGCACTTGAAACTGTTGGGGCTCTAAGCAAGTCCTTTCAGAAACCCACATGGCGACGAACGCAAGAAAGTTGTCATCGCGTTACACATGCGAACGGCGATTAGTCGTCAAGTCGAGGTCCGACCAAGCTACCTTATGCCAGACCCGGATCGATGCTGCACGGGGTCCCAGCTGGAAATCTGGCGATGGGTTTTCCACTCTCCAGCTCTAGGCACAAATTCAGGACGAATTCACACATTATCAGCTGGCTCGAACAGTTGCATCTGTGTGATTGTCTGGCGAGTGGCAATTGGCGATGGGTTCAAAGCAGCCCGACTCGCAGGAAGATGATAGCAGTGTAAACTGCAAAGTTCAGATAGAAAAGGAGTCTTGACCGACGCCTCTCCGCCACAAAATGAGCTATGCTATAGAGCAGATAAACAAGACGACTCTCTGAATATCTTCTTCGAAAGATTTCTCGAACAGCATTTTAGCCACATTACTTGATGGAGACCTGTTCAAGATCTCTGGATTTCTCTTTTTCTGTCTACCCGGGAGCCAGACAATGCACGTACGTCTATCATCAGCCCTCGATGCAAATCCTCGCTCGAGCCGTCGGTGCTCTTTTTGGCCTTCTCGCCTCATCCCTTTACCTTCACGCGTCTGACATCTTCTGTCGATTTTCTATTTCCCGGACATGTCTTTCCGTTTCTTCTTAATCTCTCCGTGGGCCCCCTTGTATCCGTTGCATCACATCCCGTCCTTTGCTTTTCGACACTGCCTCCTTCTCATCATTCGTCTCAGCGTTCTTGCTTTTACTCCACGTTCTCAAACAAGAACGAGGGCAACCCCGGAACCGCATGTTCCGCCATCACGGGCAGTCCAGTCTTGTCCTCGCCCACGACCGTAACAACCACATCCTTACAGCCCGTCGTCCTCATCAACCCCTTCTTCATGTCATTCAGGATCTCCACCTCATCGAACGGCAACTTCCGTTCAAACACAGTTTCGGGACTCTCGTTGTTGACAACAAGCCGTTTCTTCAACGCCTGTACAAAAGGCATGGCCTTCTTCATCTCCGGGCCTTTACCCATCTTTGCGACCTGTCCGTTCAATGCCCTGTCATCATCCAGTGTGCTCTTCTCGAGCATCTCTCTCACCAAGTCAACATACTTGTCTTGCCAGGCCGGGAAGCTCTTCGCCACGAAGATCGTGATTCGTTTCGGTTTTCTTGGATCAAATGCCGCACTCTTGCCCTTTGCCATTTTCTTCGCCGCCTGCGCCTCCGCGCTCGTGATGTTGCTGCTCGTGCCTTTGACATACTCTCTCATCGCCGTCAAACCGGGGTTCGCGGTAGGGACCTCGGGCCAGCGCGCATTCTGGATCGAGTCGTCCTTGTGCAGCACCTCGAGCCACATGTACTCAGCCCAATGCGGGGCAATGGTCGCGATGAGGAGGGATTGTAATTCCACGTATCGCTGGACAAGGGGGCGAGACATCGGCGTACCACTGGACAGACATGCTTCGCGGTAGAAGTCACGGGCGGATTGGAAGTCGTACAGGGCGGATTTCAGGGCGAGTTTGTAGTTCGTGCTACACATTCAACACGTCAGTTATTGGTTCATGCCGAAGGGCTCAGAGTGGGGTGAGGAGTTGGACTTACTCGGAGTAATGCTGATACGCCTCGTGTACAAGCAAATTCATCTCGTCTTCAAATAACTTGTCCCAGATGACTTCGCCTTGCGTCTGTCGAAGGCTTGGATCTTTCAAGACATCTTCAATCCACTCTTTGAGTGTGTACATGCGCATAATGGCGGCGTTGGCGCCCTTTTCTTCGAAGTTTGCGTCTTCCATACCATCACCGGCGTCGGCAAGAGCTATCCGCGTGGCGTCAGCGCCGAACTTTTTTACTGCTTGACTCAAGGTCAAGAAGTTGCCGGTCGACTTGCTCATTTTGTCGCCGTTGAGCAGGAGATGGCCGTTCGATCGGACCGATCTAGGCCAGTATTCACGAGGGAAGATAGCGAGGTGGATATACAGGAAAAAGGTGAGGTGGTTGGGAATGAGGTCCTTTCCTGAGGATCTCATGTCAAGAGGATACCAATACTCGAACGACCGTCGGAGGGTTTGAAGATCGTCGACTGAAATCTTGGACGACTTGGACACATTCTGCACGTCGTTCGTCCTCGTGAAGATATAGTCCCAGACGTCGTCAGTCATCTGTTCGTCCTTGATGTTGAGCAAGCCAGGCGTCTTGCCAAACTTGTCACCGTGCAGGAAATGCGCGATTGTGTAGTAGGACATGTAAATCGTACTGTCGCTCAGGCTCTCGACCAAGAATTTAGGATCCCAGGGCAGCTTCGAGCCGAGACCATATGTTCTCGCGCACGCCCATTGGTTCAGCCATTCCAAGTTCGCGACAAACTGGTTTTGTGTCTCATGTGTGTAAGTCTCAAGACCGTTTTTGACGTACTCCAGGACCGTCTGCTGCCACTCCTTATCGTTCTCTCCGTAGTTCAAGAACCACTGCGGAACATAAGCAACCACACATTCGTCGGCGCTTCGACTGATGACCTCGGCAGAAGGGTCAGCGAAAGGGAAAGCGTCGCCGGACTTGATCAACGAGTTTCGGACTTTGTCTTTCGCTTCGGAGACCTTCTCGCCTTTGAACTCGCCCACCAACATCGTGCCATTGTAAAACCCTTCCTTATATGCCATGTCCTTCGCTTCAGCCAACAGTGTCGCGTCCTTGGGCGACTGGATCTTTTTCGCGTCAACCAAATATTTCGCGGCGAGGTTTCCGTATGCCGGTGTATCGATGATAGGAATAATCTCAAGCTCAGCCCATTCTTTCTTGATGCCGTAGAAATCCGCCTTCTTGGCCAGATCTCTCACAGTAGCGAAGTCATCGGGACTGTCTGATGGGACTGACGTAACAACACCCGTTCCTTTCGTTGCTGAGACAGTCTCCATGGGCAATATTCGAACACCCTCAGTATGTACCGACAACGGGGCCTTGACCAAGGTGCCGACAAAAGCAGACCCTGGCAACTCCACCACAGGCTGCAGCTCACTCTGATCCCGAGGGAAATGAGCTTCATCGAAGAATGTGCCCTGGAACGCCATGTTCCAGGCGGCTCTCTTCGTGACGACGTAGTACTCCTTCTCCGACACCTTGAAAATGCCGTATTTGATCTTAGGTCCCACAAAACAACACGTCTGGCCGTACATCGTTTCGGGTCTTAACGTCGCAGGTACGAAATAGACACTTGCATCTTTTGGTATCTTCGACTCCACTTCTTTAGCAGCCTCTGGAGACCACTCTTTGACTTTCAACTTGAGCGCAGTGTACTCTGTCGGACCAACGCCCTCGCCTTTCGTTCGGTCGTGGTCCATACAAGGTTGGCCATCCTTGGGACTGTAAATGGTGTATCTCTTGCCGTATAAGATCTTGTTCATCTCGTGTAAGCGGTTCATCTGCCATCGGACGAAAGCATCGTAGTATGGATTTGCATCGGTTGTGACAAACTTCCGCCGCCAGTCTATCCTTGCTCCAAAGTCGATCAAATCTTGTTCGCATAGAGGCGGGAAGTATTCAAGCCAGTAGTTCGCATCGGCGAACTTGTGAATCTCCTCTTTCGGTATACCCATGGCCAACATCGTCTGGAATTGGTAGTTGGCCTTGACCGTCTTCGCTGCTTGTTTGCCCTTCTTGCTCTTGAACTTCGTGATGTCGTCTTTGACATTGATACCCTGCGTGGGAGCAACAGGAACGCCATTGGACTCCGGCGTCTCATGTTCCTCTTCTTCGTGATAGTTCTCAAAGGTTTTACCAAACCTCCTTACATCTTCAACAAGCTTGTCCGCGCATGCCTTGATTGGCATACCAGTGCAGTGGAAACCGAGGGGAAAGAGGACTCGTTTTCCGGTCAAGCGTGCGAAGCCGGCGGTGAACTCGACTTTGCTGACGGTAAAGCTGTGTCCGGCATGCAAGGAGCCGTTCATATAAGGATATGCGAAGGTGCCGAAATATTTTGGGTGCTTTTCTCGAATCTCCGCCGCCGGGACTGAGCTGAAAGGAATTTCGCTCGTAGATGGGGCGTCTGACTCGAAGACTTTGTTCTTCTGCCATTCTTGTTGGTATTTCTTCTCGATCGCGATCAAGACATCTCTGTTGTGCGTCTGCGGGAGGGCTTCGTCAGTTTTCAATCCCATTGATCGTGTGCTTTGACTTACATTCTCAAGTTTGAGAGTATTGGCCGAGACTAAGGTCGGATCGACAGGTATCTGGGTCGCCATATTGGCGCACTGACTGAGGCTCTGTCTACTTGGTAGACAGGGCGCCCTCCGTGTGTAGATGCGCAAGATGCAAGACTATACGGATAGGTTGAATATCAAATATTAATGACTGTGCTAAAGAGGCAAGAAATGTTCTTCTGGTCGTCCGTAGAAAGAAACCCAGAGCCTTGTGGGGAAGTTTTGCCGCTTTGACGGACGCCACTCAGCCTTGTCTTCAAGCAACTCTGCTACTGATCAGTGCATTAGGTATGCTGTGGCAGGACATTTTTGGTGTTCGAGAGTCCTGTCCGTATATACAGCCGCTCAGCTTGACACATGCATGTCTATCTAGCAACTATTACATGACGAAGCCACTCGATCAAGCATTCCTAACTGCGACTCGTTCCTGGTCCGAGTCCGTTCAACCTAGGATTCCACTTCAAATACAATAATCTCTGACTGTATCATAATTCTGGTGCCTCCCAAGATTCTCGATCAATCTTCATCACAGCTGATTGCTTGTGTGGAAATGATACTTCGCCCTGCTTGTAAAATCCACATTCCTTCAAATAGGTTATAAATCTGTATTTCAGTCAGTAACCGGCTCCTCTGCTTCCTCGACAAGAGGAACACTTACTTGGTATTATCCACTCTCGGCTCCAACATTGCAGTCTCAGTCCTGGGGTCCGCAAGCCAACAGTAATGCACCAACGCAGACAGCCAGACCTTGACTCGATGAGGGCCTCGGAACTCTTCTTCACCGATCAAAACGTGCAATCCTCGCGTATAATTGCCGACGTCTCCTCCAAGCAGCCGGCCAAATTTGTCCTCTTTGACCCAATACACCTCAAAATAACCAAATGGCTTGCCATCCCAGCAACCAAATACTGGGAAGGAATGCCGGCTCTGCAGGCTCTCAGTCAAAAATTTCTTCTGCGTCTCCTGTGGCCCGGCAACCCCCCATGCGGCATTCACCCTTGAATCGTTCATCCATTTATGCAGCAGGTCTAGGTCGGATGGGCGGTCTAAGAAATTTGAAAGGGTTGGTAATGTCGGCATTGAGGAACTTCCTCCAAGACCGGGCATGATTGCAGGTAAGGACCCTGTTAGAGGCCAAAAATGGGGATGCGGACAGGGTTTGGGAGAGAGCGTAGGTACTCGAAAGGACAGCCATTGTCCTAAGCTGGGTATATATCGGCTGTAGAACGTCTCGCCCTGTCGAGGAGGTTTCGGGCGTATAGGATGTCGTATATGGTTTGTGAAGGTAAACTGTGTGGGCGGCGGTGGATAGTACGTCGGTAAATGGCTCCCTGAGTTGAAAGGTCCACCTGGCGAAGATATGCCTGCTGAAAGCCCATCGGCCAGACCAGGTTGTGAAGACAGTGCATAGTCTCCTGGCCGTGGGGAGCCTCGATCGGGGCCAGGGGTCCGATCTGGCGAAGCAGGACGTGAGGGATGGGGAGAACCTGAAGGGAATGGCGAGTGCTGTTGTGGGGCCATGGTGTAGAGAAAGATTCGAGCATCGATCTGCCAGAACGACTTCCTACTCACGAACGTCTCGGCCCATCCACTGGCCATGCGGGAATCAATCTCCGTACCGACATATGATTCTTCGCTCGCGATGAGACCCATGCGCTCAAGTTTCTGTAGGGTGTTTTTGCCCTTAAAGATGCCCTCCCTCTTTATCTTGATGCGCCAGTCAAGCTTAGGTCTCCCGCTCTCCGGTGTCAATGCGCATGATTCTGTGTATGCATGCAGATTGGGAGGTTCTTTGTGAAAATACCAGCATAGTGTTGCCCATAGTATCATGGCAATATGTCTGGTTGGGGAAGCTGTATTTCTGAAGTCTGAACTCGAGGGCATCGAAATGGAGGAAATAAACAGCGAGTCACGCTGCGCGGTAGGTTTGGAGAATCGATGGACCACGGTCTGTTTCTGTGGTGGTTCTTCTGACTCTTTCTTGTCAAGACTGACGGAGGTACTCTTCCTTCTCTCGTCCTCGTCAATCGCATCTTCGGTCTGCACCATCACGGTCCACCCTGGAGGGATTGGAGAATGGTGCAGGTCAAGGTTCGTAGATTTGAACGTGAAGCCACCAAATACTGGTGTGACGGTATATATCTGCCCATCTGCAAATCGTCAGAATTTTGTACAGCACAAGCACGGATCGAGCGGGCGTAGAATGAAAGATAGACTTACTGGGCAGGAATACTTGCTGGACCATCTCCCTGTCCAGTGGTCAAACCATTGCCGGGGCGGCAGGTGCCTCGAGGACGACAAATCCAAGGCAAGAAACACCAAGAAAGGCTTTGCAATAGGTCGAAGAAGCGTGCCTCTGTGCTATTAGGTATGGTTCGCAACCAGGAGGCGATCAACTGCGACGAGCTATTCTCCGGTGATGAGGCAAGCGGATGCACGATTGCAACCGTCGAGGGAACAAGATCTCAACAAGACCGAGGACAAGGCCAACCAACTAGCGGACCCTCCCACGTCTTCCTCCGCACCTTAGCCTTCGTCTGCACTTGTTGTGGGCACTATTTCCCTTATCCCTCTGCGAAAGAACAGAAATCGTTGCTCCGGACAGGATTCGAGCCGTGCGAAGTCGGCCCATTTAATGAATCGTCACAAGGGAACGACTAGTGGATCAGGCACTCGAACACGTGCCGAGCTGCAAGCTGTGGTGAAGCCGATAAGCGATGGGTTTGATAAGGCGACGCCGCTTAGGAACATCACGGTGGTGATTCGCTAACTAGCATATGGTGCACAACAGGTGCTCGTAGCACTTCGGAGGCCATCGATCGCTTCAAAGGCCTGCCAACGCGTTGAATATCCGGCATTGCTGAACACGGTATCTGACCCTAGGTAGATACCCACGAGAAACGCAGGGGAGGAACCATTGGGGCTCGAGTCGGCCCTTTTGTCGGCCGTTCCAATCTGCAGATGGGGCCTTGCTGAAATTCCAGGCTTCACATGCACACGTTTGAGACGGTGATAGCTACCGTGGCTCCTAATCAGTGGCTCGCTTGTCGCCCAACAAGACTTACAAGACTCCAGAAACACAACGCGCCCGATTGCATACAACCTCGTCAGCACAATCAGAAGTCTTCGATGGTCACGCCGATGTCCCTCTCTCTGGCGAGGCGAATGATATCACCAGCTACAACCAAATCCATCAGGCCCATTCCGACGCTCTTGTAGATGACGTTTCCCCTTGTCAGCCACTCTAGCAGCCCAGGCTCACCGCTTCCTCCCAGTTCGATTTCCTTCTGAGCTGATTTCTTGATCATCACTGCATATAGTCAGCGAAGCGTAACAACAAGATCAAGAAACATATGGAAACACAGTAGCATAGATGACGCAGGTTTCGGACGAGGTGAATACGCACTCAACTCCCCAATTTCCACCAGGTGCTCGGGTCCCAACTTCGCCTTGATGATCTCCCCAGCCTCTTTGAGGCATGATTCGAGGCTATCGACCACAATGACACCACCCTGTCGAGCATGTTTGTGGTGATGATGTCCATGATCAGGCTGTACAGCCAATTTGAAAATGTCCGGATGTACTTCAATCATGTGCGGCGCGTAGCTTCCTATGCATGAGATATATCGCCCTTTTCTCTGCCCTTCGCGGGAGGTGAGAAATTCGGCAGGGAACAAGGGGTCAAGTGAGGGCGTGCAACAGAAGATGATATCTGCTTTTCGGACTTCTTCCTTCAAAAGCCTACCATACTCGCCGAATTCGGGGCTCATGCAGCTGAATTTGATGTCATTTCGCCACGCGCCATGCGTGTTCTGTTCTAGCTGAAAAGCCTTCATCAACTTGATGGATCTCTCAAACGACCGGTTGATGATATTGACATGCCGGACTTCATCGCCCTTGAACAGCAAGGCCAGCCGGATGTGCCAATACGCCTGCTTTCCTGCGCCGAATACGGTTATTGTGTGGACACTTTGTCGCTTTTGAAACATCATGGTGGAGGCCAGCGCGGTTCTGAAAGCCGTAAGCTCTTCAGCATTGACGATGCCTACTGGGTTTCCGGTTGGGTCGAGTATCGTCACTGATCCTTTGGGCGCAGTGCTCTGCGAACTTGCAATGGATGCCGGCGGGTGGAAAGACGCGCCATCAATCGAATCTCTGCTGCCTGATGATGACATTGTAGATGCAGGGGTTAAGGACAGGGTAGCTAAGTCACTTGTGGGTGACTTGACAGCCGGGCTCCCTGTAATGCTTCCTGACGTTGAGGAAGATATAGAGGATTTCTTGCTATGGCTGATATCAGATTGTTCCAGAGAAACAATCTTCATCCCGACTGATGTCCCAGTAGAAGCGGGCATAAACAGCGTAGTGACCCCATTCTTTCTGATCACCGTCCGCTGTGGCTGAAACGATGCACAACATGGCGAATTTGTGTCGCCGGTCGAGTATGAATGCAAAGCTTCTGCAAGATTTCGTTGCAATGCTGTGGCATCTTCTTTGGCCAGTGAGAGGAGTACCGCACGAACGTCTGTATCTGTGAGTACAGTGAAGGGCATTGTAGTCTCGGAGAGACCCGAAGTGCAATCGAGCTTTCAATCCGAATACCCGAATGTCTGAGAACTCGAACTTGGCCTGCAAAGGAAGCTAAGATGGAGTGGGAATGTTGTTATCTGGTATGTTAGTGCTCTGCAAGTTTAGCGTCGACAACCTCCTTGTTCTTGTCCGAGTCGATTGCCCCTATGCTCCGCTTCGATCTTCTTGGTGGTGTTTTGAAACTTATGAGATAACGGAGGAGGGGATGAGAAGTACTTTTGACCCTGAGTCAGCGAGATTTCATGTTACCTGTAGATCGACAAGACTTTAGGATCTCGCCATCGCTGTTCCACTGCTATTGGTTTCACTTGCGGCACATGTCAAATTGACAAGCAAGCTGCCTCTAGGCCGCCCACGCCGCCCACGCCGCCCACTGGCTGTTCTCCCTGGAGGGCGAATTGCTGTCTAAGGCCGGTGCAGGCTTCACTATCCCACCAATCATTCACTACCTTTTGCGGCGAGGGCCGCTACGTACAGTATTGTCCATCCTGATTTAGCTTCTCCTCTTATTGTAAGTTACAAGCATCATCCGATGTGTTACTGCTGAAGACAGGGGTCATCGTAGAGAGTTCTAGAATGGATCTTGAACTCGGGTATCTATAGTCGCTACCATGTGCCTAATATACATTGCAGGCCGTATTTGGGTGACACGAGAGCCCAGCCTAACATGAAAGGCAGAAACGAACATAGGAGACAACGAAATGAATGGAACTGCTTCAAGCATCACTTCAACTCGCCCCACATATCTTCATCACTCATGACCATGTCGTCCTCGCTCAAGACCTTCATGCCTTCCTTCTTCATACGTTTCCTGTCTTTCTTTGTCACTAACATACTGGGAGTGACTGGTGTCATGGGTGTCATGGGCATGTAGGGGCTGTACGGTGTCTGGGGTACGCCCGTCTTTGGATGTACGCCCAAGGCGCTCTCGCGACGATCCAGGAAGGTTGTTTTTGTTGGCGGAGCACTCTTCAATGAGCCGTCGTAGAATTGCCGGAAAGGCAAGGTGTGGGAGCTGTTTGAGGCCGCTGCGCTTCGCAGCGATAATGGAGCAGGCGGACCCTTCTTCTCAACATCTTCCGTTGAGACCACCGGAGTCTTCTGTCCCGGAGTGGGTGGTGGCGGACCGGGGTGGTAGATGCGAGGAGATACACTACCCTGCTCAGAATAAACCGATGAGTCGGTGAGAGCGGCTGAACCCAGAGGCTGCGAGATAGGCTGGCCACGAACAGAGATGCGACTAGGTCGTCGCTTGTTCTGGTCCGCAGAGTCACTTCGTCCGGGGATGAGTGACAATTGGGAAATCTTGGATTTGCGGCTGTTTTGCGATCCTGTCCTCGAGGCAGGATCTTCGGCGGGAGTAGGTGCCAAGGGGTGAATCAGAGCAGGCGGAGATGCCTCATCTGACTGGAGCTTGTGGAGGTGCTGGAATTCGGGAGGAAACCGTGGCGACAACGGTCCGTTACCACTTGCTTGATAGTGAGGCGAGCGTGGCGTCGGTGGAACATTGTAGGCCGATCGAGGCGTTGGAGGAAGACCCTCATTTTGCGGGAAACAGGGACTTCTAGGAGTTGTCTGAGCACTGCTCTGAGCTCTCTGTGGCCTCGCTTCATCGTGCAACATGACAGCTGCGTATAGCTTGGTCATTTCGTCCATGTTTTTGGCTTTGTCCGCCTCGAGAATCCTCTCGTCAATTGTCGACACAGTGACATTGGACTGTTTTCGAGAATGTGTACGCCCACTACTTGCCCATGATTTCAAGCTGGCCATCTTTCCGGGACTCTTCAAGGGCGCTTCCACCATCATCGTGGGGTTGTTGGCCAGTGGTGCAGGTTTGATGATCTCCATGCTCAAGGTACGATTGGATGTTTGGTATTTGCGTCGTAATCTTTTCCCAACGAAGATGAAGAGGATGAACGTGAGTATGAGCCAAAATCCGTAAGCCCCTACAATACCGGCAATCTCGTACTTCAGCTTGGATTTGTCTCGAAGAGCTCCTGCTGATTGAGGAGGTCCTTCGTCTGGAGGCGGGGCAGGATCTTTGTCAATGTGAACACTCCAGATACTGCCGGGTCTGGCTGTCGTTGGCGCAGTGATAAAGGCAAAAACAATGATGAACACAGCTGATACTGAGGACAGATACCTCATCTTTGTAGCAAGATCAGCTCTTTAACATTCTCCAGTTTTTTGCTCCTGAAACTGCTGACCCCCTGGCCGGAAGGGACATGAAGCAGCTTGTCGCACGCAAGGAGCGATCCGGGCGGTAGATGTATCTTGCCATGGTTGCTGGAGGGCCGTAGCGGAAGCGCTGGATGGTAGTGATTGGCAGAAGCTACAGGGTGAACAACGAGAAGAGTGACTGCATGAAGCACAAGGGAGAACGAATCAAGGAGGGAAGCGGGGGATGAAGTTCAAGATGGACCCCTAGAATATGCAGTGCCTGGACGGGCGAGATCCTTTAGTTGGCCAGCTTAACTGGATTCGTCCAAGTCGCAGACTATCCTCCCATTCAGGGCCTATTCTTAAGCGCCCGGGAATATCGAGGCCACTCATGTCCACCCAGCCCCTTCCACCGATATCACACTGGATAAGCTCAATGTTGTCCATCCGAAGCCCTGGTTCTTGTCGGTTGGCCAACCATTGTGCGACGAACTGGACCCCAGAGTCTCAGGCAATGAACTGTATCTACTCTGTTTCCCTGAGCACTCGCCCCAATACGGAGTACCATGGCTTTCAAGTGCGTTATCACACTGGCCCTTACAGAACAGCCTTGGCCAGGGTTGCTTCCTACCGCACCGTCAACATCTGCACGGCCCGTGGCCTGTTTCGATTCGAGCCGAAAAGGATGTCACACTTTGGTAAACCCCAAGTATTGGAGGAGAGAATGATGGCTAGCGGTCTGCTCACACAGAGCTTTGCTGATTGCATCCGTAGGCGCTACCGCGGTCGCTGGCTCATACAAACACCGTTTGTAAGTTCGTGATATGGTGTTCCAAAGGCAGTTGTGCTTGTCGTTCACGTCTCCCGCCTCCGACTTGCTGTGATGATGCTCTTTGTCTGTGTTCGGATCAAGGACGTATTGGCCAAGACCCGAAGTTCATCCCATCAAGTCTCGCAGGTGATAGTCTAGGCCTTCGATTTGTCGGAATTGTACCTTTGGGCTGTTCGAACTCAACCTAATTGCTGCTTGCTTACCCACAGAGAGCGTGACAAACAAGCTCAACCAATATTGCCGTGCCTCCAGAACCCCATCTGTGTGACGGGAAGCACAGAGACATGTTGTTGCAGACGGTGCCCGACAAGCTTGTTTGCCAGGCTGCACTCAGATGTAGAAGGCGAAGGCGTTCCTCAGACATTCATCCTTCGAGCGTACCGGATCCTGTTCATGGGCTGTTATCTCCAACTTCCCGGTCCGGTTGTAGGCCAACCTAGGCCAGCGAAACCGCTTCCTCTGCCAAGTGAACTTCCGGAATCTCGAGAGTTGATAGCTCTCCGCTTGCCTTTGGTGCCCTCGTTGAGCTTGACTCCTTCGACGATTTTGTCGAGGCTTGTTTCTACTACAACGCCACCCACCAGCATTTCGCTGAGAACAGCATGCAGCGTTTCAAACCCAAATATCAGGTCCAGCTCGCACACATTTTCGAACAGTCTGTCGAGGGCTTCGACGAAGACCTGGATGAAATCGAGGAGGGCAAGAGGAGACTCGGTAGATGTCGAGATCAAGATGAAATAGAGCGTCGCATAGTGTCGGTAGGTGATTTGTGTAGGCGCATCAGGCGAGGTGGTACTGCTAGAAGGAGCCAACAAGGGAGGCAGAGGAAGGAAGTTGCATGCGGATGCCGGGCGAGCAGACACAAGGGTGAAAATCTGACTGAGCAAGGATTGCTGTGTCGCTGTATCCTGTGGCAGCAAGGTCAGCAACCTGCCAGCAACATCCACGAGTCTCATAATACCAGCTGAGAGTAGAACTTGGTCAATCTAGGCTGGCCATTGTTATTGAAGACCAACACAGCATTGATCATCGTGTTAGGAAATTGGAGCAAGCCCAGTGATCGAGTCGCATGCCTAATGTTCTCGGGCGCAGTTGAAATGATGGTGTTGATGATTTAATGCCTTCGGCTCTCGGCTTAATCAGCCCGACCGCCCGCGGATCCTTCTGGCCTCCCAGCGATGAAGACCCTGACTCGCCTGAAATGTGCCTGCGCGGCGGAAACGATTCATCAACCGTTTTTGCATTTTCAAGTCCCTTGCCGGTGCATTTGTTTCATTAGCAACTATAACATCCCAGAGTTATTTCTGGCACAGATCATTGATGCAAAAGTTCACCTGCCTTTCCTGCCGGCAAGTTCTCCGATCTCGTCTTCGTCAACGTCTCTCCCAGCTGCAGGATGGGCGGAGAAGATTCCACGCCTTCTCACCTCTTTTGAATGGACAACCACGATCTGCCGAATCGTGGTACTGGGAGACCAAACCCCCTACACTGCAAGAGCTAGCTGCTGCTGAGTACTTTTTCAAACACAACAGACCGTTTCGTCAATGGGCTGGCGAGGGCTGGCGCCAACAAGGCGGCCAACCCGGTAGTCTTCTCGTCCCCGAGGTCATTTTCCTCGGCCGATCCAATGTCGGTAAATCATCTCTGATCAATGCGCTCGCTGGCGAGGATCTCAACCGCTCCAGTTCGACTCCAGGCGCGACTACTATCATGGCAGCCTGGGCCTTCGCAGCAAAGAAGCCAAGCGGTGGCGCCGTCCCGGGGTGGGATGGAGATGTCTCATCGAAGCTATCCCTCGTTGACATGCCAGGATACGGTTTCGGCAGCAGATCCCAATGGAGCGAAGCTATCATGTCGTATCTGGTCAAGAGGAAGAATATCCGCAGAGCTTTTGTGCTGCTGGACGCTATACACGGTGTGGGTGCCGGCGACCGTCATATGATCGAAGTACTTCGAGGGCTTGCAATACCATATCAAATCATTGCCACGAAATGCGACCGTCTGCTCCTTCATAAAGGCTCTCAAAGTGAGGTCCGACAGGCACTGACCAGCCTTCGCTCCCAAGTACAATTAGATACACAGAAAGAGCAGGAGCTGGGCCTCGGCGAAATCATCAGTGTCGGAAATCTGCACGCCGCAGCACTAAGAGGCAAGCCGCCACCCAAAACAAAGGACATCCCTTTCGGCTTGCAGAACTTACAATGGGCAATCCTTCGAGCCGCAGGATTGGACAGCTACGTTGTTCAGAAAGCGCAGGCTCACGGCGTGCTCAAGAACATCCCCGCCAAAGAACAGCCCAGCTTGAACATCGGGGAATCAACAATACGCGATATGGCTGGCCCACGTACTCCAGAGGCCGAGGCTCAAGTGATGGACAGGAATCAAGAAACTGTGAAGGAGACCTCGCCGACCAGAGCTGAAGAAGTGAGGAACTCGTCTACTCTGTCCCTTCCCGAGCTCTCGGTGGCAGATTTCATTCGCGAAATTATGAACGCAAAATCAGCACCATCGTCATCGTCATCGCCTCAAATTGCAAAATCACTCGCACCTAGACTTAACTCGGCACGTACCTCGCCCAAGCCCGACGAAGATTTCCTGCACGAGCCTGTCTTCCGCCTCGACAGCCAGAGTGCCACGCGAAGCCCAACAGCTCGCGCATCAAGACTCCGATCTGCTCGTGATGCGGCTACATCTGACGACAACATCAAACCCTCGCACAAGCCGACCGCCCACTCTCGGGAAGCCGATTCTCCAAGAATCAGATTGACTCCTGTTCGGGATTCACGGACAGCTTCTCAAAACGTCGTGCCAGGCACTAAACCCTCGGAGACCCGAGCATCCCCATCGAAGACATTACCTGCAGGCAAAGGCGTGGTCCGCGGCGTCGACGCTTTCGAAGCGTTGATGGCGTCTCACAAGCCACAAAAACAATCTCAATCCAAGTCCAAGGTCCCGTCCAGGAAACAAGGGCAGCGGAATGGAAAGCAAGCTCGATCTATGTCCGGAGGAGAGCAAGCAAAGACCACTCAACCTGCATTGACAGGCAAGGGTGTGCTTAGGGGCATGGATGCATTTGAAGCGATGGCTGCGGGCGACACCCAGAAGAATTCGTCCAAACGCAGCCGCAAAGGAGTTCTAGACGAATACCATCGTATTTGCCAGACCGGTCTCTAGCACAGCATTGGGCACTTATCTACTGAAACATACACAATAGTATCTACATGCCGTGTGGTCTTAAGAGATGAAGAGCACATGTAGCACCAGACAGTCCGGCACGGCACGGCACAGCATAGCATAGCCAGTCCAACCGCGCGCTCAGCGTTCAAGAGCCAGCTCAAGCTCAAGCTCCATCGTGTCAGCATTTTGTCGCTCGCCATTTGCAGAATGTTCCCAATCGGCCGCACACAAACAAGACACCAGACCCGTCGTTTTTGGAAATGCTTCAGCTCAATATGAAGTCGTGAGCACCAAACAAACAAAACTAGCGCCCGAAAATGCAATCGTTCGTCAGGAGTCGGAGGCTGTACATGACGATCCGTAACCAAGTTGCACCCATTCTCGCGCTCGTAAACAGTCGTAAGAGGCATTGCAATGGCGTGCCAGGAGAAAAGCGAATCGTAATCCTTCCAATATGCGCCGGGTGATTGTGCGAATGCTCTGTAGCATTACCGCAAGATGTAAGGGAAGTGGAATCCACACCTCCACCTAATGCATCCTATGTTCCGTTCGGACGTTCGCGCCCTATGCATCCGGACCATCTTCTAGAAGATAGTCATCATCGGCGCGTGCTTCAAAGCCAGATTCATCAACAACAATGCGTCTGCCGAGGTTGTGGTCGGGTATGCCGTCGCGAGCTGCGCCGTAATCAAGGACCTGTAAATTGTGAGTCAAGCAACATGAACCGCAAGAATATCACGCACCTCAATGTATGTCAATCCATCCCTCTGTACGGCTGCAACACAACGTCTTTCGTTGAACTTGACTTGCCACACCCCACTCAGGTCTGAAAGAAGGTCTTTGATACACTCGCCCGTCTTGATGTTCCATAACTTCAACGTCCGGTCGGAGCCTGAGATGACCTTTTGCCCATCGTGTTTGAAGCATGTAATCGCACCGGTGTGTGCACTCAGCGTGGCCTTGCACTGTCCGTTCTCGGGATCCCATATCCGTAGGGTCGAGTCGGCCGCAGCGGAGACAAGCTTGTCGCAGTTCAAGTCGAGCAATCCAACAAGCGAGGTATGGCCTTCCAAGGTATATTTGAGAGAGCCCGTATGCAGATCCCAGATACGGACCATGTTGTCCATCGAGCCGCTTATGCAACGATTGCGGTCGTGATCCAGGACCACGCTGTAGACTTTTGCCGTGTGGCCTTGTAGACGGTGAATAGTCTCGCCAGTGGAGATTTTCCACACCCGTACGGTGCAGTCGTAACTGCCGCTCACCAAAGTGTCAGCATGAGCAGCTATTGCTCTTACCGAATGTTGGTGCCCAGTCAGCGTCCGCACGAAGTAGGGACAGTCGTCAGCATCCGCCTCGTTCTCCGACTGGATCAAGTCAGGATCTTCTGGCCTCGGTAGCTTCCAGACGCGCAGGGTGGAGTCTCGGGAACCAGTAATGATAAGTGGTTGTTTGGGCGTCATAATTGGCTTGCCTTCGGCATTCTCGCCAATCTTGACGGGCATAACGATTTGCAAGCATCTCACAGTCGACGTGTGACCACGGAAGACTTGAGTCTCTCGCGCTTCGGCAATATTCCACACACGGACTGATCGGTCGGTTGAACCTGAGACGAGGGTGTTGCCCTCATATTGCAAAGCCCAAACACCGCCCTCGTGACCAGTAAGGATGGCCTTGAGGACGCCTGTCCTAGTTTCGTAAATATTGATGTTGTTGTCATCGCTTCCCGTCAAGATTTTGTCAGTATCGAACTGTAGACAAGTCACAACATGGGTGTCATGCGCGCGAAAGGCGATATGCTGCGGCTTTGTGTCTTCGAACATCCAGTTTCTCCGAATCAGATGGTGTCTCCGATACAGCGATTTGTAGAGATGCAGACCCTTCAGACTTGGGAGGCCGACATCAGGTTGTGGCACAGCCAGAAGAGCGGCGTTGGCCGCATTATATGGACCTTCGGCGCTCGAGGCCTGGCTCAACCAGTCGAGACTGACGTCAATTGAATTCTCACGCGAGGAATACGTGCGTTTGACATGCTTGTTGCGATTGGAGAGCATTGTAGCTGCTTTTCGTTTCGATCGTCGCAGGATGCCGCTAAACCTATTTGGAGCGGGAACGGTAGATGGAGACGACGCATTGGCCTCGGTTTCGGACTTCGAGCTCGGCATATCGGAGAGGTTCTGCTCATAGCCGTCAGAGCCATATGGATCCTGCCAACCCCATCCTTCAGTGATTGCTCTTTGCAGTTCACCTTCAGGAAGAGTGTAGCCATCGGCGTCGAAAAGTTCTTTCCAGGCCTTTTCATCACTGTTGATCATTTGTCGCCACTTCTTGGAGACTTGTGCCGCGCTGCACAAACTCTTAAGATCGAGGTATTTTAGTATGTTGAGGCCCAGTTCTGGCGGTAGGATCGTAAGGAAATCGCACTTCAAGGCTGGGTTGACAGTATCTGCAACCACTTGCAGAGCCGCCTTTGGACATCTGCGGAGTAGTTGGTGCATCACATAACTTTTGAGTTCGTCAGGAATGGCTTCAAAGTAGTCAAGCATGGCAGGGATATCCGTAATGGAGCGACCTTTGAATCGGCCAAATCGGGCGGACCCATATCCGCCATTGTGATCTGGTATGCGCGGAGTATGGAAAGAGTTGGAAAGAGGTCTTTCCGCGCCGCTCATTCCAGTAATCGTGTCATGCTGAGAAGCGACCTCAGAGTTTGAATCATCGTCTGCGAAATAGCCGGAGTGTTGCAAAGTAGCGGCCGCCGTAACGGGCGATAACGATGGACTAGGTAGTGAACCATCCTGTCCAGATGGGCTTTCTGCAACGTGCAGTCTAGCGGGTACCGAGGACAGCGCTGGTCTGCTTATCGGCCGAGTTGTGGGTATTTGACCGCCTTCATCAATCGGAGGTGTAGGGACCGCGGTTTCTTGAGAAGATCCTCGAAGCACGTCTCGTGCAAGTACTGATTGTTCACCCTCAACGCCCGAGTCACCTTCCAGAGTCATCGAATCGTGTTGGCTGGCTCTAGAGGTAACAGACTGAGCATTTTGAAATGTGGGTTGATGATCCATATTTGGCGAGGGAAGCAGCGTGGTTGAACTTCTGGATGTGTGGGCGGCATCTCGGTCGATTCGCCTATGGTGGGAAACTTTTGGCATACTATCTGGCGTGATCGGATTCAAGTCTTGCAGGTCATGAGCTCTCGATAAAGACCGCACGGCGGGCCGCTCTCGTCTGCTGTGGGATCGTACAGAGGCACCGCGCTGGCTCGAGGCGAAGCCGGATCCTTGCAGCCCTATGTGATCTTCATCGCCACTGATGGATTCTGGTGAAGCCGGCCTCTTTTGGTCCCGTCTATGCAGCGATGTCATAGTCAAATCCTCATCTGGCATCTCAGACCAGGGGCGAAATGTCTTGATAGTTCGGATTCTTCCATTGGCGCTTCGGAGACTTCGATGCTCTTCCTCTAACTGTTCCATTTATTAGCATAAAACTCGGGCACGAATGGTGCGTGCTCCTACCTGTTCCAATGCAAGCGAAGTGTCTTCAGCCTCACTAAAGACGGTTTGTCTTCCTCCGATTTCAAATTGTATCTTCTTGAGGTTGGCGGGTGTGGGGTTTGCTGCGAGGGGGTAGTGCTTTAGATCCAGCTCTTGCATCTGACGCGGAGGACGCATCAAGAATGGCGGGAATCTGGTCGTCGTGGTTGTCGTGGTGGTGACAACAGTGGTTTGCGTAGCGGGAGCGAAAGACAGTTGTCCTAGTAAAGCATGTCTGTCCACATCTTTGGTAAATGCTCCGACATCTCTGCTCTGTGGTCTCTGCCCATGAAACGTGCTCGGATGTCGTGGCCGGCATGGCTCTTGGACGGACGCCACGTCCATTGTTTCCTCCTTGTCCAAAGCGTGCATTATGACGGCGTGAAATTCAACACTAGCATTTGGGTTGCGAACAGGAGGAGAACGTCTTAAGGCGCGTCGTGGCAGGACAGGTCTGAGGGGAGGACACTCTATGGTATGTTGGCGAACTTAGTCGTAGTGTCTTCGAGTTAACCCTGTTTGAACGATTGGCCCAGTCGAGGCTTCGCTCAAGCAGAAGACCAAGTAGCTGGTCGTTCCAGTCGGAGGGTTGGATTCGTGGAGGGAAGACTTGGTGGAGGCAAATCTCGGTACAAGGAACGTCCAAATATGACCGCGACCAAGTGTTCATGCAGACAGTCGTGAAGTGCCGTTATCGAGCAGAGCGTTACCGCTGAGAAGTGAAGAGGAACAAATGGAGCGTGATATGGGCGGAGGGATCTCGCCCCGGCACAATACAGAATGCAGACGTTTTGAGGCTGGTGCCAGGCTAGTTACTAAGGGCTCACTAGGCCTTGGCGGCCCAAATCCCGCCACTGACGGCACAGGCGATGGTACGCGAGGCTGATGTTTTTTCTTCCTTTGTTCAGGCGGTTGCCACCGACAGAATTGGAAAAAAAGGAAACTATGCTGGATGATACCCAACTATGCTTCGTCTCGACGATGTGGAAATTGGGATGTTCTCTGCTTCAAGAACCTTTGGGACTGTTTCGAGCTGTCACCCGAATTTTTGCCTAGAATGATGACCAGTTTGGGGCGTGTCACGGTCGAAGATCGTGGCTTTCAGTCACAGAATAGAACGTCGTGAATACCTGATGAGTCTAGCAATGACCGAGGGCCGAGTCAGTTACCAATTGGTTGTGGAGCTGTACCATGGGAAACGCTCTACCATGGACCTTACTAGTACCCGTTTCGCGTCCGGGTGTACAGCATTCAAATTCCCGCCCCAAGAATAAACGGCGTCGGAAGTGTTGTCATGGTTCTGCACAGGTTAAACTGAGGTAGGTAGTTATCTCAGGCTCTGGCTGGCGCTCGAGGTAAGAGCAGGGAGGTTCTTGTAAGAATTTAACTGCGCTGGCTGTGGGCTTTCGAATTGACCGCTCTTCTTACCTGAGAATCCCCGTCGATACTTTTCAACGCACTCCAATCTTCCCGTCTGCCTTCTTGGATTCTGCTGCTGACAATGGCTGAACAGCTTCTCTTGTCCAAGCCATCCGAGCAAATCCTCACGCAAGAGAAGAGCCTTGCCCTGGTGCAAATTTTCATCAACGCCTCATTGGCATGCATCGCCCATACTCGGGAACTCATTCCATGGACATCGCCCTGCTTTCGTGTTCGATACATTGAGCAGATCAATGCCGTCGTTGATGCTGACGAGGTCGACTTGTACGCAGCCTTCAAAGCTCTCGAAGGAAAGTCGACGGACTCTGGTCAGGAAATACGATTTCTCGTGCGTGGAGGTCACACAAGAGCTGACCAGATGCTCGAAATGCTGGTGAGGACTCGTTCCATGAGGCGCGGTCTGAGGGAGGATACTAATTGATGCTGCAGGAAGATGGCATCTTCGAAGCTCTCCAGCGCAGCTATCTGGACACCCTACAAGTCTTCATCACCAAAGCTGTAGAACCTCGAGCCGTACTCGAAACCTACTCATTTGCCTTCAAGTATGTTGACGGTCGTCTCAATAGCATCGAGCTAGCTCCTACAAGTCGTGCCTTGGTGCTCGAGAATTTCCAAAAGAGCTTCAAATCAGTCATACGTGCTCTGCTTCGTTCTTTGAAAGATCTGCCTCACCTACCAGGTTGGTTTTACGCTGAAGTGTGCGATCTGCCAAGCTGACACTTGTCAGCACACCGGAGGCTGGGAATGAGCCTCATCTACAACGACGACTGTCCACCAAGCTATCAGCCCCCTGGCTTTGTCGATCAACAAGACTTTCCAGACGAGGCCGGCGATAAGATTTGTAATACGCTGTGGGATGATGGTTGGAATATGGTTGGAAAGCTCGAGACCGGACATCATCAGGTCGCTGTTGGAGTCCGCTCTCTTCATTCTGAAGAGGCGATCTCGTCCGTGGACCCACATGACACGGCCATGAGCAAGCAATTGCAAGCCATGCAAAAGACTTCCTCGCAGCCAACTACGAATCTTATCTCCACCCTCAGGGACTCTGGTTCTAGACGGAAACGGGCGGATAATGTCCCAATTCCAGCCAAGCGTGTAAAAGTGGCACATGGTCAAGGAGTTCAAGAAGACGGAGTCCAGAGACAATTTGACAGCAACCGGCAGGCTGAAGAGACAGATGACCCGAAACATGTCAGTGCCACAGGCATTGTCCAGCAGAACAGTATGGGGTCCAGCAATGCCTCAGTCAATCCACCACGACGATCAACCGTCGACCATCCGAGACGCTTGGTCACGAGCAAACTCGCACAAATTCTGACTCATTGCTACGCTATTCAACGTTGCGTGACTGGCGTCAGCCCTGTTTTCGACGAGAACTTGCTGGCTGGGGGGACGATCAAAAGGCGCTTACGGTCGTCAAGAATCAAGTGTGAGTGTGGAGGCCGACATAGGTCGAAAGACATGGTAGGCAACCCTCCTACAAGATCCCCTGCTCCGATGCTGACCAGTATAGCTTTTCTGCGAAGTTTGCAACAGCTGGCAGCACCGAGAGTGCTACGGCTTTGATGTCGATACCTCTGAATCACATCTCCTTGGACATAGGTTTTGCTACACCTGTTTGCTGTTTCCAGAAGCACAGGTCGGCTGCTACCTCCCCTCGTACATCATTCTCATGCGAACTGCGGTTTTGCGGTTTATGGACGTCGAGCAACAGGGAATTCTGCTGTACAAGGATGGCTTCCATAGGATGCTCGATCCGTGCAACTTTGCGGAGCGGACTCTGGACAAGGCGCTGGCTGATCTGGTAGAAGAACAGATTCTTTTGCCCGGAGACAAGCAGTCATGGCAGCTACAAACTCTGAACAAAGATGAACTTCAAGGCGTCCAGAAGTTTTTGGACCCTTTTGCATACATTGAGCATCTCTACGAGAACGTTGTTGACCAGACACTTCCATCGAAGAGGACAGCGTTGCTCGCCAATGAGCTCAAAAAATGCGCGAAAGGTTGCGACTTCACTGCTGCTGAAGGCTGTCACGAGTTTATCACATACGACGATTTCGACCAAAAGGTGTCCAGATGGGGTTATTACGAAGAGATTTCTGTCTCGACAGGAGACACATGTCTCACGGGACCTTCTCCGACAGTCCCGGTACTCCGTCGGAAGATCAGCATTTCCAGGACCTTGATAGACATCGACCGTTCAGCCCCCAATGAAAGCGTAGGCATGGAGGAGTTTTCTCAACCCATCGGAGACATTGGCTACTCCAGCGACTTTGCCAGCACTTCAACGGCGACTGCTGACTGAGGTTCGACTAGATGGGTTGACAACATGCCAACTTGGCCACGGGTCATGTCTTGGCTCTCCGTCCTACGTCTGAAACGAATATCAAGCAGGCGGTGGCCGAGGCTGTTGTGATTTCATAGTAGACGGCGGCGGGGTTCAAAGAGCCAACGAGGGACGCGTGATTCAAAGTTGATTCGCTCTTGGGGACCGATGTAAGGTCGCCTGTTGCGCAGGTCAATACAGAGTACGTGAGCGAAGGATGGAGTGTGGCTCTCAAGTCTTAGCTTCTCGCGATACGTCTCGGGTCTCAGAATGGCGACGTTCTCGCTACAAAGGCTGAACTACTAGTAGTCTTCGTGGAACGATAGCCGTCGGAAGCTTTGTGCTTAGCGCCTTAATGATGGGATGGAACGACGAAGGAGAATGGCCATCAAGATAGGAATCGATCAATGCACGAGAAAACGTGGCGAGAAGAACAGCCTACACGCGCGGCAAGGTGACCATCAAACACTCTTCCCATGTGCGAGTCCAAGTAGACCAAGCCATGAAGAGATTACCTTCCTCGCAAGCTACCCAAGCTAGGGTTGCCGTGTTCAACCCAAATAGTCTCCAAAAGAGGTGCGCTCGCTATATTTGATGTGTCGGGAAGAAACATCGTCTACTTATGTTCTTGGTCTGGTTGGGGGTCATTGCGTCCAGAGAAATCGTTATGTCGAGGCGCTTGAAGACGACTGGGTGTTAAGCACCGCCGGGTAAAAGATTGAAAATGATAACGAGCAGCGATCTGGGTGAGGAGTCGACGTACGTCCTCGGCTCTTTGCTGGCTCCTCTCCAGGTAAGGCACCGGGTACCTGTAGGGTCATGAGGGTCTTATTATTCCGCAGAGTTTGACCTCCTGAAGATCAGCCCCTCCGATTTGGTCATCCTGTTCGCGCCTGTTGTGCTACTAAGCACACTTTAGGGCACTTGCATGGCTATCAGCAGCAACGAGTGGGTAGCGTTTCCACCACTTTTGGAGCTCTCCGCCTGTGTCTGTTGGACGGCATCACACGGGCTTTGCATGAGGCGCTTGTACGCTGGAATCTCCGTGACGACTGATCCCAAGGTTGAAGGTTGAAGGAAGACCCCTGGCTCCGGTGTGCCGGATCCATGCATGCAAGAAATTGGAGTGACCCATCCACCCATCTTCCCTCGAATGCTGGCACAGACCTAGTGGCTCAGTGCCGGCGTCGCCCCATACAGTAATCGTAGTATGCTTTTTCAAGGCCCTCACTAGCCCTCCAAATTCTGGCAAACAACGCCGGACACGACTTTCTACTGTGTACAGAGCCTGCCAACAAAGTAACACAGTACTACGAGCAGGACGCCGCCACATAATCTGACTTGCAAAAGAAAAGCATTGGCAACTTCCACAATGCAACCTTATACCGATGCTAGCTAAAGCCTCGCTCACACGCTGACCGCCTCAAGGATTGTCACTAGCTTAGGCCCATCATGGCTTCTGCTTTGCTACGAGTAGTATGCTCTTGGACAACCCCCCCACTAGCTATCTGGTCGTCTAGCTCTCACGTTCGTCATTGCCTTCCAGACCCTAAAGATGCCGTGGTTCCACTGCTTCCTCCATCTCCAGTCCCATCATGGTAGGTTTCGTTGCTCATCACGTATCGTCGTTGGCAATGCTGGGTCCTCCAGGCTCTTCATCTGACCCCAGGGACTGTCTACTACGACGGCTACTTTCTTCTACTGAAAGATAGGCCTGCGATACATTTCACCTCCACATTCGCGACGACATCAGACGGACTGCTCCCTCCTCGAAACCCTTGCCCACCAGACTCAAAACGGTCTTCTTACACCCGCAACCTCGGGCACTTCGACTCGAAGTTTTCATGTTATTGCGATTTGTTAGTACGACTCAACTCGACAGCAGAAAGATATTGTCTCTAGACGCAAGCATACATTTGGGCGAGCAGTGTCGATTGGCAAAAAAAACATGTTCCGTTGAGTTGTACAGTATCATCCTCATCGCGAACCGCCGATTGGTCAGCCGGTGCAGATAGCAGGGAATCTGTCTTCTTCAACAAAGAGCAACAGACTCGGAGATGGGCACTGGCCAAAGATTTCATCTCCCAGGCTCGCTGAAAAGAGCGAAGTCCAATGCACTTTATCAAGAGTGGAAACCGGACAGGAAGGAACATAAGGCTCAAAACGTCCTCGGCATCTCCGAAGCCGCTCTCAACACCGCCCGTAACGAAAGTGTCAGCTCTTCGAATACAGCCAGGATACCGGCGTTATCGTTCTCAGATGCCACGACGGAGCTGGGTTCTTCGAGGGCGCCAACCGAAAAACCGGATACGGCTCCAGAGTTGAGGCTGAAGGCCTCTTCAGTGCTATTGCATGAAGACTTCTGCATCAGTGCCGAGACAGCAAAATCGATACATTCAAAACGACTCAAATCGCAGACTTCTTCCTCAACCCTCGGCTCTCACTATGACCCTCAAAGAATGCCTTTGGCTATATCGCAACAAACTTCCGATTCGTCGAGGCGGGACTTTGCCCTGCGCAAAGGCTCACCTGTCATTGTCAAGGCGACCACGCCTGAGAAAGATTCGCTGCGCCAGTTGCGTGTCTTCAGGTCATCCAAGAACCGAGACAAGGTGGAAACCAAGAAGCTTTCGAAAATAAAATCGGATTCTTCCGCTTCGCCAGCTCGAACACTGTTTAGCAGTCAAAGGTATACGACCTCCACTGACCATGCCGGAAAGTCTGTTTCGGCACCCTCCTCAAAATCCTCTGTCTCATACAGTGAAGGTCAACATCCCGGGGATTCTCGATCCGGTTTCATGGGGAAGGTCCCAGTGGCCGATGCCAAAACGTCCAAGGCGTTCCGCACTTCCGCAGATGCCCCAGTCGACGCACCACACATCAAACTCAACATCAGGCGACCGAGGGTTGGGGCAAAACATTGGTTTGACGGACTGGAAGGCGACAGCAGCGAAGAAGAGAGCGTCCACGAACCAGAATTTCAGCCCAGCTTTGTCGCGGGGATGGAAAGTGCTTTCGAGGATGGAAGGATTGGTCCAGTGTCCAAAGGTTTGGAGCGGATGTCCGCTTTCATTTCAGAAATCTCGCATGGCGATACTGCATCGGCGATGTCTAAGCCGTCGAGTTCTTCTTCACGCCATGTGTTGCCAGCCTCTGCCATTCCCCCTCGGGTGTCAACACTCAACGCCAAATCATCAAAGGTGACGCTATCGCAGCATGAGCCGCAACCGCAGCCGGTAAACTCTGTAAAGCCAAAGTCGAAGTTCTTGGCTTCAAGCGACCTGCACACCACAAGTATACTCGATCTCTCTTCGTCGGATGATGAGGAACAGCAGCAACGTGGCATAAACCCCCATCGAGGTTCTCTGCCTCAACTGCGTGATAGCATAGCGGTCGAGTCGCTGATGGAATCAGATATTGTGGTTGAAACTGCGAAAGCCATTGACACAAAGCAGAATGCATCCATACAGGCAACGCCTAGCGTGAGACGAGTGGCTCGCAATGCGTCGAAGCGAGGGGCAAGACCGTCAATCAAGCCCCCCAACAGGACCCACGATTCGAGACAGACGTACTTCAGCGACCACTCGTCCGCGCCAGAACCTGAGGAATCCGATCTTCTAACCTCATTTCCCCCTACCCCTACGGAGTCACGCCGTACGTCTCTCCGAAGCTCCTGTCTATCGGATAATGCGAGTATAGAGAGCCGAAGAATGGTCAGTGTGACCAAGCAGGAAGAGTCATTGCTTGCAGTCATGAGGCTGAAGAAGGCAGCCTTGCAGCACGGACAGAGGAGCACCGACCCACGAATCCGGGTGCTGAGAGACCTGGATAGAAAGCCTCATGACCGACACCTGCCAGCAGCAGCCACGTCCGAAAATTTCTCGCGGGCTAGACCAAGAAATCAAGAAATTCTCGGCTCTGATAGCAACTCTGATCAGGCGTCTTGCACCACGTTTCAAACCGGCAGATCCATTGACCCGAGTAACAGGTTTTCCATGGCAAGCTTCCGAACAGAGACTTCCCTGGATCCTGACACTGACATGTCTTTCATGCCCTCGCCCAGTCTTCTCCCTGTTACGAAAGGTGCGACGCGTTTGAGCCGTGCTACATTCTTTTCTACCTCGACAGGTGACTCGAGAGAAACGTCACGTTCTCGACGGGAGCACAATTACAGAGCGGCCTTGGAGAGATTGTCATCTGTTCCACCGCGGGACGATATCCCGTCGCAAGAATTTATTGATTGGCCTTACCATGGGTGGGACGTCAAGACGGCGCTCGCCACAGCGCGTTAGGAAGAGGAATCGACCGTTCCTGGTGTCTTGGCCGAATGGATTCAGTGATACCTATGTTAAACGTCACCCCTGTACTTATAAGAATTTTCTTCTTTTGTGATGATGACGATAATGTGGAGGATGTGCTTGTGAGAGTCGGCGCTCGGCGCCCGTTTTGTACAGTATCAGAATGACCCCTGAAAGTGGTCGAATTGGCCTTATGACACGCCAAACAACCCCGTGTATCAGTATGATGTCTCTGCGCCGAAGCCGGATTCCCATTTCAGATATCCGCTCAATCCAACGCTTGTCACACATCCCATGGCGTGCCCCTATACCCAACCGGCCAAGGATGCAACACTTTTCCCCTTCCTGATGGTCGAGATGCAATCCGAAGCTGCTGGAGGGCACAATCTATGTGGCCGAGAATCAAGCTGCCGGCAGCGGATTCTCATGTCTGTGAATGCTCTTTTATGGCTTCTCCGAGAAGCTGGTACGAGTACTTATGAAAGTTCTTCAATGACGGATACGATCGCCTTCCAGCGTCACCATGTCCCATAGGGAAGCCATATTCTACCCCCACTGGTATTCTGAAAGCAGACCGGCGCTTCTACATGTCGTTTCTGAAGTCTTACTCGTCAGTAGTTGCCCAGACATCCGAGCATGCAATAACACCGTTAAAAAAATTATCGATCATGGGATTGGGGCTCGAAAAACAGCAATTGGCGCGGCCCTTGAAGCACTATTCCCCTTCCCACAACATTGGAAGCAAGCATGCACGATCCCATCAATACCTGCAACTACTTCGGCAGAGGAAGCTGGAGCGAACGAGAGGAAAGACGGCGGCGGCTCAAAGGGTTGTAACGGGTCAGAAACCTAGCTTGTAACCAGCCTGGCCGTTTGAAGATGCAATCACAATTTCTACCCGTTCAATGATTCATTGATGTTTGTGACAAATCGTTGCTGCGTGTGCTCTGCTTCGAGAGATTCGCATTAGCACGGGTCAACCTGACCTGGAGGGCATTTTCTCCGTCGGGCTCCATGGTGGACTCAGCCACTTTTGGTTTGGTCTGCAAGTGCAAGCAAGCTGGAGAGGCAAGGCCATTCAAATCAACATCGGGGCACGATCTGCAAACATCGGGGAAACATGTGTATGCTGAGCTGCATGCACACCATGACACTTCGAAGTAAGCATCAGTCGTCTCTGCGAGATGCCTCCCTGTACCAACCGTCGTGGTGGCCGGGCCTGCTGAATACTCGTTGGCGCGAAAATTGTATGGCCGCAACCCAATTTGCGAACCAACTTCCCGCCGCAAAGCCTGAGTTCCAATCGCCGCATCCAAGTCGGCCAACAACGGTGACCACGAGCATTAGAACCGATGTGATACTCTTAAGGACCACGTGTGGCATATCGAATACACTGCCCAGCTGGCGTTCGCGGATCAATAGGCCGGGGAATTTTTGGTCGCGCGGTTGCTGGCCGTAGCCGGCGCTCTTGAACCCGCTGGCGATCTGGTCAGCAAGGACGATCATGACCTCAAGGACACCAGCGGCTAGACTAACTCATAACGCAGTATCAGCGGGTGCTCGTGCTTGAGGTTCAATGACCTTTGCTGCTCCGCTAGTGCCGGTCGATGGAAACACTGCAACATGTACCAGTGTCCTTCGAGATTGTCCAAGCGGCACAAATAATACGCTAGTTCCTGGTGTGGGCATTCTGCTATATCGGGATACTTGTAGCCAGGACAGCCCCAGTCGTGCACCCAATCTGGTCTGGTTGCTTCGTCGTTGGGATAACAGTATGGGCTGTCAACCCAGTCTACTTGGGCCTGGTACTTATCCACACACGCCTGCAGATGCCCTCTGTCCGGCTTGTTTTTGGGACAAGCCTTGCCTATGAAGATGTTCGAATCGATCAAGCCTCCCAAACGAAGCTGGTGGGCCGACCCTGTCAATGTGATGCGCCGACTAGAAATCGTGGTAGTGGACTTACCTCGACTCTCTCCACACCCTCGACGCCACACAAGCCGAAATGTTTCCGCCATCTCCCCCTATGAGCGTAGTATTGTGCATTGAGGTCAGCGAATACAGCCTCTTCATTGTCTGGGTCCGCGACAGGTACGTCGACCACGAATGTTTGCGAGCCGTCTTCCCAGGCCAACAGCACGCAGTAGTCCTTTCCTGTCTGCTCTCTCCGGCGTGCAAAGTAGGTCCATAGAGGGCTCTGGCCTTTGGCCTGTTTTTCAATTCCGTTGGGTGTAGTCCTTCTTACACCCTGTGCCAGTCGACGATCTCGCAGCTGGCCTAAATTTGGGGCCACGACCGATTCCCTCTCCGAGGTGAGGGCAGCGTCTGGAGTTGCGATAACCCGTTGAGTCGAATCTTGCATCGTTGCTGCGTTGGCCTCGATATCCATTCTTCCACGTATAGTAGGTGAGAAGAAAAAGAGTTAGAACGACGGCGGATGTAGTAGCATGCGATGAGGTTAGATACAAGACTTGAGGCCAGGAGGTGTCGTCGTTCGCTGGAGTCGCCCTTCACCGGTTGGCGCTAAACATCAGTATTGCCCAATCTCATTGCAAGGCAGGTTCGATGGCGCTGCAACCCGCCCACAGAACCGACGACGCTTCCTGTCTTCTAGGTGGTCTCGGACTGGGGATAGAGGTTAGGTCGTAACGACTTGCTTACTTCTAGTGAAGTACCATCCAATCCCTCCACAAGCACTAAGCCCAAACGCTATCCCATCAAATAAGATCAAGGACCGATAAGCCGAGACGTTTCCCTCTCCCTCCGTACGGATACTATTATCCATAATCGCACCACATACAGGCCCTGATATCACGTATCCCAGTCCTCGGTCGAAGGCAAGCAGCCCATATACCCAGAGTTCAGCGCTCGCGTGGCTGTTACTTAATACCGTCGCAAGACGAGCATAGAGCACGTTGAAACCGCCAGCAAAGAGCCCATACACAACGGCGAAGGCGATGAGATGAGAGAAGTGCGTGCCAAGCAGCCAGAGTGTACACACGGCGATCGCTGTACATAGACTGGAGAAAATCAGAGGAATGAAAACGTTCACCCGGTCTGATGCGAAACCGAACGCGATTTGACCGACAGTGGAGGCTAGGTTCATGGCTGTGAGCAGTAGAGTTGCTTTAGTGGCTGGTACTTGGAAATTCAGAGCATATGCTTGATATCGGATTAATCAGCTCGAGGGTCGGATGCAGGCGGACAATACCTACAGGGTAGATAGACAAATGGCACATTGTAAGCTATGCCTTGGCAAAAGCTTGCACCTGCGACTACCCAGAACAAAGGTCTTCTTAGAACGCCCCAATCTGTTTGTGGTGACTCTTTATGGTGATGTGACAGCGGAGCTCTCAGTAGCGGCAACATCGGTCCGACTGTGACTACCTGGTAGATGTATCAGCATGGCTTCCTCGGTATATCAGAGTACGCACAGCAGCCATGGCAAAGGCTCTCAAAGTAGTTGCAGAACCATAGTGCAGCAGTAAACGTTCAACGATGATGGGAAGAATCATGCCTCCAAGACCGTTTGCGGCAAATCTGAAGGTCATTCAGCAACTCGAACCTAATCGGTAGTTAGTGCAGCATTTTGCACTTACAACAGGCCATATGCAAGTCCTCGATTGTCGACGAACCACTCGTTCAACAGCGACAATAATGGATAGTAAAGCAGCAAAAATCCAAGCCCATACATTGCTCCTTGGGTAAGAATGACATGCCACGCGTGCGTTGCAAAGCTAGCTGAAACAAGGGCAAGGCAGTCGAGGAAAAGCCCAAGAGATATCATCAGCTGTCTCCGTTTCATATACGCCGTAGTCAAGGCTGTGGCCAGCGGTGCGCCGATAAACGGAATGCCCTGTGCCTCGCCATCAGTCCAATGGAAGAGATGCCAGAGTCGAGTGGATTGCGCACAATGGCCAACATGCCCGCGATCGGGAGGTAGGCATTTGTACCAAAATCGCCATCTGTGCTGTAAAACGTCTGAAAAGTACCGAAAGTGAGTGGGAATCCTGACTCACACAAGTTAGTCGCCTTTCTCTATGCCATTCTTCAACTTGGAATCTGTACCCCATAAAACAGCTTCAACAATGAATGCTGCGAGCAGAAATTGGTATGCACCTCGCCGTGAAGGTCGAGGCCGAGAAGCGCCTGTAGATCCCGACGCAGGCTCCGCAACTTCAACCACCACTATCGATTTCCCTGGATCGACGAGCATATTTGGAATGGGAGCTTGGTGATGGTCATGGGTTGGAGAGAGAGCCCAGCGAAGCAATCGAAGATGGGAACGTCGTGAAGGAAGTCTGAAGCAGTCATCGCTATTCCCTCAATTTCGCCCATGCATCCGATCCTGCATTCTGGGTCTCTGATCGGGAATTGACTCCTGCTTTCCCGTGCCAAAAAGTAAGGCATTCGCGCACTCGAAATATGGCTGGCTGAGTGGGATAATCTTCTTACCCAATATCATGATTTACCGAGTGGCATACGGCCAATCATTTAGGCAAGATGAGCGCCTTGTTGGCATCAGGCACGTCAGGTTCTGCGCCATGCAGATGGGCTGAAGTTGGCTGGGCATCTCGACGCTTCCAGACTCTAAAATCAGCGTGGACGCTGGGGTGCATCGCGGTAAGCGAGCATGCCAAGTCTTGAATACACTCTTGAACGCCTGCCGAAAAGGGTTGGTTAACTTCGACTCAAACCAACGAGGCTCCTCTACCTGCACGGCTGTGCACCGCGTTAATTTCATCCTCATGGTGGGAGGCCAAGCACATTGAGAGAACGGAAGAGACTGTATCACATATAGATAGCCTTTCGCCAATCTGAAGGTCCGCGAAACTCGCATGAAGCGTACTTTAAGGGCCATTACCAATCCGGGTGGCATTTGAATCTCATGCAATGGACAATGCTGTTAGAACATATGGTGGCATCTCGTTGCAACATGTCGACCGGAATGAGCTGCAACGTGCAATACATGCATTCAGGTCCGTATCGGCACAATGCACGTGCGCTAGCGTGTTGACCAAGAGGATAGACAATACCGCATCAGCAACCAGAGAGAATTTGTCGCTCCACGCCTGAGCCACTTCCTTAGCTTGCCGCGGCATCAGCAAGAGGTCTTGTGTCAGCCTTCTATCTCACACGTGGAGAATATTAAACGAGTCGCTTCTGCCATCACTGAAAATTCTAGGCTGTCTTCCGCAATCGCCGAACATGGCACGACTTTATTGTCCTCTGTACTTGCAGACCATAGAGATGATAACTCTGGACCAGATGACGGGCAAGGAGGTGCAATTGTCCGCTCCACTCTGCGGCAACTCTACCGGGATTTCTCAGAGGAAGGTTCACGAGAACGTGACTTGTGCCATAAGACGATAATGCAAGACTTGGCTCAAGCAGTCGGCGCGACACCTGTTGAAAACAGAAGGCGCATTCTGGTGCCTGGTGCAGGGCTTTTAAGGTTGCCACTGAACCTCTACCTGGCCGGATATGAAGTCGAAGCGAACGAGGTATCGCACCATCAGCTGCTGGCAAGCTTGTTCATGTTGAACCAGGCCGAGACTGATCCTCAGTATGCGCTGTACCCCTGGGTTCTGAGTTTCTCGAATCATGTGTTTCGAGGCGACCAGTTCTTGACGTGTTCAGTCCCAGATCTCCGACCTAGGAAGCTGATTGGTGAGACTGCGCGCGTCGGCAGGTCGCTGAAGATCAACATGAACGACTTTGTCATCGAGTACTCCAAGCCTTGTTACAAAAATCATTTCGACGCCGTAACGACACTCTTCTTCATCGACACAGCGCCCAATTTGCTCGATTACATCGCGACGGTCAGTCATTGTCTCGAAGTTGGGGGAGTTTGGATCAACGTGGGACCACTTCTGTGGAATTGCTATGAGAATGGTCCAGCTGGACGACAGGAAGGTGACCTTGATGATGACATATCTTGTAAGATGCGGCAGCGCCTTGCCTCGGGGGAGTGTGGAGACCCGGGTGCTCCAAAGCTCGAGTTCTCTAACGATGAGGTACTAAAGTTGCTTGAACACTATGGTTTCGTGGTTGAAAAGCAGGATCGCTGCATTGGCGAGGCCGGATTCGTGGCAAACCCTAGAAGTATGCTGCAAAACATGTACCAGATGTCACATTGGGTTGCAAAAAGGAGACCGTGAGGCACAGAATGGTAAAGGTTGTATCCATCACAATCCATTTAATTATTGTGCCGAGGCTGTTGGAGGGTGCCATCTTGGCATGGCACAGCATGGATAGAAGTACCGCTCCAAAAGCGGCAGCATCGATCGCCAGATTGGGTGGGAAATTTTTCTGATAAACTGTAGAATTTGCGGAGAAAAACGCCCCTCCGTCTGCGCAGTACATGACATGTCTCTGGCCTTGAGGTTCAAAGCTGGAGGTTCTGGAGGAAATCCTTCAATGGCACCGACTATGACTTCTGTCCATCATCACAGAAGTACCACTAAACAAGAGCACAAGCCTTTCAAATCCCGACACGCCTCGAAAAGTGCTCTGAAGGATGCGGCCAAGGGTGGGCTACACGCAGGATCTTAACAAAGCCTCATGCTGACCGGTATGTAGGCAAAATCGAGAGCGCGAGAGCAGAAAAGGGCCAAAGGAAGACGCCCCACCAGCAAGTCATGTCGAAACTCGCCAGACGCAACCAAGCGAAGCAACTGCGCATGAACCACAAAGAAAAGAAAGAAGGAGAAGAACATATTTTCCAGGGCGTAGATGGAGCAGCCAAACACATTGCGATTGTGCCTTTGTCGAACAGCATAGATCCATACTCCGCGATCAACCTTCTGAATGAGAGCGTCGACATTGCCCGCCTTGAAGTAACTAGCGGTATAGTTCCGGTCCGAGTCGATCGATTTCGTCGCAATCTGCTCTATCTGCCTGCCTCCTTTGACCTTCTCAAGGCACTCGATGTCTGCAAATTGGCCGATTGGGTTGTGTTCGTACTGGATGCTGAGCAAACAATCGGTGAAGAGGAGGATTTGTTCCTGAAGGCCCTTGAGGGACAGGGGATCACCAATGTCACTGCTGTGGTACAAGGTGTCGAAGCCAAAGTCCCTGCAGCGAAGAGATCACGACACCTGACAGACCTGAGGATCGCTATCGGCCGTTACTTTCCGGCCTTGGATAAACTATCCAGTCTGGATAGCAAGTCGGATTGTTCCAACTTGGTTAGAAGTATATCGACTGCTTCTACGAGAGGAATACGGTGGCGAGATGACCGGAGCTGGATGCTGGTCGAAAATGTGGACTGGAGCAGCCCGGTCAATGGAGCAGCCACAGCTGCAGTCACTCTCGCAGGCACAATACGAGGGAAAGGGCTAAATCCAGATCGGCTAGTGCATGTTCCTGGCTGGGGGGATTTTCAGATCAATGTGATAAGGGAAGTGCCGAAACAAGGCCAGAAACGAAGAGCAGATGAGATGGACGCAGATGTACCGATCAGAGAATGGGGGCCGACAGCTGATCAGGATGATTTGGCAGAGCTGGCACCTGAGCAAGCAGACATGCAAGATGTTGCTAGTACTGCGGCTACGACGGAGCACAAGGGCGTCCTTCTCGACGACCATCACTACTTTTCCGATGACAACACTCACATCCCTCCGGCGCCAAAGAAGCTTCCGAAGGGGACTTCCAACTACCAAGCAGCATGGTTCCTGGAAGATGTCTCTGACTCTGATTCCGATATGCTTGACGAAGATAGGGATGGCGATATTGCCATGGACGCAGCAGATTCGCTAGGACCAGAGGACGGCGTGGTCGCAAACGGCGCTGATGCCATGACCGAAGTGGGACAGTCAGAATACCCGGAATCCGAGATGCATGTGGACGCCGATGAAGAAGAGGAAGCTCGCCAGCTCGAAGAGTTTAGAGCGAGCAGAAAGCAAGAAGCCGAAGAGGACCTCGAATTCCCCGATGAGATCGAGTTGCCTCCGAACGTTCTGGCTCGCGAAAGACTCGCCAAATACCGTGGCCTCAAGAGCTTGCGGACTAGCGAATGGAATCACGCCGAGGATGCGCCACATGAGCCCATGGAGTACAGACGACTGCTTCAAATAGCCGATTACAAGAAATCATTGAATTCAGCACTGAAGGAATCACTTGCTGGGGGAGTTCTCGCTGGAACGAAAGTCGAGATCGAACTTCGAGATGTTCCCATCTCACTCGCTTCGGCCTCGGCACCAGCATCATTGTTTTCCATCCTCCGCCATGAGCACAAGCACGCCGTCATCAACCTCAACCTCACATTGAACTCGGAATTCGAGGGCCCTCTAAAATCCAAGGACGAAGTGATTGTGCAGATTGGTCACCGTCGGCTGGTCGTCAATCCCATCTTCTCCGCCTCAGGTCAGACACCGAACGACGTCCACAAATTCGATCGTTTCCTCCACCCTGGCCGTACAGCGATCGCCACATTTACCGGGCCCTTGACATGGGGTTCTGTGCCTGTATTGGTCTTCCGCCGCGAAACGCCTTCGGACAATGTTGCTCCAGCACTCCTCGATTCGAGCATCAACAGCGCAGAACCCGGTCACCTACGGTTGATCGGCACGGCGACCACGCTTGCTCCCTCTTCATCCCGTGTTGTTGCCAAACGTGTCATTTTGACGGGCCACCCATTCAAAATCCACAAGAAACTCGTCACAGTGCGCTACATGTTTTTCAGCCGCGAAGACGTCTTATGGTTTGCAGCTCTCCCACTGTGGACGAAGCGTGGTCGCCAAGGGTTCGTCAAGGAACCCCTGGGCACGCACGGCTATTTCAAAGCCACCTTTGACGGCAAGATCAACCCGATGGATGCCATCGGCGTGAGCCTTTACAAGCGTGTTTGGCCCAGGCCAGCGAAGACCTTTGAGGCATAGAGCAGCCCTCGCAATGCAGGACCCTCGCATTCGCGACGATACAAATCTGGAATTGATTACGAGTTATGACGCAAGGAAAGAAGGACATAGTATAGAGATTATCGAGATACCAGGCTTTCATTTTGATTGCGGCTCGGATGAATTGATGACAAACACACAGAACGAGCAAAAAGAACGGCGATTATATCAGACTTGTCAAAGCGCTCGGTGTCCCTGCTTTATGCTCGTGCTGGTTTCTCTGACATCTAACTCGTCTACCAGGTATCGTCTTTGCATCTTCTGTTCGCGAGTTTTTGCACAACCCGCGTCGATCCGTTCCGTCATCACCAACCGCTCACTCTGTTGATATAGACTCGACATCCTCGTCCTACGCAGCCGGCGCTATCTTCCCCTGCCAATCTGAGTCTGCGCTTCAAGTCTCGCAATATCCGCCCTCACTTCTTCCATCTCGCGCTCGACCGCGCCATACTTCCTCCCCAGCTTCGTCATCACATGCACACCCACACCACCGTCTCTCCCATACCCTGCATCTTCGCCGGCACGCTCGTACTCGTCCAGCGCACCCTGCAATTCCCTGATGCGCTGATCCAACCGTGCCTCCTGCCCGTCCAGTTCAGCAATCTTATCTCCAACGAACGCTTTCCTAGCGTCCGCGTGCTCACCCGTTTCGATCTTGCACCTCTCTTCGAGCAGGAGTACCCGGGTCTTCAAATCCATCGCCCGCGCGACCGTGGCGAAGAAAGTCATTCGTGCCTGCGCATGGCGAGAGATCACGCCGTGTTTGGTCGCTTCGAGGGTGCGGAGTTGTTGGGATAGGAGGTCTCGTTGGAGCGCGAGAAGCGTGGTCAGCGTGCCAGACATGGTCGTGAGGCGTGTAGGGAGGGTTTGTCGCAGGGTGGCGAGATGATCGACTTGTGCTGTTAGACTCGAGAATAAGGTAGACAGATCTTTAGACGGCCGGTCTCCCGGTGTTGCTCGGTTCATGCTGTCTCGTTCAGGTGCGCGGGTACTAGTACCTTCATCGTAGCGTATACCGCCGGCTTGTTGGTCGTCCTGCTCCTGCTCCTCCTCGTCAAGAGCTGCAATCCCCGCCAATTTTGCAAGGCCACTTTCAATCTCGACGAGCCTCTTTCCCACGACATCCGCGACGGTGGACATGTTCTCCTTGAACAGAACAATATCGTCTTCCAACAGTTCTTGACCGTCTATGGAGAGCAGTCCCTTGCGTGCATCGGATCCTGCCTCAGACCTTCCTGGAGAATTGCTGCGGCTTGCATCGATATACGCGGATATAACCAGCAGATCATCCCTCAACCCGAGCGTCAGCTGCTTGCTCTGCGAGCTCTGCGATATCTCCCTCTGCAAACGCGTCAGCAGCCTACACACAGGCATACAAATGGGCCACTTACAAGGACATCCGTCAGTATCTCCAACTGCATCGTCTCGACCCTCGCCTTATTCAACGCTTCTTCTAACCTCAGCTTCTCCTTGTCGTTCTCCTTCATCCCTTTGCGACGCCCGCGCGCTTGTCCATCGACTTGAGAACGACGCGCACCTCCATACCCATCGTCCATAGCTTCTTCGTGCTCCGGCAGCGATTGATCCTGCTCTTCCTCTTCTCCACCACTTCTCGACCGACCAGCGCCACCGAATTCAAAGTTGTCTCGTCTGGCCTTGACTTGCGCTTGCCACCTTCCCACCCTCTCCTCATTCACGCTCTTCCTCGACGCATCATCCTCTAAGATTTCGGTCGTAATGTACGTCCACAACCTCGCGAACGCGGGATGCGCGTCGAGCGTTGCCTCTGGTAGAAATGGGATCACCATCTCCATCACATTCTTGCTTCGTAGTTCGCTCTAAGCTGGCTAGCTATATCAATCTCGCCGATTTATCATCGTTTTTACTCGAAGCCCAGAATGATGGGTTTGGTGCTGACCACGCGCTCAAAGAGGTCGAAGTCGAATCAACGTTCAATCCCAAGACCAATGTGCACGCGCGCTATCATTGGCTACTGGTAGCAACAAACGAAAGAATTGAGTATCCCTTACGAATAACCAGTCGTGCCAGTGCATCATTGAAAGGATTGCTTGGAATTGGAAAATATCTTTTTATTGTATCAACGTGCAATGTTCATACCACTTCACAAGTTTCCCTGCTTTCGTCCCCTTGTCAGCCAACTATGATAGCTCTCCACACCCGCTGCCAGTATCATTTTTATCGAGCCAATTGCTCACGGAAGTCACTCCAATTTCAATCGATCTCAATCTGATGGTCTAAAAAATTACCCATCTCGGAAGACTGCTTCCACGCCCAGGCGATAAAACCTTTGTCTAGCACCAGTGTCCGTAATGCTATGCAGCACGATGCTCCAGGTCGGAAACAACGGTAAAAGATCAAGTCGCTCTCTGCTCTCGCCACGTCTCAACACTGCACGTGTTCAGGTACATGTCAGGATCACTCCTCTTCACTCTCCTCGGAGTCACCATCATCGTCGCTGCTGTCCCCCTCTATCGACGGCATTGCGTTCGGTGACACCGGTCCAACATACGCACCCAATTTGCCCTTGAGTTCCTCAATCTGCGCCTCCTGGTCATGCTTGCTCATAGGCTTGCTCTTTTTGCTCTTGGTCGCAGAGGTAGAATAGTTCTCAGCTGCCTCGGCTTTTGGCTCGTCTGGAGGCGGCCCTGCATATTTCTTGACAAAGTTGAGCAACTTGAGAAGTGCATGGTTAGGGACCTCCTCAATATCGAGCTCTATCTCGTTTTGATCAGTGTTGGCCAATGACGGGACGCTGTTCTGGATGATCTTTAGAGCTTCGGACATCTGTTTCTCCGGCAGCATCCCAATACCGTTAGAGATATATTGCTTCTCGGCAAATGTCACGTATCGGTCCTTCTCCGGTTTGGCCTTGGGTGCAGACTTCTTCTTTTCTTTTTTATCTTTGCCCTCCTTGGGTGCTGCAGGCTTTTCTTTCTTGCTAGGCTTAGACTTGCTCTTCTTCATGGGTGGAGACTTGGATTTCTTGACCTTCTTCTGGGTCAGCTCGCCCATCTGTTTCGACATCTCTTCAATCTGCTTCTGCAGTAGCTTGATCTTTTCAGCTCGTTCATCTTCGCTGTCCTCTGCTTCTTCCTCGCTCTCATCCTCCTCGTCATCCTCGTCTTCTGCATCGGATTCAGGTGCAGACGGTGGCTCGCGAGCTGCAATCCACTCTTCCTTTGTTGCCCACTTCTTGTTGAACATATCCTCCAGCTGATGACCAGCCGCGTTGACCAAATCGCCTTCAGGGTTGAACTTGTAGCAGTTCTTGAAGATCAGTCGGACATCCTCTTCGAAATCCTTGGCCTTCTCGTAGACATTGTTGGTCAACTTTGTTCTAATGGTGCTAAGGTCCATGGGTTTCTTGATGATCTGGAAATACGTGGGAATATTTAACGCCACGGGGTCAACTGGATGGGTGAAATACTGATTCATCTGCCAGTTTTTGGGATGGGCGATGTCCTTCAGAACCTCGTCGCAGAACTTGAGCTGCAACTCATACTTCTTCTTTTTGGGTCTTCCGCCTCCAAACTCTTGATTGCGCTTTGTCGGAACGATGGCTCGCTTGGGTCGACCATCAGCCAAGCTCGAATCACGGCGGATCAGAGGCATGCCATCAGGCCCAGGAGCAAAGGAAGGAGTCTGAGGAGGAGCAGACTTGGGTGAGGCATAGGCAGCTGTAGCAACCGCAGGACTGGATGTGCTGACCGATGGTCGTCGAGGTGCTTGTTGTCTGGTAGGCTCGTGTTTCTTCGCTGCTTTCTTGATCTCTTTCGACGGTTCTTCAAGGGTCGCCGGCGGGAGATTCTTCATCTGACTCTTGAAGGATGACTCCATCTTTCGAGCCTGCTGGGTGATGCCGTGCTCAGGGCCATTGAATTTGACACAATTGTCGACAATCAAGTTAAAATCGCTAATGAATGCTGAAACAGAGGTGTATTTATTTTGCTTCAGTCGCGAATCGATGGTTCCCAAGTCCATAGGTTGCTTGACAATATCAGGGTAGGATGGAATGTTGAGTGCCACATGGTCAACCGGCTGCCGGAAAGGTGCGGAAGAATTGCTCTTCTTCAAGTTTGAAGTGACCTTCTTCATGTGTGCCAGACGTGCCTGAGTAACGGTGTCGTCACCATCGCCAGGCCCGGTTGTCGTGGGTGTCTCGCCATTCGGTACTGGTGATAAGGCCGCCATGGGAACTTCTGGAACCTTGAATCCTGCTTCTTGATATGCAACTCCTGATTCATCGGTTTTGACTCTCTTCGCCGCACGTTGTGAATCAGCATTATCATCTTCTCGTAGCCGAGGTTGTTTAGCGTGTACAACATCAATCATCTCCTGGTCCTCCCCAAGTTGGGTAGCGGGTACAGCAGGTGTCGGAGCTGGTTCTTTGGGCTTCTCGGCTGGTGCAGCTGTCGGTGTCATCTGAGGCCGAGGTTCTGTTGAGGGGATCAATTCAGGTTCAGATTGTGGCGCAATGATCTGTTCCATGTCACGCTCCGGTGCCAGAATCGCTTCAGGTTCAGATTGAGGGGCAAGGATTTGTTGAGGTTCTGGCTCTGGCGCAAATGTTGGTACAGATGCAGTCTCGGATGCATAAGTCGATGGAATTGGCTTGTCTTCAGGCAATGTAGCTGGAGCCGGTTGCGGAGCATCGGGTGGCGAGTGAGTTGGAGGTGAAGGCAAGCCAAGGTTGGTGACAGGTGTTTGCTCAATGACGTTGGCTGAGTCAGGCGCCACTGAGATGTCCATAACATTGGCGTCGGCAGGTGATGGCACGATGTCCGCAGAATTGTCCAGTTGGTGTTTCTGAGCTTCAACTTGTGCAACAGCCCCAGGACTCAAGGCATCAGAATGAGGGGCAGTCCGCAGATCTGATTCCGGGGGCTGAGGTGGAGCTGAGACAGGCTCAGCAAAATCCATGGTCGGTTGAGTTTCTGCAGGCGTCGCTGACGACTGAATCTCAGCAGGTACGGAGGAAGGTACGACCGAGTCGGTCATGCTGTCTGTGAGTGATGTTGGTGGCGGGACTGAATTGCTTTCGAGAGAAGGTTGAGGTTGAGAGTCAGGAACAGTTGAAATTGATTGTTCGGCTGCTGCACCTATGCCATTCGTGGAAGGCGGTAGTGCTTCAGGCGGTTGGGAAACTGCCTCTGGCTCTGCCTGTGAGGTTGCTTCGAATACCGGGTCCGATTGAGGCGCTGATTGAGGCGCTGATTCAGTCACAGCGGGTTTCGACGGCAAACTGATGGGAGCATCAGAGTTTGATAATGAGGCGGCTAGGTTGTCGGCGACATGGTTTTCTGCAGGTTGAGTTGAAGTCGAACTGAAGTGCGCAGGCAGTCTGTTGACAGTCAGATCAAGTGACAAGTGAGGCAGTGAAAGTGGACGCGACAACACATACCCGTTGGCCTCCATCTGCATTTCAACATCCATTCTGCCAAGAGATTTTTAGATCCGCTAGAAGATGTTCGCGGAAGATCGGACCAGCCGATAGAGTGATGAACAGGTTGAAAGATTATTATTAATGCTGGAATAATTTACAGGCCGAATGGTGGCAAAATAACACAAAAGGAGATGACGACAAAGGGCGCCGGAAAAGGTGAGATGTCGTTGCGGAATGAAACGAAAAAGGTGCGATTAATATATAGTCGACGAGAATTGAGCAATTGCTGACACAATCAAGTGGCAACAATGCTTCAAGACTCAATTGGTGGGAGTCGAGAGATCGATGGCGATGGCGATGGAGATGCCGGAGGAGCCTGATGGAATGGAAAGGGTTGATATCGATATGATCATGTGACTGTGATCATGTGATATACAGAACAGGCGTTCAGAGCGCCAAGCAGACTCGGAAGGTCGCTGGACTAATCGGCAGGCAGGCAGTGACCAGACTCGGCGTGCATAAACTGTTGTCGCGCCAGAGATTGTGTCGCAAATAACAGCAGTACCGACAGGCAGCAGTCTGGATGAATCTCGATGTTGACGGCGGCGATTCGGCGATGCGACAGCGATGGAATTGCGATGCGCGCGCAATGAAATAGAGTTGAATTGGATGTTTATATGGATTATTGAAGGATTGATCTGATACACCTAATGGAGAAGAAGGTGATCTGGCCAACGCGTCTCGAAAGCAGAGACGAATCAGATGGTGGCTTGGCGTGGAAATTGGCCGACGCGTCGGTTCGTGTTGTGATCGTTTTGGGGAGGAGAGAGGTGAAGGGTGCGGTGCATCACACTTTTAGGAGCAGCAAATTTATGGACGAGGGGCGCGAAATCCTTAAGTAGCCTCGGAAGTTGTTACAGACGTGGCTCCGTCCGTGTGCGACCCCTGTCAGATTTAGTGTTTTTGATTCTCCAGCCATTGATCCCATCGAACCAACTGGGTGCCAACCGTGTCCTGATCAGGTGGATGCCGTTATCTCGAGGTGCCAATCAATGGGTGCCTACCATACCCTTTAGGGGCTAGCAGTGCCAAGCATCTCGATTTTTCTCTCGCTCCTGTCCAACCTTGTTCGTCCTGCGCCACCCTCCTTCTCCCTCATTTTCTTTCTCTTCTTCTGCCCTTCATCTCCACTTCTGACGAGCCGTTTTGCTTTGCTTCCCTTGCTGCCTTTGCAATTATTATTATTTGCACCAAATGTAGCCATCCACCAAGCCATCGTCTACCTATTGCATACTCGTACCCCGTATCTGCAGTCTCCTTCTCCCATCAACGTCCGTTCTTCGGACTTACCTGGTTGTGTAAAGCTCTACTTCTGATTGCAGCCTGCACGCGGCGCTTGTGTCACGCGATCATCATGTTCTCATGGCGCATCCCTGTTCCATATCTTTCGAGATGATCACTGCAAAATCCGGATGCAGTCACGTGGGGCGCTAGGCATCCTTCGCAATCCACGACGGAGGTATTCCTCGAGGTGCGAACCTTTCCAATGATGAATGCGCATGCCTCGTGCTTCCGAACAGATCCTTGGAGAGTTGCTCAAGTGGTCTTCTGCATCCGGTCGTCAATGCGTTTGCACGGCACATCGTGCCCAAGATTTTTGGTCGTTTTCTGCCCCTGTTGAGCAATCTCCGCAGGCTGCCGGCTTCACCGAATTGAGCCGCGGATCAGTAGAAGCAACTTCTCCGTAACCGCAACATGATCCATGGCTTGTATCTTGAGTCGGAGACATGTCTTACCTCGTGCATGATTGTTGGAGAGAGAGCGTTGCCCAACAGTCGGAGGAGGATAGATATCAGTAGTGCTCGTGCCTTGGCATCTGGCACTCCTCAGCGGGCGTGATTTTGCATTGCAAGATGAACATCGCAGCCAGGGTTGCTGTGACCGGAACTTTGTGGCGATGCGATGTCGATATTACTTCTCGGGATCGAGAAAGGGGAGGCAGCTTGCCGGGCAGAGATAGGCAGCCTACCACTGAAGGTTTCTCCAGCTTCGGCGGCTATGCATGCACTCGGCGTCAGGATCTTGGAAAATGTTCTCATCACTCTAGCTTTCGCAGACATGTCATGTCGCATGGGAGCTGAAATACCTGCAAGGACAAGAACACAACATAACAACTGAATTGTTGAAGAGAAGCAAGATATTCAGCCAGAAGAGAAGTTCGCCAGCAGAAAGTGCCTAAAAGGTACGTAGTAGGAGGAAATCTTCCGACTAGACCATTCATAGTTTGGCGTCCTTCTAGTGGGAGTATTGTCTTTAATTCTCCAAACTCCGAACTTTTTTTCGACTGGGAAATTTGTATGAGAACCGCCAGTCTGGTGAGGCAGCACCAATACTAGCACAATACTCGACAGAATCCGTGTCTGAGTAGTGCTTCGTCCCACAAGATTGCTTTGTTCCCTCTTTGTTCCTCGTATTCACCCCAAGATACCGCCAGAATGAGTCGAAAATCCTCATCGACTGCGGCCGCCAAAAATTCCTCCGCAGGCACAGCGGTGTCGTCAATATCTGCGACTTCACAAAAATCCTCAGTGCTGAAGTCCTCCTTTGCACCTTCTCAGCTACAGTTACGGCTGTTTGCTTCGGTCATCCAAAGTTTCGACTCACAGCAGTTGCGCATACATGACACCACGACCGGTCGCTTACGCTGCCAGCACGAGACTAGACCCGGCTCCAGAATTACCTGTCTCGATTGGGGCTACTATGGTGCTGCCTATCGGGATCAAAAGCAGAACAAGAAGCGCAAGAGGGGTCAAGACAAGACTGAAGGTGCAGTCGTTGCATATGGAACGAGTACTTCAGAGATCTGCATGTTTTCACCAGCTGAGGCCAAGGTAATCGGCACATTGAGTGGTGGGCATGAAAGGACCGTCACGGACTTCAAATTCTCCCCTTCTACAGACTATCGAGAAGGGTGGAGTATAGGTGAAGACCAAAAGCTCATACAGTGGGATCTCAGCAAGAATCAGGCGATAAGGTCAGAACATCCTGACGTCCATGTTATGCGAAAATCGCAGTGACTAACTCCTACTAGAACGCTCAATATTCCAGAAGCTGTCAATGTGCTTGCAACTCCCTCGCCCAACCCCTTCCAGATACTATGTGCATCATCTACTCCGATAGCATACGATTTCGACGCCGAAGGAGAACCCCACCTGTCTCGATTCGACTCGTTCAAGAACTCGATCCACTCCTTGTTCAGATCCGGCATCAAGGCGGGCTCGGAGGAAGAGTTCTTCCTCGCCTCAGATTCAGATAGATACATCAACGTCTACAGCCTGCAGAACAGAAATTTAGTACGAACATTGGTCGCCGGAAGTGGAGTTATCGCCGCAGATGTGTACGACCCATCCGAAGACGTCGTGCAGATACGGCGAAAACAACTCTTAAGTGTATTGACGAAGGATGGGACTGTGGAATTATTCTGGCAACCATTCGCCCAGGCAGAACAAATAAATGGCGACTTGAAGTCTAGCAGGAAAAACCTCACAAGGAAAGCCGGTGCCTCAATCCGCTTGGTGAGCCCAGACCCCAAGAGCAAGCATGTACCCATATTTGCTGCGTCTATCCAGGGTCATGACATTGTGGTTGCCTCGGCAGATAGTGGTGCCGATTTCTCGTTCCAAAAAATCAGATGGCAAGACGAAGGCAATGGACAACTCCTGTTTGGCGGCCAGAAGGATGTTGTCAAAGTGCGGAGTGCATCCACTTTGAATACAGCCACTCTGAACGGTGTCAAGGATATGGGCAAGTCTCATGTCGACGAGTCCAAGACCGTGGTCGTCAATAGTGGATCTCAGCCCGTCACTATCGACCTCTCAAGCGATGAGAGCGAGGATGAAGCCGAGGAGGTCGACGACGATGATGAAGAAGATGAAGAGCAGTCCCCCACCGACACCCAAGCTGCCTCAAATGACGTCGAGCAAGACTTGGATGAAGCGTCTGAAGTTGAAGCAGATTCAGATGAAGAAATGGCAGAAGCCGATGCCGTCGACGCAGCGTCCGACGAAGAAATGGCCGACCCAGAAGCAGAGCCCACTTTCGGCGAACTCCTCGCGTCCCGTCATCCCACAGAGATCTCAATCTCCTCGGCCCTCCCTCCTGACGCTTCCACTCTCACTATCAAGTCCGGCAACCCTGTAATCCCGAGCGGCATGTCTCTTGGGACCGTACTCACGCAGGCCCTGCGCACAAACGACAACAATCTCCTCGAAGCGTGCCTACACACGCTCGACATCACCATTGTCAAGAACACCATCCAGCGTCTCGACCCTGGTCTTGCGGGCGCTCTGCTCTCGAAACTCGCCGAGCGCCTGGCTTCTCGACCCGGTCGGTACGGCAACCTGATCGCCTGGGTCCAATGGACGTGCATCGCGCATGGCGGGGCGATTGCCGCGCAGCCGGATGTCACGGGCAAGGTGCGCACTTTGTATCAGATTCTCGGCCAACGGGTCCGCTCAATGGATAGTCTGTTGCTCTTGAAGGGGAAGCTGGATATGCTGGATGCCCAGTTGCGGTATCGCAAGGATGTTGTTGCTCAGCAGGGTGCAAGGAGAGGAGATAGAAATGAACCTGGGATGATCTATATTGAAGGCGCCGACGGAGGGGATAATTGGGACAGTGAGGATGAGGACGACGATCTGGACGAAGGCTTGGAGACTATCAGGCCGAGTAAGCGGGCCAAAGGGCGAAAAGCGCTTGAAGATCTGATCAGTGAAGAGGGCGAGAGCGAAAATGAAGATGAGGATAATGAGGATACGATGCCTCTTGAAAATGGAGTCGCTGAGGAAAGCGAGGAGGATGAAGACGAAGACGAAGATGAAGATAATGATGCTGTCGGAATCAACGGAGTGGTTGATGTTGAAGCTGAAGTGTCCAGCGCCGAGGAGTCTGACCCGGATGACGTGGGCGGCGAGGTTGCGGATGAATCCGAGTCCGAGGTCTCTTCGGATGAAGAGCGCAGCAACGAAGCAGAGGACGACGACGACGAGGACTCGGAGATGGACAGCTTCATCAATGACGGCGAGATTGAGATGGCGAGTGATGAGGACGATGTGCACGTCGAAGGTGACAGTGAGTCAGAAGAGGTGCAGGCTCCGCCCGAGCCAAAGTCGACGAGCAAGAGTCCGAAGAAAATGAAGGGTAGAAAGAGCTGAAAAGTCGAAGAGCAAGAATTCGAAGAAGAAGGGTGGAAAGAGCTGAGGCACTGTCCTTGCATATCGGAGTGTTCAATTCACCTTGAGATACCGCAGGGGCCTGTGGTTGTGAGCATGGCTTTTCAGGGAGCATGGATGTGGATACCGTAAGCTCGGTTCAGGACTTGGACATGGATACGGCTACCTCGTGGGTTGAACGCATCAAAAGTGATGTCTTGTTTGCATAGAGACATGGTGTTATAATCAGCATGAACAGCATCAAAGGAACATTTCGGAAAAGCATGTTGGACTTGACGGAAGCGATGATATTGATGCTACGGCATCACTGCCCATATGCGATATCCTATGAATAGAGGTAGACAATACTGCCATTGCTCAGTCCAGCTGTTATAAGTCGTGACAACCTCAGGTGTGTGATGACGATGAATACGCCTTGAGCATAATGTGGTCGCCATGCCAGTCAACCTTGCAACCGAATAGTAGGGCTCTCGTCTAACGGATCACCTCGCCAGACCCAATCTCATCTACACCCACATTCTCGTACCAACCTTCAAGCACGCGACTTCCACCCAGCACTCTATGCCTGTTACCCAGACCACGCCCTTTGCCTTTGCTCTTGCCTGCCCAGATCTCAAAGAACTTGACGGTCTGATCACAGCAAGCGATGATCAAGCTGCCCTCTTCTTCTGTCCGACTGGCCCACGGCTCGCCTTCGCCACGAAGATCTCTTCTGAGAGTGTCCCGTGGTCGACTCCAAGAAGTCATTCTCGACCGACGAGTGGGAGTGTCGGTATTGCCTCTGTCCAGGCTCGGTGCAGGACTTCGGCCTCGCCAAGGACCGGTCGTCGTTGGGAGCCCTGCACGTTGCGCCTCTGTTTGTCGGACAGCCTCCCAAGCTGCGAAGCCGTCAGAAGAACTGCTTTGTCTTCGACTGGGTATAGCATCGTTCGGGCCCCCTGGATAAGGTATTGCCCACAGGGCACGTCCAATTTCTCCATTCTGCTTGCGATCCCATGGAATGCTAACAACGCATTCGCAACTTGGCCAACTGAAGACAGCAATCCTGATCTCATGCTCTGGTTGAGAGTATCCGAAGGTTGCCGCAATTTCTCGTCGAGTAGTGCTCTACACCAAGCTGGTGACCTGGGAGAAGACATTGATCTGGGCTAGGGTGGCACCGGAGCCTGTATGAAAGAAGTGAATCTGGCGATCGTTGCTACCTCCACCTGTGGCAAGAAGACTTGGCTGCCAACGAGCGAATGCAATAGCCTTGACAGCAGCAGAATGATAGAATGAGTATACATGCATATTCGCTATACCAGGTATATTCGGATCTGCTAGATCGATTCGGACGGGAGGCAGATCGTGCATCGCAGGAGCATTCTGGGTCCTGAGCCATCGAATGTTGCTATCTGGTGCTTGAGTCGGCATGCTTTCGTGCCTGTCGGGACTGGCAGGAGGTGTCTCAAGCCCGGTCCCTTCCACGGGCGCGTCCGGTCTCGCATGAACAGTTGTTGTAGTCATCTGGCTCCCACTGGTGTTCCTTTCGGAACTTGAAGGCGGAGTCATCAAGCCGGCATCTGTTGTCGATAATTCCCGATCAGCTGGCGTAGCGGGTCGTGCTGGGTTCTCGACAGTGCTGCCAGAGGCATGAATGTCACGTTGAGCTTCTAGTATGATCTTGGGATCATAGAGAAATGCCCGATTGTCGTTGCCACCAGAAACAAAGAGTTCGGCATCAGGGGACCATGCCAGACCACAGATATTCTGACTGTGCGCATCGATTTTGGCGATTAGAGTCATCGAACCTGGGGCAAATTCGGGCCACTCCAGTGAGTAGTAATAGATTGTTCCAGCATCGTCGCCAACGAGCAGATCCTCGCAAGGAACGATGTCTTCACCGTCGATCGATGGTCGATATGTCTCGGTTGGTTTCCAGGACACACATGATGCTGCGCATGAATGTGGAGCTTCGAATCTGGGCCTGGATTCCAACAAGCTCCAAAGCATGACAGTGCCACTGTTCCGCGCCGCTGCCAAGATAGCTCTGCCTCCTGGTTCGGACGAGAATGCTAGATCGGTAACAAAATTGGTCGGCCGAGTTGGAGGCAAAGGAGGGTAGCGGACGCCATATTGTTCCGTCCATAGATACACCTTCTGGGTCAGGGCAACTGCCAATGTATGACAGGTATAGCTGTATGCCAAAACGGAGCAGTAGTAGTCGTCCTTGAGATTCGGAGCGTCGAGCACCCGGAAAGGTACTGTTGGTATCGCTTTTTCGCTATGGACTGGTTTGTCATTTTTCGATGCCACTGCTGAGATTGGGGTTAGCAAAATCTCTGCAAGTTCGACCACACCTACACCGGATGTCCAGATCTCGCGTCCAGCTACTATCTCTCCAGACGAAACCGCTACGTGCCGCTGAAAGCTTCGGGATATCTTCGCCGACGGGCGGGGTCTGAAGTAATACTCGGCTAGCTTGGTCGATGTCAAGAGCGAGCGCAAGGCGATGTTCATGGCCCATAGCTCGGTCGCCAGTAGTAGCGTGGTCCAGAAAGGAAGCAGTATGCAATGGCGCCGTGGTTCCGCTAGCGAGACGTCCTCCAGTGGAAGCGCTGACCCCTGGCAGTTGTCCAAGCTGGACCATTAGTTGACCACCAACAGTCCAAAATCCGCCACTGACTCGACGCAGCGATCCCAGCCCTGTTCGCCAATCAATGTGTGGTGGTGAGGCGTCCATGCCATGGACGAACGACGGGACATAGTGTGGTGGTCGGAGGTTGTAGACATTATGAGATTGTCTTTGCCTGGCCAACGTTCTTGACCTTGTCTCGCTGACTGAACGAAAAGGATCGATCGAACCGTCTCTTCGTCTGTCACTCCTCTCTCGGCCCCGCAGTAAGGTAGGAGGCTTTCCTGTCTGGTATGATGAGCGCTTGTCTACGTGCAGAGGTCTCTGGGGGATAAATCTGTCGGGCGACGTGAAGCGAGATCGGACGCAAAGAGGAGTGCCGGCACTTGAAGATCGACCCTGCTAAGGTCGATGCCGCAACCTTGAAGTGTTTTGAGAGGGGTGGTCTTCGGATGGTAATATTGAGGTCGATTGGTGTTGCTGTAGGTCTCTAAGCAAGGGACGGCCTCTGTCAAATGGGACCTCTGCTTGGCTGGTCAGGGAGGGAATCGCTTCAGCAGAAGTCGAGATGTGGTCCACTATAGTTTCTGAGGTCGGCTCGGTATCACTTCCGCGGTCGCCCATTGTTGAAACCGTCCAGGGCCAAGCTGAGGATCCTCTGCTCTCTTGACTGAAGGACAAGTCTGCGTAAGGTGTGCGCGGTTGGTGACTGAGGTACCATGGACTCGTTGCGTAGGGCCGAGTAGCCTAATAAACTCACAGCTTCGAAGGCTTGGTCCAGTCGAGCGGTTCAGATGTCTGTAGAGTGGCAGTAACGGCCACGCCCGGGCGTGAATGACAAGGATGCTTAGAACATCTGTTATACCTGTGATCATGTTAGTGGCAAGCCATCACTTGCCTTGAGCGGTACTGTGGTTATGGATGTGGTGTGGTGTCTATCAATGATGAAGAAGGAGTCTCGTTGCCTGAATTTAAATTGGAGATCTGGCCGCCGCTTTCTGACAATGCGAATCGCCATCGCTCCTTCATCATGGCATACCTACACTTAATCCCACCTTCCTGATTTTATGAATAGCAAATCGCGAGCTTAATCAAGTCAGTCCTCAAACTGGGTACCATGTCGAGCGTATGGACTTCATGGCCATTGCGGCCCAACCACTTTAACTAATCGTGACACTAGCATGGAATCCCTCGGACAGCCACTCGCGAAGAACGGACCGAGGAATCACGACAGAAGGAACTCAATGCGATCACCCAGTATCAGCGACTTGTAGAGGAAGTCAACACGAAGGTCTTAACTCGGTCTCTCTCCGAGAACTAAGCTGATAATCTGTGAAGGTCAAAGAGCAGGAGTTCACGCCAGCCGTGCTGCAAAAGACTGCCGAACTGCTCAAAAAGAACCCCGAGTACTACACGATCTGGAACCACCGCCGGCGCATCTACGTCAATGAATTTCACGATCTCGAGAAAGATGTCGCTTCTGGCAAGATCACCGACGAGACCAGAATCAGTAACGTGCTGGACATCATACAGCTGGACTTGCAATTCTTGTTCCCCCTGCTACTCAAATTCCCCAAGTGCTATTGGATATGGAATCATCGATTATGGCTTCTACAGCAGTCCACGGCGCTGCTTCCCCCCAAACAGGCCCGAAATCTATGGGAAGAAGAGCTTGGTTTGGTGGGGAAAATGCTCAGTCGCGACAGCAGAAACTTCCACGGCTGGGACTATCGACGAATTGTGGTGAGCAGTCTTGAAAGCTCAGCGTTGCAAGGTCAAAGTATGTCACGATCCGAACTTGAGTACACCAAGAAAATGATTGGAACGAATCTTTCCAATTTCTCCGCCTGGCACAACCGGACCAAGCTCATTTTGAAGATACTGGATGAGGAAAATGCCACGGACGAAGACAGGCAAAAGGTGCTCGATGAAGGTATGACATTCCGCTCTCGATTGGGGGCACATGACTAATTGCATAGAGCTTGAATTGATTCACAAAGCCTTGTTCGATCCCTTTGATCAGTCATTATGGTTCTACCATCAGAACTTGATGTGTACATTTGACCCGGACCAGGCATCAAAGAGCATGGCGCCAAACCTCAATACCGAAGAGCGACTGAGATATATCAGTGTCGAGCGAGAATATATTGAAGAGGTGCTGGAAGATTCCGAAGACTGTCAGTGGGCATATAAAGCCTTGATCGAATGTGTGCTATTGGAAGCCAAATTGAACAAAGGGCTGAGAGAAGCCGACAAGCAGAAGATACTGGGCTGGTTGAAGGAGCTCAAGGCGCGTGACCCTCTGAGGTTGGGAAGATGGGTAGATATGGAGCAGTCTCTTGTGAAAGACCTGTAGAAATCTGTGGATCGACGCGAACAATTTGCCGGCATCACCGGGTACAATATCCCAGGCCGGCCCAATGGCTCAGTGAGATAGGCTTGGAGAATACTTCGATCGGAGACATATAGCGAAGCCAGCATCAGCCCTGTCAAATCCAGGAGACGTGCTGACAGCCGAAATGAGGTGATGAGGCCACATGGAGTACAAGCTACGGTGGGTTGAAACTGGCCCCATTTGAAAAGGAGACATGCAGAGCCTCTTGTCATTGCCAACAAAGCATCACGGACCGAGCTCGCACGCTGTTGCTGCTGCTGCTGCTGAAGATTGCAATTCCTAGGAACTTGATAAGGACGGCGGCCCAACGAGCATAGGAAATAGGAAATGTACGGGGTACGGAAAAGTCGAGGCAGATGCGTGGCCACTGTGGCTTGAAGACGGGCTCCTTGTGAGATGACGGGGCTTGACAGGTGGAACATGGAATTGTATTATTCTCCTTGATGGCGAGATGGGTAGCGTGGCCGTTCAAGTCAGGGTCAGGGTTGTCCAAGATTCCGAAGTGCATATGCCCACGAAAGGGGAGAAGGGAAAAGAAAAGACACAATGTCCTTTCAGATACTCCGTACCAGCTTGGATAGTCTGGTTCAAGGCCTTTCTGCTCGTGTTAATGCTGGTTTGACTGATGCGTGACTGGTCACTGGTGACTGAGACACGAAACTCGGCGTCCCAAACCTGAACGGGAACTTCTGCAACTCCGCGTCGCCTTGGAAAAAAGTGAAGGCGCAGGCACTGACTGGCATTGGTTCATCAACTGATCGTCCCTCAACAACCAAACCTCAACCACAACAAGTCGACGCCGACATCATTGTTTCCTCAACCGCTTCAACAAGTTTTACTCTCTTCTTAGACGCATCACTGGCTTTTCGCTGTCCTCTGACGATCTCCCTTCGTTTGAGCCTCTTCGTCCTTCCCTTCGCAGTCCGCACGTCCGGTTTGGGTCCCTCGTCAACAGGGTCTCGCCTTTCAATAGCCTCTTCTACCTTTCCATCTATAACACGGTTTAACAGCCTAGATTGCCTTCGGTGGAGCGCAGAGGATGATGGTTTGAGCCAATTAATCCTTTATTGAACCTAGTCAATATGGAGACGGTGCAGGCACCTGCAGGGAACTCCGATGCGGAAGAGGTACGCAAACTCCGTTACTGCTTTGTGCTATTGTGGCATTTTTGACAGAATACAGAAATTTGAGGATGCGACCGACGTCAACGACGACTCCAAACGGACTTCTACCCACGAGGAGCAACCTCCGTCCGATACCAGCACTTCCAACGAACCTGAGCCTCAGCAACCATCCTCCTCCCAATCTGAACCTGAATCACAAGATGCGGCGAGCACACAGATCCCGGAACAGAATGAAGCAAAGCATGAGGTGGACGCCACTCCGGCGGATGATTCAACACCCGTACAGTCTCTCGAAGGACAGCAAGTACCTACATTAAAAGCTCCAGAACCCTCCGCCGAACAATCGAGTCAACCGGAGAAGACTGATCCGCCGAAACCTCCTGCTCGCCCTTCAAGATTCCAAGGATTCTCGGCTTCTTTGCCCTCAGTCCCATGGGGAGCTCCTCCCAATAGGAAAGCTTCAGATGCACGAGCGCCGTCACCGCAGCCACCTCCACCTCCACCCAGCTCATCCTTCGGGCGTAAAGTGACCACTCCTTTTGGATGGTTGAGCCGGGCCACCTCCGCACAGAAAGAACCGCGTTCTCCTCCTCTGCCATCGAAAGGCCAACTCGACGTTCGTCGAAACACTGCCGCCTCTGCCTCGACTCTCGGGAGCAATCCCGATCTCATGTTGAAAGCTTTAGAAGAGGCGCAAGATGGATCCAATGGACCAAAACAGCCCTCCAGGGCGTCGTTACGGGAGCAGTTCAAGATGCTTCGGCTTCGGGAAGAAGCAGGCATAACAAGCCTGGAAGGTACGGAAGATGCCGATGGCGGTGCCATAGCAGGCTTGATCGGACGATCTGCAAGCTTGGGAGTCGGAATTGCTACGCCTGGGAGTGTGGGCCAAGATGACCATATGGTAGCCACGCCTGTCATGTCGCCATCCTCCCCGATGACGGAGTCAATACCGACGAATCCAAATCTCGCGCCCGGAACTGTAGCCGGGGTGGCAGCATCGGCAGCGGATACAGCAACGTCGATCGATTGGGACTTCTGGCAGAATGTTGTGAATGAAGGCCCACAAGCCGTTGCAAAAACGAGTCCCGACGAATTCACTCAAGCCATCAGTGGTGGGATTCCGCAGACCATTCGACCTGTCATCTGGCAAGTCCTTGCTGGCAGTAAGAACGAGGAACTAGAAGCTGTCTATTGGGATTTGCGAAATCGGGGTACGGGTGCCGAAATAAAAGAACCGCCGCCAAAATCGCCGTTGCTCAATGGAAATCATGTGAATGGCAGCGTCAAAGAGAAAGAGTCGGTTGGATCATCACGGTCCTCAGTCCGGTCGGACCACTCAACGCCAGCTACAAGTGCCAATCTTGGGCTCGCCTCTCCTTCGCCTTCTCAGGAACAGACAGATCCAATGGTTGCTGCCAGGCTGCAGACCCAATTAGCAGCGGAAAAAGCTAAGAAGGCGAAAGAGGATTCCGCAGCGTTAGCCAAGCTTGAGAAAATGATCAAACGAGACATGGGCTCAAGAACTAGCTACTCCAAGTACGCGGCAGCTGCAGGCCTACAAGATGGTCTCTTCCACGTATGCCGAGCGTATGCATTATTCGACGATGCCGTGGGCTATCCTCAAGGCATGAATTTCATCATCATGCCATTGCTATTCACGATGCCAGAAGAAGAGGCCTTCTGTCTTCTCGTACGGCTGATGAACAAGTATCAACTGCGCGATTTGTTCATACAAGACATGCCGGGCCTGCATCTTCACCTGTACCAATTCGAAAGATTACTGGAAGATCTCGAACCGGCTCTATATTGCCATCTCAACAGGCGAGGCGTAAGCCCTAAACTTTATGCAACTCAATGGTTCCTCACATTATTTGCCTACAGGTTCCCGCTTCAACTTGTTATGCGTGTTTTTGACCTGATACTGTGTGAGGGTCTTGAAGGTGCAATCCTGAAGTTCGGTATGGCTGTCATTCAACGCAATGTTCAGGCGCTTCTGGCTATGCAGGACATGCAAGCACTCACCAACTTCTTGAAGGAGAAGATTTTCGACGTATACATTGATGCCACGCCTTCGTCGAAATCGCTCTTGGAGTCTGGGTTTTTTGGCAGTTCGGGTGGATCAGACACTGAAGTGTACCGAGCCGATCTGCTTGTTCAGGATGCATGTGCCGTCAAACTCACTCCGGATATGCTGAGTCGATATCGCGAAGAATACGAAACGACGACGAAGGCTGAAAGAGCCCGTGAAACCGAGCTTGAGAATCTGAGGACAGACTGCGCCACCAAGGCTGCTCAGATAAGGTCCTTGGAGCAGCGTGCCGAAAAATCAGACGCCGAGCACATCGAAATCGCAAATGAGCTGGTCAGACTCAAAGTCGAGAATACCGAACTCCAAGATCGAAATGAGAGTTTGACGGGACAGGTGGAGGAATTGAGGAAAGTCGCCGCAAGCGAGGCTGCAAATGTCGAAGAAAGAATGAGAGCCGGTACAGAACAAGTGATGCAACGTAACATCGAAGTGCAAAACCAAAATCGTCATATGGAAGAACAAATGACTGAAATGGAAAAGGAGCTCGTTGAGATCAAGATGAAGTATGCTGAGGTGAGTCCGGACCATTGCTTTCTGTGGTACGAGCTCTCACTAACCATTCTGACAGCTTAATGGCGAACATGAGGGTCTCAAGCAGAAATGGAACGATCTGAAGCGAGCTCTTGAATGAAACTCTTGCTTTTGACGGCCGAAACATCTATGGTGACGACGATTCTCCCAAACCGACGAGGCTTTCTAGCCATGCGCGCTCATTGTACAAGCATTGGCCTGGGCCTCATCTTTCGGCACTTCGCAATGCAGGCACCGGTCTGTAGTGAGTCGTCTTACGTGTTCATACCGACGTTACCTCTGACACTGCTGGCGCACGAACATCCGGCGGAGCTGCCGTCGGGGGCGCGGGTTATGGCCTCCGCACCATGGATTTAGTTGTGCATTGGGTTGAACTATATCGACATGAAGGGCGACTGAAGGATACTACCTATACGATATGACACATGGGCAACGAACATGAACATCACATGTATGCAGAGGAATCAGCAGAACCTATATACTAGGCTGCCGACGTAAAACAATATATGAACCTTTGTGGGAGACTGGCTTGGCCTTTTCCTCGGTCTCAAAGCTGCATGTTTGACAATAGGTTGCTCGAGTCGAGTCCTCTGTATATGATTGTCTACTAACTTTGTCTACTCTAACCTTGTCCGGACCTCTCTTTATAACCTTACCTTGCCACCCTTCAGATCCTCCCATTCTTTCTGTCCGTACTCGACGTACCTGTTCCCACTAGGGGGCAGCCAATACATTTTATCCTCCGGGCTCGACGCTCTGATCTTGTCCAGATCCACGCCTTCGCTTCGGAGCCGGCCCTTCTGCAACTTCATCGTGCCCGTGTACTCGAGCTGCGGCACGACCCTGAGGAACACCGGCACCGCGTACCGCGGCAACACGCCGATCGCGTGCTCCGCCAGTCCTGCAAGATCCAAAACCTTGGTATCATCAGCACTTACCCCCTGCACCGGAGCACTCACCCCCTGTACCGGGACGATCGCCGCACAGCCAGCGCGCCCGTCCGCATGCGGCACCTCGACACCGTAAACATTCGCCTCGGCGATCTGCTCGAAGCGGCCCAGCACGTCGGACACTTCGTTCGTGGAAACGTTCTCGCTGCGCCAGCGGAACGTATCGCCCAATCTGTCGACGAAATACACGCACCCGTCCCGGTCCTGCCTCATCATGTCGCCGCTGCGGAACCACATGTCGCCCGGCGCGAACACGTCGCGCAACTGCCGTTTCTCCCACGCGCCTTCGTTCTTGTAGTACGTCGTGAACTGTGCGGTCGTCGGGTCGATGCGATGGAGTACTTCACCGGGCTCGCCGGGCTTACACTCGATCGCGAAACCGGTGCCAGAGTCTCTCAGGATTTCGCCCGTGTCGAAGTCCATGCGCACGCGCTTCTCGTTGGCGGCGTTCCAAAAATGCCACAGGGCGCCGCGCATGCCGACCGCATTACGTCCGAAGTCGCCACGGTTGGCGTTGAAACTCGCGCCGAGCCCGTCGGTGGCCGCGTACAGTTCGTTGATCGTGTCAATGCCGAAGCGTTGCCGGAACACTTCCCACACGTCAGGACGCATGCCGTTGCCCCACGCCATGCGCACGTTGTGTTGTCGGTCGAGCGGTGAAGGAGGCGCGTTGACCAGGTACCGACACAGTTCGCCGACGTATTGGAGGATATCGGCGTGCGAGGCGCGGACTTCGGGCCAGAAGGTGCGGTGGCTGAATTTGCGCGACAGCACGACAGTCGAGCCCGCGAAGATCGAGGGTGTAATACATAGCCCGTGCGCCGCGCCGTGGTACAGCGGCAGGCACGTGTACATTCTATTCTGCGGTGTGAGTCGGAGATTTTGCGAGACGCTACGTGAGGTGTTGAGTTCGCGGCTGCGTCGCATGACCACGCCCTTGGGCAGGCCGGTCGTGCCGGAGGTGTAGATTAGGCACGAGAGCTCGTCGGGTTTGGCGCCCTTTTGGCGGGATTGGGGCAAGGGTGTGCGGTCGGTCAGCGAGGATATGGAGCGTGCATCGTAGTACAGGGTTGTGATGTTGGCGGCCGAGAGGTCCGACTCACAGGGCTGCACCAGTGGTTGGGTCGCTCGGTCGGCGAGGAGGTATCGTGCGTCGGAGAGCTTGACGGAATGTGTCAGGGGGGCGGAGGTGAGGTTGCAGTTTATGAAGGCTGGACAGGCGCGGATGGACTCGAGACCGAACCAGAGGAGCAGGTATTCAGGGCTGTTGCCGCCGTCGAGGGCGACGATTTCTTGAGGTTGGATGTCGAGGTCTTCGAGGAGCCAGTTGCCCACGCGTTGGAGGTCGTCGTAGAATTGTTTGTATGTCCATTGTCGGTCTTCGAAGATGAGGAACAGCGTGTTTGCGTTTTGGCCGAGCGCGTGGTCTTCGATCAGGTGGTATATCAGCAGTCTGTCCTGGCGGACTTTTTTCGTGATGAAGTCGACTGCTGTCTTGGTGTTGCCGGCTAGGGAGCCTGCGCGAAGGTCGTGTCGGAAGAGGAATTTGGCATCGAGGTACGCTGTTGTGGCGAGGCCGCCGGCCAGAGCTGCTGCGATGGTGGGGACTGGACAAGTGTCAGTGAAGCGGCTATGATAGAGGTGAGAGGTGAGAGCTACTCACGCCCTGGCGCCATGCTGGAATTACAGGCTGTCTGCAGGGAGCAGAGGAGGATGAGGAATCCGTGACTCCATCGTTGATGAGACCATGCAAGAAAGACATTACAGTCAGATTGCGCGGTCAGCTTCCGCTTCACCCACCAGATGGGTTGTACCGAGGCATAATGAACGTAAGTCTATCTCGGCTCCGCATTGCGTCGGTTATGTAGCTCTGACTCGGCACGAGTAGCGGAGGGGTGAGACGGGATGGCTGAGATGGAGCAGGCAAAGAGATGGAGATGAGATGGAGGACAAGAAGTAGAAGCCATCCCACGTATTGTGGGATCTTCCCCAACTTCCACTAACTTACTCCATACGTAGTACACCCCATACCCTTTGGTATACTTCGTCAGGTATTCGGAACAGCAGAAGGGAGACTCCTAGCGAGACGAGATTGTGTCAATATTGAGACCCTTAAGCATGGTCCTCATTGCTGGAGCGTCAAGCTGTGGTAAAAGATGCACTAATGGCGTGGTATTGGTATCTTCTATGACGGCGACTAATATCCTGTTTGATTCAGCGCCTCCTCCATACCACCAGCTCGTTATGAGAAGTCCGCTGTGTTCACTCCTCTTAGCTCCCAATCCCCGAGCTGATATCTTGGTATCAGCAGTACCCGACGTTGCAAAGAGTCCCTCGTCCGGCGAGACGATCACCTTGCCGCATAATGAGCAGAGAGTCAATGTCCCTGTTCTTCGTACACCTGACATGACTGATTCTTGTTTGCAAGGCAATCTTCAAGCAACGCCATTCGTCTGGGAGTTTTCTTTCTGTCTTGAACCATCCGATTTGATCGCACGCACCATTCCACAAACCAAGAGCGACTGCCGATCCGGATCTTAGCCTTGTCATTGCCCCTCCGACACGTTCTGCTGCCAATGATTGATCCAAAGCTCATTTCTGCACCGGTCTTTCTGGCGTCCATGTTTCGCCATCGTTCCTTGTGCGGCTGCTGATTCGGACCGTAATCAAGGTATAGCCTCACGGTTGTTGCCAGTGTCAGATCCGGTTCTGACTCCGGCGGAAATGCTTCTTGAGAGCCTCGAAATCTTCCTGCTCCTGTCTTCCTGCAAAGTCGACAATGTTTGCTTGCGTTCCAATCGCTCCTGCTTGCATTGCATCACCTGCGCTGAATTGGCCCTTTAGTCCGCGCTCTATGCATGCGTGTTGGCTAGGCAGTGCCGTAACTTGTGGCTCCTCCATCCATCCTGCAGCTGGCTTCTCCCCCAGCTCCACCCTCAAGTCTGCGAGATGAAGATAGACCTGACCTCGCTCCTCGAAAGCCGGATCGTTGTCCAACTTTTTGTTCTCGACGTTGACATCTGAAGGAAGAGGGCCAGTAGTGTAGACTGGTCCGGTTTCATCGAGTGGTTGCTGCCGCATGAATAGCTGGTCGTGCCAGGCGATGGTGGACTGGGAAGGTTCGCGAGGTGGGGGAAGAAAGCGACCGACCTTCGTTCTCGCAAGCTTGCTCTCTCTGTTGTCGCCATTCCACCTCATCTCCGCAGCCAGAGGCCAGTCCGCGATAGTCTCCTTGTATTCCGCCGACCAGATCGTGGGTTGAGCTAGGACAGGACCGAGGCCGTCGTTGAAGATCTTACCATGCTCGCCGAACTCCGAATTGATGTTTCGCTGGGCCTTGGGGATGTATTTCATAACCTTTACCTGATCTGTCAACAGCTTGGCACTCTTTTCCCTCTCGGCCGCAGCCATAGCCGCAATCTCGGCTTTGTGTTGCCTCCACTCGTTGACGTTCTGCGGAAAGATCTCGGACCGAGTGCCGTTTGGTCTTGCCTTCTCCTTGAACTGCTCTGGAGCGACGTGCCGGACGCGTTGCTTGACACGCTCATACTCTTCCTTGTCCCTCATGTACCCACTCTTCCAAGTCTTCGAGGCTGTATGAGATGGAGCTGGCGCGACACGTTTGTTGAAAAGAGCTTGGCTGCTCTGTTCGTTGCTGTGGACGCTGGACTGCTCGTCGAGGGTGGGCAGCAAGGCCCCTGAGAGAAGTCTATTGTTTGTTGCGGGCATTGTGGTTGGATCTAGCATGATGAGTGAAGAAGTTCAAAAGGGGCAACCGAATTCTGTTAACCTTAGTCGATCAAGTCTAGCTTGCCCTTCGTATTGTTCCAGAATTCTGGCCAGCGGAGGTCGATGAAGGGGCGGATGGAACACAGAGAGAAGAGATGTGCCTCAGGCAGCAGCTGGCGAAATCTGTCTGTGTCCCCTAACTTGATCATGGGTTGTAGTGATTCTGTGGGAAGAAAGCGGCTTGTTGATTGAAGATCTGGGTTCCGTTTTGATGGTGCGGCAGATCGATGACAAGATGCTGCGGCTAGCCAACGCAGCTTGCTATGATTGTCGAGCCACTTGTCTGGCTTTTGGCGAAGCGATGAAGGTTCCTGGCGCGGGCCTTTCTTGAAACCTGTAAGCTTGGACAACACTGCGTCAGATCGGGGTTGAATCTGCAATATCGGACAACGCTGTCCGAGATCGGTTATTCAACCCAGTTGATGTTTGAAAAGGTATCCTGAGAAACGGAGTTATCAAGACAGAGTCACTATGATATGTCAAGTTTGTCGACTGCCTGGCCCTTTATAGAAATTCAACAAAGGGCGTTTGCGAGTGAGGCAGTTGTCACCTCTGATGAATAGGATCATGGATTCCCTCTCTTCACTCACCCAGGCATCAACCAAACAACGCATTATTGATAATGTGCCGACACCGGCCGTAAACAAGACGGCTTGTTGTAGGAGGACATGGTTGAGAGGTGAAGATATCAGCAGTTCCTCGCCGTCAAGCCGTGTTCACCCAACAGCAACGTCGGAAGAGCGAGATATTCACAGCTTCCCGGCACATCTTCGGGTCGGCGAGGCACTAGGAGCCCATTTTTGACAGTATTCCTTGTTTATTCTGCGGCTAGGTCTTGAAGGAGCGCTTCTAACCATGACAAAGGTCGGGAGGTCGTGATATGACCTTCACCACGATATATTTGTTGGATGATGCACATACTGTGTCTGCTCCCCGACCCATCTTCACCAGTGTCGGCATAATTCTGGTGAAGGGAGACATGAGCAGCACAATGGTTGATACGGTTTCGGGCACTGAAGTGGGACGATGTCAGTCTAGAAGATGGTTTGCCTTTGTGATGGGAGTTGTTGCATGTTGTTGATATTCTGGATAAACCTCGGCTTCGGATTTCATGTCCGTGGCAGAACCAGACGCGCAATACGGTCGAGTATTTGGACAATATCACGACGCGACTTTCATCGTCTTCGATCGTTTAGTCTCATTGACCTTTCTATCATTGCGAATCTCATCGATCAGTGTGTCAAAGATGCCGTCTGTGCAACTACATACGCAGCCTCAAACCAAGGCAAATGACTCACTGTCAAACCCCTTGCCGTCTTTGCTGCAGACGCCATCTGGACTCGCCGTCCTCGAGATTCAAGGCACCATTCATGGACCGTCCCTACAGTCAGAGCAACCGATCACGGAGACACAGAACACCCGGATCGGTCGATTGGAGTTTCCGCTGTACACCTCTGCGGAACCAGCCGAAGGGAAGTGGATGAAGAAAGTCTACCTCTACGTCGGCAAACATCAACGATTGACTGGAGAGATCAAAAAGTTGGTGAAGCCTTTGGCCATCATCCGCAAATTCGATGGCACCGAGCAGCCCAACGGAAGCGAAGCTGCAGACGCCAGCGAGGGTCTGGAGGTTGTAGATATTGTCAAGTACAAGTTGCTCTTCAGTGGACGGCCGGAGCCTGTTGGTGAATGAAGCAATTCTAAAAAGTGGCAGGAAGTCGAACTGCGACGCTCATCGATGTGGACGGGTAACGACTTCTCGGCTCAAAGACGTGCAACGGGCCGTTGCAAGGCCACGGCAGGTGGCTCGACCAATATGTCTACTCAAGAAATCTACGTGTCCTTGAGGGTGGCCTAACCCGGCGTTCCTCTCCTAGCAACGCGTTCTTGATGCTGCCATTCTGATCCGGAAATTACTTCTACGAGGTCGGAACGGTATGCAACAAGGCTGGATGTTGGGAAATCCTTGAATCAAGCCGAGCATTTCTGACTATTCGTGGGCCATGCCGGAAGGATTGAGTCTCTGTTGACCTTTACGCTCTGACAGGATGTTCTTGGCTAAGAGCAACACCATGGAAGAACTCCTCGTTCTAGTGATTGTCTATGTTTGAAAGGGTACCGACCAGAAGGATGGTCAGCAGACCTACACCGATTCTTCTGGACCCAACAATGTGCTGGGATCCGGAGTGCTGAGCGGCGGAGCGACGCCAACCGACAAAGAGAGCTCCTCGAGCCGTGTAGCGCGTCTCGTTCCAGAGTTCAGAGACGATCACGACGCTGATACCCGGATTTGACGCTCCTGTACGGAACGCTCTATGAACGCCGGCAATTGTTAGCGGGACTTGGCTTCTGAAACATCTTCACCATATCGAGGACATGGAACTCACTTCTCAACCTATTTAAGGACACCATGCTGTAAAACATCCCCGAGATGATGAGAATCAAGAGGCGGCCAGATCACTTGCCTATTCGCAAATTCCTCAAGCTTGGCGTTTGCCGAGAATCTAAGTACTATGGACCGCTTGCTACTCAAAACATCGATACTCTCCACGCTCCTGTCTGTTCATGACAATATCTGTGACACCCTTACGCGGGCAGCTGGATGGTTCTCTTCCTCTCAACCTGATCTCGCGATGAACCTCTAAGCCGCTTTCGGGACGGAAACCATACCGAGTTGAAAATCTTATCGAACACGAACCACTGATCTGCAATCCTCAGTCACCCACAATACCACCTTCCGACCAGGGCAGTAACATGGTCATGCATGACCCTGTGCTACTCTCTCGTGCCCAAAGGGATGTTCTTATCTGCGGGGAGCAACTTCCTTCCTCCCATTCGCTCCTCGTGAATCCTTCCATGCAACATGTTACGCTTATCTCCTCTTGTCTTCGGCGACGGCAATGCTTATCGTCTCCCTCTGGAGAACAAAAGCTCTCCAGGCCTCTGCCATATCCTTAGCATGCGCCCAGCAGTAATTCGAGGTATCAAAGCTTTGAGCTCTTCCCGACCTCATACAGCCGTCAAGATGCTGAAGAAGTCACCTACACACACCTGGTTGCCCGCCTGGGTACCAGAGTCCACGAAGGTCCTCGCTGTCCTTTTGATCCTCTGTTCAATCGTCCAATCTACAGTACATGAATTCAAGTCCCAAAATACACGCCGTGTTCCTGCTAACCCTCACAGACCGTCGGCTATGACGGCTCCATGCTCAACGGTCTCAATATTCTGCCATCCTACACCGACTATTTCAACCTCAATACCGCCACGACTGGACTGAACACTGCTTCAGTCTTCATTGGCGGCTTTTTGGGTCCTCTCGTGACCGGCATCATCACGGACAGATTCGGCCGTCGGTTGACTATCTTCTGGGGCTCTGCCGGCACTCTGCTTGGTGTCGTTTTGCAAACCGCGGCGCAGAACATCGCTATGTTCGTCATTGCCCGTATTGTTCTCGGCTTCGGGTCTGCCGTGTCAGGAATTGCCTCAGGAGTTTATCTGGCAGAAACGTTTCCCAGTCGCTGGCGTGCCTGGGGCGTCGGTCTGCTCAATGACTTTTACTAGTGAGGTCGAGCATCGCAATCCCAAATCGGATAACTCATGTTTGCAGCGTTGGCGCGCTGATCGCCGCCGGCATTACCCTCGGAACTGGGCAGTGGCAATCGACCTGGGCATGGCGAGCGCCATCACTCTTTCAGGGTGTCTTTTCGCTTCTCTGTATCCTCGTCGTGCCATTCATGTGAGCTGCGTCCCCGTCTTGCTCGGTTGAGGTTCTCACGAGGATTATAGCCCCGAATCACCACGCTGGCTGGTCCATCAAGGCCACTTTGAAGCCGCACGCACAGTCGTCGCTCAGACCAATGCCAACGGTGATTTGACTGACCCGGTCGTGTTGACCGTCTACAAAGAGATTGTTGACACTCTTAATTGGGAGAAGAAAGAAGGACGGACCATGAGTCCCATGGAGATCATCAGGACTCCAACAGCACGAAAGCGCCTTTTGATCGGCATGTCTCCTGGCCCCTTCTCTTGCATAGCCGGGAATATCATCGCGAGCTATTATCTAGGCGCTGAACTTGATACTGCTGGCATCACAAGCTCGAATCAGCAACTGAAAGCGGTTCGTGCCTTTTCCCCCCCTTTTAGTCTTTCCCTCTCGACGAGAAAACTAGCTAACAACAGGCTAGAACGTCGTCTTAAACGTATGGTGCCTAGCCTGCTGTTTGGTCGGTACACACCTCGCCGCAATATGGGGCCGGAAGCCGACCGCCTTGCTGTCCCAAGGTCTCCTGATTGTGTGCTTGTTCATAATTGGTGGCCTGTCCAAGAAGTACGCCGACGATCCCGACGGCGCTTCAAAAGGCCTGATATACGGCGACGTCGCGGTCATGTTCCTCTTCCAGGGCTTCTATTCGGTGGCATGGACTCCGCTGTTGTACCTTTATCCGCCTGAGGTCATGAACTATTCGATCCGTGCCAACGGCGTGGCGTTTTCGCAATTGGCATTGAACGGTCTTGCGTAAGCACAACTTGCCCCGTTTTCCAAATTCTCAATATATGGATGGCTTGGCCTGGTGGCAGTTGACTGACTAGCTTGTGTGGACAGACTGGCACTCGTATTCATCATGCCAATCGGCCTGAACAATATCGGCTGGAAAATGTACATGGTCAACGGAGGCTGGGACATTGTGACATTCTTCCTCATTGTGAGTAAAACGCTTCTGATCGGCGGTTCTGGTGGCCCTGGGCACGTGTGTGTGTGGGCGACTGACAATTGGTCGACAGTGGTATTTCTGGGTCGAGACCAAAGGGAAAACACTGGAAGAGATCGACGCGATTTTCGACGGCGAAAAGCATTCGGCCGTGCCGGATGTTGAAACAGTACGAGCAGGAAGTGTCAGTGTGGATCGGGCTGCAATCGAGAGTGACTTGCGTGAAGAGAAGGTCATTTCAAAGACGGAATGAATCTGGTTCAAGGGTGTCGTCTCTCCAGCTGCGCAGCTAAAGCCTGCTCTGAGCCTTGGTAGGAGCTGTGTCCTGTGTTAGCGTGACCTGTCAACGAGCCGGGAATTGTGTCTGTGGACGCGAACACCGAGTGAGAATACCCGGGTTCCACACTTGAATTCGTCGTTCAGAATAGCCCGTCAAGAAGCCTTTTGAAAGGTCCACTTCCCAGTAGGTTGGTGCTTCAATATCGCTTTAGTTCTGCCCATGGTCTTGCCCAGGTCCTTGTAGCCATCCACTACAGCATGGGTTTCCATGCTAGCTTTCGTCTCGTGGTCGACGCCAAAGATCAGGTAGGCCAAGGGACTTCCTTTCCAAGCTTCGACGGGGCTTCGAGCGGTCTCAATCATGATGACGACCAAGAACACAAGTGACGCGAGCACCATGCTCGCCGGCAGCGCGATCCACGGCCAACGAATATGCACACCTAGCTGGGAGGCAGAACCGTCGTACACGGCGCGATTCGCCTGTGTCGTACTCCGCATGATGTTCGTCATACTCAGGGCCAGGTTCGACATCCAGGCATTCATGTCGCTCGTGCCGTTCCAGAGGGCTTCGACGGCGTCGCTTGAAGGCGAATTCGACTCGAGGTTGAGAAAGACGGTCCCGTTGAACATGGGACTCAGATACTCTTGCAGCGCGACGCTTGCGAACATGTTGAAGGTATAATTGGTGGTGCCATCGGGCGTCCGCGTCCCCGTCCCGGACATGTTCGCAGGCAAAGGCGGGAAGGTGAAGTTGTCTCCACCCGAGAAGCCACCCGGGAGCGTTGAGTTGATGTCGGAAAAGGTGTCGGAGACGGCCTGGGTTTGGTGGCCGTTGGCAGTAACGACGTCGAAGGTCTTGATGCAGATCCACATGTCGCACTCCTGAGAGGTGAGGTCTTTCTCCCATCCTGTGTACGAATAACTGTCGTATGGAGCCCCGAAAACGTCGAAATTGGCAATGTAGAGCTTGTCGTGGTGACTGCTGTTGTACTTGGCACCCTTGCTTGCGGTGACTTGGAAGCCGTTGCCTTCCGTCGAGTAGGTGGCGTTGGGAAACACCATCTTGGAACCTGAGGGCATGGTGTAAGTACACTCTGTTTTGTTGCATGATGTTTGATAAAAAGACGGCGAGCATTCGCCGCACACGGCCAGCGACGGCGTTACTGGCCATGTGCAATTTCCGGTCGGACATGTTGCTGTTATAGGCTCGACGCCTTCGGAGAGCATGCCGTTGTAGATGGCGGCTTTCATCGTCAAGGGGATGGACATTGCTGTTTCAGAACTGCCTTAGAAGGAGAGTGTGAAGGGATTTCGCATGGGGTTCGGAGGCATCACGTACCACCCTCGGCTGGGTTGCCGGTAAAATTTTGCCATGTCTCGGCTCGTGGGATATTCCCTGGAAGCAGGTCCGTATGAGACGACGGAATCGGGTACATACTGTAAGAAATCAACTGCTGGGTGAAAGTGCCGAAAGCCAAGGACAATATCGTCACCAGTGCTCCGAAATACGCGAGATAGCTAAGAGTAGGTAGGTACCTAGCATCAGCATTCAAAGGGGTTTTGCAAGCCTGGCGCTCAGCGGGAATGATAACTTACCGCCTCCGAGACAGGAACAACAGTACCAAGCTGCCCCATGCGCCTCGAGACGCGGCATCCGACCTTTCCAGGTCTTGCAAACGACTGGAGACCTTTCCCGTCTGGCCTGTTCCAGAGAACCAGAGCCATGCCTCTTGACTGAGTGCGGAGCCGACCGGTAGCATCATACATACTCTGTTGAATGTTGCGATGGTGGCGACAATACCGTTGAGCGTAAGCCAGCTCGGCAGGCCCAGGTCGTTGATGCCTTTGCCTTCATACTCCTTCAGGAGAATGACGATGGATAGTAGTGAGGCAATGGATAGGATGCTGGCCACTATCTCGGCGGCCCACCAGCGCAAAAAAGAGTTGCCATCGACCCTTTGTCCCGCCTGTTGATCCTGTACGTCGGCTGGATTGATAACGGGGTCATAGTCGCTCGAGTGGGAGACCGGTGCGGACTTGCGAGGTAGCGGATTCAGGTGACTTGTTGACGACGTCGAGCCGGCTGGTCCATAGTAAGACGTGTCAGAAACGGCGGAAATTCGACTTGCACGGTCATCGAAGTAGGGGCTCAGAGGATAATTCTGCTCCATGGTGACGCAAACAGACGTTGAGATTCTGAAGGGTTTCGGGGGAAAAGCCAAGATATAGCTTGTTTTCTTACCTAAATTTAACTTACGGTGGTGCGAGTACTACGCTGCGAGGCTGCACCTGCAAAGCCGCCCACAGTTAAGCTTCAACGGTACGGAGTAGGCGTGGTTAGGTTAGGTTCGGCCCCCATCGCCCTCGTCGCCCCTGTCATCCTTATGCTCGCTAGGGCTAGTAGGCTCACTAACTCGGCTGCGCCCCAGGCACGTGCCCAGGGAGCCAGCTTGCCAACCATCCAGCGAGGCCAGGTAAGTTAGGATCATCACGATTATCCGCCCACGGAGTACTCCGTACGGGGCTCGTGTGATGACTAAGATGCCAAGGGATTTAGTGACCTGCGACCCGTGACCTGGAGAAGAGGACAAAGACGACATCACCTCCATCACCTACCTGGCAAGCTCGCTGGTACCTAGACATAATAGAATGTCCGCTTTCGGCAAAGGTCGAGACTCCGACCATACAATGCTACCGAGTATGTATCGCCGAAGCCTTGACCACAATCTGGCTTGGCCGTTCAACTTAGATCTTCTTCTTGATTCACACAAAGCCTCTACCACTTGTGATGCTAACGGTCACCGCAAGCATGCACCGAGGCTCGATCATGCACTGAGCAGCTGACACGGGAGGGCACCACCACAAGTCACCCTTCCGTTCCAAATTGGAATTTCCTGCTGTGTTCTTTGTAATTGTGATGGTGGATTCAATTGGAATGTGCCGTTTGCGGAAAAAGCCATCCCTATGCTCTCCCTTTGTCGGGACGATCAAATCTTCACTCAATCTCCCTTATGAATAGGTTGAAATCCCTCGACGATCTGTCTTCTTCTTCCACCACCACCTCTCAAGGCGCTGAAGTTTCTCGCTCTCTTTTTCCTCGTTTAACAAGCTCCAACGATTTCCCTCGTGTGCGCGCCTCCTTCTGCGGACACGAATCAATCGCGATGATTGATTATTATGGCACCGGCAACCCGCCTGTCGAGCACGACTATACCCATCCAGAACGCCACTACAAAGGCCTCATCCGTTATGGCGACCACGGCAACACCCTTAATGACCCGTCAAAATGGCGTCTAAACACTGATTGGGGGGAGCCTCCGATCGAGCTATGCTGGGCTTGTGGTTGGAGCACAGATGAGCAGTCTTCGTCTTATTCACCACGGATCCACATCATGCATACCAGGCGCAATATGGGATTGTGGTCCCTGGGATCCAAGTGGCTGCTTTGCGATCGGCCCAACGACGAGACCATGGGGAATAACTACATGACCTGGGAATTTCTCCGGAAGCACGAAGAAGATCACAACATCCCACTGGTAAAGGAGATGCGAGTCTTGACCGAGCCCGATGATCCCATACAATTCACAGTGATCTCTCGGGCTCAGGGCGTGCTGCTTTCCTCGGTTTGGGAATCGTTGACTGCCCAACAGAAGTCTAGCTACGCTGATCAGTTGGTGGACATTCTCAAGCAACTGCGGCAGTTCACAGCCTCTCGTCCCCAAAAGGTCAACGGGGATCGGCTTTACGATAGTGTGCTGGACCCGTGTAGCAAGCGTGTGGCACCCACATGTCACAAAGTTGAGTTTACAGCCGATGAATGGCTGGAGAACATGTCGGAAGAAATCCGTTGCGGGATAGCTGCGCTCCACGAGACCACAGACCCAGAATTGGTTGAAGAGAAATTCCGGGAAATCAAAGACAACTTCCCGAGCGGAGGGCCATATGTCTTGACTCATGGAGATCTGAACTTCACCAACATTATCGTCAAGGATGACAAAATCGAAGCAATCATCGACTGGGAATATGCTGGCTATCTTCCGTGGTGGGCCGAGAAATTCATGAATCGCCGGGACGCCCCTGGAGAGAGCGTCGAACTGTTCAATCTCGTCTGGCCCAGAGTCCATCCGGACTTGAGCGACAGCTCGGATCGCTGGGCTCGGCTGGTCAAACAGTTGTCCCCGGTCGTAGAAGCCATCCGGAGAACTAGGATATTGCACGAGCGGACCGTGGATAATTGGTTCCGTCCCGCCTTTTGTGAATGCAAGCCTTACGGTGGCGAAATCCATTCATTTGCCATCGGAGGTCCGTGGAAACATAGGGTGATTGATTGGAGAAACGACGAATACTCTGGCCTTGTCAATATCACGCTCCACAAGGGAGAGAAGAAACTGGACTGGGATGAAAGGGACGAGCTATTAAGGAAGGAGAAGGAAATCGCAGAGAAGGAGAAGGAAATTGCAGAGAAAGAGAAGGAAATTGCAGAGAAGGAGAGGCAACGCGAAACTTCACACTTCACAATGATGGAGTTTTAGCATTGAACAGCAGATGAAGAGAAGGATGATCTGCGGGAGTGTGACTCTCTTCCCTTTCAATAGTTATCTTGTTCCATCACGCTTTCCCCTGCTCCCGGTGAGCATCACCCACCCCTGGATTCCCTTACTCTTGCTCCGATGATGGTAATGTCCAGCTCTGTGTTTCGTAGTTTACATCTCGTGCTAGGATAGAACCCCTATATAACAAGTCAGAATTGGAAATAATCAAAGTGAAAATACTTGGACGATCATGCTTACCAGACACCATATCATCATCACTCAAAATCTCGTGCACGGTGGATTGAAAAAGTCGCTTCAATCTGCCCTGGTTATTGGTCCAGTGGAAGTTGTGTTTCTCGGTCCGGTCTTTATCTTTCAAGTGGATGGAAACCTGCCATGGCTGATTGGATTCTGAACAAGCATGACTCTTTTGTTGTCATTCCCCACGAAGATAGCAGCCCTCTGAAGGTGGTCCAAGCCGAAGAATGCGTCGTTGAATCGGGCGGCGCTGATTCTCTTGCCGCGGGGAGCACATGAGCCGAACGCAAATAAGTCCCAGGTAAGGCGAACCCCTGCATCGTTTCGCGTTGGTAAAGTGAATGCCTCGCAGTATTCACATTCTTCTTGCCGCGAGAGGTTGTTGTGTTTGCAGAATAGACAGCTGTTGGGGGATTCTTGAGCCACTGTCTTTGAAAATGACAGGCGTATTTTCTTTCGTGTTGTTCTGTTTCCAAGTAACAAAAGCGTCCTGAAGATGTTGATGGTGTGGTATTCGACTCAAGTGAACGGGAAATTTGTCAAAATTTACGTCGCTCTGTTCTTCTGCTCTCTTCTTGTACTCTCTTGATGTCGAGCAGGGACTGTCTTCAACACGGTTTTTCTCTTTGTCCCATCTTATTTATCCTCCCTTCCGTTCTCTTTGAAGTAGGGTGGTTGTGTGCTTTCTTTGATGGCCCACTTGGTGAGGATACTCAGCGAAACATATGAGCTCAGCCCGGAGGAAACATAGATTGCAACATGGTCTCAAGTAGAACAGAGGAGACTTACGTTCAAAGGGTGGTTGCTAAGACACCATGAAGTCAATGGCAGTCCGAACGAACCAAGTTGACAAAGGAGAATTGAGCAAAACAACGGCAACGAGACTGCCATATCAGCGACACTGGGAAACAAAGCTGAAGGAGGGTATTTGGAATGTCAGCCTTCCGCGACCAAAAGGAGGCAGGCCGAGATCAACGACAAAGATGGAACTCCCACAGTGACATGCCAATGTCTCCAAAAGGGTAGACCAATGTCTCAATGAGAGTGCCCGGAGGGTGTCAAGTAGCGTTGGCTGAGCTTGCTTGCGGGCTTTGTTCTTCCCTGAGGGGTTTATCCTAGGTGTTAGACAATTGTTCTTCTTCCAGCTCTCCGCATCAGAGCACAGAAAAACATGTTTCTCAACGGCATCTGACCACCCCATGTTGTGCTGTCCTGCCTGCCGCTCCTATAGTTGACATTGTGTCTTTACTTTGCTCATCAAGAAAATTGTGGCTGAGTGTGGAATTATCGGCGGTGGACTGAATCTGAAATACAGGGTCCGGTAACTCGTTCATCAGCCGCCAATTTCCAGGTAGGAGAGGCAGTGTTTATTGTCCGGATGTGCAGATTGAACACCCTCGGGCTCTGATCGTGAGGTTTCATGATTTTGGTCGGAACCACCCTTGAAGGCAGGCTCAGGATCCATCTGCATCTCTTCTGGACGACTCTTATGTAGCATGGCATCACGTCATTGTTCAAACCGCGGCGAGTGCTTGGGGACCATGGATACTCAGGGAGAACCACGATTCTAGAAGGATTGCTAGAAGGGCAAGGTTTTCGGCATCGAAAGAGGATGAGGTGGACGCTTCGTTCAGGTCAAGAATGACATTTGGCCAAATCGGTGCCGATGACGATACTGTAGATCCCTCGATGACAAGCTGTCAAATACGAACGGGACATCGCATACGGGAAGAAGCGAAAGCTTGATCAGAGTTGATCGCAATTAACAATGGAGATTGCGGCTGCAACAAATGTTCTCGTCACCCACTTGTATGGTGTGGATGCCCGGCCATTGTTGGAGGCCTCTGCCCCTGCTCTCGTTGAGGGTGAGGCCAGTTGACAGAAACAAGAGGAATCAGCCATCATAAAAGAAAAGCTGGGACGCTTCCTTCCCGCCCATAGCTACTTCGGTTGCCGCTCCGTCGCTGGAAGGTGGATTTTATTCGACAACCCCCCTTGAGGGCGTACCTGGTTCGCGGGTGGTGACTCCACGCATCGTTCGTGTCGACTGTGGTGCTGTCCGGATGCTAGGCGGAATCTTAGTAGTCGTTGCGTAGGTATAGTAAGACTTTTCGAAGGTAGATTTAAGAAGAGCCGACTATAAGAAGTTTAGTTCCGAACCGAGAGCCGATTCATTTACCTATAGGCGCCGGACTCCCTGGCGCTGTTCAATGCATTCAGCTTGAAGTTTCGTACCATTGTCTCGTGGTTCCCTGCTGGACAATGTCAGTGTATCACTTCAAGAACTCCTTCGGCGAAGATTCTTCAAGCGCTCGAATATATACCTCGCCTCACGGTAGCAAACTCTACGAAGCGTAGATGATCCAGTCAGGTTTGGTCCACGGCATATCTAAAGCAGCAATGGTTTCAGTATCGCCACCCTATTCGGTGCCCACGGAGTCCGAAAGGGTTCTGCGAGACGTAATCCTTAACCATCCTGGCCACAACGATCTTCTTGGAAAGCTCAATGCCACAAATATCTCGACCTCATAAAGTTCAGCGGCCACAATGAGCCCCGGATGGCAATCAACTGGCGCCTCGCAGAAAGTATTGGCTCGCTCAAAGGACTGGAGGCCCTCCTCCTCCATCATTTACTTGTGCAGAAGTATGGGATTGCGCCTCAAGAATTCACATCGATACCCATCATGCACAACTATTCCTTATGTCGGCCATCATTTGCGAGGTGAATCCAAAAGATAAGCGTGGGCCCATCCAACCAACGGAGCTGAGAGAGCTTTCCAGAGCTCATGCAAGCTACTTTCCCAGCTGGGATGCATGAACAGGTATTGTCAAACTATCGCAAGTCGGTGACGAATATTTACAAAGCTCGTGACGGCCGCTGTTTCCACTTACATGCCAGTTTGAACCCAGATCCGTCGCTCCAAGCTATCGGACTGCCCCGAGACATGCCGGAACTCGATACGGTGGAGCTATCGTGGGAGCCGTTTTTTCGCAAAGATAGCAGAGAAAGATGCAGTGGAGTGGGATCAGATATCGAATGAGGACGCCAAGCAAGCAGCCACAGTCTGCTGGATGACCGAAGAGTATGCAAATACTGCCCAGGGGAAGGCCACGGAGCATATTGGCCTGTACCAGATTCAGCCATACCTGGATCCCTTGCTACGGTCTGGGTGGTGGAACAGCATGGAGACCACATCAGTCCGGCATCCACTGGCAGGCTTAAAGATCGTCGACTTCACAAGAATCGTTGCCGGGCCTTCGATCAGCCGCAGCCTCGCTGAGCTCGGTGCAAGTGTAATGCGCGTGACGGGCCCACACATTGCCGACTTTTCTGGCCTACATCCTGACTTGAAGTGGGGCAAATGGAACTGTCACCTTGACTTGTGGAAGACCGAGGGTAAGATTAAGTTGAGGGATCCTCTATGGGAGGCTGATGTCGTTGTCAACGGCTATAGGCCTTTCGTACTGGATAAGCACGGCGCCGCCTACGAGGATGTGTTCCAGATCGGCAAAGAACAAGGTCGAGGATTCATCTACGTTCGTGAAAATTGCTACGGCTGGGCTGGGCCACGGTCTAGACGCAGCGGATGGCAGCTGATCAGCGACGCATGCTCTGGAGTGTCAATGGGTTTCGGGCGTGCCATGGGCAACGAGGAAGCCGTCACTCCAGTGCTGCCTAATCCCGACTATTGTACAGGGGTTGCAGGCTGCTGCGCAGTCCTACAAGCCCATGTGCTTCAAGCAAAATATGGAGGCTCGTATCTCATCGACGCAGCTTGAACTATTACAATCGTTGGCTGGCCCAGCGCGTTGGAGAGTACCCTTGAGACGCCTGGAAAGAGGTCTGGACTTGCAACGGCCGTCAAGTCTTCCGGAACCATCACAGCATGAATTATACGCTCCCACGTTACATGAAGATGTTTCAACGCAAGGGTTTGTTCGACCTCAATTTCTTCGAAGTCCGAACATCGGGCGAGCTGGGTGGACTGAAGCTACGACTTCCCAAACCGGTCCTGCGATTTCCCTCAGGAGCCGTTTGAGCTGGGCTACAATGTTGGGACACGGGGAAACGGAGTTGACGAGCCCCGATGGCCAGAAGATTTGAGCACGGAGGTAGTCGGATCATGACTGACCAACGTCTGCATGTAACCACGATTGTATCCGCATCGCGACGATGGCGTAACTCACAGTAGTTACACTGTTGTTTTGGAAATCTTGTAGCAAGCACTTGGAAGGTGAACTCCTAGTTCTGACCTCGAGGCACGCCACAGTTAGGTCCAACGCAGCAAGCCGGTCCACCTGTCCGCCAGTTGCCGAGCAAGCAGGTGCTGATCGAACGCCTCCTTAGGCACAGCCGAGATACTAGCCGCCTACAAATAGGACGAAATTTCCCATCATATCGTATCGTGTTGCCAATCCACTCAATATAGCGTTCTCAGACATTCCCACCGTCCAATGTATCTATGATACTATCTAGCGAGAGTACTCTGCCTGTGATATAAGCCTACTCTATACACACGTTGTTCTTCACATCCACGTGGCTTACTGAGACCAGATTTCTAACGCTTTTCTGAAACTAAATATCTAGGCTGCAGGGTTTCTGCCAGGTCTAGGTACAATCCACGTTCTGACAGCGCATCCGAGCTAATCTTAGTTCTTAGCACCCTTACATGGTGTGACACGCAAGCCTTGTGGAATTGTTGCCCCAGTGAGTACCGGGGTCTTGGTGCCGAAGCTCGTGGACCGATGCATCATGCTTCCCACTCACATTGCCATACGTCTCGAATATCCCCACGGGCCAGAACTGGACTGAGTATCCACCTCCGGGCACGATCGTCTTAGTACAGCAGCCTGAGGAGCATATCTCTGCGATACTTGGGGATATCATAGTCACCCGATCGCAAAGGCGTCGAGTATTTGTTGTCGTGGCTGACGGCAGGCTACGAAACATCAAATCCTGCAGGGAAGTCTGCGACGAAGGGTCATTTCAAGTTTGGTCCGCAGGTATCTCTGCTGCGCCGCCGTCGTTAGACGCGCGCCCGTGAGTGCAGGACATTCCACTCCAGGTTGCGATGTGGGTCAAACCTGGTGACATTCTATGTGCCGACGAGGAAGACGGAGCCATTGTGGTGATACCCCAACAAAGACTGCGAGCTGTGGTTGATTTGCTGCCCATTCTCAAGAGTGCAAGTGATGGCGTCCTGGAAGATGTGCGGAACGGTCTCAGCTTGCCGGAGGCGGTGCAGCGACATCCAGATTTCTACAGCAACTACAAATGAGGTATCACCATGCATTGCAGATAACCATGTTGTTTGATGAATGACAGGACTGTAATTTGTACGCAGACGCGGCCATAGCTTCTTCGCCTTGGAACAGGGTACTTGGTCAGGCTGGAACACCTACAAGTCTCACTGTGACAGACAGGTTCGGCGCAGGAAGGTCGGCCCTAGTTGGGCCGTGATATAGTGAGAATGAGTTTCGGCGCCGACATCTATGCTGCCGTCTAAGGAGCCCACGATTTGTCAGTCACAATGGTCCACAATCTGTCACCTGTGCGGAAGCCGGCGGAGTTCCACTAAACTAAATAGCTCCAATCGAACAACTACTCTAGGAGATAAGCGTGGATCCCACAACAGCAGCTCGTGAAACTGACCTTCCCTCCGGACGAGGAACTGCTGGCAGGCATCGGTGACACTTGCACGGCATGGCTTACGACGAATCTTTTGACCGAAGCACAGGTTCGCACACTTTGATGACGGCGTTGAAAGCACGAGTTGCCTGTTGTCGTCCCTACTTTGGTGACTAAGCATGTTGATTGAATAACGAGGCTGCATGGTTCGCGACAAGATCCCCGCGACGTCATTCTCCACTCCCCATGGGGAAGGTCTAGCGGCGAGCCCAACTGTCAATACACTACTAGTATGCTCTAGCGTCTTGGCATGATTTTGGCTGCAACTGCGAGTCAACCACGCTCACGGCGGATGTGTGAAAGACAATGCCTGACCGTACACCACTATGCACCTGCTACACGGTTCTGCAGACTTTCTCAGGCACCAGTGCCTACTACGACAGCGCAACACTGCCAGAGACCTCCTCATGACCGCCCCATCCGCATTTCCCTTCGATTTCTTTGCTCTTCCGCCCTTATGTTCGTCCTGGAAGAAGCCAAGTGAGAAAGCGGCGACAATCCTCACCAGAGCCTGCTGATCTGGAGCAGGAGCCGGCAACAAAGAAGCACAAACCCTCCTGCACAGATCCGTACACAACCTGGCCATCATGCTCCCGGCTTCTTCTAGGACACTCTATCCAAAGTTTATCTAAGCCGCAGTGCCCTCGGTGAGTGTGACCGTAGGCACGCTCAAGAGGCGTATCAGCGGTATTACAGATCCGCCCCGAAGGTGGAATATCCGCAAGGGCGAGCTGGCCAGAGACTCAAGACATTTGCTCGGCATGGTGGTCCTGACTTATCACACCTTCGAGGAGTAAGTCCTTTGATATTCGAATGGATGCAACGAAGACTAATTGCGGACCGATAGTTTGCGAGCTTACCACCTCTCCTCACAGACACTATGAGTGATCTCTCGGACGCTTCTAAGGCAGGTCTCGCTCAGCCACGACATCGAGCTTAGTCGTTGACAAAAGGATGAGAGACTTCCACGAGAAGAGAGTCAATGGTTACCCACCTTCCAACTGCGAAGATGGGCAGAATTTGCTGGGTGCAACGTAAGTGTCTTCCAAGCGGATGCTCCATGAGGATGACTTGGGATGGTGTATCGAGTATCAGGGGAGGTCCATTTTTGTGCTGGATTCTCGATGGAACCCCTGCGAGAAGAATGGACAACAAGGCCTGTACTGCGGGCGGCTCAATGTGCTCATATATAAATCCGCAAGTACGTCTGCAAGGACTGGTCTTCGAAGCATGGAATAAGGCTGCTGGAAGGAAGGCGTGGCTGGCGTTGGTGAGATCGGCTTTATTTTGGGATCGTTTCGCGCAACATGTCGAGATGTTTTCTGTTCTTGACTGAACCACACATGAGTGAGGGCAGAGTCTGCTTGGTATGATGCCGCAACTGGCGCGACCTGATCGATGCCGGTGTTCGGTGGAAAGGGGTTATGTTGCTGCTGTGTAGAATAAGACAGTTGCGAGCGCCCAAGCAGGTCAGTCACAAGTTCACAACCGAGATTGACCGCTATGCATCTGGAAAAGTTGGAAGGTGTTACCGCTGACCAGATGGCTATGTTTTCAAGTACTCGGACAATTCTAAGTCTAAGCCCCTATCTTCTTCGCCACTGTTCCCAGACGCTCCACCACTGATTCCAGAAACGGTCCTGCACCCCAACGCAACACATTATCCACCGAAACCATAAACTCCTCCACACCCTCCAACAACACACCATTACAAATCTGCAGAAGCCTCATGTTGAATGTGCGCACACCATCTTCGATGAGGGTGTAGTGGGCCCAAAGCTCATGGTAGGGGCCTTCAGTGCAAATGGAGAAGAAGAGCGGCAGTTGATCCTTGAACGGCGAAGGTGGAACACCGAAACTTGTCGTTGAGCGCTTGACCAGCTCGTTCAGAGCAAGCTGTATCTTCAGCCCAGAGGCCCCGGCGACAGCAGCCTGGTTTTGTGCTTCGAAGACTTGTTTGCCGGTCGAGTAAGCTTTGCCCTCAACAACAGCAAATGGGAAGACAAGATCTGATGCGCGTTGCGCGGGAAATGCGATCAGCAGCGGTTCTGCAGGCCCGCCTTGCTGGCTTGGCACCGTGGTGCTCTCGAGCTTTTGAAGGAATTTCTTGACCTTGGTATTGCTGACATTCTGCGACGCGAGAGCGGCGAGGGCGGAGATGACGGCCGTTTTCTTGATGCCTATTGAGATGTTGGGACGAGGTGTTTTGATTAGGGAGGGGTCTTGAGCTTTCTTCGGGAGAGGCTGGGTGTCTATGGCATTGAAATCTACTAAGAAACTCAAATCGAGATCCGACTGCTGAGGAATCGGCTTCAGCTCCTCTCGCCAGTCGGCTTTTCCACAGAAAAGGATCTGGTCGGGGTTCATAGCTTCAAGTGCGCGGCGGAATAGCGAAACGAAGTCAGCTTCGCCAGCCCCAGCCTGAACTAGTTTCTTGCAGGCGTCGTAGAATTCTTTGGCAATGTTGCGGAGTTTAATGCGGCGATCGTTCGAGACTTCGGCTTTGACAATGCGGTCGATAGCGACCTGGATGTCGCCGGGCGCATCGGTGTGGATGTAGACTTCAGCGTCCTCAAGGTGCGTGTAGCGGTAATGGCCGTTGGTGTCAGAGGAGCGTTGAGATGGGATTGTCTCCGCTTCGGAAGATCCGGAGGGGCTTGACGAGGTTCGTTCGAGAATTGGAGCATTATTGGCTGCGGGATTTATTTCCCCGTTGAATATTCGCAAGTTGTGCTCAGAGAGCTGGTCTGTGGTGGGGAAGAGTCTTGCAGTTCGTTGTTGGTTCGTGGCTTGTTTCTCTTGTACTCGCAGGCTCTGTCGACATGTCTTGGAGCTTACTCTCGGGTTTTGCTGGCGGCCTTGGCTGGCTGCAATGCTGTCAGAGACCAAGCAATCAAGGAAGGAAGCAGTATGGAGTGAAAGGAACTGACCGCTGTCCTGGATTCTTCGACTCTTTCGCCGGGGCTCAGTCGTATCTTCGTCTTCGTCCTCGTCAGGATTATTCTGCTGCTGGCCACGTTTGTGGCGACTCTCTCTCGCTCCGCCCGTGTCTCGTTTTGCAATACCGGCTGCCATATCGACTGGCATAGAATGACTTGTAGGACGAGCCTATTTCACGGGGAGGATGTCAATGATACTGATGTTGATATTGATCGAGAGGACGTCAATGATATTGATGTTGATATTGATCGAGAGAATGTGGTTGAGCGGGTACTGTTTGTATTGCCATGGTAAATCCGGAATGCAACCCCCTTTGAGTGGAAGCCTGCGATCTTGTCAGCTAGTTTGCTGGCAGCCGCGTGATGCTTGTCCATGTCCGACAGGTCTGCTTGCTATTCCTCCTTGAAATTCAGGAAGATTGAGGGCCACATTTCCGGGGCAAACACTCCTGCAGCGAGAAGTGAATAATCACTTTCGGAATAACGAAGGCCCGCAAAATATCACTTGCGCCGTTGTTGGGCCATCGCCGCACCTTCCCCATTTAGATAGGTTGGCAGCCTACTTCGGTCTGTCTGACGCTCCTCTATACTTACACAACAATACCATGCATGTCAACGCCCACTTTACAACTCATTTCCTACATTTCCCTGTCCTTGACAACAGCGTCCGGTAATGGGGAGTTCCGGCCACGCAGCTGTCCACGAACGGAGTATCCTGATCGCAGACACTGACTGGACGACTATTTCATCACTCTCAATGAAATCTTGCAAAGCTCGATGCCATCGCAGCGCACTTCCCCTTCTTCCGGATCGAATGGACAGTCGCACTCGGCTGAGGTAGAATCGGGCATCACTACACCTGCGCTGAGCCCAAAGTCGCCAGAACTCGTGCTCTGAGTACTGGAGACGCTTTCAAGATCGTTCGCTGCGAACACTGCGTCAAAGGAAGGATGGAACACTTGTGTGTCGTCTCGAAGGCAGTCCAATGATTATTGAAGGTCAAGTCAGAAACGGATAGACAATATCCGAAGATACCTTGAGTCACCAGCAGAAAGCGCAGGAGCAGGGGTTCAGGACACGTCAAGCGCCGTCAATCAGAGGAGTATCAGTTTTGAATCTGTCAAAAGGGTTAAGGGGGCAAGTCTTCAAGTAGCCAAGCGTGTGAAGTAGCCAAGAGTGTGAAGTAGCCAAGAGTGTGAAGTAGCCAAGAGTGTGAAGTAGCCAAGAGTGTGAAGTAGCCAAGAGTGTGAAGTA